GCATGTAAAAAATAAGGCGCCCTATCTAACATGTTCATGTTCATTTTAGAGTCACTCTCAAATTTTTCTGGCATTTATACAGTTTTTCTGCACTTCACACTGAGCATTCTAATCCAAAACTGAGATATCTCAGCCAGTTTTACTCAGATTTACTTGGTTTAACAGAGCATTACACTGCATTTCCTTCAAGGATTTCAATGGTACTGCTTTTTATGTGTTGGAATTAGTATGTGCTTCTATAAATTCACTGACTATGATGCATTGGTTCTCTGTGGCTGCTGTGGCACTTCTATTAATTACTATTTGTGCAAGTCGCATTGGTTTTCACTACAATCAGTTTAAAAGACCAACTGTACTCAAGTTGTAGGATAGTAAGAACAGGCACTACAAAGTTTGTAGTTAAACCCTAGACCTAACCCAGGACTAGGTGCAGCTCTCACATACAAAATTATATTGAAAAGTCGTTCCCACACCTTGGGGAAAAAGTGCATGTCCTCCCAAAAGTTGGCGGAAGCCCTATCCCATAAAGAACGATTCCTTCGTACCTCAGGAATCGTAATTGCATAATTCTAGGTGTCTGGCTGATCCACTGATCGAATATGGACATCATTTTGGATGGACAATTCATGCTTTTTGCAGTGTGGAAATGCTGATGAACAACGGTCATTTCCTCATAAGACAGCTGAGTGGAGAGCCAGATGAACTACTTACAGCAAAGTACATGCAGCCGATCTTTTCCTGCTGATCCTGATACATGTTGTCGCAGAGAACGTCGAGAGTATAGTACATTTCGCTCGTTACTGTGCATTGTTCCTGGTTTGGAGGATCGTATAGTGGGGGGCGAAGCGAATGATTTAAGGGACATAGTTGCATTGGTGAGTCATCATCATAGATGTGTTGTCGAAAACTTTATATCATCGACCTTGATGGACTCCATAAATACAGAAAGGAATATCGAGCGCCAGGTCCGATGATACGAGACGCATGAAAGATGCTGTTTTGGACTGAATAGTCCACGGGGACCATTCGTTGGTGCCATCTCTTTGGAAGAAAGCAGACCGCGGTTTTCAACATGACCGGACTGGCTCATTGCTTTGCCCAGCCGGTCTGGAGTGGTCAAATGTTGAGTACGTGTGTATGAGCATCATGGTGTCAGAATATTAAATTGGCTGCAAGTAGAATCCGCGAAAAGCTCCGTGGTGGAGATATCGCGGTCACTGATGGTAAAAATAATTGGCCCCTTTTTCTATATTCTGGCTATGTATATCACTCCGACAATCGATGAGAAGGCTTCTTTAGAAGCCTCCCACTTCTCTTGGTGAGTGGTTCGCTCTTTTTCTCAACGTGAATCCAATAGCTGTGATTGACATTCAATCCATTTGGGCAGGCATACAAGCATGTCTTTGCACGCCGGAGCTCAGCCGAGCAGGTGAATGCGTCCACTCGGTCTAGCACCCTTCCTAACGATGGAATGACTTCTGTCACTCTCGCTTTGATTGCGTATATTGCGACTCAAGTACGTCCTCTCCACATGTAACCAACCCGAGGGACTCAATGTGTCTCGTTCGCTTTCGTGGTCACTCTAGGTTCGATTTGCCCTGACATCTTCCTCCATGTTCTCTCATACCAGCATTGTAACGGACTCGGAGCACTTCTATAACAGTGTGATGGAGCTGTTTGCCGATATCAACGAGACGGCGCACGTGCAGGCTCTTCTCCTGTGGTGGAACAGGTACTATTATTGCGCTTTTTTCTGTGTTTTGCTCACTGTCTGTATTTCGTTTTAGGCATATATTCCCTGGGTATGTAGTTGGTCAGCATTCCCTAGTCAGGAACACTGTCTTGGGACGTATTAGGGAGAAACGGGACCAGTTGAAAACAGGTGGAAGTTGCATCACTCATCTTTAATGAGGAGCTCCGTCGACAACTCGCAATGTGCGTGTGTTGAATGTGCAGCTTTAACAATAACAATGTTTCCCCTTATCACGTGTGGCTGAGAGCAGTACTCAACGTCTTCACAAGTTGGTAAGTGTAGCTGTAACATAGTGCCGACTTGAAGGAGGATCTACATCCAGGGTGCTGGTTGTGTATTGTGAAACATACTTCATTGACATTGGAGTGGTGGAGAAAAGCAGCACCGGTACAATTGTATCCCATCTTATCGATGATCCGAACTAATTTCTCCAGTTTTAAAATCCAAAACTCACTGGATGATGAACAAATCTACGAGAACATGCTTGTGGCCCAAGTTTAAGAGTATTTGAACCATATGAGACTGTTAGTCACAATATTTTGGTATGTTAAAGCACTTTTCTGCCTGGGCTATGAAAGTGCTGATGGGACTTTATATACAGCATGTGAGTCACCAGTGTTTTCAGCCACTGTTTCACATCACTTAGCGCTCTTGGTGTCATTAGTCTTCGGGAGTCTTTTTTTTTGGTTTGACATGTTTATATAAGATACATCTCAAACAGTCCCGATTTCGATTCTTCAGTCTCATCCGCTGTTCCTGCATCGGCCTCACTGCTGCATGTCGGCAAGGCTATTGCTCACGTTGTAATAGAGGTCCTGAATGCGGAGGGTGAGAAGAAAAAGGCGGTCTGTTACAGTATATAACTGCTCTGTTCTAACTTCAAGCAAGAAGAACTATATGAAGATGCAGCAGCTGCATGCCATCTGAAACCTCGGGTGGACAGCTCCATGAGACTCTGGGATATCGAGACTGAAGGGATGCGTATCATCAACAGTTAAAACCTCCCGGTGACCCCTTCCGCCTATTGTTCCCATCAACACGTCATCCTCTTCTGAGAAGGTGGCAAACATTATCACTTGGCGGCAGTGTGGGAGAGACCACGGAAGCACAGTGCGCATTCGCATGCTGGCATCAACAACGACGATAATCGAGGTGAAGCCATAACAAATAGTGGTGCCGCAGCATTGGGTGCCAGTCATTCTAAAGTGGTTTGTTTGTAACGCAGCAACCTTCTCACCTTTGGGTCGACTTTTGCAATCTGACCAATACAGTGCACCGATGATTTCTTACCTGTTTCTAGTCTCTGTTCATGTGAAGCAGCTCGCGCCATTGCTTCGTGTCTTCCTCTCTTGCATCTGCATACTGTTGCCTTGCCTTGTCTCTTTCTCTTTCACCATCTCTTCGTCATGGCCGCAGTAATCTTTGTTAATGGAAAGGCTCCGAAGGTGAGTAGCAGCTATACCTTTTGACTGACAGCATGTTCAACCTCGACCAGACGATAAAAGCCTTGCTGAATGCAGACCATCGCACACGAAAAAACATACGCTCGGAAGCTTTTCTGCAGGTATTCACACTTCGGAGTAGTTCTCACATGGTGCCCAGTTCAATTTTGATTGCAGGTGATGGAGGAGATTGGTTTTTGAGTCGTGGGTGTGTTCATTACACCCCAGGGTGTCGGTCTCTCCGACTTTTCATTTCACAGGGTACTTGTTTATATTGTGTGTAGTGGTAGCCTGCATCTAGCAAACATTCCCTGATCACTATATCCCTGTCCTCTGTCACTCCACTTTCGGGAGGCTATCCCTGGTCAGCCAATTGCTGTCCTTCATCAACCCGCCCCTAACAGACATTTCCTTCATCATTCTGCTTTCTGCAGATCATTCCTTCTCGGTAACTTCTGTCTTTCATCAGTCTGCTGCTGGTAGATACTTCCTGACCAGTATTCGGTCAGATAATACAGGTGTTACATCATAGATAACTCCTTCTACAATGTGTGGCACTCATTTCGGATCATTGTCAATTTCGAATATGATAATTTCAGAAAGCCGTCTGCTGGTCTGATACAGGCAGGCTTAGATTTGCAGATCACTCCTTGTCAGTCAGTTCCAGTCAGCGGCTCACAGGTATTTCCTGGCCAGTAGTCAGTCACGTAATATAGAGGTGACATCGTCAGGTAATTCAGTCTCAGGTCACAGCAATTATTTTGGATCATTGTCAATGGAGGACATGATGATCTCAGAAAGTCGACTGCAAATCTAATTACTTCAGGATTATATGTCAGGGTAACTGTTTATTTAACCTCACAAACCCTTATCAATTTCGAACAGTCTGTCGCCCGCTTACCAACTCTGCCTGGTCATAGCAGGCTCTCCCGATTTTCCTGATGCAAATTTCCGAGGTGTATGCAGTCTAAGATGAATCACAATCCAGAGCCTCTCAAAGCACAAATGCAAGTTCCTGCCCTGGAGAGCCCCTGCTACCTTTCGATGTTCTCCAGCTCATCTAATAATGACAAACTCACTTCTGGGCCAGAAACAAGCTGCCGAAAAATAATTGTCGGAAAAACCTTTCATGCCTAATAATGCAGTTGCGATGGATTTTGACCTCCCACTGGATGCAATTTCCAATAAGTTGAGGAGACTATGCAAAAGTTATTTGAAAGATAGAGTGAATAAATTTAGTGTAAGTTGCACTGCTGAGGAGAGACTTATCTGAAAGTTATTCTAGAAATGGAAAACTTATTATGAAGTTATTTCTACTTTAGGATAGGTTTCAAGTAACTTTCAGATAAGTTTCTTGTAAGCCATGCCACTTACACTAAACTCATTTACTTTATCTTCCAAATAATATTCACGTACTCCCGCCAACTTACTGGAAATTGCATCCAGTGTCCCTTGCAATAGAAATGAAAAAAAATTAGGGCATTTTGAGTAATTTTGGCACCATTTTTGTCCCTTACAAGGCAGTTACAAGTCCCAAATAAGGAGTTGTCAGGCAAGGTCCGTTGCAAGGCACATTATTTCTTTCCGACATTGAAACAGCAAACAGATATAGCGGAGAAAGTAGATATTTCTTGGTACCATGCCCTGCGCCCTGACGACGAGAGTCCGAAAATGCAAGGATGAAGAGAAACGGCCTAGCCGTTGAAGAGAGATCTTGGAGGCCCAGGCGGGATTTGTGTGTATTTGGCCACACGACATGACTTCTGAAATCAGCAATAATTCCTCACCTTCACTGCGTGGGCCTGATGTCTTCGGAAAGCTGGCCTCCACCGCTCAAGTATGCCCCACTAGTCCTCACCGTTCCCTTGTTTACACCGCATTATAGAGAGTGGGTTGCGAAATGTCTCGGGCAAATGACAGACGCCAACAGGGCGGAAGCGCAAGCTGAACTTAGACAGGTAATTGCTGACTCCTTCTTGAACAAGACACTGTGGACGACGGACTGGGCCGGAGTGCAGTTGCAGAGGTACGCTACTCCAGTCGGGTGTGCTTTCGCCGTGCAACTGAACGGAGACAATGCCATGAGCTTGCTGCCAAAATCTCTAGCGTTGAATCCTCTCAATAGTTTGAAGCGCAAGATGTGAGCTCTCGCTTATTGAAGGGTCGTCCGAGTGTTTATGGCGTGCAGTAATGACGGCCACACTGTCAGTAGCAAAAAATCCAAAAAGAACCCAATATCCAAAGGCTCGTCTGCGAGTGCATTGGACCCCACAGATCTTGCCGCTCTCAATCGTCGTGCCGCTCGATTTCAACGGGAGCACGAGATTGAACGTCAGAAGGGGACCCGTGGTCATGAACATACAAAGCAACATCATCCATTCTTCTACCCATCACGTTTCAATACACCATCTTTCGACACCGACGAACCGGAGCTAAACTCTGTGCGTCTATGTTCCAATGTCTCTAGTATTGTCCTCGGTTTTCACACATCTGTACAGAATGTGCCAGGTTGGGATCGATTCACGATTGTCGGAACATCTCAGGAAACCTTCAAGGACTACTTGCGGCTGACTTCGGCAAGTATCGACGCGGGTCGTTTGTGGCGCTATTTGCTGATTTCTCTACCATTCTAGGAGCCGAAACCTGAACAGATTCGCCCTTATTCCATTCTTCAGGAAACGCTCAACCAGTTGAAAAAGCGATGGCGCGAGAAGGCTAGCTATAGTTGGATATGCAGCCAGTTTAAGAGTCTGCGTCAGGATCTTACTGTGCGTCTTACGTTATGTTGCTTGCCCCACAGACGAGATCACGTCTTTCATGCTGCTGACGACACAGGTACAACGAATAAAGAATGAGTTCACAGTCACGGTGTACGAAATCCATGCACGTATGGCCCTTGAAGTTGTATGTCTCGTATGCTCAATCGTGTTGCGTTCGTGCTCATTCCTTCCTATAGGGTGATATGGTTGAGTATAATCAATGTCAGGCCATGTTGCGAAATCTCTATGAACTTGGCATCCCGGGCAAGGTGGAAGAATTCACCGCATATCGCATACTCATGCTGCTACATGGGCGAAACAGAAGTGGTCCGTCTTAATCTTATTGGTGATCGCTTGAGAGGTTGATGTCTCGAGCTTCTGTAGATCTAAACCTCTATGTAGGTCAACTAACAGATAGACAGAAATTGGACCCCGCCGTCCGACATGCCCTGAATGTGCAACGAGCTCTGGCAATGGGCAATTATCATTCCCTATTTGACTTATACCTGAATGCTCCGAACATGGGGGCCTATATCATGGATCATTTCATTGATAGAGAGAGGATCAGAGCACTTATGGTCATGACGAAGGCGTAAGTTGTGGGACGAATTTCTATTCTATATTCACTAAGTCCATGCTGCCCTCAGATACCGCCAGATCTCTCTATCGTTCATCCAGAACGAGCTTGCATTTGACACGATCGCAGTGGCCCTCCAGTTTCTCATGGAGCATAGAGCCGCATTCTTTCAGAATCCTAACAGTCCTGATACACAGAAAATACTCGATTGCAAGCCGGCCGGTGCTCCTCTAGCTGAGGTCTTCGAAGAGAAATACCGCAAGGTACAGATCAAGGGTGCAGTATAGCCATATGTGCCCGTCGTTCCCCAGAAGCCATCCGAACACCATTACTCTTCCTTCATTGTCCGTATGTCATCCTCGACGTCTCGTGGTCAACCTTTGCCTTCCGTCCGCGCCGTCCCTATGTCATTGACCCTCTATTGATACCCTGCACTCTCTCGCCTTCTCTCTCTCCTCGTATCCGCAAGATGGACGCCGCGGTAGCATGGAGATTATAACCGTTCTTGTGTAATGTACCTACATGTAAGGAAGTACATTCGGTAGCTTCAATCGCGCATGCGAGCTGGTATGAATCTCCGCACGACCACCTCGCGAACAGTGTATTGCGCGAGACATGCAGGTGATGCAAGCAAATCGGATGAGCACTTCGATTGCGCAGGTATCGTCACATATGCCAGAATAAGTGTCTACAGGTCAATCTGAGTATCGCGCTAGCACTAGCGAACAAAGGATAACTCACCTTCTGTACTTGCGAATTCACACGATTGATTGTACTCAACCACGCCCAGGAAAATGGCGACAAGGGTGACGTCTCTCTATCTGCTAAATCCTCGTATACGGGGAGTACCACCACAGCAAATCTTGAACTACATCAGCAAAGAGATCTGTAAAAGCCAGAGTGTAACCGTACTCAGCGTGATGGAAGACGGGTCCTCGCTTGTATAGGAGATAATCCACACAGAATTTGACACCTCCCTTGACCACCCATCCCAAGGAACGATAGTAGTGGTAAGCCGCATAAAAAACAAGGAAGGGATTGTCAAATCGACTTAAGTGACGTATGATCGTGTCTGGCGGTTGTGTATGGTGGTGAGATTGCGCTCTCTGGAAGTCATCCCAGATTTTCTGGAGACTCATCGGCTCCATCTGTATGTAAGAAAGTTTCAGTTATGAGCGCAACTGCGATCGAAAGTGTATGCCTGACCGTGACAGGATTGAGCACAGTCAGGCAATCCAAACTCCACGCAAGAAAAAATGCCTCTTGCAGAGTGAGTTGGAGATGTTCAATGTCGTCCAGTGAGTCCTCTTCAGTATCCGTACCGTGGCCGAGTGCAGGCGAAGGAGGACTTATTTTCTCGCCTTCTGCAGATGGCTGCGGTGGTTTCCAAGTAGCTCCCGATGGAATGAAGGCAGCAGGGGCCTGCCGCCCTTCCACAAAGGCAACTTCAGCTTCCTCGGCTGCTCGTGCGATAGCTGCAGCTCGGTCGAGTTTAAATTGCTTGCGTTCGGCCCTGCGCTTCTCCCTGATTTCCTCCGAAGTCATGTCTGGCGAACGCGCGAAGAGGTGAAGAGGATGGTCGGATTTCAGATATTACCGGGTCACATACATTTCCCTGCAGCCTTTCTGGCATTAAACTGCCTTGTCCGCCAAGATGGCTCACTGCGCGAGAGGTCTCCTTTGCCGAAGAATCCTCGCCTCCAGAGGATCGTGGAGTCCCGAGTATTGGATACCCATACGGAGCACGTTACTGGGTCAAAAACGCCGACACAACGCGGGTTGAGGAGGTCAGCTCTCCATAATCCGAACAGACCCAAGACATATTGGCTGGGATTTGGAGCATTGTGGCGAGTGAAGGTGAGCGGTAGGGGATGGGCGTATATTTTGTTGTTCTCTGCGCGGCACGCACCCGGCTTTTTGTCGCCTGTTCGACGAGTAGGGGTGATGGCGGAAGACATGGAAGGAGGGAGCGGCTGAGATAGCCAAACAGCGCGACAACAGGCGCCTGAGCGCGTTTGAGGCGGCGGCTAACGGACTTTGGTGCGCGCTTTCGCCACCCTCATATCCACATCAATGGCGGATAGACGCAGAGCTGAAATAGAGGCAAAGCGAGCCAAGCTTGCTGAGTTCCGCAGGGCCAGGGCTGACCGCCAGAACGTCGACGCTGAGCGTCGTCTGTCTGAAGTAAGCACCAACCCATCTCGTCGCGTCACCCGCAACTCATCTGCGCCCGGCATCCAGTCCGCTGGTCCTTCCGCACGTAGAGATGTAGACGATATCGTGGATTCTCTCATCGGTCCCGCGGGACCAAGTAGGGGCATCGAGAATGTGGTCGACTCCCCCGTGTCATCTGTACCTGGCACTCCTGGCCTTGGTCAAACAGCTTCTCTGCCAGGCCGTTCTGCCCTCTCCCTATCTGGTCGCCTGAGCAGGCAGAGCGACCTTGCGTCTGATCGAATAAGCGTGGGCACGACCTTTGTCCAGTCGGCCAACGGTACTACAGATCATGTTGTAGAACGGTATGTGACCCATTAGACTCATTTAGTTGACGGTTTCTCAATGTTGTTAGTGTGATGACCCCGCGAATGATACCGGACTTGATAGATGTTGAACAAGAACTTTTTGAGCTTCCCCAAAAAGTCAGCACGCTTCCCGTCATATCCAGACTCTGCTGATCTTAGCCTATTCTAGGAGCGAGTAATATACAACAAGGAAGTGCAGACCGTGGAGCTGGAGTCTGAACCGCTCGTCTTCCCGGAACAACTGCTCGAACGCATCCAACGCGAGCGTGAAGCTGCCGAAGCAGAACATGCTGCACACGACAAGGAGCTGGAGGAAGAGAGTGTGAAACTCGAACAGGAGATTGAACAAGAGATTAGAGGTATTCACTTACCTGCATCCGTGGCTGTTAACTTTGTCACTCACGTACATTCACTTCACAGAAATGACGGAGGAAGAACGAAACAGCATTTTCTCCGCACCTGAGTTCTTGGATTTCGTGGAACAGTCGACCAAAATAGTTCAGAGAGCACTGAATGACCACTATGATTATGTCCGCGATTACACAACCGGCGCCGAGAGTGGAGTGTCAGTCGCTATACATTGCTATCCAGATCCAGTGAAATTGACCTTCCCAGTAGTGATGATTCGGAGGGGAGGAGGGTCAAATGTATCTGTGCCTTCTCGGACGAGCGCTACGGGAAGAATCGGTCGATCACTGATGTTGGCTGGTCACCCAAGGTCGGATTAACGTTCTTACTAGGACGTAGGAATGATCTGATGTTGCTCCTAGTTCCCTGAACTGAGTTGCGCGTCTTACAATAAGAACCCTGCCGCTTTGAACGAACCCGATGGTCTTGTGGCTGTTTGGAATCTTCATCTTCTGGAGCGACCAGAATTCGTCTTCCATTCACAGGTATTTTGACTTACCCAGTGTGGTCAAAAATGGAGTTGCATGCTGGGCTCACATGTGGCAGTCAGATGTGCTCTCAGTGACATTTTCACCGTTTCACTCGAATCTCATCTTCGGTGGCACATATTCCGGCCAGATATTGCTGTGGGACACACGGTCAAAGCATTTACCTGTTCTCAAAACACCGTTATCTGCCGCTGGACATACACATCCAGTCTACGCCATGCAGATGGTCGGCACTCAGAACGCTCACAATTTGATCACGAGCAGTACAGATGGGACGGTTTGCAGCTGGCTTGTCGATATGCTGGCACAGCCCCAAGTAAAACCACTTCTGAATGCCATTACTGTTTCAGAGCTGATGGACTGCACCCAGGAAACCTTGGAGCTTGTCCACGCTGGCCATAACAAAACAGGAGAGGTCGCGATCACAACTCTCGATTTTCCGGACAATGAAACCACTACGTTCTGGGTTGGCACAGAGGAAGGAAATGTGTATCAGGCAAACCGATATGACCGCGCGGGTGCAAAAGCCGGTCTTCATCAATACGATGTGTACAAGGGCCATTCAGGACCAGTGATGGGCTTGCACTTCCACCCTCTCTTAGGGCCAGTTGACTTCTCAGACTTGTTCTTGACTTGCTCGGTGGACTGGACGGTGAAGCTTTGGAGAGCAAAGTCGTTGGCAAAACCCTCTACCACTGCAAACATAATCCAGCCGCTCTACTCCTTCGACGAAGCTGACGACTACGTATATGATGTTAAATGGCATCCGTCGCATCCTGCACTGTTCGGGGTGGTCGACGGCTCCGGGAAGTTCGATGTGTGGAATTTGAACGTGGACACGGAGGTGCGTGCTCGCGGAGGACGGCAAAGTATGTGTCTCAAAATCTTACTTGTGGCCAGGTGTCCGTGGTATCCACCAGCGTTGGTTCGGGTCGCGCTATAAACAAGTTGCAATGGGACCGGAAAGATGGACGGCGGGCGGCACTGGGTGGGAGTGACGGAAAGCTGTACATCTATGATATCGGAGACATGGCGCTCCCAAGGGAGTCGGAGTGGACGGATCTGCAGAGAACGGTTGCCGGAGTTGCGGGTGGCGTGCAAAGCAACGGCGTCGTTGACGACAGCCTCGCTCGCGTAACCTCCGGCCGATAAATAGTTTACTCCGTGTATCGTTTCCCTCGTGTTTGCCGGAAGAGATACTTAGACTTCACACACCCTCTTGATTCAACGGAAGGAATTATCGGAGATGGCGAAGACGGGGACGGCCTTCCGACCATGTCCCGTCTCCGGGAAAATCGACCAGTTGCGTCGCGATTATTGCGGAATCGTATGTCAAGAGACCTGCGGAGACTCTGCTCAGTATCACTCCCGCACTGGAAGAGGACAGTTCAACTCCATTCCGTCAGCTGACGGATCAATGCTCTCCCGTACAACTCTTATCCTCAGCTGCTCGTCTTCGTCCTCTCGCAGTAGTCCCTAGTTCTTCTTCTGTCCCTCTTTCCGCACACTCCCTGGATTGCGCGCCATGTCCACTTTCAAGCAGGTGAGTAAATGCACCAGAGGCTAATATGACTATTCTCATCCGGCACGCACTGGCAGCAGCCCCACAAGTGAGTGGTGTTTCGTTTGCACTTCTCATCCCATTGAACCTCCCGGACGCGTTCAAGGCTCTTGGTGTGAGTGATTCCCTGATTGTAGCCGTACAATAATCCCTCATGTATCAGTTCTGAAGCATACCCGGCCCCATCGAGGTTGCAGATGAGGTATGTGCCGGGCGGAAAATCCGAAAAAGCCCCACATCCTTACCCAGACCGGTCAGGTCCTCTACGCCAATGCGCATCCCTCCATGTCCCATATGTCCGCCGATTTTGTCCCAGTCCTGGGTGACTGCATAAGGATGACTCGGGATGTCTTGTACTCCACTACCGCTCAGCCTTTCATCATGGCTGGATCGGGGACACTGGGCTGGGACCAGGTATACTACGAGCGGCTTGCTCGACCAGACAACTCATATTCATCCGTTCCCTCTAGGTTGCGGCAAACCTTGTAGAACCTGGCGAATACGTGCTTTTCTTGAACACCGGCTACTTCGGGGAAGGCTTCGTCGACTGGTATGTGAGATTCGCGTTCTTACCTACTTAGTTCCTAGCCATGTCGAGACAGTCTCCGTGTTTATGGCGCCCACGTGGATGAGCTGCAAGCTAAATTTGGTGGTGCGGTCCCATTATCCGATATCGAACAGGCCCTTGCCTCCAAGAAGTACAAACTTATCGCTTGCACACATGTCGATACCTCGACAGGTGTGTTAATTCGAGATTCATTTTTTGCTGATGCTCACATTGGACATGCTAAATCATCAGCCGTATTGTGTAACGTGAAGGCTGTCGCAGAGATTGTTAAAAAGACTGCACCTGATACCCTTGTGATTTTTCTTTCTTTTTTACATCGTCGGTCGACAAGACTGAGGATGCACTTTCAGATCGCCGTAGACGGTGTTTGTTCGGTAGCCAGTGAAGAAATTCGTATGGATGCGTGGGGTATCGACGTGGTTGTAACTGCAAGCCAGAAAGGACTTGGCACTCCTCCAGGTCTTAGCATTGTCGTCGCAAGTCAAAGGGCTATTCAGGTGCACACGCAGTGGTGGGAATATTTCTCATTCATCTAACCTCGGATGTTAGGTCTTCGAGAATCGCGTAACTCCTGTTGCTGCCTATTATGCGAGTTGGAAGAAGTACGAGATGCTTTTGTTATGCATGCAACGCGACTACTCACGTTCAGTTCAGATGGTTACCAGTTATGCGGGCCTACGAGAAAGGCTCTGCTGCGTACTTCGCCACTCCTCCTGTCAACTTGGTCTACGCGTACCGCGCATCCCTCGACCGGATTACAAAGTCATCGCCTACCCTCGAAGAACGTTTCACGCTTCATCGGGAGGCCAGCAAACGTATCAAGGATGCAGTCGCTGAGCTGGGGTTGAAGCAGTTACCTGTCGATTCCAATTCCAGCGCAAATGGCATGACGGCGGTGAGGACCATCGCTGACGTATCTGGAACACATTGATGGAGAGCCCTCTGCTTCAGATATACTTCCCTGATGGCTTCACTGCATCCGACATCATTCCACGTATGGCTCAGAGAGATGTTGTTGTTGCTGGGGGTGTCCACAAGGATTACAAAGGTAGGAAAGTCTTCTTCGTATGGGTCAGTATATTCAATAAGCTGCATACCAGACAAGTACTTCCGCATTGGGTGGGCAGAACACGTTCCTCACGTCCCCCTTTTAAGCTGACTTTCAACACGAACTTGATCTCCGCAGGCACATGGGCATATCTGTCGTCGACAAGGAGCGTGGAGATGTCGAGAAGGTGATCACTGCATTGAAGGAGTCTTTTGCGGAGGCGAGAGCAAGCAAGATCGTGTAGAATACGCATCAATGTTCCTAGAGTGTACTGCAATTTCTTTCGAGTCGATCAACCTGATGCATCGATAAATTGACCTTGGTTTTCGCGAGCCTTTATTGATAAACAAACTTAATATCGCAGTACGCGTTCCTCAATGTCCTCAAACGAGCGCTGTGCACCTTGTGTCTACGGCGTTTGACTAAACTCCTTGCACGCACAATATTGGGAGGCATAACAACCGTACTCGACCTACGATGATCGGCTTAATATCGATTGAGGGCCATGAATGCATAATCATGCAAAACATATACTTATATCTCTAAAATTACATAATCATGAGACAACTTCGCGATACTGGCCCTCACCGCCCATTCTCTCGTACCAAGCTTTACCGGAAGTGGTGGCAGAAATGTACCCCGCTCTGATCACGAAGTCCCCAAAGTGTTCGCCTCGGTGTCGTTCAAGGGCGTAATGTTTGATCATCGGCTTCAAGATTGCTAGAATCTCTGGCTCCGTAACAGTTTCTGGTTCGATGTTAGCGGAAGAATATCAAAGGCCTTACAGGATGTTCATACCTCTGTAAATCTTGTTCAGTCGCTGTCCGTAATATCCACCGCCCAGCAACATAGAGTACGTGCCCGGGGCCTTGCCGACGAATGCGACCTCTGCAGATGCAATATAAGCCTTGTGGACGCACATCGAGGAAGGGGAATGTCGCCTACCTGCTACATATGGTCGTGCGCAGCCATTTGGACATCCTGTCATCCTCATGACGATAGAATCATTGCGAAGGCCATTTTCTTCGCACATTGCTTCCACCTTGTCGATCAGGAGAGGCAGGTACTAGTTGGCCGACTAGGATGAGGGATCTCAGGTGATATAAATCATAGGTTAGACACATACCCTTTCCGATTCTGCCATGGCCAGACCTGACGAGAAAATATTACGACAAATCATACGGCAGATAATTCACGGATCACACACCGCAAGTCGGGAATGCGACACATGCTGAGGACGATAACCGCAAAGCGGTGTGAGAGAGATTATCCAACTTGTACTGTGCCAATAGCTGTTTAATGACGGGCAAGTCGGCTGAGTCGACATCAGTGATGACCAGATGCTGGTTTGCAGTCATCCGGAATGCGCCTTTGTGGACCTTGGCAATCTCCCGCAGACCGGTTTTGAAGTCACGTCCAGGCTCGTCCTGGATGCGCCCATTCTCGATGAAGCAGGTGAAGTGATGTTTGCCATCTTCGCCGGACGTCCAGCCAAAGTCATCGACATTGCGGTTGAAAGCGTAAGGGCGTGCGGGTCGAAGGTGAAATCCTAGTCTTCGTTCGACCTCAGCCTTGAAGTTGTCCAAGCCCATCCTGTCAATGGTGTATTTTAGACGAGCATTCTGAAGTCACAGTTCGTCAGACACTCGCAGAGCCCGTTGATTGAACGCATGCAAACCTTACGACTAATTGGCAAATGGGTACGCAACATAAGCACATGCTATCGCGGTACAAAAAATTTGCACTTACTCCTCGCGGTTGCCATTGTCGCGCTGTACGAGCATAACCTTCTCCGCGACGTCACGACCCTGTTCAACGGTGCAAAAACCGATAACGTCACCGAGGCGTGGGTATGTCTTCTTGTTCCCGTGAGTGACACCCATTCCGCCACCGGTAGTGACGTTGAACCCTTCGAGATCACCATTGCTGTCCACGATAGCGATGAAGCCAAGGTCGTTGGCAAAAAGGTCAACATCGTTAGTAGGCGGAACGGCGATGGCAACTTTGAACTGTTTGGAGGTTGAGCCAAATGTCCTTAAATGTAGAAGACGGAAAGACCTACCTTCCGTGGCAAATAGAACTCGCCGTACAATGGCTCCACGTCTTTCAGTGCCTCGCCAGCGACCAGCTTCTTGTCCAGCCAGATCTCGTGGTATGCGGTCGTACGAGGAAGGAGATGCGCGCTGACTCTCCTAGCAAACTCGTACACCTGCCCGTGGAGCTTCGACAAGGAAGGAATCGCCGACACGATGACATTTCTGAGGACAGCAATCAGAATACATCCAAGAACGGTGCAACTTCGCACTCACCGATTAACGTCACCGCATGCGGCCAGGGTATCCAGCAATGCCCTGTTGATATCCTGGATGGCAGGCTTAAGGTGGCGTTTAATGACACCATGGTACTGGAAGGTCTGCCGCGTAGTGATCTTGAACGTCCCGCACCCGTGTTCGTCTGCGATCCGGTCCATCACCAGCCACTGGTCTGCCCGACAGACGCCACCGGGCATCCGCACCCGAATCATGAAGCTGTATGCAGGCTCGACACCCTGGGCCTGGCGTTCGTCGCGGATATCGCGGTCGTCCTGCTGATAAACACCATGGAACTTCGTCAGCTGGGTGTCGCTTTCCGCTAGAGCGCCGGTGCTAAAATCTTGGAGGCCTTCCGTGATCGTCCCACGGAGGTACTGCGAGGCGACTTTGATGTGCTCGTTGGTGATGGGCTGCGGCTCGGCCTCCAGCACCTCGATGGTATCTACGCCCAACGTCTTCCAAATCAGCGGCTCCCAGAGCTTGTACCCGGTCTCTGGACCGTCCGCGTCCTGGTCATCACCCAGACCCAGATTCGCGAAGCGTTGGCCGCCAAGTTGCTCAAGGCGAGTATCGAGATCCTTCCCCGCCTTGTTGTAGAAATGCGCATCCTCCAGACGCGGCCAGTAATGACTATCTCCAAGGCCGAAGACAGAGAAGCGGAGGCTCGTGAGCGGCCTCTCGCCGCGCGCAGCGAGGGCGCTCAAACCCTTGGCGAACGTCCGCCCGTTTTGGGGGAACTCGCCCTGGCCGGCCACAGACGTGAGGAACACGACAAACTCTTCCTTCGCCAGGTCGTCGATCGAGACCGTGTCCACGACCGCGACAGTCGTCGACAGGCCACGCATCTTCCCGCGGTGCGCGAGGCGCTTCGCCATTTTCTCGGTGCGCCCGCTGTCGGACGCGTACAGCACGAGCAGGGGCGGCGCGTCGATTGCGGTCAGGAGGTCGCTATACGATTGCTGCGCGCGGTTCTTGCGTGCCTGCTTTAAGCTCTCGCCCAAGCTGCCGACGAGCTCGCTCGCGAGCTGGGGTGCGGAGCGCACAAGCTGCGAGAGGTGGCTCTGGCGGTCGAGGAAACGTTGCAGGTCGTTTTTGATGGAGTCCGAATCGAGCGCAAAGGGCTCCTTCCCGTCGAGCTCCTTGGCAGGGTTCCAGCGATACAGAGGCCAGTACCCGGCGTCGACGGCAAGCTTCGTCTCCTTGAGGATCTCTAGCGCGGGGGCATCTTCGGTCTTGTAGGGTAGGTACGCCAGGACGACGCTGGGTCCATCGAACTTGTCCGCCTCCGTGATGGCCTGGAGAACCTGCGAGTACGATGAGTACACCGCGACACTGGCAACGTACACGTCCCCATGGTTCATGGCGTACAGGCCGACGTCCTGCTTACGGCGACTCGGGTCGCCGGCATTGCGCGCGGAGTAGGGGAGTGTGTCGAGAACGAACACGTTGATGTTGAGCTTGGAGGCGATGGCGTGGTGGAGGCCGGACGAGCCGAGGTCGTAGGACCACGCGTCCGAGCCGATGATCCAGCGCGAGCGAGCGGGTAGCAGTGCGCGCAGGGCCAGTACCTGCTTCGCAGCGGGACGGGAGATTTTGTCGTCTTCGAGGGCACGCACGATGTCGTCTCCGAGCTGGCGACTCTTGGGACCATCGTCCTTGGCCAATATCCAGCTGCTCAGCAGGTTATGCAACTCGATGGGGGTGTCGACATCTTGGAGCAAGTCTTGTACAGATACAACGAGTTCGGCGCGCTGTTCGAGTTCCCCGCGGACACGGCCCACAGTAAATTCTGGGCTGGTAGCCAGCTGTCCAAGAGAAGCGACGAGGTCCGGAGAGTTCGCAATCTCGAGGCGGTCACCGAAGAGGTGGCTGAGGATCTTGGTGTACGAGGCTTCGTGTTTGGGGACATGCGGCGCCTCGGCAGAAGGTGAGGACTCAGTGGTCGATAGGTCTCCGAGCGACAAGCGTGTGGAAGGTGGGGCGGATGAGGCCTGCTCGAGCAACTTGAGAATATCGGCAGGCTTGACCGAGTCGATATTGCCAAGAACGCCGCTCTGCACAAGTGGACGGTGGTCGGGCTCAAGGAGCTGGACGGCGCTGATGAGTTCGAGGTAGAGCGGAGTCCACTTGATAGACCAACGGCGAATCTGCTCAAGGACGAGGACGCGTCTGGCAGATGGGGGAACAGCATCGAGGACGCGGGAAGCCGGGAAAGGCTTCACCAGAGAGACCTCGATGAACGCGACACCATCGACGTCGAGATCGAACTGTGGCGCGCCCAGTGAAATGAGGACGGTGTGGGGATCGTCAGAGCCATGGCGAGTGAACGGGCCGACAGGACGGTGGAGCAAGGAGGCGGTTGAGAGGGCAACAGCTTCGTACGCGTGGAAGAGAGAGGAAGGCTGGAGGGGGCCGTTCACGCCGTTGGAATGGCCATTGGTATGACCGTTCGAGGCAGGCTTGTCGGCGAAGAGGAAGGAGGGAACGGCGTGCTGTGCGATCTCTGCGACGAGGTCGGACTGGTGACCAGGATGGAAGATGTGCAGGACGGCTTTGGACTGGAGCAAGGCGAGGCGGGAAGCCAAGAGGGCGTTGTCGTGGGCTTGCTGGGCGGTGCGAGAGTGCAGGCAGAAGGGAAGGGTGGACTGGAGCACGAGGACGTCGGAGAGATCGTGGTCCACGGCGACATGGAGCACGGTCGCGGTGGAGGATAGCTCGACGAGATGGAGCACGAGCTGGGCGAGAGACTGCGCGTTCGAGTAGCCGACGTACGACTGCAGACGGCCGCCTTGCTGCTCTCTGCGGAGAAGGGCGGGGCCGAGATCGGCGCCGGAGGGAAGGGCAGTGACGGCGGTGTGGCCGGCGTCGGCGGCGGCGTCGGCGGAGAATTGGGCGAGGAGCTCGGCGAAGTCGTCGGGGCGGGGCGGGGGACGGCGAGAGTAGAGGAAGAGGTCGGAGGAGAGGTACGCGACCCGGGCGACAGCGCGTACCGCTGGCGTGGGCGTCATTTGTGATGAGGGACGCGGTGAAGCGACGTCCGCGAAGCCGCCATATAACCTGCGCACAATTCGGAATTCGCGAGCGGGCAATCAAAGGCAATGAAGAGGCCATCCTCACACCATCCCTTTGGCCCTGTTTGTCACCCTATTTTCGGGTTAGGGCTACCCTTTTTGCGGAGCTCGAACTCTATCTTCCACCTGCCAAGCCACCGCCGTGCCCCTAGCGTTGCAGTCGTCAATCCAGTCCTCCTCATCGCCACCGACATTAATCGCGATGGCTCCCACCAAAAAGTCCAAGGCTGCCAAGTCCACAGAGTCCATCGCCTCTCGTCTTGCCCTCGTCGTCAAGTCCGGCAAGTACTCCCTCGGCTACAAGTCCGCCCTCAAGCAGATGCGCAACGGCAAGGGTGAGTCCTCCACCTGCTCTCTCTCCGGGGACTGGAGCGTGAGGCTGAGAAGGTCCCTTGTGCTGACTATTCTGCCTTCTTCTCTCCTTCGTCCTCGAACCCGCCTCCAGCTAAGCTTGTTCTTATTGCTGGCAACTGCCCACCGCTCCGCAAGTCTGAGCTCGAGTACTACGCCATGCTCTCCAAGACTAACGTGCACCACTTTGCCGGTACCAACGTCGCCCTTGGCACAGCCGCGGGCAAGCTATTCCGTGTTGGGTAAGAACATCGCCCTTGACCACCTTTCAGATTCTCACGACTCTCACTCCAGTGTCATGACCGTGTCAGATCCAGGGGACAGCGACCTCCTCACTGTTGCAGAGGGAAATGCCCCGTAAAATTACCTCTTCTCCTGTGGTGCATTTCAGTAGGCAGTCTGTATGATTTCTCACCACTTTCCGACCTATCGCATATATATGACGACATCATGGGCATCTTACCAAGAGCCTTGTGGACCGCGTCGGATGCCCGTCAATTCGGAATTCCATGCGCTCACTCGGCATCACGTACATATCTGCTACAGCAACGAGGGTGACATTCCCAGAATCGTCCGTGGTCCTGTGCTCACATAGTCCGTTTTCGACACAAAGTTCTTACCACCCGTCATATCAATGAATGTTATCTGGCAAGCGCCGTCAGCACTACTCACGGCGTCTGAGGCGATACGACCTACTTTTGCAACGATGCTCGTACCCAGAAAGGACGCCAACCCATCTCCCTTCTCCCGATATTCCGCGAAATAGTCTGGCACCTTCAGCACCCGTATGATCCGCGGCTGCACTTCATTTTGTTGCGGATCCGGGCTGGTGAGGATGAACGATGCCAGACGCCCTTGTAGCGCGGCTCCCAGCCCTGTGTGAGGCACAAACCATATCGGCATTTGACATCAACACTTCATGCGGGTTCCTGACCTTTTATGTGGTTCGTGATCTCTCCGGTCACGAACAGCCCCTGCCAAATATATGCTCTCTGGTCCACCTCAGTTCGTCCAACAGCCTCCCCAACCGCAGTCTGGATGGGCAAAATCGGCACATCCTTTCTCGCCTTGGGCTCAATACCCGGCAGGCTCGTAAGTAGGTTCGGATCGAACAGGGGTTCGCAGAAGCGATGGCGCTCCTTACCCACCGTGAGCGTGTGCCCACGGAACTGAACGGTGACGAGATCGAGCGCCTCGATTTCACGCGCGCGCGCCTGCTCGGCGGCGGACGCCTTCGCGTTCGCCTTTTTCTTCATGCCCGACTCGATGACGGCCTTCTCCTTACCCGCGACGAGGACCGCCGCGATGTCCGTGACGCCCTCCTCCTCGATGTCCCGCGCGGCCTCGCCCTCCGCGAGCGCCTTGATGAGGCCCTCCTGCCAGATATGCTCTGCGAGCTCTAGTAGCACCGGCTGGAGCGCCTCCGGGCTGAGTGGGCTGGCGGGCGGCGAGAGCGCGGCCACGACGGACTGGTTCGAGTGGAGGAGGTGGGCGAGGTAGAGCTGGCAGTCGCGGAGGCCGAGGGGAGTGCTCGTGCGCGCGGTGTGCTGGACGAACCCGTCGTAGATAGGCGTGATGTCCGTGTGGTCACGGTCGATGTCGACGATGACGCCACTGAGCTGGTTGCCCGAGATGACGGCGTAAAACTGCGCGACGGGGCGGTCGAGGATGCCGAAGCCGGCGACGTTGAAGCGCTCGAAGAAGATCTGGCAGATGCGCTCGTACGCGTCGCGCGAGAGCCCCGGGAGAATGGAGAGAAGGACCGGGGACTCCATCTGGGCGCGTCGGAGCTGTAGTTGTTTGAACAGCACGTATTTCCTGTCAAGGATAGAGTGAGCACCGGATGTGAACGCGCGAAATGTCCAAAGATGAGGGACACGCTCGAGACGAACAGGGAAGAACAAGATCTCCCCACACTGCGTGAGCAAGTGAAATGGTCGAACGGACGCACCAGAGTGCTTCTGCCTGGGTCCAGTCAGCAATATCTCCCTCTGCAAATGGCCAAAAAATGGCGATGTCGTGGCCTGCGGCAACGGCTTCATCGAGCTGAGCACCGACGAGGTAGTCGGTCACCTTGGCAGTAGAAGGCGACTTGGAAGTGGAAGGGCCAGGCTGGGGCCCGGAAGGTTCGGGTGCACCATTCTCTGCATCTGGTGCTGTTGAGCGGAGTCCTACTCGGGCGGAAATTTCCTGCAGAACGGACGTGGTAGTTGAATTTGGACGCAGCGTAAAGAGCAGACAGTGGGGGACTTACGACCGTGGGGGGACGAAGGAGGTCGAAAATGCCAATGCCTGCGCGGATGATTGTCCTGCCAGTGTCGAGGACGACGACGACGGGGTCGCGGAAGGTGCTCATGATCTGTGTTGTTGCAGCTCGCTCGGTGGCGGAAGAAGGTAAGAGCGCTTACGTAAAGCGTGTGACGAGACGCGTCGCGTCGCAACTCGTACCACACTCGGGGTACTCGCTACTGGCACTAGTAGTCTTGCCAGTACTCACTAGTAATACTGACTACTACTCACTCCTGGCCGTATGTCGTATTCCCCTCTCGACATTCCTCTGTCGGGAAAAGAGCATTTCACAGACTACTCTCGCTGGAGGCTACGCGTCTCCGAGGACGGCCGTCACACCTGGCACTACCTCCACACCGACGATGAACTCCAAGCCTGGCCCCAGTCCGACATCGACAAGTACTGGCTCGGGCTCCCTCTCGACCTACCCGCCCTCCCTCGAGCACAGGATGCCCTCTCCGCCGCACGCAATGGCTACACGTTCTACAAACACCTCCAAGCAGAAGACGGCCACTGGCCTGGTGAATACGGCGGGCCCATGTTCCTCCTCTCTGGCCTTGTTATAGGCTCATACGTTACTGGCATGGGCTTCAAACTCGAAGAACGCCTCGAAATGATCCGCTACCTCTTGAACCGTGCTCACCCCGAAGATGGCGGCTGGGGCTTGTGCGTTGGCAGCCGTTCGTGTCCGTACTTAGTCTCATAACCACGTAGACACGTCGAGGGCCAGTCCACCGTCTTTGGGACCGCCCTCAATTACTGCGTTATGCGCATCCTGGGCGTGTCGGCCGACCATCCGGCCCTTGTCAAGGCACGCGGCACACTCCATAGACTCGGTGGTGCGACTGGCATACCGTCCTGGGGAAAGTTCTGGCTATCTATCTTGAACGTATACGATTGGGCCGGCAACAACCCCATAACCCCCGAGTTATGGTGAGACTAAATGTCACGCCGTCTGCTCATTCTTACTTTCTAAACGCCATTCGCCAGGCTGTTCCCAGAGTGGCTTCCGTTTCATCCACATAGGTGGTGGATACACACCCGGGCAGTCTACCTTCCCATGGGCTATCTCTTCGGCATCCGGTACAAGATGCAGGAGAACGACCTGATCCGCTCACTCCGACAGGTAAGAATGGCGTATATGCGCGCATCAGTGAACTCAGTATAAATTAGGAATTATACCCACAAGACTACTACTCCATCGACTGGCCGGCACAGCGCAACAACGTAGCCAAAGTAGACCTGTACTCGCCGCACAGCCGGGTCTTCGACTTGCTCTACGGCATCTTGAACGTCTACGAAAGCTGCGCCATACCTCCCGTGCGCCGCGCCGCGCTCGACCGGTGCTACGACCTCATCGTTCAGGAGGACGAAAATACGGGGTACCAGACGCTCGGCCCTGTCTCCAAGATGATGAACCTCATCGTCCGCGCGCTCGTCGACGGCCCGCAGAGCGACGCGTTCAAGCTGCACATGGAGAAGCGGCAGGACTTCATGTGGATCGGCGCAGAGGGGATGATGATGTCCGGCACGAATGGCAGCCAGCTCTGGGACATAGGCTTCATCACCCAGGCGCTCGTCGAGACGGGTTTGGCCGCGGAGGAAGAGAACACGGAGAGCTTGGTCCGTGCCCTGCATTGGCTCGACCAGTGTCAGATTAAGGATAACCCCAAACATTTCCGCACGTCGTATCGCCATGCGACGAAAGGTGCTTTCCCGTTCAGCACACCGACACAGGGCTACACAGTCAGTGACTGCACAGGAGAAGGCCTCAAGGCGGTTTTGTACATCCAAGAGCATGTCCCGTAAGCTTTCGTCCTCCCGCTCGTTTTCAGTGGACATACCTCCTCTTAGTTCCAGTCCGAAACTGGTATCGGAGCGTCGCATCTGCGACGCGGTGGACATCCTCCTTGGCATGCAAAACAGCGACGGCGGCTTCGCGAGCTACGAACTTATTAGAGGGCCCCATTTGTTAGAACTGCTGAACCCATCCGAAGTCTTTGGTCCGTTTATACTTTCCGTTGCCCTGCGCCATAGCTCACATATATATAAAGGGGACGTCATGATCGAACACAGCTATCCTGAATGTACCACATCCGTGATCACAGCACTGTCCATATTCAAGAAATACTACCCCACCTACCGGGTGACTGAGATCCAGTACGCCGCCTCCCTACCCACTCTCGCACTCACTGATTCGCCAAAATAGACGCGTCGTGCATCGCGCCTTGGACTACCTGCACAGGACACAGAAACCCGAAGGCGGGTGGGTCGGCTCGTGGGGTATCTGTTTCACCTACGCGACGCAATTTGCATTGGAAAGCCTCTCACTCGTCGGGGAGACGTACGACACGAGCGCATCCGCACGCCGCGCCTGCGAGTTCCTGCTCAGCAAGCAGCGAGCGGACGGCGGCTGGGGCGAGAGCTACAAGGTGCGTTCCGAACCGCGAGCCCTTACAAGCGCCCGCTAACGTCTGCCATGAGCAGTCATGCGGGCAGAGCATCTGGGTGGAGCATGAGCAAACACAGGTGGTGCAGACCTGCTGGGCGGCCATGGCGCTCATGTACGCGCGCTATCCGGATCCGGAGCCCATCAAGAGGGCGGTGCGACTGGTCATGTCTCGCCAGAATCCTGTGAGTCCTACGGAGTTTCACAATCTTGAACACGCCTGACGTCCTGCGCTCCGTCCAGGATGGCTCGTGGCCGCAGGAGGCGATCGAAGGGATTTTCAACAAGAGCGTCACCATTGCATACCCGAACTTCAAGTTTTCGTTCACAATCTGGATGCTGGGGCGTGCGCATCAGTATCTCAAGGAGCTGGAGGTTTCGCAAAAGGCCAAGGTGGAGGCCATCTAGGTTCACAAAAGTACTCTACACTGTACAGTCACTCTCGTGCCGTCTCAGGTGATCTCTATACTTGCGTGTTACATATACCTTTCTTCTTACTCTACAGTTTTTTCGGTAAACCTTGACGAGCACTTTCATTGTTCTGGCGTGACCTCTTTGCTTGCGAACGCCCGGATCTTGTCAAAATTCTCGTCGACGTGGTGCAGAATGCCTTTAAGGATACACGGACCGCCGCTCCCTCCATTGTCATTTTCCTGCCACAAATTCTTACTCCCCTCTGATAAAGCCTGTTGAATAATGGAGGTCGTACTCGGCAAGTACTCGGCATAGAGGCAAGGGAGAGTTCTCTAGCGCTCCACGCGGAAGGCCGACGGCTGTAGTACGGGCTCAGGAGTCGGATATTCTTGAAACAGATCCTCATGGACATCCTGATGGGGAAGACTCACGCGATGAATCATTGCGACACCAAATTGGACGTGAAATTTCACACAGAAGTAGCCCAGCGAATAGTAGACCAGACATATCATGCGTCCAATGTTCGCGTTGGGATACGGTATGAATACAGACAGGACGATGCAAATGGTACCAGACTTTGCGGATAGCCCATTTTCTATAAGTCCAAGAGTTCGAGTCCCATAGAGATGCGACCACTACAGCTATGGCTCGTTCAGAAACAGCTCGTTCAGCAAGCGCATGGTGTCTTCCGGGCTGGATACAGAATGACCAATCGTACGCGGATCTGAATAGAGTTCATAGTCGTTGCCGCCCTGGGAAATCGACAGATGAGTATCAACGTCCGCGCATTGCCACACCGACTGTGCATACCTTGTACGTCTTGTCCCCGAAGAAATGGATCTCGTCAAAGGTTTCATCCTGGACATGGCGCAGGCAGAACGTCTTGTCCCACCCGGTCGGGAAGACGTCGAACGATATTTGACCGCCGATTGAGAACGTGAGGCCGTAGTCCGGGAACTTCTCCCGGAGTACCTTGACGAATTCTGCACGGATGCCGTGTTGCTTGATGGACAGAGTTTACTGTCAGCCATAACAATATGACAGGAGAGCTCACCTTGTCGTACGCTTCAAATTCATTCCGTTCCGCGACACTGCAAGATGCGGTCCGTTACCCAAGCGGGACGCAGGAATGTAGGAAGCTCACGTAGCATTTCGTCCAATAGGGCTCACATTGATCATGCCGTTGCGGAACTCGATGAAGGTCCCCCTACCGAGAAGAGAGGATCAGTGCCGAAACATACTGGGGAATAAGACCGCGCACCTCTTGATTGGGATGTCCAAGTCCGCGATGTAGTGCAGGATGAAGTTAGCGAGTGGTTTGTAGCGCTCTTCGCCAAGAAACTGTATGAAGGACTCGGACGGCAAGAGCTTGCCCAGCTTATAAGCAGTCAGGCCGTTCTCGGCGAATGTGTAGTCGAATTCGTTCACGACTACGGGTGAGATGAGTGAGGAGGCCGGAGACATCGACGACATGGAGTAATACCAGAGGAGCCAGGCACGGAAAGCTGCTCAGCCACCTTGACAAAATCGGAGCCGCCGACGACGCCAATGACGGCCTTTTTGCGGAGAGCACGGAGGAGCTGGACCATCTCTGGAGACACTGTCTAGAGACCGGTTGGCGGGGTGAATGCGCGAAGAATTGTAAACGTACCTGGCGAGCTGGGGTAAGGGTGCCATCCACGTCGAAGAGGATGAGCTTGTTGAGGGGGCGGTCAGCAAACGTCGAGGGCATCGTCGAGGGCGTCGTGGATGGAGGACGAGGCGCGGAGTCCGCGGGTTGCCTTTTCGAGACGCGCGCCAGCACCGTGACCGCGACGCGTACCGCCGCCTGACTGGACGCGCTCTCCCGGCGGCCCCTGCAGCTCTGCCAGGATCTTCCTCATCTTCAGTCCACAGCCCCATGCACAGGCCCATCTCGTTCTCATAGCATCTTCATGACAGTCACCGTACCTAACTCCTTCATCTGATGATGAAGGGAAGTCCGAGAGCGTCAACTGTGCATGACGCTGTCATCTTGGCGCACACACTGCTCAGGTGCCCAGCTGCTCCATGGCGACTACTAATCGAACCTTAAGTTGGCACGTCTGAGGCCTCCATCTCCGCGATGACATGCACGCCCTACGTCGAATACCGTCAATTCAGCTGCGCTGTGATTCATTCAGTCGCGCTGTCCTTTCAGCTAATATTATCTCCGGCATCGCCCACACGAATTCAATGTTGGAGCCACTTGAAAGCGCGTTCAATATTAGGCACTGCCAGGCTGTCTTTACGCAGTAGTATATGTACGTTTGGTACTTGTCGTTGTCCACCCCAGCTCCTTCGGAATACTCAGCAAGTGCCATGTCTGCCTCCCCGCTTGTGCCTACCATCAACCTCAACCCATCCATGGGGGCGGTATCCGTCGGCGTTCTATGCGCCGCTATGTAAGCAACTAACTATACTACCGACAAGCAGTGTTAACCATGTCTATTAACGGTCCACATCAGATTCCAAGGAATCACCACCATGCAGACACTATTCTACGTACGATTTCGTGCGTTGGTACCAAGGACACTCTTACCGATCATCGATTATTTCTAGTACACAACATATCCGAGAGATCCCGCGTTCCTCAAGGCTCTGGTGAGAATTCCCTTGATCATATTGCCTTCATTCGTTGACCGTCATAAAGGTAGCTGTCCTGTGGTACTTGCAATTGCTACGCAGGCTTGTGACCATATGTCTGAATCTGATGTTCAGGATCCTCGATGCACTATCGTTGGCAATGCTATCGTATACACTCTACATATATCTCGTACTTGATTTTATGAATCCCTCCGCACTGGAGACGTTCAATTGGTATGTTCACAAGTATTACACTAGATACCTCTAAATTGTGTGGCAGGGGCATGACTGTGCGTATATCTCTACGACCGTATTAAGTACTCTCGCTGAGGACTGCCTGAAGACGGAACCGATACTTGCTGTGAGTATTGATGTCTTGATCTTGTGAACCACTCTAAATTTTAATCCATCAGAATATCATAGCTTGTGCTGTGCATCTGTAAGCTGCTGCGGTAATTCCAGTTTTGATTGTAACTTGACTCGACTTGTCCCTTAGGTTCCTGACACACCGGATCTGGATGTGTCAGTGTAGTTCATGGTTGCAACGTTCTGACTACTGACCTTGGGCCACAGTAAACAAGAGGCTTGCGCCGCTTGCCATAATTCTTGTGAATGTCTTTCTAGAACTCCTCATTACCGTGATTGACTCCTTCTCTAGGTAATAATTTCATTGGTAACAACTGGTGTGTCCATCTAGAACTTGATTGCATCGAGGAGATTTTCATGATTTGTGACCTTCAGGGTTTGGCTTTGGTAAGGTGCCTCAGACCTGCTCATAGCTCTCCGACTCATGATTCATTTGCAGTGGGTGTATACGACGTGTAAGCTTCCGTTTTGTCTGAGCTATCATGACCTTTCGTAACGGTTCACAGAGTCGGAGCCAGTAGATCCAGTTCGAATGCTAACGTGAGTGTAAAGTTCTTACAGGTGTCATGTGGCTTACTTATCGGTGCAGTGGGTTCCAAGAGCATGGGTTCCGACGACTATTCTGTCTTTGACGACTGCCCTTGATCTAGTCATCACCTTTACGATGTGCCTGGAATTGTACAAAAGCCGTACTGGGTTCAAGAGGTCAGTTTTTTTTGGCGCAGCTATCCGAGTTGCTTCATGACTGTTGTCGTGCTCAGATCAGACAAGATGATCACCCTGTTAACAGCTTATACTATAAGCAGTGGTATGCTACCAGCGTAAGTAGCACGTTTTCAGGCCGCATCATACTCGCTCATCCAATACATCAGGCTGATGAGCATAGGCTCTCTAGTTTCGGTATGTGTGTGTAATTTACACTGCTGGGACCTTGTCGCCCGAGCAAAAATTATTTTCAGGAATTAGTCGCTCCTCAGACGCTCGCTACCGAAGCATTTAACGCCGTCATATCCAAAGGTAAGGATGCCTGCATTACCTCCGGAAACGTGTCTAATGTCACACCCACCAGCTTACATCAATGGCCTTCTCGCTACGTCAGTTTTTATGATTTACAGCTCCGCCGAGTCGCTAATATTGTCCCATCAGATTAAACAGCAGGCAGTCTGTTGCCAGCCAGACTGGTGGATTCGAGCACCATCTGCCAGACAGCCAGCTCATATCGACGGTGCAGTTCAGGGCTGCTGGGACGACCACCCACGGTAATTCGACAGGCTCAACACCTTTCGAGTTGTCAGATGTAAGTCTCCAGACCAAATCTTAGCGAGCATGGTTTTTGACCGGTTCAAATTGAAGAAAAAAGCCACGGAGCCTGTCCTGATCAACGGACCTCAGGATTACTCTCCTTCGGACCAGGGCGTCTGAGCAGCAGCTTGAAGCTGTATATCGTGGTGTTCATTCTCTGTCTTGATTCTATGGCGTTCAGGCTAGTACTCTCCATTGCTGTCGATCGATTATCCAGACGTCTGCTTACTCGTCATTATTTACAATATGTACTGCATACGCGGTGCGGGCACATGCAAGTAATCATTTTATATCTTAACTGGAGGGGCAGCTGCAAATTATCGCCAGCTCACGGATTGACTATATTGACTGCGGGCAAAGCCATGCCCATCACTGCAATTCAGGTAACACATATGCGCGCGGCAATTCGACAGAGTCCGAACCAAGTTTGAACCAATTCAGACTACTCTTTCCCTGCCGAAGAAGCATGATATTAAATAAAGTCTTGCCCGAGTACACGCAGGGACATAGTAGCAGTGGCAAGCACGACGGTACGCAGTGAGCCTCCGCCTGGTCATCGGCCACCAGGTGCTTTGAGCCGTGCTTCAGCAGCTCTCGCTCTCCGCTCCCTCTCCACCTTTGCCCTCATCTCCAGCGTCAGTCCGGCAATTCCCTCCGCCGCGCCTGCACCTCCACCCAGCCTCCTCGGTCCATTCGTCGCTTCAACCGGTCGGACCACCCTTTCTTTGACCTCCTCCACCACCGGACTAGGAGCGCGTTTCTCCCGCTCTTTCTCCTTCGCTTCACGCTCCTTGACGCGGTCCTTGAGCCCCTTCCGGCGAGCCTTCTTCTTCTCGTCGCGGCCCTCCTCCATCTCCGCACTGAGCACGCTCGGCACTCGGGCGCCGCGCTCGATTCCGAGCCAGTCCCACCAGTCCGGATGCGTGGCCGCACAACGCCGGAAGACGTCGCGCACGCCGCGCGTGTGTGCAAGGTCGTACGCGGCGCGGCGCGTGCCGCGGGGGAGCGCAGGCGCGTCAGACGCGTCGGACGCGTCCTCGGCACCATCGTCGTCCGCGCCTCGCCCCGCTGGGACGTCGCGTGTGGGGTCCGCACGGAGGTCTTCGAGCAGCCATCGCGCGACGTCCGCCTGACCCGCGTGCGCGGCGACCTGGAGCAGCGTCCCGCCCTTCTCGCCGGTCCAGTCGGGGACTGACGCGTCAGCACCGCCGAGCGCGGGTCCCTCGCGCGCCCAGAAGGCCTTGAGCGCATCGAGGCGGCCGCGGGAGACCATGTCGAGCAGACGCGTCCATTTTTCGCGAAGGGCCTCCTCTTCGCGGGTGAGCTGTGGGGGCTTCTCGGCTGGCTTTTCGGGCTGCAGCAGGGGTATTGGAGCAGGCGCCTTGGGGCGAAGCTTGGCGAGAGAGGCGAGGTAGGCTTCGTCTTGCGCGCGTAGAGCGTCTTCTGTTAGGTGGGAGACCTTGAGGCGGGTTAGTTCGAGCAGGCACCGGGAGAGCTCTGCCTGCGTCTGCGTATAAGTGTCAGTTGGAGTATGCGCGAGAAGTCAAAAGTGGATACTGACTGGGCGACGCGTTGGGAAGGGAAAAGTACGTAGACGATCATCACCTGGAAGGCGGATGTGTCAGACCGGTAAGTTCACAGACAAGAATCTGACACGTACCTTTATGGATGACTGCGCCGTCATAATCAAGAAATATACGCCTATTGGACACGCTCGCACGTATCCAGATACGCTCACAGTTCTCTATGTCTTCAGCCCAGTCCTGGAGCAAGTTGCGAATATCCTGCGTATGTGTGAATCGACTGTTTCTCTCTGCACTCACGGTGGCGGAGACTTACATCGCGGAGAGCCTGCTCGCCGTATCGCCGGAGCATAGCGCCGGCGCTGACAGCCTTGCTTTTCGCGTTATCGTTGATGGATTGGGAGCCGCCCTGTTTCCGCCGAGCTGCCAACAGCATCAGTATCAGTGCGCCGCGACATAACGTAAGACCCACTGGTATAGCGGTGAAAAGTCTTGTGCTTGAGCACCTCGACGTCAGGTTTCGGTCTGCGGGGCTTACCCCTCTTTGTGACGGCCAGATCGTTTTCCTCGCCATCGGGGCCTTTGACGCGCACGATCGCGCCGGCGAAGTGGCCTCCCGCGGTCATGAACATAGCCCAGGTGCGACCTTCCTCGCCGCCAGACTGCATTTGCTTGAGCTCCGCGAGGTACTCGGACGGTGGGGTGGAAGTTGGAAGGAGGGCCTTGTAGACGCCGATCTGTGTTGCTGGTGGGGAGTGGAACCATGCGAGGGGCGTTTGGGGGCCGGAGGGCGCGTTGGAGGAGGGGGATGGGGAGCGGGCGAGTTTGCGGGTTTTGTGGACGAGGGCGGCGATGGCATCTGAAGCATCGGAGTCATCCTCTGAAGACGAAGAGGAAGCAGAGCCAGATATGGAGTCCTCTAGACCTGGGGGAAAGTCAGGATGGATGGCCGGTAAAGTGAAACGGGAACGCACCATCGACGAGCTGAGAGAACTGGACTTCGGAGACGGGACTGGCGCCGTGGAGTCTGATTTTGACGTTGTATCTGTGCCAGTCTGAGCGATAGTGGGAGCGCTGCTCGTCGACGTCGGGAAAGGATGCACCGAGGCAGACGTTGCAGGTGCGTGCGGTGGTCGCGGCGGGTGCAGCGGGTACGGGAGAGCCGGACTTTGATCTGGGTGGCGATGAGGGCTGGTTGAAGACGTTGCGGGGAACGAGGGTCTCGAGGATGTCTTTGCGGAGAGAGAAGACGTGGAACTGGAACGGAGCGGACATGGCGAGTAGTAAGTACAGAAGGTGGGTGTATGCGCTTCAGGTATAACAATAATTTTGGCGTATGAAAAGAGGCTACAGGGCGATGACTCGGGATGCTACAGAAGAGCCAGGATGAGTAAGTAAGTACTATCACTGACTACGCGAGTCACTCTTACCCCGACTGACTTGGACGGTTGGCGACCGCGGCGTGAGGCGCTCTGGGCAAGCGCCGGGCCAAACACGACCAAGCGCGTCCGTGGCGTATTACGCGAGACGCGTTCTCTCCAACTTATTCCTTCGCGTCTCCTCCTCCCATGGCGACCCCCTCACCTTCTTCCAAAGAAAACGTACCTCTGGCTCGGTAAGTCGTGTCCTTTTCTCTGCGGCATTCTCTGTCTCACGCCTCTATAGCACCGCGACAGAGACTTTCAAGCTGGACCCTGCCTCCCAGCCTAACCCAAAGCGAAGAAAACTCGGCCAAGCTTCCTTCTCTGCCTCCCAACCAGAACGGTCCTCCTTTGCTGACGTCCTCGAGCGTCTGCACGAGGAAGCTCAGGGTGCCCAAGGTGAGCTCTCCACGTTTTCCATGCAAGGAACGCGACGCCTGCCATATGAGGCTTCTCCGAAGGGCATGTTCTGATAACTGTCGCTTGATGCTGATACATCGTCGGTGTAGATGCCGAGGGTGGCGCTGACTCCTGGGCAAGACCACCTCTTCCACACATAGACCCAGAGGACGATTCCATCTGTAAGCTCATCTCATCGTTCCTTCAAATCCTGCCACAATATCTCTTCTAGTATTCCAACAGATCGACATCGAGGACTCGGTAGAGTATAATGGTTCTCTCGGTATCAGGATGTTTGGTGTCACAGAGGTACACCATCCCTCCCTGTTTCTGCCGCCGTTCTGACAATGCTCTTCGAAGGCGGGCCACAGCGTGCTGGCTTATGTCACCGATTTTCTTCCCTACTTCTACATTGCGTGCCCCCGTGGTTTCGGGAGTGATGATCTTTCCGCTTTCTTCATTCATCTCAATGTGAGTTTCGTGTCGGGTATTTGTCAGTCATCATCTAAAATAGGCGACAGGGCCTTGGACATGGAGTCATCAAAAACCTTGAGTTAAAGAATAAACAGAGTCTCATGAATTACAGAGGTGAAGATGTTGTCCCCTTCATCAAGATCACACTCGCAGACCAGCGAGCTCTACCCAAAATCAGAGATAAGTACATGCATTGTATCCGGCATCGTCGCACGTTGACGTTGTTTTTGTGATTACGCATGTTTGAGAGAGGAGAGTGCCATTTCCGCGAGTTCTTCGGTGGGGAAACCGCCACATTCGAAAGCAACATCGCCTATACTCTCCGGTTCATGATCGACAAAAAGGTGAGCATATACTGTTCGTAACTGTAAGTCTCTCATTCACAGTTCTCAAGGTGGTCGGCATGAATTGGATTGAGATCCCGGCCGGAAAATACAACCTCATTACCGAGGGGAAGCGTTCCCATTGCCAGATAGAGCTCAGCGTTCAGTATGCAACTCATACTTATCGGGGTAAATTTTTTCTGAACATTCTACCAGTACTGACAAGATGAAGTCGCATCCCGCGGACGGAGAATGGTCGAAGATCGCACCGTTGCGCATCCTGAGTTTCGATATTGAGTGCGCGGGACGCAAGGGCATATTCCCTGAACCAAACATCGACCCCGTCATCCAGATCGCGAACATGGTGACTCGCCAAGGTACCTTTTCGTCGTATCTCCTAAACTCGTTTCCTGACGCGGCACACAGGCGAGAGTAAGCCGTTCATCCGCAACGTGTTCACGCTCAACACCTGTGCGCACATCGTTGGGTCCCAGGTGCTGTCATTCGACGACGAAGCGAAGATGCTGGAGGCGTGGCGGGACTTTGTCGAGCAGGCCGACCCGGACGTCGTCATTGGGTACAACATCTCCAACTTCGACTTGCCATATCTCATCGACCGCGCCAAAGCTGTGAAAGCACAGAAACTGCCTCTCCTCGGCCGGATTTGCGGTACGCTCCGCTCTCACTCGACTTTACCTCCCAAATTAACGTGCCTGCAGGCGCGAAGGCGCAGACGAAGGATACACACTTCTCGTCGCGCGCGTTTGGGCAGCGCGACTCGAAGGAGACGGCTCTCGACGGGCGGCTGCAGGTCGACATCCTGCAGTACATGCAGCGCGAGCACAAGCTGCGCAGTTACACGCTCAACTCGGTCTGCGCGCAGTTCCTTGGCGAGCAGAAGGAGGACGTGCACCACTCTGTCATTACGGAGCTCCAAAACGGCACGCCCGAGTCCCGCCGGCGTCTCGCGGTGTACTGTCTCAAGGCGCGTCGCGCGCACATCGTACTCTGGGAAGCTTCTGACGCTAACCTACTGTGCTGTGTAGGACGCGTATCTGCCGCAGCGGCTGATGGACAAGCTCATGTGCTTCATTAACTACACCGAGATGGCGAGGGTGACGGGCGTTCCGTTTAATTACCTCCTCTCGCGCGGGCAGTCTATCAAAGTGCTCTCACAGCTGTTCCGCAAGGCTAATGAGGTGGGCTATGTCGTCCCCTCGCTCAAGGGCGAAGGTAGGCTTTCGTGCAGTACTGTCGGTGACCCGTCTGACATGTGCGGTCGAAGGAACGGACGAGGCGTACGAGGGCGCGACCGTCATCGAGCCGAAGAAGGGGTACTACGACGTCCCGATCGCGACGCTCGACTTCAGCTCGCTGTACCCCTCTATCATGATGGCGCACAACCTGTGCTATACGACGCTGCTCAGCAAGGGGGCGATCGAGCGGCTCGGCCTCGTGAAGGACCGGGATTATATCCAGACGCCAAACAACGGTACGCCGCCTCTCGCCTCTTCACAGATGCGTGAAACCTGACTTTCGACCCTTCCGCCGCAGACTTCTTCGTGACCTCGATCAAGCGGAAGGGCCTCTTGCCGACGATCCTCGAGGACCTCATAGCGGCGCGCAAGCGCGCGAAGGCAGACCTGAAGAAGGAGACCGACCCATTCAAGCGTGCGGTGCTCGATGGCCGGCAGCTCGCCCTGAAGATCAGCGCGAACTCAGTGTACGGCTTCACCGGCGCGACAATTGGGAAGTTGCCTTGCCTTCCGATCTCGTCGAGCGTCACGGCGTATGGGCGGCAGATGATCGAGAAGACGAAGCAGGCGAGTCGCTTTTGCCGCATCTGGTCATGGCGATGGGTGCTGATCGTTAGTCGTGCAGGAGGTGGAGGCGGAGTACTGTGTTGCGAATGGGCATTCGCATGACGCGCAGGTCATCTATGGTGATACCGATTCGGTCATGGTAAAGTTTGGACCCACAGACCTCCCGACTGTCATGGCACTTGGTGGGTACACGCCCTTTACGGCGGCACTCATACTGATGCTCTAGCTGTTGCATACAGGGAGCCAGGCAGCGGACTTCGTGACCGCAAAGTTCGTGAAGCCGATCAAGCTCGAGTTCGAGAAGGTGTATTTCCCGTACCTGCTCATTAGCAAGAAGCGCTACGCCGGTTTGTACTGGACGCGCCCAGAGAAGTACGACAAGATGGACACCAAGGGTATCGAGGTGCGCGATTTCGTGCAGTCCGTTGGAAATCAACCCTAGACTCAGCTCACTGTGATGGCAGACCGTGCGGCGGGATAATTGCCGCCTAGTGTCGACTGTCATCTCGACTTGCCTCCACAAGATGTTGATCAACCGCGACGTGAAGGGTGCAGAAGAGTGAGTGTGGTTATGTTCGGTTACGGCGGCAGTGCTTACAAGTCATACAGCTATGCGAAGCAGATTATTTCTGACCTCCTGCAGAATAGGGTGGATATGTCGCAATTGGTGATTACGAAAGCGTTGGCGAAGACTGGTGAGTAGCTCGTTTGCTTGACCGAATATTCGTTGGAAATGGCTAATCGTTCCCCTCAGATTACGCGGGGAAGCAAGCTCACGTAGAGCTGGCGGAACGGATGAAACAGCGCGATGCTGGTGCGTCGTGCGAGTGTTGCAATAATTCGTGGATGGAGCGTTTATTTGCCCTCATAGGATCTGCTCCTGCTCTCGGTGATCGTGTAGCGTATGTCATCATCAAGGGTGTAAAAGGTCGGTGCATTCGTCTGTAGTTGCTGCCTAGCTGACACGATCGCTCCAGGCGCTGCGGCATATGAAAAGTCGGAGGATCCAATTTACGTCCTGGAGAATAACATCCCTATTGACACAAAATACTATCTCGAAAATCAACTTTCGAATCCACTCATGCGGATTTTCGAGCCCATTCTGGGCGAGAAGGCCTCTTCCTTGCGTAAGTATCTTATCTATTATGCAGAAAATTGCAGGTCTGATGTACGTTGCTGCAGTATCTGGCGATCACACGAGAACAATACAGATCGCGACGCCTACGGTGGGCGGCTTGATGAAGTTCGCAGTGAAGACGGTCACCTGCCTCGGATGCAAGACACCCCTGCGGGCAAACAATAGCATGAAAAGTGAGTATTGTCCGCCGTTCTGTGATTGCCGTTGACACAATAGCATTGTAGATGGTGCTGTGTGCCACAATTGCCGGCCAAAGCTAGGTGAACTGTTCCAAAAGCAGGTGAGGAATTCTGATGGGCCTCATGCCTTTGTGTCGTCTCATATATCTTGCTAGGTGTCGACAGCGTCTGAGCTGCAAATCCGGTTCTCGCGCCTGTGGACGCAATGTCAACGGTGCCAAGGTTCCTTGCATCAGGACGTGCTCTGTACAAGTAAAGACTGCCCGATCTTCTATATGAGAAAGAAAGCACAGAAGGATGTTGAGGACGCGAATGCGGTCCTGGAGCGTTTCGATCACGAAGCGTGGTAGTGCATTCTACCCTCGGACGTTGGGCATGTAAGTTATACCACCATCATGTATACTGTAGATACCACTTTAGCCGCTTTGGTTCTGCTTTCCTCGTATATGCACGCAATACTTCAGCAATAGCTTGTAACAGAATCATAATTCTCGTCGCTCTAGAGCGATGGTTACGAGCAAATTATGCTGCACCGAGTAGTGAACTAAATAACGCATCGATCTGCTCCTCGTGCCAGTCTCCGTGAGCAACTGGGACGGGTACCATATAGTTCTGCAATTTAGCGTGTACTTCATACCGCAGTTTTCTGCCCTTGCTGGCCTTGGTGTCGATGCGCATCTTCCGACGCGCTTTGCCCTCCCGCTGCTGCGCCATCCAGTCCTGTTCCACCCCGTTATCGTTACCGCCGCGCGCTCGGATGACGTCGCGCAGGAGCTGCTGGTAGAAGTCGGTGTCATCGAATATCTCAGCGTCTTCATCGTCCTGGGGACCGTCGGCGTCATCCATTTCCGTTGGGGCCGCACCCAACCGCTGGTTCTTGCCCCGCGGCGTTCTCGTCCGGCTGAGCAGCTTGCCCCCGTCGTTGCGGAGGGTATCGTCGATGACGGACACCACGCCGGCCTTGCCCTTGTCGTCTTTGTTGAACGCGTTCCGATTGCCGAGTAGGACGTTGGGCGCAACAGCTTGCACCTTGGCGGACCACTTTCCAAGAGTGGTCACGACATGAGAGTGGTACGCCGCTTCCAGGGCCGACGCCGCTTCGGATAGGTCTGCGAAGCGGTCAGAGTATTCCTCGGGCGTGGTGTGGTCGTGCCCCGTCTTCTGCCGCTTACGCGGGGGGGCATGTATCGATTCGTTGGATTCTAGAAGACCCTGTGATACGGGGACTTCATATCAGTGTGCAGCCGGTGCAACGGGGACGTACCTCTTGGAGCTTAAACAAGTCTTCGGAGAGCACGGCGGCTTCTTCCAGCATGCTGTCAAGCGCCTCGCGGGCAGATGGATGGCGGACAAAATCCGATAAATGGGCAGCCTGATCGATGGTGGTGAATCAATTCTGGCAGCAGCGAACCGATGGTAAAAGTGTGTACGCACGGTGGGTAATCTATTAGTGGCACTCACGGCCTTTTGCAGTTGTATGCGCGCATCCAGGAGGGCATCCCACAGAACCTAATGCGGGGGGGTGAATGGATGACTGGGAAGACACGAGACCACGCAGAGAAATTACGAACAAGCTGGCGCGCAACGGCCTTGCCTTTCTTGAGATCGCCCTCGCGCGTTTTGCGTAGAGCTGACGCAAGGTCCCCGATCTCTTGAGACTCATGTACCGGCTGGGCATAAGACGTGTCCGACTGCGCAGCATCTGGACCGTTGGGAGGGCCCTCATGGCTAGAACTGCCGTCCTGGCCGTCATTCAGTTCTGGTTCCTCTTCCTCTGAGGGAATTTCATTTTGGTCGTCATCCTTACCCGACACCGACTCGTCGGGCAGCTCCTCCTCGTGCTCGCTTTCAGGCTCTTGGTCGAGGTCTTCGTAGAGCTGTTTGCGAGTGGTGCGGATGCCGAGGTACTTGGGGTCAGACACACTCTCTTGGAGTCTGCGAAGCGCAGACGGCCTGGGGTGCTGGGGTTGAGCGTGTCAGCGGGGGTGTCTGGCGGAAGGGCTCACGCGACATCGACATAGTGCTCCCTCGCAGCAGAGTCATCGATAGCCGATAGATCTTCAGGGAGGATGCCTGCGTGGACATCTTCAGGATCAAGGTCTGATTATCGCGTCGCATGAATTGAGTACAAAGTACACGAGGACAGGACCGTACGTACCGAGGGGAGTTGGTTCAGCAAGCTCGGCAAGCTGCTGGGCGAGTGAGAGGCCTGTGGGACGCGGGTTAGACGAGTGTTTGGTGGTGGTAGAGAGAGAGAGAAGGACGTACGCGACATGTTAGACGGTGAGGAGAGAGCAAAGGAATGAGAGGAAGGAGAAAACAAATCTGGAGAAAAAGGGACGGCAGACTGGAGCTAAGGCAAGGTGCGGACATGGCGAGGCGTGTGATCGTGATGGGCACGCGAGCGAGAAAGTCATCGCGTCTCAGCTTCGGTTGCGAACGATCCCGTCTCTTGCCCTCTCCCCTCATCTCCTCTACTCGGCCTCGCTGCCCATCCTGGATTTCCACCCGCTCGCCAGATGTTCATATCCTGTAAATCATGGCCAAAAAATTATCGTTCTCCGGTGCGTCTCTCTTTTTTTTCCTCTTTCTTCCGACATCTTTCGCCGGACTTTCGCCCTCTCATCCGTCACCCAACGTACGATTCCGTGCCTGGTAGTACTCTATCTCCTTTGATCATAATAAACATGAGTCTGAGTCCTCGCGTCTCCCGTGCATGGGTGCACGACCGTCTGCGTTCAGCATGATTATCTTCTGCACGATGGTATTCATTACTTCCTGCAGATCACCCAAAGCAACAGACTCCCCCAATGCCGTCTTCTCATCCCCATATTATAGGCGCCGTCGGAGGCGTGAACTCTCTTCCTCAGGAGGAGGACGACGAGGACGATATATGTCCTGTATGCGAGAGCGAGTGTACTTGCCGGAGCAGGTCTGCTCTCTCACGCCCCGCCAGAAACAGCATCGTATCACCTTCAGTTCCCTCTATCTCTTCTTCCGTCGGCTCGGTCGTGACCCCCCCGCCAGTACCGACCGCTGGCTCGCAGAGCCTCAAGATCAAGCTTACCCTGCCTCCAAATCTCAAGTTCCGCAAGCACCACACTGCGGACCACTCCGATCTCGGCGGTACTCACACGTCCTTCGCTCCCGAGCCATCAGATGCTGCGCTAGCCACCAACAGTCACACCGCGTCTCAAAACGCAGCGCGCGGTATGCAGGATACTGCTGTCAAACGCCGGTGCCGTCCCCCCAAGCGCGTCGTTGCTGCCCGGGGAGCAGCCAAGGCAGCGTTGCCTGCGTCTCAGGGCGTGACCGACAGCGGTATCGTCACGTACGTCAATGGCGGACAGGCTTATTCGCAACCCGCAGGTGGAAGTGTAGCTCCCGCGCATGGCAGTGCGACCGCCAGGTACAACCCTGTCAAGAGAAAAGCAGTCTCTGGAGCGAACAACAAGAAATCCAAGGGCAAAACCACAACCGGGAGGCTCCCTACCTCTGCTAACGTCCGGAAAAACCTGGTTGTGCCGCCGAAGAATTACAGCGATGACGGCTTCCCAACATTCATTTCAGCAGAGTCCACGTCCCTGCAAACGACCTCGTCTGAGTCGTCCGCCTCTGACTCAGAGTTGTCGTCATTAGACTCCGAGATAGAGTCGGAGACCCACTTCCTGATGCGCGAGGAGAATGCGAGGGCGCAACCCAGACAGCTGCTGGGTAACGATGGGCCACAGAAAAGACGCGAGCATGTTAATGGTAATGCCTGGGAGATACGTCCCAGGAAGAAGAGCGTGAGTGCGGATGAGGACGACGCAGACATGGACACCGGTGAAAGCAGCGACGACGAAGATGACAGTGCCGGTGAAGACATCAACGATGATGATGACGACGACGACGAAAATGTCGAGGCAGACATAGAGGGAGAAGGGCTAGTGCAAGATGCGGACGAAAATGACGGCAGGCTTGGCGTCAGCTTCCGCGGTGTAGGCTGGAGTGACGACGAGGACGAGGAGTCTTCGTTTGACGCGGACCTGTTTTTCGCGAATCTTGACGGTTCTTCGGATTCCGACTCACCCTCACCTGCACAGCACGATGACAATGCTTCTGATACTGCTTCGGACGTCGATTTGGGAAGCTCCTTGTCCGTCGACGAAGAAGACGCACTGCGGCTGATGGACATTGACCCTACAGTCAGCTTCCGTCGCTCGAATGGCGAGTTCGAGTTTGGGCTTGGGCTCGACAACTTGTCGTTCGGTTGGGATGGCCAGGTTCTTTTCACGAACAGCCGACCGCAGAGCGCCATGGATATTGGCTTCGGGGTAGGGCCTCCAGATGGAGACGTGGAGATGCTCCCTCTAGTGGAAAACTCTCGCCGGTATGACGAGGACGAGTCCACAACCGCGGACAAGATACTTCTCGAGGAGTCCGACGGAGAAACGACCGAAGATGAGCTCGTGGATTCTGACGGTTTGCCGAATCCTCGTGCTATGATGCTTTTCCGCTGGCCAAGCACGGTCTCCGCCATCGATCCTCTGTCCACCTTGGGTCAGACTCCTAGTACGCCTCCGCGTGCACCGCCAAATGCTTCCGAGAGCATGCGTATTGCTCTTGCATCGTTCTCCGCTCACCAGAGTTCTCCTGCACCTACGCCTGCAGACATCCTTACGGCCAAGATCTCAATGGACGACTTGGATGAAATTGAGATGGACAAGGGTAGAAAGTCATCGAAGACTGCTAGACGTTCAGCTCCTGTACCGATTATGGGCGAGTTCGTCGCTGCTGCAGAGAATCTCCAAGCTTGTGCCGTCATCGATGGAAAGGGCGGTATCGTTCCGAGTCCTTTCCCCAGATCCAAGCAGTCAAGTCGACGTTGCGATGCGAGGGAGCAGGGGAGCAATGAGCTTGGCCCGGATACAGTGAGTTAAACATGTTTGAAACGTCTTCCAGAACTGACGTGTTTTTCTTCTAGGCCAACGCCCTTGTAGACTCGATACATTCTTCGGTTCATTCCTCTGACGAAAATATGTCGCAGTCCCAGTTGCAGTCGTCAGAACTTTCGTCCACCGACGTCATCGATCTTGACGACGTTCTAGACTCTTCCTTCCTGGACTCGGATGTCGACGACTGTGACTTGCCCCTCGAGCAGTTAACGTCAACGGAAGGTTCGGTCGGTGGGAATCACATACAGAGCCTCAGTCGCTGGGACCGCATCCCGATGGCGACGTTCCGGAGGACTCGCGAGACGGTCGTGGGCTCTGTCATCAACGATGCACCGAGCTCAGACACTGGTCTCGGTGCCTATGGCGGTATGAGCACCATGATCGGCGGTGCCATGCTCACAAATACGAGAGCAAGTGACAAGAAGTCGCCGACGTCATGTTCGTCCCGGAAGCGCTCGAAAGCCAAGGGGACGAACGGAGCAATGCTGCCCCCCTTCCCCTTCCCTCTCAGCCGCGATGGTGACAGGACTCCAACGTCCTCAAGTCCGCGCATGTCGCATTCGTCGCTCAACCATACGCACAGCAACAAGACGAAGAAGGAGCTGAGGCGGGAGAAGGCCATGCTCAAGCGGAAGATGATGAGCAAACCGCTACCGCCTCGCCAGCAGCATCTGTATCGCGCACACCATGCCAATTACAAATCTCGTTCGTCGAGCTCAATGCAACGCACTGGACATTTCGCCGGTTCAAACACATCGCCCTGCAGCGTGTAAAAATCAGTCGTGACGCATAAGTATTTGTTTCGTCGATGTTCTCCTTATCCGCAATATCGTGGTGTTTACTCGTTGTATTTCTGCCGCATGACCCACCATTTTTTTTATAACCGTCACTCGTTACAGTCGAAGTCTTTCCTGGTGTCCACCAATTGCCCCTTCGCATTTCTTGTCTCACCACCAATATTTGTTAATTTCCTCACTGTGTTCCCGAACTTGCTACGCCTCATGGCTATCGATTGCAAAGCTGTATGTACCTGCATTACTGACGAATATTGATGACCGTTTTTTGAACGTTTGCATCGTGAGGTGGTCGAGATGCCCGATCGCGAGGTACGCGCGCGCGTGACGGACAGAACTGCGGTGGCTGGGCGCTCACGACCAACGTCCGACTCCACTGTCCACTGTTCACCGTCCGTGAGTTCACGCTCCCCGCACCCCCTGACCGGTTTCTACTACGTGCTATACAGCGTCGTGTCGTAATGGAGCCGTTCGAAGACGAGAACCCTTTTGAGATCGAGCCGGACCGAATACACTCAGACTCATCCTCCACTTCAAAAGTTACCCTGTCCGAGCCTTCGTCACCGTCTCCCGCTCCAGCTCGCGTGCTAGCTTCCCCTCCGACATCACCGTCGCCAGAGAAGCGTCCCACGTTTCCTTCGTCGGGGTCTCACAGGCAGCCGCAGGCGTTCAAGAGCGATTTCTGTTGCATCCGGGACCAATGGCTGCACTCAGGCGAAGATGTGGAGGTGCTGGTACGTGCGGACATGCTCGAATATCGATATCGTCACCTTAGGATTGGGCGAGTTCATAATATTCACCACTTTGCCTAGATCACAGATGCACAGAAGACCACTCTCAACTCGTCGACACCGTACATCACCTATGTCATACAAGCTGGGGTAGGCTCCTCGCCTTAGCGCCTCTCACATCGTTCTGAGCTCTGGTAAACAGACTGCTATAGCATACCACCGATATTCGGAATTTGAATCCCTCAGATCCAATCTCGTCAAGCTGTATCCGACACTCATAATACCTCCGATACCCTCGAAGCAAACAATAGGAGATTATGCCGTGAAGCAAGCCAAGGCGAAGGAGGACGCAGCCATGATCGCTCGACGTAAACGGATGCTGCAGACATTCCTCAACCGGATTGCGCGGCATCCCATTCTCTCCAATGAGCATGTCTTCCATAGGTTCCTGGATGGGGAGGTCTCATGGGTATGTCTCTAACACTGATATCGTTCGCCTTATCTCATACCTGCACAATGATCTCAGGCAGAGGTCTTGCACTCTCCTCCACTATCATTGCTGCCGAAGAACATTCTCAAGGCACCTTCCCACAACCCTACGGATCAGAATGCCACCGCGGCGTATGCTGCGCTACCAAACCCATCTGCGGCGCATCCCCTGCGACGACCAGACCAGCGTTTTATAGACTCAGAAAGCTTCACCAACAAATTCGCGGCCCACCTAAGTGGGCCGATGGAGAAGGTGACTCGGCGAACTATGAAGAGGTGGTCAGAGTCTGCTCAGGACCACGCGGAGCTCGGCGCGACACTCAATGGTTTCAGTCTCAACGAGACGGGCCAGTTATCATCCGCTATCGAGAAGACGGGACAAGCCATCGACGCAACGTACATGTCTACGACTACCTTAGTAAGAATTCACTTCGACGCGTCCACTTCACGTTATTGAGACTCCAGTGTACGCAGTTGCAAGAGTTCGAGCAAGATTGGGCCGAGCCTTTGCATGAATACAGTCAATTTGCCTCAATTATCAAGAAACTCCTTGTATACCGCCATCAGAAACATGTTCAGTACGAGATGACCCAAGATACGCTCGAAGCGAAGCGTGAACAGCTCGAAGACCTGGAAAAGAGCGAGCGGGAAGCGCGGAGGCTGGAGGAGGCGCTGAGTCACGGGCGGGCGAGCAGGCTGGGTGCTTCTCAAATACGCACGGTAGAGGGAGACACCGTGAATGAAGCCGCCAACGAGGAGGGGCAACCACGTTCTGAAGAAATCTCCTCATCCTACTTACCTCCACATCCGGGCCCCAATCCGGTCAGACGGAGAGCACCAGGAATGGGATTCCTCAATGCGTTGACTTACACACTCAGCGGAATGATGGATGTAGATCCAGAGACTGCGCGGCGGAATTCCATAACCAAGACAAGGGAGACTATTTCTCAGGTACGTAATTTCCGTAGCTGTGTCGAATCTTGATCTCATCGTAGTTCTGCTTTTACAGTTGGAAGATGCCCTGCATCTATCTGCGCAAGACCTGAAGTACTCGAGCTCGACAATTCAGGCAGACCTAGACCGTTTCCAGCGGCAGAAGGTCGCCGACCTGCGGGAAATGACCATCAGCATGGCGCGGAGCCATCGGGATTGGTGTAAGAAAGTCAGTATGCTAGTTTCTGGTTGTCTGCTTCGACCTGACGACGTCTCGCAGAATCTCGCAGCATGGGAGGAAGCGAAGGCTGAGATCGCCAAAATTCCTGAGCATCCCAACCGGCCGACGGATGACGTTGTAAATGGCAGCGGTGCAACAACAGGCCGAAGAGATTCTACGGCCACGATAAACGGGCGCTGAGAGGATATTCGTTGCGCGATATCGCCGCGGCGGTCGTGGCGGTCGTGTTCGGCTCCATTGCTTCATACCCACATTCATATTGACAGTTCTGGCTCTTCTCTTGCAATAGTCTGTCTTATAACAACGTTATACTTGGCCAGAAGATGAGTCTTGCGAGACGCCAGGCAAGAACGTGCGGCATATATGCTTTTGGTCTGGACCGATGGTGTATGTAAGGTCAGAGCAGAGGTCACAAGTCTATACACGACTCTACTGCCGCTTTGCAGGGTGGAGAATGAGATTGGCAGTGGCATGAATATTTTATATCGAGATGAGAGTGTAATTTTCTACTTGGTAAAGGCAGGGGTCAGGAGAAACCAAAAGCGGATGAGAATGCTCTCGTCCCAAATTGAGATGAACACACCTGTTACCGACAATATTTCGTGATGCAGGGAGTGTCCCCTGTCCTCCTCCTCTACCATGCTCACCCTTCCCGCCATATCCGTCCCCCTGCATTCTAGTTCTCTCTCCGACTCGGGTGCCGCCTACCATCACCACGAATCCGCTCCAAAATTCCCTCATACCCGCGCGCAGCTCTTGGCGGTTGCCAGACAGTATAGGTCTTCAGATGTCTATGACACCGATCCAGAAGGCGAAGATGCCCGCGTGAATTCTGCCTTCGTAGCAAAGATTGCCACTCTTCTCGATAACGAGCACGAGGATGAGGTCAAGGCTGTCCTCAAAGAGACTTTCGGGCCGTCCATGGACGAGGAAGAGGTCACTCTGCACCCTTCTCTTCTATACGTCCTTGTGCTAATCCATCAGTTCTCCAGCTCGAACAGCATGTCCTAGATCTGATGCACAAGCACAAGGACGACGTAGACAACGTCCCGTTCCACTTTCTCACCCCAACTCGTCGACCCATATCTCGACCTTCCTCCAGGGCATCTACTCACTCTGCTCGTCTCATTCCCAATCGCCCAGACACACCAAATTCTGCTCCAAGTTCCCCTCTGGCCATGATATTTCGTAGGCCGCACACTCCTTTGACTTCTCCCTTGGGTGGTCATCTCCAATCTTCGTCGTATATCACGGCGCGGAGCGAGTCTCCAAGTACTTCCCCAGTGTTCGTCCATGCACAATTTGCTGCTAGTCTTCCATCTTCGCCTATGTCATCCCCTCGCATTCTCAACGCCAAAGCTTCAGAGTTTAGGCCAATACCTCGCCCGCTCTCCGCGGCGTCGTCCAACCCTGCCTCGTTAGTTGCACTTCGAGCGGAGACACCATCACCAGACCTATGGGCCAATCCGTCACGCCCCACATCCAAACTCGCCATTGCTGCTCCTCTGACTCCAGACAGCGCGCTCCTTCCGCGAGCAGTCACACCTAGTTCATTGCGTTCGTCTCTGCGCCCTGACGAGCACGACGACGAGGAAGATCCGTTTGATCCCTTCGCGGCAAGTAACATACCACGCTCGTTCCACCCGGTGAACTCTACGGATCTGGATGCGCCTTGGTCTAATTCGCCGATGTCTGTGTCCTCCATGCCAGACGATGCTCACTTCCATTCGTCAAACAGCGGAGATGTGCACTCACAGACCCAGTCAACGCAATCCCCTGACAGTGATACCGACATGGATCCAGAGGCCGATGCGATGCTCACCGACGGCATGACACCTTTCGACGTTCTCAGCTCTGTCTTTGGAGCAACGCTCGCTCCATCAGAGTTGGAAGAAGCACTGGCGACTAACGGGTACGATTTTGAGCGTGCAATGTCCTGGCTTGTAGATCGAGCTCTCGTCAACCCGCCTGGGCCTCAGCATACTCCCGGTCCTCAGGGTAGAGCACAGTCCCTGGGGAACAGAGTGATGATGATTCCAAGAGACGGGCAAACTGGTATGGTTCGTGGTGGAAGGGCTGGATACGGAAATGCCAATGGATCAGCAGCTAGAAACGCTCCGCGTTACGTCAACGGACGTCCCGTACCGGGCGGTAATAGAGTATGCAGGTACTTTCTGGCTGGAGAGTGCTTGCGCGCCGACTGTCGCTTCAGGTCAGTGTACTTGTTGCCGAGAACGTGTTGCATGACGTCTGAGCCATTGAATACAGTCATGATCTCGAACGGGCATTGTGCCGGTTTTGGCTACGTGGTACCTGCGCGAAGGGCGAAAATTGCGAGTTTCTACACCATCTACCGAAGGATATTGATGTATCGGGCGTCACCCAAGCGATGTCTCGTGCGGAGATTAATCCCGGAGTATCCGAGCCAGGTCGCAGTGCTTCTCCGGATGAATTCCCAACGTTGAACTATGCCTCCGCGCCTGGCAATTCAGGGCGAAACAAGAGAGGCGCCTTTGGCTATGGACGCGACGACGGTCCATATCACGATCCTAGTCGGACAAGATTTGCTGCTGCAGTGAAAAGAACAACACCCATAGTGCCCCAAATGGCTTCACCGACCCAGTCTTCAAAAGATCCGGCATTGATCGTGGCTCGTCGTGAGGCTATGGGGCCCTCTGGTGAGCCCCTGCATCACAATACCGCTATCGTAGCTCCGAAGCCGTCTCCCCGCGTTAAACTTCGGCCCGCGAGTTTACTTCCTACGTTACCCACTGGGGAGTCTGTCAACTCCTTGTACATGGCGTATCGGTCGAGGTCGGTCTGTTATTTGGTGTCTCAACGCAGTGTTGACGTATCTCAATTTCAGAGCACTGCGTCTAGGCGCAGCGCGCAACGCGTGTCTCTCAAGAGCAGCCGACGCGTGGCGGAGAGGTGACGGTGCAGCAGCCAAGCGTTTCAGCAGAGAAGGACACGACCTCAACGCCAGGATGAGTGCAGAGATGGTGGACGCCGCTGGCAAGCTGGTCAGAGAACGCGCGAGGCTTGCTGAACAGGCCGCGCGGGCTCGAGACACCTCGTGGTCGGACGACTACGGTGATAGAGCGGCTCGAGGTCGCCTCTGTGGTGCAGGACTGGGAGTGTGCTTGGGCATCGCGAGCCATACTGTTGGGGGAGAGAGTCAGAAACTTACTCCAGAAGAAAGGACCGAAGTTATGTTGGACCTCCACGGTTTACACTCTGCGGAGGCAACTGAGGTCATGGAACAATTCTTACTGGCGGTAAGTCGGCGAATGAGTTTGTCTATGTTGGTCTGCTGACATTTATCTCCTGTAGCTGGAGCGGGAGCACTTCTACGGATTGGGTAAGCATACAGGTGCTTCAATGTTGATGACCGTTCTGACAACGTGGTCCTGCAGCCTATTTGATCGTTGGAGAAGAAAAGCACACGGGAACGCAGGATCCTGCTCGTGGTGCCTCCCGGGCTCGCCTTGCCACCGGCGTTCGCGAGTGGCTTCATCTGTGGGGATATCCGTGGAGCGAACGCGACGGGGTGATCTGCGTCGATGCGTTGACACACGGATAGAAGCAAGTGTAGGTCCAAAGAAAGCCACTTGAAGACATTGTGACGGAATTCGAAGAGACTTGTAATATTTAGTTTTGTGGTAGACTCCCCCAGAGGACGGAAATGGATGTATATGTAGATTTTCACAGGAAGAATGTTTTCACCGTTCGTTGTACTTTGCGACGGGCCAGATGCGGTAGACTTAGGTAGACTAGGTGTTTCACTTGGAAGGTCGCGTCGAGCAATTGCTTGCTCGTCTCACCGCAACACGCATCACCGCCCTCCCCAATAGCGGGCAGGCTTCGCCTTGCCACCGCCTTCTGCATCCCTCGTTTATCATTTATCATTCATCCTTCATCTCTATCACCACTACTACTACCATGTCCGACTACAAGGATAGCGTAGAAGACCTCTCGCACGACTTTACGCGACCACATTCTATAGACCTTACGCTCGAGCTCGAGCACCAACTGGAGGCTGAATCTCTCCCTAATTCTCCTTCCGTGGGACGTCCACGGTCCCTGGATACCCATGTGCTGGCGTCTCTAATCACGCAGCTCCGCATGTCTGTCGAGGAGTTGACGAAGGAACGGGACGGCCTCTCCAACCTTCTCGTCGAGACGAAGTCGCGTGAACAAGACACGCAGGAAGCGCTGACCATTGTCGCCGAGAAGTGCGTCCATCTCGAAGCAGAACTTGCGGCTGCGCAGAATAAGATTCAGGAAGACGAAGATGCTATTACTATGCTCCGCGGCAAGGTCGAGGAGAGCAGGTACGTGTCTATATTTACCAACTGCACTCATCCTGACCCAGCGGCTTCACACGGAATATAGACGGGGTCTCATGAGACTGCAGACCGAGAGTCGGCGCATGAGCCAAATGTCGAATCTTACGCTGGATTTGTCTCGGGCCGGGCAGCCAATGCTCAGCGGACCGCCCACATCGAAACGCGCATCCTTCACTCCATTGACCGGATCCTCTGCAGGCCGCACCGGCCATCGGCGAATCTCTTCAGTCTCGGACACGAGTCTCATAATGAGTGCCCCGCACTTTGGTGACCATGGTCAATGGCCTGCCTCTCCCAGGTCCCCAGTAGAATTCTCGCAACCGGCCCTCACTGCACCTGCCCATGGGCGACGAGCGTCTGGTTTTTTCGGGTTTGGAACGGGCGCTGTTCCTGAACCTGCGAGGCTTGTTGATGCCTCTGAGGTGGAGGTGCTTCGCAAGGAGCTCGAGACAGTCAAGGATCAACTTGAGGAGACGAGGCATGAGCTTGGCGAGGCTCAGGAAGCGAAGGAGGCTTCGGAGATGTGCGTTAGGGCGCTGCGTACGTTCATTGCGGAGAACAGTGTAGGAGAACAGACAACTAGGAGCTCAGTTGCAGCGAAGCCGCCGCCTATGTCCGCAAATAGCTCCCAGGACTCCGCCGGAAGGAAGAGCGTGAGCAGTGCATCTAGATGGGGGTTCAAGTTGTGGAACACCTCAGATACTGCTCCGCCTTCAGCCCCCTCTCCACCTTCTGGATCAGCATCGCCTGCGATGACTCAGGGAGGTCCGCTCTCGAAGAAATTGGGTGGTATGTTCAGTCCGCGGGCCAGCGTTTCTTCCACATCGTCGGCTCCACGTCCACGTCCCATGCAGCAGGAGCCGTCGTTCATAGGGTCCGACACATCATCCATCGCTGATTCCTCTCCCGAGCCCGTGAGCCCAGCATCGGAGATGCCTCGTACGAGCGTGCTGGTGCAAGACGGCGAGGTGCTATTGTATGAAGCTCATGACGAAGTGAAGGCGATTGCGATGGTTGCCAGTGGATGATAATGACTTTCTCATATGGATCTTTGGGTGGACGAGTGTCTGACCTCGGATTGACATATTCGATATGCGAACCTCTCTTTGTGTATGCATTGTACGTACCGTAGCAGGATCGGATAATAATACCAAGTAGTACATAGGACTGAGTACTTTGTACATAGACGCCCATAGATTGGCGTTTTCTCCGGATCTAATCTTGATCCTAATCAGCGCTCGTGTGCCACCACAGGTAAGACCACAGGTCCTCTCGAGTCTCGATGAATGTCCTGGCTCAGTCTCGCATCCGTGCACTAAGCGATTTTGTCACTGTACTTGACCACCAATCCGTCCTTGGAATCGTCAACATACTTGACGAATGCTCAACGCTACTGGCCGCAGATCAGAGCAACAGGTGCGTTACTCTTTCACGCATACTGCAATCTATAGCCTTGGCCAACGACCAGCAGGCAAATTTTTGGCCAGGCTGACGATTCCAGTATATGGCCTACCTTACGCTATCTTTGGGTTCAAACAGTCGATGCATATGAAGGAGTCGGACCTGTCGATGAGCAACAGTCTGCCCTTCTATGTCTCAGTGTTGCTCGATTCACGCGAAATCTCTCCGCGGGAGTGCCGTCTAACCAGGAAAGAGCTTTGTTAGTAAATTGAAAATATATCGTGACATACTGGCCCTTCACTACGTCTGCGTTATTTCTTGTAGTGATAATGAACCAGCCATCAGGAAGCTAGTTCATCGGTACACCTCGTTCTCCGTGATGCAAGATCCAAAGTGTAAGTCCTTCGCTAACCATTTGCTCAGTTTCGATACGTATTGAAATCCTCAGCATTTGAAATTACGCGGATGTTGGTACAGACATTATCCAACATTGTCACTACCAATGAAGCACTTTCGCAGAGACTGTGGAGCATCTACACTCAGCTTCCACAGAAAGATTCCATTCTCATGTGCGTATCCAGTGTTCTGCTCGTTAGCACTCATTCGTCATACTGTCGGTTTCACTACCATACAGTCGGTTGTGCGCGTCTCCTGATGCCAAAACCGTCTCTACAACGTTTGTTTTGATCTTGAATCTAATCCACAATAGTCAAGAGAGAGCGTATGGTTCCCAGATTATTCGCTGATGCACGAATCCTCATGTTTCACTTCTAGAGAGATGTTAATCACAAGCGCCACCGGACCCCGCATATGCATCTCTTTACTTGATTGCATCCTCTCGCTTTTTGACGCTGAAGAGTCTACTCATCACAGTCAAGCGTTCGATGTTGGGTATGTGGTTCATCGTCGTCCACATTTCGGTCCCATGATTGTTGATGCTCAGTTCCTTGCGTTCACGACCGTTTGGTGCGATTGTAGTTATCAAATCTTAGTCCGCCTATTCAAAGCCGGTCTAGTCAAGAAATTGTATATGAGAATTGCTGTGTAAGTATATCTAGACCTTTACTTTCGTTATTCTTATTTACGCTTTCCGTAGGGTTGGTGAGGTTATATCACCGCATCAGACAACACTACTCAAGCTCCTAGACTCGTATCTGCAATCCCTTCCCTACCGAGAAGTCGTGGGGGAGAACGATGAACTTCTTCAGATGCTGACGTCCACCTTCTTTTCGTTGTCCCGACACATGAAGATAGCTATAAAAAGCACACTTGGGACTGCTGCAGCTTCAGAAAGGGTGAATCTTGGCCTGTCCGAAGCATCGATATCACTTCCACTTTCTGAAACGCCTATGGAACCACCGGGTTACCGGAATCCACAAGAAATTGATCTATTACTGCCCAAAGTCTGCGAGGCGCTAGTACTAGTTGTGCAGTGTCTAACGTCAATCTTGTTGGCCGCTGAACTGGATGCACCAGCTGCTGACGCACCCTCCACCCGAGCAAATCGTGCCAGTGATCTCCGTTCTCCAAGACGGTATATCTCTGAAGTACATACGGCTGATGGTCAGGATTTCGCGGAGGATCTAGTTGGTACGTTCCACTGCTTCATACTGTCATGCTGATTTTGTCATACCATTAAAAAGAAACTCTACGCCTCCTCGATATTTTCATTCCACGTATCATGTTAGGAAAAGTGGCACATCGACCTGCTCCTCCAGGATCTGAAGCTCTTCAACAAGAATCTCCACCTCTAGGGCTCGTTTACATTAAGCGAGATTTAGTTCGCCTTCTCGGCATCCTTTGTGCACACAACCATCCTGTACAAGACCGTGTTCGCCTTTGTGGTGGAATCCCTGTCATCATGAACATGTGCGTGATTGACGACCAAAACCCTTGTACGTGTAAATGGAGAATTATGCTACAAGTGTCATCCTGTTGATGTATTATGATCAGATCTAAGGGAACATGCGATCCTCGCACTGAATAACCTACTGCAAGACAATGCAGAGAATCAGGCAGTAGTCAATGAGATGAAGCCAGTTGGAAGATGGGACGCGATGGGTAACCGTGTCGGAACATAGCGACATCATACAAATGTACAGATACATCACAGTATACAATTATTCCTCCTCGTCTCCGATCTCAATTGCTCTCCTCTTTCGTGCTCCGGGAACGCTGCGAGTGCGGCGCACAGTAAATTCCGCGTCCTCCTCTTCGCTCTCGACATCCATCATAGCTTCGCCAGTATCCAACTCCGAAACACCCGGCATAATCGTGTTGTCACTGGCTTCTCGCCTGCGCTTCTTTTCCATCTCCTGTCGATCAATCTTGGCCTCCAATCTCTCTAGGTCATCTTTCCGACCCTCTTCATGGTGTTGTGTCCGACTACGCGTTCGTTTGCGACGACCACCATCCGAGTCTCCGCCTTCCTCCTCGGAATCGGCGACGAGGAAATCGTCTGTCTGATATTCACCAGGACCCTTTTTGCTCTCCTGGCTGCTCATTTTCGACCTTTTTGCCTTGCTAGCAGTTGCGCCACCGTCGTAGTCTTCATCCGAGGCACCTCCAAATACAGCCTCCTCTTCATCGTCTGACCACATATCGTCGCCAGTCCTCTTCCTTGAGTAGTTCGCCCGTCGTCTTCGTGTACCACCCAATCCGTCATCCTCGCCTCTCGCTTTCTTCGGCTTCCTGGAAGCAATCTTGAGGAGTTCCATCTTCTCGCGTTCGGGGTCAACGGTTGGGTCAGGCGCCATGCGTAGGCGTGCGACCTTGTTATGTTTTTGACCAACAGCGCGGACGAGCATTCTATGAGTCTCCGATTGCATACCCGTCGGACGCAGTGACATGTAGCCGGTAACCAACGCCTCACACTGCAGAATTTCCGCGCGCTTGTGCTGCGCAACGAGATAGGTTAGCCCTTGCGACTTCGCAGGTCCGCTGGCACTTTGAGATTGCTGAGATAGCGGAGGAACACTCTGCGAGGGTAACTGCGGCTGTGAACCACCAATAGCTTGACGCGGAACTGCACCAGAGGTGTCAATGGTTTGCGTGATGTCGAAAAGCTCCTTTCCAAGCTGCAAACTGAGAGACCCGTCGGACCATCGAACGACACGACTGTTTGACTGTCTGCGCTAAATGCAAAAGCGGAGGTAGAAAGTAAATACACGCAGTACGAAGAACACGAGTGATGTGGAACTTACGTCCCCGTCGTTCTCGTCCTTGACCCAACGCCACCGAATGGTGTTTTCGACTTTGAGCTTGATGGACATACTCTTCTCTCGAAGGGTCTCTGGCAACTGCGCCTCCTCATCCTCTTGTTCTGGTCCTAGATACGTATCAGAGTGAAACGGCTTGGAGTCCACCTTGACAAAGTTGGGCATGCGAATGACCCAGAACTAAGGCACGCCAACGATTCAGAGGCTAAGGATCAGCCGAAGAGACGAAATACCTACGTTACCATCCGAGCTTCTTGGAACAGGGATATTGGGAATAGCAGCGTCGGCTTCGAGCACTTGTTCGACTACATGCTCGGGCTCATCTCCTTCGGCATACTCCATTGCTTCCCTATGCTTGCGTTCGGGGGAGGACAGACGGTCGGCATTATCGATGGGTTCCGAGGATGCGGGCGTAGCAGAACTTGGGGAAGGTCAACACAAGGACGAAAAGTAAGTACATGCAGCGTACTCTTCGGTCTTGGTTAGAACGGGCTCGGCGTCTTCGCCAAAAAGGTCATGCATCTCCTCGTCCTCAGCAACGACGTCTTCGGGGGAGCTAGGGTCGTCAACATCTTCGAGATGGTGAGCCTGAGTTTGCGGGACTGGGGATACGAGAGCGTCTGCCAAAGACATTTCAGAGGAGTGGTCACGGTGGTGAGAGGGTGACGGTGGCGTCCACTGGAAACGTTCGTTCGTAGCGCTGGGTCGTTCCATGCCTTCCTTCGTGGCGTCAACTCTCTACAAGCCCAACGTTCACATGGCCCTACCAACTCACACTAAAAGCATAGCTAGAGGATGTACTTCAGCTACATGCTGTAAAGTTTGTGGGAATCAGATGATTCTCAATCAACGGTAGTATATTTCTGCGAGGTCGTCTGTGCATCCCGGTGAAATAGAGCCCCTGATTTAACTACAGAGTCATTGCACACATTTACAGCCGTTGAGGTGGCCACGTTATCGCACTCCTTCTCGTGGCTAGGTGCAGAGGCACGAGGATCGGTATGGACGGCCACACCATTCCTGGTTGAAACTTTTGAGCGGCGAGCTTCCCAGATGATATAAAGGATAGCTTCAGACGTAGCGACGACGAGGGAGACGAGGAGGGCTAACGATACCTTCTGTTGCGTGCCCAACGGAGTCAGGACTATGTTCAGCGTACGATCGAGTACGAACACTCACCCATTCGTCCTTCCACGCAAGTTTCTCAGCGGCCCACCAGGTGGCAGCACCTGATCCGCCGACACTCAAGAGAGCATTTACAAGCGCGGTGATAGCACGTCTGTCATTGAGTTCCTGGCGTGAAACGACAGCCTGACTGTCGGAAGCTGGCGATGAAGGGAATTTGCGATGCGGAGAGGTGCGGGCGCCAGCAAGCATTGGGACCATAGCATAATCGTGCGGCTGGAGAGGAGGATAGTGGGATCGGAGAGCTACCTCGCCAGTTGGGGAACGAGCCCAGCGAGATATGGAGGAGAGAAGTGCATAGGATATCGTCGGCGAGGAAACGGGGCCGTCGGGAGGAAGGACGGTAGATAGCTGCGATGCGAGCTCTGGGGGGAGCAGAGGAGGAAGTGGTCGGAGAACGTTGATGAGATGGGGCTCGAGTGAGAGGACGAGGTCGGGCTGTGTACTCGCTGGGCGACGCGTGGTTTGCATACTAGACGTTGATCACGACGGTGGTAGTAGGTGTGACAGCTGCCATATATATAACTCATTGTATTTGGCTGCTTCCGTCCTCGTCAATGTAAACAATGTCGTCCACCAGCTCTCTCGTCAGTAGAACTAAACGACGCAACGCCCCGCTTTCCTGCGCCGAGTGTAGGCGGTACGCTCGTCCCTTCATCTTTTCCGAATCTCTCTGACCGGATCTCGACATCAAAGTCTTAAGCTCAAGTCCGTGCTCGTCGTACTTTTCTGTACTCCGTTGGAACTTACGTTTTGCCCTTCCGTAAGATGCTCAAGAGTTTTTCCTTGCTCCAGTTGCGTGAAGAAAGGCTGCGCCGCCATATGTCCCGACGGTAAGCGGCTCCGTGTCCAGACAAGCCAACATTATTTCATGTGACCTTTTCAGGCTCCCTCACAACCGGGAAGGGCAACAGGTACTGACGTGTTTTTCGTTCCCGAAGTGCTGTACCAACGTGTTGTATCTAGATTCGTCCTCGCGAATACTGAAGTCCTGCATGAGAAAATAACCATTCTCGCGAATCGCGTGAGACAACTAGAAGATGCTCTCGCAGAGGCTCATAATTCCATCTCACACGAGCCTCATACCCTTTTGTCAGAAGAGCTTCTGCAAATAAAGCGGCCATTAGAGAGGGAGGCGCAAGCAGCAACGCAGGAACCGGAGCCAGAGGTTGCAGAAGCTATAGACGCGGTCGGCTCACTGTGAGTCCCGACCGTTTTGCACCAATTTAACGTGTAACATCCTCCAGATCGATAACCGAATCTGGACACACAACATTCTTCGGCACGACCGCGAATGCTTGGGTATGTATTGGTTCCCGACTTCTTCATCGCTTCGCTAATTCTGCCGCCACAGTACCTGCTGCAGGTATGCTGAGATAATTCATACAATCGTCAGCATTAATAACCATTGCGCAGAATGAGGAAGGTGACGAACACTCGGGCGAGAGCCCGCAGATCTCACTTCCAACAGACATACCTTGGTTGAGCCATACGTTCCCGTTTTCCCCAAGTGTGAACCAAAGTCTGGAGATCGTCCGTGCTTCTATACTGGATCTACTTCCAGAAGCCTCTGAAGCACACCGTCTTGCTGAAATTTACTACAGACACGCCGGCTGGATGTACGTCATTGATAAGCGCATTCTCGTCGCTTGCTGACGCTCAAGCGGCAGGTACACTCCAGTACCTAAATCAGAATTTTACGGTAGCATTTTGTCGCGATTCTACGAGTCAGTTACGTCGTCCGATCAGAGCCCGAGCCCGAGTCCTATGGACGCACACAAGCTCGCAATTGTATTCATGGTCATGGCAATGGGCACCTTGCTTGATTTGGAAAAACCTCAACTCTCGCCGGAGGCAACACGCTATTATCAGCTGGGGCGCGCCGCGCTGTCGTTAGACTCCATCTTGGAATCCCAGTCAATCGCGGCCATCCAAGCTCTGGTGAGTAGTGGTTCATCCGATGTCCACGGATTATTGCTGATCACACGTGAGCAGATCCTCATGTGTCACTTCATGTTTTTATCCTTCGTTGACGGCCCGCGGTGGGCATTAATGGGAATTGCGGTCAAATTGGCCCAAAGTGTGAGTCCAGGACTTATCCGTCTTCTTGGGAATAGATTTTGATCGGCTTCCTCCCAGCTCGGACTCCGTAGGTCTTCCCGAACCTCTCTGACTGTGAGCTGCGTTGATGCCATACTTCCTCAGACCGCGACAGTGGCAAGTGGAACCTTGACCCACACGAAACGACCCGGCGACGCGCTCTTTTCTATGAACTGCACACTTACGACTCATGGCAGGTGCGTTGTTGCTTTTTGCTGTCGTTGATGGTCTTCTCAGTCGACGACGGTAGAGCCTTACGTTCGGGCGACCCCCGTCGTTTGCGACCGCCTTCATCGACTGCCAGTTTGCCGAGGAGCCCACCAAGACCGATCAGGACGAAACTGAGATGTCCTGTGCGTTCATATCATGAAGCACCAGTTTACCTTTCGGCACGCTCATCTCCATCTGCTCCCCATAGTTGCTGCATGGAAGCACCGCTTCTCGTCCCGCTGTCTCAACATCGTGCACGAGCAAGCCTTCGGTGCGCGTGTACCTAGCTATCGCATTATTCAAAACCTCGACAAAAAGGTCCGGGAGTTCTATGTCCCGCCTTCACTACGGGTCCCTGGATTTGGAGAAGCGAAGTTGGAGATGGATACTGCAACTGCACCCGTTGAGTTGACCATGCAGCGATATATCGCCTTTGCTATCAGAGAAATTAGTAGGTGACGTCATCAGATTCAAGGATGGCATTTGTTAACCGCAAACTTTTTCCAGCGATATTTTATATTCATAGAGGTTACTTCGCGAGGGCTGTGGAAGATCATCCGGACGATCCGCTCGGAAGCAAGTATGCGCCGTCCGTCCTTGCAGCGTACAATAGTGCCTGTTCGTTTGTCGCTCTGGTGAAGAGCTTATACTCGCAGCATCCAGGACTGACTCAGCGCATGTGGTTTCACCCATGTCTTCTCGTGCGCGGTATGTTATCTCCACTTCGTGTATTACGCTTTCCCTGATCGTAATCGCTTTCAGATCGTGCTGGGTTCGATACCAACCAAGTGTCCAAAATTGGTGTTGTCGGCATCTGCTCTCATTCATCTTGACTCCGCATACAAACTCTTTGAAGCGGTTTCCAGTAACCCACATGCGGCCAAAGTTCTGGTAAGTTCCATGCTATTGGGGTCGTCAGAGTGCATTATATTTGTCGCAGCCGGTCTTGCAGAAGCTCAAAGGCAGAGCGCTGGTGTCAGTGTCGGAGCACCAGTCGAGGGCATTGGCGTCGATACCTCCTACTCGCGCCTCACCCCCAGTGACGAAGGAAGACGAGGAATTTGCGGCACTTGGGGGAAAAACACGTTTGGTGTCACGAAAGTCACCCTCGCTACCTTCATCGCCATCGCAGGCGGCCTCGAGCCCGAGAGACTACAGCCCACGATCATATGCTGAGCTAGAGCACACGCCTCCGCCTGCCCCTGACTCCGTCCCCCAGGCCCATATCCATCAAGCTATGATGGAAGCTCCGACACAGTGGCAAGGTTACGAGCAGCCTGTCCAGGATGTCTATGATTACCCTCCGTACCAGGAGATGCATGTGCAGTGGCCGATGTACGGCAGCTATGAACATATGCAACCTGCGATGGTCATGGACCCAGCGGCGCAATACTCCACTTACCAGCTACAAGATATTCCGATGCAGGCAGCCTACATTCCTCAGGAAATGGCCGCTCCACCGGAGGCGCATGTGCATTCGGCCTGGTCAAATCTCTTTGCACAGTATAGTGCGGGGTAGATACGTTTGTAGTTCGAGCCATACTTGTTCCAGAGATTTACTCTATAGGTATCGATGTCGATCTACAGTATGTACAGTAGTGAATTAGTGGATATTTGCGGATGGCTTTCTTGGATTTCTCGATGACGCGCATACTGAACGGATACTAAGCGCTCATATAACGCGACGCGACGCAGCACGTGACAATGCTACACCTACCGCTGAAGACAAACTGAAGAGCCAAAGTACTGCGTCTAGGTCCTGCTCTCTCTTTGTTTTCTAACCTCTGAGCAACGCAAATTTCCTGCTTCTTTGCATTCTATTGTGGCGCAAGCTGCGTCTGTAAAACATCTTTGCCATGGACGCGCCAGATCCTCGCACGCGGCATAAAGTTGCATTGGATCCTCCGGCGGTTCTTGCTAAGTCGTGAGTCCAATTACAGCCACTGTCACTTTTCCTTCTCTGATAGTGTGATGTGCTACAGGACGGTGCTTCGGCAAGTCTTGCTCTCCGACGTGTTTTTAGTGCTGGCTCTTCAAGCGGGCAAGGCCTACCTGCTTTCTCCCAACGTTGGTGTATTCTGGGTCCTAGTTAGGGTGCTCGCCTGCGGAGGTGTGGGTTCTCTCGTCTGGCTCTTAGCTTCTGGTCAGTTGCGAAAGAAGAGAACGGTCGAAGTATGTCACATATTCCTTCTGCTCTAATGTCATGACTGATGTAGGGGCAGTGGCTTGTAGTGGCAGCGTCATCTTTGCTACTGTTTCTGCGGCAAGCCGGACTATTCATAGCCCTGTTCAGGCTTCCGTCCACTCGGTGAGTTCGGTTTCACCATATACTAGTTGTCGCTGATTTATCATGACAGTGTGATTATTATCACTCACTACTCTGCGTTGTGGTTCAAGTCCGTCTTGAGTCCTACATCTGTGAGTAACCCTTGTATGGTATGTAGAATTGGCAGTCTCATCGAATTATTTAGCTCCTGCAGACATCTGCCGTATTGTCCGCGTTGCTGATATCCTTTCTCTCGGATGCTGGGTTCTCACATCAAAACTTCCGGGAAATGCTGCCGGCCTATGGCGCGTTGGCAATGGAAGCTTTCTCTTCTAGTGTCTTTGAGCACACACAAGGGGTTCTGCTACCCACACTAAACCAACCGATGATCAATATGCTCAGCGTTATCGGAGCGTTCGGCTTCAGTCTTCCCATGTACATGCTACGGCATGTTCTGGTAAGTTACCGTAAGAGATACCATCAGCTATTCTCATTGGTTGTGCATAGACCGATGCTCTACCCACACCTTCCGTCTCCATGAAGGCACTGTCTCTGATTGTATTCCTTGCTTTCGTCGTGCTATATCAAGCCCCAAAGGCTTCTCGCGCAATCAGCAATCCATCTGCCCCTCCACAATATTTTCTGCTATCTAGCGCTTCAACTGTGATCGCTTCCGTAGTATTGGGAATGCTGCTACTTGGACAATACCCTAGTGTGACCGATTGCGTGGTAGCAGCATTGCTTATCTACGGTGAGCTTCAGCATCAGTCTCACTAATGACGATTCATTCATTCTGTACCTAGGAACTTATCCGAAGATATCTGAGTCTGCTAGCGGATCTCCGTACGCAGCGACGTCACGGACAATACGCGCATACCTCAAATCAATTCTCTCCAATCCTGAGTCCAGAAAGATATTCTACTTTCTCATGTTGAACATGTGTTACATGCTTGTGCAGATGCTGTATGGCGTGTGGACAAATAGCCTAGGACTTATTTCCGATGGTCAGTCCATATCTCGTATCCTACATGGTGATTTGGATGCTCATATGCATCTAGCAATCCACATGGCATTTGATTGCATGGCTATCGCTGTTGGTCTTATTGCGTCTGTCATGGCTCGATGGCCTCCGAACGAGAGATTCACTTACGGGTGCAACTTCTTCTGTTGGCTTTATTGCGTGAACTATATCCTCACCGTCTTCCTGTTAGCTATGGACGCATCGAAACGTTGTCCGGATTTGCCAATGGCATCTTCCTCATTCTCATATCCTTCTTTATTGTCTTTGAAGCCATCCAGCGGTTGTAGGTCTAGTTCAAAACAACACATCATTGGTGGTAGATGCCGATCTCATTATTGTGCAGACTGGATCCTCCAGAAATGAACACAAGCCAACTACTTCTCGTGAGCTCCTTAGGTCTAGCCGTCAACTTATTCGGCATGTTCGCCATGGGTGGGCATCATCATGTATGCTGATTATTCACAACGACCATGGGGAGCATTGGCTGACTCTTATCACTTGCAGGGTGGGCATTCTCATAGCCACGGTCATGATCACAGCCATGGTGTCTCTTCCTCGTCGTCACCGCTCTCCCATCATGCTCACCATGAGAGTCACTCACATTCACATAAGCACAACGAAGCAGACCCACGTATAGCCTCGCATTCCGATGAAGATCTACACTCACACTCGCGTGAAGCTATACATGTTCACTCACATTCACCGCCTCTCACTCATACACATGCACATGCTCGTACCCATTCACACCTACACGATCATATACCCATCATTAGCCTCGATGAGGGGGCAGAGGAATCCATCGATCGGCTAGCCCCACCGAGGACGAAAGTGCCTCTTCATGTTCACGTTGGATTAGACTCCCACCTTACGGACAATTCGCCGCTCACTCCGAACTACAAGTTTGGACATGACGAGCACTTCGATACACACCATGCATCTGCTCCCAACCTTCACGATCACTCGCACGTGCATGAGGGCGCGAGCGAGGGGCACAGTCACAACATGCGAGGAGTTTTCTTGCACGTCATGGCAGTATGTCTTCTCCTTGTGCTAGATTTTAGCATTAACGGCTTTCATGCAGGACACGCTAGGGTCTGTCGGTGTGATCCTGTCTACCCTGTTGATCCAGTTCTACGGATGGACTGGCTTCGACCCAATCGCATCGTTGTTCATAGCTGTCCTGATAGCGGCAAGCGTGATTCCACTGGTCATAGACACAGGGAAGGTGCTTGCACTCGACATCGCCGAACGCGAACCGGTGATTCAGCAGACGTTGTCTGAGGTACGTTATCCAAAGGGCGCTGTTGGGTAGTGCTGACTCTTCCGTCCAGCTCCCTTCCATAGATGGCTTAGCATCGTACTCTACTCCCCGCTTCTGGCCCAAGGATGCATCGAGCGTTATTGGGTCGATTCACATTCAATTATCCCCTTTCCCATCGTCATATGATCCTTCTGGCCCATCCTCCACAAGACGAACCACATTTGCGAGCGTGGAACGCGTAGTGGGGCGCGTGGACAAGCTGCTGAGGAGCAGGATTGCCGGTTTGGAGGAGTTGACTATACAAGTGGAAGAGCCGATACTGTCGCACCATCATTAATTGTACAAGATATAGATATACCCAACGGACTTCCTGTGGCAGAAGATGTACTGTAACAATCAGATTCCAACTGTCCTTTCTCTATACCAGGGATAACAAGGGATAAATAATACAAGCACTCTCATTAGTGAACTTCTGATCCTAAGTTGTACTCCGCGTACGTCTGCTCGTCAAGAAAATTACTGCTCGTTCAGATTGTTCAGTAGCGTAGTCAAGCATCTCTTGGTCACCATGTCGCCCTACAGCCAACGTGAGCTCTGATCAAGAGATCTTAATACAACGGGGCGAACATACCTTCAGGAGAGCGCTAAACGTCTGATCACGAAGTGGTTCAGGCAAGCATGCCCTCAATGCCTCTCGAGCCCTGCCATAGGAAAATAGAATCAAGGCAGAAGGGTAGTGTATTTTTTGACATACCTCAGATTGTCACTCAGCCGCAGATAACACCGCACGACGTGCTTTAGAAGTCGAACAGCCTGGGTATCGACGAGTTGGTTCACCATGTTGCTGAGGACGGTACCAACAGCGTAGAAGCGTTCGTAGGTGTGACAGATATAAGTGAGACCAGTCTCGTCCAGCAGGATTTTCTGCACAATGAATATGGCGACGGTTTTGGAGAGCTCGGAACCTGTCTCCATGATGCGGAGGCACAGAGGGATGATCTCCGTGGAGAGGAGGAAATGAATGACGGTGTTGTTGTCATTTTGCTACAAGGACTGCTTTAATGTGATGTGAAAATGGAGCAGTGAGGGTGTATACCTTGACCAGGGCACCGATCACGCCGAGCGAAGTCAGACGCAGGTACTCGAAAGGTCGAGTCTTCGAAGTCGTATTCAAGAATGGATATAAAAAGAGCGGAATATGGGCTGTAGGAACGTCAGAAATGATGCATGGGATTCATTGAAAATTTGCTGACCATTCAGAAACAGTTGTCGGGTATCAGGATGAGATGCTACACATTGCAAGAGTGCGAGAGCATTGCAAACACGATTTGATACATGGGCAGTCAGATTAGGCGGCGATAGTAATGGGTAGACCGAAACAATTTCCTGTAAAAGAGCAGGCATAATACCTACCGCAAGCAAATGGTGTTAGAAGGCCCTCTCCACACGTTAAGCAGTGATAAATACCGAAAGAGTGCCACAGAACAAGTGCGAGATCATCGTACTGCTCCCTCTTCTTACTCAACTCGAGTAATGCACTCTCCCGAGTGCTCGAATCGAGGAGCTCAATAACCAGATTGTAGATTTTGCTCTCCTCATGCATTCCAAGCATTGCCGGGGAGGGTCCAGAGAAAGGTACTACAGTCTGGTGAACAGGATGAGATAGGGCGGCGATGCTGTTGGTGTCCGTGTAGCCTGTGGCACTGCGTTGGTAGGAATTGTACTGCAGAGCGTGTTGCATGTACGACACAGGCTTCGGTGAGACAAGCCCCGCCATGGGCACGGAAGTGAACGACAACACTTTGACTTGCTCGACGGGGGAAAGAAAGCTACGCAATCCGCACGACCTCTCCGAGGCGCTGCGCCTCATTGAGCTTGCTTATGTTTCTGCTTACATAACAATCTCCGTGACCAAGCGAGTATTACTGTACAAACTGTATGGGATTACATAAATAGGTACAACAATGCAGAGGAACGACTGTGGAGCTACAGAGATACATCCAGTGAGGAACAAGACATGGGTAGGGGTATGGTCCATAGAAGAGGTATAAGTAGCATAGGACTTATTCAGCCATCTGCTGGCTGAGAAGCGCCAGAAGATATTCCTATCGAATGAATATGTTCGTCAGTTAACGAGACATCGACACCAAGGCTTGAACCTGACCTTATCCAGAGAGGAATCTGCGAAAAGGGACCAGGAACGTCCGTCGTGGAACTCCACAGCGAAGGAATGGGGAATCCCTTCTAATTCTTCGAACCCCTCGTGCCATTCTTTAATATGCTGTATGTCGGACAGCCTTACTGTGTCTGACGACTGAGTAGTTTCCTGGTTACATGACTTCAGCTTCAAAGGGTCAACAGAACGAAGACGAAACATACCTCCGGATTCTTGAAGAGAAGAAGGGCCCTGTCGTTCAGCTGGTAGTATCGTCGTTTCCACGCCGCGGACTCTTCCGCTTGGACTGTGACCCAGCCTGACAAGAAAACCTTGCTCTGCGCTCCAGCAGCGTCCTTCAAACGCGAGGCTAAATCTCGCCTCTCTTGGAAGAGGCGCCGCCGGAGCTCTTCCCGCTTTCCAGTGGTCTCCTTGGCTCGCTTTTCCTGTTCTTTCCTCCATGCTTGTAGCTTCAGGGTTTCCTGGATCCTCTTCTCCCTTTCCACCCGCCTCCTTTCCGTCGCGATCATCCGCTTAAGCTCATCCGCTTCACGCTCAATTGCCTCCTTCTTCCTACGCTGGTCTGCGGCCCGCCGCAGCTCTTCTTCCAGAGCAGCCTTGCGCTGCCGCTCCTCCTCCATATATCTGCGCAAGATCTCTTCCTTTTCCTGTTTGAGCCGGGCTTGGCGCTGGGCCTCTTCCATCCTCGCCTGCTGTTCTTCTCTCTCCCTGATGCGAATAGCCTCTCTCCGGTGAAGTTCAACTTCGTCTGGGGTCGATGCCGCGCGCTGTCGTCGAGGCGAGCGTTGCGGGATCCTGGAGGGTGGAATGCGCGGGGACACAGACTGCATGGATGGTGGTGGATGCGTGCCAGGGGGTGGAGGCAACGAGGCGTTACGCCTCTGTGGTGATAGATTAGATTGTACTTGCGTTTGTCGCCGCGCAAGGAATATCCGCCGAAGATACTCGCCTCCGACCTCTGCAGATTCCGAAGCTCTAGACGAATCGGAAGACGGCGATCGCGCAAACTCAGTTGCCTCGGATAACTCGAAGGCACAGTACATGTCCTCCCAGCTGCGACGGTCCTTCGGCGGAGGCGGGGGTGGAACATCAAGATGGCCTTCGTCCTCCTCAGGTATCGTAATCCTGCGCGGGGCTGTGCGAGTATGCTTTGGGAAGAACTTGAATTTGACGGCCAATTTGGAGCGCAATTTCTGCGGCACAGCAAGAGGCATTGCGTAGAAGATTAAGGATTAAAGAGAAATAAAAAGAGTGGGCCTTGGAGGTAGTAGTGTGTGCGGTGGGGGGTATCGCTGACGGGAGTTGAGAGCCTCAGCCAGATCATTGTTCATCGCTACTGTTGCTGTCGAGTCGGGCACGGCGGTGTACACCATTGTTCACGATAAGATAAGATAAGATCTGACGCTACAATTAACGTCAGTCTATTCGTCCCACTGCACAAGTACGACCTCCTCTCTCCAGCATCCCTTTTGTTCGATAGAGCAGTCGTTCTCGCACGAAAAGACCATGCACGTCCCCCACTCCATTCCCACCCTATGCCCGCCCTTCAGTTCCCTGAGCACTTCCTGCCTCCGCTCTTCATCTGTTTGCTTCTTCCCGCTTTCTGCATCGTTCCCCCGCTTCAGAACGCTGATCAAATTAGGCATCAGTTGACACTCGAACACCCGCTTGGATTTGCAGTGAGGACAATGCGGCAGCGCAGACGGGTTGTACGTCCGTTTGAGCGCAGGCACCACCGCGAACTCTCTGTTTGTAACCGAGATGTACGGAGAGGACGGTGCAGGAAACAGTGAATTAAAAACTTCGTCGCTGGAGAAAGGTAGAGGCGTGCCACCCAGTTCATATCTGTGAAGATCATTGGTCAGAAAGTATGTGTTGCGATATTCACGAGACGACGAACCTCAAGCACTGCTCTCCCTCATAAGAAATTCGCTTGGTAAAGCGTTCGAAGGCATGATCGACCTCCATGGAATTTTCGTAGCCTTCCAGAGCCCAACCGGTATCCTTCTTCCTCCTTTCTTCGTCATCCTCGTCTATGTTGGCTCCGGAAGACAGTTTTGATTTAGGTGCCGGCGGCAAGTACTCCGACACGGTGGAAAGATACAACGGTGCGTATGCCGGCGCGGAGGCCCATTCGGAGTTGGACAATGTTGCAGCCGCCAAGCGCTCTACCAACTCGTCGTCGTCATCATCTTCGTTGCTCTGAGGCCCATTCTCATCATCATCCTGGCGCTCAGAATCTAGCACTTGATGGTCATCAGACTTTATTGGCTCCAAAGGTGCATTGCCGAAAACCTGAGCACCGAGAGCGAAAGGGTTTGAGGAACCGACTGTCTTCAACTTGAGATTCAACGTTAGTCAACCATTCACGAGACATAACAGTTAACAGACTAACTGAGAATGGATTCGCCTTGAGGGTTTTCTGTCGGGCAGCTTCTTCAGCGATTTGTGCCTCTTCTTCCTTCAATCTCTGCTTGGCCAGCTTCTTAGACAGTTTATCGGCGTACTTCTGATTGTGTCTCAAACCTCGCCAGGCCCTGACGCTGTGGAAGCACTTGGATTCAATCGGCATCCTCACGCAGAGACGCAAGGAGGATACGGACACATACTCACCTCCCCTCCTTTCGCTGGCATGCCCCACTGGCACAACCCCAAATGTATAATACCCTGTCATTTGGACTGCCCTCAAGAGGACACCAGACCTCCACAAGGAGCTCCATGGGTTTCGAGCAATTCTTGCAAAGCGCAGACGCGAACGGCGGCTCTGGCGACGTAAGGAAGGTCTAACATTTGGCAACGCGTTCAATTCAATGTAAGAATAGTACATGGTCGGACGAAGGATCAACCGTACAGGATGGCCCCCTATCCGAGATACATTGACATCGAGGAGGTCCGCAGACGAAGCTACCAGACCGTCCGGGATTCCCAGTTGCACGGCGGTCTCAACGTCAGACCCCGCCTCCTCGTCTGAATCTGACCAATACTCTTCAGTCTTCGGAGACATCTAAAGAGGAGAGATCAGCAACTATTCCAAAATTGCAGGATAAAGACGCAGATGGGTAATCAGTAAAGCATGAATGGTATAATTTGTGTATAAATTCGTCAATGAAAGCAACGAAGAGGAAACCTCATCGAGACCGTTCAGACTCGTCATCTAGAAATCATCATTCTATACAACTGGAAGCCTAAAACCTACCCGGTGGACAGAAACTTCGACCTTGGTGTAAGGAATAGTATGAGGGCAGGATGGATCGCACACTCAAAAAATGCATTGCGAACAAATAGCAACAAATAACTAAGACCGCTTCACGTGATCTGGATTGTCAGAATAGCACAGAATGTCTATCTACACCTTCCACAGCACCGCATTCAAAAATTATCCAGAACACAGTTTCTGATAATATATGATCGAGACAGTTTTTTCAACTCGGGACGTACAAGTGTGACAACATTTGGTGGTGTACAACGCTGTGACCATGTGAGATGGGTCTACTTAGGTCAGACTCTTCTGCGACATCCTAAGTACCACCGCAAATAACGCGTCTGGGGCAGTTTGATCTGGGCATAAGCGACGGACCATGGGTTCTTCCAGATTAGGCAGCTTTCCGAACATCCACCTTCGTCGAAGATTGCACTACCCTCAACATGTAGGCCACCGAATGAGTACTAAAAGTACCCAGTAGTCATACAGAAATCGACAGAAATATTACAGTGTGTCGGGAAGTGGCTCACACTTTGGCAGCGCGATATCTCAATACTTTCATTCAAGGCAGCTGAATCTAGGGATTCTCCAGATAGGTGCCCTCTCAAAATATCTTTCAGAGTTTCGAGAGGCCAAAACTGCACCAAGCGTTCTCGTGGGGCAGATAAAACAAAAGTCGCGCCCAGTGCAAGGATGTGATTGGGATGAAATAGGCAGCCACGTTATTAAAGAAGCTGCGAGGCTTCTCGAGTAGCTATTGATGGCTAAGTGCGAGGTAGGAGGCCTCTATCAAACTGCCCCAGACACGTTATCTGCGGTGGTAGGGTGTGATGAGATAACAGTCGAGACCAGCGGAAACTTTTCGAGGGAAGACCTCTCTATCTCCGACACTTGGATCTATGACGCACTATCCCTCACCGCTCGTAGACTTATATAGTCCGCCTTGTATAAGTGGAGAAAGTGAATTTCTACCACATGCTCGTGCCTATCAGTGCCCTTTTCACAGCAAGCGGAGAGAACACTGGAGAGGATTATTCCCACCCAGTACGGAGCCGCATCTCCGATTGCTGTGATCGATGATCCCTTTAACGTCGTCGAGTCTGGGCACCCCGGCCACAGGCAGGCGCAGTGGAAGAGTGGAAGAGTGGCTTTCCCCGCAGCTCGAACAGAACACCAGTGGGAGGGGCAATCTGAATCAATCAAAGTACCCACTAGAAGAATGGGAGCGCTCGAATTGCGCAGCCTCGTCGGTCGACACCTCTTGATGGCGATACCTAAACGTAATAAGTGAACTTCATGTTGCCTAAATAGCTACAGCGCTGTGCTGGGTGTGGTTCCCTGTCCTCAGACCGCGTGGACGACTTGAGTCATTCGGTACTATGGTGTCCATTCAAGGACACGTAAGGTTTCAGCAAGGCGTTTTGCCAAGTTGGATTGCTGTCAGAAGTCAGGCCTGCAGCTTCAGAGCCAGCCAGCCACCTGTAGTTCTAAGGCAGTACTGTCAATAATAGGACTGGGCAGTAAAAGTCAATGCGAGGACGTGGGCGGGTGGTTCTGACTGCACACATTGTTGGATTCGGATGTCCTCGAAGGCTGACAGTATATCCGTCTGGCGAACAGCTTCGCTCTCTCCGAATGCACAAAAAGTTTGAGACCGTATCGAATCGGCAGCCGAAGCATTTCGGGAAGTACGGGACGATGGATAGATATCACCTGGATAGCAAAACAGCACTACAATAAATAGTACGCTCGAGTGCTCAGAAGTGCATCGGGGATGTGAGGAACTTTGGAAGGGACCGGGAGGCGCTGGAAAGTGGAGGACGAGGACAAAGTTCAGGGATCTCGATCGCGAGTTGCCGAATACCGCATCTGCCGTGTTGTCAACTTGGGTACCATCGAAGACGCTTTATATATCTCACAATGCTGCACGACCCCGCCCTTCTCCACTCCACCATCCACCATGTCCTCCCTCCCCCCGATTCCTAATCGTCTGCCGCAGATAGACCCACCTACTAACGGGAACACTCCCGCTGGCGTGCAGAAGAAGCGCAAGCGCGGGGCTACTCGTCTATCTTGCGCGGAATGTCGAAGGTGATGTGAACTGCGAAAGAGTTGCAACCGCGCCTTGCGTTGACACCCTGATCTTCGCCCATCTAGATTGAAACTTCGTTGCGATCGTCAAATTCCCTGCGGATCATGCTTGAAGCGAGGCTGCTCTGCAATATGTCCTGATGGTGAGTCCTTGCGACCAGCTTCTTCTGCAACAATTCCCCTACATCTCCTTGCAAAGGCTCCTTGACTACCGGGAAGGGCAACCGGTGAGTACGCTGTCCTCGCATCAACGGTTAGCTCTCACACTGTAAGCGCAAGGTTTGTCCTAGCATCCACCCAGGACCTGCATGAGAAAATTGCGCTACTCTCCAACCGCGTGAGGGAATTGGAAGATGGGCTACGGTCATCTCACTCCCTTCAATCTTGCGACGCGCACCCTCTGCTTTCAGATGAGCTATTGCGCATTAAGGCTCCCATACAGAGAGATGGCCTATCGACTTCGACCACAAATGGCAATCTACTTACTGACGACCCAAACGCAGACGTGGTAGACTCGTTCGGCTCATTGGCTATCAGCGATACCGGCCGCACAAATTACTTTGGTCAGGCAACGAGCTCCTGGGTAAGTCTCCATATGATTTACCGATCTTTGACAGCAAACTTACGCTGCTGCGACTTAGTATTATCTGACGGTCCGTCTCTTACGTTGATATCAATTCCTTCGTTTCTCATGGCTGGTATCTCAGAACGAATCAAGCGAAGCAGAAAAGGACGATCGACTTGAAAATCTCCGTAGGTTATTACCGCCGGAAGTCCTAGCCCTCAGCGGCCTGTTCCCTGTGGCACCCAACATACTGCCAATATTTGATGCCGAGTTGGACCGAATCCAGCGGCTGCACACTCTTTCCTGGTGTCTTCCACAAGCCCATGAAGCAGCTGAGCTTCGCTCGATTTACTTCCGCCATGCTGCTTGGATGTAGGCTGTTACATTTTTCAGCGACTTTGGTGTTTTGACTTTGTTTCTTCAGGTACAACCCCATTACGGAGGCGCAATTCAACGAGCAAGCCTTTCAACCGTTCTACGATCCTGATGCCGCCCAACAGATGGACGATCCATTGCTCTCTCATCAATTGGCTCTTATATTCATGGTCTTGGCTATCGGTAGTTTGATGGATTTAAGCAAGCCTGCCTATAACATCGAGGCAGAGAAGTATCATCAATTGGCTCGTGCCGCGTTGTTCCAGAGTGCGATTTTCGAAGAACCAACACTCAGCGCAGTTCAAGCATTGGTACGTGATGATAGTCAAGTGTCGAATGGGTTACTGATTGGCGCTGCAACGCATGACAGTACCTTATGGCCTTTTATCTTTTCCTCAGTGAGCGACATGGTACTGGGGTCGGCTCTAGATGGGCCTTCATGGGTCTTACGGTAAAATTGGGAGTTAGCGTAAGCCAGTGTGATCAGGTTGTTCTGTTCGAGAGCTTACGAATTTTCTCTTACAGATGGGTCTTCGTGTGTCTCTTCCGCTTTTCGTATTCGATGCTTTGGTACCTAATGATGTACAGATCGTGATGCAGGACGTTGGAAGGTGGAACCGACTGAAATCCAACGTCGTCGGGAACTCTTCTGGGAGCTCTATTCCTACGATCTTCTTCAGGTGTGTGTGTCAGTGTCTCCGGGTATTTAATACCGTATGTAGCTGATTCCATATTAACGACCTCTAGTCCTTTACTCTGGGGCGACCACCCTCGTTCTCGCTGGCCCATGTAGATTGCAAGAAGCCTCAGGCAGAGGATCCTCGTAATGAACAGACATGTACGTGAATTTTTGTGACATGCACTCCTGTTTCTGAACTCTTTCAAGTCCACTGGTGGAAGCACAGGTTTATTTCGGAGTGCATGAATACCGTATACGACCAAGCCTTCGGCGCCAAGATGCCCACGTATAGCATGGTATTGCAACTCGACCGTAGACTGCGATCATATCCCGTACCACAGCTGCTTCAGATTGCGGGTTTTGGAGCTACTGAGGGCACCATGAGCTCCTTTCAGGATAGCGTTCCCCTGATTCTGCAGCGGCACACAGTCCTCGCGATCAGAGAATCCCGTAAGTAGGTTGTGAGTGATTTCATGCTGGGTGCTGATAATCTACACAGATCTGTTGTACATGCATCGGGGCTTCTTTGCCCGTGCGATCAGTGATCATCCGCGAGATCCCCTGGATAGTCCTTATGGTAGTTCGTTCATTGCGGCCTACCGGAGCGCTGGGTCGCTTGTCGCCTTAGTGCGAAATATTCATTCTCAACTGAAGGAATTGACTGAGAGGATGTGGTTCCTATGGACACATCTGTTCTCTTGCTCGGTTAGTGGACTGCTTTCTGGCTCAGCACACTGGGTGTGTTTGAATCTGTTCTAAAGCCGATTTTCTAGATAATACTCGGATCGATCGTCACTCGGTGTCCATCCATGAGTTTGGCGCCGTCAGCACTCGCCCAGCTCGATGGTGCGTGTGACCTGTTTGCAAAGACAGCACACTATTTCCGTGCAGAGAAAGTACTGGTATGCTCCGTCTTCCTGACAGCACGTTGACATTGCCTAATAAGTCAATAGGCTATCATGCTGAACCTGAGAGAGAAGGCACATGCAAGTTTGTCTGCATACCGCAATACCCCTCCATCTCGTGCGGGATCACTCTCTGAACCGACGACACCTGCCAATGACAATGATGAGCTGAATATCCTCGGAGGAAGGACACGCTTGGTGGCATCGAAGGAGAAGTCCATGTCGCCGCAGATAATCGACCGATCGCCGACCTCACTGAACCCCGTTGTACCGTTACCGCTCAGGGAGGCTGAAGATCAGCACATACACCCTTACGTGCTGCAGTATTTGCGCACATTCATTCCCTCGCCCATGCCATCCCAGACCGCTGGGCCGTCAATGTCTCAGCATTCTCCGCAGGACTTCTCTCAGTCGCCGTACGGGCAGCAAAGCCACGATCTCCCGCCCATCAGCACCTCCCTCATGTCTGATCCGAATGGGTATGCCCCCCAAGCTGGGCCGAGCATGCTGCAGATGGAAGGCATGACGCCAGCATTTCCTCAGTACTTTCCCGTGTTCGACTACGGGGTTGCGAGCGTTGGAGAAGCGTTCATGCCTTCCGTGCCGTCTCCAAATCCTACGGACAGCGATCTCAGATCATGGTCTCCGGAAGCGACCATGCAGAGCACATGGCAGGACTTCGTGGCGCAGGTGGGCACCATCTAAATTCGTGGTCCGGAGCAGTAGCCCTCAGAGCAATGGCCGAGAGGTGGCACATATCTCTGCAAGGCATCTTGTGCACCCTGGGCTATTTCTTCCTTCTCTGGCGAATGATGGTATCGTGAATTGTACTTCTAGACCACGTCTGGTATCTTCAATGTGTTGCGTATATATATACGTAGTTGGGGTTCTTGTATTCTTGACTTTCGGCCTTTGATGTACCTTTACAATGCATGTATGAAGATATTTGTGTGCTTGCATTGTCATGCATTCAGAGAAACCATGTATCTCTATCGTAGCACACCTTCATCTTTACGGGGTGACGAATGATTTCGGGCCATGAGAAAGGCAGCTTCTTCACTGAAGGCCTGTCTTCGAAGTAGTGATATTTCGTGGCTGCAATTTCCACCAACCTACGGTCTTCGAATGGATGTCCTTCATGCAAGAGCGGTGAGATACACGCATTCAAGTATTCACCACTGGGTTCAATGCTGCTGGTAACTCTTCGACAGCAGGAACGGTGCATGGCACACAGTACAGAAAGGGACCAGCACGTGAGCGCGTTTTCCGGACGTGGCGCGCGTCTAATATCGTCGATCATGTTGCGAGCAGCCACACCTCTAGCGTCTGCTGCGACATACAACCCTCCCACATCACCAACGCACACACTACATCGAATCGATAGACCATGGCCGTGAAAAACAGAGGCATAGGCCACCGCCATGGCTCCCGGTTGAGTAGCACAAATACTGGTGTGCAGATGCCCACTCGCAGGCAGCCCAAGGCACCGCAAGAGGGTAATGGCACAGTCTCAAAAGCTATAGTGGGATCCATAATAGATCTTCCATTTGTTTTAAGCCTAGTATTTGGAGGCTGTTGCGCGTACGTTTGAACCCTCTCAATAAACTCACCCCGACGGAAGCTTACTAAAGGGCAGAAATGTTTGGTCATACGAGCATCTGCTCAAGATTGACGCACGGTTAGGCAAGTCTGTTCCAGTTGTTAAAAACTAAACGTTCATGTCCTCCGTGATGACACAGGAACTGCTCTCACATTCTCTCAGATGTGTTTTATAACCTTGCATTCATTGCCATCCTTCCTCACATGGCCCGCCAACTCTCCCTTTCCGCATCTCAAACCACGACGCGTTCCTCTACGTAAATGGGTTGCACAAGTTCTCCTTCTCACGTCAAGTTCACTGCTTAATAATTGGGCATTCGCATACCATGTTCCCCTCACTGTCCAGATCGTCTTCCGCTCGGCCGGTAGGTAATATCTTCATCCAAGTTACATGTGATGTGCATGAATCTTGCCGTTCGACAGGATTAGCCATCTCCATGGTTTTTGGCTATCTATTCCTCAGGAAACGCTACTCTGTCCCTCAAATTGTGAGCCATTTTATTCTCTCAACACATGCACTCTCATCGACTCAAATTCAGGCTGCCGTTGCTTTTGTATCTGTCGGTGTCATTACTGCTACCCTCTCGCGACCATCTACCACTGCAAGTTCTGGCGGGTCAGCGTCAGGATTTAGCAAATATTCACTGGGCGTATGCATGCTCGTCATCTCGCTTTTCCTAACCGGCGCGCTCGGCCTACTGCAAGAAAAGACCTACAAACAGTATGGCCCCTGCTGGCAGGAGGGCGTATTCTACACAGTGATTACTCCACTCGATCGTGTAGATATATGCTGATTATGTCCGGACAAGCATTCCCTCTCTCTACCTATCTTCTTGTTCCTCATCCCCGATGTCAAGTATGGGTATCAGACGCTGTCGACTGCACCGGCCTCTCTAACACCTGCATCCATCCTCGCCTCCGCCACGCCTTACCTTGTCCTCATGGCGAATCTATTCACACAGCTCGTCTGCGTGTCTGGTGTCAACCAGCTGACCTCAGTGAGTTCCCTGTCACTTCTTCCGCGTGAAGCAGGCTGACGGAAGGAAACATCCGTTGCCCCGCTTCTTTGTTTGTTTCTCCCACCTCATGTCTGCCCTTCTAGCGGGTGACTTCCGTGACAACCAACCTTGCGCTCACCGCGCGCAAGGCTCTCAGCCTCTGCTTCAGCGTCTGGTGGTTCGGCAGCGGCTGGAATGCGCAGCTCGGTGCAGGCGCCGGCATGGTCTTCCTAGGATCCCTGCTCTATACCGTCGTGAGCACCAGCTGACCCGTATTCCGCTGGTCGCTTGTGGAAACGCGCATAGAACGGCTCGAGTAATTAATTAACAACACCCGAGCGTTGCTTGATCTGCGCTTGCGTTCTCATATTTCTGGTATATAGACCGGTTTCAGCAACCTATCCACAGAACCCTTCCTATTTATCTACAAAACGAGAGATTAGATCCTAGAGAACGGGGATATATGGACCGCGTATGATAAATCAAAAAAGCTGAGATACCAAAAATCTGAGAGACGCGAGTGCGAGCGCAGTCGATGAGAGTGGGTGTCTGCCGAATGGTCCGGACAATCGACGAAGACAAGGCGGGGGTATTACAGGCCGCCCGAAGGACGGGAGGTAGGGTAACTCGGGTGTACCTGGCGGTCAGTTAACTACTGAATAATGTAGAGGGATGGCCAGGGGTTATCAGTGTGGGATGATGACAAGTGTATGTCAAACATCAAGATGGAAAGAGAACGTGACGGGGCATAAGGCAGGAGAATCATGGTGCGTCGGAGAGGCACGAGACAACATGGCAGAGGCAAATGGGAGGGATATGCAAGACAGTATACAGGTTCACAGCAGATCATCATCCTGGCTCGGTCGCGAGGCAGTCCGATCATGGCGTAGCGAGGAGCCCGGTACGAAGACCAATCATGTCGCGACGAGCATGTACTGAACTGAGGTCCGTGAACGTACTCGACCAGGTTCAATGTTGCTTCTCGCTGAAATCGGTCATCTGTACTGGAGAGCTCGGTGCGGATGACTCCACGATGGCGCCCTCATCTGAACCCCGCAGCTTTGTGTTGGGAACATAGCCATCAGTAGCGGTTTCATTCCCAATCGTCATCGGTGTCACTGGGCGTGAACGGCTTGTGGATGATGTCACCGTCGAGACAAGTTGCGAGTTTTGTGGGTAATATGAACGGCGCTGCATCTTCTTGAAATCATACGAATTAAATCTACCACGACATGAAAAAAGTGTGAGAAATGCTATATTTACGTAGGGAAATTTGAGACGTACTGTTCCTCCATTTGCCGCATCTCCACGCTGAGGTTGTTGATGTCTTGTGCTTTTCGGTGCTTAGCCTTGAGCGGATTATCCTCGAGCAAGAGCTCCTCCAACTCATGCGAAGCATCGAAGTTCGCCTTCTTTGACTGACAACAAGTCATCAGTCCCCAAACCCAAGACAAGGAAATTTCGGTTACGCACGTCAGGAACGAATGGCGATATCTGCTGCTTGTCGTCCAGTGTGTCCCAGTCAATGTCCTGGAACCATGGGTGTCTCTGGATTTCCGCAGAGCCTTCAGTAGGTTTCCAACCCAGCCGCCTCGACGGATCTCGATCCAAAAACTGTGCAAGCAGTTAGATAGGCTTGCGCGATACGAGAAACCGGAAGCCACAGAACGCCGCTTCCCCTCGCCGGAACACACACGTGAAACGGAAATTGTACTCACAGCTCGCAACGCCTGCATCCCAACTTTACTGCACTTCGTGTCAGCATCGTCAGGGAACCGCACATGATCTTTGCAGATGCTGTGTGTCAGGTCACCATTCGTCTTCCCTCTGAACGGCCGGCGTCCAAAAATGAGCTCGTACGCGCAGATGCCCAAGGACCACCAATCGATGGTGTATGTGTAGCCACGCTTGGCAAGTATCTCCGGTGCCATGTACGCCATGGACCCTGCCACCCCTGTCAGTGGTCGACGTTCGGAATAATGAACTGCGATGTTGAAGTCCGTTAAGTGTGCGTGGCCCTGCTCGTCCAGGAGAATGTTGTCAGGCTTAAGGTCTCTTTATAATGCGGTTAGGTTAGGGCACTACAATGAGGCATAGTACGAACCGGTGTATGATACGGTGATCATGCAAATATGCAAGGGCAGACGACAGCTCGGCCACATAGAACCGAACAACTTCCTCGGGTAACGACCCCATTCTTTCCAGATGAACTGTTCTCAAAAAGTCAGGGGATGTACTGACACCATGAAACACTACGTACATCTCAAATCGCCACCGAGCATGAGATCCAGTACAAAGAAGCAATTTTCATCATCCTGGAAAGCGTAGCGCAAATTCACCACGAAGGGATGGTCGATCTTCGTACACAGTTTATATCCTCATGAGCCGAGGTTGCTACAGAGACATAAAGTACGCACTTCCTCGAGCAGCCGTCGTTCCTGGATGACATTTGCTACTGCTTTCATCTTGACGCATTTGGACTTGTTGATGTACTTGAGAGCATACAGCTCACGACTCTGCTTGTGTTGTACGACGCGGACCTAATGCACTCAAAATATTTGAGGCACACGCAGCGCACAGTAAGACTCGGTCCAACCTTGCCGAAGGCGCCTTTGCCGACACATCTCAGGAGAACGAAATGGAATAAGTTGACCTCTCCGTCAAAGTCAATGGGCTGCAGTCAGTAGAATCAGCGAGTATAGGGTCTGGACGACACCGCTGCGGGTAAAAATGGGCACACCTGAGGACGGCAGCATACAACACCCATGGTAAGTCGTGATCACTCGTTTACAGGTTGAAGAGGCAAAGAGTAGACGAAGAAGATACTAAAAGAAGGGGAGTCGCCGGAGGAGTGGGATCGCCAGGACTGCTGAGAGGTTAAGAGCAGTCGAGTAAAAGGATAAGGTCTGTGGGAGCAAAAGGAGGAACACCCAGAGCGGTCACAAGCGAGCGCATTAGCCGTAGCGAGAACGCCCATCATTTCCCGTCAATTTACAGATACATCCATCGCAAAATCATTTATCCCCGTCGAATTCCCTTTTCGAGACTTACATTACGCACCCACTGCCGCCCAAAAATATATGCGGCGCACCCTTTCTCTCTTTTTCCGTTCCGCTGCTCTGAGAATGTCTTCCGCAAAGGACGTCCTTCGTCCCCTTGTCATCTCTGGTCCATCCGGCGTAGGCAAAAGCACTCTCCTCCAGCGACTCTTCGCACAGTACCCGGACAAGTTTGGCTTCAGCGTCTCTCGTGAGCGTCGTTACCACGTACTGTAACGATCAACCTTCCGACCCGACGCGACTTTATAGACACAACTCGGCCTCCACGGCCAGGAGAAACCGAAGGAAAGCAGTACTACTTCGTCTCACGCGACAAGTTCCAGGAACTGCTCAAGCAGGGCGCGTTCATCGAGCATGCGGAGTTCTCTGGTAACTTCTATGCTACCAGTTTCAATGCAGTGCGCGAGGTGTCGCAGGCCGGGCGGCGGTGCATCCTCGACATTGAGGCGCAGGTGTGTCCGCCTGCCGCGTTTGCCGGTCTGCGTGTCCCGACGTCGAAATGCGTGTGTTCGTATTTAGGGTGTTCGTCAAATAAAACAGACCAATTTGGACCCAGTCTATCTCTTCATTTCGCCCCCGACACTGGCAGCCCTTCGAGCACGCCTGCAGACGCGGGGTACGGAAACGGAAGCTTCCACGTCGAAACGCCTTGCCACCGCACTGAAGGAGATCGAGTACGCAAAGGAGGGAGCCCATAATGTTGTCATCGTGAACGACGATCTCGAAAGGGCATGCGATTTGCTGAAGCGTGTCGCACTAGGAGAGGAGATCGCCAGCGACACCCTTCCCCCGCTAGATGATTAGTTCAGTAGATATGTCAGTCCTGTGGATTAGCGCTGTCAGAATACAAGATTGTATCGAATACATCTAGACCGACGGAAAGAGCGTGATGGTGCCCTGAAGGCCCTGAACAATCGGTGACAACGATGCCCTTACCAAACTATGGCTCCAAACTGTGATGGAGGGTATAGACGTGTGATCAAAGATAAGCGCGGTCAGACACGGAACCGCAGGTAGGCCATCAGTAGCGCAGAGCAACCAGTGACTGAAACATAGCCAAGTCAGAGGATGAGCTGAGGAACAAACCCATAAAGCTCGCACCGAAGCCGACAAGATACTGCAAGGTCGTAGCCTACACGCGAAAGGTTTAGTTCAGGTCCCTTCCGGATCCAATACGCGCTCACCTTTGAGGCCTGTATGGAAGTCCGGAGCGCAGCAATTTCCTGCTCTATCCGGGTGTCCACCTCCTTGATCTTGAGTTCCTGTTTGCTGTTCTCCTCCCGCATCCTGCCCTTCTCGAGGTTGAGGTCAAGACGAACGCCAGCTTGTGTGCGTGTGATCTCCTCGCGGAGGCGTTGCTTCAGCTTCTCAATATCCGTCACAAGGCGATCGTTCTCTGCCTTGATCATTGCGAGCTCGTTCTTCTCCATCAGCTGTAGCTCGGACTTGAGCTGCGCGAAGTCGACCTGTTGGGTGTAGTGGTGCTGCACGGCACGACACATGATGAGCATTACGGTGGGGGTGCCGACAGGTGCTGGGCACGCACCTTCTCCTGGTCGGCCTTGGTCACCATGTTGCTTGTCATGTTCCGTATGCTCTCATCGATGACCCCGGCCATGGCGTCCACGACGCCCTCCGCCTGCTCACGGTTGAGCCCTTCGTGTACCAGCCGCTGCACAAAGTGATGAGTGTCGAAGTGGAAGTCCAGACGGCGCGTAGTGCAGCGGAAATGTCGTGGATGTGGGTGCTTGCGTGAGGGTAGTCTGTTGGCAGGGCGCGTACCGCTGAGCGGAATGTCGTACATTCGGCGCGAAACTCGACGGAACATCGCTAAAGAATATAAATCTTAAACCGTCTCCAAGTACTGTAAATAAGAGAGGAGCAGCAGAAAGGTGCTTGTTAGAGTTTTAGAGTGAGCGAAGCTTGTCGCAAGGAGCAGCGCGGGATCGTGACCGTGCGAAACAACGAAGGAGCCAATCAGAGCTCGAATGCCGGATTTTCAGATAGATCTTCAACGCGCTCTTATTCACCAGTCATTTATCTTTGCACAATATTAGTCGCAATGCAAAGCGACGACGTGATATGGTCCGTCATCAATCAACAGTTCTGCTCATACAAAGTCAAGTCAGTCGTGATCCCCATTACCGTGGTCGAGGCTAATTTCGAGCTTGGACAGGACAGCGACACAGAACTTCTGCAGGAACGAATATAATGTCACAGGGTTTTGCAGCAGGCAGAGCTGCCCACTCGCGAACTCACGATATGCGACGGTTCGCGAGAAGGAGGGTGTGTTCGCATACCTCTCGGTCATCTCGCATACCGCTTCTCACATCTTCTCTTCAAGGGGTGTTGTACCTATACGTCAAGACAATCGAGCGTGCACATACCCCTGCACACATGTGGGAGCGCATCAAGCTTTCGAACAACTACTCAAAAGCTCTGGAGCAGGCGAGTTTCACCTGGTCGCGTCTGCCTTCCTGCAATCTCACTCCAGAAACAGATTGACTCAGAGCTCATACACTGGCCAAACTTCACAATACACAAGTGCAAGCAACGTGTGACAAAAGTTACGCAGTATCTCATCAAGATGCGCCGTCTGCGGCTACGCCAACAGTATGTCTTTCCTCTCGCACACCGGAACATGTATTCAGCTCACCCTCCATCTCTGCGCGTCGTCTCGCAGACCGAAGCTGGTTGGAGTGAAGAAAAAATTGGATCGACGAGAAGCCGTGCGCGAACGTAAAGCGCTCTCCGCGGCACGTCTCGAACGCTCGATCGAGGCAGAGCTCATTGAGCGACTCAAATCGAAGGCATATGGGGATGCGCCTTTGAACGTGAATGAGGCCGTGTGGGCGGCGGTACTCGATCGCGAGCGCGGAGTGGAAAAAGAGAAAGAGAAAGAGAAAGAGGGTGAGGAAGAGCTAGACATGGTAGATGATGAGACAGACGAGGAAGAGGAAGAAGAGGAGGGGTGGGGCGAGCGTGAGTTCGTGAGCGACTTGAGCGGGGAGGAGGATGGGCTGAGCGATTTGGAGGATGCAGCGGTACGTCCAGTTATTTCTACACATTTAGTGGGTTCACTGATTCAGTATGCAGTCGGAAGAGGACGAAGACGAAGATAGCGAAGAAGGGGACGTGGACGAAGAAGTGGAGGGCGAAGAACAGACAGGAAAAACCACCCTTGGGAAGCGGAAGGCTGTGCCTCACAAACCGCCACGAAAAAAGCCAGAGAAAAAAGCAAGACGTGAGTTGAACCAATTCGTCTTTGCCGAGCATCACGATGTTGACCGCTGTATGCAGGTGGTCCAAGGGTCGAGGTTGAATACGAGCACGAAATGGAGACTGTCCCTCTCACGAAAGAGGCATTGGCCAACTGGTAGCTTACTTACCCTTCTGTCACTGTCTCCGATACCATCTCTCAGCATTATTCACCACTACCTTTCTGCTTCGAGGTCCAAAGCATTTTGATGGCTGGCACTACATATCAGCACCACAATTTATCTAAGTAGCAATTGAGTGTGAGGGGCGATTAAGCGCATAACGGTAGAGTATTCAATACAATGCTGAGATGAAAGCTGTAAAACACATCCAGTAAGTTCCGCAAATTATTGAGCTTTCTTCTGCTTCTGGCGGCGCAGCTCCATGTCCTTCCGCGTCATGCGTGTACCAAGGAGAACATCCCAATGGATGAAGAACGGCTGCGCGAAGTTGGACTTTATACCAATGATCTGTAAAGTCCAAACGTGTGAGCAAAGAAGCTCCAAAATGAAAACGCTGCCGACAAATGATTGAATTGTATACGCACTTGATGGTGAATATCATGGTAGTCCGCAGTATTACTGCTGAAGAATTGAAGCACGTCCCAGGGTAGGCTATACCCGCAATGGTCGTCCACGGTCTTCAACGTCGACACGCAGAACAGCAATATTGCCTCTCTCGTTGACATTCCTGCCAACGATTCGGCAAAGACGGCGCCGAGGGTGTCGAGAAGGAAACCCTCGAGGGGGTGGTTATAGAGCGCCCCGAAGGCATATGGGACATAAAGTCTGTGATGAACCGAATGGAACCGCTTATAGAGGAAGGTGTTCATATGCATCGTGCGATGGAGGAAATACTGCCAAGTATCAATTATGAACCTGAGGAATGATCATCAGCGAAAGAAAGGTGGCGGAGATGTGCCCGAAAGGAACATACATGGCAAAGAGGAACCTCACTGCCGGGATTGTCCACCAATATAAGGTGTAGATCGACACAGCGCCTTGCGTCTCCAGGATTCTACCACCTGTCGTCTCACCAAATACCCACTGCAATGCATGCAACAGCGATGAAGCTAGGTTCGCCATTGCACCGAGGTGGTCTACGCCAGCACCTGACGCTTTCTCCTCCATCCAAAAGTATCCCATGGCAGTTTGAATGATGTGCTGGAGGATGACGGCAAGAATGACCTGAGTACGAGTGACAAGATTTTTTGCCTTGACTTCGGCGGACTCATGGATGCGGTACTTTTCAAGATATTTCCAGCCGGAGATATCAAGGCAGTGGAAGAAGAGAGACGAGATCCAATAAACAACGACAGGGGCCGCGAGAGAGAGATAATGGTCTGGCAGCCAGGAGAAGATGGCGGGCCTGGGGGTATAGTACAGGGGTGCTGTGGTCGAGAGGTAACGCAGCTGGACGGAACTGAAGACGGCAGCAGCATCACTGGCGTTCATCTTGACAGGACGTGGTGGGGTATAACGCAGCACAAAGGCAACTGCGAGAATATAAATACTGCGATTGCGTGCTGGTGGGACGAGCAGAGATTGGGGAGCTGTCAAAGTCGGTGTTCGGAACGACCACTAAATAATGTTGCGAGACGAGTGCAACCCCCGTACATAATATTACACGTGATCGTTATCGTGCCTCGAAAGTCCCAGGCCAGGTGAAACTAGCAGAAAATATCGAAAGCTCATGCTGAGGATTGAAAAATTGAAGCCTGTAAGGGCCTGGAGGATGACCCGCTATCTGATAAGATAACGACAGTGATTCCCCATCCTAAGTTACAGTTGCTCGCTGTGTCTCCATGGGAAATGCTAGCGATCAACGCCAGTTGTGGATCTCTTATATTTTGCTCCAATTTTGTGGCAGAAAGACACCTTTGAGATGTAGAAGTCACGTGCGTTTCCGGAACTAACTTGGCAGTATTTTCTGTTCTGTTCATCCCGCCACCAGATTCATACCGTCCGCCAGCACAGTTCGGGTTGCCACTCGCCTCTCAACTCCTCCTTCCATTCCTTTGCCGTTCAACTGTGTTTATCTACTATTTTGTCGTAATCACCCCTTCGTACTGGCGTATCCCCCAGACCGTCATCCGAGCACAGACTCCTGAGGCTGGTTGAAGTATGGCATCCAGCAGCAGTTCCTCTATCATGAAGGAAGAAGAAGAAGATGTAGTCGAGATCAAAAAGTATTTGGCCACTGGTCCAGGAGCCGGAAGGGAACCTTCCAGTTCGGTGTCTGCAGGTCGGTCGCATGAACGTCTGCACGTTATCTTACAGGTTACGAAACGAATGCGCTGCGCAAACACTTAGTGCCACCAATCGTATGCTACTGTCTCGCATCAATTATCATGACTGTCGTGAACAAAGTTTGTCTTTCAGTAAGGCTCTTGCTTGCGCCATATGCTAAAGTACGAGCATAATAGTTCGTCGTGTCAGGGCGGCAATTCAACATGAATTTTCTGCTTCTATGCATTCAGTCCACTGTCTGCGTTGCATGCGTGATGTTCGTCAAGAAACTCGGAATCATCTCATTCCGGTCGTTTGACACGAAGGACGCGAAGATGTGGTTCCCCATTAGTTTCCTCCTCGTCCTCGTGATATATACAGGGTCCAAGAGTCTGGTGCGTAATGCCAACAATGTAGTAGTCATTCTTACACGACTGATGTGGTGACTTACTCCTAGCAATATCTCAGTATTCCTGTCTACACGATCTTCAAGAACCTGACGATCATTCTCATAGTACGTGTCCTTGAGTTGCTTTTGCGAGGCCGGGTTTCACGTTACGGTACATAGGCCTATGGGGAGCTCATCTGGTTTGGCGGGCGCGTTACCGCCCTAACGTTTGTCTCATTTATCATGATGGTAACGTGCTTGAACCTTATAAAATTAGACACTCGAGTTTCATCTGCCTTTAGGTTATTTCGTCCGTCATCGCCGCATGGGCAGATATCAGCGATGCCTTGATCGCAGGCGATCCGGCGGTCGCAGAAAGCATTAGCATGGGCCGTCTTGCAGCTGTGAAGGGGATCGTCACTAACCTGAACGTTGGTTACTTCTGGATGCTGGTCAATTGCTTGACTAGTGCTACATACGTGCGTCGTTAATCACCCCGTCTACAGCTGTTGTACCTGATGATTGCAATAGGTGTTGGCGATGCGCAGCAAGATCAAGGCTGCAGGATTTTCGGACTGGGACTCCATGTTCTACAACAACCTGCTATCCATCCCCGTATTGGTGGTATTCTCTCTCATCGCGGAAAACTGGGGATATGAGAATTTGAATCGCAACTTGTCAGTTCATATAACAATTGCCGGATCCAGCCATATGTGCTGACCTGCGTACCAGCCCTGCGGAGACAAGATCCTTCCTCTTGTTTGCTATTGGCTTCTCCGGTGCGGCGGCGGTCGGCATCTCGTATACGACCGCGTGGTGCATACGAGTGACCAGCAGCACGACGTACAGGTGAGAAGTCGCAGCATGCGCGGCATGCGTACGCTGACGTTTGCCTACCTTGCAGTATGGTCGGCGCACTCAACAAACTCCCTGTTGCCGCGTCTGGAATGATCTTCTTCGGTGATGCCGTCACCTTTGGATCAGTCTCAGCCGTTGGGGTTGGTTTCTTTGCCGGTCTCGTCTACGCCGTGGCCAAGAACAACCAGAAGAAGGCCGAGAGCGTCGCGCAACAGGGCGTAGGCATCATCCCCATGAGTCGGAAGACATAAACGTGGGTTGGCCAGGGTACAAGGTGTGTGTGATAGTGAACATGGGACTTTGGTACGGTGTAGATCAGGAGCTAGATATTTACCGTAGACACTATAGACTTATTTTTATACGATATCTCGGAAAAGCGTGGCACTGTGGTCTTTGATATGAAATGATAGGTGAGAGCACGAATAGTACGTCAGAGCAAGTACAATGTCTTCTAAATTATTGATAGCTGCACCGGTCCCTTCAGGCTGTCGTCGACGAGCGAGCCACCGTGACAACTTTGCAACGGATGAGAAGTGCAAGGCGCCATTTGGGGCATATCGGGGCTATCCTGATTTCAGGAATATTAAGGTTTACTGGCTGGGACTGGTGTCTCCTCCCAGGATGCACTGCGCCATATGTATAGTATGCCTGTGTGGTTTCAAAATCATTGACAGATCGAGATCTGATTGTACAAGTCAACATGTTTTTGCCATTAATCACAGTCGGTCGTACCTCTATATCCCTCTCAAGGTCTTCCTTACTAGACAAAACACCGTTGCTGTTGCTTCCTTATTATTTTGGCGCGTTGGTTCTATTCGAGATAGCCACCTCCGCGTCAGTGGTCTGCTCTTGTGTCAGCCTGAGCCAGTGGCGCTTGACACGGACTTGAACGTTGTAACACTATCATTGACCCGGTAGTGCAAGGTGTCTTGCACTTCTGTCACCATGCATTCAGACCGAGCCCGTTTGACCCGGAATTTTTCCTACATAATGTCTAACATATAAAGTATGTCTTCAATACCTCTTGTATTTTTTTTCTTGATGTTGTGTCATCTTGAGAGTAAGTGCGACGAAGAGAGTCATTTGCAAGGAAGAGCGCCCAATCGGTCACAGATCGTCACAAGTGCCGATATGCCGTTGCCTTGTCTGTCCTCTAGTCGGAGCTCAAACTCCAGCGCTTCGTTGTCACGCCTAAAGCACGTCTGTCTTGCAAGTCGCAGAGCACATACTATTCCTCATAGCGGTTTGCACTCAAATTGTATGTCTAAAATCCTAGGGACAATTGTAGCTACTCCATATTTTTTTCGTGAATTTTGGTGGAGTAGAATTCCCGGGAGACGGCATCTTGCACTACTAGGCCACTTTGCACTTCAGGGTCAACGATAGTATGATTCTATGATGAAGCTGGCCTCAGCAAGGCCTCAGCCACTCAAAACATCTACAACAAAACTCTTGGCGACACAATGACGGCCTGAGCAGTGCTACTGCCCTGCACTGTGCTTAGGGCTTCCGCCATGATGTACAGGAGATGCTTGCCATCGATATCCTTCAGGGCTTCACCCGCGACCGGCGATGCTGCCGTGATACAATTATTCAGGACATCTATACAAGCTGACGTGTGGCAATATTCACATCCTCCGCATAGGGTACTGCCTAAGCATCCATCGATTTGTGGCCCCCTTTTGTTTTGAATCTCGGCAACACCCACCATGTGAGGCAAGGCCATACCATCGTACTGTGACACAGCACAAAGGCATCGAAACGGTCCACATACCACTGTTTCACCATCCAGTTGACCCAATCATTCGCGACCTGCATATTCAAAATCGGTGTTCTTCTACCCGTCTCTTACACTTCCATGACTGATTCGGAAGTCACTCAGTACGCGTAAAGCTGAAAGACTGGTTCCCTTGGCGAAGCGGAAGTTTGTTAACGTGATCGTCAGCTTTAGCTTCACGAAATAGAGCACATGCTCTGCCCAAGGTACAAGGCGGACTCGGAGCCGTCTTGAGAAGGAAGGAATATCAAACACCCGTTTTTTATGCTGAAGATGCGATGTGTGTGTGTAGCCTACTATTAACTTGCTAATGATTCTTGTGGTGTTTCCACAACTCATAGATGCTACTCGTACTAATCCGACAACTCGCTGATCACAATGAAGCAGATATCGAGATCCGTTCATGAAGCCAAGATTGGACAGTTCTTCTCTCCTGAACCCCTTCGATCGGATTCACGCAATCACTGCATCCCCATGTACGATGTTCTTCACGATCCCGTATACGTGGACGTCATCACAGTGGTAATGCCTTTCCTGCGGACTGTAGAATACTCCCCAATTTAGCCCTCTGGGTGAGGCGGTCGAGCCTTACTCGCGATCCTAAGATATCCGACGAAAGATGTCTTCGCCGAAATTGCTTTTACACCCTCATGGGCACGCACCATGGTGCTGCGATCCGCTTCCTCCTAGGTATCGGACACATGTCAGAATATCTGAAATATAGCGGGGCGACTGCTCTCCGAGTCTGTCCCGACTTACATACACAATCTCTCCTACAGTCTGTACGTTTTGGATCGCTCCCGCATTGTAGTTGAATATCCCTATACTATCTCGCTGCAGTGGACTCAGTGCTTCTAGCAACTGGTCAGATTACGTTGACTACGATGATATACGTGTAACCGGTAGGATAAAAAATCATTTTACGTGGAAGAGATTACTGGGCTTTAAACAAAGTACGAACGTATGAGTCTGAATCAGCGCAAGCTTATCACCAGTGTACGTGTGCCGTTGTAGCAGAAGATACATGAGACAACATGGAAGATGAGCGAGCCATTGACGTGGACTGCACTCCCGGCACTGTTCACGAACGGTTAATCGATGAATTTCGAGCATGACTATAAACGTACGAGTGACTGCAGCGACACGGTGGTCAAAGGGAAGGTCATCGTGCTTGTCATACCTGACTTCCGTGTAAGGACCATGGTGCAAATGATGGTGCCGTCCCACCAGCTTGAACAAAGGGTAACAGATCGACTGCACCTCGCCTTCCTCTACATCCCGATGCTTGAAGTCGCAGCTCTGCGCGGTCGTCTGCCAGTGGAGATCTCCCTTGCCGTGCATGGCATTGATAGGAGTAGAGGCATCGAGGCTGACTTCCACAAGACGTTCCTGTCTGGGAGCGTAAAGGCGGGCGTACGAGTAGCAGGTGTATAACTCGGTTACAATGACGCGATGGCTCCACCAGCTGTGACGAGCTAGAAGAGACGAGAGTCGACCTGGGAAGGAGAGGCTGTGATGACGTGGTTTCACCATGGCGAGGATAGCACCATGGTGATCTGAAATTTTGAAGGACTTCTTGATACCCGCTTGAACGGGACCATAAGAACTTGATGGATAAAGATAGAGAATTAGGAATGATAGACCGAGAGGTGACAAGGTGGTTCACCGCATACCCTCCTGCATCGACAGACAAAGATTTCTCCTCAGCTGTTTCGGACTGAATGAAACGTACGCTGTCCTCGGCGTTCACTTGTTCCTCAATGCGAAGTTCCTCAGCGAGACCGTCGTCGAATATATTCCCCTCCCGAGAAAACGAATGATCTCTTTCCAGCTTCCCGTAGTCCCCCAACTTGAATGAAAGTAATAGTCAGTAAAAGCACCACGGGATGACATGAACTTGTTTACGCACTCTGACGGGGTTAAGAGGCTCCCAACTGGCGTACAGATGAGATGCCTGAAACATCAATTCTACGTAGTGCTGCTCCGCCGTATGATGCAAGTGAGAGATATCGAAGGGCAGATGCATGACTGCGATAACTGTGGGGATTTGAAAGAAAGGAACACTGACTTTATATTTACGGACGCGAGCGCGAAAAGAACAGCCACATCCACGTTAATCTGGCTTACCGCATCACGAACCACAAATGCACGTCCAACAGGCCGTTACACTAGACCACTGATTGCTTGATACCATGTTGCCGCTGATGACAGAATGTGAAGTAGCGCTCTTCCGAGCACAAGGAGGATTCTAACAGCCTCTCAGACGCCGCGCGTACCACAGGCAGAAAATTTCATGAACAACGAGACAATACCAAACAGGACTTGTCATGGGAGAGATGCCGCATACAGGAAGGTCAAACGGAGACAGCCGCCAACATTTAGTCCGTTCACATCTGCAAGTGCTGCTGTGCCTCAATAAGAGTACAAAGGCAGTAAATGCGAGCCATTGAAAGGGTACGAGGGTACGTCGGTACCTGCTGCCCCGATGCCTCACCTTGAGCCGTCTTCCCTTGATGGAGGTTCGATAGCAATTGCGTATCTTGTTCTGTGGTACACCTCGCATTCACCGCGTTGACCTTCATAACATGACACCAGCACAATGAGGGCTTATTTGAATGACCATGACTCACCGGAGGTCCACGAATGGTCCAACGCCTGCTTATCTTCGCATATCACGGACCGAGACTTGACGACGTGCGTCATATCGGTCGACGAACAAGCATGGATTGTATCGAGCGACTAATGGAAGTTAAGAGATGTCCGCACTGCAAGCGTCCAATTGTTGCCAGTTTTCACAGTTCGGTAGTCGTATAGGACATTCCGGCAATGAAGACACTGAAGATGCGAAGCTCTACACGAAAGTTTATTGACGTCTATCGTATGACCAGGCAACTAGGTCATGATGCAGGCTCATGAGGGAGACATGCGATATCAGCGTGCTCTGCCACAACATGCTCCCATTGATCCGACGGAAGATAAGAGTGGTCTAAACTCACCCGTGATTCATCTCGGGAAGTGGCTTGTGGTGTGCGACAGCTTCTATTCTGCACTGTCCATGCCCTCCTGCTCAGGGTCAGCGCTCAGCCCTGCTGCGACGGTCATGAACCTATTATACCATCGTTAGCTAACCTATGTAGGAGCCACTCCGGTGAATAGTTAAAAAACCAGCATACTGTGCAGCATGGGTGGCAGCTAAAGTGCGCATTGCGTCGAGGTTAAGCTTCAGCGACTCGCATAGTTCAGCCGTGCGTCCGATAGACTGCGAAAGACGCGTCAGGCTGTGCGATAACTGCATGTAATGCCTGTCTTTGGCTTGGGTCGCGTTTGTGGGTTGCGACTGCATCGCAAAAGGGAACGGTGAACTGATGGTGGTCAGGAAAGTGTGGTACTCTAGTCGCAGTACTAGAATCGTCAGGTGATTCGTGAACGCGACTGTCACGATCGGTCACACCCAAGAGTCCTACTCATGCTCGCCACCGGAGAACCTCTTAACTGATTAGACCAAACGCGATGAAGGAACGAATTCCTTGTTATGCCATCTCAAGAGGTTCCCCCAGCAATGACTATATAGCGTTAAGATACCCCGAAACTTTGGACACAAGCCGTGTACAAATCATGATCATTCTGCCTTCTGCAGCTTCTTGCGGCGAACATCCATATCCTTCCTTGTCATGCGTGTACCGAGAAGGACGTCCCAATGGATGAAGAACGGCTGTGAATAATTGGACTTAATTCCAACGCTCTAGTAGGTGCATAAATCAGTATCCTGCGGAAGCATCCGAGACGGCCAGAAGAGCCTCGGTGTATAGACACAGCGAGACTGGACCATACCTGATGGTGGATATCATGGTAATCAGCGTTGTTGCCAAAGATAATTTGCAGCGGATCCCACGGCAAGTTGTATCCGCAGTGATCGTCCACAGTTTTCAGAGTCGATAGGGAGAACAGTATCACAGTCTCTCTAACGGCGAGGCCGACAATTGCCTCGGCAAAACCCGCGCCAACACTGTCAAGAAGGAATCCCTCCAAGGGATGGTTGTATAGCGCGCCGAAGGCATACGGGACGTAAAGCCTATGATGCACCGAGTGTATCTTCTTGTAGAGATACGGATGGGAATGCATGCCTCGGTGAAGGAAGTACTGCCATGTGTCGATGATAAACCTGTGAAAAGATAAGAATACATGAGCGGGGAGTGTGGTACTACTGTAGAGGGACGGCTTACATGCCCAGTAGCAACTTCGTCGCAGGTATAGCCCACCAATAAAGCCAATAGAGAATTTCTGCGCCGTTCGTCTCTAGCATCCGCCCGCTAGTTTTTTCTCCGAGAGTCCATCGGGCCACGAACATCAGAGTGCGCGCAAGATGTTCCATGGCCCCGACATGATCGACATCGGCTCCAGCTACAGACACCTCCATCCACCATATGCCTGCAACTGTCTGTACGAAGTGCTGGAAGAGAACAGCTCGGATGACCTGCATGCGGGTCGCAAGGTTCCGAGCTTTCATCTCGGCGGAGTCATGAAGACGGTATTTGTCCAACCACTTCCAATCCGATGTATCGAGGACATGGAAGAAAAGAGAGGCTACCCAGTAGACTATGACCGGGGCTGCGAGAGCGAAGTAATAGTCAGGAAGCCAGGGGACTAGCGACGGCCGAGGGGTGTAGTAGACTGGGGTAGTGGTGGACAAGTATTGTAGTTGGGCGGGACTGAGTAAGGAGCGAAAAGTCTGCGTATGGTCCATGGTGGACGGTAGGAGACAAGAAAGTCATGGATAATAGCTGGGCTCATGCTTCACGGAGGAAGATCGGAACATTTGGGCATGACGCATGCTGGCTTACTCTGAGGTAAATCTCACGTGACGCGGCGCGTACTGTCACCTCTTGAGCTGCTCTGTCCCTTGTCTGTCCCGCTTGTCCCTGTTCTGGACATTCGTATCTCGACTTTCTACCTGGAGCATATTTCAAGTCCAGTGGGACGCTGAGTATGGGCGACTGCAGTGAATGCGCAGAGGCAGATGCGATGTAAGACGGAGAGCCAGGCAATTTGGGCGATGCCGGTACTTCTCAGATCCAGCGAATCGTCATTTGTGAGGCTGTACTTATGGGCGTTGCAAAGTCACATACACTCTATTGAAACTTTGCTTCTTCCGCATCGACCGAACAAGCCGCATTCTTTGTATGAGAGCGCCTACCATGGAGGTGCATCTCCGCGGCGCGCGCATGCCAGTGACTCCGACAGCGGGTTGCAACCCGGTTGCAAGACGGCTCAGAGAATATTCGGGCCTGAGATAGGTCTACCTCATCTTCTGTACCCAAGCACATACTAGCAGTAATACTTCACTTCGAAGCCACCGCCATTAGATTCCCGTGAGATGTGGTGGTACTCGTCCCTTCCCGTACGAAATGTGCGCGACGTCGAGGAATCCTACGACTATGTGATAGTTGGTGAGTGCCACATTTCTTACACGTCGATCTCGACTTATGACGCGTCCACAGGAGGAGGAACGGCAGGTTGTGTGCTGGCGAATCGTCTGAGCGAAGACAAGTCCGTGACCGTGCTCGTGCTCGAGCGAGGCGGAGTGCAGGATGGGTGGATAACGCGCATCCCTCTCTTCTCCTCCCATTTCGCGTCAGATGGCTCCCGCACGCGTGTATGGAAGAGCACACCACAGGCACACGCTGGCAACCGCATCTTTGAACTCTGTGGCGGGAACTGCCTAGGCGGTGCGTCTAAAGTCAATGCGATGCTCTATACGCGCGGCGTGCCAGCCGAGTACAATTCTTGGAGCGAGGCCGGACATGTTGGTTGGAGCTACGACGAGCTGCAGCAATATTTCATCAAATCAGAGACCGATCTCGACCAAGATCCGAATGAGGCGGATGATTTTCATGGGATTTCTGGTGGGGGTGCTCAAATTTGGCTATCTCTGTCATTGTGGCTAAATTATGATTGTACGTAGGGGAATGGAAGAATCGGTCGCACAAACAATCCTTCTGGGGTCACACACCGCAGTAAGCACGGTGCAATACTCTCCGGCCGATGCGGCTGACTCTGCATAGTATCATTGCAGCCGCAAAGGCCCTAGGCGTACCTTATGTTGATGATCTGAATTCACCGCTGCACCCATCGCATGGGTGTGCCAAAATGCACTACACGATTGACGGTGCCGGTCGGCGCAGTTCGACCCACAGCGCATTCTTACCCAACGAGGTCGCGAATGCGCGCAAGCAGCATCTTCATGTATGTGCCAACGCACTTGTGACGAAGATCGACGTGCAGAAAGGCGAGGACGGTGCGCTCAGGGCAGAAGGAGTGTACGTGCGGTCACTGCACGGTCACTCATCGTCCCGCTTTGTACGTGCGCGGAAGGAAGTCATTCTGTCTGCAGGTCCAATAGCGTCTCCCCAGGCGTTAATGCTCAGGTAAATGCTGCACGTATTTCTCGTGATCTCTCGTGACCAATGTACTTTCAGTGGCATCGGTCCCGAAGAGCACCTCAAACAGCATGACATTGCTGTGCTGAAGGATCTCCCGGGTGTTGGGTCACATCTTGTGAGTTCCATCACAAATTCTCTGAGGTTTGCTTCATGTTGTCGATCCGTAGCAAGACCATCTTGGTGTGGCCGTGCAGTTCTGTGTGCCCTTGCTCGACTCGATGGTAAAATTCCAGCTACGGCCGTGGACGATAATTCGGGAGCTATTCCTGTATTTCTTTTTTGGTCTTGGGCTCCTGCTCTGCCCAGTTCTGGAGCTCTCCATCTTCCTACAGTCGCGCTTGTTCGCCAAAGGCTACCGCACCGTCTCGCAGACCAAGTATGACGATGATGCCTCTTTGTCCATCAATTTGCCGGACATCGAGATAATGCCGGTGAGTTTCACTCTGGTATTCTCACATCATTCCGCTCACCCAGATACAGATTGCGTGGGCCGACATCAAGGTCAAGAACACCGGTGCAGGGGGTCTAGGGTTCCTGGGCATCGTTCTCCGACCAACCTCCCTCGGCACCGTCCGTCTCGGCTCGAGCGATCCCCACGAGGACCCTGTCGTCGACCCGAACTATCTCGCCACCGAGCACGACATGGCGCTCTTCCGTCATTCCGCGCGATGGACCCTGCGGCTGCGCGACCAGATCGCCGCGCGTGGCTACCCCATCTCGGATAACATCGTGCCCGCGAGCGAGTCCGATGCGGACATCGACGCGTTCGTGCGGAGCGTGTGCCAGACCTCGATGCATTACTCCTCGACGTGTCGGATGGCGCCGGAGAGCGACAACGGCGTGGTCGACGATCGGCTGAGGGTGCATGGCGTGCGGGGCTTGCGCGTGGCGGATTCGAGTGTGTTCCCGGATGTGCTGAGCACACATCTTCAGGCGGCCACCGTAGTGGTGGCAGAAAAGTGTGCGGACATGGTAAAAGAGGACCATAAGGGAGACATCTAGGTCTGTTCGTCTTTGGGCATTGGGTAACATCCTAGTTAGAAAGATAGAGAACCTGCAGGATCACTGCGTCCCACTGATCGCTGACAAGCAGACAATCTACAGAAATATACGGAGATAAGGACGTAATTACGGCATTGCAGATTATACCAATGGATCCTTAGATTAAACATAGCGTATGCAGCACATAGAGCTAAATGCGAGACACTAAATTACGGCCATTCTTTCATTTTCCATCGTTATGTATCGCATGCGTGATGCATGCATAATCATCAATCTTCCGGCCGCAGGTAGGTAGGGTGTGCGAGTTCATGTAGTTGCGAGTGAGGAATGGAGAAGCGATCTGTAATCGGATGAATTTGGGTAGCCAGGTGAACCGCGGCCTGAGGATAGCGGCGGCGTCCCACCCGTATGAGCGCAAATGATCAGTACGCGACGTAAGCAACGCAGAGCAGAGGCAGTCCCGCATAGAGGCCCAGCCAGAATACAATGTTACCAAGGAGTTTGTTGCGCTTTATAGCTGGAATACGGCCAATAGCAATCAGTGGGAGTTGAATGATCTACGCAAGTGGAAAAATTAGCAAGAAATCAGGACAGGCGTAAATTACACCCACTTGGAGAACAAATAAGTACATCCTGATCTTCTTCGTCACAATCGCCATGACCAGCTCGTGGGCAGAGGCACTCAGTAAGAACGTCAAGAACATCGCGCTGGTGCGCGACAGCTGGTAGTTGGTTATCGTTGACGCGTATACATGGCGCAGTAGGAAGGTATGCACTGGGCGGTTCCATTTGCGCGAGAATTCGTCCCACGACGTAGAGTTCCACTGAGGGATAGCGGGTTAGCGCGCAACGGCCTGCTAACAACCTGTCAACTTACCCAGTCATCATAGAACCGACGGTCCGCAAAGCTGATGCATGCATGCGCTCCTGTCAGGGCTACCCATAATTCTGGACAAGCCATACGCCACTTACTAAGATAGTTCTGCGAATCCATTGCAAATACATTCTAACGGATTAAAGTGAGATCATCGAGTATTAGTCGATACTGAGGAAGCGGTCAATACATACCGAAGATGAGATAGAACAGTAACAGATATGCGATCATGAACGGTAGCGCAAGATCGAGCAGGGAGCGGAAGAAGGACTGATCCGGCGTGGGGGTCAACGGAAGGATGAAGCTCTCCGTCACTGTGTACAACAGCGCGAACGACCCGAACGTCGCCACTGTCTTCTCGAAAACATATAGTGGGCGGATGCTGCAAGTGATGGACAAGGAACAAATCAAAAAGGCAGGAACAAGCGACATGGCGTAAATTTTATATTCATGACGCAATACATCTGGAGCACGCACCGATCCGTCCTAGGATACTCCAGCTCATACACCAGCGACGGGATCAGTAAATACACACCGAAATTTCTCAGCGAGATATTGGCAGGCCAACGAATGTGTTCGGGACCCGAGCTAGTAAGTTCCGCCTCCAGCTCAGCGTGTGCGCGTGCCAACTCCGCAATATGAGAACTCGGGTGATTTGCAAGAATCTGCGACGGTGTCGGTGGGATGTCCGAGGGCTCAGACACTCCAGCCACGCGCGTCCCGGCCGTCTTGACTTGTGTCGTACGTTCTGGTGTGTCGGAACGGGAAGAGGATTCGGAATCCTGAGTGATGCGAGAGCCAGAAGCCGTGATCCGTTGGCGAAGTGCAACGGCGGCATCCGGGGGAATGTATGACGTGGTCGAGCCCTCCGTTACCTTAGGTGTTCCGTTGGGATAACTGTTCCCGTTGCCGACGTGCCCCCCTTCGCTTTCAATTTTGGTTCTGTTGGCTTCAGCAGCTGCCAAGGCAGAGTCCCAGCCACCGTCCTCTGCTACGGCGCTATGCAACTTCGCGTAAATGCTCTCAGCCTCGGCGTTTGCAACCGTCAGGTTCCCGTTCGTGGCAATGTACGAATGCACCTTCATTATCATGACCTAGACAGGTATCAGAACCGATGGGACAGTCATCGCGAGTCAACGCTCACCAACGAATGGAGGGTCAGGAATCCTGACTGGACCCAGGGCCATTGCCTGAACATGATGAACACAATTTTGCCTCAAAGGAAGCTATATACCCACCTGTTGAAGGTCCACGTAACTGCAAATGCCAGCACACAGCACTGCCACAAATGCTGTAGTATCACCCCCGTCCAATGATACTTAATCCACCCATTCTTGATAGCTTTAGCGAAGGGGACACAGAGGAAGGTGCTTCCGACAAGGGTAGCATCGGAAAGTGTGAGGGTGATTGCATCGCGCGAGAACATGGTGGCAAATCCTAGGTTGAGGGCGTAGCCATTGGTCTCGATGCTGCGTATATATGTGCGCACAGTGAAGATAAACATGGAGATCCAGAAGAGCGTGAAGAAACCCTGCCAACCGCGTTCAGCTGTTTGGCATTGCTCCGCTGGGCACGAAGAAGGGAGACTCACGCGGAACTCATTACTACCGGATGACTCGTTCGTTGTGTCAAAATGCGATTTGCGCGGAGTAAACGTTATTACTGCGCGCATGTTGTTTGTTGAAGACGAGCGAAATGGCTTCGACACATATAAGGTTCCCTCCTTGGTCTCCAAACCGACACTAGGATTACGAGCGAGCGAGGGCGGGGCATGCCCACTTTCTCCTGTGGCGTCGGAGGGGTTGCCGGGGTTCTGAGATGGGTCACTTGAACGATATACAGCGGTGAATGAGGATAGAACACACGAAAATTCAGCAGGCTGCGAAGACTAGAAGACGTACCTGGGCTGTGATAAGGCCATGAATTGTCGGGGTGCGGAGTCGGGCTCGTTGCGTTCTATATATCAAGGGAAGATCAGGGGTGTTAGTATGTGGGTGGGATAGGATGAGTGAGCGGATCTCGGCAGGACCAGGTGGTGAAGACGGCCCTAGGGATTACAGCAGCTTACTTATGACACGCCGCTGCTAAGCGTTTACATCCGACTCGGACACTCGGAGGAGCAGCACAGCCGCCCGTGCGCGTCACAAGTCACGTGCTGGTGTTCCATGTCATCCCGCTTACCCGACGGCTGAAGCGCTCTCCTCTTCCCCGACACACCTCCCGTCCGCGGCATGGATCAGGTCCGTTCTCGTGGTATACACAGCTAACCCGCACTGACATATCCGCGACATCACAGGACTCGTTCAGGAAGCTCCTCCAAACCCCGGGAGCCTCCATTCAGCACGGCTCGCTCCTCGCCGCGGGGACCAAATCGAAGCAGTGAGTCCTCTACTCCCCACCTGTTCAAGTGCAGTAGTTCACGTTATCTGCCCAGGAAGGTCGTGAATTCTGTCCAGCCTGCGTTCAAGCCTCGCACAGTCAAAAAGAAGACCGAAGGACCCTACCGTGATCGCGCCGCCGAACGCCGCCTCGGGCTTGACAACGATTACGCGCAAGCGAGTATAATCCGTGTAATGTCCGTCGATCCAATGTTTCTCATTAGTATGTTCATAGGTTGAAGCTCTCGCAGAAGATTTCGAGCGTAACAATGCCCACAATGCGGACCGTGAGGCAGTAAGTGCCTTCGCATCCTCGTTGTACGCCTTGCTCATCCGTGTAGGTAGAGGAGCAGCGCCGCTACCTTGGTGGGGACAGTGCGCACTCCGTGCTGGTTAAAGGCCTTGACTACGCGCTGCTTGAGCAGAACCGCGCGCGCGAATCCGCGTCGACTAATGCTCAGGACGATGACGCGCTCGAACGCGCATTTGTCGAGATCTCCGAAGCGTCCTCTAGCGGGCAGAAACGCACGCGCGAGGAGATCGTGCAGGCTTTGAAGAACAAGAGAGCAAGGGTTGGTAAAGACGCAAACGCACGGCCGGAGAAGCTTCCGAGTTCTGACGTGGCACTCGAAGAAGCAAAGAAGGTGGGCAAATTTAAGCCTATCGGTTTCAAACCTATCGGAAGTATTGCGGGGGAGAAGGCGAAGAAGAAGGTGAAGCAAAATACAGAGGCGCTGGGTGAGAAGGGAGAGCGGAAGAAGAAGCGGAAAGTTGACTCAAATGCTGATGAAATGCTTCCTCCACCACCTCTCCCTGTACCTACCCCTTCCGCAGACGCTGGTCCATCGAAGCCGGTCGTTCCATCTGTTCCAGAATCAGGATCAGAACCTATACCGGAAGACTTCGATATCTTTGCGGACGCTACTGAATACACAGGTATTGACCTTGACGAGGACGAGGACAGCGACAGCGAAACGCAGGGAAAGATAAAAGAAGAAGGTAGACGAGAGTTTGAAGAAGACGAAGAACAGAGCGTACCCTTCAGAAGAGAGTGGTTTGAAACGGAGGAAGATGAGCAACCTCCATCTCCCAAACCTGGTGTGGATCACGCTGTCACGACAAAACCACCACTTCCGAACACTTCCCGATTTCCTACTACAGGTTCGCCTGTCCCGGCGGTGCCTGAATTCGAGGAAGGCGAAGAGGAAGAAACAGAGGCTCCAGTCCGCCTGCAACCACTTGCATCTTCGGCGTTGCCCTCCATTCGGGACTTCCTCGCGCTCGACTCGGCGGCAGACAAGGCGATCAAGCGGCGAGCCCGCAAGGATAAGAAGCGCGAGGGTGGTGGACAGGGCGGAGGCGCCAAGGACTCGAAGGCTGAGAAGGACAAGCTTGACAGAGACTACAAGCGGTGAAGCTGCCTCCTCTATGTTGTCAATAACCACTTGCTGACTTTATTTTCTTCACCAGATTGAAAGCGTATACAGATAAGAAGGCGGCTGCAGGTGGGGACAAACGCTGATACCCTTTCTCTGTATCCTCCAGCTTTTCGCCATGTTCATCTTCGCATTCTGCCGCCCGCTGTACGTATCCGGGAGTAGGTGTAGTATGTACTGGTGGCATGCTGTATCTCAGATTCTCAGAATCCCCAAATTTGCCATCTATCGATGGCGGAAACTCAAGCGTACATATCATCTTTTCTACGCCTCTGCCGCACAGGTTGCGCTATCTATGTTAGACCGTACGTACATGGGTTGCAACACCCAGGATGGCAAAATGCGTGATCTACCTCTACTCGCTCTTGCTTGGCACGGCTATCCCTGCGCGGTGAATGAACGTTGCAAACGACATTCGTGCATCGTCCTGGTCTTCCAATGATCTATCCGGAATGCAGTATGTCAGCGATCTATCGTTCAGAGCTAAAAGATATGACGGAGACTTACCTGCGCTTCATCTCGCTGCGCCATGTCACCTCCCTGAGTTCTGGTGTGCGCAAGGCAGCACCAAAGGTCGCAAGGACCAGGGCAACAAGCGCCTCAAGGACAATCTGGAGATGGACATTGCGTTAATGCGAATTATTGCGAGCCATCAAAAGGGAACATACATCTGCTGGCAGTGAGCCCTCCAGCCTCCCGAGCGCCTTCCGATATGACAGGTCTGCGTATGCCAGAGTTGGTGAGATGCAGACGAACCCAGTGAAGGGACTAACGTTCGTAGGTGGAGAAGGCAGCTGATGCGCGTACACTCGTCAGATCCAGTAAAGCGCTGCATTCTTGCGAGGACACATGCTAACCGTGTAGGAGGGCTATGGTTGCGATAATGAGCATAATGTTGCCCATCATAGTGCCAGATCTATGCCAGATAGATAGCGGATGTCCTTGGTGACTTGGAGTAGGACGACCAGGAATGCCGAAGTTCTGAAGTTGCACCGGAAGTAAATGGCGTGCGATTAGAATGGTTCTGTGGAATTCAACCTACAATTTTCAGGACATATGTACATACACACAGTGAACACAAAGACCCACTGATTCGAGGGTCGTGGTTTGACAATTGTGCGCGGAAGGAAGTGCGGAAGTGCGGATCAGGCGGTCGCGATGCGCAAGCGTGATACAAGGGGAACCGGGAACCAATGACGGGTGTCTCGCTTGTTACACACCCCACAACCGTATTGCTCATAAATTCACTCAGAAATGTTGTTTTGGCTGTCCGTCTTCGCTCTGTCAGCATTACTGGTGATGCGTATGCAATCGTCTAATTCCTCATCGTGCAGTTTCTGACAGATCCTGGCGCAGTGACATTCCGATACCGTGCCACTCTCATTCCCTACGTCCCCGCCCCGGTCAAGTCTCTGTTTCCGGGTCTTGCCCGCTACACCCCATTGACCACATTCGCCGAGCAAGTTGACGCGGGATTAACTTCTACGACGTTTGATATCGAGGCGAATGTCAGGGAGGGTGACTCCAGGGCTGGTTTAGATGAGCGTGGTACACAGGAGGTCCTGGAGATCATGCGCCGTGAACGGGTCAAGTACGTCGATTTGATTACTGTTTGGCGTAATCTTTTACATTTCTCCGATACCAGCTTCGACCAAGCGAGGTTGATTCGTCAGAACCAAATCCTTGCAGCAAATGGCATCGACTCCTCAGGTGTGTAAATCGTTGCACAGCCTCACCACGATACTTCTGCTGATCTGCTCACAGGGATGCCCACGGATGCGAAGGCAATTACCCGTCTATGATGTTCCCCGCCGCCTTTCCTGCTCGGTGCTGCCTTCGACCTTGTTGTCTTTGTCAACGACTCTCATTGCACTGTTTTCATGATTTCCGCTGGAGATAGTTTGTACCGTGTCTTGCTGCAGCAAGATCGTGTGTGCATATCTATTTACCGGCACCATGTAGCCCCAATGTACTACCTATCTAATACCTGTGATCTCGTTGGATTGACGGAGGGGCAACGTGCAGTCGTTCTTTCTGAAGTTCCTAGCAAGCCCAAGGGGCATGCATAAATCGGATTCTAGACACAGGGTCAGAAAATCCGGTTAAGCCCCCCCACGACCCCCTCCCCCCCCCCCCCCCGTGGGAACTTCCCACGGTCCATATATAGAAGGCACCTGCCATATAGAGATGGTAATCCTAGGCTTACGTGATGCAGGTCACCTTGTTAGTCATCGTTGTGACCCGACATCACATCTGGTAGCGCCCGTGCCCGCCGCCACCTCCGAGCAGCCCACCCCTGCAAGTTGCGCAAACACTCCGTAGACCATCATCAAAGGTGCCTTTCAGCTACTGAGTGTATGGTTTTACTGCAGGAGACCCTTACTTACCTCCTGCCGCCCATTTCATAAGTAAAAATAATTCTCAGTTAAGGACCTCGGAGCCCCCCCTACCCTGTGTCTCAGAATCTGCCGGTGCATACCCCTTGAGCAAGCCTGTGGATTGCAGTGTAGTACTGATGATCGGCAGTCACGTGTCATGGAAGCTCTGATCAGAGACGGTGACAGACAAGTGACAGATGCACCGTGCTGCACTTCATATTCTCCCTCTGCTCTTGACCGCTCATATGCTTCGCTGTAGCATAGTTGTCGATATCACTCTAGAGACAGCTTGAACCACTGATGCCTTCATTTGAGTTTCGCGAGGCAAACCCGCCTTCGCCATTTCACAAACTTTCTCCTCAGGCATGTCTTCACAGTCGAAATCATGATGCATAGAGAGCTGCGGATTGATGCCCGGGTTTTGCAGACTGCTGTTCCCTCAGAAGTGCTGGACGAGATCGTTGCCTGCCTTCTTGCTGGAAAACACGCCTTCTCGTCAATAGCCAACTTCTCCCTTGTCTCCTACCAATTCCGACGCACTGCTTTAAGACGCTTCTTCGCTAGACTCTATGTACGCTCTCCCAGTCACTGGATTCACTGTTGTCAAATTATGGGGATATTCTCTTGGGCGCGGTCAGTCTGCTCAGTATTCCACGAAGCTTGCGTTATATTGGCGGTCCTTGACGCATATATGCGCATATACCTAGCTTCTTAGAATGCTCTTCAAAAACCATCAGCATACAGACCGAGAACCTAATCGAATATTACAATCTTCAAGCTGTAGAAATCGATTTCTCCCCGGATGGGCTCTCCACTCAGACCAATCGCATCCAGCTCATCTTCCAGCACCTGCCTACACGTCTTACTTGTCTCACTCTAACGTTCCTGCCACGTATTGATACTAGCCTACTCTCGCTGATTTCAACAAACTTTCCTGCTCTCGAGACGCTTGAACTGACATGTACTGAACGGCTTGACGAAACTTGCTGCTGGCTTTGCTACGAAGAGTCCTTCAGTCGCACCCTCCATTCGCCTATTACGGAATATTACAGCACAGTAGAGGACCTCGCGGTAGCTGCCTGCACCTACAACTTGTCGCGCATATACGCGGTCTCACTTTCGCGTCTAGGTCGCGTTTGCAACAGCAATCAAGCCTCTCAGGAAGCTCCAGCATCTCGTCCTTGGCGTCTTCCTCTCCGACGTCGCTCTACCTGACAACCACGTCGCGCATCACCACCTGTATAACCCATTCGACCCGCTGCAAGGTGGTGCGGACCTACCGTACGGTCCCGATTGCTGCATCTTTTGCGCAGACCAAGACGTCGAAGTGAGAAGAAGAGAAATGGTCGCAAGCGCGACGGTAGCGATCATCGTGGAGTCTCTCGAGACTGTAACTTGGAGCACCTACTTCGCGAAGAACGAGCCTGGCGACGACGAGCAGACGAGAGAGACCACAGCGTGGGTCCGCAGGAGGGACGGGAAAGTTCACGTGAGGAGAACCCCGTGGTAGATCGGGAGTTAGATATCTTGGACCAGCGGGCCAAGGTGCGGAAGATATGAGCCGTAAACATGCGAAGTCTGACTGAATATCGGATGCAGCTGCTGAAACCCCTGGGAAAGGCGAGTAGATAATCCGTTGTACTGTTAACATGCTTGGAGCAATGCACCTACCATGTCGAGGATATCTGGTTCTGCTCAGGATGATGCGTCCGCGGTGAAGAGCGGTAGGGGACCTACAGTTGCTATTTCAATCCTTGCAAACACGCCGGTGGATGGTCACCTCTTCGTGTTACTCTGGGTTTTCCCGCAGGCGAGTGTTGACACCTGCAGCTTCACGCTCATTCAGCCAGTGGACTAATATGGAGTTGTGACGCGTAAGTGCGTCAGAGATCATGGCTTTCCTGCTCAACAGCGTTAATTACAGCGTCTTCTCTCCTTCAAAGTACAGACTTCTCATTGCATATTTACGGACGCGAGAACAAGGAGAGAGCGAAGATGCGATGTCAAAGTGAGTCAGGAAAAGGATTTACTGAAGGGTTTCACTCATGCTGTGCTCGTTTCGGCCACAAAGGATGTCCTATACTGGTTAACCCATTGTTCTGTGGGCGATCTGCACGTGGCGTTCACGACGGACTGCCTGATACATAAAGGTGCGTTTGTAACTCCATCATTCCACCCACAATCATCGACACCTGGGCTCCAAAACGATGTACGCCAAAATCGACGATTTCTACGATTTCTTCTCCAATCTTGCCTCGGGGAACTACCAGACCCTCATATCAGAGGGGCTGGCCACCAAGTCCCCAGTGGCCACATCATCGAAGCGGGCATCCAACCTCGACATTAGCCCCTCTGCCGCACACCAACCCATAAATACTACACTCAGAAGCTGCAACACGTCCTCCGGGATCACACGACGCGACGAATACTCATTCACTTTCAAACACATGATCCATGACCTCTACGACATCCAAGATTTCGCAGCCATGGCCGAAGACGTGGTGAGGACGTCCCGCATGAAGTTCCAGCCGCTATCGGATGAATTCAAAACAAGGAGAGAGACAGGAGCGGAACACCTGCGCGCTCTGAAGAAGCGTCGCACGGCGAGGAGGACAACCGTTAATGAATCAGTGCTCCAGGATCGCGGTTGGTATTACGATGTGGCTGCACCGACCTCGCTTATAGACGACGCTGCGTCGCCACCATTCTCCGGTCGGAGTACTTTCAACAATGCGTCCGCCACATTGCGCTCGGCGAGGGATGCGTCTGAAGGCATGCGGGCGCTGTGTGATGCGATTCAGGACGTTGGCGGGGATGAACGTTCTATGGACCTGAAGCTATCCCAGGCACTGCAACGGGTGGAATTACAGGTCGCTCAAGGCGGCTCGGAAGCCTTGTCCACATATCAACGGGGGACCTTTTCTAGTTATTGCGACCAATCACCCTTCGATGGCGAACCGATGAAGGAAGAAATACGCGTTACGGTGGGCGGTAGGTCTACGATGAAGCGTCGCCGTGCAGACTAGACATGAAAAGCCTACAATCCAATTGCAGGTGAGCATTCCCTGTTCATTGAGGTGAACAGACACTAATGATTGATTATGCCAGGACCCCAAATGACTGTAATGTCTCTCAAATTGTTTTGGATTATGTTACCGACTAATGCTCAGCGAAGCTGGTGTCCACATAATCTTGTTCTCATTTTGCATTCGAATATACCAGCGACTTCTTCTGATACCTCACGGAGTGTTGTCGAGACTTTGAATTATGATTGCATAGGTGGTTGTGGATCTTCAACGACACCAACAGATTTCTCGAATTTACGGGACATCTCATACCACATAGCACTGGTTAACAGTATCATCTGATTCCAGTATAAGGTGTACATGCGAATAAAGTTAGACAAGAGCCACAAAACTACTCGCACACAGAGGACACCGCCGCGTAGCACCAAGCAGGTCTTGAACGAGCCAACTCCTGCGCACCGGTTCTGGCAGCCACATCTGATTGGTCGTGGCTTGTGAAGGCGACAGAAATGCCTTCTGGCCACACCCTACACACGTCCGCACCATCGGGGTCGACAATATGAAAGAGGTTATACAACATCGCGCTGGCGATAGCGGTAAGTTGCCACAATTGACTATTTACCAAGTCTGAACTCACCCCATACATGGCCATTTGGACACACAGCTGTAGACGTGTCCGGCAAGGGAAGCACAGCGTGACAGGCCGGGCACAGCTCATCCAGGTTAAGATGATCGCCTTCTGATGACACAGATGACAGTTTCATTGACAGATCATCAGCTTCCTTTACCAAGATTGATGGACAACTGGAATGTGATGCTTGAGCAATAACCCTACGGATGAAGGGAGCGTCATGTACTGTATGTGATTGTCAGTTGAAGTCGGGCCAATGCTCAAGGCACGCACGAGTTGATATAGACAGAATAGCTCTGACATGCCGAATGATGGTGAGCAGAACGTGGTGCCATATTGTTGACGATAAGTAATTTGCAGCTTGCATAAACATGCCTCGCTCTTGGGATTCTTCAGAATGCTCCTACGGAAAGTTGTCGAATAGGCACAAAACGCCAGATGAGGACTGACATACCTGGCAAAACTCTGCGACTTTTAGTCTCATGCGTTGGCGAAGAACAACATCCCATCCAAAAAGATGCGTAAACAGCGATCGTCTGAAATCGTACCGTACCTGTGGGGTCAATTCTGCGGTACAAGGAGTTACAACAATCTGGACTAAATCCTCAAGAGGTTGTGACCGCTGTACCAACTCCAGTAACTTTGTTCGTAGTCGCGACAGCCTCTCAGAGTCTAGAAGGTGTAAGAATGTCGGGCGAAGCAAGGATATAGGCCCCTGACCCGCGGCTAGTGGCGCCAGTGTCATCGGTCACGCCTGCATGGGGCTTACACGGGTTACATACCAGCCTTTGCAGACATTATCCGTTCACTAAGGTCACGGAGAACTTCTTCATCGGAGGGGCCGACCCATAACCGAGCCATGACAAACATACTGACGTGCTTGGCATCATATTTGTAGCTGAAGTCAGTAGGACGGCATGATCTACGTATGCTAACATCAGAACTAGGACGGAAACATGAATATTCATGAACTCACTCGTGAATCCACACGTACGTTGCAGAATCATCGTAGGAAGCCATTCCGTTAATACGATTTACATCCCAGAAAAGTGGCGGTTCAGGCTCGACCTTGACAAATGCGTTGCGGGCGGCCGCTGTCAGTCTTTCCGATGTGAGACTGTCACCATATGAGACACTATTCAAGGACGGCGCTGTGGAGAACTGATGTATAACGTGGAAGGATCCATCGGAAAGGCTCACGACCAGTGTGTCGCTGTGGGTGATGTAGCTAATTCCTGATGCTGGGCACAGCGCAGATGCGCCGACCGAGACCTTTTGGGTGCGAAGGTTGATAGCTCGTGGTCCTGACCAACCACCGGCTAGAGATAGACCAGACCAAAGATGGAGCATTCCCGGCTTGCAATACACCAGAATGGGCTGATTCATCGTGCGACGGGCCGGATCAGCTAGATACCGGCGCTTCTGACAAAAAATAGACCGCCTACGTTGCGCCCTGTGGCATCGATCCATTTCATACCAGTAACGTTTCGCCCATCTGAGTGGCATATAGCACCATCTTTGACGTTGATAATTTCCTTCAAGTAGTATTCAGTGATGAATCTTGCGTCCGACGAGGTGGAGTCTAGTGTCTGAATAACTTCAACGACACTGACTGATCCATCCGGACTTCCACAAGCCAGAAAAGCTTGGCCTGTAAGACCACAGGTAACTCCGAATGCTTATAATGACAAACAACGAACGAACATGTTCCGGGATGTACCGCGTTCCAAGAAGACCATGCGAGCTGGTTTATCCAGTTATCACTGATATGGGTGGTGGCGACACGACAGAATTCATAAGACCCGTCGGCACCAATACGCAATCTAGAGGCTCGCTGTCAGTAGGCTCGTGACAGACTGATCATCATTCGGGGGGCTTACCTGTAGAAAGTAACGTTACCAGCGCGATTGCCTGCCGCCAGAAGAGAGCCATCGAGGCTGGGCGCGGGTGACAGTCCGAAGTCGGCTTGCGGAGACCACCCGATGCCTGTGCATCTAGGTCTCTAACGGCGTTCTTTACTACACCGAAATCAGGTGGATTGACGCACATATAATTTGTGCCTGCAAAGTTTTCACCAACGTCGGGATCGATTCGGAATTTCGTAACTCCACAGTCATATCCCGCAGCTTTTGATGCAGTGAGAACAAACCATATGCTATGGATCGCGGTACGCACCTTGGTCCACTCTCCCTTTAGGAGATTCTTTACAGGGCCCCATATGGTTAGCTCCATGTTCGAGTTAAGTACAGCAATGACAGATCTATAGGCCTCTGATTGAGTTTGCCACACAGCACGAGCCGGAACGCAAATGCCTCACCCGGAATTACTATTGAGGCCGCTGGGGGAAGGCGCAGCAATTCTCAGAGCAGTATCAAGAGAGCCTAAGGAAACCGCTCCCCATTCTGGACAACACTCAGATACCACGCGTCGAAGTCGCAGAAGTGGGAAGTCACCTTGACAATCGGCAGGCCATTGATGAAGCAGTGCCTTCTCGTATTCAATCATCGTTTTTACCCATTTAACGGGTCGGGAGATATTGGGAGCATTTTCGACATCGAGCGTTCGCTTCGCTGCAGTAGAAGGCTCCACGTGGATGCCCACGTCGGGAGTCTAAATACGAGGTCATCAGATTGAACAACCTCTTTGAAAGACCTGAGAGAATCACCAAGATGTACACAGCGTATTTGGTCAACACTACCAGTTGCCCGTCCCCAGTCCACTGCATGCAATTTACAGAAGGTAGCGCAGACACCCCTGGTAACGTCAATGCTGTAAAGATGGGAAGTTGTGACATGGCCGTGCCCACGTTTGGCTACCTGCGCGAGAAGCTACAGGTTCAGGCTTTGGGTCAGGCCGGTATATTGCATGTTGCATAAGTGCTGGAAGCTCACCGTTACGGTAACCTGGGTAGGATTTTGTTCTGCTCTTCAGTATTCGCATGTGATGGCCTGCAAGGGTAAAAAAAGAACACACGCAACGAAGTTTGTGTTTGCCGTGATACTTTAGCCGTGAGGCGGCGTCTGGGATTCCGAGACCGCGTGCGGCGGCGTCGAGTAGCGTGACGGTGTGATCGCAGTGCCACAGGTGTCCGAGCTGTTCCTCTCGCTTCATCCTCATCCTCGGGCTTAGGTTGCATCAGTGCCACAAGGACGGACAACGAAGAGGCTTGCAGATCATTCACTGAGATTCTGTTGCGACTCAACTGGAATGACCGTAAGGACCCATCGGAGAATTTGATCTTCCGCGAAACTGATAGTCTCAACGTTTAGGACCTTACATTTTGCTACTTGCATATGACGCGCCATGACCTGGATATCCTGGACACCATCGGTACTCCGGACTATCTGCAGGGCGAACTTTCAGATAGCGGTAAGTGTGCAAACTTTCTGCGCCATATTATACTAAGGATAATCCCTCGGAATAGAGGTCGACGTTCCTCGACATATGGCCCCTCCCAACCCAGATGACTCTGATGGTTTGTGACAGCGATGCTGAAACTCTTCCGGATCTCATCTGTGCCCCGTTAGTATTGCCATCTCAAGTCCATCCTTCGTATCCATACGGCAATCCACTGAATGTCAAACACCCTGCCGCGCGACCTCGACGACCATATGATCCATCTTCGCGTGCGTTATTTGAAGACATGGGCTATGCGGGTGGCGGAGTCAATGGGTCTCTACGATGGAAGGACCTTGCTCTAGAACTCTTAATACCGGTTGACGAGGCTCGAGAACTAGCGGAGAGAGCAGCGCTGGCGCGGAAGCTGGCTAGTGGCGCAAGCTCCAACCATCCACCGCCTCCGCCGCTACCATTGCCGGCTCAGGAACCCAACAACGAGGACGAGGTAGAAGACGAAGACAACGACGAGAACGAGAATGACGAAAACGACGAAGAGGACAACGGCGAGAATCACGATGATTCCAGTCCTGAAGAGGACGATGCATCACTAGATGCGTAGCTTTCGAGCTGCGCACCATAGACCCAGATGCGTGTATAATGTACAATATGTAGCAACCTCTTATGCAATATCTTAACTTTGTGAGATCACGCCGGCTGCCAAGGCATCGCCAACCTCTTCCTGCAACAGGTCTTTGACGTCTCCTTCTTGTTCTACTGCCCATGCGTAGGCCTCCAGCAGCAGAGTATCTGTCAGCGGAATGAAATGGGTAGCGAGGACCCGGATTATGTTGCTGACTCGTGATATGGCGTCCCGGGTTGCATCATCTATGTACTACATCATCGCATCAAGCTCTGAAACAGTGCGATAATACAGAATTGTGGCTCACGTCGTTCTTGTTTGAATACACGGCTTCGGCATAGAATGCATCTTCTCCTTCTTGCTCGGTTTGTTTCATGTGCTTACTTATCCAAATGTAGCCATTAAGTCCGAGAATCAGATCCACTCCGCATGGGAGAGATAGAAAATGTGATTTGAGACGTCGAATAAGCACGGGCGGCACAGTAACCAATTGACCATTGCGCAGCTGATGAGAAATAAGTAGAAAGGACATATACAGTAAGTCGTGGGAGGGAGATACCTTGCCGTATCGGAGCGAGCGCGTGTGAAGAGACATTGCTCCGTCAGCAAAAAAAGCTTGAACTTCTGCGACTAACAGATCCCCTTCCTCAAAGAATGTGCGCATCTGAAGCTCGTCGCTTTCTAATTTCCGACGCTGTATAGCATGAATAAATCGCGCGAAACATGTGGTAATCACTAAGTCTGGGCACACCTGTACACCTCCCGGCAGATTGACGGATGACAACATCAGCACGGCGTCCTGCCTAGAGTTGGCGTCTACTTTCCATCGACGAGGCTGCACCTGGGTTTCAAATGAGTGGATCCGTTTTCGGAGCAGCGAAGCACGAACCTCCGTGATGCGTCCAACTACCAGGTCACCAACTTCGGGATTGTACCTAATACCGGGGTGAGCATCTTCAATGAGACATGCCCAGATACTCCTCACCTTGACCGTATGGCGCGTACGGTGACTAGTTTGTTCACGCGCTCAATTGTGCCGGCAACAGAAGCAATCACCTCATCGTTGTCCACATATGTGCCATGTCCCCTGCAATTTTCCCGAGTCAGTCTGCCTAATACATACGCATTCCGGTGCTACTCGCCGCATGAATGCTTGCGAAGACGTGATCGGCTCGCCAGGGAAGGTCAGTTTGTGACTGCCCTCCTCAAAGTCATCCTCCATGTTAATATCGAGATGATCTTCGACATCAGGGTGGTGTCTTGTCACACTGTAGTCGGATCCATTCTCATGCAGAATGGGAAACGAAGTAAAAGTAACCATGTCAGGAAAGATCGCAGGAAGAGCGTGAGCCTCAGCCACAGCGCCGAACTGTGTGCCCGATCAATCTGCCGGGACCGGTCGGTGCCTCAATTAAGAAACACGGTGCCGGCGCTTACACAGCTGAATACCATCTTAAATCTACATCCGTTTGACCTCCCGTGAAACAAGAAAATGCACCCAGCGAGCGACTAACTCAGTCCCCATTCAGCCTGAAATCAGCACGCGAAAACTTCACATTCTTCGCGAGGGTGAGTCATCGTCCAGAGTCTCTTTTACTTTACTGACATGTTTATAAAACAATATTCCGAGACTCGCGCATCATTAGATTCGCTGATGTTTTGCATTTCTGGTCAGCCTTGCACGCTAGTCGGCGTGACGTGTACACCCGGACCTCACGAAACTCGTGAAGCTTGGACTGGACTTACCTGGCGCCAAGATCTTCGACGGTAGATGGATGCAAATCACTGACATCGATTTGTGCACGAGACTTCTCATCCACAAGGAACCGCCAGTACGCTGCGAACCTAATCAGCACTGTGATCGGAGATAATAGATGCTCCCATTGTCATCTTCTTCCTGCAGGGTGGGCCGAAGAGCCAAGTCAGTGGCAAAGTACAGCGGCAGACATTGGCCGACGTGTCATGCCTAATGGATTGGCAGCCCATGCGCGCGCACAAGAGCATTTGGAGGGGATTCCATCCGGATCACTGTACTGCTGACTATTGTCCATCGCTAGCTATTCGGAGTCAATGGTGGCTTCTGGGCTGTTAGCCTGTTTGTCTGACCAAACTCTGGATGTGCACATGGTCCCGACAGAAGGCTTAGTCGAACTCCGTTCACACCGCGCGATGTTCTAGAGAATCGGCAAAGAAGGCGGGGACCTGACGATCACACCTCACCAGATCGCTTCCTCTTTCGTTCTATTATCATTGTTGCATTATTCAACCCGTACGTTGATTGGTTCGGCCTGAAGCAATTACATTTTGACTACATTACTTTCGCAAGACGATTGTCCAGTTCTACAGACCGCGAGACAACAGAGTGTGGACGGTGTTCCGGGTGTTCTATGTGAGTGAAGGAATACAACTTCAGATACTGCGGCAGTACAAAAAGTCCGGTGTAAGGTGGAAAGAAAGCGATGTGCTACTGAAGGTGACTGGTCATCGTACGGCCCACGGAGATGGATCTTAATCAAACCACTGCGTTAACGATGGGACACGAGAATGAAGGAAGCAGACCTCACGTCTTCACTTATAAGCCATGAAATATGCCGACAACGCAGGCAAGTCGTTCGAACCTGCGTCAGAGTATCCCTGTCGCCGGGATCCGTTGAACTTTAATACCATCACAGGTCCGCACCACGCTTTCGGAGCTGCGCCGGACGTAATGCGGTAAATCGCGCGATTGACAGGTGACCCTCTTTGGAGCGACGTTGGGCAGTACCAGATATGGAGCGGAAAGCGTAAAGGCTCGCCACCGAGACCCTGCGTCAAGATGATGGTGTTGGGCACACTCTCAGGAAAGTAACGTTGAACTATTGGAACCGGGCACATTCCCTGAGAATGGGTGCCTTGAGGGCGGCATTGTACACGGACAATCTGCGACTGCTCTGAGAGAAGCGAGATCAGCCATCGAGCTGGTGAGGTATCGGAGATCACCCACCTTCCTCGGGGCTGAATAGAACGGCAGATACCGTGGTCAATTGCGATACCGGTGAAGGGGCAGGTATCGTGTCGCTTTGTTGCTCAGGTGAAGCAACAGCGACGCATTCCCTTCGATGGCGTTGCCAGTCCTACATATCAAGGAGAAGTCATGATGAACTGAACGGCTGGCACTTGCCCGAAGGTCGCTCACACTTTGAAGATGTTCTGGCGAGCAGTACCATGCGTTCTGGCACCGGCCGCACCACATTGACGTCGGCCGACAACACACTGTGCACTGGTGACTTATGAGTGGGTCCGAGTTCATTGGGAGAAGACCACCCGGAATGTAAAGGATGAGATGTGACAGAGGTCCAGCTACGTTCCTGGTGCACCTCTATTTGAACCAGAGCGGGCGGGAATTTCCGCGTCCCTCTCTTGATCATTAGACAAGTCATGACCCAATTTTGCCTGCGTGGGTGAGATGAATACGAAGAAAGGAAAACTATGACTCACGTTCGACGACACCGGGGATGGGGCAAAACATACGTAAATTCAAGGCACGACACAAAAAATCCATCGCCAGAAGATGCGAACTGCGACATTCAGGTAGCGAGAGCCCGGTTTCCACCCACGTCGCATCAATCACGAAAGCGCACTTTTTAGCCCAAAGTTACCAAGTAACTATCGAGATCTCACCATCTGCTCCGAATATGCTTCCGCGCGACCACTGTGACGGATTAAATTATCGATGTTTTCATGACGGGCCGAGTATCATGCTTGTCGCAGTGAGCAGGGACGGAAAAAGGCGATTCTCAGAGGCATAAACCACGCAACTTACGTTTCGCCCAAGCCACGGCGTGATTGTGACTCGGAAACTATGTATGGTTGGGAGGTTCCACCAAATCATTTAGCGGCAAGGCGATAAGTTCCTGTCGGAAAATTCTACGGGACAGCTATCGCATAGAATCCCGGGTAGCAACGATCTGCAGGATGTGCGTCTAGGCGTTCACCCTGGACCATTTGTCACATCTGGCAATTCCAGGGACAGCAAAGGCCGAGCTCGATGAGACACAGTACTTAATAGTTTGCCGCTCGCGATATACATAAGTTGCCAAATTCTGCCGCCCGGACAAGTGTTCGGCGCCCCGGGACCGGCCGGACCATGTCCGGGAGCTTGGCCGGCCGCTCATTTGCACTTCACTGCACATATTCTCTGTCCACGATGTCTGACGATGAGATGAACATTGATGAGGGTATGAGTATACTGCAATCATATATGTGTGTTCTCTGCTGAGTTCGGCCCGACGTAGGTGGTACTGGCGTTGTCAGGCGGAAGGGCAGAGGTTTTCAGAGTGCCGGTCAGTAGTGACCTTGTTTTCTGCGTTCATCTATACCACCTTGACAGTGCACATCATTCTTTAGGAGGTAATGAGAGTGCGGTAACTTCGGAACAAACCTTTGACCGGGTAGAGTCGTCTCAGGTAACGGAAACGCGAGCTGCTCGCTGTAAGTGGGTGATTCCTGATGTTGTTCTGTCTAATATTCCCATTTCCCCGCACCATAGCTGTGGAGGGGTGGATTGTCCTCGTTACCAACGTTCACGAAGAAGCAACAGAAGAGGATCTTATGGACAAGTTTGGGGAATACGGAGAGATTAAAAACTTGCATCTGAACCTTGATCGGCGAACAGGATATGTCAAGGTGAGTAACAGGATGGACTCTTACGACTTTCCACTCGACCGTCAAAAAATTTCTCATGCTTCTTTTAGGGGTATGCTCTAGTGGAGTACGAGACTATGGCGGAAGCACAAGCAGCGATTGACGGTGCGTCAGGTACCGCCCTCCTGGAGCAGACGTTACACTGCGACTATGCATTTGTGCGGCCTCCACCTTCGGGACCCAAAAAGGGGAGAGGTCGTGAAGGCCGTGGACGGAGTGCGAGTCCCTCTCGTAGACGGGACAGAGATTGAAATTGTAATTTGTGCTCTGCTAGTCTTTTGTCGGTCTTATTACGTCTGCAGAACGCACACCTGCTATGACGGCTTCTGTATTGTACGCGCTATTCAATCATTTGCTCTTTGCAACGTTTCGTTCTGTCAGTAGTTGTTTGCCGGCCTTGAACTTGAACTCGAAGTCGGCGAACGGCGTCGCCGCGGCGGCAGTCACGGCGCCACAGTTGGTCGACTTCTCACGGTGCTTCTCCCTGCCCCTCAGTCGCGTCTTGTCATCGCCGCTGCTGCTACCTTGCGCACACCTCTTCAGGCATGGTGAAGGAGAGAAATCTCGAGCTGTCTGACGACGAGAACGAGAGGGAGGTGCTCACATCCACCAGGAAGATGAGCATCGGCGCGTCGAAGGCCACTTCGAAAAACAAAGAGCCCTCGCCCATGGAGGAGGATGAGCGAGACGATGGCGACGAAGGCTCCAACGCCGGTTCAGAGGAGTACGAGATTGAAGAAATTATCGACGCGAAGCACGGGGCCTTTCCTGCAGTGCGTCCGTTTACTTCTCACGACTGACCATCTCTACACTGCGTTCTACGACTAACAGGGCAGACTTGGCTATTTGGTCAAATGGAAGGGTTATGGCGAAGAACACAACAGCTGGGTTGACGAGAACGACGCGGGGTACGATAGTGGCTCGATCACGCTCTATTATCCGTCCTGACGCGTTTTGATCCAACAGGAACGCGCAGGGTCTCATCGAGGAATACTGGAGGAAGCAAAAGGCTGAGAAAAAGAGCAGAGGCAAGCCTGCCGCTCAACCGCGTCGTTCGACCGGAACGACGAAAGGACGCATGTCCATCTCGCAAAGGGATGAAAGCTCTGAGGTTGAGGAGACTCGCCAGAAGCTTGAGGAGGTTCGTACCAAGAAACGTGGAAGACCATCGAAGGCTTCCGTCGAACGTGAGCAGGGAGGCGATGAAGAGGACGAGGAACCTCAGCCGGAAAAGAAGAAGAAACGTCACAGGAAAAGTACGAATGGATTCAAAGCGAAAGGGGACGCGGAACCGATGGATGAAGACGAGGAAGAGGAATATGTGGACATGAAACGTTGGGCGAAGCTCCCGAGCTGGGAACGTCTTGTCGAATCGATTGACACGGTTGAGCGCGTAGATGATCATCTCTTTGTGTACTTCACGTTGTAAGTGTCTTCTTCGTCAGATGCAACCCTTGCTCACTCCATTATAAGGATCAACAATCAGGGCCGTGGCAGAGAGGAATCGACCCAGTGCAGGGACAAGTTCAAAGACATGGTATGTCTGTCGTGTTGGATGGCGGATTCTAAACCACTGATTATCATCCAGTTATTGGACTTTTATGAGAAGAACCTTCGCTGGCGAGAGGATACTGACACTGCGCAGAAGTGAAGAACTGCCCTCTCCTCTCCATTGACGCTGTCGCGTCGCGTGCCCCTATCTTTTGGTCATTGTGAAATATTACTGCGAAAACGTTTTACTGATGTTTCACCGAATACTGCTGATCGCGTTGGAAGTGCGGGTGCTGTTGCATTAATTGCGATATTTCGGTTTCGTGCGAAGTATGCGACATGTATTCTTGCATGAATTTCCATTGCTCTGATTGTCTCGTTCATTGTTCGAAGTCCAAGGGCAGTCGACCTTGACGACGATAGTTTTCTTTTTGTGGCTCTAGCAGTTTTTTCCCGTTTACACCTATCGAGATTACGTACCTCTATCGAAAGTTCTCGGATATGACCGTCAGCTTGAGAAAGCAGCTCCATGCAGCCATGTGCACATTGACGACCAATCAAGTTTCCTGACCACTGCCCTCAATGTGATGTTTTCAACATGTAATAGGGTGCAAATTGCCCCTGCACAACCGTGATATGTGCAAATGGGTTTGTTCCCACCGTGTCCAGTGGAGATTGCATTTCGGGGATGACGAGGATGAAATCTGTGTATTTATACTGGAAGTAGGCGAATAAGCGCACTGAGGAACAGCCTCAAACGTATGCTATAAAATATGCACTAGTAAGGGTTCGTCCAGGAAGTATGCTGTCTTTGCGCCGTGGAAAGCAGCGGTGTCTCACGAGTGCCGTACGCATTGGTTCGTGGTGGGGAGACTGTAGCGTCAAAGGGACGTGCCCGCGTGAATGTAGCAGATTGAGTCATGGTAGTATAGCGCGGTGGGAACATGTGAATGGAGAGAAGGAAGAAAGCCTCGTCATCATATTCTGCTCGCCTTGTCGCCTTTCGGGGAGTCCACTGGGAGGTCAATGATTCAGTTTCTACGACACTGTAGCCCCGAAGGACAAAGTCCGCATCGATAGCATGAGCCGTGAACCGGGGCAGTGCTTGCATCCCTTTGTCCGGACGGCTGCTCCGAATTTGAGCGCCGGACCGATGTCAACAAAAAAGCCTTCGAATGGACGACGTACCTCTTTCGAATCATACACGATCAGGGTGAGCGGTCTAGTCAAGAACTGTCAAGCTTAGGAGAAGCAGTTGGTGCATATGGTACTGTATCATATATCCTGGATCAATGAGGCACGACTTGAAAGGGGAAAACACGGAACAAGCAACATCTATCACACGTACGCTAAATAAAGAGAATTGCGACGACCGGTCGGCAGGACTTGGCCTTCGAGCCAGACGAAGTAGTTCAAGTTAAGTTGATCATATCCTACGCATATCATCGATGAGCGAAATCATTTCGACATCATAAAACAAAACTATTCAAGGCAATGGAAGAAATAGCAACCTAGCTGAAGCATCATCATAACTCTTCGTGAGCGGGTACTGGCGTCGCATCCGGAATGCTCTCGTCATCGTCGACGTCCTCCACCAGCTCCTGCACAAGCTCCTCAGCTTTCTGAGATGCCTCCCGTTTCTCGGTAGGCGACGTCGTTTCACCGTCCTGAGCCGCTGCACGGTTGAGAGCATCTAGCACTTCCTCCTTGCTCCGTCCAATCACTACCGGGGGCACAAATATGTCTGCGTGTGATCTGACGTTGTCCACATCCTCAATAGGAAGAATGGAGACAGTTTCATCGGCTGCATGGTGCTTGGGTTCCACCACGACCTCATGGCTCGCAAACGCACGCTCGCCAGTACGCCTGACACGCCGGAGGCGGGTTTCAAACCCCACAACAATGTCTTGAACCTCAGACTGAAGGTCGGTGATTGCAGGTAGCACAGGATTAGGCGGTGGTGAGGAATGTGTTCCATCCTGAATAGAGTGTGCATCAGCTGTGAAATTGTCGCTGGCTTCAGACGGGTAGTGTTAGTAAACGTTCATGCTGAGATGCGAAATACTCACCTCTGACAATATCATGATATCGCTGCCAGTCGGAATACGTAACGTCATCCAGATATGCGTAATCCAAACCGACGTCGGCCTGTCCCCGGTCAGCGATGTCTTTGACATCCTCGGCAACCTTGCGGACCTGTGCCACTGTAGCGGTGAATAAGACGTGATATATAAGTAAAATATCACACGCACCTCTACCAGCTCCCTGTTGATCACACCAAGATACCATCCATTCACAACGGTTTCGGTCTGCTGCAATCGCTGATTGAACTTCTCGTCGACCTTCTCTACGACACGCTCCCACATCGTCTTCTTCTCTTCCTCCTTCCTGGTCTCCTTCTCCAGTGTTTGCAGATATTTCTCTGCGCCACGCAGCAATTTTTCAGCCTCTTCGACCAACGAATCAACTTCCTCCTTAATTTCCTGGGAGTCCTTCAGCTCTGCCACCGCATCCTTCCGCAGCGCAGCCAATGTGTTACGCAATGCCTTCTGCTTCGTGTCAATCGCCATGGAGAGTTCGCTCTCCCACTTCGCATGACGACCCTCTATATCAGCGCGTCGTTTCGCTGTCTGGACTTCCCTCTGGCGCTGCCGTTCGGCCCGTTCCTCTTCCCGGGCAGCTCTCTCCTCTGCGGTCTCCGTGTGCACCGGTGCAGCCGGCTGGGAACTCGAGTCCGCCAGGACGTCGCTGAGGCCGAGCTCGGCGTAAAAGGCCGCCAGTTCGGCATCCTCGTCCTGTTTCAGAAGGGGAACAGGTGTGACTGCTTCTGTCACAACTAACGGGAAGGAAGACGCGGACGCAGAAGTTAGAGAAGCAGAAGGAACGCGGGCCACGGAAGAAGTGTACGCTGAGGCTTGATCCGTGACAGTTGAAACGTCTGAGGAGACTGCGGACCCAGCGTGTTCGGCGGTCTGTGAAGCATGTGTAAGGCCCTCGGAGGCTGCATCACCTACGCTGGATACGGAGAGCGGCTGATTGGCAATTGATGAGTCTATTGAAAAGGCCGCGTGCGCCATTTCAGATGCAGAACTTGCAAATTCGGACGGGAGCGAAGATACAATGGAAGGGAAGGCATCGGTCAGAGATGAAGAACAGGAGGTAGACACTGATGCGGCGGAGAACACAGACGACGCCGTGGCATCCACCAAAGAAGATACGCCGGAGACCCGGGATGAGACAGCTGCAGGAGGCTCTGCAGCTAACGACGCGGATGAAAATACCTGCGACACAACCTCCGATAGAATTGCGACAGGGGTAGTCTCAGCTGCATCAGATACAATTGAGAAACTTTCTGAATGCGAGGCTTGCGCTGAGGCTAAGACAGAAGGAGCCACGTCTGTCGCATCTTCTGCGGCTTTTGAGATCCGGGCCGTGACAAATTCGCCCACGTCGGTAGGTGTAGGCACCTTCGAGCCACCGCTGCTCAATTCCTTGACACGTTCCCAAATTTTCTGCACATGGGGATCCACAAACCGTCTTCTATACTCTCCTAGGAAAGCGACAAGTCGTGTGATGATTAATTTGAATTTTTCCCAGGCAGAGCGAGCATATGGGCGGGCGCGCTCATAACCATCATATGTCTTGTGAGCAGCTTGAATCACGTACGGGTGGGCTTTCTGCTGCAAGAGACGCATGGTGTGCGTTGCACGGTCGACGAAAGGACCAAGTCGCCGCTCGTATTCTTCCTCCATGCGCGTACAGTAAGGCCCAAGCTGTGCATCAATACGGCTGAATTGAGGAACGGCATATTTTTTCCACAGCGGGACAATCCGAACGTTCCACTGGGGTACAACGCGGGTGACAAATTCGTAATTTGCGCGTTGGACAAAGGGCTTGGTGATGCGAATGGCACGGTCTGCAAAGGGTTTTGCCTTCTCAACATAAGGAGCGACAGATGGGTGAGCAAGTACATGTTGAAATGGGGGTATGATGTAAGGGTCAATTACGAGGCGGCGGTATTCGGAGAGACCACGGCAGATAGATGTTTTGCTTTGGGCGTCATTTGGGCATACTATTGCGACATAGATGCAAAAGCAGAGGATGAATATCCGGGTCAGGAGATCGACAAGCCTTGACAGTGCACCCTGGTAACGTTCATTGTGGATCAAAACGCAACCAATAACGACGTTTGCACATACCTTTCCTCTTCTCTTCTTGGTCCAAGAATCCTTCTTCTTAGGAGAAGATACACCCTAAAAAAAAGTTCAGCAGATTTGGGAGAGGATATAACACACAAGGCTATCAGGGCAAGTCGATACGCGTCGTGCGATCAAGACAGCCGCATTCTACATAGGCCACAAAAGCGTGCCACATGCAAGCCGCAAAGTTGAATTGAAGATACACGGGAGTATCACAATACCACAGCAACCATTGGTCACAGACCGAAATGGAGTAAATGTGGGGTCTGTAACTACTCACCGTTCCATTTACACTAGACTGAGGATCAACCCTTTGACCTTGTGTGTGAGCGGTCCCTCCATCCGTAAGAGGACTTGAAACCTCCGGAAGGTACGGGTCATTACTGGGTGCTTTGTGTTTCGCCCTCGGAACGGGCTGTGAGGAATTTGTGCGAGAAGTTAGCACAGGAGCGGCGGGTGCACGCTTGGTGACGACCATGGGGCCAAGAATTCAATAAAAAAATGCGGCGCGTTTCGAGTTCAACAGCAATATTTCCGTGTAGTCAAATGTGCAAGTAGCAGTGTCAACGAGAACGAGACATTCGGAGCAGTAGCAGTCGAGGAGGGTCGAGTCGCCTTCGACTCCAAGCTGGACTTGCCACTGACGTGTTGGCCCTTCTTTGGCAATTTCACGTGACTTACGCGACGCGGTGCCAGTGATGGGGATTCCCAGACGCAAGCTTTCCCGTCGACGACGACAGGCCAGCGGTGTGCCCCTCTGTCGCCATGGCCTATCCCTCTCGCGGACCTCTCAAAACATACTCTCGCCGAAGAACACGCAGCAGAATTGCCTCAAGTGATGTGCTCACAGTGCAATCATCTCCTCTGCAACCCTTGCCTGAGAGTGGCGATATCTCGCTTTCCGAGATGACCCGGCGCATGAAGAAACGTTCTCGGCATGCAAACGAAACCACTTCTCAGGCTGCCACGATTATCCATGACGATGCGGATAATCGACCTGCAAAAAAGCTTAAGAAACTTTCTAACTCTAGTCCCGCACTTCCCTGTGGTCCATCCAGTCCTGACAAAAATGTCTCGATCTTTCCTCTGCATCAACAAGGCCTGGGTGATGTAGTATATTGCACTCCCCTGCCTGTGCTTCGCTCTGATCAGGCCATGCTACCCTCCTCTGCTTCTCAACCTGTAGCCCCTGAAACGTTCTCACCGCTCCCCGTATCTCGATTCTTGCTGTCTCGCACTAGCTCTCGAAATCTCAAGGAGAACTCAAGTCGCATCGGAACTCGCTTACTCGCTTCTCCCTTCAGTAGTCGCCCTGGTTCCCGCACGTCATCTCCTAAGGCTGGAGCAAAGACGAAGGCTACCAAACGTCCCACCTTCCACAGCAAGTCCAGAACTTTGTCGAACTCTACCTTTAAGCACAGTATTAACACAAATTCCAGCATTAGTGGACCGAGAGCAGATATTTTAGACCCATCCGTTGGGGTTTCTGGCTCATTTTACTCCAACACGCCATCGACAGCCAGTATACCCGATAAGCCCAAAGCAAGTTCAACTCTTCATATCCGCACTGGCTCTATCCCTTCAGTACCCTCGCACCAGGACTTTTCGCAGACATGGCTCGTTCCGCCTCAGAAACTTTCCCGGTCACCTCCCCCTGTTGACCCAGAACATCCATCCTTCTTCACCCACGTTCCGAACCAGATGTCCACTCCTCCTCGCAAGCGGCGCGCAACTACTGGAGCCTGGCAGCTCAACCAAAACTATCCGCAGCCGGACGATCCTAATAGGCCAATGCCGGATCAGTCTACGGGGGTTAAAGCTATGATGGTAGATCCGTCAACTCCCAGTTCCTCTCCCCCCGAGGCCCCGCGACCTCCTCGTAGACGGCGTCGTACTGTACTCTCTTTCTCGACTGAACGCTCTGCACTTGACTTTTCCGTGCCACTTTCTGATCTCAACAATGCTCAGTCTTCGCGAACTCATACTCGCGCTGTGCAGGCTCCCAACGATTCGATGCTGGTCGATCTCTGTCGTCCCGCCCAGTCTTCATTGGGACACGCACTTGAGTCTACTTTAAATTCTGTACCTGAAGCTCCTGCTATTACGTCTCTCTCTGTTCCTACATCCCCCATCGCGTTCGCGCCCGCCCTCGACGCGGCTTATCTTCGCAGTCGTCTTGCTTCCCTCGGTTCCCCACTCTCATCTCCCGCTCATGGATCGCGGCGCGGGCCCCCGACCACTCACTCAGACTCAGAAGACGAGCTTCGGGATCTGTTTTCTGTGCTGGGTCTAGATGGTGCGTGAGCCATGCATACTGTATACCAACACATCCACAGCAGTCATCGTCGCGCATTTCGTGTCCTCTATATTTTCGTTGATCGACCACTGACCGCCTACTTGTTAATTGGCTATATGCATCTTTCCTTACAGAAGATGAAAAATGGAACTGTATCTCAGGATCTATCGTCAATCGGGCCAAAGAAAGTACCGGAGTTGACGCTTATACCCTTCTACGTTCACGTTCCCATGATTCCACGGTGCCAAAGACTTCTCGCAGCAAGGAGCAGACACACAGACGCAAGCGTGGCGATACTATCCGTGCATCCGATTTCATTCGCCCTTCAGCATCCTTCGGCGGCTCCATCGCTCCATTAGACACTCGATATAAACCCAACGGAAATGTGGTCGCGCATGGCGCTCCGTCGACGCGCCGCACTCGTTCTGGAACAGTTACCCTCTCTAACGCTGTTCCTTCAGCGTCTACCTCACGTCCTTCTGCTACAGTTCCAAGTGCGCTCTCTTGTCCTATGTACTGCCTCGCTCTTACGCTTTTTGTTGCAGAGCACTTGCATAGACGGCATGCCAGCGGCTTGCCTACCATCCAGATGAAAGTTGACGACGAGCCACTTCGTATGCGACCCGGCGACAACGAGGAAGATGAACTGCTGTTGAGAGCAGGAAGCGTGATTGAGTAATCCAACGTAGGCGGTGAAAATACATATTCCTATCGCGGAATGGCTACTGTTGCTGATCTTTGCGCCACAGGTGAGAGCGTCAACTTCACGCCTTCAGGGTTTCGGACCTTCAGCCATGATCCGTGCGGTATGTTTCGTTGTGTCCCGTCATATCACATGTACAATTGGACTTGGACTGCTCTGTCGTACATGTTTTCGCATTGCCCAGATACTCGTTTATTTGTTGCATTTTGTGCGCTGTTGTCGGACGCTTTTATTTGATGCATGTATGAACCGCTTTCGAAAGATAAGAAGAAAGGTTGCAGCCCGTCTCACTGGAGGAGAAGTGAATTCCGGACTGAGAGCGCGACTGGCCCAGGTCAGCTTTTTTACAGTACAGTAGCTTATGCATCCCGTGACTACTTTGCATCTACGACTTGACATCGTTCTCTACCAACATCATTCGCTCAGAGCCATGGACCGCGTGTCGTCCGCAACTAGTTCGAGTCCTCCCGGCGCCATGCCAAGTTCATCCCCGGGTTTGCACTCGAACCGGCGTCGCCTCAGTAGCATCTACGCGCTGCAGGTGCAAGCGTTTCTCGACGCGGCGGAGGTGGTTGACGCGGACATGGAGACCATCGAGGACATCCTCGATGGATATCGCGAAGACGCTCCAGCCGAACAAGCTGGAGCCGCAGATGCTACCGACGTGGGGCTAGGTTATTTGGACGGAGATGAGCCTGACCTCGACGTCGAGCTAGAAGACATGACGGACTTCGACGTCCAACTGCGTGAAGGTAGGTGACCTGGGCACGACGTGGCTTCTCGTACTCTGAACGTGTAACATTCGGCGCTCGGGCGATGTTACGCGAATCAGATTGCGAGGAGCCATCTATTACTTGTCGAAATACCTCAAGGCATTGAAAACTCTCGTAACGTAGCGCAGACTGCATGGACCAAGGAACAGACCAAGGAGATGATGACTTGGCTGAAAGAGTTTGGTGAGTTGCGTGCATAGACGACATTGTCAATTTTAGTTGTAAAATACATTTTCTAAACATGTGTTGCAGGAATGGGGTCTTTTATCAACGAATATGTTGTGACGAATGCCATACCTATCCCCAAGCTACTCTACGCGTTCGGCATCTGTCTCGTTGGTCTTCATCCATCTTCATCTTGTGTGCATTTAGTGACATCACTTGGCCAGTGCAAGGAGCTCCGAGAGAAACGGACGAAGACCCTACTCTTCTTCCTCCGAGTCGCATTGTCCCGGGAGTGCGTAGCGCCTGTGTTGACTTCTCGTATGCCCGTTTTGACGCGGTGTGATCAGATTACAGTCGCGAGAGAAACTCACTGCATACAACACTATTGAGGATGCCGTAACCCTTATCCGAAGATCCAAGCGCATCCTCGTCCTGACTGGAGCAGGCATAAGTCGGTATTCTGAGATGTTATTCGTTTGGACCTGCTTACAGAAGGTTTCGCAGGCGTGTCTTGCGGCATTCCTGATTTTCGTTCCCGTAACGGACTGTACGCGGCCCTGCAAGAGAAAGGCGAATATGACCTGGATGACCCACAACAGATGTCAGTGCTTCTATCGCGTGTGGCGTTGACTGTCGATGCTCAGAGTGTCATCCAGGTTTGATATAAATTATTTCCGAGAGAACCCATCTGGTATGTTTGCTCTCTGGTAGATCTTCCAGGTTTGATTCTAACTGTCGGCGTGTTTCAGTGTTCTAGTCAGTACATTTGATACAATTTCACCACAGATTTCGCACTAACTGTTCCTTTGCACTAAGCTCTTTTGCCAGGTGATTGCCAACCCGCATCCACGTTGCATCGCGTCTTACGGTTTGCTGCAGCAAGATATACCCATCTAATTTTATACCCTCCCCGTGCCATCGATTCATCAAGTTAATAGAAGATAAGGGCAAAGTAAGAGAACGAATTTCATCTGAGGACACTCTTCCTGATCATATCTTTTCAGCTTCTTCGCGTAGGTTCTGCATGAGTTCATCACGACATTACAGCGTTATGATCATTTCTTGCCTTCAACCAGAATTACACACAGAACATAGACACGCTAGAGAGGCAAGCAGGAGTGCAGCACGTTCTCCAGTGCCACGGATCGTTCGCCATTGCGTCTTGTCTGAATTGTCATGTCCGTGTCCCAGGATCTGAGATCGAGGACGACATTCTCAACCACCGGGTTCCCCTTTGCAAGATCTGCAACGCTGCTCCTTCCCGCCCTGCATCGAATAATGAGCGTAAGAAGAAGAGTAAGAGACGACGCGCTTCGAGGTGGAACAGCGACGAGAGCGACGGAAGCGAGGAGCCGGACGTGCCCGAGTTCCCGCCTGGAATCATGAAGGTGCCTTTTTTTGCTCAGCCGAATGACTTTGCTTATATTCAACATATGTATCCGGATGCGTTTGCAGCCTGACATTACATTCTTTGGCGAGAAATTGAGCGATGTATTTGACCGTTCCTTGTTAGAGGATCGCCAGATGCTGGACTTACTCATTGTCATCGGCACGTCGCTCAAAGTGTCGCCGGTCTCAGAAATCCTAGGTAAATCTTGACATTTAAGTTTGTTATCTTCTCTATCTTCTCAACATCTTTGTTCCCTAGCGCATCTCCCTCATTCGGTACCTCAGGTACGACAGGTATATTTCCCTGCGAAAGCCATCTTAAAGATCATTCCTACTGTCAGATCTTAATCAACAAGACACCTATCAAACACATCAACCCAGATGTAAGTTTAGATACAAGATCATTGTATCGGAAGCCCCTCAATCTGAAGTCACAGATTGTTTTACTCGGAAATGCGGACGATGTCGTGCAGCATCTCTGCAGGAAGCTTGGGTGGGACCTCCCAGATCCGCGCCCGCATACAAACGGCGGTTCCCTAGGCACCGCGACTCGAGGCAATCCAAGGAAACGTCTCTCAGAAAGCCCGGAGCCCCAGCGAGTCGCAGACACGTGAGTCGCCTTTCCGGGAGTCTTCGGTATCCTTATACGTCCTTGCAGGCATGTATGGTTATTCGAGGGCGCCGAGGGAGGAAAGTGGGTCGAAGAACTTGAGCGCAAGGCGGAAAAGAGCTTGCCCAATACCGACTCTAGGGAGAGCACGCCGTTCGAACGCAGTCTTCGCCGACAACTCAAGAAGACACGGATGCAGTGAGCTCGCGCGCGGACGCCCACCGTCTCAGTCTCAGACGGAATGCATTCTTCGAGGCGCGTGACTGGGGATCGAGATAATCTTCGTAGAACCCGACGATGAACTCCTCTGCCTTGAAGCCGAAGCGGTTATATAAGAGCTGTGGGTATATGCGTCAGGACGTGTGCGAGACCCTCTGCTGGTAAGGATGCGACAGACCATCGCGGGATTGTTGATCGATACGTGCAGGGTAATATCTTTGTTGAGATTTAATGTAATGAGATGGTAGAGCATCGATCTGTACATATCTTAGATTATGCTGTAGACTACACATGGAACGACGTACGTTGCGATTTGCGAGTTCTCCCAGCCAGCGCGGACGGCGAGGTATGTGATGTACGTTTCTTGGGGCGAACTAAGGAATGCTGCGCCGACTACCAGCTGTTTGTACGTTGCCACAATGGTGCATTTCTCCGGTGTGTACTGGAGAGAGTCGCTAACTGCAAAAGAACATCAACACCGTGACCGAAGGAGCATCGCCATGGAATTACCGTCAATCCCAGCCCAGAACACACGGCCAAGCAGATCGTGCACTTGGTCAATATGCGACGCCTGCAGAGTTACGTACTCTATAGGAGCAATTGTTTCCACGAGCTGTTCTCGCTCCGGACTAATTTAGAAAAGCTAGTGAGATGAATAAAAACGTGTTACAAGTGCATGCATACTGCGCTAGAGCGAAATGCTGGCGGACATCGCTCATGAGCTCCATCCACGGACTGCGAGTTTCCCAGTCCACCGCAATGACTCCGTGAGTACGTTTGGGCTGGAAGCCTTGAACACGCGAGAGGAACGATCGCTCATAAGGCGTCGTTTGGATGGAGTATAGTGCGTCGATTACTTGCGGATTAGCAGACGAGGATGTGCGTGCAGCCAAGGGCGATGTGGGTCCGCTGTGAGTTCGCGAACTCGATACGTCCAGTAGCCGACGACGGAGGTCTCCCTATGCGCAAGATGGGGAAGACAAAGAGATGAAGTGATGTTCACTAAACTCACAGACTGTAGCTTCAGCTTCCTGGACACCAGCGCAGAAAGAGCGGAAAGCTGATTATCGGCGCTAGAAGTCGATGTCAACTTCTGCAGCAGTTCACTTGCTTGCGAGCGGGTTAAAGGCCGCACAAGTTGTCCCTAACCTGCAAAATGACGACAAGCTCTTTGAACAACAAGTCACGAGAGCTCACGGATTCGTCGACCTCCTTCAATCTATCCAGCAGCGCAGCTTCGGCCTGAGTGAGTTCCGGCAGCAGGTCATCCATGAACTGCTCAAACCCATTGTCATATCTTTCCCTGCCTTCTGCAGTCCCATATCGCTCTGCAAGAACGTCTAGGACTGGCGCGAGCAGCGAACTGAACGAAGGTTCGGGAGATTCTACATATGATCGTCCTCTTGGGTTAGTGGTCCTCCTGCGCTTCCGTCTGCGAGTCTGAATGATGCGTGATATGAGCTCAGGAGATGGAAAATTCGCATATAATGCGTACGGTTGATCGCTCGGTATACTCTCCATCGTCAGACGCAGACATGCCTTGGGCGATTCAAGACGGTCGAGGGAATTACAAACCATAGCCTAGGGTTGGGAGATGCAGTAGTGGTTTCTCACGGCACGTGGCAAGCACTCCAGGATTGCCATTAAGCTGCTCAACGTCCATCGTCTGCCAGCATGTCTCACTCGCACACCCACGCTCCCGGTCAGCCTCCCCACAGCCATACCCATGGCCCCGGCCAGCCCCCTCACACTCATGGCCCCCCACCCCAGCAAGCACAGATGGTCATACGTCCCCCGGACCCGGTGATGGAAGCTCTCATTGAAGCCAGCATCAGCTCTGTCGATATCGCTCTTGGCCCACCAGACAATACGACCGCCTTGTGCGGAAAACACTCGCTCGAAAAATGTGTCGAATGTGACGCCGACTACGTCTCCCTCAACCGCCTCTCCAGAATCCTGCTTGCCCACTCCACCCTACGTTGTCCCCCACCACCCCAGATTGTCACCCAGAAATTAACCATGGCAATCACAAACATCAAGGAGGAGGGGAATGTATGCTTGACGCCCTAGCCCACCGAATGTTTGGCTGATCCGTTCGCTCGTGTTCGTAGACTCTCTTTAAAGGCGGCTTGCACGAGAAAGCCATCCAACGCTACACCATGGCCATCAACATGGCCGCACAGAGACCACCGTGGGAAGCGCAGCAGATAATGCGCGAAGAGCTTTCCACCGTCCTGTCCAACCGTTCCGCCGCTTTCCTGGAAGCGGGAGACTACGTCGGCGCGCTGGTCGACGCCGAGACTGTTATCCAGCTGAAGCGACCGTGGAGTAAGGGACATTTCCGGAAGGCAAGGGCGTTGATGAGGCTGGAAAGATACGAGGAGGCGAAGGAGGCGATCCAGCTGGGCTTGTCGTACGAGCCTGACAACTCGGTTAGTGGTGCGTCATTGCTTGTATGCGGTTTACTGACTTGCATTCATGCACCTAGGAAATGTCTCAGATGCTGGCTAGTATAGAGTCAGCATTGAAGGCGCGGATGCAGGACTCAGAGTCGCGCATTAGAGCCTCGAAGAACGTCCCGACACTTCTTCCTATACTCGCCTCTTGACCCGACTGCATCACTTCTGTCCTACATAGCCAACCTCGACATGTTGCATATTGGATGTCACGTCCCTCCCGGCAATGTAACGGCTTTTGATGAGTTCACTTGAAAGCATGCTGTATGCCCTGACAAGATCAGTGCATAAGTTACTTCGACTGCTCCGACGGAAATCGAGGCAGGTTGTGGTCCTATAGGAAAGTCGTGCGTCCGGTGGCATTAGGTTAATTTCTCATGTCAAGCAACAAGCATGTGCACATAACTTGGTAGCATACAATTAATATCCCAAGACGATCAGCTGGCTGGTCGTTGGATCGGCGACTCGATAGCCAACTATCGGCGCCACTGTCTTGAATATGGAACGGAGTGTGACGACCGTTGCGGGACGTCACAGAGTGTCACGCAAACCATATCTTTTCCCGGCTGTTGTGTGCTAGACACAACGTTTGCTCTGGTCGTGCATGCCATGTAACACGTTACAGTTCTCAGTGAATTCCATGGTGCAGCTGATTTAAACCAGAGAACTATGCTGGTGCATCACGCAGCACTGACTTGTCGCGGAACGATTGTGACTCGTGACGTCACTTAAATTCTGACTTTCTCAACGCGTCGCGGCCGCGATCGGCGCGTCCCACTTGTCATCACAGTATCTCAGGCTACTAGTGCGCGACGATAAGTAGTCTACGGGTCGCTGAGAAGTAGCAAGTGCCTCGTCGCAACTCACGCACCTGCAGACATTGTACTCGAGGGAGTTTATCGTTCGTGTATCATGTTCAGTCGCGTCATACTGCGACAACTTTCTACCTGACAATTGACTAGTCATGTTTCTTTATTCTTAGAGATGGACACCGCAAATTCCGCGTCAACTGATCGAGTGAATCCCTTTTGTGACAAACCCATACCCGAATACGCCTTACAATGGGATAGCGCTGTTTGTCGCCCTGCTACGCTGCCGGCTGCGTACGACGAGGATATATCCCCAGAGCATATTTTTTATATTCCCTCAGGCAAGGAGGACCACTCACAGTCAGTCCCAGAAACAACCCGGCGTGGGTATGTCGTGGCGGAGCGCTGCGAGTCCTGTAAGAAACTCAGGAAGAGATGCACACGCGCGCGTCCCAGTTGTAAAAGATGCGAGACCAGTGGAAAACTATGCAAATTTTCTGTTTCACCTTCAATTCTTCCAGGTCCGTCGGTACTCAGGCCAAGAAAAGAGAAGCAGAATGGGAGTAGCAGTAGCTACCTACCGCTTCAGGAGGACGCTCGATCGACAACGACTCGCCCTGATCAAACAGTGGATGGAGCATCATCCTCTAACCCCCCTGCTCCCGGTCTTAGATTGTCAAGACCGCGGAAGTGCAAACAACCACGTTCTGCGCCAGAGAACATTTCTTCAGATGCTGTCGTACCAGAGAGCAGCAGCGACGAGGTACAAGATGGTGCTGCCAAACCTAAAAAGCGTCGGAAGCATGACAATATACGTACGTTCGAAGTACCGAGCGGTTCAAATGCCAATCGAAGTACTGCAATAAAACGCGGACCCAAACCCAAGAATATAACCGGAACCAAGGACAAGGCAAAGCCCCAAAGCATCACCGGGCGCAGAGGTGGCCTCCAAACCAGTCGTACAATGCACAAGCCGAAGACTACAGAGAGTAAGTGTCATCCACTCAATCGTTAATGGGAAAGCCGACGACAGAATCTACGCAATGTCTTTGTGTGTAGACGTTCCGTATCAGCCGACATGGCACGTTGTTCCTCCTCCGAATCAACCTACCCTAGGAGGGTCAGCAGCCGCCTCGTTGGGTTCTGCCTCTACTCTCCCTCGGATCTGGGCGAACGTAGGTGATACCTGTTCGGTTGGTAGACTTTTCCTTACTAGGCGTATTCTCTCGTCGTTCAGAGCAAAGAAGAGCTGTGTGAGGTCATACCGGAGCTGGCGCGAAGTATGAATGGGGTTGTTTGGCAGTACACGGAGACTCCTACCCTCTTCCTCGAGGGGCAGGCATGGCCAAATGACTTGTGGGATGGTAAATCCGTCATCGAGCTGTCTTTGTGAGTTCATCTCTCGCTATCTTCACGGCAGAATAGTCACAAGAGTGCATTGTTTGATAGGGTGCGGACTTTCTCGAGTCCCGTTCCCCCTGGCACAGCTGCCGATATCTCGCCACCCTTTCCATTACCAGGCCGGGACCATTCACTACCGACATTAATATCGCCTGATCTCCCCGTTTTACCTGGTGCTTCCGCTATTTCTGCACCTGTTTTCTCCACTGGAGCGTTTGGCACTGTACCTCATCCGTCGTATCTTCATCCTTCGCTTCGAGAGTCGGCTAGTGATTCTTCTATGTCTCTACCAGTTCTCACTATGGATGGACTATATACCTTGTCAGCATCGCCGTCCCCTCCACCGGAGTACATGCCATTGCTTCCTGAGCAGCGAAGTACAGACGTTCCTTGGCGTAATGGTCCCGCGACATTCCATTCGATCTCCGCTAACGTTGTACCCGGTCCCTCAAGTGGTCTCCTAGTGCAACAAGACCCGTGTCAGTACAGGGATTACTTGATTTACGGCGGAGTTGCTCTTGAAAGTGTACCTCCCCTGCTACCAGCGGCAGTCCACGGCTCCACTAAGTTTCACGAAGGCATGGTGGGCCGCGGAGTACATCTTGGCGTGTTTGCTTCAACTTCTGCTGACTACGGAGACTGGGGCAAGGGTGGGTGTAACTTTTTTGCCATGATGGCTTTAGTTGACGTCTGTCAGTTGCGGATATGCAGAGTATTTCGCCAGTGGCAGATGCGTGTCAATTTGGCGCGGTCCAGACGGAAGAAAGCTCCACAATGTCAGCTGTTCCGATCCCTGGCTCGAGCCGTGGGTCTGCCTTACAAGGATACTATGACTGCGAGTGTTCTACTTGATGTGTCCCGTATATCTGAAACGCTGATGCAAGGGGTTCAGCTTCTTACTCGTATTACCTACCACAGATATTGCAGCATACACAAGAGCTGCAACGACTCATTGCCACGGGTTCTGCAGCCGACGGTGCTTTAATGCGATCAATTCCAGGCCCACATGTTCACTCGCAGATCCCTGAGACCTTCACTCATTCTTCCACTTTTCACGGGGCCGGGCCAACGGAAATATATCCTCCCCCAAAGCTCCACTCTTCACCGATGGATGAAGCCTTGAATGGCAATCCGCCTCCTGAGATCAAAGCTCTGTTGGATTGCTACACGAAGCGTATCCCGGTCAGCATTATTGCGACTAGGAATTCGTCGCTTGTGCGTCTCGGCTTACCCGAAGAGTACGGCTGTGTCTTTCTGGGTCTCTTCAAGATTACAGAAGTGGAGGTGAGGTTATGAACCAAGCCTTATTCGCATGCTTGATGGTTTTGTTGAATGTGCAGATATTCGACAGGGATGTCAATTCCTTACAACCAGTCCAGGATACTCGACATGCACGCCATTGGCGGTTCAGGTTCGTGTGGACACCTGGCGGAGACAGTCTCGATCCGTCGGTCGGTCCTCTACCTCGTTGGTGGGTGCCTGCGCCAACAGGCGAGGGCGATGGAGAGGAAGATCAGGACATTGATATGTTGATGCAGCCGTATAACCTCTTACCTCTTGAGCTCATGGCCTCGAGCACGTTTTCCCAGGAGGACTTCGAGAACGGTACGTCCGAGCTAACGACGTCTCACGGCTGGCACTGCGGAGAATGTGGAATGCTGAACGTCCAACGGAATCTGCGGCATCAGAAGTGTGGTCACTGTCGGGTAAGGGCGGTTTCGCCTCTAATACACTATGTACTCAACTCTTGCCTCAAGCGAGGTAACTTCATGCCTCCTGTGGATGTCGGCTGCCTACGCAACCCATACACCACGGCACCGCAAATACTGCCTTGGGATCGACCTTCGGATGGTGTCTCGTCGTTCACCGTCAAGCGCCCCGATAGTATGCGCGTGTTCCGTTACAAATTAGGCGATTCCCAGATTGCGACGCACCTCTTCACCGGCAATCTAGAGAAGCACCAGGATCAGCCCACTCGTCTCTTCAGGGAGTTTCAGATGAAGATTGAGATGCCGATGCGTGGTCTCAAGGCTGGCTTAGGGGCAGGTACACGTCCATTTACTGTGCTCGAAGTCAAGGATCACTCATACGTCCATATAGGGCCTTACTACACCTATTTCGTTGGTAAAGAAGGAGGTGTCCCTGCTGTCCCTTGGGCGGATGTTCCAGAGTGTGTTTCCGCTGCTAAAGAGTTGATGCTCCATCTTGGACGTACCGACGGCGGAGAGTCCTCTTTGAAGATCGATCAGTTGATCGTGCTCGCTTGGACAAGTACGGGCTCGAGGAAGGTGTGATCAGTTTCACGCCTTTTTTGTACGGCCATCCTCTCTGAGACTGCTAACGCAGGGAATCTTCCCGGCAAAGAAGTCATGCATCACGCTGCTCTGCCTCGGTGCAGACATCGAACTATCCATCTCAGTCAGATCTGAAGTGTCACCTACGCGAATGAAAGGGGGAGCACAGGCTGCGAACCGGGCGGCGACTTCATCAACGAGCAGCCCTGCAGCATCTCTGGTCCTATCACGCCGTACAGCCAAGAAGAGAAAATATCCTTCCTCGGTTCAGAGGAAGACTTCTTCGGCGCCCTCTAAGAACACGTGGAAGGAAGCTCTGCTGGTCACCCTTGTTCATGGGGACATTCTCGTGTTGACTGGTGATGACTTTCAGGTCTGTTCGTCTTCGTGGCTTTTGCACATAGTTCTGATGCATTCTACAGTATTCTATGAAGCGGGCAGGCATGAACATTGGCAAGTCGCAAGTGATCCGTGGATGGCTAAGCAGCTAACGATATTCCACGCAGTTTTGATAGGCACCAGTTAACGGCTGGGCAGTGCCGCTCAATTTATTTGGTGCACCATGATATTTGTCAACATATACCCTCATATACCTTCATAATAGAGCTGCAGTGTTTCGCTAGAACGAGGAGCAACCGAGGGAAAACCTTGAAACAAACCAACGCCAGGCAAGGACGGGAGAATGCTTCGTAATGACAATCCTACTCAAGGAAGAGAGCCTCCCCAAAAGATTGATTTCGCTAATATTCGTTAGCAACTCACACAGAGGGGAAGCACCTCTAGATGACAAATGAGACGGGGTTGAGCGCAAATATTGGATTGTGCATTCAAAAGACACGTACAGTCTGGGGATTTTGTGCTACCATAATGAAGGGTACCCGCGCGACAGTGTATGGTTATCTTGTCGACGCAAGCACGAAGCACGGAGAGGAGCGGAGAAGGGAACTCTTTCCCTGATCTCATTGTGATGTCCAACGACGCCAACCGCGCACCCCTCGCCGCGCGCATATCAAGAACACTTGTCAAACTTTGTAAGATATTCTCCCGGGAATCGTCCAAGCGCGAGACGATAAGGTGCTTAAGATTTGGGCATACCGATATCGGGGTATGTATATCTGTTTCGGGTCCTCCAGCCAATGCAAGAAAAAACAGGAGCACCATGGAATCTACGAAATCAATGTGTGCAGAGACGACAGTTGAAATGTGATTGAGGATGCCCAGCCACTGGGCCACCGTAGTTCGATATGACGTCGCACGGATGGAAATGTGCCGGATCGCGGTGAAGGACATCGCGGCGAAGCCGATATGCGTCAGGTCAAGGTTGTCGGGCTCGGCGTCGAACCATTCCCATTGCGTCTTTATTCTCGAATCCATAGACTCAAGAGTCACGCATGTTGACCAGGAATTGTCCGACACCAGATCCAGGATGATATCTTGCACACCAGAAGTCATATTGCATAACGAAGAACAGCCGCGGTCGAGGTTGAGGGGTGACATGCGGATGCCTCTCAATTTGAGACTGACGGCCGTTGATGGCGGGAACGATAGATGCGACAATATGAGTGCAACATCTTCATGGACATGGGTAATTAGAGCCAGCGTCTGTAACTGGAGCAGTTCAATGATTGGTCCCTGGGGTTCAGGAACATCTGCAGGGAGGACAGTGCCGTACATGCCCAATTTCAACACCTGCAGAGCAGGACTGTTTCGCAACGTCAACAACAGCTCCCACAACGCGGGTGCAGGCTGATTGTCGACATCCAGTCTCGTCATATTCCTGCAAGGTAACCAAGGTGTTGCTACCCTCTTCATGGAAATATCGCGGATGCTTGGGGCCTGACCACCGAAAAGGTCTTCGACAAAGAGGCGCTGGTCAGTTTGGAGGTGAAGACTGTACAACTGCGGCGCCGGTGAAGTGAAAGATGACAAAAGAGCCTTCATCTCCATTCGAGAGAATCCGACGGCACGGAATTCAAAGATACGATGGACATGTTCTGAGAGGACTTGCCCCTTCAACTCCAGAGCTGGCAGAGACCTCAAGGCAGATCCAAAGCTGATGAACTGGACATACAATGGTGAATCTTTGGATCGCGCCAGGTATTCTTGGATTAGCGTAGTGCTGCGAGAAGGAGTGACACAGACGAATGTCCAGAGCTGTGGAGAGTGAAGCGCAAGATGACGCCAGTGACGGCAAACGTGGGTCACCACAGGATAGGTACATCCAAGGCGCGTACCGAACGTGGAACGGGTAAGAACATAGAAGATCTCGTATAGGATGTCCTCGGGGAGAAGGGCGATGGGCACGCTCGTTGCGTCGCTCATCCTGTCGGATGAGCCTGCAAACGTAAAACAGTTCACACAGAGGATCTTCAAGTAATATAATATTAGATGTACACACCTTCCATCTAAATTGTCAATATAGGGGCAGAACTACGGCAAACCACGTCGAGGTGGACGAGGAGGGTACGAAAGTTGCGCAACCTGGAGTAAATGCGGACTCGATAATAATATGAGTTAGGCTGTCCAAGTCTCAGCGGAATTAGCTGCTGGCCAGAGCCATGAATAGACTGCAATAGACGGTACTCAGTTTTTTTCAAACTCGAAGTCATCGTCAGGAAGGATCAGAAGCCTGAGGCCATGCTTTCGCCGTCGCAGTCGTCCAGCGTCGGCCTCGGTACGACTTTGGCGCTTCGCGCTGGGTGAACCCCGGCCCACCGGAATCTACCGCCGTTGAAGCGACGTACACGTGACTCGCGTTGGCAGTCGCGAAAAGTTCATGGAAGTCAGTCCTCCGCTCCTTGCAATTACCGATCTTTGTGCTAGCTGCTGCTCATTTGTTCTGTGGCTGGGATACTCAAGACCGTTGAATTGAGTGAACAGGATAACACACGCTCGATATGTCTTCGCAGACTTCCAGAACACTTTCCTCGTCGACGGTGGCGGCATCATCCTCACTCTTCGACAGCCTGAAGCTGCCACGCAGTGAAGCCCTCGCCAGACTACGGACCAACACCATCGGGATCTTTATTCTCACAGTGCTCACCACCTTACTTCCTCTGCCTTCTCTGTGGACCGCTCTCTCCATTGTCCGTAGCCACGCGCCAGTGAGCACGCTGTACTACACGCTGTGTCTGCTTGGTACGTAGGGTCCTCTCTCGCGCCTTGTGTGTGACTAAGAATACTCGAGCAGAAGTCCTCGCAATATTTGTGTTCAGTACAAACATTCTCCAGGCATCTTATGCCCTGCGGTATCCTCGGGTGTCGCATCCACCACCACCACCCTCTCCGGCCAAGAACATCAACATGTCACCTCTGGCGCGTCCGTTGAAAGGACTGTCAGCAAGTACTAGCGTGCGTCATTCTTCCATTATCTTTGCGATCATCGTCTCATTATTACCTCTAATCCCTACCTTCCGCCTCCGACGCGCACAGTCAAGCCCTCAGCGACAAAAATCATTCACTTACGCGACCTCACCTGTCTCCACTCCCTCCCGCACAATCAATTATACTATTCCCTCCTCAGCAAACGCGCCATTTGATACGTCGTTTGCCTCGTCCCTTCCATCCCCTCCTGCTTCCCCCGCGTCTCCGCTGGCCGCCTACAGAGGCAAGCACGCTTCTGCCGTGGGCCGTGCGTACTCTCTTGCGTTCCATCGCTCTGTCAGTAGGCGTGCTGAAAATGCTGCAGGCGCGTTTGACGGCTCTCTGCTCAGCCGGCTGGCACGTGTTGAGTCTGACGATGACGACGATTGAGGTCTCTGGGCGCTGGCGTTCTCTGCATCTTGAACGAACAGGGTACGAGTTGGAGATCTGGAAGCCATATGTAAATTCATGCGTTCCCTGTACAGCATACTGTTGGGGACAAGAGAAAGAACCGACCTCCGATTCTCTGATGAGGTTCTTTGACATGTTACTGCACCTGTACAACATATTTACGGTCAACCTAGCCATCATCTCAACTCAACATTTGTTGCACATGTTTACAATTAACGTATTCATCGTGAACAGCAAGAGTCGCGAAATAACCTTCCAACTAAAACAAATGCTCCTGTCCCGCTGCGAGCCCACCGAAGTAGCATGTCAGAGCTTTCAGCTTCGAGCCCATCCATTCCTCTTCTACTTCAACCATCTCAATTTCACTTGTATTCTCGCCGCCCTGGTGTATTTTTTCCGCACCCCCGCCGCTGGTATGTCCATCATTTCTAAGCTCTGTGCCATCATCTTGGGCTCTTTGCTTCAGCAAAGCCGCTACTTCATCCAAACGTACGTTACGCGGCAAGAAGTACGCCACATTCTTCGTAATGCGCCGCGCAAGCTTGAACAGCTGCGCACCGTGCACAGGGCGTATGCTTGCAAGAGAGTATTCTGGTGGTTCAAGGGCATTTATGTCTCCGTTCTCCGTGGCGGCACCCTGCAGTGTAGAAGCCGAGTCCGACAGGTATGAAGGGCCGCCCCAGGGTGGGCTGAGGAAGATGACGTCGATCTTGCGATGCAACAGCGATTCATAGTGTGCAGCTGCATCTACTGCTCTGGTTTTCTCTAGTCGGTGTCGCGACGATTGTTGTTGGGGCAACGTGCGAGCGAAGGATAGGAAGTCTGCAAGAATAAACTCGATGCGGTCTGCTACGCCGTAAAGGGCAGCGTTGTGCCGTGCAAGCGCCAGACGTACCGGCGAGATGTCGAGTGCGATCACTGTGGCACCGATGAATCAGTGTGCAGACCCAAAATGGTGCCTGAGAGCGGTGAATGCACATACCTCGCTCGCATGTCCGTGCAAAAGCAATAGCATTCCCACCGACGCCGCAAAAAGCATCGAGTACGATGTCACAGCGACATCGTTCAGCAATCTGATCGGCGATGCGTTCGGGAGTGATGCTATACCAGCCTTCTTCGTCCAAGAGACAGCCCGAGGAGTACCGGGAGAAGTAGCGTTCGCGCTGAGAAAAATCTTCGAGGCATGAGTCTTTCACCTGTTTGCGCAAGAGGTTTAAGACATACGCACACTTTTTCAGGTGGACAGGTACTTGTGAAGGTTCGGTGTAGAATGGCACCAATCCTGTTGCGTCGTATTTCTCCAATCCAGGACCGAGCAGTCCCACTTTCCGCTTTTTTGAGGGTCGACATTCGGCATCAGATCCATCTTCTTGCACTTCTACTGCACGTTTCGTCGCTCCGCCTGTCGCGTTGTTCGTCGCAGAGTGCAGAATCGTAGCAGTCGTCGTGGTAGTTACAGCGGTGGTGGTTTGTGTGGGGGAGGCTGTAGCTTCATCAGGTTGGGAGAATGCCTCAAGAACGAAGCGTGAAAGACCAGATATGTTTGCATTTTTCCTTCCCATAGTTACTAGGTATGTTCAAAGTTGGCCTTTTTTCAAAAGCGACCTTTTTCTTTCAGAAAAGCAAGGTCCCAGATCTGAGACACCGCTCCAGGCTCACTTTATTGCTCGCCGAAAGAGTCACGGTGTGACATCTGTGTGATGCACGTGACAACAAAGTCGAAAGCGAGAGCACTTGCACCTGGACATTGAAGCGGTGGCAATGGTCTTTAGCATATTCCCAAGCTATGCTGAGGTGTCCGAGCTTCAGCACAGGCTAACGGTTGCACAGGTAGCAGGCCTATTTGATAGTGCAGATTGTCTCAAGATCTAGTCGGAGTTGCTGACAGACCGTGAGTGTCTGCATCCTCCTGAAGCATATATAGTTGCCTCTCATAGTGCAATAAATAGAGCATAAAACTGAAGGTATTTGTCACAGATATTATTGCGAGACATGGTATCGCTGCCCGAGGCTCAGCGTGCACATCAGGAAAACCCAACTTTTACTTAAAGGTGTTCTTATGTGACTTAAATGCACTTATGGGCCTTAAATAAGGCAAAAAAGGACAAAAAGTCCATAAGTCATATTTCCTTAGAGATTTAAAAGTCAACTTTTGGGAACTTATGGGCCTTAAATAAAGCAAAAAAGGACAAAAAGTCGGAATAAGTCCCATGAGTAAAAGTTGGGTTTTCCTGATGTGTCCAAAGCGTGTTCCTCCGAGTCACATGGCCGCAATGGCGACCTGAAGTTGCGCCCGCTTTTTCAGATCGCTTTTCGGAAAGGAAAAAGGTCGTTTTTCAAAAAGCGCCAACTTTGAGCTTACCTAGTACTGACGGACGTGATAAACGATAGAAGTCATACAATAGTCCGAGAAAAACGGTGGCCAAGCGTCGCAATCTCTCCATAGCACGGTTGTCACATCGTGACTTGACGCGACCTTGTCACACACGCGTTGTTTAAAAAGCCCTTGTTCATTGTTATTCCCCTTTGTCCGCGTTCTGTGCTTGTTCCTATTCTTCTTGTCTTCTTGACCCTAGATGCTCACTAAAATGAGTGTTGCTGAACGCATCCCTTTCCTCGTTCTCGCACCCAAAGGGCTAAATCCCAGCAAGCCAAAGCCTGTGTCCGAATCTCGAACATGCAGCTCCTGCCACAAGCTTCTACCTTCCATATATGACTTCAAATGGTGTGAAGAGTGTAGGCTGAAGGACAGGGAGAAGGCGAGGCTGAAGAAGGAGAGACGCCTGGAGCGTCTGCGTCTGCAGGACATGGCACAGGCCGAGAAGTCGAATACGCAATTGACGGATCCAGGTGGAAACCCGATCACGTCCGGAAGTCCCAAGTCTGACGGTAAAGCGTCTCAATCTTCTGGTGTTGGCGTTCTACTCGGGAAAAGAAAGGCGGTGGAATTGGATCGAGGAGAACATGGCGGTGGCGCAGATTTCGTGGACGTGGAAGGCTACGTTCAATTTCAGACCGCTCCAGCGCTGCTCGATGCACTATCCTCTACACTCAAGGCGTACTATGACGCGTGTTTATCTGCGTCAACGCCCCCGCCGTACATTAGCTTCTGTGGCACGTACTCCATCGTTGCCGACCCCAAAATCCCTCAGTGGAAACGCGTTGAGCTGGTATCAACGGATCTGAGGAAGATCGCAAAGCTCCCACACAGGTCAGTTCTTATTTTTACAGTCGCTCTACTTGTGCATGCATATATGCGCAAGGTCGCCCGCTGCGTGTCTTTATCTACGTACCTTCACCTCATTTGTTCTGTATACTCATGGGATTTTTTGCCAGCAACAAAGAATATAACAAGGCAATGTCGACGAAGAACTGGACAGAGACTTTCCAGTGCGATTGCAGCCGCGGACGCGTTCGACCACCGTCGATCTACATCCCTCGAGCACGGTCGTTCAACATCCCTCTATCCTCTTCCCCCACCTCTATTCCAGCGCTCGCAGATCAGTCATTGCAATCACCCAGCTCCTCAGATCCTCCAACCAAAGCACCGCTGAAACGCACTCAAAGTAGCCTGTCGCACTGGATCCTCAGCTCTAGCGTGAAGTCACCGTCTACGGAAGGTACAGGGACTGAAGTGGTGGGCGCGTCTGTTCAAGCCGACAGCCTGCCAGGCTGCGGAGGGAAGGTGCACATCAGCGCAGAGGAGGACGACACGCATCCGCAGGCGCATCTGTTTAAGGGACAGAAGATCGTTGTGGTCATCGAACATCCTCATGACGCTGAGGAAATCCCGATGGACACGGAGCCATAGCGCACGGAGTTCAAGGCGCCACAACCGGTGGAACAATCTCTTGAAAGTAGTAGCGTAGTTTCATTTCCGTTTAATACCGAGTCGAATGAAGTCCACAACACTGATCGGTGAAGAACTGACCCAGTGATCCAGAGTCTGGCAATGCCTGCGACCTCACACTTCCGTGCTTCGCACGCGACATACATCTTGAAGAATAGAATATAAATGCATAACAGCAAACGGGATGGATGGCGCCGGCTACGTTACGCTGCGGCCGCGACGGGTGGTACTTCGAACTTCGTGCACAAGTCATCGAAAAGCTCCGCCTTGCCCGTGAGGTCCACGACAAGTGGAAATTTCGGGTATTCCGAAGTTAGTTGACTAGATGAAATCAGTCAAAAACCACACAACGATGGCGCCGATTCAAACATACCTCCAAAGCTGATCTGCCTCAGCATACTTGGAAGCACCTAAACCTGCAGCAGCCGTCATAGCAGCCAGCGTCTCGGCGTCCGCTACTCCGCCCGATTGCGACACCGCCTCCTCGAAGTCTGACTTCGCACCAGATATCTCGCCCTTCAACAACCGCGTGACTCCGCGTGCGGTCAGCAGGCGCGGTGAGGACAGCGAAGGATTGGCGAGCTGCTCGGTGTAAAACGCGTTCGCGTCGGTGTACCCGTCCTTGCCGGTGACGAGGCCTATCGAAGCCTCTATGAGTTGTATCAGTAGGTCATCCTCGGCCCAGCGCTTTGCCCGCTCGAACTCCTTGCGAGCGAGGTCCGGGCGGTTGATGGATAGGTAAATTTGGACGATAAGAGCGACACTGCAGGGCAGAAGGACATTGAATGGTCAGTAGGACTAAACCAAGGTGAATAAGAATAGATGTTTACGCCTCCAGGTTGTCTGTAGTCGTCCCGACACCAAGCGTCTCGAGAGCCTCTTCTACTTCACCCGCAATAGCGAACGCAGTTCCAGCAAGAATACGGACCATTCCCTTCTCTTTATCGGTCGCATCCAAGTCCTCCCCCTCAATTTCCACACACAGATCCCGCAGCTCCTCAAGAGAACTATCCTTGTCCGCGGAAACACTCGCACCCACGTAGCGCGCTAAAGCGGCGACAGCCTTCAGTGACACGTCCTCTGTGTCCGCAGGTACCAAATCAGCGGCGGCTCGTGGCTTGTTGAGTGCGATGTGCGCGCGGGCCTGGTAGACCAGGGTCGGTGCATAGTCGGGAGAGGATGGGTCGGGGAGTGTTAGATCGACCAGCATCTTGTAGGCACCTGGGCAAGGAGGTGAGGGTCTGACGAGGATGACGGTATATTTCTGAGGCCTACCGAGGATGAAATGTTGCTTCACGACATACAGTTCTGAGGAGTCCATGTTGCTGTCCGGTGTCTGACGGAGGAGAGTTCGTTGATCACGGTACAAATGTCACTCGGAGACTACAAACCAAAATCTAATAGTCCGTTACAATTCTACTACAGTAAGCGTAGTCCATTAAGGCCGGCGCCAGATCTCACTGTGGATGCCAGATTGGGCGAAAGTCACCAGGAAAATCACTCACCGTTTGGTTGACACTCCGGATCCCCCGTTCGGCTGGTGATCTAGAGCAGAATCATCCGTTTCCCGAGTACTATATTCCGGGCAACCGCCGAGTGATGTTTACTCTGAATATGAAGCAACTCATCCGTTTGATGGGTAATTTTCAGCATGGTGAAAATCACCCATACCCGAACATCACTCGGATTCCGGGTGATTGGCTTTTTTCACCTAGCAGACGGATGACTCTCACCTCCTTGAGCCTTCGCAGTGAGAGGTCTGTCGGTAAAGTTGTACACTGACCACTTGTGAAGTTAGATCTATGAAGTCCTGGTTCCTATGCATTGTGCAGCCTGGAATATTGCAAGAAGCTTGCATTTGCGCGTTAACCGCGAATGAAAACTGCGGACGTCCTCTCGGAAATGAATTCGGTTGACTGAACTCATCCACCGTGATCAATCGACACTGGGAAATTCAGGGAGGCTTTCGGGCATCGACCATTTTGTTTATCGATTCTGCGCCTGCTGAGCCTGAGCGTGGTCTTCTTATTGACGCTTTGGAACGCTCCCGAGTCGACGAGGTAGTCGAGCAGACAAGATACGAGTGTCGTGACACGCGTACGCGAAGCTGTTTACAATATTTACAATACGATATCCGCCTTCGCCCCAGGGGGCTTAGGACATGTCTACGACAGGCCTCGACGAACCAAGTATGTATGGAGCAGCGGATCTACAATGGCATGAGCAGGACGTTGGCCGGACTAGCACTCCGCTACCTGGAGTACAGGATCACCGGTGATAAGACCATGTAGGTGGATGGGGGTTACGCCGGAAGAAAGGAGGGGAAAGCATCAACCAAGGACCCTCTGTACCAACCCCTTACATAATCCAACCCGGTTGCCCAGCGGGAACATGAGCGAGCATGAAGTCCGCTGTGAACGGCAGTCGTCCATCGTAGGACAAACGATGATCGATGATGGTTCATGAATGCGACAGACCGAGTGGTAGAGGAAGTGACAATGAGCTGGTTGGCGTGCTGCGGGGATGGATGTGCGATTGGACTGGTGGATGATGGTGAGGATGTGTCTGGCTGCGTTTGCCCAACGTCGGGAACGCCAACTCCGTACGCTGGATGCCCATCATGGGGCGGGTATAGAGGGTTGGATGAGCTATCGGCGACGATAAAATCCCACATTCGTCGAGGCCGGGGCGACAACATGGTGGTTGTTGTTGTTTTTTTTGCGCCTTAATTGACCTCCGGAATACTATCCTGCCATCGGGCTGACGTGAGTGCAGGCTGAAAAAGGCATCTGTTATCTTATTTAATTCGTCAGCATCAGCATTCAGTCCGTAGCGAATGTATGGAAGCATGCCACGGACAAGTTTCGTCCGGCAGTCACTCCTCCTCCTGCCTCATCTGGGGAGGGCTCGTCGAGGTTTCGCATATCTGATCATTAAAAGCTAGCCTTGTTAGGGCCATATGTGTCGTACATTCTTGTCGGTTGCCCCAATTCTCCGAACCTTCGAATGTTGACGTTGATGAAGGCAATTTCCACAATCGAACCTGCAGGACGTCCAACGGATTTGGCACACGTCTCACGTCTCAGGCCGAGGGGAGGATGCCCGGCTTCAATGCGCGCTTCCATCGACAGCAAGAACGGTAAGATGACAAACTCATCAGTAAATAAATTGAAGGCTCTGCGCTTCCCTGCGAATCATTCGTGGAAATGATGTCCTCCAGCCATATAAGATGAGGGCGAACGAAACGATGCTTTCTTTATCCCCCTCTTCTCCTACCATCTCTCAGTCACTTCCAACATGTCTTCGACGGTGGGCAAAACGCCCTCCAGGTTCTCCACACTTGTTGTGAGTGTTCTTGTCATTTCTGCCACCCACATACACTGGCTAACGTCACCCGGTAATGCAAGGAGAATGGCGAGCAAGAAACCACTGCACGCGCGAACAAAATTATTCAGGAATTTCGTGAGCAGGTTCGCGGCATTGAACCACATCTTCACTCGCCGTGTCATTTATCGAACCTGTTTCCAGTTGAAAAGAGGGGAATCTTTCACGGGAGACATCTCTGCATTGGTGCGCGTCATCGAGTCGTTTGCCTTTCTGTCTGATATTGTTTTTGTAGAGGAGCGTCATTGATGCCCTCAAGCATCCCAATGGAATTGACGATCGCAAGATGCTGGTATGTATCTCCATCCGAGGCTCGGTCTTTGTTCTCACCCGATGGTCTTGAAGCTCGAGCATGTTCTCGTATTTCTGTCTGAGCATCCGTCGAGCAACCTTGGCAAACAGCTGGCGAACGATACCGTTGAACTCTGTGGGTCATAGTATGACATCGTTTTTGCCATATCCGTTTAGCGCGCTTTCAGTGTACGCCGATCTCCCTCATCCTCCGGAAACCCTAATTGGGAACCAGTATGCGTGGCGATCCGCCGACGGCTCCAACAACAACATCAATATCCCGGATTTGGGAAAGGGAGGCACTCCATATGCACGCAGTGTGCAGCAGAGCCATCCTCTACCGCGCAATGAAATGCCAGATGCGGGTCTGGTGTTCGATACTCTCTTGAAACGCGAGAAGGTAGGTCTCCAGTTTATCTACTTGCTAGCGTTCCTCTCACGTTTACGACAAAGTTTGTCAAACATCCGGCGGGCCTGTCGAGTTTGATGTTCTCCTTCGCAGCGCTCGTTATTCATACGTGGGTTATGTTCTTCGTTAGCCTTGCTGTGCGATTGATTCCAAGCTTTCTAGTGTGTTCCGTACTTCTCACAAGGACGTCAACATTAATGAGACGTCTTCCTATGTCGATCTTGCGCCTCTCTATGGTAACGACCAAAATAATCAAGACAAAATCAGGGTCCGCGATGGCCGCGGCCTCCTGCACCCGGATACGTTTGCTGAAGATAGGCTGTTGTTGCTTCCTCCCGCAGTCTGTGTCTTACTGGTTCTATTTAATCGTAACCACAACGTTTGTCTATTTTGTCTCAATCCTGGAATATTGATTAACGTTTTCACGTACAGTACATTGCCAAGATGCTCCTGGAGATCAACGAGCGAGGGACGTGGGCCGACCCAAACTCCATCCCCGATGACCCCCAGCGTAGTGCCAAGATCTTAGCGCAGGAGGAAGAAATCTTCCAGATCGCTCGTCTCATCAACTGCGCTTGGTTTGCCTCTGTCGTCTTTTCTGACTACCTTAGCGCAATTCTAGGTCTTGTGAGGCGAGGAAGCAGCTGGAGTTTGAACCCGTTCGGGGTATGACGTCTATGGTGCTGATACCTTTCAGTGACTGATCTCTTACGTTAATTGTAGGAGATCAGAGATCTAGATCATACCCTGTTTGAACGTGGTCGGGGGAACGTATGCAGCGTCGAGGTATGCCGTTCCTGTCTCCTGCTACATGCGATATTCATCCCTTTTCCACAGTTCAACTGTCTCTATCGTTGGCACGCAACTACCTCAGTGCAAGACGAGAAGTGGACCGAAGACCTTTTCAAGCAGCTCTTCCCCGATAAGACTTGGGACCAGGTATGCGATTGTGTCTCACAATCTGGGGCTCGGCCAAGTCTAATTTGCCCTTGGTGCAGATAACCATTCAGGCGTTCGTGGAAAAGGCGAAGGAATTGCACGACGTAGAACTTGACGTCAGTAACTGGACATTCGACGCGTGAGTGCGATTCCTTTGACCAGTCACAATTACGTGGTAATCAACATGCATCGATGCACCAGGCTGAAGCGCCAAGACGATGGCACCTTTAAAGACTCTGAATTGGCTGGCATCTTGCAAGCCGCGTGAGTACAGTGACCGATGTGTGATGCGAGAATTGAGCGGATGTTGGCGACAGGACGGATCACCCTGCCTCAGCCTTCAAGGCTCGTGGAACCCCAGCCGTGATGCGTCTGCACGAGATTATGGGCATTGAATCCAACAGGCGATGGGGTGTTTGTTCCTTGAATGATTTCAGACAGGTGAACCAGACTAATTGGGATGAAAAGGTACATGAGCTCACTCGAATGTTTTCTACCTCCAGTTCCTCGGATTGAAGAGTAGGTGGCGAATGGCTGTACCTCTCAGTTTGTAAGCTAACAGGCTCCTGTGGTGTTCTCCAGCCTACTCGAGCTTCTTGGAATGGAACCCCGATCCTGAGATTGCTACTGCGGCCGAGAAGCTGTACGGTACTATTGATCGCCTAGAGCTGTACCCGGGTCTCCAAGCAGAAGCTGCGAAGCCTGTAATCGACGGCGCTGGCCTTTGCCCTGGTGCGTACATTCCCTTGGACAGTGGAAACTGTTCCTCACGTCGATGCAAGGTTACACCATTAGTCGTGCCATCCTGAGCGATGCTATCGCACTTACTCGGGGAGACCGCTTCTACACTGCTGACTACACCCCGTTCAACATGACTTGCTGGGGTTTTGCTGACTGCCAGAGACAGCCAGACGCTCCGGGGTACGGCAGCACTCTCGGAAGACTATTCTTGCGGACACTACCGGGTCAGTACACGGACAACAGCACATATACCTGGTTCCCTCTCATGACACCTGAGGCGATGCAGCCAATCCTGACGAAGCTGCACGACATTCAGAACTATGACCTTACGAAACCGAACTCAGTTGATCCAGTCCGAATTGTATCGAACTACTCCGATGTCGCTCAAGTATTGAGCAGCGAACAGTTCAGCCCCCGCTATTCCAATCGGGCAGCGCGTGTCATTCATGGTCACGGGTCAGTGTCCTCGTATTCTCCCCACTTGATGTAGTTCGTCTCACGCATTTCATGCCGTAGCTTCTTCATTGCTTCTGACAGTCCTGCGAGAGCCGGGCGAGAGCAGCGTGCTTTTATTGGTGCTCTCACGGACGCGCGCGGATCTGTAGACAAGATCGCATCCTTCTTCTACCAGACGACACGCGATTTGATGTTGCGGGAGTCGTACACTGCTGTGGGGTCACGGACCAAGAACGTCGATATCGTGCGAGATGTTCTCAAGCACGTTCCAGTCCGTTGGGCGGCAGACCTTGTAGGCCTTTGTCTGTTGTCCCCTTGCAGTGTGTTGATTGCTACGTTGTACAGGCAGGTATACAGCTCAAGAAGAAACCACATTCGCTCGGTCATTATACGCCCCAGGAAATGTTCGACATGCTGTCAGACATTTATTCGTAAGTAGTGGTGTGGTTCTGTATAGAAATTTGCGCTCATGTATGATCCTTTTGCAGCTATTTATTCCTTGATGTTGAGGCAGCGAAGGCGTTGAAACTTGCAGAAAAGGTCAAGACGCACATCGAGAAGCTGCGGCACGATCTCATGTGCACTTTCGGCGGTGCTTCCCGGGTTTGTAGCTGTACACTTTTTGTGTGAACCTGCTCAATTTTCTGACGGGCAAGCAGCTTTCGATTGCAGGGCTCTTAGAGACGATTTCTCACATGTTCTTCCAGCCGGCCAAGAGTGACAGAGATGACCTGCTGGATCGTCTGCATGCACTTGGCTATCCTCCGGAAACGATCTGTAACACGTTCCTGGCCGTCTTGGTGGGCGCCACCGTGGAAATGTCTCAAGGTGCGGTCGAAGTTATCTACACTACTCTGTTCTGACCGTCGGATGACTTAAGCTATGGTCAACGTTGTGAATTTCTATCTCGACCCCTCTAAGCCGGGTGATGTGTCCACTCTGGCTTCCAAGGTCAAGCTTGACGGCAATGATGAAGCCCTCCTCCAGGGCCTAGTCAATGAAGCCCTCCGTACGTGCCCCATCACTAAATTTGGGTAATCTGATATTGACCCACTCTACTCGTAGGACTGGACCCTCCGTCCCGCGGCGCGTATCGTACGTTCTTGTTTTGAGCCTCAGTACATCTTGTTGAACTTTTATTGTAGGAGAGGCTGCGAAAACTTCCGTCGTTGGAGGGAAGCCGGTGCAGTTGGGCGAATGCGTCTTCGTCGACATTGCAGATGCTTCCCTTGATGTGAGCCTCACGAGTTCAGTGCTGCAGGATATTCATAGATGCTTGGTAGGCGACTGTGTTCCCGGATCCGAATGCAGTCAACCCGACTCGCACCCCGCAAAAGCGCTACCTAGTCGGCGATGGCTCAGCTAGGTAATTCTGTCTGCGTGGTCTGTTAGTATTGCGTAACTGAGTGCTCCGTTCTCTCAGGTGTCTTGGGGCGGATCTGTCGAACAAGGTCAGCCTCCCTCATCCCTTCACACGAAAGCGTATAAGTGCTCACGCTGTTTCCGCCTCGCAGATGATTGGCGCTGTCCTCCGTGCCGTGTTCTCCTTCCCGAATGTGCGCCGCGCTCCGGGACAGTCGGGTGTGCTCAAGCGGTACGTTTCACGTTCTTGCCCGTCGGGACCATCCCTCAGTCCTTCATCCGTGTAGATTCAAGGAGGACTCGACTAAGACGAGCTGCTACTCGTACTTATCTTCGACTCAAGAGTTGACGCCTTGGGCGACCTCTATGGTAATTCAGGTATGCCATTTCCATTAATGTTGTCGGTAAGGAGCGGCTTACGAACTGCGATCTTTCGTAGTTTGAGTGAGGGAACGTCAGTGCTTGCGGTCTCGAGCCCTTCTTGTTGTCACGAGTGATGCCCCATTCATGTTAGTATCTTCCTGCGAAATGTGCAGCGTATACTCCAGAAACCGTGTCAAATTGGTATTGCCAATGCCTCTACGCATTCATTGCTGAGAATGAGCGGCGCCGTGAGTTATGTGCGGGCAAAATCTGCGCGCGAAGCCTTTGTAGGTAAATTCTGAGGGTTGAGCGCTGACATGGACAGCCCACATGCGGGTTTTATCAATCCTATGAGGTGCGCTCACACACAGTCCAGTAAGGCGAGGTATCGCACAATCGATAAATATGTTAATGGCGGACTTCGTCCGAGTCATCCTGTGTAAGCTCGTACCCAACCCAAACCACCTCTGAACAGCTATTGCACCCAACGAGGTGCTGACCGGCGTCCATTTCCTTCTCCCCGATAACATACTTGCCCCCACACCGGCACGCGTAGCTCCACACAGCGTCGGCGCCCTCGCCCTCGTCGAACTCCTCCAGAGACACGACCTGCGCCGGTCGTGGGCCCGTCTGCGGCGCCCTCGCCCGCATCCTGACGGCGTCGTACGCGATACGCAGGGCGGGAGAGGAGAGGGTCGTGTATGCTTCTTTCAAGAGCCCGATGTCCACCGCGGGCGGTGTAGCGCCATTCTGCACGGCATGGTGCTTATCGGGGTGGCTGAGCAACAGCGCTTGGTGGTATGCCTGCTTTATCTCCGCTGCGGACGCTGAGGGGGGGATTGACAGGATGCCATAGTAGTCGCGCGGAGCATGTTCAGCCAGGTTGGCGAGACGGTCGCGGAGAACGCTGTGCCCTATGGATGTGGTATAAGGTAAGGCTGTGTATAGGGTTGGTAGGGTCAATAGACTCGTACTAAATGATGAAGGACCTGAGGTGGCTGACCTGCGCCCAAGACACAGACAGCAGCAGAAAGGGAAGCGCTCGGTTCCAGAAATCTTTGCTGACTAAGACAGATTAGCTCTGGCCGATCGGAGCAACAAAATGCTTGTGGCTGGGTTACAGCGCTTGATCACCGTCATCCTGCAGAGGTCTCTCGGCCACTCGGCCATTCGACTTGTCGCACGCGTCCTCTTAGTAGCGGCGTCAAGAAGTACAGTATATCATATACTGTACTTCTGTGTATGTGTAAGTACAGCCTCGACACCGGCAGTGAATTCTGAATTGAACCGGTTCGTAAATCTCGTATGCAGCACCCTGGACCTGACGAGTTTTCGTCGAGGTCGTGCTTTGTAGAGTGCGTTGGCTTGATGCTGATCCAGGCAGCGGTATCGACGAGGTGGAGTGAAACGTCCATTCGACGTTGCTGTCCTACGGGGGAAGGGAAGACCGGGTCAGGAGAGTCACGCCACTGGCGCGCGGCATCTGGACGCGTCAGATCAGATCGCGTGCGATATCCCAGTGCCAGGCCCGCGCATTGCAGCCATATAATCTCCCCTCCGTACTATCTTTCTTTCTACCCTTTTTCCTCCTCAGCATGTCTGCTGACCCCATCCACCTCCTCGTCCTTGTCCATGGCATGTGGGGCAACCCCGGCCACCTTTCCGAGATGCACCGCATTATCCGTGAACATCGCTGCCAACCATCCTCCGAGACGGGGCCCGCCGGGGAGCGCCTCGAGGTCCTTCTTGCCAAAACCAACATCGAGGAGCACACATATGATGGCATCGACTGGGGAGGTGAACGTGTGGCCGAAGAAGTGAGTGCTAACTTAGTGGACGCGCGCGAGAAAGATATCTGCTTATATGCGGGTCTTGAGCTGCCGATGGCACTTGCGTCCGAAATATGTCAATCGCTTATAAAGCTCTTCAGATTGATGATGCCGTAAAGACGCTAGAAGATGGAGGCAAGAAGGTAACCCGCTTCTCGATCACCGGTTACAGTCTGGGAGGCTTGGTGGCGCGTTATGTTGTTGGGTGAGCGACAAGAAACATTAGACCGTATCAGCGTCTCAGCTTGAATATACATTTTTTTTCCAGCATTTTACACCAGCGAAAGTTCTTTGAGTCTGTTACTCCTGTCAACTTCAACACCATCGCAACTCCGCACATCGGGCTTCCCAGATATCGCACTGTACTTTCGTCTATACTTGCTTACCTTGGTCCGAAGTTGCTCTCGAGAACGGGAGAGCAATTCTTCACTGTATGCGCTGTGTTAGTTGGTTGATCTTTGTCTGATCATCCGAGTAGACAGATAAGTGGTCCGCACAAGGGCGTCCTCTCCTTGAAGTCATGGCGGATCCAGGTACACTTCATGCACAAGTTTTCTCTGTCACGTTTGCTCATGTGCGCACACAGACCAAATATTCTACCAGGCATTGGCCATATTTGCGCACGTCAGGATATATGCTAACGCAGTCAACGACGTCACTGTCCCGTATCCAACCGCAGCGATAGAGACGGAAGACATATTCGTGGATCATGTTAGAAATGGCATCAAGTTGTGCGTTCCTCTCCCTCATTTCTGGAGACCCTGGCTGATTACATTTCTACAGCGAATTAGACGAGCAATACTCGCCTGTGATTAAATCCTATACCCGTCGTGACACAGCGGTCAAACATAAGTCATCGTCTGCCCCGTTGCATTACAGGATCATGAAGAAGTTGTCCTTCCCTTTGCCTCCTGCTCTTCAATGCAAATTCCCTTACAACGTTGTGTGTAGCCCCATCAGTAATTCAAAATGTCAGTGCTTACTCTGTTTGCTACAGGTTATTTATGCCGCTATACCTATCGTCCTACCGGTGCTGCTGATGCTCATCATCAGCCGACTATCACTAGCCTCGCGCGCATCTCGTGCCCGCGTCAAGCTGCTCGAGGAGGATGAGAAGTCGAACACGAAGCGCCTTGTGCATGCGCTCGCGAAGATGGAGCTCGGCATGGAGTCCGCGATGGTCGAGCTGATCGACGACTCCGGCACCCCCTCCACGACGACGTCGAATCTCGCCATCTCGAATCCCGAGCTTGGGCTCGGTCCGCCAGCGCTCACGAAGGAGCAGACCACCGCGTCTGCGTCCACGCTGCACCCCGACGCGGTCCCGCCGACACCCGCGGAACAGCAGGTCGTGCTGACGGAGCTGCAGCTGCGGCTCGTCGCGTGGCTGAACACGCTGCCGAACCTGAAGAAGGAGCTCGTGTTCATCCACCCCGTGCGTAACTCGCATGCCGTCATCATCTCGCGCGATGTAAAACGGTTCGAGTTCCACAAGCGCGGCGAGGGCGTGCTGCGCCACTGGGCGGACCACTTGACCATCTGACGCGGCGTGGCGCTTGCGTAACGGGCGGCGGTGGCGTATGTGCTTTGGGTGTGTGCTGCGTATGTTATTGCGGACTACTTATCGGATCGGCCATTTAGACGCCTTTGGTATTGCTCTCCGGCCTGCGCACTCTACTTGTAGCTATTATCTCGCACTCTAATCGCTGGCAATGACATGGATAGACCCTGCCAATGTATCACACATACTTGCGGCAGGCTTTTGTGACTGGCTCTTCCTCATTCGGTCCTTCACGCGCGTCTGTCGTGCTTGAGTGACGACGACACCTCTCCAGATCCCAGAAGCACCCGATCTGACAAATCGTTATGGAGACAATGGGACTTGGTGGCGTTCTCGTCTGGCATGTTCTGGCTACTTCCGTCCCATTGTTGTGATGAGGATGTGCTTTAATATAAGTAGCCTCCAAACGCGGTCTCGCTTTTCCCTCCACCACTCGTTGCTTTTGCTTTACTCTTCTCTCGTCTTTATAGGTAGCCCGGTGCCACCTGACCTTCATTCACCCAGATCACTCCGTACACTGATAGAGTTGTTCCGTTCAAGATGAACAACAAGCCCGTGCAGCCCACGAACCGGGGTAGTAAGTGTTTCCGTGTCGACTTTATGCATGAGGCTGAGCTGGAACTGCTCAGTGGCGACAAACACCTTGTCAAGGCAGCAAGGGTCGTTCACGCAGTCTTTCGTGCTTCGGAGCAGTAGGTACCGTGACCATCATGTGCAGCCGCTACTAACCCCCTGCATGCCCACAGCAAAGGAGGATATTCAAATCTGTGGCATCACCCCAGGGCCTCGTTCAGAGGCATATCAGAATGCTGCGTTCAAGAGCCTCGTTGAGTGTTTATGGCCGTGGCACGTTGTCGGCCCACTTACCTGTTCACGCTCCGCAGGAGCGAAACAATTTCATACTCGAGAGCGGTAACCTCAGCCCCGAAGGGAAACGCAAGTTCCGCAACAGCCCCCACGCCAGTGAACTGTGAGCTTTCGAGCCAATTAGTTCGAAACATATGCTGATTGTCTGTGGCTCCGTTGCAGGTATGCGCAGGCAGACGAGCGCTTCGCAGACTGGGCCACCGATCGCAACGCGTATACTGCCCGTGCTAAATGGATTTCTGAACGGACCAAGCCTGTCAACAAGATGGCCAAGGCGACGGTGAGACCTTTCCAATCCCCTCTTTTTGGGGCCGTACGTTGATTGGCGGCGCCACAGGTTCTACAGGAGAATGAGGACCTGCGGACCGAGAACCTGCGGCTGCGGCGTGAGCTTGAGGAAGTGGCCGCTGCAGACGCCGCCCAGCTCGCGCCGGCCGATGCTGCCCAACCTACTGCAGGACCCATCGATATTGAGTGGGAAGGCATGTCCGAGACTGATCCTGGAAGTCCTTTGTATGTGACCCTCTCTAGGACCTTCGTATTTTACTGAAGTTACATCTAGCAGTACACCTGTGCGAGGCTCGGGTCAAGCCGCATACCCCACTCCTGACTCCAACCACGCAGGCCCTTCCCGCGCTGGGCCTCGAGCACTGGAGAACCCCTCCTGGCTGCGTCCTAACGGCACTGCGCATATGGGCATAGTCCAAGAGAAGGAAGACACTTCTCCCCCGGATCTGGCTTGTGTGAGACACTTCTTCCCTGAATGTAAAACATATTAGCTCAAACATACGCGTCACGTAGAGCGTTCTCTCGGTCAGCGACGCTACCTTGCTCAAGATCACCGAACTAGAGCACCTGCTCGAGGAACGTCGTAGCGATATCCAAGACCTCTGTGCGCGTATTCAGATGGTCGGCGCGGCAGCGCAAGTTGGTGATGTGAGTATCCAATAGTACCATCGTGCCCGCCTCGCTGACGATGTGACAGGCCCAGCGGCTTCACACGCAGCTGACGCAAGCGCTGCAGGAGCGTGATGCATACCGGAATCAATGCGCTGACATGATGCTCGAGCTCCGCGACCGAGTCGAGGAGCTTGAGAGTGAACAACGCCAGACCCTGTATAGCATTGGTAGGATCCAGCGTACTGAAAACTTGCTCAAAGCGGCGCAGGCCAGCGAAGGGGAGACTCAGAACAGACTACGTGAAGCAGAGCTATCACGTACATTGTATGTCAGGCGCGCTGCAGAACTTGTTCAGGAGGTCGAGCGCCTGAAAGTTGTCATCAGGTTACACGCAAGTGCGATGTTGGAGGTGAGTGCTTCCTTGGCAGCAGAACTTGCGTCAGACGTACTCACATCATATCTGCGACATAGGCAAGCAACTGAGACCGAATCGTTGGGCCTACCCTCCCTGTCTTCATGATCATTTGTAGTTACTACCAATTGATTCAATGACAAGCCGACGTTCATTGCACTACCGCTCCTGACGTGTTGCTTCAAGATGACCTCCACAAGGACTCTGAAGATGAAAGTACAAGTGAATGTCAAGAGTCCGGAATTAGTCCCAGTAGAATTCCGAGACCCAAGGATCAATTACAGAGGTTGTGTAGAGTAAGAAAGTCCGGCAGAAGGATAGACGACCTATATCATGAAGCATAATTGCCCGTCCCAAGAGCTAATGAGAGCACAGTAATCAGAACCATTACCAAGTGATACCGGATATAACTAAAATAGTGGTATATCGTTTTTGAGGAAGCAGTCCATATGTTGAACGCGGGAATGCATGGCATGTAACGTACGAATCCGGGAATAGAATGAGTAGCTCAGATATGACGGATGCTGCGACGGCGGACTGTGAGGAGGACGAAGTCCTCAGGAAGGAGGGAAGCGCGTTCGTGCTTGCGAGCAGCCTGGCTGAGGGCCTTCCACGCCTGGATGATACGGCGCTCGAGGAACTTCCTATATGACATGCTGAAAGAAAAACCCATCAGTACAGATGAACGCGCATGCTACATCGCAGAACTCACCGAGGTTTTTCGTGAAGAGCTACGGAGACATAACGGGTAGACATAATAGCTGTCGTGAAGGGAAGGTAAAGTATGACCGAAAGCCCAGTGGAAAAGGCTCGGAGGATGGATGCAGGTGATACAAAGGAAGCCGATAGATCCTCTAGACGATACAAAGAATTGATACAATCGTCACAGACGAATGTTCAACTGAGTAAGATGTGGGTATTGGCGAAGAGCAGAAAAACCAGTAAGCGGAGGGTGGCCATTTTATAAGGATTCAGACCAGGTTGGAGACCGCAACTCGTGTATGAAACACCGCGTGTCCTGCACATTGTGACCCATTCCCACATTGTGGACAACAATGGATGACGTTGTACGCGTTAATAAATGTTGCTAGAGACCCGGCATGGGTGACTTCAACAACAATAACTGCCAAGACAAGCTCCTCCGCATTATGCTTACATAATCAGGCGCCCGAGCACTTACTCGCTTTCCCAGAGCGTATCCTGAGCAACCGGCCATACTACTTAATACAGCGTCTATTATGAATGCATGAGAAACCATTGGAAAGCTACAACAGTTGCACGAAAGAGACTGAATCAACGAGGAACTGGTGTACCCCCTACTTCACATTCTGTGTCGGCTTCAGTATATCGGCTATACGGCTGCCAAGCGGGGTCGGCTCGGACTCGAGCGCCATCTTCAAAAACCACGTCTTGCTCATGTAGTTTCTAATGCTGGAAACGGACTTGGATCAGTATGCGTTCCATATGCAGCGGATAGATACTCACCCATCGGCCAGCAGTATGACAACGTTTGCCCCCTTTGTCTGCGCAATCGCTTTGCCTTGCTCGGTCTTCAGCCACTCGAGAGCACCACTCAAGGCACTTCCGCTACTTCCTCCCACTAGAAGTCCTTCTGTCCGCATTAGCTTTCTGACAGCTGCGAAGGCTTCATCATCAGATGTCTTGATCCAGGTATCAACTTCATGACGCGATAGCACCGCTGGAATAAAGTCGTAACCGATGCCTTCCACGACGTACTGAATACCAGCGTGTTCCGTGTTCAATGACTCGGGCGCAGCGAGAATGCTACCCTCCTACAACAAAACGTTAGATGTAGAACCCTTCACAGACATACTTGAGGAAGCATACGGGATCGACGCCCACCACAACACAGTCGTGGTTGTGGGTCTTCTTGATTGCACGAGATAAACCTGTGATCGTTCCACCCGTCCCAGCACCTGCTACCAGCGCATCGACTTTGCCTGAGGAGGGCCTGTCCGGAGTAGAAGGCGTGGACGCGACCGCCTCAATAATCTCGGGTCCTGTGGTGAATTCATGGGCAAGCGGGTTATTAACCTAAGACCTTCAGGTTAACACATTATGGTTCAGATTCGGGAAGAAATAAATAACATACATTGCCATACTGGTCAAGTATAACTCCGCCAGGAATTTCACGTTCCAGTTTCCGCGCCACTCCTGCGATCGTTAAGGAATTCAGCCACGAGAGGTGTAAAAGAGTCATGCGCTCTACCTATATGTGACTCGGGTGAATCCCATGCGGCTTCTGTGGGAGTGCGAACCACTTCGGCCCCGAGTGCGCGGAGAGCAGCTTCTTTCTCCTACACGCGGGAAAATTCAGCGCTGTATGAAACTACCGATACAAAAAAGCTCACAAGTGACATCTTGTCAGGCATTGTGATGATCACAGAATATCCCTTATCTATAGTATTCAGTATCTGTAGGTCCAGGGTTGCAAGACTTTACAAACCTTCACTGCGCAGGCCATCGCTAGGCCAATGCCTACGGCGGCAAACAAAATCAACAATGGTGTCAAAGGATGGTGGCTTGTCTGACTAACCAGTGTTGCCAGATGTGGGCTCGATAACCACGCTTTGGCCGGGAATGAGCTTTCCCTCTTTCTCCGCTTGGTCAACCATGCGCTTCGCGATCCTATCTTTCACCGAACCTCCGATAGAGGTAAATTCCACTTTGCCGACTGCATTGAGGGATGAGTAAAGATCTACGGAGAACCCCGTTACCCCGGACTTACGGAGATTGCACTGAAGGCCTTCCTGCTCAGCTATCTTGTCGAGCCGAATGAGAGGTGTGTGCCCAACAGCATCGAGTGCGCTGTCCAAGATTTCATTGGGATACGGCATCGTGGTTGCAGTGGAGGAAGAGATAATGATGAAGTCAGGGAGACAGCGGTGGGCCTGAGCAGTCGATAAATAAATTGCGTCCCGAGGAGTCTTTCCGAAGTGGCGCGACGGGGCGCAGCAAGGACCCTAATTCGCTTAGAGCTCCGATCCCGCCGGAGAACCTTTTCCGGGGTCGCGAAATGGCCATTTTCGGGGCTGTTACTGGCGGCCCACCGGTGGCCGTTTTCGGACGGCATCTACCGAAAATGCGCCCAGCCTTTTTCCGGCTCACACTGTGAGCCATTCTGGTACATCCGCTCAAAATCCAAGCGAATTTCTGTATGGGTATATTGACCCAGGCTCCTAAAACCATCCGTCGCTATAGCGTTCTCGCTCCTACATCCCAACATATGTTTTAAATGATCATGTGACATATGTTTTATGCGACTTACCTGTTTGAGAGACTATTGCCGGAAAAGGATAGCCGAACGAGAGGAGGAGAACGCTATAGGACGGCTGGCCAAACTGGTCGTCCGAGGATACGCCGAGCGCGCATACCTAGAGTTTCCCGCTGGAAATCTCGAATAAACCCTAGCATGGGTCTTGTTGTCTGCAACGCGCGCGACCCAAATTCGGCGTTCGCGTAGTGCTCGTCGTGCGCCGCTCCTCGCGCAATGTTGTCGATTCGGGGCATGGGAGCACGGCACGGCTTAAAATTTTCAATTGATAGACCACCAAGTTGTCTAATCCTCGCTCTGAGGTCACCCTCAACCCGCGAGCCTCTAAGTCGATGTGTCGCACTAGTACTTGATTTTTTGCAGCTCGGGACCCTGCACTTACAACCAGAGCATTCCTATTAATTTCTAAGACAACCACACTGTACTTTGGCTTTACAGCATATCTCTACAATGCTACACGAGGGGGAGCACTACGCGAACGCCGAATTTGGGTCGCGCGCGTTGCAGACAACAAGACCCATGCTAGGGTTTATTCGAGATTTCCAGCGGGAAACTCTAGGTATGCGCGCTCGGCGTATCCTCGGACGACCAGTTTGGCCAGCCGTCCTATAGCGTTCTCCTCCAGAGTCTCGTTCGGCTATCCTTTTCCGGCAATAGTCTCTCAAACAGTAAAACATATGTCACATGATCATTTAAAACATATGTTGGGATGTAGGAGCGAGAACGCTATAGCGACGGATGGTTTTAGGAGCCTGATATTGACCATTTTTTCCCTCTGCTCCTGAGGACCCACTTTTCGGGGACCTTTCGCCAAAGGGCTCGAAAGCTTTTCCGGGTTTTCGATGATTTTCGGGGATCGGGCGTTGAAGCTTGCGCGTGCGGCGGGCCCATTTTCGGTGGTCATGGCATCGGAGCTCTTGGAGGAGTTGGTGGGTCCTAAGCGCGATTCAACGCGATTCCACGTGCACTTACTCAATCCGCGCCCAATCATGCCATCATCGCGATTCAATGGACATTATTGCAATGCTGGCACGGGCATACATAGGTACAAGTACAATGTTATGTTGTACGACTATTGTGAACATTGTTCAAACAGGAGCCTGCCGACGTTTCAGACCTTCAGTCTGCAACGGCCAAGGCCTGCCCATCCATGTCGCTAATTCAGTGTGATCCTTCAGCGAGTCTCCCGTGTTCGGATGTATGAGAACACTGAGTGCATGTGTTAGCTCACAATTGGTGGAGGCCATGACACGGACTGAACATACGAGCAGGGTCCTCGATTGACTGCGAGCCAGGAGAAGAAGGTACCGGTTTGGTGAGGGTTGAAAACGTTCACCTCGAACATGGCAACTGGGTGAGGTCCTGCGTGACAACAAGTCAGTATAAGTCGTGTCTTCGAAACAGTCGACTCACCAACTGGCTTATCCCAAAACCTGTAGATGCGCAGCTGAACCAAGTTCTCTCAGCACAAAATGTTTCCCGGAGTCCAGCACACATACCTCGGGAAACTCCCTCCGAATGCGCTCGTGAAGTTCTTTGGCATATTGCGTCTCAGAAGGACTGGACTGAAAGTAATATACTGCACACTGGGTTTAGCGGTTAGACGCAGAGTCAGATACATCTACGTACTGTGGAAGTCGAACCCATTATTGGATGAATCGATAGGCTTTGGGAACTCATCATACGCCTGCGAAAGAGGCCCCGGCGGGTTATACAACGACTTTCCATCCGGGTTTATTGTGGTGGGGAGAGGTTCCGCGCCCTCGTATCCTTCAAGAGGAGATTTCCAAGACATCTCGAGTAGACGAGAAATGCTGAGAGATGAGGAGATATACTGAGTTTAATCGAGCGTTGTTACAAGGATCCCAGAATACTTGCGTGACTTACTTGCTCAGACTACGTTGAATATGATCATCGCGAACGCTAATGAGGTTATCACAATTGAGTCATTTGCGACTGCGTGTGGCAATCTCCGAAGTGATCGAGATACCGACAATCGACTCCCCTCGTGGCATCGGTATATTGAACCAAAACCATCGCTGTCCATGTCAACAGGTTGAGAATGTCTAACACACGAGAGTCAGACAGAATTTCTGCAGCTCAGCAGACATTGGACAGTGAGTAACTCGCGCTTTGGGAGTAACGTTCCGCTGACTGACAGGATTTTCCAGCCCTGCATGATATTTCGCAGTTGCTGAATACACAGCTGGACAAAGAAACGCTTGCGACATGTGTTGGAATGATTGAAAGCGGTGTTAACCCGGAAGCACTTGCGGTACGTGTGCATACTGAGCGCGGCCACGCAGGAATTGAAATTTTACAGGCTGTCATCCAGGAGCTTCGCAGAGAAAGTCAGGCATTGAATGTACAGCCTTCAACGAACAGCAGACACTAGCTGGCAAGAGAATGTATGGCTGAATAATGAGTCTTTACAGTTTCTCCCATCTTACCAACAAGTTGTGTGGCATGAGCAGCATATGCTATACCTGACGATGATGTTGTTCTTTCTGAAGTGTTAAATTCAGATGCCACTGCAGCGCCGTACATGCCACCGACACGCAGGAGTTGCAGGCGTGTGTAAGAAAGCTATCTAAATTCCCTTCATATGCCAACTTCCTGTGGTAGCAATGTCGTCCGGCGGCTCATGTAAATTAATGAGCGTGAATACTAGAGTTACCATATGTGAACGTGTGACTGAAGCTGTGACTTGTCGGAGTGCGAACTTGTGGCGTTCCTACCGCGCGTTATTCAGCACAGTACCAGTGCTACTCACCTCGTACTCTTGCTGCTTACGATCATGACTTCTCCAGGCTCTCCGAGACTTGTTGACTCTTTCACCGCTCCAAAGGAGGTCCTTCAGGAGTTTGCTGATCTTGCTGAGGAGGAAAACGTTGATCCTTTCGCCGAGACAGCGTCCAAGCGTCAAATCGCATCACGACAATCCGACTACCATAATCGCAAGTTCAACCGCCAGGCCAATGAAAGCGGCGATGCATTCAAGGCCGCTGAGGAGGGGAAGGATGTGGAGGGTGGTTACAAGGATGCAATGAAGGTGCAGTTACTCGAAAAAGAAGAACAAAGGGTGAGGCGGGCTATAGAGGAGAAAGAGAAGCAGGCGCGAGAAGAGGGGAAGGCGAAGATGGACCTGGACAAAACCCCGCCTAGGGCTGAGCTACAGGCAGCTGCTCAGGAGCTCGCAGCTATGTCGGGAACAAAACGCAAGCGGCGATGGGATGTGAGTGACACGGCTGAGGATGGTGGAGAGAACAAGGAGAACAAGGGTGGTGAGTGGTCCAAGGAGGCTCTTGAAGGCGCTGCACCTAAGAAGCGGCGTTCTCGTTGGGATGCCACTCCCGCCGATGTTAGTGCCCCTGGGGAAACACCCAAGCGGTCAAGATGGGACCAGACACCAGTCGCTGCGAATGGCGGCATTGACGTCCCCATGACGCCAATCATCATGAACGCGCCCGGATTCATGCAGGAGGACAAGCACAATCGGTACCTTACGGACGAAGAACTCGAAGCAATCCTTCCATCCAGCGGCTATGCCATCGTAACTCCGCCTCCAGGGTACGCCCCTCTTGTCCGCCCTCCGAAGTTGACTGCGACACCCGTCACCGAGGTTGGTGGATTCCAAATCCAAGAGAGTTCTGATGCCGCCGCCGCCGCCGCTGCTGCCGGTCTCGCCCCCGAACTTCCTACAGAGATCCCTGGCGTCGGTAGTCTGGCATTCTTCAAGGCTGAAGATGCGCAGTACTTCGCCAAAATCCTCAAAGAAGAGGATGAGACGGAGCTGTCCGTTGAGGAGATGAAGGAACGCAAGATTATGCGTCTCCTCCTCAAAATCAAGAACGGTACACCTCCCGTTCGGAAAACGGCGTTGAGACAGATCACCGACAAAGCTCGAGAATTCGGAGCTGGACCTCTCTTCGACAAGATTCTTCCTCTACTCATGGAGCGTACCCTCGAAGACCAAGAGCGTCACCTTCTTGTCAAAGTTATTGACCGTGTACTCTACAAACTCGACGATCTTGTTCGTCCTTACGTTCACAAGATTCTCGTCGTCATCGAGCCCTTGCTCATTGATGAGGATTACTATGCTCGTGTCGAAGGTCGAGAAATCATTTCTAATCTCTCCAAGGCGGCTGGTCTCGCCCACATGATCTCCACCATGCGACCCGATATCGACCATGCCGACGAGTACGTGCGTAACACCACTGCTCGAGCATTCTCTGTTGTCGCTTCTGCGCTCGGCATCCCGTCTCTACTCCCTTTCCTCAAAGCTGTTTGCAGGAGTAAGAAGTCATGGCAAGCTCGTCATACAGGTATCCGTATTGTTCAGCAGATTGCCATCATGATGGGTTGCGCTGTCCTTCCTCACCTTCGCAATCTTGTCGAGTGTATCGCGCACGGACTCCAGGACGAACAGCAGAAGGTTAGGACGATGACTGCGTTGGGCCTGGCAGCCTTGGCTGAAGCGTCCGCACCCTACGGTATTGAATCGTTCGATAATGTCCTCAAACCGCTGTGGGTCGGCATCCGTCTTCATCGTGGCAAGAGTTTGGCCGCCTTCTTGAAGGCCATCGGTTTCATCTTGCCGTTGATGGATCCCGAATATGTGGCTTACTACATCAAGGAAGTCACCATCATCCTCATCCGTGAATTTCAGACGTCGGATGAAGAGATGAAGAAGATTGTGTTGAAAGTTGTCCAGCAGTGCGCTGCCACAGAGGGTGTCACATCCCAGTACATCAAACAGGATATTCTACCAGACTTCTTCAAGGCGTTCTGGGTCCGTCGTATGGCGCTTGATAGGCGGAACTACCGGCAGGTGGTGGAGACCACGGTCGAGTTGGCTCAGAAGGCAGGAGTTGCAGAGATCGTTGGTAGGATTGTCAACGAGCTGAAGGATGAAGCAGAGCCATATCGTAAGATGGTCATGGAGACTATCACAAAGGTGGTTGCTTCTCTAGGTGCCTCAGACATCGATGAGCGGCTGGAGGTCCGGCTTGTCGATGGTATCATCTACTCCTTCCAGGAGCAAACTACCGAGGATCAGGTAATGCTCGACGGCTTTGGTACCGTGGTTAACGCACTTGGTACATCTATTTACTTTCCCTCCAATTCTTTTGACTTACGTTGTCGGTTTCCAGGTATTCGAGTGAAGCCATACTTGACCCAAATTGTATCAACCATCTTGTGGCGCCTGAACAACAAGAGTGCCAAAGTTCGTCAGCAAGCAGCTGACCTGACGACCCGCTTGGCAGTCGTGATCAAGCAGTGTGGGGAAGATCAGTTGTTGAACAAGCTTGGACTGGTACTATTCGAGCAGCTGGGTGAAGAGTATCCGGATACGTTGGGTAGTATCATCGCCGCCGAGGGAGCAATTGCCAACGTGGTCGGCATGACCCAGATGAATCCCCCTGTGAAAGATCTGCGTGAGTATCATTTTATTATACTTAGCGTCGTGCCGTCGTACTGACGTTGCATTACAGTGCCGCGTATGACACCCATTCTTCGGAATCGGCATGAGAAAGTACAAGAAGCCACGATTAACTTGATCGGTCGCATAGGTGTGTCTCTTTATTCCTTAGGCAGGATTAACCTCGCTCATTCATGTCCTCCGCAGCCGATCGTGGTGCAGAATATGTCCCTGCTCGAGAATGGATGCGTATTTGCTTCGAGTTGCTAGACTTACTGAAGGCGCACAAGAAGGGCATTCGTCGTGCTGCGGTGAATTCCTTCGGTTACATTGCTAAGAGTCTGGGTCCTCAGGACGTGCTTCAAGTTCTGCTTACGAATCTTCGCGTTCAAGAGCGTCAAAGTCGCGTGTGCAGTACCGTCGCCATTGCTATCGTCGCAGAGACTTGCGGTCGTGAGTAATATCTCATAACATCATTTGCGCTTGTAGCGAACACTAATTATCTGTTTGTCTCAGCCTTTACTTGCATTCCTGCCATCTTGAACGAGTATCGCACTGCCGAGCTGAATGTCAGGACGGGTTGCCTGAAAGCATTGTCATTCGTCTTCGAGTACGTCGGACCACAATCTGCGTATTACGCGGATTCTGTTGTGACAATGCTCGAAGATGCCCTGACCGACCGTGACCTCGTGCATCGTCAAACCGCAAGTACGATCGTAAAGCATCTTGCCCTTGGAGTTGCAGGTTTGGGTTGCGAAGACTCAATGCTGCATTTGATGAACCTCGTGTGGCCGAACTGTTTCGAGACATCACCTCACGTCATCGGCGCTGTCATGGAAGCGATTGAAGCCATGCGAGTGACATTGGGTCCTGGAGTCTTACTCAGTTATATCCTGCAGGGTCTCTTCCACCCTGCCAGGAAAGTAAGAGAGGTGAGTGTCTATAAGGCTCTACATTGATATTGAGCTCACGTATTTGTGTAGGTGTACTGGCGCATCTACAACTCTCTCTACCTTGGTGCCGCTGATGCTCTTGTACCATTCTATCCCGATCTGGGAGAGCTGAGCGAAGGTCAAAATGTGTACGACCGCCATCCCTTGCAGATGTTTATCTAGATGTTAGGTCCCTTCGTGTTGTATTATGCTACTGTTAACTTACTTTTGTAACACATTATGAACTCTGCTATATCGCGAAACGGCTGGTGTCGATCACCGTTGCATAACCGTATCGGAAGAACTGCGACAAACAATCTAGAATATTTTCCAGAAACAACGAAGGTATACGACAATCAGAGTGAATTATCACAAATTAGAATCGACAATAGATATCCCCAGCTACAGTAGACATCATGAAGTTGCACCGCTCGTCAAGCCAGGCGGAAATCCAGCAAAATCCACCTGGTCCTGAATACTGCGCCCCGCCAGCGAGTACGATATCCGCAGTCGTAGCCTCACATTAGCCTGGATTGCACAATAATCCTTAGTACCATCCTCTTCGCAACGATGTGAGAAGATACTTACACCAACAGGCGCCACAACGCGCATTTGCTGCGTTTCTACGGTTCCAGGTTGCACGTCAGGATTTGACATTGGTAACATTTGTAGCTGTTGGGACTGTGCAAAGAGAAGGTACGTAGGGTGTCATCAACGCAGTGGTGGTAAGAAAGAGCCATGGTAATAGACCTTTGGTACGGCAGCCTGGAAGTTCAAACCCGTCGCTGGGCTGCTGCCTGAAACTTGGAATCTCGCAAGAATGTTCACCACACCTGGTCGCGCAGCTGACGTTTGCGGTATCAGTATGATCTTCAACTCGTTTTTGTCGTATGCTGGATACGCTGTCAACCGTGATTGTGCAGGCGCCTGGGGAACCGATGATTGTGCCTGGGGAAGTGAGAACGTAGAGGGGGCGGGCTGGACGGGAGTGGAAGAGGCGAATAATGATTGCTGTTCTGTTTGTGCTGGCTGTGCTGCTGGACTGGGTGTAGAGTCGAAGAGACCAAGTATATCTTGAACGGTGCTCTTCTGCGTTTGTGCAGGTGCTCCTGGGGCTGGTGCAGCAGGAGCAGAGCTGCCGAAAATCTCTTTGAGGAGATCTTCATTATTCTGTGGCACCGCAGCTTGACCGTTGCCGTTGACGCTCGACGTGGTAGCAGGAACCTCATCGCCCAACAAATCACCCTGTAGAATGGGGAGTATAAGGTGAGATCCTGGCTGTGCAATTTACACAGAGACTCACATCCTTGCTTGGCTGAACAGAGCCTACTGGCTTATTCTCGCTCACTACCATGATAAATCAGTACTAAGGAAGTCTCTTACAAACGGCAGTAGCTCACCGACGCCCATGACGGTAGCTTTCAGCTCTGGAGCAGGCATTCGTTCCAAAACACCAGAGCGAACGTCAAGGTGATACAAGCTTGCAAACTCGACAGCGCGCTGCTGTATCTCCAACTCCGGACTGGTCGTGTACGAAAGCAGAATGGTCTCTATCCGCTCTTGCTGGGCAGGCGAAGTTGTCGGTCGAGAGGAGATCTTGGTGATGGCTGTCAAAACAAATTGGCGGGTGAGGTAATTGGCGTAGGGAGAATCGAGGATAGAGAGAAGGAGGTCAACGACTTGCACGTCTGTGATCTTTGAAAACGTGCAAAACACTCAGCAAGACGACACGACTCCAAAGCACAGATCGGATACGTACCGGCTTTGGCTGATCCTCATCCACCAGACCGCCTTCCAGAACTATCTCGCTATACTCTCCAAGCACCCATGTCGCAGCCAGAGTCAATGACTCCTGCGAGATGTCAGCTCGGAGGGAAGTGTACAACTTTGACGCGGTGTAAGCTTGAAGTTCTGGTGTGTATGCAACAAGCCGGATGAACGCCGATAGTATTTCTTCTCTCACGAAGTTGCCAGCCTGAACAACGTGCACCCCATGGGAGCATGTAGCTAAGCACTGATAGCAATGGTCGAACGAAGACTTACCAGCTTCAGAACACGAAGTACGGTGTCGATATGCCATCGTCTGTTCGGCGCGAATCGCTCAGCCGCTAGACAAATTTGAGTCGTCATGCCTAGTTTAAATTCATCGTCCGCAACCTCGAGGAAAGCAAGCAGCTCTCGGATGAGGACGCGTACATTCCCTTCGTTGATCAGGGCATAGGACAGTTCAAGCGCACGGCGACGGATGGATATGTCACCGTCACGCAGACAATCGAGAATGATGTTGCGATGACGCTGTACAGCATTGGTGTCGATGCCAACCACCTTATTGAGTGTGTTCAGTGCAACGTAGCTGTTAAAATGGGCAAGGATAAGGATCCAGCAAGTAAGAGAAAATTCATCTATTTACCGAATATTGTTGTCGCGGTTGCTGAGGAATTTACCCAGAATATTGATTGCCATAACTCGGAGCCCACTGTCTGCTTCTATTTCTAAAACAGTCATCACCGTTTCGTATAGAATTGAATTGCCGACGTTCTTCGTTGAATCGGTGTTAGTAGCAACCTACAATCATCAAATAAATCGGCTGATGCCCAATACATAGGTCTCAATGCCCACCTGAGCAAGGATGTCGTTCATGGTTTCACTCGCTTTCTCGTCTCCCCTGCCAAGAAGACGAAGCAAGCGCAGAATTTTGACTTGGAGGAATGGATCCGTGATGCCCAAAACATCGTGTTCTGGGCTGTAGCCAGTAGTTACCAAGGACTTGAGATGCCGCACGAGTAAAGGCACAGCCTGCATATACGCAGCGAGTGACAATTGTGTGCAGATCCAGTCGCAAACAACTCACATTACGGAACTCGTCCAGGCACGCCGCATCGAGTTGGCATATCTCGGTGACAAGGGTGATAGCGGTCAGCAAGACACCGTGATTACGGTCAGCAAGCAGGTTCTTGGCTTTTGAGACGAAGTGATCGGAGAGGTCTGGTACTTTGCGAACCACTCTTAGGGCACAGAGGGAAGCCTTGACGTCAAGTATGTGAGTGATGTACTTTCGAAAAAGAGGCCGAAGTACCTTCTTTCTGATATAAGTGTTGCTGGAACCGAGCAACTTCTCTATTTCGTTCGCCAAATCTCGCGACATCTCCTCAGAAGCGATGTCTGCGAAGGTGCATAATGCAAGGCCAACAGCATACATGTTGGAATGGTTCATGTCACTGCATGCGATGAATACTATGAAGTAGGATGACAACTAGACTTGACACACTTCTTCAAGGAATTTGTCACCAAAGTGAGGACTTCCTGACTTTCGTCTAGAAGGAGCATAATTCCAAGGTAGCCTAACCGCTTGTCACCAAAGCGAGGGCTTGCTACGAGCTTGAGACACTCCATCTGACCGAAGTGGGCTTCGGAACCCAGCATATGTATGTAGAGAAGCTTCGCGACATTGTTGTGCCTTGCGTATGAGTCTTCTTCCCTGAAAGATGCACGGATCGCTGCAGACTCTTGCTTGATGAGGGCCCGCTCATCTGCAACAGTCTGCGTACAGTGAGCGCTGTTTCGCATGAATCAGTGCAGGACGCACACCTTACAAGCCCGGATGCCCTTAATCAAAGCTGCCCGGACGATGAGTAGTATTCAATCGCACAAAAAGATGATCATGCCTTTGAGATTATGATACACCATGTCGCCAGACAGTATCCCAATACTTGAGAAATGTTACACCAGTTACAGTATGCTGCTGTGACAAGCTGTGCCATATTTGCGTGTCACACGTAGTCACAATGTGGCGGAGCCATTCAGCCAGGCCCCAACCCTTCCAGTTCATCTTCTCTCTGCAGGCCCCCCATCTCCAAACCTCTCATCCGGTGTCGAAGATGGCGGATACGCAAGCAGGTCGTCGCTCTCCCTCTCCGATTGCTCGGCTGCTGCACACCCTTGGCATGACGCGTGAAGACCTGTCACGACGGAGCGAGCAAATGAGGCAGTTTCTGACGATGGATGGGCCCGAGCCCTCTGGTCCTTCTTCTCAAGAACGCAACAGGAGCGAGTCTGTATCGAGCGTGTCTCGTTCCCATAGGAGACCTCGAACTCGTTCCGTTGCAAACGCGTCAGCGAGAGCTCACTCACCTACACCTCCCATGACACCAATCAAAATTGAACCCATAGATGGGGCTCTCCCATCACGTCCAATGGATACTATGGAGATGGTAATGGAACGCATGAGCCGGAAGAGAAGCAGAGCCAGTAGGCCAAGTTCCAAAAAAATTTGTGTGGCTGCCAACCTATCTCACTCCTGCTCGCTCTAGGTTCTAACGCGCCATCACGCGACGCTCGACGCGTTCCAGCGCCTGTAAGCTCTGCACCATCACGCAGTGCTACACCACAGGTCAGAAATACGCGTACTTTGTCAGCAATGTCTGTTCTGATCTGTATGATGGTGGTAGCCTATTCCTGCAACTCCTCACCATTACCGGTATTACAGTGAGCGCGTTGTTGGTGAAGCATCCCTCACACCACTCTCTCCGGTACGTGTAGTAGCCCTCACCATGTTCCTCAGTGATCCAACCATGTTTTAGGTCACCCCTCGCCAAGGTCGTCGCACTCTGCGCGATCCATCTCAATTGGTACCGCGTGACCATCTTGATTTTAGAGTTCCTGAGCAACACATAAACTATCCCAAGACGCCTGCTGGCCGTCACATTTATTCCTCTTCCGCACGTCGCACACCTTCTCTGTCTTCAAGCCCTGCACGTATTGTCAATCTTGTCTCTTCACCCGGACCAATGAGACCGATACCTCTTGCGCAGGATGACAAAGATGATCTTCCCTACGTCCTGCCTCCTGGTCCATACCAAACCGAAAAGCCTGACTTCTCGTACGCGGCGATGATCGGACAAGCCATTCTATCATCTCCTCAGCACCGTTTGACTTTGCAGGACATATATGAATGGATCGCCACGGTGTATTCACACTACAAACGTGGAGAGCAGACTTGGATGAACTCCGTTCGGCATGCACTCAGCACAATGGCTGTCTTCCGCAAAGTTCCCAGAGTGCGCACCGAAGGGAAGAGCCTCTGGGCAATATGGGATGATGATCTTGAGTGCTTTGCCAATGGAGGATTCCGGAAGGCCTTCTGCGTTGATATGCAGAACGATCGCTCTAAGCAGAGTTCCAAGAAGCGCGCAATGGAGGACGCAGTGCCAAAGAAAACTAAGAAGCGGAAGAAATTGGAAGATGTCGACGTCAGTACTACTGGGCCACCGCCTCCCATGCTACCTGCTTCGGTGTTAGCTCCCTTCTTTCCTTCTTTCCACCCTAATCCGCATCACCAGCCCTACTACCAGACCTACACTTCGCAACCTCTTCCTGCGGAGGTGATTTTCCCACCGCTGCCGGCGTCCTCAAACTATCATCAAGTGATAGCCCGTTCAAATGCATCGCGGTCAGAGTCTATCGAGTCGATTGCAGTAGGCAGAAATGTACAGGAGGAGACCGAGGAACCCGAACCACCTCGACGCGGTCGTGATCCTTCTCCCAAATTTATATCTTCGTCCAGTCCTGTACCTGACTTGACGCCAAACTGCAGTTCGTCATCTAGTCCCTTACCCTCGTCAATTACAAGCCTCTCCAGGGAAAGTCAATCCCCCGCAAGGCGGAAACAAGTTGGGCTCACAAATCACGGGGAGGAACCAGAAGACACAGACTCGGATTGGCTCGGAGTGTGCCCCTCCGTCGATTCTCTGGAGCCCGGCTTTACACTTCTCTCCCACTATCTTGGCCCCAGCAAGAAGCCGGGCCGAGACAAGCGCCCTCAGGTAATTTGTTTCAGACGTTATATTCCGATCAGCAGCTCACAGTGCGGACAACAGGCTTTCTCCTTACCTCTAAGGCAAGTGTCTCCGACGCCGACTCGGAGAGTCAAGAGTGGGAAACAAGCCAAGCACGGCAGAGTCGCGATCACTCCGCCCCCAGCTGGACCGTCAGTTGGACCATCCACGCCTCCGCGGAAACGCGTCGCAAGCGGGAGCGGCATACAATTGTCTCCTATTAGGACGCCAATCTCTCACATGGGTCTGCATATGAGCCCTTCGCCGAGTCTTGCTCACTACAAGTTGCACTTGGACCCTCCGCCCATTGCGGTCTATCATCCCCAAGCTCCGCTCTTGAGCGTCTCGTCAGACCGCGAACTATCCCCGTCCGTCGCCGTACATTCTGGCAATGTACATACACCGTCGCGCAAGCGGTCATCGGCCACAGACTTCTTGTTGCCAGTCACTCCCAAGAGGCTGGTTTTCTCCACACCGACTAGTGAATCTCCATTCCGCACCCCTTCGCGGTCGATCCTCGACCCTCATGATCCAAGCACCCTTCTTGACGAGGAATTGTGCCGACTTGGAAGTCAAGTTAGTCCCGGGTATTCTACACTTTTCGGCAGATCTTCCGGCTTGCTCTATGAGAGCCCTGGCAGCGGTCGCAGCCCTGCCAGCTGGGGCAATTTCTGGTAATGATTTATCAAAGCTTTCATGTCTGATTTCTTCGTGGCACGTCGCCGGGGTGTCTTGCATATGTTTGATTTAACGTACATTCTCTTCTTACCAGCCGATTCCGATGCTTGCACTTTGCTCTGTGATCACGAGGACTTTTCTTGCTTTGTCGTTAAATTTACAGTTTCGCTTTGCTAAGTATCAGAAGTTTATAGTTGCAGTGTTTGTACATTCCTATGCAACACATTCCAATGATAAATGAGTAGTTATCCTGCTATATGCGGTTCAATCGACCAATGGCACTTCGGCTGATCAAGGCGCAAATTCTGGCAAAGTTTCGTCAGTCACTAGTCACTACGCCAACCGTGGGTTTTTCAGACTTACCGTCCTCGTCCAGTAGAGTCCCTTCATCTAGGCAAGCTTGAATGAACTCGGATATGACAAGATTACGTCGCTTGGGTCTATCGACGAGATTTAATAACTACAAGATGGGGAACAGCAACCTCCACGTACTTCGATGTTCGCTTGATGAGTTCCACCCGCCGACTCGTATCGCGCTTGTCGACGACCACATGGGTCAGCTTCGGCTCGTCCAGGTCAACAACACGGCCGCCATTCTCCTTAAGAATCTTCGATAGTGAGTCAAAGCTACGGGCGATTTTTGAGACAGAAATTGAGAAATTGAGAGGATAGGGTTACTTTCTACCGATGTCATCCTCGTGCTTGGATTTGACAATCATGCCGTGTTTTTTCGCATTTGCCGGTGAATCGAGGTAGAAGCATCTTCATGAAAAGGGTGAGTATCATTCGGGGGATGTGGGAAAAAACAGCTGACAAGTGCTTAAAAATGAGATACTGATCATACTCCATGCTGTCATCCTCCCCCATTTGAATGCTGTCTTTGGGGTCGTCCTGTAACATAATCAGCACCTCATGAGAAACCTTACATTGATGACCAACCTGTAAAGCATTCTCCTCGCCTTGCTGTGGTACTGATTAGGAGAGCAATACAGACGAGAAATGGTGCACTCACAGAGCTAGAAGCAGTCTGGGACGTAGGCTCGGCTGCGTCTGCGGACTTGACGTTGAACCAATCATCGTCCAGTTCTTCCGCGACAGCGTCTTCGTTCCACCGAACATCCTCATTATCAGAATCTGGTTCAGTTTCGCTCCCATCATCAAGTGTCGCTGTTTCCTGCTTTTCCAGCAATTTCTCGTCCACCTTGAACCACTCTGCCATTGCGGGATCGACATCCTCTAGCTCCTTCCCCTCTGCAGCAGTAGAGGCTTCAGGGGTTGGGCTGGCGATGGGCACAGCGATATGTTCGTCTTCACTTTCATCCTCCATCCCGTACTCCTCACTCAGTTTACGCACTTCGGTGGCATGAAAGAAATATCTGCACCATGATCACTTAGTTTAAAATGAGCAAATAGACTAATTGCAGGGATACGTACTTCTTCCGGAGGGGAACCAAATCTTTCTTCGCAATGCAGTCCGTGATCCAGCGCGGTTTGATGATGTCGCAGATGCCCTTGTTCATGATCAACTTGATGTCGTACGCTAAGGAAGTATCAGTAAGTTGTGCGTTGGCAAGAAGGGTGCACACACGAGTCGTTGTTCCTCCATAGACAACAAGCATGTTTGGATCACTATTAGCAATATGCACATACTTGCCGCCATTCGCATGTATTCTGTGATCTGCCTGAGTATGTGTATATGAGACTGTCATGAATGCAACGTACAGCGTCAGCAGCTCCTTCTTGTCCTGCTCGCCTGCCTGTGACTTGGGATCGGAGGCCACCACTAGAGCGCAGATCAGACTACTGACAGCATTGTGAATTCTAAGTGATACTTACTGAACTTCATACCCTCGAAGAGATCGCTTTCAATCTTTACATCGGTCATCTTACCTCCTTGATATTCTCGGAGAAGGGCAGGCTGTATACAGAACGGGCGAACATTTCATTAGTATGATGGTCACATCTTCCACATGGTAGCCCTAAAAGACACCTGCCTTCTTCGCAGTTCGCCTGGCTTTCTTCTTCGGCTTCCTGTAGACGTCATCAAACTCAGCTAGAATGACTTGGAACTTGGCTCACCCGTCATCCGTATCCATTTTTCTCTTTTTCTCTGACCTTACACCCTCAAGGATAGCTGCGTTGAACTGTCAACTAAAATGACTCGACGACTGGTGAATCCACTCACCGGACGCAGTCATACAGTCAGCAATGCTCAGATCATCACGTATCGTCAGCGCCCGAGGGAATCTCATTGTCAACCCCATGTGGTAGAGTTCTGCAATCAGTTCATCGTCAATAAAGTGCCAAGTCACAGAAATTTCATCTACCTGAGCTGACGATTTCTGCCGCCTTCACTTTGACGATGAACGAGCTAAGGGAATAATAAGTACTGATCGCATCATGTGAGAGGTGCAAGACGTACTCCTCTGGCTCGAGATAGATATCGCCCTTGTCTTCATGTCCCTTACTCGATGCCTGCAGGAAGCTGGGCGGATTCTTCTCGTCCCAAACCTTCCAAGGTTTCTGCCTCATCCATATGTAGTCGGCGTACGATAGACCTGAGCCTATTCGCACGAAAGTGCTGTATCTATTAAGGCAGAAACACATTCAGCTTGATACCAGCGATTGAAATTCATCGGAGGGACATACTTAGGTTCGTCGTCCTCAGGAGGACGCCGGTCGTCCAAGACTGCACAAATAAGAGTCGACACGCCCCCGGAACGTCTTCCCGTGCCATAGTTACCAGCTGGTGAGCTTGTCAGATACTGATTGACCAGTGACAGGACAGAGAGACCTACCCACGACGAGCACATCGACCGTTTCACCCATGTTGTCCTGTGAAATCATTGGGTACTTATTTTAATCTACTAAGGCGAAGCGCTCACCATGTACTCTGGCTTGACCTGTTGATGCAATGTCAATGGGAACACTGTCACTACGGGCCGAGGACCTACCTTGATCCAGTCCCTATTACGCCCGTTCAACACATACTCCGATTCTGGATGCTTCAGTACAAGCCCCTCGCCTCGGGAAGCCATGATCTCATCCATGCGGTCGCGCACATCCTTGGCAGTGCAGCCCTCGAACTCCACCGCGTACTCGATTCGGCCTTTCACCTCTGCGAGGCACGCGCGCAGGTTCCGTTTGCGGAACTTCAAGGATTTGTGCAGCAGCGAGAGGCCGTTGAGGTAAAGGAGGTCAAACACCTTGACTGTGATAACGACGGGAAAATAAGCAGTGCAAGTGCCATCAGAAAAGAACCTACAGCATGGCCGTGGATTATAATCCTTCTTGGATTTGTCTTACAACACGTAAGCTTTGGGGCATTAAGAGAATGAAGGAGGTGTCCTCACTGAGGGCTGCTGTCTTCAGTGTACCAAACGGGAGGTTTCTCTCGACAACGGGATCCCATACTAACATTTCTCCGTCCAAGATGATCCTACATGGTATCAAACATTAATATCGTCAGTGATATATACGGTATACTTTGAGAACAACCCACTCATCAACCCGTGGGTCAAAAGCAGCGTCTATGAATGGCGTCAGACTCCCCGTCCCTACATGCTTCCCATAGAGATAGGTGTAGTCCTTGCCCTTCCTAGTATACGGACCACAGTATAATCAATTCACGTGAATGGATAAGTTGCACCCTATGTCACATCACCTTGAGCAATAAAAGTACTCGTTACCGCGCTTATGCAATTGCATGCGTTCGCCGTCCATTTTTTCTTCTATTATGAAAGTTCCACCTTGCATTTCTTTGACCGAGTCTTCAATCTTTCGTGTTGGCCGCTTGCACAGCATCGGGGCAAATGCACGGAACAGCTGGACGGCTTTGTCCTAGGATAGCCGAAGAAGGGAATTCGACGCAGAACATTCGATACTTGTGAGGAACTTACTTCTTCGTTCAACCTCCTATGCGGATCCCAAAGCTCCCAGGCGATCTTCTTCAGGTCCGAGCAGGTATTGAAGAGGTCATGTGCATCTGGATGAAAGACAGAGAAAACTGTGGTCTCCTTCACTGAGATAATCATATCTGAAAGTGAAGAGAGAAGTCTAGATGCGAGTAAGTTTATTTCCGGACGCATTGCTCACCTTTGAGAATGATGCGGGCAATCCAGCGTTGTTCCTCTGGTGTGCTCCTGTTGTAAATGCGCTGAAGAACTCTTGTCTGTATGTCACTAAAATATAATCGGACGATAAACTTGGATTGTAGTGGCAGAAGGAGCTACATACTGTTTACCCATATTTCTAGAGAGTTGGTCGAGGGCTTCGTTGACTTCATCGATACTCAACGAGCCCTCGATGACGGAGGAACGTTTGCTGATGACTTCGTACAAAACAGTTGGAAAGTCACCAGATACTTTCTGGATGGAGAAGAAGTAAATATACCGCGTTCCCGATGGACAACTTGAGCAACAGGCAGGGACGCACGTCTCTCTCAGTAGGCCTCTTCCAGTTCAGAAGGCGAATCGCGTCTGGGTCTCTCATACCAAGAGGAATGATCTTGATATACGTCTTCGCTAGGTTCTTCTCTTTCAGGCCATAGACAGCTCGTTCGCGATCTTTCTGGAAGAAAATACATGAATACTGAGATAGAACCAAGTACTAGTTCCGACATGCCTGGGGAAGTATTAACCGCAACACGGGATATAAGTCAAACCCTTTCTCAGCCCTCCAATGCTGGCAGAGAATCGGTTCAGTCTGAGTTGCACGGGGAATCATTGGAGTGCGCACATTGAACCATGAATTAAGCAACTTTCTCCTCTTCTCCGGTTTCCGTTCATTCTGTAGCTTGTCAAACAGTGCAGATAGCACATAAAAAGGTGCACTGTCCACATTTTGTGGAGGAACGGGATAATCAATATCATGATCCTCAGCTGTCACCGCGGGCTGTGTTCCCAATATAGGAGATGAGGGTGGCGAGGAAGGTGCGGGAGTCGGTAACATATCCAAGGTATGGAAGCAAAGTTACCAAGTAGATAACGGATATATTGAAAGTGGAAGACTAGCTTGTAGGATGACCAGCAAAGTTAGTGCAAGGAAACACGGTTACACTGTACACTCGACAGGTTGGATTTGGCGCCCAAGGCGCGTACCCGCCACGTCCACGTGACTATGCGCGTCGCGTTCCACCGCACGTGGCAGAACACGACTGTCATCCTCGTCCGAGACAGGCAAGGTACGGCGAGTCGTCAGCCCCTCCACCATGTCTCTCCTCTTCTGTGCGAGCCTCCTCTGTATGCGCTCTTGCCCCTCATCTTTCACCGTCTTTCGCAAGTGCAGCCCTCAGATTCCCTGCTCACCAGACACCATCCGAACGTGACAGATACCATGGACGCATCTCACATTCCTCGCCGGAACAAAAAGGAATATGATCCAAAGATGATAGGTCTTTGGAAAGTCGGAAGAACTATCGGGAAAGGAAGCTCAGGTATTCAACCGCTATATTGTCATTCACACCTGTCTCATACACCGCGTCTCTCAGGACGAGTCAGGATCGCCAGACACTCAAAAACCGGCGAATACGCAGCGGTGAAGATTGTGTCCAAGAACTCGATTATGAACTCGAGAATGTCGCTCCACAGTCTCGGGGACGAGGCGGAACGTATTCTCCATAGCATCGAGCGCGAGATCGTCATCATGAAACTCATCGAGCATCCCAACATCATGCGTCTCCACGATGTCTGGGAGACCTCCACTGAGCTCTACCTTATACTTGAATACGTCGAAGGAGGCGAGCTCTTCGACTACCTGTGCAACAAGGGCAGGCTCTCGTCCGCGGAAGCGCTCGGATACTTCCAGCAGATCATCACGGCTGTTCACTACTGCCACCGCTTCAACATCGCCCACCGTGATCTGAAGCCCGAGAATCTCCTTCTCGATCGTGATAAGAATATCAAGGTTGCAGACTTCGGTATGGCAGCCTGGCAGGGCAAGAGCAACCTCCTGCAAACCGCGTGTGGAAGCCCGCATTACGCCGCACCAGAAGTTATTATGGGCTGTGCATATAACGGAGCTTCCTCTGACATCTGGTCCTGTGGTGTCATCCTCTACGCTCTGCTTGCGGGGAGACTGCCCTTCGACGACGAGGACTTGCCTACTCTCCTCGAGAAAGTGAAGATCGGGAAGTACACCATGCCGACGGACATAGACACGCGCGCCAAGGACCTCATCACGAAGATGCTCCAGAAGAATGTCGCAAAGCGCATCACGATCCCCGAAATTCTCTCTCATCCGTTCTACACTTCGCAGAAACCGAAGGAGATGAATTGCGACATCCCGAACCTGGACGATATCGCCAGGCCACTTAGCAGCGCTTTGAGTGTAGATCCGGACATCTTCGCGAACCTGCGCACACTGTGGTACGGAACCCCAGACGAGGAGATCGTCGCGAGCCTGACGAACGACAAGTCTTCGTGGGAGAAGGGCGTGTACCACTTGCTCATTCGATACCGCGCCAAGCATCTGGAGAACTACGACGAGGAGGAGGAGAAACTGGCGGTAAAGCGTTCGTCCAAGAAGCGGACGAAGAAGGCTTCTGCAACCCGCGACACTCCCCGTGAGCTGCATGAGTCTCTTCCCCCTCGTACAGGCCCTCCTACGCCTCGTCGAGCCGCGCGTGCCGTCGTCATACCGAACTCCAGCTCGGGCCTCAGTCGGATGCGGCAGATGTCGCTGCTGGACATAGGTTTCGCTGGCTCCAGCCAGGCTGCTCCTGCCGCCATACCCTTTAGCCCGCGTCCGCAGTTCAACCATTTGGCCCCACCTGCTACGCCAATGTCGTCTCTTCTCTCTCCCAATGCTGCCTACGTGACTCCGACATTGCAGGTCCCGGAGATGCAAGACGAACGCATCCAGCAATTCTTCCATCAAATCGTCGAACACCTGAGCGTCATGCAGGCGGGTGAAGGTTCTCCACGTCGAGGCTATCCTGAGAACGATCCTGTACTTTCTCCACGGCATGTGGGTGCTCCGCCCCCCACACCACTTGCTGCAGGTCATCGCAGAGTCTTCCTAGGAGAATTGCAGCGGCATCCGAGAGATGATATAAACACTGCAGTCTACGCAGGGACCAAGGTCTCAGAGGACACCAACACAGTCAGGCCTCTCAGCATCAGGCGACGTCCTCAGCAGTGCTCGGACGTGGACTCTGACAAGGAGAACGCGCTCCAGGTGCCACGCTTGCGCGTAAAGACAACTTGGGGTAGTGAAGACTACAGCACGCCCGATCAGAAGTCGTCGATGCGCAGCGACAGCAGCAGGACGACCGACCGACGAGTGCACATCCTCGAACCGCCGAGCAGCGAGCGTGCACGGCTCAAGAAGAAGCGCAGTGCCCATCTGTCGCCCATGTCCCCCGCGTCAGCTGTCTCGGAAGGATCCTTTGTGCTGCCCGGCACGCTGAAGCGTCGCTGGTTCGGCAACCTGTTCAAGTTCAAGCCCACCATTTATCAGCTCCTTTCTGTGGCTGACGCATACCGCTCGCGGGAGGCGTGCCGGCAGCTTCTTGAACGGATGGGGGTGTCCGTCGCCCTGGCGTACGCGGCATCCGATGGCACGACATCGGACACGCTCACGCTCCGTTGCAGGCTGGACGATTCGCGAGCTCCATCGAGCGTCATGTCTATCAGCAAAGGTGTGACCTTCCGCGTAGAGGTGCATCGGCCGACACCCATACAGGCGGTGACGGGATACGTCTTAGCACTACATCTGGTGCTGGAGAAGGGCGCGGCGACGAGTCTCAAGCTGATCTACAACCGTCTGAGAAGGGATTGGGACCTCGACGCCCCCCCAATGCCATATTCAAGGACGGGCGCGGGTCCCATGATGAACGATGATGAGAGGTTTGTCGAAGTCGTCTATGCCAACTAAGTAACTTGACCATGCAGTCCTTGTACAAGGCACCCTGGGGTTGTACTGGCACGGGATCCAGAAGTCATACTTACCTCAATACGCTTGACTGTACAATCGACCAATTTTTATGCTTCTTGTGAATTGATCTATTCTTGTATCTCCTGTTTCCCAGAATCAAGGATACTTCAGGTTCAATTGCTCTTCCTCGACACATATTTCCACTTCCCTCTGAGCACAGCCGTTCACCAAGTTCATTGTGAAGGGCACCTCACCTCTTCTCGTACATAGAAACGACTTCCGCATCTCCACTATCTTCCGCAAATTACGTTCCTTGATGCCTCGCTCTCAGGGCACGCCTACATTTCTACTCCATTTCCCCTCATGCGTGCCCGGTGCCGGTGCAGTAGGACCACCCAACATCCATGCTGCAAGTCCCCAACCGATTCTTGCCACTGCGAGTGACAAACCGGTCCCTGAAATCGCACCGACCAATGCAGGCGGCTTGGAGTATAATACACTAGACTCTACCCAAAGTAGTGCTACGCCATCTACGGTATGAACGGTTCACTAACTGAAGTCTGTGACATACACCGATCATATCTTTAGATCGCAGTTGTCCGCGAGCTACTGTCTATAAAGGGCTTCCCAGAGACGGCAGACGATGCGGAGCGCCTCCGCAGGGCACGGGATCAGCAAAGCCACTTGAAGTGTGCCAGCTGCAGAAGGACTTTACTGTTGCATTGCTTTACTTTACTTTACCATACATACTTTAGCTGTAGCTGACGAGGTGCTATCTGTACCTGAGCCACGTAGTTGGCGTAGTCAGCTAATTTCATACGTTTCCACGTTTCCATGGAGGATGCTGTTCGGCGCAGTCTCACACAACTCCATCTGTATCGGGCAGAGTTGAGGAGAGCGCGAACACAATTAGTGCAGGCGGAAAGGGGTGTAGGAGAAGTCCGCGCATGGATTCGCAGCAGAGGCATTCATGTCAAAGCTATGACACAGGCAGGTATTGCCGCTGAGCTCGACGAAGACTTTAGTGATGATACGAGAAAGCTCTAGCGTCTTTAACACCCTTGCCTCAGTTTCATACGTACTACATATTCCTCTGATGGTTTCCATACAGGCTGCATAGCTGATTTTTGTAGCTACCCAAGCATTACAAGTAGACTTCTCGTAAGTGGGACAAGTATATCAGTCGATCATGGATATGTGAGCTGTGCTAGAACAGCAGATGTGAGTGGCTTATTGAGAGCCTGCAGGCACCCATGGCGGCATGAGCCTGCTGGACATAGCATCTACGCATGCGGACAATGCGCACGTGGCTCTGTGCACATTGTCCTGCTCCTCCATTAATCTTGAAGATCAACGTCCAAGGTCCTCAATGGGAATATGAACCGCCCTTCTTTGCGTACAGTGAGAATCAACGCTCACGACAACGTGCCGAAGTCAGAGCACAAGCCTAACACCTATAATCGATCAGGGTTTCTTTAACCAAACAATCGTGCCACATACTAGAATGGCGCATCCATCGTCATTATTGTAGACCCGAAACGAGACGGAGCTTCCATTAGCAATGGTGCATCGTCAGTATCCATTTGATCCTCAGAAACATCGCTCACGGCAACATCTCTCTTCAAGAACGGATGTTTGCCTGGACGCGATACCATTGCATGATCGGGCGTGCTGCTCGACAGTCGGATGAAACGTAGTTGCTGAATATATGCTGCCTCCTTCTGATCCCAGCGTCTGAACAGTTCGACGTTTGGTAGGTCCGTCAGGTCAATGACCTCTGAACAGAAAATTTTCTATGAGGTGTTGCATGATGACAAAGGGAACCCACCTAAACCAGTGCGATACTCCTCTGACTCTCTCAACTTTATTTCCTCCATCTTCTGCTCCTTCACACTCTTCGGACGACCCTTTCGCCTGGAAGCTCGCTCTTCCTCGAGTTCGGCGTCAAATCGAGCGAGCCATATGTCCCGGATGATGGTATGCAGGTCCTCCAAAGACAGTACACTGCCTTCTGGTGGCAGGGCAGAGTAAAAAAAAGTGAATATATCGACTGCGCGGTCGTGAGCACATCTCTGAGTCATAAAAGCAGAGCATTACGCACCTCTGTGGTCATGTTTTTTGGATCGGTTCTTCGCGAGCTCAGCAAGCTTGCTTTTGCGGTGCTGTGTGCGGATTATTTGTCCAGCTTTGCGAGACTGTGGGTGGAAGACCTTCTCTTTCTTCTTTTCTGTGGCTTGCTTGCTAGTCTTCGGTGGTGACATCGCTAAAACGTATGAGATCCTGCCAATTTACGATGTTTTTCAAGTTATGCTTTCCAGATTGATCTGACTCCGAGCGAGTCCCGTTTTGGAAGGTTGTGTGGTTGCGACGCCAAACATTGAATATTGAAGCTTGAAGCGTTGACTCGTTCATTCGTGTCGTTCAATTTGAAGATGTCGAAACTCTTTCACTGCACGCCAGACACTTCACAACCCAGCTCTCCGGTACTGAAGGCACGCAGAAGGAACACACAGGCAGGAACATGCAGGGCTGGGTGGAGGATAATCGTCTTGTGCTTATGTGCATTCATCCTGTGGTATCTGCTTCCTCCTGTTCCTGTGCATGACTCACCAATACCGAATCACTTGAACGTCAAGACTGATATATCTCCGATGGTATTTGGTTCAAGAGTGGCTAGGCGTCCGATTATCGAACAACTTCAGCCGACCGTGGACCCGTTACCATCCCTTTCAATGGCAGCGATCTCCAACAATCAATCGACTCTCCCCGTCAGTCCTTATAGTTCATCGTCTTGTACTGCGATATTTCCCGTTACAATCTCATCCGTCTCAGCTCTTGCAGCGAACCTGCGCACACTTCTTGTTTGTGACCTCCAGCTGTCGGAAATTGTTCTAGTATCTCCCCGATCTCTCCATGGGGAAATCCGCAAAATCCTTCGTACGGTATTCTCTACAGAAGAATCCAGAGATGTGCACACAGAGCTTTCGTTGCTTTCGTGGTTACCAGACACGGACGAGGACATGGTTATCCTGCGCGCTGCTCGGCAGGCGACCGCCGATTTTGTGCTCCTTCTCGACAGCAGCGGCCTGAAAAGTGTTGAAAATGGCACTCACGAGCTACTGTTATCATTCAAGTCTACTTCGATAGATCTTCCCATTGGGCCACACGGCTTCGCCTCTGTCTCTAGCAATTTGACTTGCCTTTCAGCGTCAGACCAGCCGGAATCTGCTGTGTTCTTGGTGCCACCACTTATCATGCCATCATCACTTGTACCTGATATTGACTTGACTCCCGACCCTACGTATGGCGTCTGGTATTCTCTGGGAGAGCAAGTTGCCCGAGCACGATCAGACATGTCTGGGGGACTCGTGATTGGATCTCGAGCAGCTGGCTCCGAATGGTGTCCGTTTGATCAAATGCAAGACTTACATCGAGCTCCTGTTGATCCTTCCCCCTTTGATCCTTTCGATATGCTTGGCCTCGACACGATTCAGCTCTCTCCCAATCTAAGCGTACACCAGTCGTCCGGCATCTCAGCGAATATGGCAGACTCCTCCAGTTCATTCCTTCTCCTGTTCCCTTCTCTACGAGATTTGAGGATGTTCTCTCCTGCTGCTTGTCGACTGCTGCGCCACGGCTACAGATTGCACGCGCTGTTGTATGCTGAGGCGGCCACACGAACAAAAGACTTCGTTGATGCTGGAGATCATCAAGTGTTTTCTGACGCCGATTGCCGACTCAAGTACGAGTCGTATCGTTGGCCTGAATCCGGTTTCAAGGCAGAAAGTGACATCTCTGACTGGCTTCAAACCCTAGGTCCCGCCGTCGACGTGATCATTGCATCTTCCGACCGCAGTCAACCTTCCTTTTACATTGATCTCCTGTTAGAATACCGCCGTAATCACGACAGACCATCGATGGTCCACATTCCTCAGGGTGATCTCCCCTACTGTGACTGGATGGGGACGCTATCATTACAAGAGTGGATGGGTATGTTTGTCCGGTGTTGAATGTCGAGCTATGTTGATGCCCGACGTGTAGATTGGCATATGCCTCAAGTCGATATCTCGGTGGTCACAAATGACAGACCTTGGTCACTCAATCGTCTCTTGTCCTCATTGTCATCCGCGCGATACTTTGGAGACTCCCTTGATTTGCGCATAAACCTTGACCAGACTGCCGACCCAGAGACATTGGATCTCGTGGACGAGTTTGAGTGGGAGCACGGACGTGTGTCCATCCACCACCGCGTTATCCATGGTGGACTACTCCCAGCTGTTGTCGAGTCATGGTATCCACACTCCAACCACTCCTACGGCCTCATCCTAGAAGACGATGTGGAGGTTTCGCCGCTGTTCTACGCTTGGATCAAGATGTCTATTCTACGCTACAGGTACGATTTTCTCCACCGTTGAAAGTCAAATATGAAGTTTCAACCTAGATACGGCGCTCCCCAAAATGTATCTCCTCAGCTCTTCGGAATAAGTCTCTACCAACAGAAGCACCTTGAACTCCGCCCTGAAGGACGCCACGCCTTCAACGCCCGTAGCGCATTCGCAGCAGCTAACCTACCGGATCCAATCACTCCTTACCTTTCGCAGATCCCATGCAGTTGGGGCGCAGTCTACTTCCCCGAGCAGTGGCGCGAGTTCCACGCATATCTGGCATTTCGTCTCTCCGAGTACGCCTGGGACGTCGACGAGGCTGTGGTGCCCGCAGTGCGCTCAAACAACTGGTCGCGCTCATGGAAGAAATACTTCATCGAACTTGTGTACCTCCGTGGCTACGTCATGCTGTACCCAAATTACGAAGATTACATCTCTTTGTCGACAAACCATCTAGAAGCTGGGTCCCACGTCAAGGACGTGCCGAGCGAGACTTACCTGCGGAAGAAGAGGCTCTTCTTGCTCCCGCTCATGGCGCTGCCTGATGTGATTGACTGGTTGTCACCCCTTGTCACTGGACTTCTGGACCTCCCCGGCGGAACCCTACCTCGATGGCAGGAAATGCCTGTACTTGACCTGCTAGGATTGCCGACCGCGGAGGAGTCATTGGTGCAACGTGGAAGGCTCCGCAGGGACGAATTGACTGGATGTGTAGATTCCCCGATCACTATGCACGATGCAGCGGACCTACTTTGTCTCCAGAATACCGTTTTTCAGCCCACACCGTGATACTGTAGGCTGCACGTACTATTTATCTGCCGATATAGATATGACACAGTACAATTACACTGCAATCTGAGAGCTATCCAGGCCGAGTGCGTTTAAAAAGATATTAACATTCGCCAGTTTCTTCCTCTTCTCATCCGCATCTGAAACCCATCCTCTGGTCACGTTTTCCAATACAATCTCGCGTAACGTTGTGACGAGCACTTGTTGTTGCTCCAATGATGCATGCAAAGCGAGCGCAGCCAAGAATTGCCAGACCCGCTGGTCGATGACATCTGCGTCAGGGATATTGTTGTAGCCAACGCCGGAGATCGCATTCTGGCGAACAGATGGGAACAGGAAAATCAAATGTGGCGCCAAAAGTTGGAACAAATGGTCGAACATCAGTTGCCTGAGCACGTAGATCAGCGTGGCAATCATAATTGGTTTTCAATGGCGAGCGTACCACTGCTCTGTCTCTTCTGGTGATGGCAATTCGGAGATCTCCGTAGCAGTAGCCATATTTTGCTTGATGACCTCTACTCGACTCAAGAAAAGGGTTAACAAAGCGATGCCAGGCTGTTTCAAGTAGAGTTACTATCACTAACTCTCATACGTGAGCAACACACGCACCTGTGTGCGAGTGATCGCAACAATGTTACTGAGTTCAAGCAGAAGACCCAGGAGTCCGCTAACGAGTCTCAAACCTGCCTTCGCTACTACAGGCAAGATACTTTGAATGACGCTCGACAGAAATGCCTCCGTCTGGTTATCAACGTCCGCGCGCTCCTGGGATTCCTCGAGAGAATCAAGGATCGGAGCTTTAATTACGACGTCCAACTGGGAGAAGCATGCAACTAGAAGGGTGAGCACAGTCAACATTTGCTGTGTGCTCAGATGACGGGCAACTCGTGGAAGCATCCTTTTCCCTTTGATGGGGGTAAGTAGAGAGATAAATGGATGAGGATTACTGTAGGGCGAGTAACGTGTTAACACCAGACAGATTGCTCGTGCTAAATAATATACGGCACCTTGTTTCCAAAGGTACCATGACCTGTAGTCCGTCCCAGAGTTGTTGCACTAACACAGTAAAACCAGCATTCCTTGTCGACGAAGCTGTATCAGTTCGGCCCAAGGTAGAACGTCTGCAAGCCTACCAGGCCTCAAATCCCTCATCTTCGGGAGGTTGATCTCGCCGTTGCTGTTCGACCTCGAGAACCAGATCATAAAGATGTTCCAAAATTATGAGAGTCTGGCGGTGAGTTAATGGATCCTTATGCTCGAGGCCATTCATCTAATGATATATTGATCAGATTAACTCATGAAATCCAAATTATGCTGTACACACCTCCGCGGCACTGCCAAGAGCTTCACGGCCGAACTTTGCGGCCTCTTTTGCCGCTCCCGCTCTATCAGCATGTCTTGTAGTGTCTGCTTTGGAAATATGCGCATGAGCAGGAGAAAGAGTAGGCGAGGTTGAACTGCCGGAGTCAACTTGAAGGAGTTGACGAGGCGCTGCTTTGTAACTTCGACCAGATGTTTTCCCCAAGGCACCCTGGAGGCTGTTCAGTGCTGTCAAGGGGTGAAAAGTCAAAATGACACGCCTCCAACACGCGAGATATTGCTTACAAATTTTCTCCTTTTCTCTCAATCTCGCATTATTCACAATCCTCTCAACTTGCGCCTCCATACGCTGCATCGCGCTCTGACGTCTACCGGCCCCCCGCTGGGCCATTCCCAGTCCGACGCCACCGCCTGAACCGAATTTCAAGACGCGTTCATCCTGCGACTGGACACCCATACGAGAACGTATGATAGCGCCGTAGACTTGAGCATAAAAATCGTCCGCATACGGATCCTGAGTGACAAGCTGCGAGACTTGAATACGAGTAATGAAATCCTTGTCGGACTGCGTCATGAGATCGTTGTAACGGGCCTAAGTATCACGTCAATCCATCCGTATAGCACTAGACTTCAGGATCGAGTGGTATGGAACATACCATATGGGCAATCTTCGTCAACTTTCTTCGCCTCCTCTCCTCCATCCTTTCTGCTTCCATGATCTTGCGCATCGCCTCCTCTCTCAGCATTTCTTGCATTTCGCGCTCCTCCCTCGCCTCTCTCTCAGACTGTGGCCCCGAGGGCTGCATACTGTTAATAAACTCCGCTTGCGCCATTTCGGCCAAGAGACGCTGCTGCGTCTGGATATCTTGCGGGAGATACTGCATGCTATGCTGAAACGGAACTTCCATCTGAATTTGGGAAAGCGCGGGCGACTGTCGACCTAATCGACGAAGCTGGCGATCGACCATGGAAGGGCTCAAAGAAGGATGTCGCTGGTGCATGGTATTGACAATCTGGAGGTTGTGATTCGTGCCGGACTGGATCTGCTGCAGCCGAATTTGACGCTGCCTCTCAAGTTCCTCCAATCTGAGCTGCTCCTGCAATTCAAGAAGCTGCCGGTGGTGCTGACGATCCCGCTGCTCCTGCAACTCCAATAGTTGGCGCTGTTGCTCCTGTTGTTGCTGTTGCTGCAGTTGCAGGATGTGAATCTGGTGTTGCTGCTGCTGATGATGGAACCGCGGAGACTGAGAATGTGGGTGCATACGAGGGGGCGGCGTTCCTCCATGTAGAGGGGTAGTCTGCCGGACTACCTGTCCTCGAAGAGGGCTCTGAGACAAAGTGGGGGATAATTGTGCGTGCTGAGAAGCTGCAAGCATCTCTGCCTCTATCTCCTCAAGTGTATGGATGCCCTTGTGGAGATTAGACGCGCTAGACATACTCACATTCGGCTGCGATGTCGACGCTTGCGGCGCCGTTGTGGCGAACGGTGAGAACTTCGAGGATGGCTGCGCTGACGACTTCTCGGAAGCGCGACTTGCACCATTCAACCGAGGAAGAACGGAGAAGGGAGACTTGTTGTCCCATACAGACTCCAATGTATGCGATGAACGGGCTGCGCACAAAAGATAAGATGCGCAAGAGGAGGTAGTCTGTGGGCATCATACAAGGTGTATTGGAGCTGGGAACCTGGGAGATCTCCTGTTCAAGGACTTGAGCTCTTTGTAGATCTCTGTTGGATTCATGAGGAGCGTGTCGGCCATCCTGAGGCAGGGTGGTATTCGAAAAATCAAAGTCCTTGCCTTGTTACCCGGGCTCAACACCCTAACACACGATCAATCAAAGGGTTTGCGCTCACCTACCGCCCCAGTGCTTCCAAATGTCTCATCGTTCAGCTCGTCGCCACGCTCTTGCAGAGCATCACCGAGACCATCGTAACTATCTTCGCCCCATGTATACACGGCTAGATCTTCATTTTGTGCGCTCAGACCACCCTGTAGAAATTTGCGCCTCTCGCTCTCCAAGTCCGGTTGTTCAAATCCGAAGAAAGACATGCGCAAAGCATCTAAGCAGGCTAATACCAGAACCTGAGAGTGAGGAGATCGAGAGATTGTGACGGTCAACGTGAATTATGTCATACAACCGAAAACCTCTGCAAAAGCGCTCGCGCTAGCGCTTCATCTCCATGGTCTCAAGTTCGAAGTGCTATGCATATCGCATACGCTGAATTGCAAGTGAATAAATAAAACATGCCGAAACGCTAACGTCAAGCGATCTACTAAGAAGATACACCCTTAATGCAAGAGGATCCATGGGAAACGACACAATCTCGTCCTTCAAGGACTGATGGAAGCGGCGTTCACCCAGACGTAGCGCTCAACTTGTGCACCTCCTGCAGGAAGTCAAGTACGGTGCTCGCACTCCACGCCTGCGTGTTGCATGAATCACGACACAGCTCGCCATCCCTGTTCGTGAGTTCGGGCAAACCAGCCCATGGATCGTGTTGGACATGGCTTCGCGGGGCGAGAAGGTATCGGTGAAGGTAATGGAGCGTCTGTGTGGGATCCTATTATTCAATGAAGCTCAGCCACATCACACCACACAGTAAAAAAAGGGCCACACCTCTTTACCGGCGCCAACACGCGTGTCAAAGTATAAATAAGCGCGAAGGAAGTAGCCCAACGGCCATCCCCACTCAGGTCCCTTCGTTGTATGATTAGACTTCCGTCCGTCGGTGACGTACATGTTGAGCGAGTACTCACATTATGGTAGTTCAAACCCTTGGCAATGGCTGGATCAGTGCCATCGTTTGAGTTATCGTAGTATGGTCGATATTGTATGTCTGCGGGATCCAAAGTCTTCATACCGAGGGGGCCCCGCAGAACCTGATCGGCGAGCCTGAGCGCTTGAAGGGCGTGCTGTGGGTCGAACAGCTCCGGCGCAACGGTCATTGCGATTGGGAAATTGGGACGGAACTGATAGTCCGACCACTCTCTCCTCGGTCCCGACCCGAAGACATCCTTGTAGATGCCTCTGCGATTGATGATGGCTGGGTTGACGAAGTACTTGTGATCTTCCTCTGCGTCTGATTAAAGTGAACATGCTGTGGGTATACTCAAGGTATACGACACTTACCTAATGGCACGTAGTAGCATTGCTCGAACGACGTCTGCAGCAAGTCATCCCACTCTTTGTACGTGACTAGCCGTCGTTTACCATCGACTGTGCACTAAACGTCAGGATGCGTCATGCCACAAGGGCACCTACACTCACTCTCAGCTTCGACGCCTTTGAAGGGGAATATCCCAGCACTAGACAGTTGATTCAACCACCTCAACGTGCTCTTCAGCAGCCCCGTAATCTCCACTGGGGCACCATCGCGCGGTGTACCCGGAACACCCTTCGTGCCGGCCTTCACTGACTCTCCCATCTTGTCCATCCAAGTACCGCAATTGTGCTGGTTACCACCCACGATGAGACCGGTGTTCCAGTCCACCTTGATGTCGATGTTGAAGCCCTCGTCTTTCATCTGCATATCCAAGTTCGGGCCGGCATTGTGTTCACGGAACGAGATTCCGTCGGCATGACGCTGCAGGATCTCCTGGATGATTTCCGCAATCGTGCTGGAGTAGGCGTACGCCATGGGATCGTTCCATGCAACCCAGGTATCATCCTTCGGGAAACGTCGCTTGACTGATTCGGAAAGTAAGGCGAGACCGTCCGGAGCACTAAGCACGTAGTCTTGGATGTTTTGCAACATCCACCAAGGTGAGTCACGGGAGTTGTACCTGCACAGTAACTTAGTCTGCAACGTTCAAGCGATGGTATGGGAATCTCACCTGGGGTTTCGGACGGAGTCGAGGAGGTTAGGGATCAAGCCATGCTTCAAAGTCGATGCGAAGGACAAGATGTGAGCCTTCGCACCGGCAAAGTTGCCCGTTGTGAGGAACAAACCGCGGAGCGAGATGAATACATCTCGTCCCCAGCACCTCGCCCACCCCGAGGCGAAGTGGGGCAATCCAGCGGCAAGGGACGGTGTAGGCTTTCCAGGGTCGAGCGACGCAGACTTGACCAGTCCGTGCATTTGCACAGAACACAGCGCAAGATCCTGCGTAAACGAGTGCCCAGTGAAAACAAACTCCGAGCATTGTTCGATGGCAAGCCGCCGCGCGACCTTATAGGCCTCTGAGATGACGATGGCAAAGTATTTCGGCCTCATGAAAGGCGGCACGCTTGTCTTGATCCGCTCGAACCTCTCTTTGAACCATGCCGCCGGTTTCGCCAAGTTCGGGAACGAGGTTGTTTGCCTATTAAACACGATCAGCACACGCAAGAAGGCCAGCGAAGAGCGGGAAGATCACTCACTCGGACAACCGCTCATGGACGTAGTCCAAAGCCCATGAACCCTCCCGCAAATGCCCGCATAGAGGGTGCCCAAGGTCGTTGTATCGCATGATATGTCTCAGCGGGTGCATCCAACCCTCCAGGCCACAATAAACGAGATTGCCCATTCCAGGTATCACGTAGGTCGATATCTTACTGTCAGTAGCGTCTCTCTCTTCGCCGTCCGCCCGGTGCAGCATCACATTGAGGTCAACAAGGTTGAGATCCTCAAACGCTGCGTTCGCGCCAGATTTGCAGAATTCGTCAAGGCTCAAATCGAGGTTCTGGAGGTGTGTCTCGAACAGCATAAAACTTCCGGGCGGGAAATACTCTGGCACGACGATCTCAGAGTAAGGCCCTTCATGATCGAGACCTTGGGGTACGACGATATTGGGCATCTCTACCAACTTGCTTGGGAGACCGTATAGAGTCTTGGCATCATTGTCGATTTCGTAAGACGAGATATCGATACTAGCGCCATATATGAATTTTGCCTTGGTCAGTCGAAGCTTGATTGGGGTGACTGTTGCAAGAATGACATGAGGCGAAAATAAAAAATGTGCAAGGAAGATATTCACTATGTCCACGGTCCTTTGATCCCTTCGAGAACGCTGTGTGTACTACTAGCACATATCCCTTCTGCGTTGCCGGCTGAGCGCGAGTTAGCACGATGTACTGCGATCATCGTTGAATAGTCAGCAGGTAGAAAGATGTTTCCGTCAACTCACCTCATTCTCCTGGTGGACATGTCCCTCCTCGTAACCACCGAGTGCCATCTCAGTGTGCAGCGCATTCAAGAGATGCTTCGCCTTCGCTATGCCGCTGCTTTCCCCCAGCCCAGTGATCTCATATTTCCGCTTCTCGCCAACGAGATACAGTAGCTTCGGATACAGATCATCAAAGCCTTTCACCGAACCGATCGCAGAGTACGAGAAGGCGACCAAAGCGCCAGTAGACAGGGCGTCTTCCGCAGAGCGCTTGAATAGGTACGTCTCGTTGTCGTGCGTGAGGTCGAAGAATAGTGCATGAGGCGTGGAGCCGTTGTGCGGAATAACGAGACATTCGCGCGTCGGACCTTTGCCCGTTGGGGGTGGCAGTTCTTCCTTGCTCGTCACACAAGCACTGTCCATAGATCCTGTATATCCACAGTCGGTCAACTGGTGTAGCTGGAGGAGAAATAACGCACCGACTGGCTTCCCAAGACCATGGCGGTAGAGCAGCCGAGAAAACTCCTTCGGATCCCAAGCATTCCCAGCCTCCCTGATCAAACTATTGATGCCCAGCCGACTCACAAAGATCGTGTCGGTCTCCTCGCTTCCGGTGAACAACTCTGCGCATACATACAGATCCGGATTTGCGGCACGCGCTGCGTCAAGCAGCCTAACGCCGACATGAAGCGGGGTCGAGTGACAATTATCTATGCGGAAGCCCTCGAATGTGCGTGCGAGTGAAGTCACATATTCCGTCATGTACTCCCATAGCCATGGGTTGGACGAAGGACCGTCACCATAACGCAGCTTGACGCAGTCGCCCCAGACGATGACTTCTCGGCGAAGGTATGCCTTCGATGGCGGCAACGCGAAGTTGGCGAGAGGATCGGCATTCCAGATCCACCCATTGTTCGCAAGCGAATACTTGAGTGGATCTTTTTCGGCCTTGTGGTTAAGACGAGTGAAGTACAACTCAACCAATGGAGATCTGAGAAGCGGCCTCAATCATTGCAGCCCGTAGAATAGCATGAAGGCTTACTGTTCGGTGATAGGTCCCAACTTTGGTCCATGGTCGTCTAGTCGGGTGTACTTCAGCCTATTCTTGATGCTATCTAGAGCGGCCTCTGTGTCTTCGTTCCACTCTTCATATAGAGGCACGTTTATCACATCCACAACACGCACCCAAGCGTCCGCCAGAGCGCTACCGTCGTCTTCCAGGTCTGCGAATGCAGCCTTGACAAACCCAGCTGCGACGGGACCCTCGACGTGAGTACCAAACTTCTTCTCCAGTTTGCGATAACCCAATATTTGCCCAGAAGTCCTGACGATCTCTGCGAGCTCCTCGACACTCTTGCGCGCAACATCTGGTCCGGTCCAAGCCTTCACATTCCTTTTTCTGAACGCGTCTTTTACGCGTCCACGTTCTGCGGAGACATCGAGGACGTAGTACTGCCACATGTCGAGCTTCTTGATGTATTCCCTGAATTTACTGACCAGAGTGTCTATGTCATGCTGCGACTTCACAGCGGTTGGCAGACCAAGTGACGAGAGTGTAGCAGAGAACTGGATTATGGCGTCGTCAAGCTCAAGGGCCGGAGTCAAATGCGGAGTGTTCGCGGGGCTGTAACCTGAGAAACGGAGGAACGTCAGGACGTCTCAGACAGGTTTGACACACTCTGATCTACCTGCTTCTGGATGATCAAGCAGCCAGGGACTATCGTTGGCGGTGTGATTCAAGACGACGTCAATGAGACTCAACAATCCGTACTTTTCCTTGGCGACCTTCAGCGTCTCCTCGAGTTTCGCCTTACCGCCGTCCGATCCAAGGTCCTGCTTTCCGCTCGGAAACATGGATGATTCATAGACGAGCTGGTTCCTGATCGAGTAAGGACTGTCGCTTTCACCTCGCTCCTGAAGCGGTGTCCAGTGGAGCATGTTATAGCCTCTCGCACTAGCTTCCGCGAAGTATTCGGGCCATGAAGTGGTAAGACCCATCCATTTCGACACAACGGTCAGGATGGAGATACCATCAAGAGGGAGGTCCACATAGCCTGATCCCACTGTACCACCTCTCACTGATATAGACCCATCCGAGGAAAGGATGGGTGAACGCGCCCTAGTACGAAGGATGGGGTCAATGTTGAAGTAGCCCTCTCGGCCCTTCACGCGCGAACCCGGAGTGTCGCCATCGTACTCGACCCAGTAGACAAATGCGCCCGCCTGCGAGATGGGTAAATCGATCCGAATAGGCTTTGAGAAGTTGGTCGGAAGCCTAGATCGTTCGATTAGGCGAAAATACGATTAACTTAACACATGAAACATACTTGCGCTCTGCAAAACGATCACGAGCAAATTGACCGCCGTCAAGGGGAAAATTGGTTTTGAACACGCCGTTCTTTGATGCAGGGGTTCCTGCATCGAGGGAAACACGAAGGACGTAGGGCGTATAGGCCGGTGGAAGACGCACGTACTGTGGAGCGTGGTTAACACATGGAGGGATGGAGACAAGAACAGAGGGAAGAGTCTGTCGAAGTTCTGATCACAAGGCGTAACAACAGCATACGCCCTCCGTAGTGTGCACTCGACGCATACTAAAAGGAAAGGACACTCAACAGCTCTGTCCTTGTTAGGACCGCCATCAGGATCTAGTTGCAGCTCGTAGACACGGATCGGCTTGTCTCCTTGCTTGAATGCAGCCTCGAAGAAGTCGATTCCCTCGTCTGCGGGGGTCTTGGGAGTCTTGGGAGTCTTGGGCGATTCAGACGAATGACTGGGAGGGACTGCGGGCCTGCCATTGGGAATCTTGACAGAGTGGAGGGTGGATCTGGACTTTTTGCCTTTAGCCATAGGATGAGAGGGGGCCGGTGGTGGTATGGGAGAAAGAGCGAGTGGAGAGACGCGTCGATCCAAGTTCTTTTATGTGATCGCTGGTCCTGTCGAAGACGCGTTCATGGGCTGGACATCGAACGAGCCAATCAGCATCCAGTCCCAACGCGTCCTGTGACGTCACTTCCAATTACGTACGCGTTATGTGTCACGCGTCTTCATAATTCATTTCATTCTGCGGCAACAACACAATCTACCGCTGCCTACCTGCCTGTAGAAAGAGTCTCAAAGCTTTTTGCTGCACTGTACTATAAGCTAGCACTGATCCCTCCAATTAATATGAGCTTGATAGACTATCAATCTACCCGTCACTGAAATTTGTAAATAACCTCCTCCGACAACGGCTGCAGCACCCCGGAACTGGTCACTGTCCGCACGTCCAACCACACATCCAGATCCCTCCAAAGCTTCTCTTTTTGTGCCTTCCACATCTCCTTCCTCGCATCAATACATCCCGTACAATAGCCCAATTTTCCCCATTCCATGTCTATGAGTTTCTGCAGTGCGCATATCGTATCGAACATACCCTCCTCCAGCACGGGCTCTTGCTTTATCGCAACCGTCCAGGACTCCAAACTCTCCCCACGAGCCACGCGACAGCGCAGTAGCACGGGCCTACCTCCCTCTGTCTGACTGAGTGAGCATCTCAGAGTGGAGGGGTCGAGAGCCTTGCAGGCAATATGCAACCATGTGCGCTGTAATTTCTCCCGTGCAATGATCAGACGCATGAGATCTGCGTTACTGAGATGGTGGTGGCCGCGCGCCTCGGCAGCGTCGTCTGCATACATGTCCTCATCGCTGTCCTCCCATTGTGAGAAGTGGGGCGTCCGCAAGAGTTCGTAGTATGCGCGCTTCAACATCTCTGGCAACGCGCACTTCTGTGCGAGTACGACCATCTCTGCCGCATGAGGTTTTCTCTCTGGAGACAGAAGGGAAAGATCGGAAGGCCACATTGGGCGAAGAAAGTGAATCGCGAATTCGACGATTTTCGAGAAGGACAGGGCATGTGCAGCACGGAGGGTTGATGCAAGCACTGAAAACGAAGGTGGTTTGAACGTGTAGGCACTAAGGAAGTTCAGATGATGAACCGGGTGAAGAAGGAAAGGGTGAAAGACTCGCATTGCATTCTCCAGGGCCGTCATCAGGTTTGCAAAGTCGTCCACACTTACGTCGTCTGGCATCTTGTACACCAGACAACCATCCATGAAATCACGCTCCAGGTCGTCTGTCTTGCTGATTCCTTTAATCGGGCTGTCGTCAGGAGACTTGCTATTACGCGAAGAACTATTGTTGAACAGATCCGCGAAGTAACTCGAGTCTTGCGCAAGGCGAGATCTGTGCAGCTTAAAGAGAGTGTTCTCCACCTGTAAGATGACCGAACCATCGACATGCCAGAAGACGGGATGCCGTGCACACTGTGTGAATGTGGAGGTAGTTTCTCTACGCGCACGTTTCGCAGGTCTGATGTCTGCGTTTGCCGTATCGAGACTCTGCACATGCTTCGCATGCTTAGTGTCCGACACCTGGGTAGATCGTGAGTGCTGAGCGGTGGCACTCCTCTCTAGGACATGTGGATGTTCTGTGGGAAGATTCTGATCTGCAATTGTTACTTCATCTGTCTCACTGACAACTGTAGAGGAAGCGGAGATAGAAGCCGAGCGAATTGTTGATAGACCTGCTTGAGCAAAGGGAGATGGGTTCAGTTCCTCGCTGGCCTTGGAAACTATGCATAGCGTTGTGTTATCATCTAGTCTCTTCTTATGCTCGTCCTCGACTGACACGTCCACAGTGGAAGTGTTGGGAAAGCAGGTGGCCACATGCTTGGCAGTGGGGGAGGACGCTAATGTCGAAGTATCTCCTAAGGATCGACAAGCATATTCAGCGGGACCTGGTATGGAAGGAGAAAATATCGCGGGAGCGGTATGCGATGCGTTATGCTGCAATGCGGGGGGATTACCTCGAGAAGTCGATGCAGTCGTATTTGGATGCGCAGTGGTACTGACAACCTTGCCATCAAGTTGTATTTGGATCCCTACGGTTGTAGATCTCTTTTTTGTCACCTTTACTTTTACCTGGGAACCAGAGGTAAACGTGGGCAAGGTCTTCCGCGTCCCAGACTGCTTTTTTCTTCTCTCCTCTCCATCACTTCCAACCACAAGGGTGCTTGAGGAAGCGGAATTCTCTGCCTGAGCACAGGTACTGACGCTCGTGTGCTTCAGTGGGTATTTGATAGGGATCAGGTCGGAATGGTCGACTGTGAGACGTTTCCTGGATAGAGTCTTGTCCTCCAGCTCACCTATAGTTGGACATTAACGTCAGTCAACCCACAGCGGCATTCATATATCCACACGCTCACCTGGCCTAACACATCGTTGTTTGGTCGACTTGCAACGATCACAACGTTTCAATGCACTCCGGGACGTCCCCGACTGCGCTACCTCTTGATGATATTGTTTGTAGGTGCAAGATTTTCCATTCTGACAGCAACGTATGCAAGTCTGTACAACGGTTACCTGATTCTTATATCCAAAGAATAGGACCTCCATCTTACCTCGATGACAGCCAGGCTTAGAACGCGTTGAAAGGGCTGAGTCGTAGTAGAGAGAGGGATTCCATCGGAAGAGGGTATATCCATGAGTAATAGACGTGCTACGTAGATGTGTCGCTAACTGTGCAGAAAAATCACCAGCCCAGACCAGACATTGCTAGCAGCAATGTAACAATCCAGTATTCAAGAATTGAGCAGATCCTAGCTATGGTTGAGCAGATACATGCGCAAGGTAGTAAAGTACTTCTACGTCACGACTCCGGGATACTTATCTCGAGGAGACCGCGTACGTAACATGGTACTGTCACGGTGGGTTACCGGTGTAAGTCGACAGTTTTCCCATGTATAGGGAAGATTCGGGTCAAATGCGCTACAGCAAAGATCATATCGATAGGCCCTTCCAAAAAAATCCGTTCACAGAGCGGGATAATTCTATTGAGAAACCCCCAGAAACCCGGAAACCCCAGAAACCCCCTTAAGTTGCTCAGCAACCTGGTTTCTGTGCAAGGGAGACCGTTGACAGCCGGCCGGTTTTGATGGGGAGCCGCGCTTGCAGTCTCTTTCTGAAAGTGAGTAAAGTGCGGCCTCCCCGTAGCAGAGGCCTCGCTGCGAAATTGTAAGTTGATTCGGGGCTTACCGATCACACAGGAGCTCGGTACACTCTATGTACGTGAACAGGACGCGTTGGGCGGGACTGACAAGGCTTACGGCGGGTGCCAATTTTCCCTCTCCCTCTCCCATTCTTGCGAAAATTTACTTTAAGAATATGGAGAGTGCATGCAGGCAAGGTCTCTCGATCTCTTGTCAACTGCCATGAGAAGCTGAGCAGTGAGTCTGCCCTGCCTTCCCGCACAAACGATGATGCCAACATGGCCGCCCCAGGAGGGCGTCCGGCCGGAGTCCGAAACTTCCTCCGGAGAGGGAAACCCCACAAGTTTCCAAATTGAGGGGTTTCTCCGAGCAGCCTCAGAAACCCGGGGTTTCTTGGGGTTTCCGGGTTTCTGAGGGTTTCCCAATAGAATTATCCCACAGAGCGGACTGCGAAATCAAACGCTCCGGAAATTCCGGTGGGTGGTGGCGCCACCATGCACTGTGGTGCCACCAAGTCACGCCGCCTGGGCCGCTCGCGCCCGGGTGTAGGCAGTTAAGGTCCCACCTATCGGGAGCTTTCTTTTCGCAGACCGCCCAAAGGCCGCCTCCGCACGCTTTTTTGACCATGGGCCTATCGATATGATCTTTGCTGTAAACGGCAGGAATTTGACCTGGGAAGATGCGCGGCTACCCTGCATTTTACCCTCATATACTTATATGGGGGCTGCCGACTTACAGGCTCTGCCGAGTGAGTGGTAACCCATCTAGATCGTGGAAACGTATGAAATTAGCTGACTACGCCAACTACGTGGCTCAGGTACAGAAAGGCACCTCGTCAGCTACAGCTAAAGTATGTATGGTAAAGTACGTAATGCAACAGTAAATGCGGCACGCCACGATCACGTGCTTGTCACAACTTGACTGAGACGGTAGACCTCAAGTCTTTTTTCCATTACAATGAACCGTTCTCCTTAATTTTTGGAAGAAAACCTTATTCAACACTCTTGACTTGCAGCCGGGGTGACGTGAGAGAGCAGTGTCGTTTACAACAAACTCACTACGAGATGTGACGCAATGTGACCTCCGCGATTGAGCAGATCGTAATCTGGTTACGTAATTTCGAGGTGGCTCAGTTTGTTGCTTGGCACGTCTCAACTTGAATCACTTTGCCACCACGACCGGATTACCTCTTAAATATTTCTCCTTGTGCCTAAGACATAGGTTCAAAGATGACGATCAAGTTGAAGCCTAGTCATTCCCCAGATCCTCCCCCATTCTCTTGGGACGATGTTCCCAGCACTCCACCCCCACCCGCAGATATAAGCTCACCTCCGTCCCCGCCCACTTCATGGCTCTCCGCCCGCGACATGAAAATGTTCGGCGCGGAACCGCTCAGAGAAGAGATAGGCTTGGTGAAGTGCATTGATTGCGGTAAACCTGTGCTGAGAAGCGCAATACTCGAACATGCTGGTGGGTGACCATGTTGCATGAGCCTATGCGCTTCATTCACTATATGGCTACAGAGAACTGTGCTAAGATACGGAACGGCGGAAAGAAGGGTGCAAAAGGAAAAGCAAACGGAGAAGCTGACACAGGTATGTGCATTGTTTCGTCTGCGGTCTGTAATTGCGCTAATTCTGACAGATACTACGAAGAAGGGTAAGAAGCGCAAGGCAGAAGATGAGGATCCTACCCCGGACGATCCCTCCCTGCCCAAGAAGAAGAAATCAGCAACTAAAGTCACCAAAGGACGCTTTAAAGGCCCAGTGGATTACGATAAACAATGCGGGGTCATTAATGACAAGGGCCTCCCATGCTCTCGTTCTCTCACATGCAAGTCACACTCCATGGGCGCGAAGCGTGCCGTTCAAGGCAGATCGAAACCCTACGATGAGCTGCTCTTGGAGTGGAATCGACTCAACAATCCAAATTGGGTAGAACCTGTGAAGAAGGAGAGTAAGGCAGAGAGGAAGGAAAGGAAGGAGAGGGAGAAGGCTGAGAAGAAAAAGTTGGCTATGGAAGCTGCCGCAGCTGCAGGTATCGAGCTCTCCAAGAAGGCGTTGAACACCGTCCTGGGTACGTCTGGCACGAAGAAAGGGAAGAAGGCGGCTGTTGCGGCTGCTGCTGCGGCTGCGGCTGCTGCGGTCGCGGCATCCACGATGGGCCCTGGAGAGGACGTATACGAAAATCTGGATGATATCGATTCCGAAGGGGAGGTGGACTCGTTGGTTCACGCCGTTCGATTCGCTCAGAACCGCGGCGTCACAAGTGTTCCTCTCGCCGTTCCATGCGACGCGGGCTCCTGGTTTGTCGGTCGACGCGAGCGTCTTAGAAGCTGCCAACAATTGCTCTCACAAGCGTTGGTGTCGAAGAGTGCTTCGAGCACTAGCACTGTTACCGTCGGAGGACGGCTGTGATGGGTGCCCACTAATGGATATAACGGAGAGCTTTTCTTCGTAGCATACCAGTATGTATAGTCACTATCTGCCAGTTTGAATGCATTTTTACGACTAATTCCATCTTCGTCGTATAGGTATTATATTGCTTGCGAGGTTTCTCCACCCTCTTTATTGTCGCGCTTTTCGACACCCCAGTTCCTTCCGTGCATCTGAATCTTGCACAACAAGTCCCAACTTGGCTTGCAACATCTCAAGTTTAAATCTGTGCAGTGGAAATTTTCGCAAGCAAGGTCTCTGCCGCGAGGAGGCGGCGCTTCCCTCGTTATGTACAGCATTCTCTATGATGGAGACGGAGGTGCAGAGAATCATTATATTAGTCTCGCATCGGTGACTAAGTGTAAGATAAGATAAGATAAGATAGGATTTTGATGACAAATGATTGCCAGGTGAAGCTCGACGCAGCCGTCACGCAGGTTCCTTAAGTGCGCGATCTACCTACCATCCAAATCGCGACCCCTCCTTCTTCTTTAGCAGCATGATAGCCCTACAACATTCGGTGCCAGCGCCGGACCCATTTTCCGTGCCGACGAATGCGCCAGAACACTGTCCGGTAAATTGACCCACGCTCACACAACTCCTACTGACACCAATTCGGTAGGGTACTGAATCGGAGCTTGCAGGCAAGGCAGATGCATGCGCGGGATGCGCAAACCAAGAGATATGCTCGTCAGGAAAGGCAAGAGGGCCAGATCCGGCCCTACCATTCGTCCGCGCTCGCATGGAGACGGTGAAGCGTAAGATACTGGTTCTCTCAGGGAAGGGGGGTGTGGGCAAGTCGACATTCACCGCCCAGCTCGGGTGGGCCTTTGCTGCAGACGAACAGTTGCAGGTGCGCCATATCGTCGTGCATTTTCATGCTATGCAGTTCTGAGTAGGGTCGTAGACCGGTATCATGGACGTCGATATTTGCGGACCGTCTATCCCCACCATCCTCGGCATCGCATCAGAGCAGGTGCATTCGTCCTCCACCGGCTGGTCTCCCGTGTACGTACAGGACAACCTCGGCGTGATGTCCGTAGGCTTCATGCTGCCGTCATCGAAGGACGCGGTGATGTGGCGGGGGCCGAAGAAGAATGGGCTCATATCGCAATTCCTCAAGGACGTTGACTGGGGTGACCTCGACTACCTCGTGATCGACACCCCACCCGGGACGTCCGACGAGCACCTGAGTGTTGTGCAATACCTGAAGGAGAGCGGCATCGATGGCGCCGTCGTCATCACCACACCGCAGGAGGTCGCGCTGCAGGATGTCCGGCGGGAGATCAACTTCTGCCAGAAGGTCGGAATCCGTGTGCTTGGCCTCGTGGAGAATATGTCTGGCTTCGTGTGTCCCAATTGCAAGACTGAATCGCAAATCTTCAAGCCAAGCACTGGGGGAGGGAGACGGTTGGCACACGACATGGGCGTTGAGTTCCTGGGTGCAGTACCACTTGATCCCCGCATTGGCAGGAGTGCAGACTACGGCGTCAGCTTCTTGGACGAGTATCCTGACAGCCCAGCGAGCATAGCATATCTGGACATCATAGACAGTGAGTACGTTCCCATCTACTCATATTCCAATGCTGAACATTTCGCAGAGATTAAACAGCAACTCGGCGACTGACGCGAGCACTATTTTTTCCACAACATTGCATATGTATCTCGGCAGCTTCTGTATCAAATACATAAAATATTATCCAGCAAGATGTATTATACCCTCTACTATTTGCAGCCGGACAGCGCAGTGCTCTATGCCAGTGCGTGGGTGTTTGCGACTTGTCTACATGTATCTCTAGATCTATTTGTACAACGAATGCATCATCCATGTCCATGAACTTGAGCAGGAATTACAACACACCGCAGAATTCACTCCTTGCACTGCGTTGAATCTCCAGGTGCCTGCGTCTGCTTCTGAGTTGTTCCCTGGGGAGGAGATTCAAGCTCGTGCGGCATCCCTGAGGGGAGTGCCTCATCCCTCTCCACGATGTACCTCCCGATGGGCGCGATGTCCGCCAGGCCGCCGGCAAAACCCTCGCCGCTTTCATAGATGGATACTGTTGACAGTGTGCGCAGCAGTCGCCGAGAGACACTACCGCCATACATAGAGGCTGTGCGTGACCGTGCGGGGACGACGTAGTCCTGCTGTCCCGGAAACACCACGGAGCTCTCTCCCCCATGAGCACTGGCCCCGTCCGTGGACGTTGCGGGTTGATGTGACCTGAATTGCGACGAGGAGTAATTCGAGTATGTCGAGTTGGTGCGGGAGGGCCGCGCGGGCGCCATGAAGCTTGACCGCCGCGCATAGGTCACGACAGGATCCACTTCTTCCACTACAACTTTGCCTGGCTCGGGAACCTGGGCATTTGTATGACCGTTGGTTTCCTTGGCCGTCCAGTCGACATCCTTAGCAGTCTCCGTAGCTTCAGGTGACTGCACAGGCTTCTCCGGTGATACCGCTGCAACATGTGGAGATGGCACCCGATCTGCCTTCTCCGGTGATATTTCCGATTCTTTGCCTCGCAAGCTCGGACTGCGCGTCGACCGTTCGTCCGCACCCACACTCCTGACCTCCCGCCTGTAGTCCTGGATCTCGTTCCACAGGGCTTCGCGGAACTGGTCAAGGGTTTCCAGTCCTTCTATGAATGTCCAGCGTCCGAACTTCTCAGGACAAGTGGGTTCATCGCCGACGTCATGATATGAGGAGAGCCATGGATGTTCCAACGCCTCGGCCACCGTGATTCGTGACGCCGGATCGAATGTGAGCATTTTGGTCAGCAGATCCACCGCTACATTTCAGGCGGTCAGTTAAGCAGTACCACTATAACATCGACGATAGATAGGACGAAGTCGGCTTACCCTGAGGATCGGCGGTCGGGATGACTTTTGAGAAGGGGACTGTTTTCTTGATTGGTAGAGAGCGAATATAGGCTTGTGCCTAACCATTGTGAGTTAGAACCCGTCAAGCATCTTGCAGCATATTAGCACACCTTCGGGCTGCCTATCCGGCTGATAACCTGGTCGTCTGGCGTACCTAAAAATAGGGCATTTAGCTTAAGCTGAGGTACAATACCATGCTAGCTTTACCGAGGACCTGAAGAATCTGGTTGAGTTGATCAACTAAGAGGTGAATGCGGAAAGAGTTCAGATACGGAGGCATCATGGCGAAGCAGAGGTGCTGACCATAGCTGCAGGCGGAATCAATTAGACGGTCGGAGTAACAGTAACGACAACGCTTACTCTTTACCCTTAAACAGCGGTCGGCCCAGCATCAATTCTGCAAAGATACAACCAATTGACCATACATCGACTGTGACGGAATAGTGAGATTGAGTCCACGAGCAAAGAAGAAACACCAACTTGCTATGTTATAACCTCTGTGAACAGCGATAAATCAGCCACTAAGTTACGATATCTGAGTATTTCTCTTACTTGTATGCCAGCATTATCTCAGGTGCTCGGTACCACCTCGTTGCCACATACTCCGTCATAGCCGTGGGATTCTCGTCTGGTGCAGAGTTGAAACCCCTGCTGAGACCGAAATCGCAGATCTTGAGTTCGCAATCAGCATTCACGAGTAGATTTCCCGGCTTGAGGTCGCGGTGGATCACCGAGGCGGAGTGAATAAATTTCATCCCTGGCAAGAATTCAAGAGATGCTAGGTGATAGAAAAGAATGTCGGACCTCGTAAAATCTGATAAACGAAATACTGGACGTGTTCATCTGTGAGTGTCTGACCTGATTTGATGATTTGGTGCAGGTCCGCTGTACGAAATGAAACTGGTATTTGTATATGACGTCACTGGAGTGTGAAATCCACAAACCTTCCATGGGCTTGAATTTCAGCAAACATCATTTGAGAACGCGAGAGTCCATATGAGGAGAAACTACGCACCTCCATGAAGATGTAACTACACTGAAGGTCAGCTTGTGACGAGTGATTTACACGTGCAAGACACTCACATTTCGCTCAAGTCAGGGGTACAGTCGACGTCAATTAAACCCGTAATGTTTTCGTGCGCGAAATGCCTAAGCAAGGTGATCTCCCGCAAGGCACGTTTCGCGAGCTGGATCTTCTCGGTGGCGCGAGTGACCATCTTGATAGCGACCGGTTCTCCTGAGATCTCGTCGGCTGCGGATCTGCAACATCGGGTCAGAACGAAGTCGACGAAACCAATGTTGAGTTTGACATCACGAAACCGTAGGCCCCGGAGCCCAACTCTCGGATAAGTTTCCAGCGCTTTTCGACATGGAAGGCCCTCCCGAAAGACGACATAAGAGTATGGTATCCCCTAATTATTACACGAGTCTTAACCTAGAAGCGTCACAATGCAGACGCGATTGGCTCACCTCCGGTTGAAATTGTCATCGGGACGGCTGCGCGGTGAATTGCGGGTGCGCGACCTGCCCCTTCTACCGTTGGAAGAGCTGGGTGAAGGTGCTGACGAGGAGGACTCTTGCTTGTTGTGTCCGTTGGATTCCTCTGCCGGCTTATCGCCTGGCGGTGTTGGTTGATCAGACTGGTCTGCAGGACGCGCACCAGACTGCTCGGGCGAGTTATGCACCATGCCGGTGCAATCCCCTGTAGGTCAGTTTGCACGACGGTGGCGACGTCTGTATTGTCAGATGAAGCGGGGCTAAAAAGCGAGCGAGATGGTGGCGAGACGAGAGCAAGAGACAGGGATGCAAGCGATGACATAACCGTAACGTAGACTGCCACACAAGTCAGTCGAGACGTTCTAGATGGAAGATCCCGATTGTAGACGCGTACCCGCGCCACCCACGCGTTTAGCTTTTTGTCTCTCGCGCGTTATCTCTGCGAAAACCTCCGCGAGCACGGTCGCTCCCGGAGCCGCATCACCCACGAATAATAGATCGACGACAGCACATACATTTCAGTGATCTAGTACAGACGACAGGTATACAACCCTTCTACACATCCTCCCACGGGAGGTCAGTCAAAGCAGAGCGACAGCATCCAAACAAGCGGGTGGACTGTCAGACGTTTCAGAGGCGGCAACAGACGAGACCTTGTCTTCATTCTGAAAAGCTTCCACTCCAGAACCTTCCCTCACCTCCGCGGCCTCTGCAGCTTGACAGGAATGGGCCGTACTATACGTCTCTCCGTCTTGCACAGAACCGGCCGAAGTGACCCGTCCGCCACCATCGGTGATGCAACCCTTGCGCCTCTCCTCGTCCGCGGAGTGCTCTTCAACACCTTCAGGTGCAGTGTAGGAACGCGTCAAAAGACGAGCGCGGCTAGAACGTCTCTCTAAGACGCTCCCTTCCTCAACAGCAGCGCGTATAGGTTCGCCAGCCTTGTGCTGCAACGGCGCCGATGCCGGTGTGCCAGGGCGTCCGCGGCGACTCTCACGGTGGCGTGCAGCGGTCGTGCTGCTCCAGACGACACGTCCACGCCCATCAGTCAAGAAAGGAGGGTCGGCATCTTGCAAAGCTTCGAACTCGGATGGTGAGCTCCTCACTTCTTCTCTGGGTTCCTCCACAGGCATAGGCGGCGTCAACTGGACTACACCGCCTGACCCCAAAGTCTCGATATCCAGCACGTCTATCACTCTTCTCTCCAGGTCATCTGTCTCGCTGAGCACAATCTCTGTCTCCCGGGCAATTTTTTCATCGTCCTCCAACCGACGGGCCACAATTTCACTTGTTTCTTCTGTAGCAGCACCTGGAAGAGAACGGGCATCGCCGATATTACCTGTAGCTAAGTCGGCATCGAAGCGTCCACGGCCACGGACAACAGTGCTGAAACGCGGACGGGAGTCTAACGTTACATTCGGACCACGAGCTGATATGATTGGCAGTGAACTCCTGGCAGACGGGGGAGTCGACGGACCCACAGACTCCTGGGTCGGTGACAGAGGAGCAGGAGAGACACTGGTGATGCGCTCCAATGGCTCAGCAGGAAATGAGAGTGGGGCAGCCAGATCCGCAGGAGGCGAACGAGAAACGTCATCAGTGTCGCCTTCCGAGATCAGGGGATCAACCGTTCCAAAGCGATATGTCTGTCTGCCGACTTCCATGAGATTGTCCAGCCCCATGTTGGCCATGAGGTTCACCTACGACGTCAAATCCAAGATTGCATTGATCTATCAGACATCGATGAAGGAAGGTAACGCAGGCCAAGTTAAGAGTGACCTACCAGCCTCTGCATTGTTTCCATTGTCGACCTGTCAACAACTGTCCCGGTAGCGTCATCTTCGTTCTCAGAACTGGGGGTTGGCGACCAATCATTGAAATCAAAATCCGCCGCAAGCGATGGCAGTGCAGCCCCCATTGCGAGAACGGTTTCACTAATATCGTGGAAGTGGTCGAGCATACTCCCCAAGTTATGCGTATCGTGATGAGTCATGTTCCTACGTTGTTCATTATATCTTCGATCCCCCTGCCGAATCCTGTAGATCTAAGCGCCATCGATCATAGTCAGTTTATAGGTGGACACGGCGACATAAACTGCACACCTCCATGTAGTAATCAACACCAAACGCGAAAACGAATGGTGAGCCGTCTTCGTTCTGGTGCTGATAGAAACAATCCTTGCCGAAGGGGCAGAAGCGGTCGTCCGGCGGAGACGACTGGAAGTGACTAGGTTCATGAGAACACAATCACAACTTATTCGACAAGAGATGTTAAGACAGACTGTACACACCGGCAAGGTACTCGAGCCATACTGGCTTTGTATTTGGCGATAACTGCAGCCTTACCAGGGTGTCCATCGGGATAAAAGCGGCTAGAAGGAGTAACGAAACGGGAGGAGACGCGGCAGAAAGGGCACTTCTTGATGACTCCTGAAACATTGACATCTTCAGACTTGCAACTGGGATCGCGCCATTCCTTAATGCACTATCAGGTGGGTTGAAGTTAGCATTGTGCCTCGCGGTGCTACATACATAGGGACGCAGGACCGCACCTGTACACAGAAGATGTGACTGCACCCCTCTGGGCATTCAGAGTCAGCTGCAACTTTCTGGCAAAAAAAGGCTAACGAGCCTCACCAAGTAAACCATATGTCACTGGCTTCTCATAGCAGATGCAGCAGAAGTCATCCTCTGCGTCTGGCTCTGTTGCCACCGCTGAAGATCGGGTCTGAGGCTCTGTATGAAGAAACCAACAGTCGGTGCCTCTGCGACAGAATCCTGCGGTGTAGTACCGACAAGTCTTGCACTTGTCGAAGGGCGTATATTGCTCAGCTTCGCCGTGCAGAAACTTACATTTGTCGCCAGCATAACATCCTCGGGATGTGTTACTGCAAATAGGGTCGATCAGGCCATCGATATCCTCTGTTCGTAGAGACTCACTAGTATCGACATATTCCTCGAGACTTCGATGTAACTGGCCGGTCACTGGGAATGCTCATGAGTCAGTCTGCCAAGTTTACAGCACACGTTGACAGAGATGCGAGAAAGCGAGCTGCCTGTCGAGTATCTCAGAAGCGTGGATAGACAACAAACGCGAGATCGAAAGCAAGAGAGAAAAGTAATACACAAGACAACCAGCCGAAGGTGATCGTACTTGATGAGAGGAGTAGAATGGGCCCGGGGCGCTTGGGACGCTGAGGCTCCTTCCTTTTTCAGAATATTTGTCAACACTGTGGCGGATTCAGAGTTGCGCTCTCCACTCACGAGCATGTCGTTGTTGTCGACGTCCACGATCAAGAACCAACTCTCGTATGCCCTTGGAGTGAAGGCGCCGATATATTGGCGCGTATTGCAACAGTATCTGACGGGGCGAATTTCTCGAGTAGAGTTCGACGAACAGGTCAAGGAATGTCTTGAGACTACACATCTTGGTACGCTGTCCCGATGTCATGCAGATAATTAGTTAGGTTGACTTGCTTTGCAGTGCAGCTGCACAATTCGCTCATAGTCTCGTTGTTTGATACCTCAGCTCACCTTGCTCCTCCAACACCTCCACCAGATTTACCGAAACTACCACCTCGCAAGCGCCGCCGCACGCTGCCCTACCAAGGTGCTGACAATGCTGATACAATGACGCTGAGATCATCGAAACTTAAGAGATGGACTGTCGGAATGGGAAAACGCGAGCGTGACCGGATTCGTGCCATGGAGCCCTATGCCTTAACAGTGGAATCACAGCCACAGAGCTATAGCGACGAAATTGCTGCCGAGCGGGGCGTGCGGCTTCTACCCGAACGCGGTGGTATGTCTGGTCGTTAATTTTGTCGTAATTTTACTTGTTAACACCAATCTGCAGAGTCTGCTGGAAGTCGTCTGGCTCTGCACCTCGGGTCGTCCACCCGCAGTTTCTCCTTGCAACACATGGCTGAGCGCATCAACCTGATATCTGCACAACACAACCTAAGCCCACCGTTGAGGGCGGTCAGTTCGCTGATGATGCTAGCTTTTGAGGTACGTGATGAACCCGTCCATGGCGCGTAGTATCCAATCGCACTGTTCGCAGGCCAAGCTAAAGCAACTGATCACGCAAGCTCTGGCTCTGACGTCCACTTCGCTCGCAATTACATCCATACGTACTTCTTCGAAGCACTCACACAACCATCTGCTCTCCGCAACGTCATTCGACACCCTCTTCACTATTTCTCCTGCCGTCCTCCCGAACAAGTCGGCCGCTGCGATGCGCCTGGCGTTGGGTGACAACGACGAGGAGGAGGATTTCCCTCTCAAAGACGGGGAGGTCAAGGACCAGCGGTGGCAGATGCTCGCACTGCTGGGCGAGCGGAGCACCGTGAAGGAGGCCCTGCGGACGTTGCCATGATAATGTAATGTGTTTCTCAGTACCTTCTCTTTTCTCCACCTCTATTAAGTTACCATGATGTCGTCCTCTTCTGCATACCCCATGACCCGATGATGCACATCGTCATCGCTGTATATTTACAGCGGTATATCCATGAATACACAGCTACGATTACGGAGGAACCGGTCCGCGCTCAAGATGATAGTTTTCCCGACGGGTCACCGAGCAGGCCAGCCTTGTGGTCTGGTATATAACCCTCAGAATAACTATCAGCGATGGAAGCCTGCCTGACCATAGTATACCTATTACTATGTCTTCCACTCAGCCGTTTGTTTTGCGATGGGGCATCGTCTCCACTGGCAGAATCGCCATGGACTTCGTGAAGGTTAGTGTGAGCGGCACGAGGGGATGACTTCAGCTGATGTGCGTGGTAGGACCTTCTCGTCGATCCCAAGACGTAGGTTTGAGAGATGCATTATGTTTGGTTCCTTTGTTGAACCGCTCCACTTCGCAGGCGTGGAACTGAAGACGTTGTCCACAAAGTCGTCGGTGTCGGCTCGCGCAACACCCAGAAGGCGCAGGAATTCATTGATACGTACATTCACGGTGATAAATCCGTGAAGGCATACGGGACCTATGCCGACCTGTTCGCAGACAAGGTATGCTCTCTTGAAGCCAAGCGGTACTCAACAAAGGTCCCTTACATTTGCACGTTCTACAGGCAGTTGATGCCGTTTACATCGGTATGCATACAATTCTCACAGCGAGGTTTGCCATCTAATGGTGTGTTTGCACAGGTACACCCCACACATCCCACTACGAGAATGCTCGTGATGCCCTGCTGGCGGGCAAGCACGTCCTGTGCGAGAAGCCTACGACTTCCAACGCGGCCGAACTAAAGTCCCTGCTGGCACTCGCGGCGGATAAGAAGCTTTTCTTCATGGAGGCAATGTGGACACGCTTCCAACCGCTCACCAAGGAGCTAAAGAAGATCGCAGAGGAGGGCACCCTTGGTGACCCGGTTCTGCTGCACGCAGACCTGGCTTTCGACGTCGACATTGCACGTGAGTAGATACGCTCTGAGCTCTGAAAAGGGCGTTGTTGATGATGGATGCAGATGTGCCCAAGACACATAGGATGATTGACCCCAGTCTTGGCGGTGGTGCTTTGCTCGACCTGTGAGTGGTCTCAGCAACTGAATCTTCTCAGGTCTAGATATGCTTATATACACTTACCAGAGGCCCGTACCCAATGATCTGGGTGAGGATGTTTCATTTTCTCTGACGGAGGATTGAGATCCGACGACACTTGCGCTGTGGACAGACTATCCTTGCTCTGTTCGAGCATCCTTCAAACAAGGGTGCTCATCCCACGAGCATCAGCGCCTCTATGGTGAAGACTTCCCTTACCGGCGTCGACAGCAGCACCAGTTGGACCGTCAACTTCACCAAGACCCTGCAGGCCCAGGCAATCCTCAGCGCTAGCATCACCGTACCCTCAGCGAGCTTTGGTGCCACGATCCGCTACCGCAATGGCAACATCATCGTTGGCACTCCCATCTTCTGCCCGAAGCAGTTCACAGTGCAGTACTTCGACAAGCCCGGCAGTGGAGTAATTGTGAGAGAGGAAACCAGGACATTCAACTACACTGGCAGCGGGTGGCACTTTGAGGCGGACGAGGTCGCTAGGAGTGTGAGGGACGGTAAGCTCGAGAGCGACTTGTGGACGCACGAGAAGAGCATCATCCTCATGGAGACCTTCGACGAGGTGAGTCGCCGTTTTTTTCCACGGTAGGTTTATTTTACTGACTGTGACATCAAGGTGCGCCGCCAAGGAGGTTACGTGCTGCCGCCAGGCGTGGAGAAGGTGCTCTAATCGATTCTTTGCTGTTGGAGAAGGACATGTAAGGGAAGACAACTGCACATGTATTCAATGTGTAAAACATCTGTGCCCGCCCCTGATGTCGGGCTATGTACTTCATAACATTTGACAAGATTCACAACTGTGCCTAATAAAGCCGACCACGACAGACCTGGGCAAAGAGTCAGTTCATGTCAACACTTACGCAACAGAAAATGAAGAAAATATTCAGAAAAAGCGAACATATCGCCAAAGCAACTGTCCGAAGGTAGCTGAGATAGTTTTCTGCAGCGCAGTGTGTTGTCCACTGCTAAAGCCAAATGCCTCAAACATCATAACAAGGTAAAACGTCTCCGCCATGGGAAGAACACTCACATTCAATGAATCACCTCAGGCAATTTTCAAAGATCGATGAGCTACGCAAAGGAGAGGAACGAAATTTGAACGAGTAATCGAAAGACTGAACGTGGCGGAGATCGGGAGGATGCCCTTTTATAGCGCAGACGCCACAAACTCCGACAACGTGACGAAGACAGGCATCAGCGCTTCACTGTATTCGTCTCCCGACCACCAACATGTCGACCTCGTACCAAGAGGCTGCCCAAAGCACGGGCTACTACCCTCTCACCCCTGCACCGACTGCTCCACGGCCATCACAAGCCTCACCGGATTCACAGGGCGCCAGCACGTCCGCGGCGCAACCGCAGTCGTCGCGCCAGGTCACAGAGGAGGCCCGTAAAGACCGCTCCCTGGCCGAATTCCTCCTTATGCTAGATGATTATGAGCCTTTGGTGCGTGAAATTCCGCTGCATAGTGCACCCCCAGGATGAGAAGGAACAGAGAAGGCGCTGGATTGACCCTTTGTGCAGGTACCCAACGAGGTGACGGACTACTATTTGCAGCGTGTAGGGTTCGAGTGCGAGGACGTGCGACTGTAAGTGTGTGACTCTGTGTAGTGCAGGGTCGTCGAACTCGATAATGGACATGGACACCGCTCAGGAAGCGTCTGCTATCCCTCGCCGCACAGAAGTTCGTCTCGGATATTGCTGCGGACGCATACCAGCACGCTCGCATACGGGCGAATACCGCTGGGGGCCGGGCACGGACAACCCAATCAGGGCCTGCGTCTGCCCGGGTATGTATTGAGATGTCCGTTGTACGTTGGCCAGTGGCTGATAGTTGCTGGCCTTAGGACAAAACCAAGACCACCTTGGCGATGGAGGACCTCAGTGCTGCCCTTGCAGAATATGGTATCACGTCGCGCAAGCCGGAGTTCTACATGTGAGCGGCCATGGGAGCGTTTGGAGGTGTTTCACAACAGAGGTCATATCTGGAGACGGCGCTGCCGTGTTCTACCCTCTTTCCACTGTCATCTGCATTTGTATTCTAACGCAATAATAACATACGGGTTTGCTGTGCAGCACAGTAGCAGAGGATTTCAGGGCCATACCTCCAGCTTATACTGTCTCTCGAGTGAGCGCGTTGTGCTCCCTCGACATGTCCACAGCGATAATTTACCCTTCGTTATAAGACCCGTCTGTCCATTATTACGATGAAGCGATCTCAAAATATACTGTAGCTCGTCGAATAGCAGAGGGTAACAGGAACTCCAACATATAGAAGAGCTCTCGCCCTCACACCGTAAAAACAGGCCCCGTATTATTCCCGTATCGCAGCCTCTAAAAGAACACGAGCTCGTCACGATCAGCTTGGCGAATAAGAAGTGGGAACACTCACTGAAGAACTCATATGATAGCCAACATAGTGCGTTGCTCGGCATAAACGTCAGTACGCGTGGTGAGAGTCCCCGCGAGAATCCCTTCAGTCCATCCCTCTTCCAAATGATCCGGAACGCGTCCGCAAGCCCCCGACATTGCCGAATCTCTGGATCGTGCGACGTACCCCTCGTCTGCAATATCGTTTTCGCCACATCCAGCGGCGTCGTGACGGCGCCCCCAATCGCGCCCGCGAGGCCGCCAGCAATCATATGTGTCGCAGGGGAGTAAGAGCCGGAGGGGTTGAGCAATGTCTTAAGTTGCTCGTACGCGGTAAACTGCACGGCCGTGAACGGCACGGTCATGGTGAGCGTAGTGGGGTACGAGATATAGAACGCGCCGAGTCCCTCAGTACGGTACACCGTGCGGGCGCAGACGATGGGGGACCGAAACTCTGACTTGTGTATCTGCATTCTTTGCTTGATCACTGTAAGCAAGCGGTCGTGGTTGGCGACGCGCCGGCAGTGCGAGGGTACCAGGGATCTCACCGTCAAATGGATTCATCAGCGCATCGCTCGCAATTGTAGCGGCGGCCCCCGCCAGTGCTGTAGACACGTAGAACGCAAAAAAATGGGCACAAGCGCGTCAAAAGACGAGGCGCAGGAAAGGGTGACCGCACGTACATGTAGCAAGCCACTGATTCCGGTTTCCTTCAATATTTCCGCCCGCAAGCTCCTTGATCGCCTCGTATGTCCCGAAATGCACCGCATGCGCTGGGCCCGCACCCAGGATTACCGATGATACCCCTCGCCATAGAGCGCGCATTCCCTCCGTAGATGATATTCGGGTGAAGGCATTTCCGATTCCGGTATACACGGCCGACGGAGATGTCGCGAAAACTTGCATTCGCGTCTGGCGAATGGGAGAGATATGGTGTTAACTGCGAACTCATGAGAGTAATGGTGGAAATTACTGACTTTGATGCTGTCTACAGGGTACATGACTGCATGTTCCGTAATTCCAGCCTAATAATCGGAAATGTCAGTATTTTCGAGCGCACGAGGTGCATCGAGACCGCCCGAGCAGGGAGAACTGCTGTATGCACGATGACGCGTCAGACACTCACCATCGCACCTGCCATCATGTTGGTCTGCATCTGTCCGGTGAGTCTTTGTGCTACGTATGGTATGCCAAACTTACACCAAGCGACGCGTTTGCGGGTAACGCCTCGTACTCGATCTCCTCGACAACCTCCATGGCTCAGCGATCCTCTGCGCGGTGAGGGCGCGGTGCGAGATGGGGAAGAGGAATCGCGGAGATGGTAACGCGCTCGCTGGCGTTAAGAACTCTAGGACAGGTGCTGTCAGGAAGATCGCAAGATAGTCACGATGGACAGCGCGTATCCTGGGAGCGAGAAGGTGACGCTGAACGCGTGCAGATGGGATGGAAGAAGCAAGCGTGGCAAGCTCTGGAAACAGTCAAGATCACGGCGGAGGGCGATCGTATATATGCGCTACTACACGCCGTCGCCGCGGAACGCGCAGTCCGTCCGCGAACAACTTACGAATACAGTAACATGACCGCTACACACTATCCATAAGCCTCAGCTATCCTCGCGCACATTGCCCGAAACGCGTCCGTCGCCGTCCTAGTCCTCGCCAGCCTACTCCGTCTTGTGTTGCTCGCGCGCAAGCCGATCGTGCTCGTCGATGTCGCTAAAGCACAATATTTGCGGTTGAAAAAAGAAAAGAAAGGCAGTTAGCGGAAAGAACCAATCAGGGATGCCGGCAAGCTCACATGGCTTCCCACGGATAATCTAGCCTGCGCGATAAGATAACAATTCAGTGCCCGTACGCCATCGGCCAATCAGAACAGCCAACCTACCAGAGGTCGCCCACCTCATGCCCGACGAAGTATCTGCCGTACGTCCCTTTCAACGCGATCGTCTGTAGGCGGAGCCACACTTACGGGATCGATGACGGCAGCTCCCCGTGCTTTGGCTTCAGTTTGTTGTGTACTACAAACACGGCGAACTCGGTTCGTTTCGCATCGCGCTCGTGCGCGGGAAGTGCCGCCAGCTCGCGCTCTACGTCCTTCTGCAGCTCCGAAATCGCATACCTGTCATCGGGATAAGCCGGCACGACAACCCTGGTACATTTTACTCACTGAAGGGTTTTGCGGGAATCGTCGACCTCGTCCTACGAGGTATTACACCGGTTTGCGGGACAATAGAACGCAAGGTGAAGAACACATACGACGATGAGGGCCCTTCTACCAAGAAGTATCTTCCCTGACTCGGGGCCACTGCAGCAACGTCAGGGAATGACGTGCAAAGCTAGAAGTTGATGCATACAGCCACTGTGTGCGGATGACCTCGGATCCAATCTGTTCAGCGGTGGTGCCTGGGAGGGATTCGTAGAGGGACAATCCGATAGCATGGATAGGAATGTTTCGATGTGTTGTTTCATCCTTCAGGAATGTCCGCTGCAGTGACAGGGTCAACAATAGCACATGCAGAAGCAGGCAAGACGCACCAGAACTCGGGCAGGGAAGAATCCTCTGTGGAAAAGTTCAGGTCACCAGCAACGGTGTTAGAGGCATGCTCCACTTGCCCTCCGCCTGCACAGAATACCGTCAACTTCGCGACCAGGGCTGATGGATGCGCGCTGCCCACCTATAGCAATGAGCATATCGGGTTTGAACGCCTTGATCTTTTTTGAGGCCTCGAATATGAGCTTGTGGATTTCATTGTAGGTTATGCGGTAGTGTTCTGGCATGTCTGACGATGACCAGTGGAGAGAAGACGGCAAGATTTATCGAAAAGGGATAGCATTTTGCTCAGGGAAATCAGGTTGGCAGATAATCGACTTCGGTTAGATCAAGATCTCTCTTAGATTTGCATTCAACGAAGTCATTTCTGCAGCAGCCCGTCCCCAGCTTGCGATTATCTTTGCTATCAGCTATCAACACATTGGCTGACAAGATTACCGAACACTAACACCCATGACTGATCCCTCTGGGAGCGGTGCATCTGGCTCTACGCCAAGAGCAATCGCAAGCCTCGCAAAGAAGCAGAACGACGTGACCAGGCTCGGGGCGCACAAGCTCAAGTTCGTGCCCACGTTACCCACCAGGCGGAAGAAAGAGTGAGTAGGCTGCCAAGTGCCCATTATCCCTCTGCTCATCTCACAGTACGCGCCTTCCCGCAGAGATGTCAAAAAAGTGCGTGTCCTCCTAGCGCACTCTTGTGGGCGCTGTGCTAATGCCCCTACCGGAAGGAAGACGTCGCGGCACCGCCACCCTCTGCAGACCGTGGCAGGGGACGTGGGGATCGTGGTCGCGGACGTGGGCGGGGGCGCGGCGGGGAGGGCAGAGGGGCGGCGCCTCGTCCCCAGGTGGAAATGACTGCTAGCGGCCCATTCGCCATGGGTCCAGCTATGGCGGGGACGTCCGCCCGACGTACTGCACCCCGATCCAATTTCACGCCCATCGTCCCACAGGGCCTTGCCGGATCCACGAAGCTCGGGCAGGGCCTTACACAGACGAAGGCGCCTACGCTGAAGAAGGAGGAGCTGGATGAGGACAATGAAGAGGTGTATTCGGACCCGGACGAGGGAGTGGAGATCGTTGATATGGACAATATCAAACTGATGGATTTCATGGCGCCGGAGAGCCTGGCGAGGGAGAGAGCCGCGGGAAAGAAGAAGAAGGGGCCGAAGGTCAAGAGAGCGGATGCGCATGTTGATAGGAAAGGCAAAGGTCGGTCGTTCCGAGTCGTTGGTGTGTTCCAAGGCTGATAGAGATCTCACAGGTGTAGCGAAAGACGAGCCGATGGAGGTAGAAGAAAAGGGCACACCAGAGGTCAACATGGCCAACGCCGTCGACCTCAGCGAAAGCGAGGAAGAGGAAGAACTGGAAGACATTATAGACGATTTTGCTTTGGCCCATGACATGAACGACGTATGCGCCATGCTAAATTCTGCCCTCCCCACCATAATTGACTCTTGCACAGGACACGAATATTCGGCAAGAACGTCTATATTTCTTCCAATTTCCTACCCCCTTTCCGACTTTTGTCTCGGCCTCGACTGAACCACCAGACTCTGGTATGGCTGATGACACTCACGAAGAGGATGGCGGGAAAAAGGTCACCTTTGCTGACGACACTAAGCCTCCAGCACCAAGTGCTCCAGGAACACCTGGTCCGTCTGCACGCGCGAAGACCGAGAAGGAGAAGGAGCCGGAGAAGGAGAAGGAGAAGGAGGAACCAAAAGTCGACGGCGTTATTGGCCAGCTCGAAGTATATCAGAGCGGCGCTGTCAAGATGCGGTTGGGCAATGGCATCGTGATGGACGTCAGTACTTTCTCGGTTGCAAACGGTCAACGTCGGACTGAAATTTCCTATTTGCTAGGTCACCGCTGCAACACAGCCATCATTTCTGCAACAGGCCGTATATCTCGACCCGACGAACAAACGCCTATGCGTCCTCGGAGAGGTGAACCGTCGATTTGTCGTCTCTCCCGACATCGAGACGCTATTGACGAGCATGGAGATCGCGGAACAACCTGTAACGTTTGATCTGGGCGAGGACTTGATTTCCATGGACACTACATGATGCGTTTCCGCTCAGGCACTCGGCTGTCCTGGCAGTCCTCTACTTACAGCATGCATATCTTATGAGATTCCGGTCAGTGACTCTCCCATCGTATTACGTGCAAGATGAGTATCAATGCTACAAACTAAAAAGATGGTACACTATACATACCGCACATAGAGATGACACGCTGCTAATGTCATGATACTGTCGGCGCTACCGCCATCGCGAAGTCTGGTGTTGGTGTCGTATCTGTGCTACCAGCCCCGTCGTCCTCCCCGAAGATATCCAAGAAGCCAGCGACACGTGCCTTGTTCCCTGGTTTTTTCATGACATAGTCGCGCAGACCCGCTTTAAGGCTGGGCTGCTTCTCTACGAGTTCCCGAAGCTGATCTTTCGGCAGTTGCAGAAGCGCGCCGAAGCTAGCGGGTGCGAGCAGTTTCGCGCACCGGATAAAGCCCTCCCAAAGGGGGGGGTTAGTCCAGATTTTTTTGGTAATCAGCCGGGTCAGCAAGGTGGTCGATACAGAGCCCACGAGCGACCTGTATGTTGTGACAGCCTGGATGACCTGGAAGCCTGAGTCAGCCTCACAAGCCCCGTACTTCCGCGAATGATACTCACAGTCCTAAGGAACAAGGTTGGCAGCACTGGCTCATCAACGAGTTGATTCAGCACAGCTGCGATGACTTCAGATCGGAAAATATCAGTCATCGAGAAACAGATAGATATGGCTAAATCGCATATCGTTAGCACGTTAGAGATCCGTAAACCTCGGAGGCCCTACCTTCGATCGCGCTCTTGAGCCCGATCTCTTTCTCAGACTCGTGTAACAAAACCATCAGTTCTCCCGGTGTGAGCAGCTCGCTATGTCGTACCCGCGGCAAATTTGACGTGACGCTGCCGAATGTCTGCGGAGGGGTTGTCACAACCGAGCTGAACACCGAACGGACCAGGTTCTTGGGCTCCGGCTGTCCGTTGAGGATGGATACGATCTGTGGAAGGTACCGCCGAATATCCGCCTACACGAGTCAAGTTCACGGAACGCACAGCCCTCCGTTTCTGAAGCGACGCACCTTGTCCATTTCCGCGATAATCGGGATGAGGAATCGCGCGTCCAGATCGCGCTCGTTGACAAGAGATTTCACTAGAGACACTAGCTGCGAACTCGGTCGGCCATGTTCGGTGAAAATATTCAGGACACGAAGAGCAAGAGACTCAGCCCCAGGAGGGAAGGTCCGCAGGAGCGTAAGAAGCCTCCCATGAGTTGGACCCAACGCGCGGATCAACGGTGTAATTAAGTGCTGGATGGTCTCCTGGACCGTCTGTTCCATACCGCCATAGGCCGCGAATACCCTGAAAAGAGGCGATCAGTCCAGGGGGGCGGAGACACGGCGGCTATGAATAGCTCACTCATCTAGGAATTCGGGCACCTTTGTGGAAAGCGCGAAGAGAAGCTCCACGTGCTGGAGAATCTGCGCGTTGCTCGCTGGGAGCTCCAGCTGTTCCGGGAGATACGGTGTCTGAATGATGTCTTCCGGCGGCAGCTGCCCGTCCTCCATGTTCTCGTCGTGGTCGCCATTCGTTTGCACGTCAGCCGCCTTCTCTGCGGACGGACGCGACTGCAGGCGACGGAGCAGCTGCAGTGCGAAGTCGCGGGTCATACCGTCCATGGGCTGCACGTCCGGTATCCAACGCTTCACGGTGTTGATCGCCGCGCCTCGGGTCACCTTGTCTATATGAGGCAGTATATGTCAGAGGCGTCAGAAAGATCAGTGTGAACGAAATACCTGGGTGGGTCGTTAACTCGAGGAGCATGTTCATTGCCTCCGCCCGGAGAGAGGGTCTTTGCGATACAAATTCGCGCAGTGCCGCAAAACCCACTTGCCGTCTGCGAAGAAAATATGGCAGATAAGCAGCGACTCTAGATCAAAATTGTTCAGTCTCACCGTTCGGCCTCGACGCACGATTCTCTCAGCAGGTTCAGCACATCCTGTGGTACGGATGGGAGGTCGATCAAAAATCGTGAAAAGGCCCTGTCCTTGCCGTCCACGTGTGTCTGGTATACCGCAACTATTTGGTTGAGCCATATCTCATAATTTGGTGGCTGCCGTGAGTGCTATTCATGAGAGGTACAGCACGAGACACGAAAGGAACGAAATTTACCCAATTATGATCCCTGGATGTTTGTATCCGATCGTTGTACCATTCCTCGTTCATCCACGTTGTTGCCAGTCGTAGTCTAGTCGTAGAGACAAATATGAAGTTATATCAAGTTGACTTGAAACAGCAAGCCGCACCTTCCAGAAAAATCGGCCATAATATAGTCGCATAATGTTTGCCTTAACCTGTCTTGACGCGAGTAAAAACCCGAGGACGGTACAACGTCCATGGCATTCTCCTGTTTCTCCGCAGAGCCCTCACGCTCCTCCCCGGCAGACGGGTCAGTGGGCCGCGTAATCAACCGGACGAGGAGGAGCATCCACATATCGGACCCAGACGATCCTGCGGCATCGTCGCGCAAGGGCTCCGCGGGCTCCAAATCCTTCGCGCCATTCCATATTCGCGCGAGTGAATTCCGCACGAGCGCACTGCGGTCCTCGTGCGAGACCTCTTTCGGTGGGGGCAGCTTGAAGCCCGTGAGCTCCAGGTCCGGGACAATGTCCATGGCTTGGTCCATTGCTGCCTCCTCGTCCGCCGCCCCTTCTTGTCCGCCCGAGAGCTACAGACCACGTGTCAGCGGGTATGCGGTGCGATTGACAATGACTCGCTTACCTCCAGGTTGAGCCTATCGGGCTCGTACTCGATTTCTTCCTCGTCGATGTCCATCTTGAGGGGGTCAACCGGTTCCTCCTTCACGGCAGCCGTAGAAGGCGCTTCCGGAGGGATAGCAGATTCCCGCGGTCCCGTGGGGGGCTGCACTTCGAGTGCAAACATCGTAGCAGGTGTGGCCGAACGAGGGCCTGTGGGCGTACTGTGCACATGCACAGAGGCAGGAACCGACGCTAGTGTCGAAGTTGACGCAGCACTAGTACCATTAGCATTCCCAGCGGTACCCCGGCTGTGGCGGTACGCCTGCACAAGTCCCATGAGCGTGGCCTCAGTGAACGCTTGCAAGTTCGCGATGATGAGGTCGGTGACAAGCCCGGCCTGAAGCGTCGTGAAGTCGAAGTTCGCAAGCTGTGCCGAGGAAGAACTGGACGCTTCGTGTTCAATTTTGGGCCGTTTCCAATCGGGGGCGTCGGGCACAGGTGTGCCAGAGGCACCGCGCTTCCGCGACGCTTCGGCGGCGGCGGCGGCAGCTTCTGCCTCTGCTGCTGCTGCTTCTTCCTCTTCTGTTGCCTTGCGCACCGCCTGCTCCATGCGGGTGGCTTGTGTCGAGAGAGCGGCGTGGATTTGGGTAGAGAATGCCGCGCCTTGGGGACCCCTACAAAGAATGAGCTACAAGCTATTACGTCGAATTAGAACCATACCGTGAGATATGCATAAGCAGAATCCGAATACCCTTCTCCACACTCTTCACACTGGCTGGTGGAAGCCCTTCGAGCTTGGCAGGGGTCCATTGCGCCAGTGTGGAGACCACCAGTTCTACCAGTGCTGGCCGCAATTTCGTCAGGGACGCCCAGCTGTTTAGGATGGCAGATAGCATGTCCGGGTCGCTGGAACGGGGATGGAGTTTAGCGCTGCTGTACGAGCGCTCGAGCATGGCACTTACTTGCTAGTGTACAAAACTGTGATCACGCTTTCTAATAGTTTCAGGGCCTCCGCCTCCAAGATGGGAACGGATATGAAAGGGTGGTCTGTCGGGCACATGGACAAATTCGGGTCGTTCTTGTTTTGGAGCTAGACAGACACCAAACGATAACGCAGACAATGATGAGTCACGCCAAATATACGGGAGCTAAGTGCGGTAGATAGCTACCCTGGGATCGCTGATGCCGCGCGTCTGCACGAGGATGACTTTCTGCATGAACTTGACGGCAGCAAACTTGACACCACTGTTCACGTGTGGGGCCCATACAAGTTCCAATATCCTGGCCTTCGCCTGGGTGAGGACGTCCCATTGTTGGCGCATGTTGCGATTCGCGCACCTACATGCAGCGTGTGAGTAGAATCCCCGCAGCAGGAGCAAGTCCACGTACATCGCGCGGAAGAGCAGCGCATACACCGTTGCAAAGCACTGCACGACGACCTTGACCGTGTTGGTATTCGCATCATTGAGCAGTGCAGTGAGCGTCTCTAGGGACTGCGAGGCCACTGCGATATCAGACGCAGAGTTAGCAAGCACAGGTGTACGTGAGAGATGAACGCACACTGCGAGCGGACTTCGACGGATAAAGACGAGCGGCATATGGCAAAGTGGAGGAGGTCGAGCACCCAGCGTTTGAGTAGAGAGTCTGCCGCGCCGAAGACGGTCTTGATGAGGGTCGTGCAGAGGATGGGGATGGGACCTTGATGAGCTTCAAGGGATTCACGTAACGCTGCAAGAAGTTCCGCCTGCTCCTTTGAGTCCGCGGGAGCGGCAAGGGCAGCAGAAAGGGCCTGGAGAGGATCTAAAGGCGCACTGGCCATTTTTCTGGCTGCAGCACGTTAACAAGCCCGACTGCTGTATCAGCCTGTATATTGCTCGAGCGTGTAGTGGCAACGGGCGCCTCCGAACTATGATCACGCCCAACACTGGCGGAGTTTCAACCTCACTTGTGCTCTCTGCCAATGGTCCGCCATCTCTCTCTCTCCACGCCCGACGTTCTGCTAACCACGCTGACATCGCAGGCCGCATCTCAGTCACAGAGTATTCAGACCCTCCTCGAGGCCGAAAAAGAGGCCGCCAAGGTTGTCCAGCAAGCCCGCGAATGTCAGTACGAGCACCGCGCCGCATACTCTCCGCCGGGTGCTCATCTCTTCTCTCGGCACAGACCGCGTCCAGAAGCTTAAGGACGCACGCGCGCAGGCCACTAAGGAAATCGAAGAATACAAGACATTGAAGGAGGCCCAGTTCAAGGCGTTCGAGGCTTCCGTGTGTCCACAGCCTGCATCTCAGACGTATGCTCGGCTAACTTGCACGTTCCCCTAGCACGCCGGCAACACCCAGAGCGCGCAGGCCGCCGTGGATAAGGAGACCGACATCAAACTGAAAGAGATCACAGCGTCCTACAACAAGAACCGGAACGAGGTCGTCCAGAAGCTGCTTGACCGGGTTGTTCTGGTCAAGCCCGAGCTTCATCGCAACCTGAAGAAGATCGGGCAGCCATGATCGTACATCACATCGCATGGACTAGATTCTGCAGCACGGTTCGTACTACGATGTAATAATTGCATGACATATATACCCCATAGGAACTTCTTCACGTAAATTCAACGATCCGCGAGGATACTTCGGCATGACTGGTAGACGAAGTATCCATCGCGGTAACGGTAGCTAACAGACTAGCAGCAACACAATCCCAAAATTCTTACGCTTCGTTATTAAGCCAATTCAATCCCGCTGGCGGAGGGCCCCTCGCCGCTTGCGATGACATGGACGTCCTCCGCTCGCCGTCCTCTCGCGCCTGCGTAGTGATCGACAGTGCATTTGCGAACGCCTCTGACGGGGGCTTCCACGAATCTAAGAGACCACTCGCCTTCAGGGATGGCAAATTCTGTGCCTGCGCGGCCTCGCGGCGCACCCTTGCGTGCTCCGCCAAATCGGCCTGGTATTGCACCTGCAAATCTAGCTCCCTCGCCGACCTCTCTGGCGCCGCTGTATCTGACGCCGCTTCGGCTGCGGCCGCCTGCTCGCCTTTCGCCCGCTCAAGTGCTTGCGCCTGGCGCCACTGGTCCGCGACCACCATGACGCGGAAGCTCCATACCTTCTCGAACTCACGGTCCCAGACGTGCAGCTGCGGGTCATCGGGGTGATACCTGCTGTACGACTGAACAAACATAAGAACGAACACAGCGATGTAAGCAAATATACAAAGCGCGAAATAAACAACGAAAATTCACCCAGAGCACACAAGCCACTGGGAGATCACATGTCAGAATGATGCCGATCAAAATGCCGTGGGATCGCGGGAGACGTACGGAGGATGGTGTTTCTGATACGGTGCGCAGTGGCGTTCACGATCATGTTCAACTGAGTACGCACCCAAGGAATCGGTTCCCCTAGTCTGCCCTCGCCCTAGCAGAGGAGGCGCTCGCATATCAGACTAACGAAGACGTAGCGCAATCCGACGATTGACTGACCTCTAACAGGGCCAAGAAGCAGCACGGATGCAGCGCGTGCATGAAGCAGAAGCACCACGCTCCTGTATTTGAGCCCGTCTCGAACATGCTCAACTGGTTCTCCAGCGTTTCTTCAGAGAAGCGCAGGTGTCCGGGGAGAGTCGACAACCATATCTTAAACCATTTATCAGAAATATTCTAGCGGGGGATCCAGAGTGGGAATGTTTACATCGAGTGCCCGACGAGATTCCGAGACAACAGCGATTCGTGCAGGCCCCTCCTCGGTAGTGGCTATTCAGAATAAATGAGTAAAAATAAACAGCATCGGCAAGCACGCAACTACGACTCCGAACATACCTAACCGCGACTGCAAGCTCTGATATATAGACAAAATACGGCACAGGTGCCCGAACTCTGATGCATACCGCGTGCACGGTGCGGGAACGTGCAAGTACTCAGTCGCTGACGGAAGGCGAATCTCAGTCCACTCCCCAAAATACAAAGCAGTAGATGTGATAATTACTCGCCGAGTTCGAGTGCACGGTGAGCTCAAAGTTCGTCTCGTCGATGGGGAGACGGACGTAGTGCATGAGCTCGACGTTCCGCGGGCGCATTGGCCTGTAAATGTAGATCCCGCTGACCCAGTCCATGCATTGGATCATCCAGAAGCAGCGGCGCGTGCATTCACGCTCGATATATACGTTGAGGGAGTCGGATGAGGCGGATTGCGACAAAGCAGAATTTATCGGTTCGTCCGGCTTGTGCACGGACAAGCTCTCTTCGAGGAGCTGTAAAGCCAAGTCTACCGATCAAGAGCGGTGGAAAAGGCGCGTACAACACGTGCATGGTGAGACTCGTTGCGAGCGGCAACTGACGCTCACCTACCAAAATATCGGTAAGTCTTCGTCCACGAGTGGCTTGCCGCTACCTCGTGCATCTCCAGCAAGCACAATGCCTGGGCGGTGGCGAGGCATGGAGCACTTAGCAAACGACCAGCACTGTCGAACATAATTGCCACTGCCTCGCGGAAAAATGGTACACCCGCGAGGCGCCCTGGATTCGGGGACGACTGCGCGCAAAACGTTTTCGACAGCGGTGCCGCGGTCGCGCAGACTGCGAGGACGAGATACTCTGGGAGGCGGTTGTGGCTTAGCGAAGCTGAGAACGATGGCTTGTGGATAATCAAGCGGTGAGGATTGCAGTGGGCAAAGAATACTACGGCGGCTTGTTGAGTAAGCGGGTGTATGTAAACTGCGGGTAATCGAACACTGACGATTTACGAGCTCATAGGTCGTCGCAGGGTCTAGTAATTTCGATGGTGGTGAGCTCGGGGCGTCAAGCGCTGAACCCTGTGAAGAGGACGAAGTGATCGCAGGTACGGGAGCAGTATCCGGGGCGTCTATGCGCGTACGTCTTCGTGCAGGCTCACGCTCACCCTGAGGATCGCCAGTGTGTGATATAGATGAGTCACCATCTGGAGCGTAATCCTGCGTGGGAAATCCCTAGCAGGAAGGAACACAGGTCAGCGCAAGAAGCACGGGAGACAAAAAGGCCCACTACCGCAGCAGGTCCACGGGCGCGGTCTGAGTTCATATTACGGGGTGCTGGTACTGGACGCCCAGAAGAATCGGTATACGTGCATCGTTTCGAAGCAAAGTAGCTGGAGGGGATTCAAATTGTGTGGTTTCAATACAATTGCGCCACATACCAGTTACTGCACGGAGCTAGAGCGGTGAGAAGGATTAGACAAGAACTAGGCACGGCACGAGAGGAGACAGACCTGTGCCATCGCAACGTCGTTTGCTCTTATGGCATGCATCACACGCCTGTTGATTAATCGCATCAACAGCTGTTTTCGCGGACAGAACTAAAGGCTTACCTTGCTGAGACGCTTCCGCTTGGTGCCTTTCACGAACGAGACAGAATGCTGCGCGTGAGGGCTGTGTAAATCGTCTAAAGAGGACTTGGTCGTACGAGAAGAGTCTGGCTGTCTCTCAGGTGAATGACTACCTGGATCAACCTGTATCACAGGGAGATGGTTCGAATTAGTGTGAGACGATTCCATGAGTGTGTGCAATGGTATGCAACGATGTTGAAGCAGTTAGAATCTAAAGCACAGCAAAGAGCTCTTTGAGAGGGACGAAATGGCACGGAGAAGAGATTTGTGAGACGAGGCAGGAAGAGAGACGTGATGGTACCAGAGTAAAGGAGATCCTGAGGCGTCTGGCTGGAGGTGGGATCTTGGTTGTGGTCCAACCAATCTGCCGGGCCGTTACAAGTAGTCAAATAATGGTCATCTGTATCTCACGCTACGCCTGAACAGCGTAGCCGGTCCGTCGAATGCGCACTGCGGAGAAGATGTCGAGGAAGGTATCGGAACAGCGTCGACAGACTCACTGGAATATTGTGAGACCGATGTCGGACATACGAGCGTAATGTGGAGAACTGGCGAGGCAGAGTTGCAAGTGTGACGGAGGAACATATACATAGATGCAAAGGACAAGCGCCTGCGCGGCACCGAGTGGATGCAGCCCGGCGGGAGAAAGCCGGCGGCCCCTGACAAGATGAGCAAATCACGATCCCCGCGGGCGGCCTGGCCCGCATCATCTCTGCTTCCGCCCGCACCAACTTCACCGGTCATAACCGGTTCCTCCCGACTTTCCATTTCCGCAAGGTATTTTCCACCGGTACTAATATCCTTGACAGCAGGCTACAGCTAAGCTATGTACAGCTGGGACCGTCTGGTTCAGAACATGGATCATTGCAATCAAGGCACAAACATGCCATCTGCTGTGGCCATCCGGACGACCCATGGCAGATTGGCAGCAGTTGTTACGCCAGGCCATATGCATGTATTGGTCTGCCAATGCAAGCGCGGACCGCTGTTGAATTTTACGCTCGCGCTTTGACAACTCGCCGGGTCGCTCACCAATTAAATGCACGAGGGTTGCACGAGGTGAGATGCCCTTCTTCAAGCCTCCCAACAACCTCTGCGCCAACCTGTCTGTAAGCCACAGCGTCCTTTGCAAACTCCCGCCTCGGGAACGACGATACCGACGGCTTATCACCTGAGGCCTAAGCTCGTCATCGTATCCCGCGGAGTCCGTGCCTGTTTTCACCGCCGATCACTTTATCCTCTTAACCTTCTCCAGCTCCTCCGACGATCTGCGGCTTGAAGGCAACGATTCGATGTATTCACTGCTCTTTCACCCTGTCCACCAACTAGCACTGCAGAACCATTTTTTCCTTCGAGCGACAAAACCCCCACCGGCCTGGATCGGATTCTAGGCGATTTTCAATCTTACTGCGATCTAAGTACTTGATGATGAATTACTTCGGGCCAAGCCGGCATCCGTACCGCGGGCGGTCTGCCCGCCGGGAACATCGATATCTACTGCACCATTTTAGCAACTTTTGACAAAAGGAGTGGTGATCCACACTGCAGACTTCTTTGTTCTAACTGCTACCATCAGTGGCCCTGAAATGCAATCAGTACAGTAATACAATTGCATTAATTGTGTCACTTCCTCCTAAAATTGTGAATAAATTGTCATTAATAACCACTCACTGAACATGACTGTGAATCTTGAGAATGACCACAGGCCGCATGAATGAAATGAGAGGTTCCATTGATGAGGCTCATCAGACCAGATTGCAAAGCTGGTTCAGCTTTGGCAGACAATCCCTTTGACAAAATCTCTCCGGAAAATTTCAGTAGTGCTTTCTGCAGTCACTGAATGCTCTACCAATTTCTCCAGTACAGAATTCTGGGAATTTGGGAAACGAAAAATATTGCTGAGTGGAATGGTGGAGACCACTGTGTGCTAACCACCACACCAAAAGGCAGCACTGGCATGAACAACTTCTGCTAGTTGTTCACCAGCAGTTTATATATGTAACTCACAAAGCTCAACCATATGAGATGTGATAACCCTCTGCCAGGATTACAGGAGAGCCGCCAAGAATGGCAAACCAGCTACCTACTTGGAGGAGCTGCAACTGCAATTGCATTACTGTCTCGACAATTGTTTGCTCTCAACTAACCTCAAAGAATTGTGAGAACAAGCATAGAAAAGTCCGAGAGGTCACATCAAAAGGGGGAAGAATGGGAGGGCGAACTCTGAAGGAGTTCCATTAGAGGGCCACTAATAGTGGTCATTGTTGTGTGCAAGTCGTGTGATCATATTTCATTACTACTACCTTGTACACGAAGCTACAGCGGGCAATAAGATATGGTTTGAACATAGCACGAGAGCATCTCAGTCGAAGAGGCCGAAACCCATGTCGTCGTCGGATTCCTCCTGCAACGCCGATAGATCTATGAGCATCAACACGAATAAATGCGAGGTCGCAACCACCAACCTTCTCTTCTTCCTTCTTCTCCTCTTCCGCGGGGGCAGCGGCGGCACCAGCCGGCGCACCGCCAGCGGCACCACCAGACGCAGCAACGGCACCGCCGGAGGGAACCTGTGCATCCCCAAGTCAGCTGGTGCATTAAACGACATCTGCGAGTGTAGACTTACGGAAGAGAGCTTCGCAGAACCTTCGGCGATCAACTGCAAAGCGCAGATAACATTCGTTAGCATCCCGGTGCCGCCAGATGTGGAACGCTTACCTGGTTGACGTCCTTGCCCTCGAGCTCAGAGACGAGCTTATCTAGGCGGTCGTCATCCGCCTCGATACCGACAGCGGAGAGGACTTTCTTCACGTCGGAGGCAGAGGGGGAGGCGTTTCCGCCAATCTGGAGGAGGAGGTAGGCAGCGATATGGCGCATCTACGACGCATGCAGAGTCACAATTTCGTACTTAGTTGAAGATTTGCAGAAATACGTACCTTGAGATTTTAGTCGGGGGTACGGTAGCCACAAATCACTGTTTGTTTGTGAGCAACACAAAGCACTCAAACGCAACGCAGCACTCACGTTTAATCCGCAATGGGAGGACCTGTGGATTCTATCCGAAGACGAGTAGGGACGTGTTTCCGCGACGCGCAGATATTTCGTGCTGTGGCGGGTGGCTGAAAACTGTACAGTTGACTTCCCACGCTTCTACAGGACATTTGGTACTCCGACGCATAGCGCCGACCTCGCCTCGCCGCAAGACTCGTTGACAACACCGCAAGATGGTACGTTTCGCTGCGCCTGCCTATCGCTGGAGGACATGGGGTGCTAAACACATATGTTTTGTTATTCTCAGGCTGACTCCTCCGTTACTGACCCACAAGTCGCCGCCGACCTCAAGAAGAAGCGGACCTTCCGCACCTTCTCCTACCGAGGAGTTGAGCTTGACAAGCTCCTGGACCTGAGCAACGAAGAGGTGAGTCCGATCCACATCGCCTCATTTCACATCTGATTGCTTCCACTGTCTAGTTTGTTGAGGTGTGTCTGGCTGTATTTCTCTCAGCTCGGTTTGGATTCTAACACGCAAGCAGCTCGTCCATGCCCGCGCTCGCAGACGGTTCCAGCGCGGTCTCAAGCGCAAGCCCATGGGTCTGATCAAGAAGCTGCGCAAGGCGAAGAAGGAGGCGCTCCCGAATGAGAAGCCCGCCGTCGTGAAGACGCACCTCCGCAACATGATTGTCGTCCCCGAAATGATCGGCAGTGTCGTCGGCATCTACAATGGCAAGGTGCGTATGTCCGCTTATGCACATTGTTCTCCCTGACACTCTGTGTGTGTTGTTTGTGCGATGACTGGGCTGGTTAGGTGTTCAACTCGGTTGAGATTAGGCCCGAGATGACTGGACACTACCTTGCCGAGTTCTCGTGCTCATACCGGCCCGTCAAGCACGGTCGCCCTGGTATTGGTGCAACGCATTGTGAGTTTATTCAGTTTTAGTTGAACTGTAGCAATATTGATTGACTGTCATCGCCATCCAGCGTCTCGATTGTATGTCATTTTCATGTTTTCAACAAGTGTCGAGCTGATCAATGACATGCCTATAGCATCCCTCTCAAGTAAATGCTCGGGTCATGTTGACTATGTTTGCTTTCCCCTCATGTGTTCTAGCCTTGAAAGTACTGCGCGACATGCACGTTATGTTCAGATTCCATATCGATCACATCACATTCGCGACTTATCATTGGATGCGTGTTGTACGACTTGCGCAAAGAACCTTCGCCATCTATTGGCCCTTGTACATTCCGGCTGTCCGTTCTCCTGTACATGGGCATTGTGAACAAGTTAGCTGCGTAGCGCTTACATTCAAGCAACGTTAAGATTGACTTCATGCAAATGCTATCCGCCCTAACGGCTTAGAAGGGTATAGATGGTGCGTCCGTGTCATAGCTTAAATGAGAGAGGCGTAAGGCGTATGGTGAAGTACAGATAGTGAATCAGAAATGCAACAGGGTGAGTGCATGCCAGAAGCAAGCGGGAGTAGACCAACAGTGAGAACCAGAGCATGAACGTTATATTCGCTGATGACCGTTCGAGAATGGAGGCGCGCCCTCAACGCTACTCCGCGGGAGGACGAACGAGTTGGGCCGTGACGACGGCCGACTGGGGACCTGCCCGATAAATGGTTGACGCTCCGGGGGAACCCATTCGCTGGTCGACGGCTGCACTTCGGGAGCCCGCGGCTGAGGCGCGTGGATAGCGGCTTGCAAAGAGGATGATGAGGACGTCCCGCCAGGGGCTGAGTGGGAGAAGGATGAGTGTTGAAGAGGGGGAAGGGTCTGCTGCCGCGTTGGCTGTCCTTGTCCGTTGCGGATCAAGTTTTCAGAGGGGGACGGGCTTCCCAGGATCGGTCGGTCGACGTATTGGTGATTTGACTGTGCTCTGTAGAATCTCAGTACGAAGTAACGGGTGGCAGGCCAAGCACCAACCTTGGGGGGAACGAACGCATGTCCTCCGATCGTGGTGTGTTGGGAGGGAAAGGCGCCGAGCCCGACACAGGCGAGGTCAATCCTGGTGTACGCCCATTGGCCTTGAGGCGCATATAGGTGTCACACTTCTTCAGGAACTCTTTGCTCGGGAGATCCATGCTATTCGCGAAGTAATCCTGGTCATGCAAGATAGGGAGGAACTCTTGTGGTACACAGTAAAATTCGTCCTGGTTCTCCAGCAGTGCGGTGACGACGCGGATGGCTCCAAAACTCTCGTCCCGCACCGCGTCCCGCCCACGAGAGTACAGGATGCTGGGACAAATGACCGTTGCCAGGTTGGATAGGTCCATCTTGCTCCCGGTCTCGGCATCCATATGCGCGAAAGACGCGACCCATTTCAAAAACACGAACAGGACCTCCATCGTATCTCTGTGTGCCTTCGGCAGGATGAGAGAGACCATGTGAAGCAGGCGTGTCCGGTCAGCCTCGTTAGGAAAACCTACAAAATCATATCAACAACTAGCCATGGATCCATATTCATGGTGATAACACACCTTGTGACGCAATGAAGAGACGATGCAGCTTGTACGTCATCAAAGGATCTGGCAGTTCGCGGAAGAATTTCTTCAACAACGCTGCTAGCTGTACGGGATTATCTTGTGTGAGGTCCACCGACGACGGATCTCGGTCAATTGCCTCAGTGAGCTCCTTCAGGCGCCTGATATTGCCATTCCGCCGAAAAATACCCTCGACAGACATATCTTTCGATCGAAAACTGTAAGATGCAGCACAGATCCGATAGATTGACTACTTACCCATCTGCCGCATTGCCGACACTACGTCGTCGACGAAACTGGGAATTTTCATCGCTACTCGAGATGCTCCAAGCAACGAATCTGCCCCTTCTCTCTCAACAAGCAGTTCCAACGGCACACCGAAGACGCCTATCGCCCGATGTTCAGGGACCGCTCCCGATCCATTCAACGGATGTGCACGCACCTTTTTTCTTCACGTTCTTCTTGTCACTGCCCTGCTTGAATAGCTTGTTCCAGAAAGACGACTTCTTTATCTCCACAAGCTCCAATATCTCGTCAAGATCCATCTGCTCCCGCAATGGCGAGCGCATGAGAACCAGCACCGCACAGTGCTTCACGATCGCAAGCTCCACGGGGTTGAGCTCCGCGATGAACGGTATCAAGCTCTCGCGGGGGAGCGACCGATGCTGCTCGCGCGCCTGCGCGGCCTCGACGATCTGCGGGATGTCCGCGAGCGTGATGCCGTCCTCGACGCCCGCGACGGTCCCCTCGTCGACGCCACCCGCGGGCGACGTCGGCGCGGAGTCGTCGACGATCATCACCTCCGTGTTGTTCCGCGCGAACGCAGGGCGGATGACCTGTCCCTGCTGGTTCGTGTCGATTAGGCCCAGCGAGCCCGGGTGCGGCGGGCGCGTCGGCGGTTGGAAGGACTTGAGGTGCTTCGGTTGCATCTGCTGCGCGGTGCGGACGTCCTGCGAGCGCTGCGAGTGCATCACATCGGTCGGCTGCGCGACTTTCCCCGTCGGGCTCTCGACGATCGTCGATCGCTTTGGCACTCGAGCGGTGGCAGATAGCTTCCGATCTAGGTGAACGGACTTCAAGCGGTTAATTTCGCCTGAGTTGCGGTACAGGTCTTCCTCGTGGTCCCTTGGTGTTTGCCCTTGTGGAGCTGTCGTGAATAGGTTAGATAGACATCGCTCCAGATGAAAAGACACTAACCTGGAGTGAGCTGCACCACACCCCGCTTCTTCAGCAGCGCATACAGCCGTCGCAGCGCGACGTTCAGCAAAAATGCATACTGCTCCAACCGCGAGACGGTCTGGAATCCGCTCCGACAGCCGCCGTGGCCGTGATCAGTACAAAAAATAACAGTCGGGACGGTGCCAAACGACGTCGTGTCCTTCATCGTGTCGACCTCATACACAAACATGCTCACGTTGGCGGGTGGCCGCCGTGCCGTGGACAGCTTCGGTGTGTCTTTCTCCTTATCTTTGTCATCGGGGCTCTTCGGTGGGGGCGGCTCCTTGGGCACTGGCGCTGCAGCCGCCTTCCCGCACGTCCCGCATTGGACGCAGTGTGAATGCCACCGCTGGTACGTCCCTAGGCGTACGCAGTCCTCCTCGACGGTGAGGTTGCACTTGACGCAGAGATCCGACGGGGGGTTGACAACGGATACCTTGGCGAGCGCAGGGTCGCGAGGCCCGTTCGCGAAGGGTGACTCGCCCGCGTTCTCTGGCGCGAGGCTCTTAAAGCCGTACGTGACGCCCTGAGTGCCCGCGTTACCGCCAGACTCACTGGGGCCCATGAACTCGCCATTCGCGCGCTTCATCATGCGCTTCGCGCTCGGGTTCCCGGCCTGGATCGCGAGCATGTGCAACTTATCGAGGAAGGACGTTATCGCCTCGCGCACGTCCTGTTCGCGCTCCAGCTTCAGCGCGCCCGTGAGGGCGATGCGGATGAGGATCTTAAGGTAGTGCGCCAGCCCGGTGACGAGAGCGAGCAGCTCCTGGGTCATACCCATCCTCCGCGTGCCCGTCTCTTGAGTGTGCGAGAGCAGGGTAAAAAGGTCAACTGTCTTCCGACAGAGCATTCTCGCTTCGCGCACATGTGACATGCCTGGGACGAAGATCCGGGGTCATGAGATAATTCGACGGCACAAAGTGAGGAACGGAGCGCACCCTTAAGCTTTAGTCGAGCAAAATGCCACTCCAAGTCGTCAATCGTGGCAAAGAGCACTTCGACGTGTAGGATGAACTTCTCGGCCATCCTGATAGCCTCAGAATATTGGCCGTTGCTGACCTGCCGTAACATATCTGAGATACACGCCGCACTTGACTCTTCAAAGGCCGACAGCACCCTGGAGAAGCCATAAGCGAAAGACGTAATGCGCACAAGGATGCGGAGCGCTCACGTCCAGATACGGTAGACCTGCTGCTCCATCCTGACCTGTTTATCCTTAAGAGTCGTGGCGGTCTCCCGCCGCTCCTCTTCGGCATACAGAGGCTCGGTAGAATTACCGTCGCCTTCCTCTGTGTATGCAGGTATAGGTCTTCTTGACACAACCTTGACATTCCAGAACTGCAATGAAGGGGCCATCGTCAGCATACGTAATGGCACGATAGTAGACGTAGATAGATCGCCTTGTTGATCATGTAGCACTCTGGGTGCCAGCATTCGTCGCGCATGTTCCGGTTAATTTCCACAAACTGCTTGAGGATGGCACTGTTGCATCCTGCACATTTGGTGGCGAACCGCGTCGAATAGTGGTAGTGACAATACACGTCGCCCTCGTGCTCATAGTAGGAGTCTTGTGGGCCAAACAGGGTCGGACAGACAGAGCAAGTAAAATGTTCCACGTGGAACTTTTTATCTGAGGATAGCGGTCGTAAAGGACAGTGATATACGACTTTGCAAAAGACTCACTGCACGCTGTAATGTAACTCCCTCGCAACGCCATCCCGCACTTCGCGCAGATGAGGTTCAGCCTTCGGAAGTAGTCCCGTTCGCATAACGGATGCTGCCTGCCATCTGGCCCGTCTATAGGGAAGAACTTGGACGCAACAACGGTGCCGCAATCCTGCTCGCCGTCAGCAAGAGACCGAGGGGAAATGCGCCCCTCCGACGCACCATACACTTGAAACACTGGAGGTGATAGACTGTTCCCAGAGCACGCACAAACGCGCCTTGCATGGCCTTGCCGCAGGCACTACATGGTCTAATAGCATAGTAATGTCAGACGGCAGAGCCAGGATCCGGAAGAGCGACACTGGAGCCCACGGGACCAAACGGAGACTTACGTGGAGGCAATGCTGGTACTCGTATGTGTAGTGGAAGTTCCGCCCGGCACGCTCCCTCCTGGGGTTGATGACTCAGAGCCTTGGGACGATTCCGAGTGCACGCTCCCTGGGCGAGCTTTTGGGAACTCAGAGAGGTCGGAAGAGGATGCCTGGTTGTTGGCAGAGCCGGCGGGGGTGGTGGGCCGACTGGCGGAGAGAAAGGTCTGGGATCGAGAGGAGGTCTGGGAGGAGAGATCGGGTACGCCGGGGTCGTTGGAGGCGCGGGAAGTGGTATGGTTCAGATCCTCGCTGCGGGCGTGGGGATGGTCATCGGGCCTTTGCCTGCGCTGATCGTAGTTGTGAGAGGAGCTGACGGTAGAGGCCCTGGTAGGAGGTGGAGGACGCTCTGGAGGGTGTGAGCCGCTTGCTGCTGCTCCGGGATTGGGAGAGGGTGGAAGACGGGGAGAAGAGGCGTTGCGGTCAGGATGGAGATTGGCATCGTCGCCGGAAGCCATGTAGGCAAGAGCAGACTCTGGAGCATGGTCAGCGGGAGAGGTTGCGGCCTGATAGAGACGGTAGTGGTCGCTGGCAGCAGACATGGTGTGTGAGAAGGACGTCGAGGTCTCCAGGGCCGTGTCAGAGGCCGCGGTCGCTGCAGCTGCTTACCAGGAAGACTGCAACCACGTCCCACAGCGCCAGTATATTCCAATCGTCTATCCTAGCCCTGTCACGCTCCTGTGACTCCTTCTGTCACACAGATGATCCCCGCCAAGTGACAGCTGAGCGGTGGCTGAGCATACAGCTCTCTCGAGTTTCATGTCTTCGACACTGTCCTGGCGGTGCCACTCGTGTCAGATTTGCTGCAGCTCACCCGAATGATCTCACCTGAATTATGCAGCTCCTGGTACATTTTTTGCACTATTTTTCATTTACCTGCCAGTGCATACTCGTGCCGGGAGCCAACACCACGCCAAGTCGTTTTCGACCTCTTCTGTCAGATAGCTGTCCCACTTCTGCCCGCGATGTCTGATCATTGAACAACACATCAGATTGCTTGTATCTCGACGTGAAAGTCCAAGTCCTTGCGCGGCAGCGTCCTGCAAGAACTTCACTCTTCCAGCATGGTCGCCCTGATCAGCTAGTGCTAGCATACCGCCAATCCGTCTAGACTCACACTTTCATTCTTCACTCAAACTAAAAGTACATACATCATATGCACAGATTCTAATCTCCCGACTCGCTATATCGCCCGCACTACCCGAATTCGTGCCCCCGGCCGGTCAGTCATGCGCTCCACTTTTCACCAATGCGCACGACCCGCGCGTCATGTGTCCGCACCGCGCGCCTGCTCCCTACCTACTTAGAGGGTGGTGGACTCGTCCGCGTTGAGGATGAGCGTCGTGAACCACCGGATGATCTCCAGAAAGTCCACGATCGGAATCGCTGGCGCATCGCTCAAGCCAAGCCATCCCATATCTAATAGTGACGCGTTCAATGCTCACCTTCATTGATCGTATGCACGCCCTCCAGCCCGGTGCCATTGCCCCCGTTGGTGTGGCTGTACCGGAAGATATGCTGCGTCAACGGCCAGTAGTACCGCGTATCTGCCAGCCGTACGTCAATCTCGCGGTTCTGATCGAGACCAAGACGGCTCCGACCCACCCGTGTTGCCCGACACCAGACTGGGCATGACAGTGATGCCGTCCCCGAGCAGCGCGCGGTGGTCGTTGTACGTCGCCTTGATCGAGCCAGAGAGCAGCAGGAACGGCGCTGCATCCGGCCCGGTCGGCGTCAGAGGCGCGGGCTCGAGCGCGGTGCCGAACGCGTCGGTAAGTGTGAGCGTGCCGTACGCGCGCGCGTCCACGTCAGTGATGCGCGAGCCGAACGCAGTGTAGGAGAGATTGAAGCCCGCCGCGACAGACTTGAAGAGCGCCGTCGCACGCTCCTTCACCGCCCCGACGGAGCTACGACAGCGCTGACATCAGTACCGGTACAACATGCACGTCGATGGGGGAAGGGGAGCAAGAATAAGAGAGTCCCAGCGCACCTGTCGGTGGCGATGCGGTGGTTAATGACCGCTACCGCGTTCTCGGGGAGTGCGTTCGTCTTGACGCCCCCGTCGATCAGGTCGATCGCTTGAGTCGTGCCCACGAGCGCCTCGAACGTGTGGTCCTCGAAAAGCTCCTCCTGGGCCTTGCGCAGCGCCTTGTCCGATTTTACCGACCTGGCAAGGTGTCTGCGCAGGGAAGGAGATAGCTCCGGCGCGTGCGCGGCGAGGCACTGCGCATGCCAGTACACCGGCGTATCGCGCTTCAGATGCGCCTCGATCGGGTGCTCCTCGTACTCAACGAGCAGCGCGGCAAGGATGCCGATCGTCTACAGTTGCTCGGTGAGTGATTGGGTGGGGTCGCGCGGATATTGCGTACCGTGTGTGCAGGAGGAATGCTCGAGTGTCCGCCGGGTGAAGTGACGGTGAGCCGAATATCAATGTAGCCCTTCTCGGCAATCGAAGGACGGGCGAATACTCCGCCGTGCTCCTCGCCAAATTTTCCTGGAGCGGGATGAGATAAATTGGACCGCGTGGATATGGAGTAGCTACGCACCGCCTTCATCGACTAGCATTGCGAATGCATTCTCACCATAGGTCGAAAGAAGGTATTGGCCGATAGCGTAAGCACCCTGCGGAAGGCAGATGAGTTTTGTGAGAGTGAGGATTTTTACGTACAGAACGCACGTGAAGTCCACTGGTTTCCTCGTCAAACCCGAATGCGAGGACGACAGATCGGGTAGGCTTAAAACCACGCTCTAACAAGGCCTCAACAGCAGACCTACGGATGGTTGAGTCCTGGAGTCGATTACTCCTGTGAGAGGTCGGCTTACAGGCTGCCAATCAGGCCGCTCTTGTCGTCCCGACTGCCGCGACCCCAAATGCGCGTGCCTGACAGCCGAAAGCGTCATCCATGCACCTGCTGCATTACATGACCCATGCGCACCGTCGAAATAACCCGAGAAAGGTGGGTGCACCCATTTATCGTACGTGTCTGGATTTACGGGGACGACATCTGCATCCTGACATGAGGATTGAACCGCACTGAACGCGACGTGATACGAATACCTTGATGTGCGGTCAGAAGCAGCGGCTTCAGAGATGCGTCCGACCCCGTCCAGACGTATACTAAGCCGTAGGTGTTCACCTTCGTGAACTCCAGCGATGCGTGACTAGGAAAGATGATTACTATTTCGTCCTTGGGGTCGGAAGTTGTGTAACTTACACCTTCGGGAACGCCCCAAGGAGATAGTCATGGAAGGGCCCAAAGACCTCCCAGCGGGGATCCACGCCGACGTCCAGCATCTCGTCGAAGCTCGGGGTCCTGCGGACTTCTCTGAGTGTCGCGTGTGCACTCAGAACATAGCAGGATACTCACGCAACCCTGACCGCCCCGCCGAGCCAGTCCACGGCGCGCGTGAGGAAGTCCGGCGTCTTGATTGTCTCGCCGAGGCTCTCCCACACCTCTCTGTTTTTGACGGGGATGAGCGGGGCGACCTGGGGGCAGAGCGCGGAGAGCTCTGCCTCCGCGGCGGCGTAGCCGAACGGGTTAGACACAGAGAGGACGTTCACGCGGGCGAGGGTGCAAAGGCACGCCGAGACGAGGGCAGCAAGGAGGATCCAGCCGGCGCGCCGTCCGCGATAGCGGCGTTGACGGTGGGCTGGGTGCGGCGCAGACCACGGAAGGAGCGCGCCCTTCTCGCTGTTGCTGGAGGACATGGCGGATAGTGAAGGGGGTTGGGCGACCTTTGCAGTCTGTATTTATGCACAGCGTGAGGACAAGAATTCGAGAACCGACGATATCGGGGCCGTATCACGGCGAGATAAGCGTCGATTGTCGTGTGCAGCTGCACGTATGACGGAAGAGAGGGTCTCCGGGGAGACACCGTCGAGCGGGCGACATGGCGGGATACAGTAAGTGTGTTTTGTCGCAAGCGAGAGATGGGAGCACGAAAGGCGATGTGCGCGAATTCGAGCGCGTCGCGTCACGCCGCGTGCAGGGAGACGCGCAAGGGTGTCGCGGGTCCTGGAGGGAGTTTCCATATCGAGTTGGTGTGTATTTTCGAAGTCGAGCGACGTCTTCAAGTGAGCGGGTCACGGTGCTGGCGGACGACGAGCATGGGCTATGCACAAAAACGTCTGGCGAGCACGGCCGCCAAACTAGCCTCGGTCTCTACCGCACACCTCAAAGCCTTCCCCCCGTCCGAGGCCGTCGTCTCTGGCTCCTCAAAACTACACTTTTTCGACACTCAGGCATGGGCAACCCTCCAGCCCGCCCCACCCACCGCCCTCACCGCATTCGCACACCGCATAGGTCTCGGAAAGGTCCTCACCTCCACAGACACCATCCAGCAGGCGTGCACTCACTCCTCGTTCGTACCACTCTTCAAGCGACATCATCCGAAAGACCCTCTACCTGCCACGAATGCCAACCTGGAAACCCTCGGGAACTCGCTGCTCGGTCTCTTCGCGACAGAATACGTGAACGCGTCCTATCCGCACCTTCCGACGCGTGTTCTCAAGGCCGCGGTAAGTGCTTACGTTGGTCCCACGACCTGCGCAGGCATCGCAAAAGAGATGGGTGCTACACCCCTCCTGCGATGGCACAGAACAGTATGTGTCTGTCTATTCGCGTCCTCGCTGTTTCTCAGGTAATGCCGCCGCTACCAGTCGAATACACCGCTACGACCCGGCGTCCTGCATCCGGACGCCCTTTCTTCGATCCCGCGTGCACTGACCGCACTGGTGTACCAGAACCGCTCGCTGCTCTCGGCCCGGAAATTCGCACACAAGTTCTTTCTCAGTCGTGAAGTGGACCTGCGTAGCATGATAAAATTCCGCGATCCTAAACAAGCACTGCTGGAGACCGTTGCCAAGTTTGGGCGAGAACGGCCCGTCTCAAGGTACGTGCACACCCCCGTGTCGAGCGCGCACACCCCGTCCTGACGTGTATTCTGCGTCGTCCTGCTGTTAGATTATTGAAAGAGACAGGTCGTTTCTCGAAATCGCCAGTATTCGTAGTGGGCATCTATTCAGGAGCGGGCAAGCTCGGAGAAGGGTTTGGCAGCTCCTTGAAAATGGCAGAGTTCCGAGTGAGTGTTCCTTCGCGGCCTCCCATGAAGGGTATCTTGACAGCGGCGCGTCGCAGGCGGCTGAGGATTCGTTGCTCCGACTCTACCTCACACGGCAGCCACCACATTTAGTGCAGCTGCCGACATCGACGTTCCCCGAGGGCACAGGTAGTGTCCTTGAGGTGCAGGGACCCGAGAGCGCGTACGTGCCAGGCGCCATGGGCGACTCCGAGGTGCTCTACGGCAGTTCGGGGCGGAGTGGGCTGCGGGCCCCTGGACGGCGCGCGCAAGGGGACGAGGAGGATCTAGAGGATATATAGTAATGCAAAGTCGTGATAATTGCTTGTCGTGATTGCTTTCCACCTCGTTGCGTGTCGCCGTCGGCGCGGTGTTTGACGAGGATGCGCTCGACATTGACTGCGCGCCTACGCATCAAGTGCTGCGATGAGTTCGCGGCGGGCCGGGTGAGCATTTCGTCGCGCGCGGGCTGTAAGGGGAAAGGAAACGGCGCCGGCGCTCGCCCTGTTTGAGATCCATCAGGTTGGTGTTGGTGTTGGCGTTGGTGTATTACCGGGAACTCCGAGTTTAAGACCGAGGACGGGGCAGTGACCCAGCCCTGCTTGCACGTTGCCACTTCTCCAGTCTAGTGCATGCCACTACAACGCCTTGCACAGCACGACCCTCGTCTGCTTCGCTCCGTTTAGCTTCTCACTTCTACTTCCACGTCTTCTACTTCCACCCCCAGCCCAGTCAACGGAAGCGCAGCCACAGACTTTCACAGCATGGCCGTCTTGTCTCTCCCACTCACGTTTCAAAACTCCTTCTGGTCGCAGGACTACAGGACAGGGCTCGAGGTGCTCTATACCCAGCTTGAGAATGTGCGTCTCGTTTTCTCTACCGCTGCTGCCCAGCGTACTGACCTCTCGCAACGCAGGGCGTCGCAGAGAATGCAGAGATAGTGGCATTTATCAAGGTATGTGTGCGCGCGGGCACGTTGCTACGTGTACTGAACGCTGGGCGCCTGCAGGCTCGGGCCATCGCAGAGAGCGGGCTCGCGACCGCCTTGGCGAATCCCGTTTCGAAAGGTAGGCCACAACTGCGCTTTCTGCCGATCGTACCTACTGAGAGATCCACCCCAGGCTCGGCTTTCGCGCAAGAGGATGGCGTGTCTCTCCATTTAGCGTTCCGCGGGCTCCAGGAAGAGTCCGTTGCGCAAGGTAAGGCGCACGAGCTTCTAGCTAAAGAGCTGCGGACGTCAGTCGCGGAGCCCTTCGAAAAATGGGCAACTGGTTACAAGGTGGGAATTCTTGGACTGGCATTTACCGACGGCCGCTGACTTGGTCGTAGGAGAGGCTCCGTGCGAGCAAGGGCAACGTCCTAGAGCACTGGATGCTTGCGTACGAGTTCGCTCAAGGCGATGTGCGTTGCTTTGACGGTTAAGTTCGGAGCCATTCTCACATCGGCGTGCAGGTTGGTAAACTCAAAGACGACTATCATACGAAGACTCGTCGCGCAGACGAAGCTGAAGACGAGTAAGTTGATGTCATTCGAGCAACCCCCTGCATTTCTAACGTCTGTTCTAGTGTCCGATTCGCTCCAGTCACCCAGCCACCTGGTGACAAGTACACAATATCCCCTAGTCTAGTGCCTAAAGACGTCCGCCCGCGCCGCATGCCACAGCGCCAACCCACGGTGACCGAGCGCATCTCAGCACGTTTCAAGGAGTTCCGCCTGGGCACCACGACCGCTCCTCATACCGATGATGCACAACCCGAGGTACAGTTTGACGCCGACACTGAGGAGAAAGAGAAGAGCACGCCGAGAGTCGACAAAGGCAAGGGCCGTGCCATCGAGGGCGCGGTATCTCCCCCGTCAATCGCGTCTCCGCCGCCCCTCTCCCCGCCGCTGCCGAAGCTCGTCACCGATCCGGTGCCGCCGGCGCCAGCGCCCCCGATGATCCTCGCGGGGATCTCTGTGCCTCCCGCAGACGTGTCTGCGCTGCTGAAGCGCGCGAAGGAGGAGCTGCCGCTGCGCGCGGTGCGCTTCCCGCTCCTCGGCGAATACCAAGAATGTTTCTCTGGCGAGGAGTTCGCGACGTGGCTGAAGGAGAACGTGGAGAGCTTCGGGGGCGATCTCGACCGCGCCGCTTTTGCAGCACGGGAACTCACGGAGAAGTACAAGCTCCTGCGCAGGCTCGGCGAGCTCGGCAACGACTTCGAGAACGCGCCCGACGCGATTTATCAGTTCAGGTCGAAGGTGTGTCTGCGTGGCTCGTGCTCTTCTCCTGTGGTAGAGTTCTGACCATCTCGAAGGCGTTCGATCTTGGCAGCGTCGCTGTCCCGGCGAAGCCGGAGCAGGCACTGTCGTCCCCACAGAAGGCGCTCTCTCCCTTAGCAGAAGAGGCGAAGCGCACGACTGCGTCCTTTGCATCACTCGTATCCAGAGCGTTGAACACGAATCAGAATGGTAATGAGCCTTCCCACGTCAAGTTGCGCCGTGACGCCGAGGTCGCTGATCGGGAGTACCGCATCGCGATACGCAAGCTGGACAGACAGAGACTTGCCCTCGAAGAGAGGATCGAGGACACGCTGAAGACGTTGCAGAGGTGGGAGCTCGACCGCCTTCGTGCCGTTAAGACGGGTAAGAAATCGAGTGCTATACCTGAATATGCGCTCACGAACACGAACGTAGTTCTTCGGCAGTATCACGACGCGGTTGCGTTGTTCGCCAAAGCCTATGAACCCTCCCTCGAGCGGTCAGACACGCTTATCGCCGCCTACCAGCCTGAGGCCGACATCAAGGCGCTCATCGAGCAGCACCGTACTGGACCGTTCCGTCCCACACCGCAAGTGTACGAATCCGTGGCACACGACGAGTCGGACGTGGTGTTCGGTCTCGATCTGCGACGGTGGGCCGACAGCGGCTACTGGCACGCGTCTCCGACGGCCGGCGAGGAGAAGAGGGACGAAGTTCCGCCCGTGCTCACCCTCCTGCTTGCCGCGTTGAACGAAGCGTATCCCAAGTTGTCAAGCGATATCGGTGAGTCGTTGGCGATGATGGTAGGCATGCTGCGTAGTAGTACGTACTAATGGCTTGCCTGTGCAGAGAAAAGGAAGACCTGGATCTATGACGTCCCTCTCCCTGGGGTGCACCATCTCCGGGAAACGCTGAACGCTGTCCCACCCGAACAACCGCTCCCGAACGATGTACTGGGCAAGTACGATGCCCCTGTGCTGGCTAGTGCCGTCAAATTGTGGGCGCTGGAGCTCGATCCTCCACTTGGAATGTTCGAAGGATGGGATGAATTCCGCAAGCTCTATCCAACGGGTGAGTTAACTAGAATATATACCTCGACGCATACATTAAACTTGATCATGTCAGTTGGATCATACAAGGCCGATGAGTCGCCTTCCAATGAGCAGCACATTCTGGATGTGCAGATTGCGTTGCAGAAGCTGCCCAAGATTCACCTCTTGGTGCTCGATACCATTATCAAACACCTCAAAGAGTGAGCATATATCGATTTCAGCCTTCGGAGAAAGATAGCTGACTGCGGCATAGTTTGATCGACTCTACGGCTGAGGCGAACGGCGAAGACGCGAGGGAGGTCTATGTCACAAAACTTGCCTTGACTATGGGAAGAAGTGGGTGATGCGATTCGTGATATGCAGTTCTTGTATTGACTGACATTTGTTCAGCGGTACTTAGGCCCAGGCAGGAGAATGAATTCTCCATCCAGGATCGTCATCCTACGCGTGAGTGACCTTTCACAGAACGCTCTCGTTTGTTGCCTTACGATTCGCCTCCAGTTCTCTTCATAGACCTACTCAATAAGTACGCTGAGATCTTGCCTCCCACCATCCTAAAGAAAAAACGCGAGTCTGAGCGCAAGGTACCAGTGCGGCGGCGTACTCGACCCGTCGACATGCGCTTGAGCCGTAGTCGGATCTCTGCTGGTGCCGACCTGAAGGAGCTCCATGCTCAGCAACTCGCACAGCGCACGGGGTTGAAGAACGCCGGGTCGCCTCCTGCAGTGCCTGCAGCTAACATCCCTATCCTCCCTCAGGTTGCCGAAAGCCCGCTGCCGCAGAAGACCGAGCATGATGCGCCTGCCGTTATGTTAAGCGCGGGACCGGACTCCTTTGACGAGCTCCCGCCAGCGCCTCCTGCGCATGATGCGAAGGAGGAACGCGTCGATTTCGCAAGTATACCCCCGCCGCCCCCTCTGCAAGCCCCCATTCCAAAGACACCTGTCATCCCTCCTCACCCGATGTTCAGGGAGCCACCTCCGGAGACCGATGATGCGCCTCCACGACCGACTTTCAAGGAGCCCGCACCGGAACCAGCGTCCCCCGAGCCGCCGATGCCTTCGTTCGTGGAGCCACCGCGAGAGTTCGTTACGCCCCCCGTACCGCAGCCGTCCTTCGTAGACCCGCCAGTGGAGCCTGAACAAAGCACGAGGACGCCCACAGCGATCCCTGCAGTGTTGCGCTCAGGCGGCAGCGGCAGCACGAGCCGCCCGGTGTCCCCGCGGACGTCCTCTCTAGGCTCACGCAGCCCATCGCCGACGAAGCCGTCCACGTCGCCTACGTTGTCGCAGGACCGCCCCGTGCGTGGAGGACGCCTGACGCGCGGACCGCGTGCTCCGGGCGGCGGGGGTGCGGTGAGCAGCATGGTGAGCAATCTCAACAGGCAATCGATCGGTGCGCGACCGGCGTCGCCCGCAAACGGAGGTTCTGGCAGCAGCCTGTCGCGCCCGGGGTCGCGCACATACACCGGGCACGGGAAGCGGAGCAGTATCAGTCGGGTCGCGGAGTTCTCCCGCCGGACGATGGCGAGTGACGCGGAGGACGAGGTTGTGGATAAATAGGCGAGTGCGTGCTCCGCAATGTTCGACGGTGAGGGGATGGTGCCATTTGCGGTGTTGGACTCTTGGATTATGGTGCGTGTCGTAGTAAAATCTATGTGCTGATGAAAGGACCGGTTCCGTTGCTTCCCTGCTAAGTATTCCCGCTCTCTGGTAGACATAGTGCTGTCATTGATTATCTTGCTTCACATAACATGGATTACACGTTGATTACACGTTCACGCGCTCAGCAATTACGAAGATGGTGTGCCCGGAGTTACTCGAGCGCTGTGCATCTTGCAAAGGCCGCCACAGTGTTGAAAATGCAGGAATTATTCAACCGTTAAACAAGCTTGACCATAGATTATTCAGCATTCCATGGATTGACAGCTTGTCCCTTTGTACTACCTTTCCTCGTTCAGTGTCGCGACTCTTACCCTGAGAATCATCCACTTACTTACCTCAGCTTCTGCTATTGCTCCTAAGACGTTGTTCCCGTGTGATTATTCTCAAATGTGGCGTTCCGTGACCCGACTGGACATGCATGTGAAAGGTGCGAAAAGTAAATTTCTGCTCCAACTGTATACCGCTATCTGGCCTTCTGGTGGATCGCCCGCTCCTCACAACTCCAAGATCTTCGCGACGGACTCGGTGTTGGTTCCCGCCAGCGGTTACATATCTCCATGGGATCTAGATGAAGGCCCGGATGACATCGCTGCGAGTGCAACTGACACATTCAACTCCGAGGATGAGGACATGGGAATTAGCGACGAAAGTATGAGCGAGGACGTCACGACGAATACCGAGGAAGATGGACAAGCTGAGGAACACAGCACACAGACCATTTCGTTCCAGCGAAAGACACTGGATTTTACCCGCCTGTCACACTACAATTCTTTCGCCATGGTCCCTCCCCGACTTCTGGTTCGCTCTGAGTACGAGGAACTCGCAGCTTTGGCAGAAACGCTTGATCGCCATACCGTCCTCACCGGGCAACCTGGCGTCAGTATGTCACAAGCATAAATCTAAACCGTTTCTAACTTCGAACAGGGAAATCCTATGCACTCTATTACCTCTTGGCCCGACGTCTTAGTTGTGGCCTCCCGACTATATTCGCCAAAGCAGACAACCAATGGTATTTCTTTTGTGATCTGGGGGTGTATCTATTGAATGCCACCAATCTCGATTACCTCCTGGACGATTTCGCCCAGATCCACGCGTCGGAACCGGTTGACACAAATAAGATCTTACACCAGAGCACAATCATTCTAATCGATTCCAGGGATGGAGAGCCGTTTCCCAGAATCAGTGTACCTGCAGAATGGATATATATCGTCGCGTCATCTCCGAACAGAAAGCGTTATAAGCATTGGGTGAAGCAAAACACGGCAGCATTCTGGGTGATGCGAACGTGGTCATGGTCTGAGATCTATGCAGCCAGGTTAGTGCTGCTCCCATAACTGCGAGGCTGATCTGATTTCGCCTTGACAGGGACATGCGGCGGCCCAAACGTGTTATTGACGTCAACGAGCTACGGGTTACGTTCACAAAGTTCTCGCACACGGCATGGGTGGTTTACTTAACTCATACGCGCGGACAGGAGAGGGCGATTGCATACGCACTCGGTTCCTTGTCACCACACTTGTTGGCGTCACTGATACGGCAGGATCACAGCGTCGAAGCAGACATCTACAGTCAACTGGTCGAGGTCAACCCTTAAGTTGGTTCGGATGGCCAAGTACGCAGGGAGATTATTCGTGAGAATATTGCTACACAGTTCATCCGGGACCTGTTGGTCAAGCAGACTGCTACTGTTCAGGATGTGGAACTTCGTCGGACATTTGAAGCTCTGTATGCCCAACCTGAAAGTCGAGCATCGGCGGGAACAGCATTCAAGCTGGCTGCTCATGCAGTCATGATGCACCAGTCTGAACGCAATGTCAGATCGTTGTCGGATGGTTCTATGTCCACCATCATCTTCAAGTACAGATCTGATATTGTATTTGACACTGGCAGTCTTGATCGGGGTCGAAAGCAGGATGTACTACAGGGACCTCTCTATTGCAGGCCGGGAGTACTCAAATTTCCTGGGATCGACTCCTTCACTTTTGTCAATGGTTCCCCTGTCGTCTTTCTGATGACAGTTGCACCCAGCCATCCGGTGAAGATATCTGGTCTTGAGCACGTTTCGAGCTTGCTGGGTGCGACGAACATCCGATCTAAGCAGTGGTCACTTGTTTTCATCGTCCCAAGGGGCAATGTCGACGCTTTCGCAATCCAGCCCATGAACCCACCCCACAAGCGCAAGAGCTGGGAACATCGAGTGCATCAGTATGTGCTTGGGTTGGATCACAATGAGCTATGGCCGACCACATGAGGTATGTTCAGAAGGATTTTTTTGTCTCATTCTCTGAACATATGAATGGTCAGGTATATCACCTGCTGGCGGCGGCCTGGCGTCTAAGGGCTGACCAAGGCCGTACTTTTCCTCGCCAGTACCTTCACGGCCGGGTAAGTCGAATCGCGAAGTCGAACTCTATAGGTGTCTAGAGCTCACCAGTGTACAAATTGTTGCGGTGGAGGATACTTGGTCGAAGACCCTTGACAGCCTCACATGTACAGCGCGAGTGGTTATGTATGTGTGAAAGTCGAAATCAGGGATAGAACGAAGTCGAATTGAAATCGAACATCCCACCCTTTTGTATATATGTAGTATGCAGTTCATATCAACAGCAGTTTGCCGACAATTACCTCAGTCGAACCCTGCAATTGCCAGGCTAAAGTCAATTCCTGAGGCAAGCCTTCATCACTTCAGCGGACGGATAATAAGCCTCTCGCATGGATCGCAAGCAGCATCTTCTGGACGCGCGTGTCACGGTCCACGGACGTGCAGTACATCGCGACAAGCTGGAACGGTTTGGCACACCAACAGACCTTGCAGATACATGGCGAAGAGTTCATTAGGAAGACAGTTAAGACACAGGACTAATACAGAAATACAAATCCCAACACAATAGTCACCCAAAAAACATCGACACGAGCCCCTCACACCTCCTGCGAGGCGCCCTCCTTCTTGCTCTTGCTCGACTTTGATGGAAGGAGCTCGGGGTTGATGAACGGGACGACACCACCCTGGCTGATGACGACGTCACCGAGGAGCTTGTTCAACCTACGAGCGTCTTGTCAATGTACAGCGCTTCTGATCGATGAAGGTATACATACTCCTCGTCGTTACGAATGGCCAGTTGAAGGTGACGAGGGACGATACGCTGCTTCTTGTTATCACGGGCGGCATTGCCAGCCAGCTCGAGGATCTCAGCAGCCAAGTATTCAAGGACGGCCGCAAGGTAGACTATACGACGCGAAATACGCGTCAGCCACTGAAATGTGTAGGTGGAGAAGGATTACATACCAGGCGCACCCGCACCAACACGCTGGGCGTAGTTGCCCTTCTTCAGGAGACGATGGACACGACCAACGGGGAACTGGAGACCAGCTTTGGCTGAGCGGGACTGCGACTTTCCCGGCTCACCGCCCGCCTTGCCCGAGGAGGATTTTCCGCTGTAAGAAAGGTGAATCTAAGCTGCAGGTCGTTTTGACGCGGGAATGAGTTTCGTACGCTTTTCCCTTTCCAGACTGCAAAATCGACGTGAATAAGCGCTACACTCGATGCGTAAATGTATGGGTGCGTACCATGGTGTGGTTGATGGGGTAGGATGGGCGAAAAGGCTTGAAGTTGGTGGTGGAGGAAGAGAGGGATGACTGTTCGAGGACGCGAAGGTGGCGAGTGTTTATATAGCGCGCGCCCAATTTTGCAACTCCGACGTGCAGTAAACAAGGGTCGCGTTGGCACGTGACTTACGCGTCTCGCGACTCGGAATTTGAAGTCATTCCGTTTTGCTCTTCTCCTCATCAGCACTCTCATGTCCTCTAAGTCAATCCCAAGCTCGGCCGTGAGACGATATTGAGATGTCGTTTTGTGGGGATTGTTTTTGTGGGACCAGTTCGTAAGCGTACTTGTCTTGCACAGATCGCCGTCGCTGGACGACACGCGCCAATCCGACAGCTGCAATAGGTTCTGCTACGCTCAGGCAAGAGATATGGCTAATATCTGCAATCCCGCTGCTTATATTCGGTCGGGTGCATCAAGTTCTTCAGACACATGAAATCCACGAGGAAAATGCGCCTGGGAAGAGCAGGATTGAAGCGTCCTCACCACGAGGTCCGTCGAAGCCTCCGCACGCGCAAGCCATCCTGCAGCAGGCCTTCCTCCCCAAGACCTTTATACGCTTTGCATGGGACGCATCACCCGGCACCTCCCATCTACACAGCGTTTCCCTCTGTAAAAGAGCACGCCCACACATGAGCCCCATCTGGCCTACCCATGAACAGGTCCATCCCATTCCCTTCGCCCGCGCCCTCTCCTTTCCGCCCGTATCCCCCTCCTCTCAGCCTGCTTGTCCCTCGCGCTGAGGAGTCCATTGCACTCTCCCCTACACCAGAGCAGCTCCCCATCCTCTATGTTGTGCGTACCTCCGCGGATGTGGTTTCACCCGAGCTGACTTTCCCGTCGACCGTATCCCGAAGATCGTTGTGTACACCGTCGTTATCTTCGCTCTCTGGAACATCCCCGGGGCGCGGCTCCTCATCACGCCCCTCAAGCTCTTCACCATCGGCTGGCACGAGCTCTGCCACATAGCGCTCGTGAGTTTCACGAACATCCGTCAGTCCACACTGCTGTCTCTCTTAACATCCGATGTACAGGCCATCTTCACCGGAGGCAGCGTAGAGAAGGTATCGATCGACCCCGACGCCGGCGGTGCGACGGTCGTTGTGGGCGGGCATGCCCCGACAATCCTTGTGGCGGGATACCTCGGCTCGACTGTTTTCGGAGGCGTATTCGTCCTCGCGGGCTTCGACACGCTCGTCGCGAAAATTCTTAGCTTCGTGCTCGGCGTCGGCCTCGTGGCGCCGCTGTCGCTCGTGCGAAATAAACTGTACGCCCGCTATCTCGTTCTGCCCTACTTGCAACCGATCTGAAGTCGGGTGTTTCGGGCATTGGCAGGACAATCGTGCTGACTATTTTCTACGAGGGCCTCCTCATCGGCTTTTGGTTCATCGATCACGCGTGCGTGCAGCACCGTCTCCATCACTAGCAGCTGCTGACCTTCTCTTTCGTGATCAATGCAGCCAACCTCTACGATGGTACTGCCTCTTCGTGGGAATCATGAAGTGAGTGCCCTCGTCCACGCGTACCCCAGCGTGCTCACAGCGCCAACAGCATCTTCTACGCAGTCTGTAAGTTACCTTCCGGTTCGGCAGTGCGTTCGACATTGCCTGATGCGCGCGCTTACAGGGGACATCACAGACGACAAGTACTTCCGCAAGGTGAACGACTCAGACGCGTCACAGCTCGCGCTGCGCTACTCCTTCATCGGCGCGCACGGTGCGTCCTCTCTCTCTCAACCATGACGCTCGGCTGACTTGACGCTATGGCGCACAGTGTGGGCGGTGCTCTGGATATTGTTCGAGATCGGCGTGCTCATCGGCTTCGTGTTCCTCGGCCTCGTGTCCTTCAAGCTGACGACAGAGCAAATGGCCACCGAGGCTGGTATGTCGCTCTACGCCGCGCCCGCCGTTCACTCACCGCTCTCCCTACCAGCGAAATTCCTCCCGACATGACGCTGGCCGTCGTCGGAACCCGCAAGCAAATGAGCAAAGAAAAAACCAACGTAAATCCGAACTTTTTCCGCCATGGACGTGTATACGACCTACCGTACGTTACATTATTTGGCCGCCCGCGCGCGCATGCGCTGTGAGACGCGCTCTGGGACTTTGCAGCGCCGTTCGAGTCGTCCGTTCGTTACTTCGCTCGTGCCGTAGGCAGTCATTGCTATCTTATGCTTATTCCATTGCGCTTATACTTGCTATCGCACGGCGTGTATCTCTGAACATCACCCGGAAGCCAAAGTCACTCGTCTACAGACACCTCGACCACAAGCCTTCTCGGGGGCCAGCTTCCCAGACGTCCGCGCAAAAGTAGAGGTGGGGTCGGTGAGATTCAGTAAAAGATGCGTACGAAACATGGGCATCGGCTACATGTCAAACACATTCAAGAGTGCAGCCACGGGTCCGCGAGCAGCTCTTCAGCAGTAGCACGGTCCTTCGGGTCGAGGCGCAAACATCGCAGCAAAAAAGCAGCCATCGCCCGCATGTCCGCCTGGACATCATGCCGTTTGCGCCTTCACGGACGCACCGCAACATCCCCTTGTCGATGTAAGCCTCGAATTTCTTCGGCGAGCCTACCGAGCGCTGTCCTTAATATCCTCACTAATGAAAAAAAGCGCATACCGCTCACCGTCACGGTTGAAAAATTCGAGCGTGCGAGGGCAGCGCGATAGGAGCTCGCCGCTGAAGGTCTCGCCGGTGTAGCACACCATCTGGAAGAGCAGGACGTCTTCCGCCGACGCCTGGCCGGCGGGGATGTCGATGGGGTGCGGAGCGAACATCGTGCCCCGCGTCAACAGATGGAAGGCCTGCGCAGAACTTGCTCAATACCTCTCTCTCACGCAAAAGGGATGGAACAGTCCCTTACGACGCAGCCGAAGTTCCAGATATCGACAGACTGGTCCCATTCTCCGCCCAGGATGATCTCGGGCGGGCGGAAATCGAACGGGACAATCTCGTCCGTCGTCTGCGCATCCACGATCTGGGCTGCACACGATATCAGGCGTTGGACGCTGAAGGATGAGAACACACGGCATACGCACCACTACCAAAATCGGAGAGCTTGAACGAGCTTGAGGCGAGCTGCACGAGAGTGAACGGTGGCGGAGGGAACTTCTGCGTGACGTAGGAGGTGACCATCTTGTTGAGACTCTGCATGGGCTTGTAAGTCCGTGGCGGGTTCGATTTGAGCCAAGCTTCGATGGCCTCGCCGGTCCATACGCCGCCCAAGTCCACCAATATATTGTCTGGCTTTATGTCTGTGAGCATGAGCATGAGCATCGGCACCTCTGAAGGAAATATAAAAGGTGGAATAGACCGGTGTGAGCGATGCCCAAGGAGTGGATGTGCGCCAACGCAGACAGGACGTCTCGCAGGATGCGTTTCGCAATCGGAAGGGGGATGTAGCCTTCATCGGGCAGCTGTTGCCGAACGAAGTGGAGACTGCCGCCAAACTCAGTGACAAGACAGAGATGCTCCCCGTCGTCTTCAATGCCGGGGAGATAGAAATGATCGAGGAGGCGAGCACAGCTCCTCGCGGTCGACACAGCCGGGGCAGAGAGGCGTTGCAATACCTGCAGCTCGCGTAGCTTGTTCTCACGATTCAACTGCGTCGTGTAGCCGTTCAAAATCTTGACAGTGACATGCCGATTCGCCCTGCACAAGGATGATGAGTACGGGCGAATACTGAAATGCAACGACATACTTGGAATCTCGAGCAAGCCACACGCTGCTGGTGCTGCCATGGCCTATCTTCGCCGCTAGCGTGAAGCGGCCTTCGGGACCCAGACAATCTCCAGGACCGCCTTGAAAGAGACCGAAACCTTCGTCTGCAGGTAATCCCAGCGGCTCCTCCCAAAACTTGAAGTGCGGGATCTCGTCTCCCTCGGCCATGGAGGACAACCCGCGATGGAAATTAAAACGGCGCAGAAAGGCCGGGTTTTGCAGACGAAGGGCGAGGCGGAGCATAGGCTTGCGGCAGAGGATCACTTCAACGACATCGAGTTCGTATTAACTTGAAGCACCGGAAGCAATTAAATACGCGTGGCACGTGACGACATATCCATCACCAGTCACGTGCGCGACTGCATCCAACACGGCGAAGTTCGAACCGTTTTCACCTTACATGTTAAAACGACCTGACCACCGCTAGTTCACCTCGTAGATATACAACTACGTACCCGCGACATAACAGGCGCAATCGCAATGCAGTCACAGCCTACAAACGCGACCCAAGCCAAAGACAGGCACTACATGCAATTGTCGCACAGCCTGACGCGTCTCTCGCAGTCTATCGGACACACGGCCGAGCTGTGCGCGTCGCTGACGCTCAACCTCGACGCAATGCGCACTTTGGCTGCCTCGCATGCTGCACAGTACGCTGACTTCACTGGAGTGGTTCCTGGGTGGATTAGCTGACGATGGTCTACCAGGTTCATGACCGTCGCAGCTGAGCTGAACGCTGACCCAGAGGGCACGGACGGTGAGCTGCCGCATGGCACTCCCCAAGGCGAATCACAGGTGAGTTGGGACCTCTCTTATCTCCTCCCATCAGACTGATGCGAGCGTGTTGGCAGTGCATATATCCTCACGCGACCATAGCAGTACCCCCGCCTCCACTGTTCGCTCACCGCTCTTCCTACCAGTGAAATTCCTTCCTACATGATGCTGGCTGTCGTCGGGAACATCAATCAGAAAGCAGAGGGAATCGACTCTCAAACCGTTTCATCACCGCGGCTCCTGTGTGCGTAAGCATTACCAGTCGCTCCGAGTCTCGTAAAGCCGTTCATTCGTTACTTCGCTCGTGCTTAGCTAGTCGTTGCTGTCCTATCTTCACTCGGTTACGCCTATACCTGCTACCAACAGTGCGAATCTCAAAAATCTCCCGCCCGAAGCACGAGTGAGAGTCTATCATGCGTCCACAGACACATCCACGACGAACATTTTCGGACGCAGACCAGCGCTTACAGCGATGTGATCCTCTTGAACGACTCCTCCATCTTCTCGAGCTTGCCCTTCTCGAAGGTGTCCCACGTCCCCCGCGCGTCGCCGACGGGGACCTGTACGGCGCCACTCTGGAGGCCCTCCATCGCCTCCGCGGTGAACTGCGTGAGCGGCATCCAGACCTTCGAGAGGCGCGGTGTCGTCCCTTGGTCTGCACATCGTCATATGTGTCTGTCAGCATTATGGGAAGAGCAGGAATGGGACGGGGCTTACGGTCGTGCAGCTCGGACTCGACGAGGCTGTGTCGGACGCATTAGCCATGCACACTGCAGAAGTTGGAAGGAAAAGGGGGAAAGGAGGGGGCTCACGGCGGGAAGATCTCGGCGACGTGCACGTTCGTCCCATGCAACTGGACGTCAAGCGAGAGCGCGAAGCTGTGGAGCGCGGCCTTGGTGGCGCTGTAGTTGGGCACCCATGGGCCGGGTACGATCACTAACGAGGAGGTGATAGGCACCAGGAACGACGGGCGGCCCTGCTCCTGCGCGGAGGGGTGGGGAGTCAGTTATCAACTTTACCAGTGTGCGTGGAAGGGGACGGACGCACGCTGAGCTTGAGGAGGTGCGGGAGAAAGAAGGAGGTCATGCGTGTGACGGAAGTGTAATTGGTGAGCAGCTCCGTCTCAAGTTCTGCGTGCGCATATGTGATTCCGAGTCAGGCGAGCACGGGAGAACGGACACAGGGCGGGACTCACTCTCGAGGTCGACGGACTCGGGCTTGGTGAAGTCAAACTGGTGCTGGACGCCCGACGAGAATACGATCGCATCAAGCTACTCCCCGCCGCACGTCAGCGTCAGCGCGCACACGAGCACACAAGACAGGGGAGAACGCACGTCGGGGTATGTCGAGACGACGCGCTGTACGGCGCTCTTGAGCGCGTCGCGGGGGGCGGTCACATCGAGCTGGAGGGTGCGAATGCGAGCGCCCTCTTTGGCAAGCTGCTCCAGGCGGTCCTGGCGGCGGCCGGCGACGATGACCGTGGGCTCAGAGGGGAGTGCGTGGATGGCGAGTGCGAGCGAACGACCGATGCCAGAGGTGGCGCCGACGACGAGGACGCACTTGCAGTCGGAGATGCTGGGCATGATGTCGATGGTGGTGTAAGCTCGAAGAAGGCTGAGAGGTGTAAGCTTGTCGCGGGGCTTTTATGCTGCAGCTGCCCCGTGGGCATCGTTCAAACGGACGCAGAGTGAGCCTGGAGGTGACACCGGACTCGGCCTGCGTCAGTGGTTTGGTGACGCAACGAATGCGGCTGCTTATGCATCCGCTCCTTAAAATCGCCGACGTTGCACTGGGTGGAATCTGCAGCGAAGTCAGCAGTGGACGCTGCGCGGGATAGCATCACTGCCGCCCAGCTTACATCCTTATCCCATTCCCGACTTCGCGAGGTCAATCATCGGATGAAATCGAATAAAACATGGCACTCTCTGCTATTTAATATGCGATTTATTGAACTGAGTGTAGTAGTATTTTACGGGACAATAACAAATTGTGCGTGTGCAGAGCAGGCAGGGCAACGGCAACTCCAGATAGGTTGGTTGTACCGGGTGGGCGTGGGCAAGGAGAGGTAAGGTGGCGTGAAGGTCATTCCCGCGGCAGGCGCGCGTCTGCTGCGTTATGCGTCCTCGATTCAGCGCCGCAGGCGTCCGGTGATCCCGGTGGGTCACTGTCAGTGGCGGGAGGATCGCCGAACCAGCGACGCCACGAGGAGCGTACCGAGGGCGGCCACCCCGCCGGCAATGGCCATTCCAATGTATCCGTCTAGGACGTCGACGGCCGGTTGCGGATATGGGCGGAATCGTCCCGATCGATGATGGGGGCAGGAATAGCAGGGACAGCGTCAGGGGAGCGCATATATGGCAGGCAAAAGTGACCAGAGCTGGACGCACCTCGGGCGACGCGCTTGTCGATCAGCATCGCAAGGCTCTGAGCTTGCAGATTTGTTGGCTCCTTCTCCATCAGCAGCGCTGCAAGGTAAGGAGTTCTTGAGAAGGGATTTTATCACGGATTGAAAAGGGGGCATACAGTTGAATTTCCGCGCCTCCTCATAATTGCCCATCTTGTAGTGCCCCAGTGCAAGGTAATATAGGCATTCTCTTCGTCTCGACGGCTCCGTACGGTAGATATCTGCACCGCACCGCAGAATCCGTCAGGCCGGCATACAAGGTACAAGAGAAGAGAGGTGGCTTCGGACCTTGGAGGAGCCGCACCCCCTCGACCTGGTGGTCGTGCACGGGGCTCTTGACGAGCCCCCACGCATAGTTGAACTTGGTCTGCACGGTGACGTGCGACTGCGCGACCTCCTTCTGGAACTGTATGCGGAGGACCTGCGCAAGGCCGAATGGGCCGAGTGAGTAGCAAGCGCGGTGAGACAATGTGAGTGAGGAATACGCACCTCGAGCTCGTCGTAGGAGAGCGAGACCTCTGCATCTGCGGCATACGGTAGTTCTGTACTCATGGTTTGCGTAGTAGCGCTTCAATTGAGGAGCTGGGAGTGCACACTGGAGCACTGTGGAGAGCGGATAAAGGGCGGGAGGCCCGACTCGGGCACTTCGACCGTGACGTGGGGTTAGGGTTGGACCCGAGAAGAGCAACTCACTTTTTCCGCGTCGCGGTCACGTGCTGATCAGAACATGTCTGTGCCCGCATCCCCCTCGGAGTCTGTGAATCTGTGCGCGTACCGCACGAAAAAAACTCGCGGCTTTGAATATTCTGCTAGCTCAGAGTGCCCTCCGTCCAAGAAATTGAAGCCACTTCAGTCTGATACTCTAGTTACTTCCTCGAGCGGTATGAATTCTGTGACTTCAGAAGGTATTGGCTCGTGTGGCGCACGCGAACGTATGTATGCACACCTCCCTTACTGGCCAAAAGTACTGTTCAAACATGACGTGATTACGTGCTTCACCAAGCGGACATGCCCGCAGCCTGCGTGTTCTCCGCAGTAGGGGACAGATGGCACCGGCTCGACGCTATCAACCGCTTGGTCATCTTGTGAATAGACATCTCTCCTATAGACTGCTAGCTCTAACGAGGATCGAATCTGACTCCCTGCGCGCTCCAGCGGCGACTCCACTACGCGGCTCGAGGGCTGCGCAACGTGGGTGCGCGCCGCCTTTCCATTTCTCACTACCAGTTTCCTGAAGGCGTGTGTGCCTCTGCAGCTGGCGCATTTCCTGCGGTCGGTGAACCATAAAAGGGACCTAACCGAAGCTCCCCGTGTCGAGGCGTCCAGCTACGCGGTGCCTGGACAAACCGTTGAGGACGACCTCGCAAGCCAGCTGGCCGCATTCTTCGCTCAGCACCCCAGGAAGGGCGGGCCGAGCACCGCGCCCGCGCTGGATCCCTTGCGGACGCTCTACGGTGCGGTAGCCTCGACATATCTGAATATTTTCCTTGCCGGTGCTCACCCGGTTTCGCAGTATTCTGGCTGGGAACTAACGACTGCGGGTGAGAACTTAGACGCATCGGCTCAGCTACGTTCGGTGGCTGATATCTGCCCGCAGACGGACGGGAGCTGAAGACCTGGAAGAGATCGTCGACACAATTTTTGACGACGGCCTCGACGAGCTCTACGTACACGCCGGGGCTCGCAACTTCCTCGTCATTGACGTCCCTCCGAACGACCGCAGTCCCGCAGGTCAGCCTGTCCCGCCCACTCTTCTGAGGCCCCTCACCTCGCGAACTTATATACAGCTCTCGCCCTACCGCACGACCTCTCTGCGCGCTATGCGACCTGGAATGCGGTCCTCACTGCAAAAGCGCCGCACTTCGCGTCAGAGAACACGCACGCCTCCGTTTTCCTCTTCTCTGCGCATGCAGCCATTTCATCAGTGCTAGACGACCCACTTGCGTTCGGCTTCTCCGCGGACGATGCTGGTGCAGAGGGGGGTCAGATCTGGGCCGACGAGATGCACCTGACGAGTGCGGTGCATGCGGTCGTCGCGCGCAGGCTAGAGGAGGCATTGCGTGCGGTTTAGCTTTGTAGTGAGCGGTGTGGTGGATGCCGTTTGCTCGGTTGTACTCTGATCTAGTTAAATGCTTTCGCGTTTACATTGTGTTTTTCACCTCTCTAAGTCGACGAGTGGTCGTGACTATGATACAGATCAGTGAACCCCGGTGTCGCCATTGGATCTGTCCTTTGAACGCGCCTGACACAGGCGCAAACAGATTATGAAGAAACAGTGATCGCCGGCCTCCGGGAATGAATAGCGTACGAAATCACGCCGGCTGAGTCGGCGTGTAAGGCAGAAGAGGGTCCATGTCACTTGGGACGGCGCGAGACTCTACAACATAGTTCAATTCGCGCTTTAACCCTATGGCTCTGGCCGCAGTAAAAAGACGCCCGAGGCGCAAGTACGCGTAGCGCACGGAGGAAGACGCCGGCACGGAGAGAAGCGAGGGAGGGCTCAGAAGGGACTCGTGGTCTACATCGATAGAGGGAGGAGCCGCAAAGACGACAGAGGAGCTTGTCGGGCTGTCGACCCTCGAGGTCTTCTGCGCCATCTGAGCACCTGGACGCACAAAGTCTGATAAGTCAGTCAGTATCCACATGAATTGTGTGTGCGAGAAAGACACGCCGCAATTGTCATTTGCTGGGCCAAGAAGTGATACCCGGTAGCAGGAAGCTTATGAGGCCCATCGCGTAGATTGCGCATGTTTGGACTACATGAACCCCATGCCGGGGACTGACGTTCGCGAACAGCAGAACTGCCAGTGCAGCAAGCCCGCCTCCGATGCCTTCGATGATGGCACCGACCGGTACTGATGTTGCTGTTGCTGAGCTGGTCGAGGTCGCCGCCCGCACCATGGTAATAATGCTCAAGTAACCGAGCGAGGTGGTGGCGGATGAGACGAAAATTCTGTTCGTGAGCGCCTCATACACTAAGGCCGAGCTGGATGACAGCGGCGGAATTGACGAGCTCGGGGAGGACGACAATGGCGGAGTTGACGAGCTTGAGGAGGGGGACAACAATGGCTGAGTGAGCGAGCTTATGGAGCTGCCGGTCGTAACCACGTTGTCGAACACAAGCTCCCGAGAGACTCCTGCAGAGACAATTATCCTGGACGACATGAGCTGTGGAGTCGTCCTGGAGGAATTGCACCGCCTGGTGATATACGGAGTGAAGCGAATAAATGATACAGTACTCACCTTCGCGCATCTGATGTATACTTGCAGAAAGACGGCCATAGCGGCATGCGCTGGCCCTCATGCGAGGCAGGTGAATGAGGTCTCGACAGGTACTGTATTGCCTAGAGTCAGATTGTTTGATACCGAGTTGTCACGCACACTGGAATGAATGGGGAGCTATGATCACACCATCGGAGCTGATGTCGATTAGAGTGACAGCAGTACTTCATTAATCAATTAATGATTTTCAGTACAAAGGAATGGCGGCTGGCATAGCAGACCAAGTACAAAAGGATCGGAATGAAGTGGTTGATTCAGAACTGGTTCAAGTTCCTGCGAACCTGCAGAATCAGTGGGTGTGAGCGTGCCTACAAAACACTGATGAACTCGAGAGACTACACGTTTCATTGAAGACATCTGATATGTGAAAATGGAAGTGTTATAAATTTAGCTTCAACGATGAGGTGAGCAGATTCGTTTCTCTAGAACTTGAGATTGGATGGTCCACAGTGCTAACAAAGTCATCCTCATCACCAAGCTGAATTCACAGTGCAGGGGAAGGTCCCTACCTGAATACAACGAGTCAAGCTGGATACAGAAAGCACAGGTTCAGTCGGCCATGTAAGGGGGTGGCGGATCCGAAACCAATGTGACACTACTCTCCGAAGGCAGCGTTGAGCGCATGCCGGGGTCACTAGTATGCCCTTCATATAATGGTACAGCCGTCGCAATGCCCGCTGCAATGACAGGAGGACGCGCCGGGTATGGGTCTGAGAACCTGGACGACTTTCCTCCGGTGCTGGTGCTGACGATACCGTCACCAACGGCACTAAGACCGAGCAGAGTAAGCTCGTTGGAGGAAGGTGGGCAAGAAGAATGGAGCGTAGGGGAAGCGGTGGAGCTCCGCAGTGCGGGCATGGTAGGAGTGGCGGGGGCAATACTAAGCAACGTTGCCATTGAGATGTCCAGAACAGGTGGTATCTCTTGAGCCATCTGTGTAACTACGAGATCTAAGTCAGCAAGTGTCTAAAAGTTCCGAGCGCGCAGGAGAAAGACACACCGTCGGTGTCATCTGTTGCATCGAGAAGGGGATCGGGATCGGAAGATGCATGTCCACTCCCCTGCCCAGACTTGCGTCTATACCAGAACGATCGCACGAGCAGTAACATCAACAGCACTACCATGATCCCACCCAGGACCGCTCCAATGATAGCACCGACAGATAATGAAGTTCTGTGCAGTTCTAATGGGCTCGCCGATGTTGTAACAGGCAGTGCAGCCTTGGTCGAAGATGAAGCCGGCGGTGGGGTACTGACAAAAAAATCTGTGGTCAACGACGACGTGACATCCAGAGCCAATGAAGTAGTGATGACAAGTGGGGAGGCCGGAGTTCCCGAAAGAGAGAGACTACTAGCAGTGGTAGGAAACTTCAAGTTGGCTACGCTACTGTGAGACGAAGAGGACGAAAGAGGTGAGGGTGGGAAACTAGACACGTCATTGTTGTTGGGTAAGGCCGGTGGAGCGGAGAAGGGAGCTGCAGTTGTAGGGTAGGTGTTGGTGACATTGAAGTTGAACGAGGATGACTTGAGTGGCAGAATAGATCTTTCATAGCTGCTGGAATTAATGGGGACGAACGAGGAGGAATTGATCGGGAGACTCGATTCAGAGGAAGACGTCGGTATGAAGGTAGATGCACTCGGTGTGGCGGCAGTAGACGTATAACTCATGAGGGACGAGCCTCAGGAAAACAGTACGGACTAAAAGCGCGCACCTCCGTTGACGTCTCATATAGTCGCAAAAACAGCCATGTGTAAGAAGCATGTGCGCCAGGCTGTATGCGGTCCCTAGAGGCACCGCCTTCTGCTCAAGTTGTGTCCGGTGATAATGATTCTTCGCACTCATTGGACCTACTTGCTTGTATCTATCGAGCATCATGGAAGATGATTTCACGTATCTGACGGATATACTCAGCCCATAGGGATGACAAGGACGAAACTCTACTCACCGTGAACAGTAGAAAGATCGTAGACACGGCAGTATCAGTGAGCGACATAACGGCAACCTCGCTGTCATCTGTTACAGAGTTGTGACTGTCTCATGCTTTATGAAAAGTCCATTACGCGACAACTCGAAGACCTGCGAAGTGTACAAGGAGTCGCTACCCAAAATATTTCAATACGGTTCAACGTTTGACCTGCACATGGAGGTTGGACGAAGTTTGGACGAGGGTGAGAGTGGTCTGAAAAGGCAGATATCGCGAGCTCGGTCATCTGGCCGAGAACTGCACCCCAAAATAGAAAGTGCCGCCATATTGTTGAGATGACGTGTTCCTGCTCATCTACGTTTAGTGTTCTAAGCTATGGGAAAGAACAAACGCGCCTTGGGTTGTCATCCGAACTCGTCTAGAGATTGTCCAATACGCGATCTAGCTCAGCTCGTTCTTCCGCTCTTGCCTCCCGTGAACTGCTCCGGCAGGCCCCGTCAAAATCGATCATCGCCACATCGCCAGCATCGTCCACGAGCAGGTTCGGGGCACGCAGGTCGCTGCGGATGACGCCAGCAGTGTGTATGGCGCCCAACACGCCAACGAATGCTTTCTAGAACACTGATGAGTCCTGTGCACCCTCATCTTAAAGAGCACGACATACCGTTCTGCGGGAGAGACAGACTTCTGGCGGTGATGGAGAGTCACGCCCGCGTGCGTCACGATGAGGATACTCGGCCCGTCATCCTCTACTTCCGCTCCGCGAACAGACCCGCTGGCACGACCGGTACACCCTGCGCTTGTTTCGCAGCCAGATGCTCGTATATATCATATTCATTCTGCAGGCCGTCCTTCTGGTCGCCTGACACCGCTACCTTGACTACGACGTTGCACGCTACTTCCGTCCCGTCGCAACACCTCGAGCTCCAATATCGCATCATGTACGATCCCTGTTGCGCCTTGCGCGATTTCCGAAGTGAGAATGAGCGAAAACATGTCCGTTGGTAGGTCAGAGGAGTGTGAGCCCTTTGCACTTCGTGCGCGCGTTGCCTTCAGGGTTGCGCGAGGATGCCAGAGCGAGTTCGCACGAATGTGGAGGGGACTGGTGAGTCGTAGATCCCGTACCGGATGGAAAGGAGCATGGTTTCTCGATCACCGCTTTCGTCCAGCACCTGCCGGGAGATCAACCCACGCTGTCCTTCAATGCGATATACACTAGAGGTAAAGGTGAATTCTTTGACTCACCATATCCTTCTCAGTCTGATGAGAGAGCTTGTCAACAGAATTACAGCGTTTTTGACGCTTCCTGCATGAGTCACCGCCGTCCGAGGTGACTGGAGTAATAATATCAGAGGTGCTTCCATGTTGAGCATCACAATTGAGTAAAACCAGGGTCGTGTCGCTGCGGATGGCCTGTGCCCACGACTGTTGGAGAATAATTTGGTATGGAACTGTCAAGATGGACTGAATGATATGTATGACGCACATGGTGTATGCAGTCAACCACCGTGGGTCGCTCTGGTCCGTCCGGAGTCCGTGATGAGACGCCCTGGTTACCGAGGACTACCTTTTCTTGTTCGGCGCCCTTGCCACTCAGAGACCTGGACATCGGACACAGTCAAAGGAACCGTCGTCTATCAGCTTGTCGATATGCTTCGAGATGTCTGATGTAATGCTCGGACTTTTGAACTCCCATGTCAAGAAGTTGACAAAATGCTCGGCAACCTGTCGCAAATCTTCTTTTCGTTCGCGGCCCATGAGAGCATGAATCACCTCCAGAAATGGGTTTGATTTAACATCCGCTTTGTCAGCGAGCAGTAGAACAGCGAAGTACTGTGAGAAGCGCAAGACACCATCGACGAGGGCCAGGTGTGAAGTATTGGAGACGGAATCCCACTTAAGCACGGAGAACGGATGATAGCGCGGGACACGGGTGGTGAGGTGCGACGCGAGGTGTATGCAATAAGCTGCAGTCGTCCTATGGTAAAACACCGCCACGGATGCCTCGTTCTTCAGCGGCTCGCTCTGTTCAAAGTCACGAACCTCGCGCGCCTCCTCGCTCAACAACTCGATATGAGTATAGGGAGGCGGCATGAAATTGTTCGTCCGGGCCAAGCGGAGCACATAATCGACTTTTCTGGCTATGTCTGTCGTAAGAGAGGGAAGACGCACAATACGCTTGAGGGTAAGACTATCCAGGAGATGATTGTCGTAAAAAGGGCGTTTGCGCGACTGCCCTGAGGTTGATGTCTCCGGGATGAGATCTGTTCGTACAGCGGGAGGGCTCCAACACATGAATTCGCGAATTTCGTCCTCTAGAGTAATGGCCATATTTGCGAGAGACTGAAACCGAGTTCTAAGCAGCCTTGACTTGTCCTCGAGCTCAGAGGAAAGATGGAGGTATGACGCAGGATGTCCCCACGCGTCCGAGCTCCGAGGTAGCTTGCACGTGATGGCGACTGACCTCAAGCCCGCCGCTGCTTCATTAACTCTGTGTCCATCTCTCAGGCCTCAGGCGTTGGAGAGAGACTCATCTAACGTAACGAGACACCATGTCGAACACTACTAGTACCTCGTCTTCCCTCCCAAATCCACAGGACAATATCGTGCCCCAAAACTACAGGGAACAGTTCCAAGTGAGATTTAGCTTCACACGGGTCGCCCCTCTTTCACAGGCTCACTACATGTATCCGTCCACACCCTCGTCTCGAAAGGGTCGTCACGCAACATCCCAATTCATTGAGTGAGTCCCAGTTTACCCTCTTAGCTTGGAGGTCTGACACTGTCGGGCAGTCCGTGCGAGGACGCAGCTAAGGCATCCATGAAGTGTTTGGACCGGAACAATTACATCAGAACAGAGTGTATCGACTTCTTCGAGGCATATCGGGACTGCAAGAAGACATGGGTTCGCACCTATCCTACGTCCAACGTCTCGCACCATACCTATCTCACCTTCGCACTGACTGCAGATTGAACAGAGAAAAGCTGACCGTCGCGCGGGTCGACCGTCGGCATGATAACCCAGACCTATGTTGCGTGTCATGTCTACATAGCTTCGTCGTGTCCTGTATAACAGTCTTCTGTTTACTCCATTCAGACTACGGAGGTTCGTCCTTAAAAGTCTCTTTCGAGGGCCTTCCACTTGCGCTGTGCATACGATTTACAAGACACGAGGTGTTTGATCGAACCTCGGTGAGAAGACAATCCAAATGTGATGTATATCGCTGCACACAATATCGAAGGAAAGCGTACAAAGGAACAATACAGGGGCATTCGCACATAGGCCTCTCCCGCACGCATAGCAGAATCCTAATCTTTGGGCAAGGGAGGGGGAGCATCTGGCTGTGGCGCGAAAATCAGGTTCAGGGGAGGGGTTAACTGGCTGTCCTCGCTCAACAGTGTGGCAATGATACTTCTCCCTGCGAAGCTGCGTCCCGCCAATGCCTTCAGCGCCTTCCCAGCACTCGACGCGTCGTGATACTTGACATACACCCGGCCCACTCCTGCTGCCTCGTCCGCACGCTGCGCTGTGAGGGCGCTGTCCGGCCCGCCTTCGCCCCACCGCGCTTTGTCACGCTTCATCGGGCGCGGAATGCGAAGGTCCTCAACGGCACCGTAGTTCGAGCATTCCTCCATGATGTCGTCGTACACATCAGCATACTCCTGGTCATCTACGAGGTCTTCCGGTACGATCATGTTAAGCATGAGCAGAATGCATGCGTTAGTGCCCTCCACGTCGCCCGCAGGCATGATCGGGCGTGGTATCTCGGCAAAGGCTTCGTACATCCCGGGTATGGGAGATTGCCCAGGCTTGGCCCCCACCGACGCGCGCTGTACCACCAGATATTTGTCTCCGAGCTCCATTCCACTCAGTGACTGAATGGCAACATCGGTGCCAGACGGGTCCACATATTCGAAGAATGCGAATCCCTACGCGTAGAGCTTTAGCTGCATAATGTCTTACGAGGAGCATCTACTGACCTTAGAGGGCCCGTTGCCGTTCTCGCGCACGAGATTGAACGCTTTCAGCTCTCCGAAACTCTTCAGGAGTTCCATTACTTGCTCCTCATTGAGGTACGTCGGCAAGCCGCCCACGAAGATTTTGTTGATAGAATCGGGCACATTGGTCGACACAACACCCGGAACATGCATACTTGGAGCCATCATGTCGGGACCGCCATAATCTTTGGGTCGGCGGATTTTCAAAGGACCATTGATGAATATTATACCGTCAAATGCCATTGCCGCAGTGGCGTCCTCTGCGCTGCGGAACTAAAATTTCCATGGTTCAACACGAACTGATATCAGGAGAGATGGAGATGGTACCTCAACAAAAGCATAATTTTTTTCATAATTGCATTGTACCGCAAGAACCGGGTTGCCGGGTGCTCCTGTTCCGATATTCATCTCCTTCATCTTGTTATTGAAGAAATCAGCCAGGTTTTGTTCATTGATGTCCGGGGTAATGCTGCCAATATAGAGACGACGAGACTGTCTTGACAAATTGGGGTTTCCACCAATGCCCATACCAAAGCTCTGTACAGGCAGAGGAGGAGGCAGACCAGGAATTGATAAAATCGGTGGAATCTGAGTACGGTTTGCACCCGGCAGGTTGAATAAGCCTGGACATAACTGTTTATAATGCTGCTGAGAGTGAGAGCTAGTTGACCGACCTGTCTGTTTGGCCTGCATGGCAGTATATTGTTCATAACCGGGAGCGTGGACATCCCACCCACTTGCCTTCCTCCTCCGCTGTGATATCGGAACCGCGTCAGAGGGAGTGGGAGACCTTCGCTCGGGCGTTCCTAGCCCATCTCGGTTTTTGCCCCTTCCCCTCCTTTCACCACCGTCCATGTCGTCCCGCGGAGGCCTACCCCTATAACCTCCGCCAGGTGGTGGTCCGCCCCCACCCATGCCCATATCGTCGTCCCGTGGTGGTGGGCCTCTGTGTTCACGCCGACGATCATCGTCATGTCGGGACCTGCGAGGGTGCTCTTCGAATTCGCCTCTGCCACCGCGTCCTGCAAAGCGTTCACGGTCCCTGTCCCGCGGTTCGCGATCTCTGTCCCTCTCATGACGCCGGGAGTCGTAGCGGTCGCGGTCCCTATCACGGTCGCGTTCACCTTCTCGGTGTCTGCCGTATTCACGGTCGCGACCGTCGTGACGTGAAGGATGGTAGCGGTCGGCGTAGCGGTCTGTGAGAGAGAAAAAAGGAAAGACGGGTGGTGAGTGATGATGCGGACGGGCGCTCTGACTCGGTTAGTAGGGAGACCACGACATGATGACGGCGGCGCGGCGACAACGATAAGACAATGGTGAACGCGAGCTAGCTAGCTAAAAGGAGATGGTGCGCATGGTGCAACAAAACGGCACCATGAGCTCTCTGGCTGGAAAAAAAAGCGGATGAGGTGGCTATGGGCAGTCACCTGTGAGGTCCTTGGGCACGGCTCCTTTCAACCCTGCCTCCAAAAACAGAATAAAAGAACTATAGAACAACGGGCGTGCTGGTACTCACCGAATTCGTCAGGTGCGCTTGCCATGACTGCCGGTGTCGAACGCTGAGAGGAAGCTGAATTGAGCCGTGCTGAACGACACATCAGGTTCCGACTCCGCCCAACTCCGCCCAGAAAAGGCGCGCATGTCGTTAATTCTTCAAAGTCGTATTCTGTTGTGACGCTGTGGTCTGTTTATGCTGCATTGAATTTGGACGGCCCATTGGCCTGAAAATGTTGGCCCTCAGGCCTCAGGCCTCAGCCAGGCTCCCAATGTGTGGGAAATATACACTCGAGCTCTGTTCGGGCTATATAAGAATCCAAGATCTGCACGACTCACACTCCATATAAGTACGGCGTCATGCATACATACTCAAGTATCTGACACCAATGACACCGACTTCGAAACCGATGACGATGATCTCAGCGACACCAGCGCCACCAGCGCTAGCATTGCCGTAGACTTTGCCACATCCTTGAGCTGTTTCCACCCTGTATGTCTCTTGGTGTTTTATACACTTGCTAAGAACTCATTGCTATTCACAGATTGTTTCTGGCTTGACTTTCTCCGTAATGGTCCTGTCTCAAGCCGTAGCGCAAGTGGAACGTCTACAATGCCCTGGATACTGTCGTACGAAGTCTGTTCAACTCTATACGCCCAATCCGCGAGTAGATATACAATTTAGTAACCCTTGAATATTGTGAAGAAGAAGATTTGGTGAGCCCTTGATACACACTATCATGACAACATGAATCATTCACTGACGATATGTGAAGGCTGCTACGACATTTCTGGAGAAGGCCCATAGATATTTCGATCGGGAATGCTGGCGTAGCAAATACGAGGGACAGGCTAACAATCACCCAGGAAGGGTGCGAGTTCGATGGTCGTATTGACTTGGAGACAGCGGATGAGGATGGTGGTCCGACCTTTTCCGTCATTGACCAAACGGCTGCATTAATTGAGAAACGATATAATAATGCACCTGCTCGGCCGCGAGGCGCTGCTTCTGCGGCAGATCCGAAGGTGATACCAGCGGACAAATTTACTGTGGGGCAAAATCTGGTGCACTTTCTCGAAAGTTGTTGCAGTCAACTCCTAGCCTTTGACGGCGGCGTTTGCACCGTTCCTTACAAAATCTTAATATTCGGGCCCACAGGCGACATCACCGCACGGTGAATGGCGCCGCATACAGATCATCTGGCGATTTGTCTGGCTGGTTTAGGTGATACGGCCTACTCAGATATTTTCAGACTGGAATTCTTGCCATATAGTTTACGGCGCGGAAATTGGTGCATGTTCCGATCACCTGTGCCTTGGTATGTTTTCCTGGAGGATGGTCATCGTGCCGTAATCGTCTTCAAGCTCCTTCGCAAGTTCGGATCAGGGCAGACGGAGGCAGCGCTAGAAGTTCAACGACATATCCAAAATGCTATGGTTGACATGGACTTACCCCTCGCTTCGCTGCTGAACTCGTAGTACTGCCGTGGGCAGAAGACGTTCGACCTCTTTGTGCGAGACGAGATGCGGTGGTCGCTGTTGTAGTTGCAGGCTACGTCGAGCTGAACCTTGCTAAGCACAACAAGAGATGTTTTCTGCCGTGTATCCGTTCACGGCCATCAAGGAGGTGGGGGTTGTCAAGATCATCTCGAGGGGTCGGACTACGAGTGGATTGGGCACTGGGCACCTGGAATTCATGCCTTTCTACTTGAAACGTTCAGTGGAAGCCTGGGTCGGGAGAGTACGCCATTTCTGCTGGCGGTGTACGGAGTGCCTTCAAGCGATGAGGCATCTACCTTTCTTACGCAATGTTGGTGGATGTAAATTGACTATGTGTATCATTGTAGTGGCGTTATCGATGGTACCCTCTGCAATGTCCACTTCTGCGCGATGGCGTGCAATGTTCTGTGGCAAGGTCTTGTAACAGACTCTTGTAACTTAAAAGGCATTGGTGACCTCATCTCTTTGCCAGGCAAGTGGCAGGTGAATCTTCGTGGGTTTATTGCGGCACAGTCACAGTGCGAGGTGTTCATGTTGGTTCATCACTATCACTGGCAGTACTAGGTTGGCACTGCCAATCGACTGCCAATACGGTATAGCAGTGAGGCCCAACGCGAGCACGTGGTCCCTTCGAGACACGCTTTCAAGTTGCGGGCGCGTTTGTCGACGCCTTGCCATGTGTCTTGGTTCGAGACCAAGGTGGTTTTGTCACTAACGCTTTTGTGATCAGTGTTTGTTTGTTCAAAGCGAGGCTTTCTCTCATTGTCTTAATCGCCATGATCAATCTTTACTTCTGTATAAAAACCTACGATGTCTCCACTTTCAAACCCTACTTCATACTCTTCGCACCATGCCCTCCAGGGTCCTCGGCATCACTCGTCTTGCTCTTGAAGCCGTCCTCCCCGCGGAATTCGAACCTAGTGACCTAGCACTTGCCGATGATGAAGACGTCGACTGCGACGCCTCCGACACAAATGAATCGCTGGAGGCTGGAGACGCTGGTGATAATACCACAGATACAGATTCCGGAATGGACGTCAGCGATAAGAAATTCTGTGTTAGAGACAGTACTGGCTTCGACATCCCTTTGCAACCCCTGGAGCTACCAGACGTCCATGATTTTGGAGATCGTGAGGATCCGGTACGTATTCGATACTGACAATGCTCCGAATTTCGACTAAATGCCTCCTTATAGATTGTCTTAGCCTCCACCGTATGCGAGGAGGACATTCGCCAAGCTCTAGCCCAAGTGGCCAGTGTGGCTCCGCCAGGCCATTGTGTGATGCAAGACAAGACCGACTGGGTGAGGACTCTGGCACGTATTCCTCCGTCTAGATACTGATCTGTTGCAGACGGAGAGTCACGTTGGCCAGCAAAATCTTCAAAAGAACATGTTTTCCATCAGAATTCGAGTACTTCAAAGCTTTCGAACTCAAAATTTATGGCAAAGATGGATGCTCGGACACGTATACCATCAAGCCACTGTTCATGGCGAGAAATTATCCCGAGGATGAACTGCAATCGCTGTATAAAATCCTTCCGGAGATGTACGCGCGGGCTCCCGAATATCTTGCAGATATGGAAGATGTCAAGAGGTACCCTGCAGGCAAATTTCAAGTGGAGGATTGTCTTTTATCTTCGATTCAGGCACGGTGGAGCAAGCTCTTCGCTTCCGACTGCGGGATTTGAGTTGTAACTCCACCAGATCTTGATATTCGGTCCCGCTGGTATGTCTGTCCCACGACAAGATCAAGACGAAGACCTCCTTGGGATCTGTCTGGTGGGCTTGGGCGAGACAGCCTTCACAGGTGTTCGCTTTGAAAACCACAAGTACACTCCCCGCCGTGGATCCTACTGCTTTCTCCATTCTGACGTACCTTGGCACGTTGCTAAAGAGGAGGGCCATCGCGCTGTAATTGTTTTCAGGATCTACGCGGATCGTGTCTCTAATTGCAGCTACACACTGGCGGTACACGCCGCATAGGCCGATATGGTCAGCACCGTTACTCGGATGAAACCACCCTTCGGGTTGTTGCTGGATGCAAACCAATTCGTGAATCGCGGAAAATTAGACCTCCTCCACAGCATCATAGTGGGAAGTACGCGTACACGTACGGATGTGACCATAAAATTCTTGCCCGTGGCCCTTCTGAGTTCAGTCATGGCATATCCCGAGTGTGCTTCGGGGACTTTCGCCCTTGTCTACCCTTTCACCGCAGCACATAACTGGAAACTCTTGAACGATGGTGGCCACTCCGTTTCCCCGGAGATGCTGTTCTACAGCTTTGACTGCAGGCTAACTATGCGGTTGATGCCGCGGCCGGACGACCTATACATCTATGATCTGTCTTATGCAATGGTGGTACTCCAAAAGTAGCTGCAGTGTACAAGTGCGCAACGGGCTGTTCTTAGCCATTGTTCGTGTTATTCTCCGACAATTGATTTTGTATGACCTTCTGTACTGCACACCGAGCATTAAGCCTGGTGGAAGACTGAGCAACAGATAGTCAACGATCTTGAATTGTTTGACTATATATTTATATATCCCAGAACCAGGATGAGATGCTGCACTTCGGGTTTACTGTTTCAGCTGAGCAGTGCCTCGACTTTGATGTTCCGCGGCCGCAGTATACAATACCAGATGAACTCCCGTCAACCGCATAGGAGAAGCAACGCCACAGGCAAACTTCCACTCTGCTACCTTCTCAGAGATGAAGAAAATGAATTCGGAGACGATCGAGTTTCAGGTGGGAACGGCCAAAAATATCGAACATCGAATCTTACCAAAGAGGTAGCGATGCGTATGCGTACAGTGTCGCAACGTTGGACACCATGTCGCTAGAGGACATGATAGAATAGAAATGCTCTTAGGTCGAATTGAAACCCCTCGAGCGCGACATTGTGACAGGTGGTGGTGCTCCCGATCCCAAGAATTACAGCTAGTTCAACAAATCGATAGGCCTCTGCTCAAAAGCCGGGTGTGCAGGCGGAAAGTGAAAGTTTCTGATCCGGGCGTTATTTCACAGGCTTTGGCTGCGGCCGTCCTGACGCTGTAGCGAGGGACACATCCAGATGCTCTCGACCCGGGCGGCAGCAGTCAGAGCGGAGGACTCTCCTCCTGCCGCCAGTTGACGGGTCTCAGAATTTCATCACACTCCGTCCTGTCCCTTGAGCCTCACTTTCAGGCAGGGGCCTATCGATTTGGAACTAGCTACAGGCACTGTAGCGGATTAGCAGGAATTACGTTGTTTAAGCGATGGACATTCTCTTACTGGTGCTACGTGTCATGACCAAACATCAAGACTCGCATGCTCTGTCCTCTGGTGTCCCTTCGTCGGTCTTCAGGCTAGTCTTTAGAGCTTATGTGTTGGAAGGGGACGGGTTGTCCGAAGCCCTGCAGTAGCGGCTCCCCGATACCAGATGCGAAGGTGAGCCTGCAGATTCCAGATATCTGATCGTAGATGCGGCGCCGTGATTTCTCGAACCAGACAAATCAAGGCTGCTCCAGCATAGTGATACTGTACATTTTCGACCAACCCGGCGGGTCACAGGTCACAAGGCCAATGGCCTGCCGGATTTCGGACAAGTGTCACAGGTCACACTCAGTAAAAATGCGAAGTCTGACAAAGTCGTGTAAAAACGTGAAATAGTCTATGATGCTCGTGTGATAGTCAATTCCGCCAAAATTTGGTATGTTGGTTACAAAATTGAGACTATTTTGTCCCCAAAAAGTCAAGAAATTGTCCAAAGTTGAGGCCGGAATGAACTGAATAAAGTCAAACACGAGCCCTGTCGTAGTCTTCTATAGTCAGATCTCAGTCATAGAATAGTCGGATTTAGTCGGATTTAGTTTGTCACTCTTCCATTGTAATAGTCATCAAAAGTCATAAATTCGTCACAAATTCGTTACTACAGACGAGCACAATTTGGCACTAGCACTAGCGACACAGCGGCGACACGCCCCTTCCCACTGCCGAGTCCGAAAATTCCTCTCGCGGTTCGGGAAGACAGGCAGGCACTCAGCTCGGAAGAGCTCAACCCTTCGAAGCGGCCATCTTCTTGACCTTATGCTGTGAACCAACATGTCAGCGGTGGATGCAAAGGATCGAATTGTTCTTACCTGCTGCACGATCGTCTCAACTTCTGCCTTCGATGGCTGGCCCGTTGCTTCGGCAGAGAGAATGATTGATACCAGCTTGTCTGTTGGCATAAAGATGAGCGGACAAAGACATTGAAATAAGCGGAGAATACTTACCTTTCTTCATAGAGGAACTCTTCTTGCCAAGCTTCACGTTGCCCGCCAACTTCCGATCAATCATCCATTCGAACAACTCATCTCTGTTGAGTAGCTATGCATATGGTACAGTTAGTGAGGATGCAGAAGAACGAAGAAATAAGTTACTTACGTTGAGATATGTACTCGGGTCAGAGTCTCTCGTGTCGGTCTCCGGTTTGCCAGTGCCAGACAAGTTGGAGGGGACTGAATCGTTCACAGGGGAACTGGTGCGAGGAGAGGATTGAGCGTTATCAGCCGAAGCGGAGACACCAGAAGTCTGAGTGGCGGCGGAGGACTCGGGAATACCGGTGGTGGACATGGTGTGAGCATCTGACGGTGGCACAGCTTTGCTCTTACCCTTCACAATGGGCTGTAGTGAATTTAATTTAGAACCAACATATTCAGATAATTTTGTACTCACCCCTCCTGCCGCTTTCCAAAGCCGCCAAAGAATTTCGAAGGTCGTCTCCAAGTACGCGTCGCTAAGATACGTGTTCGCCTCGATCCCGTTGACAAAACATACATGCCTTGCAACTTTGCAGGTCTTCATGGCAGCCGCAATCAGGCTTCGCGCTGTTACGCGGCAGCGAAATACGAGCGGCTAGTCGAGTCGTCACGAGACAAGGTCTTAGTCTAAGACACAAGTCCGTTCAAATGACACTTCTGGCGATGTCCTCGCACTGAAGGTCGATCAGAGTTCGTTCTTATGACTCGTAGTAGCTGTCTGCTACTAACGGTCGATCTCAGTCAAAGGCAAGTGAAAAGCTGGTTTAATGGTAACCAGGTCAAGATGGGGATCCAGCTCGACAAGGTCGTCTACTTATACAAAAGGTATCCGCAGTACTACGCATTAATGCGGGATCGTTCATTGGCTAGATAAGGTGAAACGATATCTGAGCAGGGTAACAGCGAGGAAGTAATATGTATGAGAAAGCTGAGTAAGGTCGTGAGAGATAATCAGTACTAATGGGGATAACGAGTCGTGTATCAGAACGAGGTAAAGATGAGGCATACATGCACGTCTTGCATGTGTGATAAGAAGAAGGTCCGGAGTTGGATCCGGTGTAACCCTAGACTAGGGGTTCTGGACATCTGGATAAAGAATCGGAGGTTGCGCTCCGATGAGTCACGTGTTGGATCACGTGGTCTAGTAACGTAAAGGGAACAAGGAAAAGAAAAAGAAAAGACGCGCCACAAGTGAGGAGCATTGTAACATCAGCTCCCGTCTAACATTTTTGTCCTACAAGAAATCTTGTGATCTTCATCGTCGTCGGGGGCAGTCGCGGACATAATGATCTCCTCCACATCTGTAGCATGTCCACCGGCTGGTTCGTGATCCTTGTTCGTGGATGCGTCCATCCCTGTAGGGATGACTGCGACACGAAGAAGTGGATGCGGTCGAGAAAGATGGTTGGGATAACGGAGATCGTCCACTGGGTACGTGCGAACGAGGAGGGCGAGGTCGAACGGGAATTGGTTCTGGTGACGAGCGAGGAGTGGATGCGGGTATTCCATTAGTGGTGTATCCGAGGATGTGTCCGATGTCTTCATCCCCATGCTCCCTCCAAATCTCCTGTGCTGTACGAGTGACCGTACTGCGCATCAACGACCAGACTTGGTCGACTCTGGTTCAGGCTCTACTCGTCCTTTCTTCTGCTGCGATGAGCTCTTGTCTGGCCGTCTGCATCCACTCGACCATTTCTAATGCTCGTTGCATGGAAACCACCGCTTGTCGATCTTGCGGGCGATTTCGTAAGGCGACAAGGATATCTGTGAAGTCGACAGGAACACGGATAGCCGAGACCAGACGTGTGGCAAATTCTTGTTCGTCCGATGCGTGACTGAGTTCGATAGAAGGTGAGGGCGATGAGGTGCGGATAAAGGGTGTCTGTGCTCGAGAGGGTACTCCATTGATAAGCGTAGGCGATGCGGGTATGCTCATAATTGTGGAGGCGACTTCAGCGAGTATATTGTGAACAAGGTCGTCTATAGCGGAAGTGGGCATTGATGATATGTCGTTTTCTCCTCCTTTTATACCTTTCGGTTGTTAAGGGGATCGCGGTTATCTGTGATGTGAAATAGAATGTCGTGGATCCGGGTAATAATCAAATAGATGAAAATCCATTGGACGATAAAGAGTATTCCCACAGAGATAAGAGCTGCCTGATCAGTTCCAGGCATCGTTCTGATCACCCCAGCCGTTAGCGTGCGGGCTGTCTCGCGTGAAGAGTGTGTGTTCGACAAGTCGTCTGATAAGGATTCGGTGGGTGATCCAAAGAAAAGTGAGGGTTGTGCAGTGGAGGACGATTAGGAAGATGATGAGGAAAACCGTCGTGGTAGTCATTCCGGGTTTCTTCTCCTCTACTGGATTCCCCTGGCCCTTTTATATGCATTGAGGATTCGCTTGGCATTCTGTAAATTGTGGGTAGGTTCCCACGAGTTTTCTGCTGAAGAATATCCCTTCCACTTGACTAAGTACCTCAGATGACCTCGGTACGTCTTGTGATTTAGGATGGCTTCGACTTCGTACTCTTCTTCGTTATCAACGACATCAGGTGGTGGGTTCACGTAATTCGGACCATGTATGTCGTTTTCGCGATAAGGAGATAGAAGGGCGGCGTGGAATACGGAATGAACTCGCCAGGTCTTCGGGAATTTGAGACGATAGTTGGCTGGTCCGATAACTTCGACAATTTCGAATGGCCCCTCACGCTTTGGTGCTATCTTGCGCGAGGCGTAATTGACTTTCAGGTTCCTCGAGTCTAGCCAGACCTTCTGTCCTAGTGTAAACTTCGGCGATCCTTGTCTGACTCGGTCCGCCATCTGTTGTCGGGCTAACTCGTGCATGGCTAGTGCTTCTAGTCTTATCTTCTGCAACATGTCACGCCTGGATTCAACCGATGGAATGTTCGTGGTCGGAAATACGGAAGGGAGTCCACGTGGTTCGTATCCCATCATGATGCAGAATGGGCTCATCTTCCGTGCTGAGTGTTCCCTTGTGTTATGACAAAACTCGAGGTCTGGCAGGCGGTCAGCCCATATTTCAGGGTTGTTTCCGCAATAGAGTCGAAGATAGATTTCCAGCTCCTGGTTGACTCGCTCTGTTTCTCCGTCCGTCTGAGGGTGATAAGCTGTGCTCATTGATGATCTGATCTGGAGTAGTCAATTTAACTCTTGGAAGACCTTGGATGCGTATTGAGGTCCTCTATCCGAGATGATTCGGTCGGGTAATCCAAATTGCGAGTATACTTTGTCATGAAAAATCTTGGCCGTTCCTTCAGCGGTGATCGTTTTGAGGCAGGGCGTAAGAATCACCCCCTTTGTAAGGTCATGGTCTACTACGACCATAATTGAATCAAAACCGTTGGAAACGGGGAGGTCGGTAATAAAATCGGTGGTGCAACAGGAAAATGGTAATGCGTGTGGGTTGGCGGGAATTGGTTCCAAAGGAATACGAGTTGGATGAGTATTTGGTTTCATTTGTTGACATGGCACAGCCTTCAACATAATTGTAGACAAATGTATACATGCCGGGCCACCAGAATTCACGACGTAACAGTTCAAGAGTATTAAACTTTCCAGGGTGACCCATGGCAGGGGAGTCGTGATGTAGTCGAACGAGGTCACGACGAAGAGTTTCGGATGGTGGAATGTAAATCTTTCCCTTATAGAGGATGACACCATCGCGAACTTCCCAGTCGGAAAGTGATGATTTCATGGGGAATGGCCCTTTGTGCGCGATCGCTTCGAGGGCTTCGTGAACAATGAGGTCTTTTGCTGCATGATTTCTGATTTCGTCGAATAGTGTCGGGGAAATGGATCACACGAATAGTGCGTTGGGTAAAAGAATGCGATCTTCGTTGTCACTTTCACTGTCATTGAGTCCATTACGACGAGATAGCGCATCAGATTGGATCATCTGAGTGCCAGGGACATGGATGAGGTGAAGATCAAATTGTGATAATTTGAGACTCCATTGTGCTTGTCGGCGGTTTAACTTCTGAGCTGTACGGAAGTACGTGAGGTTCTTGTGATCACTGCGAACTTCGACGGGATGGGGAGAGCCTTCAAGATAATGGCGCCATTCAGTGAGGGCTCGAATGATTCCGAGGAGTTCACAGTCGTAGATTTCGTAGTTCCATTCAGCTAGATTGAGCGTTTGTGAAATGTAGGCACAAGGATGGAGGTCTCCATTGATGTCAGCTTGGTGTAAAACTGCACCCGTAGCAAACTTGGAAGCGTCGGATTCAACAATAAAGGGTTTTGCCTTGTCAGGCAGTAACAGTACTGGGGCGGTACTGAATCGTTGCTTCAATGTGTCGAAAGCTGTCTGACATTCTGTTGTCCATTCAAAAGGTGGAGATCCAGCGGCAGTGCGCGTAAGATTCGTCAATGGTTTGGCAATATCCGAGAAGTTGGCAATAAACTTCCGATAGAAGTTTCCAAACCCTAGGAAAGAGCGAACACCTTTTACCGTGCTTGGTTCAGGCCATTCTGCAATTCCTTTAAGTTTGATAGGGTCCATGCCAATGTAGTTTTCTCGAATGATCATGCCTAGGAATTCGACTTCTTTAACGTCAAAGAAACACTTTTCCGGTTTAAGGAATAAGTCGTTGTCTTTGAGTCGTTGGAGTACGCGTCGGGTTCGAACGTGATGTTCTTCCAAATCGTTTGAGAAGATGAGGATATCATCCATGTAAATGACTATCCATCCCTCATTGATCATGTCCTTGAAGAGTGCGTTCATCATCATTTGGAAAGTCGCCGGGGAGTTGCAGAGTCCAAAGAACATGACCATAGGTTCGAAAAGTCCACGATTTGTCTTAAATGCGCCCTTCCATTGGTCACCATCTTTGATTCTGACATTGTTATATCCGGAGCGTAAATCCATTTTCGTAAAGATCGATGCGCCTTTGAATTGATCCATAAGGTCAGAGATGAGCGGAAGAGGATAGGCGTTCTTCACCGTCCCTTCATTCAGGTATCGGTAATCCTGACAGGGACATAGTGCTCCATCTTTCTTTCCTACGAAGAAAAATGGTGAAGCTATGGGAGATTTCGACGGTCGGATGTATCCTTTTCGCAGATTTTCTTCCAGGAAGTCATCCATCGCTCCTTGTTCCTTGAGCAATAACGGATAGACTTTACAGTCGCGTGGAATAAAATCGGGTTTCAAGTCAATGGCGTGGTCCCAAGGCCTGGTTTCTGAAAAGCGTTCAGCTGCTTTCTTTTCAAAGACGGACTTCAAATCGTGGAGGTAGTTGGGGACCAACTCCTCGACGGTTTTGGGTTTGTCTACAGCTGATGCTTCCTTGTGTGCCTGTTGTGCCAATTCTTGTGATTTACCAGATGGTTTGTAAAAGACCGTATTCTGTGCATTACAGAATAATGGGGATCGGGTACTGTGTGTCATTCTTCCAATGGTGGGGCCTCTTCGTATGGTGAAGACTGCGGTTTCAGTCTCTTCATTCGTTAAAGGTGACTCCTTTCTGATGGGTTCAAATATCCCAATAACTGGCTCTCCTGCGATATAGGATATAACTAGATCGTCGTCATCGAGCTGATCCATAGGGGGTTCTGATGGTGGGTCATCTGATTCGGTATCATTCCGCACTGCGGGTAACTCGCCACGCTCAGTGTTATCGGCCATGATTTCTCTGATAGATTCCGAATGCCCAAACGAGGTAGGGGAAGTTTCGGTGGTGATTAACTCTGGGAGTCCATCTTCCTTGAAAATCGAAACTTCTTCATCTGGTGCATCTTCGACGGTGGGTTTCGGTGGCCATTTGGCGTCTTTACCAAACCAAAAGTCACCGGTTTCCCAGTTGATCATCGGATTGAGGTGTTTAAGCCACGGCATGCTGAGAAGTATGTTTTCTTTGCCAATGCCGGTCAAGAGGAAGCGAGTAAGTGTCTTCCTTCCTCCGATTTTCATCATCTTCCAGGTACAATGAGTAATGGTACCCATTTGATTTGGTGTGCCATCCGCATTCATGACTTTAATCGGTTTCGGTAATTCTCATCTGATGAAATCGTTTTCTTCCGCAAAACGAATGTTCATGAACGTTTCGGCTGCACCGGAATTGATCAAGGCTTCTGTTGTAACGTCTTCCTTCTCTCCCAACGAAATATTCACAGTGATTGAATTTCCGCTAGTGTTACAAATAACGAGGGGAGATACGGTAAGATACGACAATCCATGCATTACTAGTGGCCGTCGTCTCAAAAACCCAATTGGGTTCGTTCTTCATCAGTCATGTCGTTGAAGACGTTTCGCACATAGGCGATCTGTTCCTCTCTGGTTTCTTCCTTCGATGTCTCCTTCTTCTGTGCGAGGTCTTCTCGCATCTTCTTGATCCATGTGATCGTGTCTGTGTCCAACCCGGGCTGTATCGTTCTAGCACGGGTGAAACTTCCAGCCTGGGGGTGGAATTGTCTGTCGTTGGCTATATGGCCCTTCTTTCCGCATAGGAAACATAATCCTTCTTTCATTCTCTTCTGTCGCTCGTCCGGGGATAAGCGCGAGATATTGACACGATCAACATCCATCGCATTTGGATCCTTTGCAGAAGCCGAGTAGTAGGGACGATGGACAGATCGGCCCTTTCCTCGCGTCGTCGTAGTGGCTCCTCGCTTGAAGATCTGAGCAGATCTCCATTGGTTATCAAACCGCGAGGCGTATTCGTACCACTTGTCAAGTGTCTTGGGCATGCTTTCCATCCCATATATCCTTTGTCGGAGTGGGTCGTTAAGTCCCCACTTAAAATATTCGATATTTCCGGCATCTTCTAATTTCGCCTTGGATTCAAGCGATCGGAATTCGGCAATGTAATCGTCCGCAGTACGAGTCCCTTGCTTGATGTTACGTAGCAAGGTACGAGCGGTTTCTTCAATATTTTCATCGCCAAATGCTTTGTTCACACTCGCAATGAACTCTCTCCAACTTCCATAAGAAAGGAAGTCATCATTGGTGAGTTCCGTTTCTATGAAGCTCTGCGCCCATGATCCTGCTGTCCCTCCTTGCATGTGCGATAGCACAAATGCAATCTTCTGATTGTCCTCCTGGTAGACATGGCTATTTCCGGCCATGTAATTCTTGCATTGGTTTATAAATTCCCTAAGCTTCGAACGGTCTGAACCGTTGAAGATCTCGGGTTTTCTAAAACCAAGTTCCTTCTGGCTAACATGGTGACGTCCTTCATCCATGGTAACTGTAGCCATCGGTGGTATGTAATCGGGTACGATTGGTGCAAGAGTCGGTTGGGGTACAGGATTCTGGGCAGGGGGGTTCCAAGGGGCGTCTGGTCTCTCTCCTGGATAGGAGGTCGTTATACCGCTGTCTGCGATGTGCTGGAGCACTATTCCACCAAGATTATGGGGAAGTGTCCTTTCAAATTCCTCTGGGGAGTAGTCGAAGTTGTGATTGTCTGGCCTGATGAATACAGGCCTTCCTCCTATAAAATGTGCGTTTCGTTCTGTGCTCCACTCCGCTTGAGATGGGAGGTGCTCGCGGTACTGCTCCGGAAGAGCGGTCGGGTTGATGTAGTTAAAATCCAGCATGGATAAATTCTTCTGTGTGGCCTATGTCTACACGTAGACTGCACACCGTCCTTAACTAAGTGGGTTCGTTCGTCGTCGGCTAACAAGCCCGTAGAGTGTCTTCTATCTTCAAACTGATACACCTATTTGCTGATTGCTCGAGTGATTACCTCAGCCTCCTCGGCCTATTGGTCTCTCGGACAGACCCCTCTCCGAAGATGAGTGATCAGTCTATCCCTTCAGCTACCTCGATTACAGAGTAATCTCAAACGGTGCTTTAGCAATCGAATCGGGTGTATCGTTCAGTCTTCAAGGTTCGGTCCGGTCGGTAGTTCGTTGTTAGACTTTGGGAAGTCACAGAGAGTAATAAGATCTCGACCTAATGTTACGCGGCAGCGAAATACGAGCGGCTAGTCGAGTCGTCACGAGACAAGGTCTTAGTCTAAGACACAAGTCCGTTCAAATGACACTTCTGGCGATGTCCTCGCACTGAAGGTCGATCAGAGTTCGTTCTTATGACTCGTAGTAGCTGTCTGCTACTAACGGTCGATCTCAGTCAAAGGCAAGTGAAAAGCTGGTTTAATGGTAACCAGGTCAAGATGGGGATCCAGCTCGACAAGGTCGTCTACTTATACAAAAGGTATCCGCAGTACTACGCATTAATGCGGGATCGTTCATTGGCTAGATAAGGTGAAACGATATCTGAGCAGGGTAACAGTGAGGAAGTAATATGTATGAGAAAGCTGAGTAAGGTCGTGAGAGATAATCAGTACTAATGGGGATAACGAGTCGTGTATCAGAACGAGGTAAAGATGAGGCATACATGCACGTCTTGCATGTGTGATAAGAAGAAGGTCCGGAGTTGGATCCGGTGTAACCCTAGACTAGGGGTTTTGGACATCTGGATAAAGAATCGGAGGTTGTGCTCCGATGAGTCACGTGTTGGATCACGTGGTCTAGTAACGTAAAGGGAACAAGGAAAAGAAAAAGAAAAGATGCGCCACAAGTGAGGAGCGTTGTAACACGCGCGGCATCGTTCCCAATGCCGTCCCATGAGGTAAGTACAGAGCTAGAAGTCATTGAGCCAGCTGTAAACTGGTAGTGGCCCCACGCCGTTCCGAGGTCATTTTCTGAGAGGTCCGGCGCATTAGGATCGGCGTTCTCGATGCGCTCGATGAACACAATTACTTCTGGTGTTGGAGAACCAACACCGAATGCGGGTTTGAGCTTCATGGCGTTGAGAAGCTCAAATCCACTCATTAAACCTGTATGGCTGCCGGACAACATGTCTGCGAGCGAATAAGTAAATGTACGAGAAGGTTAGTTGTAGCTTACCAATCAAATTCTCGATTGACGGATCGATGTTGATGAAACTAACATCAACTGCCGCCTTCGCTGTGGGACCCGAAGGTGAAGTAAGTGATGATGACGGTGCAGGCGGCACTGTAGCTATTTCGCGTGAACATCGACACAATGAAAGAAAATATCAGAACTTACCAAGAATGTTGGTGATTGCACCAAGCTGCGGTTTCAGCGTTGGTGCAGTTACCGGCGCGAACGTCATATCCTTCGCATGCTGCAATGCCACATTCGCGGCAGGTTTCTTCTTTGGCTTGCTCGAAGAAGAAGAATGTCCTCGATGTCGCTTGTTGATGGCTGAAGTCTGTGAGGTTGCCGCAGTGGAGACTCCGACTGTCTCGGATGCTGAGGGTTTGCCTACACTAGTGCTGACAACAGAGGTACTGATGTGGCTGATGTCGTCATCGTCGTCAGCATCAAAATCTGGTCCCTTCTCCTGTAGTAGCATCTGACCAAGGATATGCTCCGCCTTCCAGTGGTTTTCACAAAGGGCAAGTAACGGCTGCATCTTCTCCATCTTCAGCATTGCGGCTTCCCACTCGCATGGATACGCAGCCCGCAGCACCTTCTTCATCTTCTTCACATTGCGATACCGACATTCTTGGGGAGGAGGAAGGGAGAGAAGATCGTGCTTGACCATGCGAGCAGTTGATTGGATTGCATGCCACTCGGCGAGCGAGATGAGTTCACCATCTGTGTGTCGGACTGCCTTATCCATCGGGATCCTCGCGGGATTAGTTACTGAAATGGTGATGTCTTCATCCCCTTCAATATCCTCCTTGTACCACAAGACTGCCGGTGGATATCGCCTTGCAGGAGCGATGGGAAGAGCATTAAAATGAGGTCGAGATGCGGAAACATCGCTCCCATCGCGCGAGATCATGCCGCCGCGACGAGAAGCAGAATCACTTGGCAAAATTGTCGAGCTACTGAGTGAGACATAAATCAACCAAAAACTGGAATGAATGAGCCACTTACCTGGCAAAACTTGATGATCGACTCTTTTCGGCCTTTAATGCTTGCAGCTCTTGTGTCAACTGCTTGTTTTCTTGCATAACCTGCATCAACTGAGCTTGTGAGTCAGACAACTTTACCACCTGCGTGCTCATTTGCCGAAGCTCGTTGTACATATCCAAGACATGGTGATTTTTCAGAAGCTCGGAGAGGTCTAGATCGGCGATATTGTGGTTGCATGAGGTGAGTGATTGAGAAACAGAAACCGGACCAGAAGACAAAGAGAAATCAGTAGTTGGAGAGAAGTCTGAAATATCGGGCGGTGGTTGGTGCGACATTGCTGGCGGCTGAGTCGGACAGCGGGCGCGACATCCAAGTCTGGAAGTTCAACTTCCTCAGATTTGTCAGCACTCCAAATTAGGAAACAACCACGTTGCAACCAGGCGGATGCAATGCGGTTATCAGCCACATTGCTCTTACTCTCATACCATCTCATTGCACCTTTCTAACAAGCTACACATCCTCTAAACTGAATTCAACATGATCTGCAAGTGCAGCAAATGTCATCCCGGCAAGGAGCGTAGTCTATCCACTCTTCGAAAACACCTTTACCAAGATGTTGAACAGCTTGAACAACCATTTCACACAGAAGCCTATCGAGACTGTCTTCAAAATTGTATTCTCTTGAACACTCAGACGTTACGGGATGCATCATTCCAAACTTCTCGTGATATACCAGCTGCATGTAAGTGTTCTGGTTTGTTATCAGTAAATCAGAGAGATGGTGGTGAGGTTGAGCCTCACTGGCAGTTAGCAGACTGGATAGATTCTGGCTACCAGTTCACTAACTATACTCTCACCTCTCCATTTTGTGGATCATTTATTAAACTTAGAGCTGATACATTCTTAGATTTGAATGTGAACAAGAATTTGACTATAACTGGTGAAGAAGATTTAGCAGATGAAGATATGGACCAAGGACAGGCTATGGAGGTTGATGAAAATATGGAGGAGAATATAAGCAATGATGAGGAAGAAGACCAGGAAGAAGACCAGGAAGAAGACGAGGAAGAAGACGAGGAAGCAGATGAAGACGAGGATGAGGAAGAAGACCTCCTTACATTTCTTCCTCAAGTTCAAGATCAAGAAGCAACTTACTCAAGTGATGGTGATACAATGGACAGTGATACAAGTGGTATTGATACAAGTGATACCGAGGACACACAGGATGAAAGCGATGGCATGGAGCCTATCATAGAGCTGATGGATTTTCAATATCCTCAAGTGCGAACCGATCTGCAGAAAATTCTGCTACATGGATATTCCTGCCCTTTGGAACCTCCATTCTCTGCCTCGCTACCATGTGAATTAACTCCTTCGGAGTTTCAATCTTTTCGACATTACATTGCATGGAAACTATCCAATGGCACTGTGAAAGCATACAAGTATCATAGAAAGGTTTTGGCAGATGCAAGTTACATGGATATTCAATCTCTATATTTGGTACGCAAGTTAGCAGCCACTTTGACAGACACCAAGCTGTTGCAAGTTGATATGTGTCCGCGGAGCTGCATTGCATATACTGGCCAATTCGAGAAAATGGATACCTGTCCCTATATTCGAGATGGTCAAATTTGTGGAAGGTCATGTTACAGAGCCAAAAACAAGCCAAAAGCACAAATGCTTTACAACTCATTTACAGCAGTTCTTAAAGCTATGTTTGCAAATCTGGAAACTGCAAGGCTTCTACGCTATAGAGATAAATGTTTACAGCAGGCCTTAAAATTGCTTGCGGATGCTTCACAAGTAAGTTTTATTTGAATTTTTAATATGCTTCAAATAAATTCACAGCTTTATAGTCTCAAAGGCTATATTCAGACTTTTCAGATTCTAATGTGCACATTCATCATTATACAAGAATGAATCTGTTCAAGGATCCTTGAGATATTGCATTCGCTTTATCCACAGATGGTGCTCAGCTTACAATGAAGAAACAATCAGACACCTGGATTCTTATCCTGATATTACTCAACCTTCCTCCCGAATTTCGCTATAAATCACATCAGATCATCGTTCCTATGGCTATTCCAGGCCCTCATAGTCCAGGAAACCTTGAATCCTTCCTCTATCCTCTCTTTGAAGATTTAGCCATGGCAAGCGAGGGAATCTGGATGTGGGATGCCATTGATTCCTCCTACTTTATGAATCATGCATTTCTTTGCATGGTGCTTGGAGATATGCTAGGCTCTGCAAAAATGAACGGGATGGCAGGACATTCAGCACTTCATGGTGACCGATTTAGTGAAGTCCAAGGTGCACGATCAAGTCTAAAAAAAGGGGCAAAGGCACAATATTATCCTATCTCACCACCAGAGAATGCAAGATATAATCCTAGTCGCCCACCTTTCTATGATCTCAATAATTTGCCACTGCGGACAGAAACAAAATATTGGGAGATAATTGAGCAGCTTCTTCACACCACCTCAAAACGAGGGCAAGCGGCTATTACACGAGAAACAGGAATTTCTCGTATGCCTTTAGCTGCAGCAAGTCCTGCATTTATACATCCATCATTCTTTCCTTTGGACCCCTTTCACATCCACTATGAAAATGAACTGGCATTCATATGGGATATGTGGACCATTCATAGTTCACCTCAAGACCCAATTTATCTCAGCAAAGAGAAGGCAGCATTATTTGGAAGCCTGGTTTCAGAAGCAATGTCTTCACTTCCTCCCTCATTTTGTGGACCAGTTCGCGACCCATATTTGAAATGCCAAAGCCAATACAAAATTTATGAATGGATGGCTTTGCTTCACTGGTATATTCTTCCAATTGGACTTGAACTAGGCTTCAACACTATGGTTTCTTACAACTTTTTCCAGTTTGTGGAAATTGTGGAGTTTGCCATGACTATCAAGCCACGAAGTGATTTGGAGATCAGATGGCTTCATGACAAGATTGTATCATTTCTAACAGGGTTCCAGACACTCTACATTGGAGCTGATCCAGAGAAGATTTCAAGATTTCGGCTATGCATTTTTCAGTTGATTCATGTGCCACTTCATATCAAATGGTATGGCTCTGTTCGCCTTGGCTCACAAGCTACCATGGAGAGAACTATTGGAGAACTTGGTTCAAAAGTTCGTTCCAAGAAGGCATCATTTGCCAATTTGGCCAATTTGATTTTAGAAAGACAACTTGTTGAATCCCTTCTTCTCTACTATCCATCACTCGCACCCACTCACAATCAACTCATAACCAACAAGTCCTCACTTTTTTCGAAGGTCAATATAACCAAAAAAGAGCATAACTTGGGGACAGAATTTTATCAGCAGTTTCAAGCAATCTCAGAGTCACAGCAAGTTGCCTTTGATCTAGACTCAGCTGTTACAAGATATGGAAAGCTACGTGTAGGCAGTCAAAAGGCTGTCTTGAATAGCCGCTTAAGTGAACTTCACCGTGGCAATCCTCCCTCGAGATCCCATCGTTATTTTGAAGGACATTCAGCTGGAGGCATGGTTCCAATTTTTGGTGAAGCCCTTGCATTCTACAGATTTAATGGTGTGGAAATGGTTGTCTATCATCCAATCCATAACATAACACACCCACTGAAGACTTGGAAGGGAATGTGGTCTAATGAGATCAAGGTTGCACAAATTTCAGAAATTGTGGATATTGTTGGAGTTTGGAACTACAAAACTGCTGTCTATGTGCTCAGAAAGCATCCAGTACTTGATTGGCTGACCCCAGAAGAAAGAGGAGAGGTTGGAGAAGCAGAGGAAGAGAATTTGGAAGAAGGGCTCAACACATTCTAACAGCAGTATGTCATTGTGAAGCATCTTGACTTTGCAGACTATTATCTGACAAATATCTTGGCAGTAGAGGAAAGGTTGGAGAAGCAGAGGAAGAGAATTTGAAAGAAGGGCTCAACACATTCTAACAGCAGTATGTCACTGTGAAGCATCTTGACTATTGCAGACTATTATCTGACAAATATCTTGGCAGTAGAGGAGAGGTTGAAGAAGCAGAGGAAGAGAATTTGGAAGAAGGGCTCAACACATTCTAACAGCAGTGATGTCATGGTGAAGCATCTTGACTACTGCAGACTATTATCTGACAAATGTCTTGGCAGTTTTCTTCTGATTCTCGACTTCACAGTTTTGATGACTAGCAGTAGACTATGACATGTCTGCCGTTTGACTAAATAAGACTATACGTGATTACATATGACATTATGAGACTTCCGGTTTTTACTGAGGGTCACAACGAGTCTCGCCGCCGACCCCAAACCAATGGAAAAGAGGCATTTTTTGCTGGCCTGCGGCGCCAAAATTGCATGGTCCTTGTTAATTACACACCTCCGCTTTCCAGTCACCACCGGCTATACAACAGCTCCGTGGACCATCCGGCAGCTGCAAGGCTCGCTGTACGCTGGCGCCTCCGATGCCACTGCCCCGCCGCCTTGCCGCTACATTCCGTCCTGTCCCCGGTCACACCCGGTCCAGCCGGTTGGCCGGTTTGGGTCCTCGAGGTCACACTCAGTAAAAACTGGAAGTCAATTAAAGTCTGGTATTGTTGGGCTGAAGTCAATCAGATTCAAAATTTTGGCACCATGGTGTAAAGTCCAGAGAAGTCTGTTTACAGTCACCAAACTCATCATGCCAAGAAATTATGTGATCAAATGCCATCAAATCCTAGTCTGTAAAAGTCAGGCACCACAGTTGATTATCTCAAAATACATAACATTCTGAAGCTCATATGTTGCTTTTTTCTGCACTGAGGGGTTGGAACATAACTGTACAGACATGGTCTAAACTATATGAGGTCATGCACTATAAGAAAACCATAAGAATAGTCACAAGTAGTCATTAATAGTCAAATTTGCCAAAATTTTGAAATTGGCTGACTACACTTTGACTTCTGGTTTTTACTGAGGGTCACAGGTCACACCCTCCGCCGGGTTGGTCGAAAATGTACAGTACGGTGCAACACTGGTAGCGCTCATATGCATTACCTGTAGCCGGTCGGCGAGCAGCGCTTGCTATCTTGAGCGAGAGAATTGCTGAGAATTGCCACCGTCGTTGGTCCACCATGGCATGCTTTTATACTCACTCAAGAATCAGAAATGGTGACAATCGACGAAGTGGGTTTTAAGTCCGGCATATGTGAACTAAATAGTTGTCGGACGTTGAAGGCGTCACCGAGAGCAAGAAATCCGCCGGCGACCCTGCTTTTATGAACTCTAGAGAGATCTAATTAGTTGTATCGACGGCTCTGGATAACGAAGATCCAAAACTCGGAGACGCGATTCACATGCACATTGCAAGCTCCGCGGGGCATGTTCAGCTGTGTCAGTCGTAAAGCGGCAAAGATAGTAAGTTTGCAAGTCAATTGAATGAGTTGTGTCACAGAGACTAGCACGCTATCCCATTCAAGTTGGAAGTCGACAAGAGACGGTACTAAAAATAGCTTGATGTGATCGTGCCTCGATCGTACACTGATTTCGTCCTGGAAAGGCAACTGATAACAATTTTTGTACCGTTTGGCCTCCACATGCGTGAGTTTACTAGGGCCTGCTTCTCTCCTTAGCCTGTCTTCTCGTAAACCCCCTCAACAGGTCAAGCGCGGTGTCCTTGACCTCGTAGGTTTATAAGGACACCACCATCTGCTATCGCTTCCCAGGAGTCTCGGTTCTCTTCCACACTATGATGTCGACCACCCTGGACGCTATCATTGATCCCGCTCATCATGATCTTTCGCCGGTAGACAGCAAGCGGGATTACATCGACGAGACGCTCGAGGTTCCTATCCATGTCGACCTAGTGTCGGTCCCTCCGGTGCGCCCCCCACTCGACTACTCGTCGGTCAGTGCGTTCTCCGCCAGCCTCTGGCGTCGTTTCGCCAGTCTGTGGACGAAGCGCTTCATCCTGTCGCTGCTAGCGGGCCAGCTTGTCTCCCTCTGTATTACCTGTACGAATGTCACGACAACAGAGCTTGTCCAGCGCAACTGGGCGCTTCCGACCACTCAGACTTTTTTCCTGTGAGTTGCCTCATACGCAATGTGCATGCCGTGAAAATGAATGGTTCTGGGCTAGCTATTTTTCAATTTTCATCGTATACACGCCTTACACGATATATCAATGTAAGCTGCCCTCGTGTTTGACGTGAAGCAGTCGTTGAATTTACATTTCGATTAGACGGATTTAAAGGATGGCTGAAAATGATCTTCAGAGATGGCTGGAAATGTGAGCGCTTGCGGATTTTCCACGCTGATCCTGGACCTACAAGTGTACCTGATCGCAGATGTCATCCTTGCTGCCTGCGACGTAGAAGGAAACTTTTTGGCTGTCAAGGTGCGATCTCATCGGTCTATTTTTCCATTGTGTCACGATCAACTGTATTTTTCTCAGGCTTACGATTACACGACCCTCCTTTCCTGCATGCTTCTGGACGCATGGGCAATCCCCGCATGCCTGTTCTTCTCTTGGGTTTATATGCGTCCGAAGTATCACTGGTCGCAGCTCTTCGTACGTCCATTCCTTCCACTGCCCCGCTTTCCTACCCAACACACATGCAATTTCTGACAGGGCGTAGTCATCTGTGTCGGAGGCTTGGGCATGCTTGTAGCTTCCGACGAGCTCACCGACAAAGACTGGCCGGCGCAAAATCGTGGCAAGGGCGACGCCTTCATGATCGTCGCTGCCACGCTCTATGGCTTCAGTGGGTTCGCGTTTCTCCCATGTTTCCAATTACTTGCTCACAGACTGTTATTCTAGCGAATGCTACGGAGGAGTTTTTTGTGCGCCGCTCGCCGCTGTACGAGGTCATCGGGCAGCTCGGTATGTGGGGCATGATCATCAATGGCATCCAGGCTGCGGGGCTTGAGCACAAGCAGATGACGACCTCGACGTGGAGCGGAGAGAACAGTATGCTCCTTCTCTTATACTCGGTGTAGCGTTGCTAATGTGGATATAAAGTCGGGATCCTGATCGCATACACTGCGTCAATGTTCATTCTGTACACCGTCGCGCCGATCTTGTACCGTATGGCCTCGTCCACGTACTACAACCTCAGCTTGCTGTCGAGCGACTTCTACGGGCTGCTCTTCGGGCTGTTCCTCTTCGTACGTCCCCGCCCTTCTCGCTTGTGCATCACGTCATGTCTTTGTTCATTTCTGCAGCATTACAGGGTGTACTGGCTGTACTTCCCCGCATTCGCGGTGGTCATCCTCGGGCTGGTCATCTACTTCTGGTCTGCCCCACGTGCGTTCTCCCATTTCGCTTATTTCTGCATGCTTAACGTTTTCTATACAGCCGAGGCACAAGGCAAAATCGACCCCCGCGCGCCGGCGTATGTATCCAGGAGGGAAAACGCACTGGACATTGTCGCTGGACAGGTGTAAGATCGGCCGTAGCCGCTGCTACCGAGCCGACGAATAGATACGTACTACATGTAGCTTTACGACTGTCCGCGAGCTCGAGGGCTTGCTCTGAACTCAGCGAATGCAAACAGATTTATAGTCATGCGGGTGTTTATAGAATACACTATCCGATGTGCAAGAAGCTGATACACAACGTAGCGGGAGCTGGGGTACATAGGACATACGATGATGTTATAAAAGAGGATAACTTAGACGATATGGCGAGGCTTATCCTTCTCCTTCTCTTTCTCCTGCTCTTGTTGTTGCTGCCTCTTCCACTCTTCGTATTCTTTGAACTGCTCGAAGCGTTGGTTCCGCAGCTGCTCCATCTCTTCCTCGCGCTTCGCGCGCGTCTCCGCGAGCTTCTGCAAAGTTCCGTGATATGAGCATCCCAAAAGCTCAGAGGAGTAGAAAAACTTACAGCCTTGAGAGACTGAACTGTCGACAGAAGCGTCTCAAGTGTCGCCTCCGACATATCGGAGATCTAAAAGCCAGATCAGTCAAATCGCGAGGAGAACAATTGGCGTATACGCACGGTGTCAGTAGCCTTGTTGCCGAAATCTTGGATGCGCTGCCGCTCCTCCTCCCACTTGTCCGTCGGCATGGGCGTCGGCGGCGTGCCAGACGGGGGCCAGCTCCGTCGCTTGTCCCACGTACTGGCCTCCCCGTTTGCATTCGCATTCTCGTCCGCGCTCGCCCTCGCATCCATACGTCCATGCCGGTGACGGTGGTTATTCTGGATATCCCAGTCGCCCCGCTGCCAGTTCCAGCTCCACCTCCGCTCACGCTGCTCCAGCGCGCCTTCAGGAGCGCCTTGGTTGGCGTCGGCAGTAGCGGCGGCGGGGGGCGCTGCAGGTACAGGTGGGAACGTGCCGGGCGCCGGATACGCCTCCTGCGGGATGCGATCGCGCCAGCAATGGCTCCGCTTCCACTCGCGGGCCTCGTGCGACCGCATCCAGATGCCAGCGGTCGCTGCGCCGATGATGAACCAGAGGATGCGAGAGCCGCCGCGGTGGCAGAAGCCGCGGTAGTACGGATACATTATGTGCGACACAGAGGTGAATGAATTCGGTTGTCGGCTACTTAGAGGATGTAAGGAGGACTCGAGGTACAGATGCGTTGTTGGGATGGGACACAGTCTTTTAAAGTGCGAAGTCGTGTCTGCCGTGAAGAGGCGTCATGACGAGAGCAGGTCGGAAGAGATTGCGCGTCGACTGAGTGTCTCGCCACTGCCTCCCGGCGGCACCACTCGCGTGTTTCCTCGGCATCGGCCACGGCGAAATGTGACCACGTCACAACAGTGGATCATGCAAGAGTTAAATCACCTGAGGCTTGACCAACTTGGCAACATCGGAAGATACAGGAGAACTCATATGCACATGAGCTCTGCTCAGAACAAAGGACAATGGTCTCATCGTCGTGCGATCTCTCTGGAGACAACAAAAACGGTGCAATCACGTGAATCGTGACAGATCGTGACACGGCCGGCCGAACGCGCAATCTGCCGGACGCGTACTCGCCCCACTGACTCGGAACGATGTCCCACTCCGCGAAGGAAAATGACCACCAAGAGAGAAGCCGAAGAACATACCTCCGAGGCAAGATCCTCCATGAACATCTGGAACAAGTCGCAAGAAGGCACTCAGGCCCGGATGCACAGAGACTTGTGGACGGACTCACCTACGCGTCTGCCATCTCGCTACTCGATCAGACACCGCAGCATTGTACCACTGTCCTAGCAAATCCAGAGTCCGTAGAGGCAACTGAGAATGATGAAGATGTCGAAAGATGTGTCTCCGGAGGCCTGTCGGAAACCGACCTGAAGCGCTTCGGTTCTCCGTCGACTCTGGTGAGGAGTCTGACGCGCTCGCTGAATTCGAAAATGAGGACGCTCACTGGCTATAGATGACATCGCAAATCCAGAAACAACTATTGGTTGAGCTGAAACGGACGTTACTGACCGTGGTAGAGTTCTGGTCAGACGAAGAAGGTAGCTTCTATATGTTGTAGGTCTATTCAGACACAACTGACGCGAGTAGATGCAACAGAGGAAGAACGCCTCCAAAGTGCATTCGAGCTTCCGGAAAACATTCGCCTGCAGAAAGAACGAATAGTCCAACAAAGGGCGGAACTGAAAGAGCACTATGTTCGCACGCAAAATCTGGTGAACGACATCAACGAGGTACTCAATCTTCATGCAAGACCTCTACATCGATTGACGTCCTCGCAGATTCACCCGCGCTTAGAAGAGGTCTTGATCAATGCTCTGACGACACTTCCTCCCATCTTGAATGCTTCTCGCGTCGCAAAAGCAGATGTGCTCTCCATGACGATCGAGACATGCCTCCTCAGGCTCTCGCTCATCCGTGCACGCGCTCACACGGCGCTCTATGGTCGCACGTCTTCGAAAAACCCTGATGCGACCATGAGTCGTGCACTAGTCGTAGCGCATGGAAAATTGGCTGCGAAACAGCACACACAGAGGGAGGAAGAACGCGTGCTGGACAGGCAGATCGAGGAGTACGAGCGGCTGCTGAGCCTCGTGGATGGGCGCGACGGCGGCTTCGCGCAAGTTGTGAAGGACAGGGCGAGGGTGAGGAGCGAGACGCAGGAGTGCAAACGGGATCTGCGCAGACTTGGTTGGACGGGTGACTAGCGGCGATGCAATTGCCAATGATCATCGTGCTGAGACATCGCTGAGAACTGCCTCGTATCAGCTTAACCACGGGATCGGCGACGAAGTCACAGATGTGCATTCTTCCCAAACATCCAGTGCACCATCGGTTCATCGTTTGAATGGTTTTGGCGCGCGCTCTCGCCTCGTTCTTTCAAATCGATATGTCGTGTGACAGAAGTCTACTTCAAGCAATGCACCTTCAAAATTGTCGAAATGAGATGCCTCTGCGTTGGAATGGAGAAATAGAAACTCATCAAATTGATCTATTGCACACGAGTGTGGACTTGTTCACGCTCTACCTTGGGTACATAGAAGATTGGATTCGTGCGGGAGCACGGACATTAATTGCGGCTACCGTTTGCGCAATTATGACCACCGGTTTCTACCTCGGCAGAACTGAAGATCTTCAAAGTTTTCATGCCGGGCTTCGGGATACTCTCAGGTTGTGAGTGGTGGATATGCAAAGGACGCGGACCGAGGTCGCCGTCGACTTCGTTCGAGAAGAGCGCGGAGCTAATTGGCCAGACAGGACCTCCCTGATTGGCTGGAGTTTCGGTGTCCGTCCTAAAAGGGAAATTTATGGATGACGTAAGCAACGGGTATGCGCCGCGGTGACTGGATGGTGACTGGACGGGTACTCCTTCTGTGTAGTTGTATTGCAACATGGGTGCCTCATCAGAAAGTGCCCCGCTATCTCCCACTAACTTTTTCCTTCATCCGCTCTCCATCGCAACCTCTCGATATTCCCCGCCGCCTCATTCCCCCTGCTTTTCTTCTGCTTCATCCACTGTCTCGTTTTCGAGATATCAGCAGTTTTCTGCACTCAGGACTACTAACGAGGCTGTCCTCGAGGCGATGGCCGACCCTCGTTTTCGTTCGAGTACAAGCAGTGACCCGGTCTGCCACTGCGCTGAGCATGGCGGTGTTGCTCCGCTCGCTTGCGAGGAGTGCGTCCAGGAGTGCGCGGATGCTCCTTGCACCGTCGGATTGACACCTGAGTGCACTGATCAGTGTGTGGTTGTACCTTGCAATGATGCACATCACCAAGACCCTCCTTGCAACGAGAATCATCGTGCAAATGAGCCGTGCCACGATGGTGCGGACTGCACTTCGCTTGAAGACTTTGTGCGTCGACATCCAGATTTGGTGTGGGCAACGGACTATTAACCTGTCCCTTTGTTCAGTTCGAGTGCTGCACGGATTTTCATGAGTATTTCTCTCAGCCTCGCTCTTTTCCTACGGACGTGGCTCCGAATACTCCCGGATTCACCTGGGATACTGCTACCCTGGAAGCTCTTCTTTGTGGCAGCCCCGGAGCCGATCCGCGTATGAGCCGTTCACAAGCAGGCAGTAGTAGCAACCCACCGCTCTTCCCCCATATTATCCCAAATGCATCGATCCATCCTTCTCCCGCGACAGCGCCGCAGAAGAGTCAAGGACTCACCGAGCCCATGACGCAGCATCTACATCACCAGCCCCCTCTGTATTTGCCTAGCGCGGAAGTTCAAGTCCCTCAGACCCAGGAGAACCAGTCTTCAGCAATGAAGTGCATGTGGGGTAATTGCTCGGAAACGTTCACCTCTCTTTCCGAGCTGGTCGGCCATGTCAATCTCACCCATCTGCGTTTGCCGTCGCCGCTCCCTGCGGAGTCTTTGTCTTCTGTCCCTATTCCTGCTCCCAAGTCAGCGCAGGCACTGCAGCAAGCTGTGGCCGCCAACATGGACCCCAACTCGCTCTCGTGCATGTGGGCAGACTGCCAGGTCTACCCGACGCCGCAGTCTATCCCAGGTCCGTCCACCAGGAATGCAGTCAACAGCGTGATGGAGGTCCTTGCCAGCCATTTACTCGAACACCATCTGGGGCTTCCGACCCGCTCGTCCAAGCAAGATGAAACTCTAGGGACCTTTTCACTAACGTCCAATATATCCCCGCTTTCCACGCCCGACGCTCATTCCATGACTACCGCACCGTCCGCGCCCATCTTGGCGCCCGCTTCGCCCATGCATGGACCGCCGACTCCGCTGCCTGAGCACGACTGCTCTGCACCGTCCTCGCACATCTGTGGATGGGAAGGCTGCGGACAATCCTTTTCGTCATGCGAGGATCTGACCGTGCATATTACTGCGACCCACGTCGGTGGGGGTAAGGCTCACTATGATTGTCACTGGGAAGCCTGTTCCCGGCACGGCGAGCACGGTTTCGCCAGTAAGCAGAAAATTCTGCGACATTTGCAAGTGGGAGCGTTTTCATCCCGGAAATTATCATGCGCAGCGTTGATGCTTTGATTATTGTAGAGTCACACAGGTCATCGTCCCTTCCAGTGCAAGATTTGCAGCCAGAATTTCTCCGAGGCGGCGACACTTGCGCAGCACATGCGTCGCCACACGCAAGAAAGCGAGTAAATGCGATACAATTTTCGTTCGTCTGGCTGACCTTACTGGTCATGCAGAGCCGTACGCTTGTGACTTCCCCGGATGTGGCAAGGCCTTTGCCATCACAGGTGCACTCACTATCCACAAGCGCACGCATAACGGGCACCGACCCTTCAAATGCACATACTGCGAGAGGTGAGCAGCAAAAAAATCTGGAAACCTCAATCACCGAAGTGATGTTGAATATCGTGCAGGGCATTCGCAGAGTCATCGAACCTGTCGAAGCATGTACGTCTGCTCTTTTTTTAAATCTTTATGGACTAACTGTCCGCAATCTTCGCAGCTGCGTACACACACAGGCGCTCGTCCGTACCAGTGCACGGAACCTGACTGCGCGAAGTCGTTCGCACGGCCGGATCAGCTGTCGCGCCATATGAACGTGCATAGAAAGAAGAGTGTAGACGAAACGGCGAGTCCCATTGCCGTAGTCGCTCTGTAATGCAAGACTGTACTGCAGGATTTGGCCCCTGTATTCGAAGCTGCTCCATTGGACTGGACGGAGCACTGATTATCAGGTTACCGCCATGTTCGTTCCATACCCCATGTCGCTAATCACTGTAATTAGCGATGCCTTGTTCATGCAACGGTGATTGTGTGGTCGACATGACATTGTTTGGATCATCACAATAGGAGATCTTTAGACTCGAGTGATACATTATTGCAACTTCGTTGTTGTCAGATACATTTGTGACACTTCCGCACTCCCGCAACTTTCGTTTCATCGTCTGCAACTAGTGGTGGAACAGCCTGATTGACGTGTGCGCAAACACCATATCGTGCTCATCAGCAGCCTTGATGCACTCCACATCCATCACGCTTCCGCTTGGCGCCGCCAAGTACTTCACCCCACTCCTCCTAGCACGGTGCACGTTGTCGGGGAAGGGGAAGAACGCGTCGCTGGAGCACGCCACGCCGTCGAGCTGCTTGCCGTAGCTCGCACGCTCCTCCGCGCTGAGCGGCTGCGGCACCTCCTCGAAGAGGCTCTCCCACTGCGCCTTCTCCGCGCCCTCGAGGACCTCACCGCCGACGAAGAGGTCGATAGCGTTCGCCTTCTCCGCGCGCTTGACGCCCTTCTTGAAGGGTAGGGCGAGCACACGGGAATGGTGGCGCAGCCACCAGAGATCGGCCTTCGTGCCCGCGAGACGCGTGCAGTGGATGCGCGATTGCTGGCCGGCGCCGATGCCGACAATAGCGCCGCGGTAGGCGTACGCGACGCTGTTGGATTGCGTGTACTTGAGCGCGAGAGTCGCGACGATTAGATCAGTCCGTGCTTGTGCAGGCAGCTGCAGAACGAAATTAGTGAGAATAGCCTCTACGATAGCCGGAAGAGGAAGCGAACCGCTTTGTTCTTGGTGACGATATTCTGGAAGAGACTCGCGTCGATCTTCGCGTCGTTGCGCTTTTGTTGCATGTGGACGCCATAGACCTGCCTCGTCTCGACTTCTGCCGGCTGGTATGACGGGTCAATCTAGAAGGTTGTTAATAACTGGAATATCGGAGCAAGGAGGTGTTGCTACCTGAAGCACGCAGTACTTGCCCCCCTTCTTCTTTGAGAGAACGTCAAGTGCCTCGGTGGAATAACCTGGAGCTATGATTCCGTCTGAAACTTCACGCGAGATGACGCGCGCAGTGGCCAGATCACAGGGTGCGGAGAGCGCGATGAAGTCTCCGAACGAGGACATGCGATCCGCGCCTGTGTGCTGCCGTCAGCTTCGTGAAAAAAGGCAGTTGACTGGAAACACACCGCGAGCGCGCGCATAGGCACATGCGAGCGGGGTGAGAGGTTCCTTGAGGTCATCAACACCGTACACCTTCTTCTCGGTCTCGTCAAGCGCGACTCCGACAGCTGCGCCAGCAGGAGATACGTGCTTGAAAGATGCAGCAGCGGGGAGGTTGAGTGCTTCCTGCAGCTCCTTAACGAGAGCATATGCATTAAGAGCATCGAGCAGATTAATGTAGCCAGGCGAACCGCAAAGGGCTGTTGGTAGAAGGGAGCGCTGTGAAGCCGCAAGAGTAGCAGCACTGGAGTGTCCTACTTACCCTTGAATGGCAACTCTCCCTCAGTAACATACGCCTGAGCAGGCTTCTGGTGAGGGTTGGCACCATACCTCAGTGTCATGCGCTGCACAGGTCCGGCAAGCTTCTTCGGCGGCAAATCTGCAGAGGCGTACTGCACCCTGAAATAACCGCTGATAGCATCATCATACTCCGCCGTCATCTCGAACGCCTTCAATGCAAGCTTGCTGCGAATCGATTGGCCAACATCTCCGTCACCCTTGTTCCAAGCATCGAGGAACTCGGTGTAATCCGAGGGGTCTGAGAGCACGGAAACACGCTCGTGGTTCTTCGCCGCTGCACGAAGGAGAGTCACTCCGCCGATGTCGATCTCCTCAACAGCATCAGTGAGCGTGCATCCTGGTCGCGCAATGGTCGAAGTGAAAGGGTACAGATTGCACACAACAATGGAAATGGGCGAGATTGACTGCGCTTTGAGGTCTTGCTCGTCGGAGGGGATGGATCTTGCAAGGATGCCTTTGAATGGTTGACGTGCGACTTCATCCATCTGCAGTTCGGAAGTATATAATGCAACAGTGCTCACCACCGTGTACTGTCGGATGCAGGGTCTTCACCCTCCCTCCGAGCATCTCGGGCGCTTTTGTGATGTCCGAAACATCTCTACGACCACCACCGTTAGTGAGTGAGAGAAGGAAGCATGTCCAAGAGAATGCACTCTATGGGAATTCCAGCCTCCCGGATTTTCTTCGCGGTACCTCCTGATCCCAAGAGACGCACTCCGGCTGCATGGAGCCCGCTTGCGAAGTCGACTAGATTTGCCTTGTCGTATACGGAGAGCAAAGCTTGATGAGACGTGAGCCTATCAAAATCAACACCGTACTGCATGGTGAGTGCAATGCCTACCAATTGGCACAGCCATGGCTGGGAGAAATTCAGATACAGCCAATTGCCGGGTTAGCCTACACAAGAGTCGGATATACTTCAATTTTTCGATCGATCGTGAATCTCGTAGTAGCGCTCATCGCTCAGCGGCGTCAGACAGGACCCCCGACAATTGGGGAGGATCCCTGAGCCGATTTCGGACAAAATTTGGACTTTTGAGAGCGCCATCCCTGATTTTTCACGGACAAATCAGGGGGTCAACCCGTGGACGGCCTGAGGTTTTTCACGGACAGACGTACCAGACATCATTGATGCCTGATCCCCCTCCGGACAAAGTTCGACCCCGGCCGACTCGGAACCTATCTATGTATGAGGCCGGCACCGGGGCGGAAGGGGGCTCTCGGACAGGCTCAGACTTACTACTGTCTTCAGAGGCTCTCTAGGTGCTGTCTGGTCGCACAGACACGCCGCTTCGAAGTTTGTAGTTGACATCTCAGCGGCCTCACATAAGTGTCTTCAAGATGGAAACTTACTAAGAACAGTAGAAGGTACTTACCTTACGATGTCACTATCGTAGTAGCCTTGAATTCCATCTCAAGTAATAGACAGAATGCATCTGGAAGTTGCAAGAAGTCTACATAGCACTATGTAGCTCGGCTAGGGACTACGAGTCTCATTGCCAAGTCCCCTGTATATAGAGCTCTGTAGAACAGGATGCCCTATGGTAGGTCAATATAGACTTGTAGCAGCATTGGGCGAGAGGCCTGTAGCCCCCTGTAGACATGCAGAAAATCTATCTTTAGGATCACAGATGGAGACATGCCAGCATGCGGCGCCCTGCGGCACCTTTTGGTCCGACAACCTGTTGACAACTTGCTCCGGTCCAGGTATGATTCTTACGAAATAAAATTCTGGCAGGTGTATCTTATTTATTGGAGAATTCGAGGTACATAGAGCATACCGCTAACAGTCATTTTACTACGGTAAGGAGCAGAGTACAACGGTGGGACCATAGGGCCCGCGAGGACAGTGTCAGGGGTCAAGACAAGACGGGTGTCATACTCACCGTCCGCAACTCACTAGACTGAAGAAATGGACCTCCTCCTTATTAGCAAGTAAGCAGCATAGTCAGCCACACCTCTGGAAGAAACGACTCAGGTTAGCTAGCATCCTGTAGCTCAGCTAGAAAATGCGTGAATGCTCTCGCAGACGCAACGTGTCCCGGCTTCCGTTGCCGAAAGATTCACTAGATTCAAAATTCTCCCGAGTCCTACACGGCCATCCCTTGGAGGGCTGGTAATCAGCTAAAACCGATAAGATGATGAGTGGTGCCGGAGGATGCTCCGGAAATGTTCGGATGACCTTAGCCAGAGAGTGAATACGCATATCCCGGGACCCTCTCGAGACAGGACCCCTGAATATACCCTAGGACGTCGTTTCCATATCCGGACAAAAATTTGGAGGTTTTCAGCTGGACGCCGTATCCCATCCGGACAAAAACAGGACAAAAACGGTCGACCGCCGTGCGGTTCATCCGGACATAAAATTCGAGGTCCCTCGGAGGCCATCTGACCGTCCGGACATTTTTCGGGCCTATAGTTGTATGTCGTAGCGGTTGGCTGGAGTGTGTACCGGAGATCTGCTAATTTGTGCGAGCATGTGTTTGAGTCCCAAGAAATGCACATCGGGGATATGTTTACAGCGCTTTGCAAGTATATGCGGAATCGTCGTCGATGGATTTTTGGCCTCAGGCGCCCCGAGCTTGCCCCGAGCCCAGGACCCCAAACTGTTGTAGTGGCACGTTACTACCGGAAGTCTAGCGGAGGATACCGGGAGGGCCATCGGTGACGCGAATTTCCCAAAAGCAGTTGTCCGAGGCATGCCCAAAGCTTGTCTAAGCTCCTGCATTAGGATGCCATAGAAAACCCACGTGGGGCGATTGGTTGATGAGACACTCTGGGCACGGTCTCTCTGGTTTTGGCTAGGCTCGGACTCTCGGACCTGATCAATTGGGCAATTTACCAGTGGCTGCAGTGGCTGAGCGGTTTCGGGTCCTGAGCTCGGTGCAAAATCCATCGACAACGATTCCGCATATACTTGCAAAGCGCTGTAATCTTTCCACTACTGAGAGCCTAGGTTCACCTTAAGCGGCAATGTTCAGTTTTGCATCAGCATCCAATCATTGAACTTCTCAGCTTCTCACTGTGATTGTTGGGCACAAGATTCCTTTTCTATATCAGAGGAAACAGAGTGAATAGAAGTAGAAGTACCCTAGTAGTAATCTACAGTACATGCATTCTACCACTACTGTGCCAACTGATGCTATCACCTGTTTCCTCTGTGCTATCCGGACAAAACAATCAGTTCTTATAGGCCATTTGTGCCATCCGGACAAAAATTTGAGGTTTTATAGGCCGTTTTCACCATCCGGACAAAAATTTGGGACTTGTAATGCCGTCTCCGTTGTCCGGACAATTTTTCGGAAAAGTCGCCATCGTCTCCGCATCCGGACAAAAAACTCCCAAAACCTGCTGAAAAAAGTCCGGACAAAAAATTGGAAAATCGATGATTTTGGATACGACGTCTTAGGGTATATTCAGGGGTCCTCTCGAGACCCACCTCTGATGGGCAGATGATCGAAGGGGTCTAGCTGAGCTGACCGTTCAGCGCCACGCCAGCCAGCTTACGGATCTTGAATTTCGTGCAGCCGAACAACTGTTAGGCGCCAAGCGGGCCGTCTGTTCGGGTTGACTGGTTTTGTGCTTGCCGAATTTGCCCGGCTTGAGCCCGACGAGGATTTCAGAAAAATAATTTGCACCAAAATATATTTGTTGCCTCGACTACACAATACATGTCTAACTATGTAACAATAAAATACTCTGGCAACCGTCCATGCGCGTCGTGCAGATGTCAACAAGAATCCTGCCAGGACGGTGGGGCGTAAGTAACCACTCATGCCGGCTGTGACGGCAGGGCATACCTTTCACAACCTTGTGCAGAGTGCAAACCGCGCGCTGAAAATTTCTGTTTGTCGAAGGCCAAGTCAGTGTGGTGCCGCTGTGACCTGAAAGAGGACCGCAGTGCTGGCCCCAAAGCTGAAAACTCCCACATCACCTCCAGCAGCACGATCTCCACCGCCTCCGCCACTGCCACCTTTGTGTTCATCAAAGCATCGAGCAAATGAATGATGTACTTACTAACTCCATCGCCACTGTCTTAGGGTGAGAAGTCGACGCACTTGAGTTCGAGAGGTTGTGGGCTCAAAGGAAGAGGTGGTCAGAACGTGAGCTGGCGCCTTCGAGAAGATATATTTATGACTTTCCAACTCCGCTCGGTTCTCGCTCCAGGTGAGCACGGCATGGTCGGCTGTGGACGCAGTCAAAGGAAGCCTGAAGTCAAACCTTCCCTTGGGTGGCCCGTCAAATAAATCAGCTCAGCTTTTTTTAAGACCATAGCTACCAATGTCTACTTATTTGAAACAAGTGCACAACATAATTTTTCTATCTAAAGTGAGGAGCATACCCCGATGATCCATAGATCACCTCCCGATTCCGAGAGGTGACGGAGACCTGGCTCGCGTCGCTTTTCGTAAGAGGCGACAGGATGTCCCCATAAGCTGAATGCCAATCAGGCCATCCTCAGGTGCGGGATAAGCCGCCGGCCAGGCTTTCCATCAGCCCAGATCGTGCTGGCGCTCCAGGTGGGTTGATCAGCCCAAACAGGGTTGGGCGTGTACATAGTGATCATTTTTCTACACGGTTCTACATAGGGCTATATAGGTGGGCAGATCTACTGAGACCTATATAGAAGTGGTAATATTACAATAGGAAATGCACCTTTGCAGATGTGTTACAAAAGGGGCACGCTCATTCCTTCATTCTCGCAGCTCGGAAAGCAGTTCTGAAAATTGGAGCCTCCCGAGGCCTGATTCGTGAATACGGACAAAAATTGGAGCCTCCTGAGGCCTGATCTGGGAGCCCGGACATTTCTGTGCTGAACCGATGCCTGGTCCAAAACCCGGACAAATTTGACCTCCGAGGGCCGGAGGCCTGGTTTTTTGCGGACATTTCAGGCCAGAAATCGGCTTCTGCTAACGGACATTTTGGGCTTCTCAGGATCAGGCATTTCCGCCAATTGTCGGGGGTCCTCGTCAGACACGGATATCCTGGGCGCGCACGAAGGTTGAAGCAGATCTAGAGAGTCTCTGCATGGGAAGACTACGCTCAGCGCAGCTCGGTCCAGATGAGATGCGCACGAAAGCGGCTACAAGACATATCTCAGGGGCAGTATAATACAAGTGTCGCTGACCGAGTGATATATGTCCTTCGAATGTTTAAAGCTACAGCAATTTGCCTCGCGCGCAAAATGTCATTTAACGCATCCTCTCTCGTTCGGCAATAAGATCTTGTCCCCATCTTGTCACTTCGGGATGTTGGACGAACGGAAGACTAGTATCGAGGAAGGGCTGTAATTGCATAGAATGCTTCCTCTCGTATTCTGACGCTGAAACCGAATCGAGGGTCCAGCTATAAACGTACTGCGACTCAAGTGAAACAATTTACCTTGTGAAGCCATCTCGAATCTGTCAAGATCTGTATGATGACACAGTAAGGGTGATTTTTTGAACATTCGAAAGTAGCAAGAGTATTGGCTGTTGGTTACGCACCTTTGACAAAGCGGGCTTCATCACTCTCGCCGTCTTCGTATTCCTGTGCCACGGATACCATTGGATGCGTCCGCCGAGCAAATGAAGGCAGCTATACCTTCCAGAGAGCTTCTATGCGCTGAGCGGCAGCGCTGTTGTGAAGCATATCATGAACGAAGTTGTGCATCGCTTCCTGGTAAATAAGTAGGAGCTCAAATTCAAATTCATGACGCGTTCCGGTGATCGAGAAAACATACCGCTTCCAAGCGTCTCTTTTCAGCCTTTGGCATGCCTTCACGCGGTGCGATATCACCTACTGTAAGATATAGGACAAATGAATGTCAGTTGCGTAGCTAAGGGAGTCGCTGAAACAACTCACCCTGTGCTTCAGCGAGATCGTGGACAAGACACATCATCACACATCTGAGTAGACATCACGCGTACTGACAGATGGTGGACGGAGATAAACGCTCACTTTGACGAGTCAAGACGAGCATCGGATGTGCACATTGCAAGCATTGCCATTCTATACATATGATCGGAAATGCTGAATAAATTGTATAAACTCATGAGTACGGCAAGCTACGAAGAGACGAGTGAAAGCTGGGACATAGGTCAAGACAATATTCATAAACAAGGTATTAACTGGAGTGATGCCTCCGGCATCGCCGGCAGACACAACTACGTTTCATTAAAACAATCTGATAGTCACCTTTCTGGGGCAGGAACCTGCTCAAACATAAACAAATGAATGAGATTCTGGGAACTGCGTCAAGAAGACCTTGTGGTCGACCCATCCAGTCCGTTTCTGAGTCTGTTGCGTGCGAAAAAAAAGTGTCGACGTTTTTCAGTTTTTCACTATGTCAAAGCATCAATCACAAGGCTCACCTTCAGTCTTTCCAATATGTGGAAAAAGGCGAGCCTATCAATGGATACGTCCCCGGTGGAGACATAGAGAGGAGGGAAAACACGGCTTGCGTTGGTTGTTTCTGCACGACCCTGGGGGTTTTCCCCAATCATTGCCCACAGTTATTAGTAGGAATAAAGACCGCGATGAACGGCTTCAAGTTGTTACCATTGCAGGCCTCGAAGGGAGCCGAGAGTCTGGCTCCGGAGGCGCCATAGTTCCCTTACGTAACATGACATTTTTGACCATTCGCGCGTCTCCGAGACACCACTTCTCCACTGTGTCCCTTATTCGCAACCACCAAGGGCATCTGGCCTCTCTGTCTTTCGTGTCAACGCATTGCTGGTCAAACTAATACATTGAAGGTCATACTTTAATCCGTACTCTATTCTTATTCGAGTCCATATATTGCACGAAATTTCTCTATGCAGGAAGAACAAGGTGTGTATGCACGCTCTATGTTGGTGCACGAGGAAGTCGCTCACTTATTTGCAGATACGTGTCGCATTTGCAGCGGTCCCGCAGAACCAGACCAACCTCTATTCTACCCTTGCAAATGTTCTGGTACCATACGCTACATACATCAAGATTGGTGAGCCCCCGCTTCGTCTTCAACCGCAGACACGCCCTTATCATACACAGTTTAACCACATGGTTGGCACACAGCAAGAAACAGACTTGCGATGTCTGCAAGCATCCGTACGCCTTCACGAAAGGTGGATAGATTCGTGTGTCACTTCAGTTCTTCACCCTGATGCAGTTGCGCAGTTTATTCGAAAGACATGCCAAAGACGTTACCTCCTTGGTTGCTCGTTCGACAAATATTTCGTCAACTGATATCGACCCTTTTTCTTGGCATCCGTTCAATCGTGGTGGGAACAATGTGGCTAGCGGTATTGCCTTGGGTTACCATCTGGACTTGGCGGCTGTACTTCGCCATGGGTGATTTTATGTGCGTGATGTGGCAGCTCTCCAGAGGGAGTCTCCTGACAGTCCATGCGGTGCGACAGTGCTTGGATGCTCAGCGACCTTCCGCGACCACATGAACTAGGCGGCTTTAGCATAGTTGCGCGTAATATGACCTCGCTATCATCAAACAGCACCGCAGCAAATGCGACTTCGCCACAATCACTCTTGTCGCATCCTGTCGTTCGTGCGGTATCTTCGGACATCGTCGCGGGTCAAATTGTGGCGTCAATGATTGTGCTTGTGTTTGTTGCCGTCTTCCTTCTCCGCGAGTGGATCTCGCAGAATGCACGCCCAGGTGTCTTCGAGGATGCTGAAGGAATTGACGAACCTCCGCAGCCAGCCGTTCCAGAGCAGGAAGCTGCTCAACAACCCCCAGAAATCCCTAGATTACCGGACCCAGCACAGCCAGTACGTGAAGACGACGGGGTTTGGCAACGCGTATGGCTCAATAATACTCGGAATCCACCTGTACCTGACCAGCCAGTTCCGGGTGATTCTCACGAGAAGACCGATAAGAGTGACGAAGCGGCCAATCGCAGTCCTCACAAGAGGGTCCGTCGCATGGACGATGAATCAACGGCACGTCAGTCTGGCGTTACACGCAGGGAGAAGGGCAAACGTGTAGAGCATCGCGACCGTCACGGTTTACGTTACCGTCCAGACCACTGGAGGCGAACCTCGGAACAATCGGTCACCATTGGGTCTGATATCGACGAGGAAGATTTCATCGCTGAATGGAGGGCACGAGAGGAGACAAGGCTGCGGCAGTTCCGTTGGCCTGAGCAACCCTCAACCTCGTCTCTTAACCTGCCATCTGAGCAAACTCAGTTTACTTTCAGGGCACCCACAATTGAGCAATCTACCGTAGCTACTTCAGAAGATGACTCGATGGCAGCTGATTCTGTTACTGAGCAGAGTCAGTTCACCTTTGCGCCACCTATTTTACGTTCCACTTCAGATATCCCAACCGACATCGCAGAGCGATCCTTTCCTCATAGTTGGCATTCCGCGGATGCGCCTTCACCACAATCGTCTACGTCAACAAAGGTGGAAGATAGCTTGTCTGCCGCACAGCCACTACTGGACAGCATCGAAGAATTCAGTTTTACTCGCATACCTTCCCTCCCAACTCCGCCTGCTGAAACTCCAGGCAATTTGCGACGTCCCCCTCTTCCCAGTGTCACACTCCCTCCATCGTTAGGTGCATCTCCGTCCGCAAGTGCGTCCCGAAGTCGCAGCGACACCCCTCCGGCCTCACCGAGTCTAGCAACGTATCGTGCACCGGAAGAATTCGAAGCTGGTCCATCCAAGTTGTCCGGTTACTTCCATGATGATACCCTGTCTGAGAATGGCAAAGCCGATATGGAAGCGGATAGCCAGTTGTATTTTGCGAATCCAATTAAGCAGGGAGATGCAGAGGAAGAGGAAGTCGATGCCGGTGGACCGGAGGCCGACGACGAAGGTGAGGTGTATCGTTGGTCCGACCACGATCCCCAAGACGCGGACGAGGAGTGGGACGCGGAAGCTATGGGAGTAGAGATCAGAGACCTGAGAGAGGTGATGGAAGAAGATAGACTCCTAGCTGAAAGAATGGCTGCTCCTGGGGCGCGAAATCTCGTATTCTTTGACCGGCAGCCCCGTCCACCCCGTCCACCCCGGCCAAACGACGAGGTGGATGTAAACGAGAATGAGATGGATGGTGCAATGGAAGGTAAGATATAGTGTCGAGCCTTAACCTGTAACGGGCTTATACGTCTCGTTAGCAATTGGATTGAGGGGACCGCTGTTGATTGTCCTACAAAATGTGCGGGATACTCTCATCGCTCTACGTCGCATACCACTGATTAACCCAACAGGCGACATTAGTGACTTTCATCCTCGATGCTAGCATTGGAGTTGGCGTCTGGTTACCTTTTACGCTTGGCAAGTGCACGGCTTTACTTTCTGTGCGTGTTTTCATTTGGTTTTACGACACAATCGTTATCTCACACCCAATGCAGTTGAATCCGCGACGGTCTGTGCAGATCCTACAGTTGCCTCTGCGATTGATCAGGCTTGTCACGGACCCCGTGGTTGATTTCATTATTCTGTGGATTAGACAATCTTTTTTCCCGTGGGCTGTGGACTTGGCATCAATTGGTCTACAGCGTGCGGACAATGTACTGGCATCAGCGGTAGGGCACGAACGAGCTACTCAAATCTCGGAGTCGTGCCAGCATATGGTACGTATGATGACAAGTTCGCCTGATTACAGCTCATAGGTCTGTGTCAGTTCCGCTACATTTCCGATACTGCTGCGCGTGAAGCACAGGCTAGAACATCCACTTCGTTTCTTGTTCGCATGCTAGAGGATCACTCCGATACTTTGCGTCGTATTGAACTAGTTTTCGCACCCATCGGGAAGGCAATGCGAACTCAGTACAACGAAGGGAAGTTCATCTGGCTGCGTCTTGCCACGGGAAATGGAACACCGGAGAAAGTTTTTGCGACTGTTCTAGGATACTCTGTGCTGGGTTTACTTATAGCGATCTATCTGAACATCCTGAATATCGCAAGTGTCAGATCTGCAGGACGTGCTGTCCGCAGCGCTGTTCGACAACAGCTGATTGTGGTTAAGGTACGAGTGTGCGCGGAGCGCTCACTACACATGCTTAACGTCTTCCTAGGTGGCTTCCTTTATAATTGTCGAGCTGGTCATCTTTCCCCTGGGATGTGGAGTGATGTTGGATTTGAGTGCGACCTGGCTTATGCCTCAAGGTGACATGCGAGACAGGTTGGCATTCCTCAGGCTTGCCCCGATCACTACAACGTTTTACCATTGGGTGATGGGGACAATGTTCATGTATGTTGAAGGCCAATCGTTGTATGCTCATCATCTCATGTCTTCATCCAGGTATCACTTTGCAGTCCTCCTCGCAGGATGCAGGGCAATCATGCGCCCTGGGTCTATGTGGTTCATCAAAGATCCCCAGGACCAGAACTTCCATCCAATCCGCGATATTCTTGAGCGACCCACTCTCGTGCAAGTGCGAAAGCTTCTTGTGAGTGCTGTTATGTATGGCTTTGTAGTGTCAGCCTCGGTCGGCACTGTCTCTGGCGTCCTACGGCTGTTCAGCGGGACGGTTCTGCCATTCAGATGGAGAATTCGGTGCGACTTCAAACTTCCTCGCCGGTTTCGTATCTGATCATGTTCAAACAGTGAACCATTGTCGAATGTTCCAATCGATTTGCTCTTCCTACACTTTGCCCTGCCATACACGATGCATTACTTCCGGCCCAAGAAGGTGCTACGAGAGTTCGGAATCTACCTATGGAAATATCTGTCAAGACAGCTGCGTCTCACGTCGTACATGTTTGGTGATCGCTACCCTTCTGAGGAGTTCACTCCCAATCATTGGTCGTGGAGGATGTTGGTTATGACATCCGAGATCCAGATGGATGACGCGGAGGCCGTGCATGATGGCAGCTTCTGGCGAGTCCCAAACAGCGATAACGTCGTGATTGCCAAGGATGTGCCAGCCACTGCTGAAGTCAATGAGAACGGACTTCCTTTGGGTGAAGAACAAGCCGCCTCGATTGCCGTCCAAGATGCGGAGGCGGAGAAGGCAAAGAGAAGCATCAAGACTGATTACACGGTCGCGTACATCCCTCCTCATTTCAGGTACAGAATCGCGGCATTCATCGTATGCGTTTGGACGATCGGCTCTATGATGTTGGCACTGACACTTGCTCTACCAATACTCCTGGGACGGAGTTTCTTCAAATTGTTCATATCACGCGAAGTCCATGATGGCTATTCGTTCATCACAGGTTTTTACCTCCTGTGGTCCTGTTGGCTTGTGGCGAATGCTATTGATCGTCTGGACAAACGTCGTCAACGGAGAGGTGGTGACGAGCCTCGCGCGGAATGGCCTTTGTATCTGGCTAAGCGAAGTCTTCTGTGGATCGCCAAGACGTCATACATGGCTGTCTTCCTTGGTTTTGTCATCCCGACACTTTTTGCCCTCGTCATAGAGTTCTACACGGTTCAGCCCCTTCGACACATGTTGCATCCGGTCCAGGAAGTGCGGATTCGTATCGTCGACATGTGGGCAACGGGTTTGCTCTTCACCCAAATCTTCCTTCGAACAATGCGAGCAGAACCTACTTCGAGGATTATCACGGGAATTGAACAGGTTAGTCCACTGTTGTTGTTGGACCAATTTCTGACAAGAGCTTTTCAAGATCCGGCGAAATGGGTGGACACATCCCGACCCCATCAAGGCGACGCAGGATGTGATCTTCCCTGTGACGCTTGGTCTCCTCGGTGCGCTCTTGATGCCCCCTGGCGCTCTATGGGGCCTGCGTCAGGTGTTGTCGCTACCGATCGGCGATAACTTCCTTTGTGAGTGCGGCTCTGTTTCAGATTCCTACTTCTGGCTCACTTTATGCCGCAGTTGTCCACCTGTATCCAAGTCTTTTCACCGCAGCAGGACTGTCGCACGGCGCCCTGTTGTTGTCGAAGGTTGTTGCATCATGGTCACAAAGCATCCGTGACAAAGAGTTCCTTGTGGAGATGCGTCTCCGCAACCTTGAGCCACAGCAAGAACAAAAACCGGAGCCGGCGCCGATAGTAGAAGGTGTAGAGGAAGAGGAAGAAGAGTACTAGTTGCGTACGACAGAATCGTCGATCTCTCATCTTTATTGCATTCGCTATCACCTTACTTGCACTTGCAACCTGTATTTTACGCATAATCATACCCTGGACACTTCTTTGCATCGCATCCTATCACTAGAACGACCCTCCTCTCTTACACGTCCAAGAATTAAATCGGTGAAAGGAAAGCTGTATTGTCACATTCCGATCGTGTACACTGATACGAGAGAAAGCGCAAGGTGAGAGCAATGTGCAATAAAAACAGAACAGAAAATGAGAAAATCTATATAGTGCTTCGAGTATTGTCAAGGACCTATCTCTCAATCGCTCATTAGGTCTGCCACCCACGCCTCAGAATCGGTAGTGGAATACTCCTCATCATCATCTTGTGGCACAAGCTTCCAAGCCGTCCTGTTTCCACGATCATCGTCCTCGAAATCCCACCTCTCCGGACGCTCATACATATCAGCGGTGATCCAGTCCATATACTCCTCGCCCGACTCGTCGTCAGGGTGCAGGAAGATGTTCCAGCCGAGATACACTGTGGTATTGATGTCCACGATGGCCCTGAGACCCGTATCGTGAGTGTAACTCATACCAAAGAGGTCGATCATCTGCAGGGTCGCGCCGCGCCGTAACATAGCGATGTCGAGGTCCTCCGAGTCGTCCATGAAAGCGAAGTCATTATGTACGGCATGCACCGTCGGCGGGGACCATCGCGGACGGACGTACACACCCTCGTAGTGCTCCTCGTCGTCTCCGGAGCCATATCCTTCGTACGACCAATTGTCTTCTTCGTCGTAGTCTTCGTCCTCATCCTCGTCGTCCTCGTCGCGATCTTGCTCATCATCATCGGTGAACCAACCACCGTGGACATGTTCGCGGAATATGTCCGCCCACGGGTCCCCCTCGTCCTCCCGCGGTGGCGATGGGCGACGAGGTGTGTTCGCCGGAGTTTTCGCCTTCTCAACATCGGAGACAAGTGACTTCACGAGGAAGAGAGGGATAGGACGGCTAAGCACAGAGGCACGGCAGCTAGGACAAGTTTTCTTGCGATCAAGAATAGAAGGCGGATCCTCGTCGTCGTACATGTCATCATCATCGACGGGAGCAGAACGGAACCACTCTTGCAGACAAGTTTGGCACAGGACGTGACCGCAAGGAGACAGGCTGGGGAATGTTAGACGATGATCCTGAAAGTAGATGGGGAGCATACCCATGTGGCTTTGAAAGGACATCTGTACATATGGGACAAGTCAAAGTAGCCTCGAAGTTCGCGACGATCTGACGACTATATAAGACTCGCAACAGAGAAGATACAGTCTTGCGGTAGTCACCTCATCCGACTTTTTATTCTGATTTCGCATTGACTCAATCTCCTTAGACCGCTCTTTCTCCGACTGCAAAGTTAAATAAATAGAGAGCAAGGGAGGTACAGAGAACAATTACCTTCGTCAGGTTGGTAACTTCCTTCCGTAATTCATCGATGGTCTGAAAACTATAATGTCAGGGACCGTCCACATTAGACTTGCGACACGATTCACTCTACTCTGTTTAGCGATCGTCTTCTTTGACACAGCCTTTTCCTATGAGACTGTAAGTCCACTGTACAGTAATATAACAGTAAAAGAACCGCACCTTTCTCAATGCCTCTAATTCGTGCCTCATACGATGAAAGTCTGCCATAGCCAAAGGACCGCAATAAGTCGTATGCTGGGGCTCACTGTCATCATCCATAGGTTCGGGAGACGCCGTCTTTCTAGATGGACGTTGAGACGTTTCATGCGACCTGGACCGCTCCCTCCGCTTGCCTCTGCTATTTCCCGTGCCACGATCACGAGCGTGCTCTCGAGTAACAGGACCGTCACCCTCTTCAGCAAAGAAAAGCACTCTAGACGTCCTTGCTTTGGCCCTGCAATCACGGTCCATAGGTACATCGTCATGTGCAGAAGAACATACGACAGCCTCGTTTGTAGAAGGCTTCTTCTTTCTTCGGCCATTGTGAGTGTCATTTCTGGACGAAGATTCCTCTACGACACGGGGCTCTGGGGAGCGCGACCTGCGCCTCCTGCTCGAGGAGCTCCCAGCAGTCTGCTGAGGGTTTTCCCGTTGTCTGAAATTTCCATTTGAACGACGATTCGACGTCAAAGAGGTTACGAAGCTCGGTGGCATGATGCGGCCAGACAATGATTATGAATTGCGCTGCACAGATGATGAGAAGATGCACATGCCACTCCAATTGCAGGAAACGCACATCACAAAGCTAGGTCTGTTCGCCTCAAGAAGATATACAAGGACAGCGAGATGAGAGTGTAGTCAAGGTCTAAGTCTGAGGCACTGATGTTGTCACACTTGTCTCATATGAATCACGTGTGTCACACTCACAACCAGCGCGTCGTCTGGGTGGATGTGCGGCATGTTCTCTCTGCTTAACAAGCTACCTATCTGCAAACAAAAGTTCATATTGTCACAAAATCTGGTCAGACACAGATATATCGGCGCTGGTCCGCAACTCAAACTTGGCGCTATGGATCTAGAAAAGGAGACGAAGGAACAGAACCGGAAGGATCGAAAGGAACGCGACGCGCAGTCTTATCGCGGGAAGCCAGGAGGCAAGCTTAGAGGACGACCAAATGATTCTGAGGAGACACGAATATCAAAAACACTTTCGTGGATATTGCGCCACGGCTCGCAGTCAGAAGGACTGGCGATGCGCCCAGACGGCTACGTCCAGGTAGAGCATCTCGTAGGTCATAGCTTCTGTCTGTTGTATCGTGTCTTGTATGAATGCATCCCGAAGTAGTTGCGACTCCCAAAGATGAAGTCTCTGGATTTTGCAATGCTTCAGACCATGGTGGAGAAAGACGCAAAGAAGCGTTACAACCTTGTCTCTGAGATCGACGTAAGCACAGAGACAGAAAGATGGTGGATTCGAGCGAACCAAGGGCACTCAATGAAGGTGCGCATTCTTCTCAGTTCGTGCTTATTACTGAGCTCAAGGTGCTTCAGTCGGTAAAGTTGGACCTGAAGTCCGTTAATTCGCTCGCCGATATACCCACGGGGATAGCTGTTCACGGCACTACTCGGCGTGCATGGGAGAGTATTAGTATGTCTCGTTATCTACCTTAACGATGCCCCATTCGTCTCACCCTTATCTCGCCGCAGGTGAGCAAGGTCTCAGCAAGATGTCACGAAATCATATCCATCTGGCGCAAGGCGTTCCGGGAGATGGTGTCATCAGTGGTGGGTTTTCACTTGAAACCTACACCGATGTCATGAGCTGAATGTTATTTCCCCAGGCATGCGCAAGTCGTCTCAGATTCTCATTTACATTGATGTCCAGAAGGCACTTGATGATGGTGTCAAATTCTATCTTTCTGATAACGCAGTTGTCCTCACCGAGGGAGATGCCGCCGGGTATTTGCGCCCTCAATACTTCTCGCGCGTAGAGACCCCTGACCACAAGTCTATACCTGGATGGGAGGGGACACCAGAAACGCTAGAGAAAATCCAGAAAGAGAGAATTGCAGTAGACACAACAGAGGGTATGACGACGGGGCTTGAGCAGAAAGCACATGCTCTTGTATTATAAAGTGCAATAAACTTGGATCAGTGGTCAAAAGTGATAGTTGTGCAATATGGCATCTAGACGGTGCATGACGACAAGCAGATGAGAGTCCGAACATTCGCAACACCAAGATGCTTGCTCCTAACGAGATTGTGACGTCGATGGAGTGGAGGGGTCGCTCAGCAGCCAGTGGTAATTGTCCTCTGCAGGCTTTGGACTGTGGCGAGTGGGATGGTGTGAATACTTGGAAGCCACCGATGTATCAGAATACGCAGACTCATCAGTGCTCGTAGCAGGATCCGTCATTTGACGTGACCACATCTCTAAGTCTGCTTCGTCTCTTCTGTTTGGTCTGTACATGCGAAGGTGTCACCAGGCCAATCAAAGCAATGCAGGCTAATGACTCTGACCGTTTAGTCCCTTTTAGCCTGTCTCTGGCTGCCTGCAAGGGGAAAAGGGAATGTTTCGCTTTGTCCTCGTCCCTAGTGGTACGCGGTTCTGAGGGGCTGCGACTCCGCTTCTTTGGTTTTGGTGTCGCGTCTATGTCGATGACCTCGTCTTTTGCAGGTGGTATATGAGTCTTGCCTCTATGGCCTCGAGTAACAGGCCGCAATATTTCCTGGCTTGAATGTATATTCTCACTCTCCTCTCCTTTGTCTAGATGTGTATCCGGTTCGCGCGCCCTCGGTCTTGGTCTCGGTCTTGGCCTCGCTTGAGGATTAGAGCTATCGACTGGACCGTCAGTATCAACATTCATATCCGCATCTGACGATCCCATTCCACGGTCCGTTCTGCACTTGAATTTTGAGCCATTGGAACGGCCCCTCTTGGAGGTAGCCTTGACTTGTTTCTCCGAGCACGAGTCGGCACTGTCAGTTAGCATGATCACGTCCAAGTCCTTCTCTGACCTATCGCCGGAGGACTGCCCACGGGTCATCCTCGACCTCTTCCGGCACCCTTTCTTCGCATTCCCATCGTCATCATAACCGGCCAGATCCTGCTCACCAGCTTCGCTCTCCTTCGCCCTCGCCTTCCCCTTCGCCCTCCCTCGGGTCTTTCCTTTCTTGTTGTTCTCACTCCCTTCTCGAGCCTTCCACAACTCGTCTTCCAGTCGTTCCTCCTCCTCTAGTTCCTTCCTTCTTGCCATTGCTCTCTCCATAACCAGCTGGTCGCCAGCCTCCACTGCGGCAGCACCGTCGGAATGGTCATCGGGGAACATGGCTACACCATATTCTGCACTCTCGCGCAGCGTCTCGATGGCGTCAGTCCGGCTCTGGTTCATGTCCTCCATGATGAGCTCCACCGCAGCCTCGGGAACCAGGATGAGCTGGATGAAGTCCGTTGGCGTGAGTGGGAGCGCCGAGTCGGGGTCGAACGACGTGGGCGGGAACAAGTTATATATCGTCTGGTGGATGATAAAGTATCCCAGTTCCCCGTAGCTGGATGGAGGGCACTTCAGCGTGCGCGCGCACAGGCAGCGAACAGAAGATACTTACTAGCCGGGCTGAGTCTTGCTGAAGCTTGCGAATTGGCCGCGTACGCCGGCAGTCTGCCGTGAACCCTTCATCCTGACGCTCTTCACGACATCCTTCCAGAAGACACTGTTCATCCTCGACCTACTAGGCAACTCCTCGTCGCCGTTCTCGTCTTCGTCGCCGTCGACCCTCGGCGCGCCAGGCAAGAACCGTTCGTCGACGTCCTGGACGATCTTCTGGAGACGCGCTCTCTGCGCCTCCACCCGCGCGTTAATGAGCTCCCAGGTAATCTCCATCGGCCAGCCCTTTTGCTGCGCGAGCGGAACGTGGTGGCTTTCGAAGCGGTGGCGCTGGCACACCGCGACGAATGCACCGAGGGGGGCACGCAGGCCGAGCGGATTCGTTGGGCGTGCGTCAGGTGAGGATGCATGGCGGGCAGTGGTTATCATTGCCGAAAGATGGGGTGTAGGTACCGGAGGGAGCTTCTCGTCGCACCATGGGCATAAGGAGGCAGGGTCCACGTTTGGATCCAGGAAGACTAGAGACGGCCGAGATGAGTCGTACAATGGAGCAGAAGCACAGGATGTACATACAAGAATCATCATCGTCAGACATGTCGTCGGATCGCATAAGCTCTGCCAATCTATGTGCGAAGTAAAATCGTCGACAACATGAGACAGGGAGGCACAAGAACATACATGAGATCAGGATTCTCTCGCATCTTCTTCCTGTGACGCCGGGCCTCCTCTTCGTCTGCTTCGTCACTACCGTCCACGTACGCATGGTTGGCGGTAGGGGAACGGCCGATACTCTCCAGTAACTGCGTCTGCATGGGAAAGGGAGCACACTTGTGCGATAAACCGTCTTCTTCAGAGTTATCGTCGGGGTTAGAGTCAGAATCGTCAGTAGAAGTAAGGATGGTTCTGCAATTGCGTTTGGACTTCATGCTTGACCAAGAAGAGGTGGCAACCCTAGTGCGTCTAGGTTGAGACTCTTGTTTCGTCGCAGGAGATGAGAGAGGTGACATAGCAGGGAAATCTTGCATGACTTGCTGTGACCTTGATTTTGTGATTCGGCTATGCGCAACCGGGGTCGACAGTGGTGATAGCGCTGTGATAGGATTTGTCTGCTCCTTTCCCATTCCTTTGGCCTTCGATTTTGACTTAGTTTGAGATTCATTCTCATCTGTGAGTGGAGGAGGAAGGGGAAATTTCTTGACACTAGCGGTCGCGTCTCGATCACCGAAATCCCTTCCTTTCCCCTTATCGGAAGACAGAGGAGACATTAGGGGGAAGACTTGCGGCTCCTGGGCTTTCGTCTCTTTAGCCTGGCCCTCCTTGACTTTGTACGCAGGCCTAGGTCTCGGACGAGATGGCCGCGGCGTGTCAGTCTCATCCTTGTCTTCACTGGAGTGCACGAGAACGGGAGAGTCAGAACGACGCTTGTTGGACGTTATGTCCCGGAGCGGTGCCGGATTTCGCCGGGGCTCCTTTGCCTGTAGACTCGAGGAGGAGCTGGTTGTTGGGGAATCGAGAGTCCCGTCGGCTAGTTCCTGAAGAGGTTTAGGGGTAAGGCGCGATGACTTGTCCTTCCGTGGAGGAGGACGAGGTAAGGGAGGTGTTGGTGGACGTGAAGGCGCTCGCACTTTCTCAGTACTAGCCTGTGACGCTATTACTCCAGAGGGAGCAACAGGTTTAGACGTTCCAGCGCCCGATCCGCCCTCATCCGTCTTCTTCTTCTTCTTGAAGTCGGGAAGCTTCTTCTTGGGGTAATCGGGGTGATAGCGGTGGAACTCTCCTTTAACGACAACACCTTCTTCGTCAATGTCCTTCCCCTTGGCAGCCTTCTGCTTGACCGGACGTAAGAGCAATTCGTCTGCACCAGACTCTTCGTCCAAGATCTCCACGACGTCTTCCTCCTGACGCGGTTTGGCCGATGCACCACGCCGAGTCTGAGAGCTGCGCTTGCTACCCACGTCGAAGCTATTTCCGAAGTTCTGGAAACCTTTCCCTCTGGATGGAGAACTGGGTAGCGGACGCTCTTTTTGGCGGACATCTTCAGAGGTGTCTGAAAGCAGGGTTGTACCTTCGTCTCGCATTTTCCCAAGCATGTTCTCCATGATTACTGGTCGTAATACAAAACATAGATATCATGCTGTTCCAGCAAACAATGCCAGTTAAGCGAACGCGTCATACAATGAGGCAAAGATCGTCATAGTATGGACACTTACCACAGCCAGGGTCTCCGCCAAACCGACCGCCAGTGTGCCGGATGAACGTTCAAGGTGGTTTTGTTATAAAGAACGCGTTGTGTCGATTGTGAAAAGGCGGGGAGTTGAGAAAATGCTTCTCTGAGATCGTGTGGACTTTGTGGACGACCCCCCACGGAACGGTGTTCTGAGAAGAAGCCAAGCGCGTCGTCACGTTGTCGTGATTGGAACTGGAACATGTCAATCTAGCGCTTAGATCTTTCTCCATCTAATCTTATCTGCAACGCGCTCAATGTGACTGCTCTTCTTGATCACCAACTTTCATGCTCGACCACGGCATTCATCATGGCGAGGACGAGGCTAACGATGTATCCACGCTTCATACTTCAGAAGCTACCAATTTACTTGAAGATATCCCGGGCGAGATATTTCTCCACATCGCATCTTTTCTGGATGATATCGCTGACATTTTGGCATTGCGTATGGTCAGTATCTTTCTCATCACCGACTGTGCACCGATGCACGTAGACTTCCTGACCAAGAGACTCTAGCGTCGTCTGTTTATTATATTTTGCACAAGCGGCTCTAGTGTCTGGTTCTCCAATTCTACATGCACCGCTGTAACTACCGCTGCTCCATCTCGCTAATATGTGCTGGCAATTTTCAATAATCAGACATGCTCTGCAACATACCAACTCACCCACGACAAAGCTCTTTTCTTGTCCTTTTTGCGTTTTCAAAAGCGATTTCTTCCATTGCCTCCATCTTGTACCGATGAGGCCATCGTTGCGTTGTCTCTTCAAGAGGTCGAACGTCTAGTCGTCTCCGCACACCGCATAGACCGTACTTGGCTCCTTCCACGTCCACCTCCGCTTTCTCCCAACCTTCTACCGAAATTTAGCATCGAACGTGGATTCCATGGTGCGGATGGTGGTGGTGCCAAGACAATCCTGGGGATGGAGGTATTTCTGGAGAGATGGTTGCTTTGCGTGTATCAAGAGCGACTGGTAGAACTATGGGACCTGCACCCAGAAGGGATCTTGCCTGGGTCGTCGGAAACTGATGCAAACGGACATATTCAAACTGTCTGTTGCATGAGCGCGCAATTGAAGGGCGCAGGTCCATACTCATCCTCTTCGACGTGTCTGAACGATGACAATGATTCATTAATTCTTGCTGTCACTTCGTGAGTGTTTGCCTGACCTAGTTGTCCTTGGCAGGTAACGAAACTTGGAATGACTCATTCATATGCCAGTAACGAGGGTTGTTTGTTTCTCCGTATCCAGTTGCCCATCCCGTCCGTCAACGGGACCGCTGTGGAAGCCGGGATTGAGATCATAGTCGTTTTACCCATGCCAACACCCATGCTTCTGGTTCGCGCGCTCTATCCACCTGGTAACCTTGCCATCATATCTCACTCCAACTCGTTCATTCTACTGAACTGGGGAACAAGTGAGCGCTGGGAAGTGGATACTTCAAACCCAGATGAAGAAGAGTTGGTTAGTGCACTTGCAGGTATATTCTGACCCGTAATATCCTGATAGGAAGACAAACAGTGGAACGGCATCATAGGAGCAAAGTTCCTTTCTGCCCGCCATATATTGTGCATCAAAGTGCACTGTATCGAGCTGTGCACGCTCCCTGCTTTACCTTCGCGTTCGAAGACCACCCAGAGGGACACCATTCAACAGGAGGCGCGCATACGGGCACATGTCGTGACGTACACCCTGCCACGTACTACATTCCGAGGTGGATCGTTTTCCGCGCCGCACACGTTGTCGCAGCCAGACCCATCTCCTACTGAATGGTCTACTACACGCATGTCTATCTCATTCCTCGCATTCGACATCATACGCGGCCTCTTCCATTACCGCGTGTCCGTGGATCTCCCCTGTCCACCCATGTCTCCTCCGCCATCGTGCATTAGTAAAGAGGCTCCAGCACCGCCGCACATGGCTGTCTACCTCGTCGCTGCCCATCACATGGCTGTTCCCGCGGGCGCGTCAGCCAGTAGCCACAGTGGTTCCATGCGTGTTCCCCGGAGCGGCCTCACGCCGGGTTCCCGCGGATTCGTCACATCGTGTGTCCTTGGACAGACGGGGCGACGAGGCGTGTGGGTAGAGCGGCGGCGGGGTAGCGTCAGGAGGGGCATCGTGGGATTTGCCACTGCCCGAGACGCTCTCGAGGAGGATGGTCTCAATGAGCGCGCCACAAATGGCACGCAGCAGGCGGGCCAGATTGGTGCAACAGGAGGTACAGACGAGAGAGACAGCGACCCGAATTGGTGGGAAAACGGCGTTGAGCCGGGTATTGATGGACGGACTGTGTATGAGATTAATTCTTATGATCTGCGAGGTGTGTGGAATTTTTCGAATGTAAGAGAAGACCGACCTTCTAACCGATTGTCGTAATACAGACGATATTACTCACTGCGCCTTTGCAGAAGCGACTGGCAGAATTGTCCTTGGTACGAGGAACGGTCGGATACAGGTGCTTCGATGACCGTATAGATGCGAAAGAAGATCAGTTGTATTTTCGTCTACACAAGATTAGATTCTGCAGGCGGTTCATTTTTACAACACATCATTTCCTACCAAAACACAGAGCACGCATTGCCAATGCCAGCCTTTTAAATGTGACCGTTTACACGCGACTGCCGTAGACGTCTTTGGGCGTAACGCCAGCCTGGCCTTTACGGATGTTGGCTTGCGCCCACCTGAGAAGCTTTTTAAGATAAAAGTCCGGTATCAATGTACAATACGAAGCTCACTTTTTGATGCGAATGGACTCGATCTGGATGAAACCGGTCGTGTCAGTGGGCTCGAAACCGCCGAGCTCGTCCATGGACGACTGCTTCTCATCGTACAAGCCCTGCAGTGACATGTGGGAAGAAAGTTGACAAAGTAATGTACCCACACGAACCTCGTCTGATGACCGACCCTCCACCACGACATTGCCTTTGTAAAGCTTGAGCCTCACCACACCGTTAACGGTGCGCTGGCTGCTGGGGATCGCGCTGATCACGAATTCCCTCTCAGGCGTGAACCAGTGGCCGTTATACAATATCTTGCTGAGCTCGATTGTGACAAACTGGTCCCGGAGCGCACGGACATTGCGGTCGAGCGTGAGGCCCTCGATGTCCATATGCGCGATGCGGAGGATTGTCGCTGCGGGTGATTCGTAGCAGCCCCGTGACTTAACGCCAATGAAGCGGTTCTCGACGATGTCAATACGACCGATGCCATGCTTACGGGCTAGCGCGTTCAGTGCGTTGAACACGTCCACGGCATCCGTATACGTTTTGCCCTCCCCAGGCACCGTCACCTTCACAGGGAGACCGCGCTCAAATTGGATCGAGATGCGCTCCGGAATAACAGGTGCGTTCTCCGGGGCTGTGGTCAGCTTCCACATGTCCACAGGAGGTGTGGTGTCGGGATCCTCCAAGATGCCCGCCTCGTACGAGATGTGAAAGAGATTCTCGTCTGTCGACCAGGGCTTCGAGGCGGTCTGCTGAACAGGGATATTCTTTTCGGCAGCATAGGCTAGAAGAGCTTGTCGTCCAGGGAATCGATTGTAGAACTCTAAATGAGCGCGTTAACCATAGAGTTCATCATCAAATGGTCAAACCTACCGGGGATACGCCATGGAGCAACGACCTTGATATCGGGCTTCAGGCCGTAGAAAGCCAGCTCAAAGCGCACTTGGTCGTTGCCCTTCCCTGTGCATCCGTGCGATACAAAACTGTCGAGAAGTTAGAACGCAACCAAATTGTGAGTAGTGGAATCTTACTCGCAACCCTCCTTGTCTGCGATGGCCATCATGCCTCGAGCAATCACAGGGCGAGCGAGGGATGTACCCAATAGGTATACATTCTGCGAGACGCGTCCTGGATCTCAATAATACAGCAAACGTAGCAGAACGGCGAACCTCGTAGATACAGTTAGCTTGAACGGCGGGGTAGATAAGTTCGGTCACAAATTCACGCTTAAGATCCTATACTCGCAGTCACGTATTTGCACGGATCTTTACGATGATGAACGTACTTCGAGGAAAAACTTCTTGGCGCCCACAGTAAGCGCTTTCTTCCGTGCAGCCTCGAAATCCTAGCAGGGCATCGGCATGATATGACAGACAGCCTATGGGTGAGGTTGCTGACCTCCTCTTGACCAACATCGGCCATGAACGCGTAGACCTCATATCCCTGTTCGATCAACCAGGCAAGGATACAGGATGTATCTGATAGGCCATATCAAAACGTAGTTTCTGATCTACTCTGTGGGGCTTACCGAGACCCCCTGAGTAAGCAAGCAGAACGCGGCCCTTTTTCTCAGACATGGCGAATCGCAAGAGCTGACTGGAATATATGGTGAAGGAAGGATGCACAGTGACACAAGAGCAGACTTCGGAGTGGTGACTCGAAATTTCACTTCACGTGACCATGATCATCAGGCGTCGAAATCGACTTTTCAAATTTGTCTGCTGCAAGGTGACAGTGCTTGTCGAATCGTCGACCAAGTTGCTTGATCAGAGATACTACGTACCTGCTGCACATACTTACCCACAAAGGAGGACCTGCCGTGTATTCTGTCTCTTAACATTCTGTCTTGTCAATGCATACCGGATGGGCTTGATCAGTGTGAATAAACACTCCGAGGCTCGAGAAGTTATAATTAGGACCTGTGTCCCGGATCCATTCGCCGAATGGACTCGTCACTCGGCCAGTCATTCTGAACAGATTATCAGGTCCATTGTCAGCGATCGAGTTACTTCCCAGGAGCTGATGGACCTGTGTCCCGGATCCATCTCCCGAATGGACGCGTCACTCGCCAGCCGTTCTGAACATCGTAAACAAGCACACGTAAACCTCTGCAAATCATATGGTTACCGGGCGAGCCCGGTGTCACTGGTGTACTCTATATATGAAGTCACTGGGCGTGGTGCCATCGCCACATTCACCTCGAGCAATCACCTCGTCGAACTGCAGAATACCTCGGCTTAGCTCGACAGCTGTGAAACAATTCGCTCTGGTCCATCATGAGCATGTGCGCAGATTGTTTCCGCGGTATGTATCTCCTCGAGACTTCAACGAGAAACGCAACTTGACTTGCATCAACGTTTTGTGTGCCATCGCACCTGACATCGATAGGTGTCCGTCATGAGGGCGAGCCCGAAGGTAAAAAGATCCCTCCAGATCCATAATGGCCTCTGAGATCTGATGCGTGGCGACTCAGGTAAGATCGAACAGATTGGAGGCATCGAGTGCTACGTCGCCACGCCTTCCGTTGATTATGCGAAGGACAAGGTCATCCTCTTCTTGACCGATGCGTTTGGAATCCCTCTGATAAACAACAGGGTATGTGAAATCTTAGAAGTGAAAATTTGTGCTTACTAGGAAGCTCCACATGTTCAGCTCTTAGCGGACGATTTTGCGCGCAACGGATTCAAAACGATCATCCCTGACTTGTTCAACGGTGACCCGATTGATGCGGCAGCGTTCGAATCTCCCGGCTTCGATTTCCTACCCTGGGTGGCCAAGCACCCTCCTATCGCGACCTCAGCAATAGTTGAGAAAGTTGTGAAGGTTTTAACGGAGAGCGGGGTAACGCGCATTGGAACGACGTCATACTGTTTCGGTGCTCAGGCCGCGTTCTACCTGGCGCGTGCCAACATCAGTCGTGTAACAGTGCTTAGTCATCCGTCTGCCCTAGACGTTCCCGCAGATTTGGAGGTGCGTGCGGGACCTTTTCCTTGACCTCGTCTACCATTGGGTCTTTGTCACAGAGCTATCACGCAAAGTCGAAGGCGCCCCTTCTGATCAATAGCTGTGAGGTCGATCCGCAATTTGGTCCAGACCGTCAAGCTGTCGCAGATGAAATCTTCGGCAGCGGGAAGTTTGCTCCTGGTTACCAGAGAACGTACTGGGAAGGCTGCGTCCATGGCTTTGCTGTCCGTGGCGATCTGGTGCGTCGAATCTTGCCCATAATCACCGAGAATGTAAACACATTCTCATGTACTCCGCAGAGTGATCCGAAGGTGAAGGCCGGGAAGGAGGGATCGTTCAAAGCAACCGTTGAATTCTTTGCGAAGTACCTTTGATGTCTTGCGACTTTGATGACTGATCCAAGCCGTAGTAGCGGACTTCGAAGCAATGTACTCTTAAGTTCAGTGACGCGATATTCAATATGCTGAGATGTGTCCTGTCAGGCTCGCGATTAAAACTTCCAACAGCGAAATCCACACGAGACGTGTTATATCTCCTCGATTCTATTGTCTTCATCATCGTCATCAACTTCATTGATCCTTGCACTTGACTCCAGGGCTGGTATTTGGCCGCCTTGCGCAGTATCCGGCCCTTCATCCCTCTTCAGAAGGTTGACTAGACGCTCAACGTGCTCCGATACCTGATTAAACATCAGCCTAGGTTTACCCCAATAGTAGACATGCTATTCGCCTCGTCCACTTCCTCGTTCTCATGAAGGGCTCGGATGACCTCGTAGACGCCGTTATTCCTGAGATGATCTCGCCCCCATCTCGTGGTGGAAAGCAGTAGTAGAGTCTCCACGTGTGTCAAACGAAGCACTGGGTCTGGCTCGCGCTTTTTGGTTGGAGGAAGGAATTGGAGAGCCGGAGGAAGGAGCTCTTGGTCCTGACGATTATGGAAGAATTCATTATGCACGACAGAAAGGTATTACTAAGGATGAGCAACACGAACCTCGAGGTCAAACTCTTCAGGACCGGCCAGAGGAAGTAGAACATATGGCAGGATGTCTAAGCCTAGTGCTTCCAATGTTGACGGCGGAATTGTTACACGAGTCGAATCGGGGGATAGCAGAGCATGGTGAGCTTGCACATAGAATGCGCAATTTCTACGGAAGGTATAACTCAGCATAGACTTCGGATAATTCCTTTCCTGAGATGATACATACTTTATGGTAGAAGCGACGCCACCTCTTCGTATTGTATCCTTGTGTTCTGTAAAGACGAGAAGCTTGGATAACGGGTACTCGTGATTCCCGTCAGACTTGGTTGGGTCGGCAGGTCTGGGTGTCATGAAAAACATTCGTCCAGGAGTAGTCTGACAAACGACAAGATGTCGCGGTGCAAGATTTAAAATTCTTAGCAAGTACTTACGATACTCAAATTTGCGAATACACTGGATAGGAAATGCAGATCACCTCTGCGCAGTCGCTTGTCCACGTCTTCGGTTTCAGCCGCAACTGCGCCTTGTACAAATGCGTCGACGAGTAAAGGTAGGGCTAGTACATCTTGAGGTTCTCCGGGAGGGTAAGGTACAGGAGCTGGACACGTCCCGCAGCGAGATTGCACAGGGAAATACATGATTGGAGATTTTGGGTCGGGTAGCATAGACACATTGAGAGATAGTAGTGCTGAACATGTGGCCGCCGATACCGTCAGATTTGAGAGAAGCATTGAGGCAAGGTCTGCTAGAGTGGATTGGAAATTCTGTAGTTTCGTTGTTTCAAGACTCGACAGTGCGGAGAAATAAATCGGCCTACAAGAATATAAGATACGAGAAACCCAAAAAATGACGGCTCTGAGAGGGATCCGACTAGTAGCGAATTGTCGGAAAGATTCACGAGTGCACGAAAGGCATCGTGAGCAGTTGCCTGGACCGGTGTAAGAAAGTATTGCTATAAATTGTCGGACACCGAAGATACCAGCTGATCGCGACATAAGAGCTTTAGATCCCTTACTACATCGCTGTCTTGAGCTCGTTGTAGGCCCCCTGCTGGCAACCCGGACAGGAATATGTCTCGATGAGGGGATCCTTTGGGCGTCTGACCAAGCAGGTTGGATAGAGCAATTTGGCGAACTTGTGGGTTTTTATCATGGAGGAATGGGATAAGCTGAGAGTAAATTTCAGCAGCTATATTTCATTGTCATCCTCGCTAGGTCACTCACCTCTTTGAGTTGGTCTTCCGACATACGAATGACTCGTTCTTGCAGTGTTCCACAATTTCCATGCCGGGCGAATTATCTACTGATCGTCTTACGTAATGCAAGCGCGTGAACGTGACTGGCGCGACTGGAAGGTGGCACTGCTTACGCTGCTCCCACCGTAACATTCTGCAAGCACTAGCTGTCGTTCCATGTACCGAGAAAAATGGTGTCCTATAACATTACTCGTGAAGTGGAGCGGCTACTCGAAACATACAAATCGTCTCCGCCTTCCTTCATAGTGAAGCTGGAACGCCAACATTGGTATGTGAACGAGAACAAGTTCACATACAACCACCAACTCGCGGTCAGACCACTTGTTGAACTTGGCAGAGTGACCATTCTGAAGGTACTGCGTCGATAGCCTTTGTTAGATGACATTCGGGCGCAGCGCATACCTGTGGATTTCTTGGAGCTTTTCGACTCTGTCGGACTTCCCTTCTACGATGGTTTGCCCTGTCACTTTCCTTCTTTCGTTCGAAAACGCTGAATGTGTCTTTAGGATGCATGATCGTGGAACTTCATGATTTTCGTTCCCCAACAAGGGCCTCAGATAAAGACATCAAGGAGCCCGTTAAGACACGGGTGGTCCTCAGTCCGAACGGAGAAACTCTCTGGGCAGATATCTGTCTTCTGAACCAGAAGACGGGCAATACATGGACAGGCTATGATGCATTGGAAGTTGAAGCTCGTCTCTTGGTGCGTCGTTTTTCACTAGGCATCTATTACAACGAGCTCACATATTGGTCGTAGCTGGCAACATCGCCGCCCCTATGTCTCGATCCTGATCCTCACTTAGCCCGTGTAGCAAATAATATCCTGAGGACATCAATACCTACCCCTCCGCTGTCCTTGAAGCGGAAGGCCGGTGCTGCAGAGCTGGAAGAAGACCCGAGCGGGAAGGCACGTCGGGAAAAACTGATGCAATACATGAACCCTCGAACTGGCAATGGTGTTCCAAAGTGAGTGATTGTCATTACAGACAACGCTCAAACCTCACCTTGCATGTCAGTTATGGCATATTGGATGCCATACGGCGCACGAACATGGCAAGGCAGATACCGGCAGCAGCCCCTCCGCATCCTGCCACTATTCCTACAATGCCCGTGCAGGTACCAGGTGCCCCTGTACAAGTACAGGGGGTTCCGGTGCAAGCACCAGGAGTGCCCGTGCAAATGGCCGTAGCGCCAAGCCAGGTGCCAACAGCTGTACCGACGCCTGCTCCCGCACCTATGCCGACCCCGACACCTACCCCGGCGCCTTCGCTCGCACCAGGTTCAGCAGCTTTCTCACATACAACACCGGTATCTGCTTCCACTCCCGCTCCCACGGTCACTACTCCACCTGTAAACGTAGAAGCAAAGAAGAAGGCGAAGAAAACGGAAGCAGCACCATCGCCTCGTGTGACGAGGACCTCGGCAACACCTGGAACAACTTCAGTTCCACTACCTATACCACCACATTTACAAACATATCCAGCCCACTTCCAAGCTCATATACGAACTCCGCCGCCGCCATCACAGTCTCCTCATCCAGCAACCCCCTCAACTCCCGGACGTAGTTCTACCGGAGTGGAGACCCGACCACCTTCAAGGTTGCAACAATTGCCGACCCAAACGAATCAGCATATACAGCCTGTACAACCCCAGCAACATGCAGCTCCGACACAGCCTCAGCAAGCCATTGCCGCCTATCAGCCTCACACACCCGCAGCCAACTACATCGCGCAAGCCCCTTACGGCAAGAAAAAGGTGTGGTACCCAGTGCCTCTGTTGTTAAAAATATCTAAAGCTGCACAGGCTGCACAGGCCGCACAGCCAGGGACAGTCCCATCACAACCTCAAGCCATCCCTTACGCTCAAATCATGTACCACTATTCGACCTACCAGCACCAGCAGCAACAGGTTGCTGCCGCACAGCAACGCCTGCAGAGCGCAACGCCAGTCGCGCGCAGTCCTATGGCTGCTAGTCAGCAAGGCACTCCCCAACGCAGCAGTCCGCTGGTCACAAACCAGCCCCCGGTTGCCCGGTCGCCGATGCCTACCGCCGCGCAACAAAGTGCGCAAGCGACTCACGCACAGCAGCAACATATGTACAACTATGCCCTACAAGGCCAGTACGGCCCCGCTGCGCACATGCGTCCCATGGCGCATCCTCAGATGCAACATCATATAGCGGGCGGCGGTGTACAGGCTGGCGGTGCGACAGCGCTGCAGCAAGGGGCGCAGATGACCATCCAGGAGCAGACGCAGGCTGCACAGGCGCAAATGCTCGCTCAGTACCCACAGCTCTACGCGAACTACCCGCATATGCAAGGCAGGGTGCCTTACTGGCCCATGGGTGTTGCCAGTGGGCGAGGTGCACCTGTTCCAAATCAAGCCGCTCAGATGGCGCACGTGCAGCAGATGCAGCTCGCCGGGAACAAGGCCGCACAAGGAGGAATTCAAGGATCATGAAGCCCTTGTATGATATTGTATCTCTGGATCATTCACCACGTAGGAGTATTTAGTGTAATGTGTTCGTGGACGTCCGCCAGGGCCGTATGTCATATACCCTCCACAGTTAATTGTGTACATTTGTATTGTACTGCAATCCTTACTATCCTCATACGTGAGATTCGTAGTAACATCCGCGTTCCCATGCACGTGGCTCCCTGACAGGCTTCTCCAGATCTGCCAGGGGTCGGAAGCTAACAGTGGCGCAAGACGCGTCTGGAAGGCGAATTGCACCACGAAGCACTTGCCACGTAAATCGTCTGACCTAACGCACGTAGAGCAGCTGCAAGGTCCTTCCTCGGACAATGGAGCGCACGATGCTTTGTGAGCCACATATCCCACCTAACTCCACCGAATTCGCCCTTCGCAGAAAGATAGACCTCCACTTGCTTAACGGCGATGCAAGCCGCCAGTATCCCGACCTCGTCTCAAAGGTTACGCGTCTCGTAATGCTGACGTTGGCCGTAGGGCACTGTCAGCCTGGTGCGACCATCAATCAGACAATTAGGGGGGGAAATCTTCGCATGGACGTACTTACTGCGATACGTGTCGGGGACGCGCCGTGCTTATCGTACAGTCTACCAGCGTATGGCGTGCTGGCATTTGTCCACCTGCCATGTCTCACAAGCTCAGCGCTCAGCACTTAACTCGGAGGGCAACCGGTGCGACAGCGGGCAGGCTGCGCGATCGTAACAATAAGAGGTCATGGACTTCTGCTGCCGATCCGCCCATGAGGCGATAAGACATGAATGTAGGTAGTAGCATCATGGGTATCGGACCGACTAGAACAATAAAGATTGAGCGCGTGGGGGCAGACGCTTTTAACATAGACGAGCTGGTTAGGCAAGCCCCTGACAATTATGTAGACCTGGATAAGTACATCGATGAGCGCTGCACGACGGTGAGACACGAATTTTGCGCGACGCACTTAAGACCCTAAGTTTACAGAGCAAGATGGCCAAAAAACAGAAACAGCATGAACAGCAAGACAGAAGATGCACTGAGCAGCAGTCCCGCGAACCTCCACAGAAGACTCCGCGCGGTATCACTCTCGCCCACCGTACCCTTCGCTGCGGCGGTCTTGGGAACCGTATGAATCGTCATCGTCGCTGCCGCCTTCGTTGCTTGATACTTGTGCGGATTCGTCGACGGGTCCCTGCATACCTGAGTTCCCTTGTAGCGTACCCCGCGTACGCGCCTGATCACCTCGGCTGCGCTTCTTAATCTGTTGTCCGTGTGAATTGGCTGTGTACGACATGCGAACAATTAAACACCCACAAGCTTAGCGTAGACTAGTCCACATGCATTGCATAGGGTACGTGGACCTAGGAAAAGGATATTAGACCGTAAGCATATAAATCTCGAAATACACTGACCCATAGGGCCTCGTCGCCATTCTGGGGTAGACGTCGCACCGCAACCTAAACATGTCTGCCCTTCTGTACCGGGTTGAGTCTCTGCTTGCTCAAGAGCCGCAGGCTGTTCGCAATCAGCGTGGGTGCATGAATCGTTGAGACGTAAACCTACCTGATGCCCCTGGCCATCAGGCTCTTCTGGACTGCGGTCATTTGCTCGAGGGGGCTCTGGAGGAGAGAGCTTGCTGGCGGTATCCAAGGTCTGCACACCATATGTGGCAGCCTGTAGCATTCGGTCCATATTCTCGGGCGAGGGTGCAGAACGGGTAAGTGATGGATCTTGCTGCATCAATGCTGATGCAGTATTCATTACAAGACGATACGAATCTAATAACTTGCGTGATTGGATTCTGGTGTCAGGCCAAGTAATGTGTGTCTGAGCACAATGAGCGAGTCACCTTAAAAAAGTCCAATCCGAGAGGAGACGGCGGTGGAAGCGCAGAGGCGGGTGCGGGGGCAGGAGCGGGCGGAGGCAGAGGATCATTCTCCCTGGTTTTACGTACTTTAGGCGGCGGAGCGGCTTCTGGCGCCCGAGCCGGTCGCTCTTCGTTGCGACTAACATCCGGTCTCGAGGGGCCTGCGGCCGGATATGGGCGATGCTCACTAGATGAACTCGGCGACATTTCCGGTCGGGCACCTCCAGCATAAGATGCTTCCTGACTTGGTGGAACATGGGACGGGGGGAGAGGAGGAGGGTAGTGAGGCCAACTCTCGCCTGTCCATTGCCCTGACGGTTGAGGAGCCACACCGTAGGGTGGTGGAGGATATGGCGGCTGCGTAGGGTAGGAAGGAGGGGGAGGCGGATTGTATGGTTGAGAAGGTTGGTGGGGAGAATGGGCTTGGGAGGACGCGGAACGGACTGTGGCCCGTGAAGAATTCTGTTGCTGCTGAAATTGTGGAGGCTCGTACTGTGCATAGGGGGGGTAATTAAAGGAAGGCGAAACTTCCTGAGAGTTAGGATAGGCGTAGCGGCTATCGGACGCCATTTGGGACGAGGAAGACTGGGCTGGTTGAGGAGACGGTTGGTACGCGGTATCGCTAGTGGCTGGCCGTGTATCTGGGTTCAACGCGTTGTTAAGGGACGTGTAGGACACGACTGGATTCGGTTGGGCAGAAGCACTGGAGGGAGGAACGGGGACCTGTGAGCGGTCGAAATGGTAGAAGGGAGGCATGAGAGGGACAGATGGAGGAGAACGGCATTTATCGAAAGTTGGTGAAAGGAACGGCAGCTGGGAAGACGCTAGAAGAAAAAGAAGAGGAGCATGAAGAGAGAAAATGCCAACGTCGAGTGCAAGACAAAGTGGGGCAGCACAGGGGGACGCGAAGGATGCTGCTGATTGTGCATCAAGCAGCGAGCGACGCCAACCCCGATCGGCAGATCTGACGAGGCGAGCGCACGGTAAGGAAATCAGGTACTTACGTGCACTCAGCAGTTTTCTGCTCGTCTCCTCGCCCGAACGAACGCGTGTTCCAAGTCCTGCGTTGCCAGTTGCTCGTCGGTGGCCGTTCCAAATTCACACTGTCGCCAATTGAGCTACCGCCGGAATACTCGTTAGCGCCCACCACCGAGGCCGCACCTGCCAGTGCTACCTTTGTAATCTCTAGATCTCGCGCACGCACTGCGCTCCCGACCTTTACCGGTCACTTTGTCCAGATGTAATGTCGGTGAGCTCTTGCTACTCCAGTTACTCGCTGTGTTGTATGCCGTTCTTTCTGGGTTCAAACAGGGTTCGAACACAGAGAATCGGAGAAGCTGTCATCCCCATTGTCCGGATCATGTGATCATGGCTGGCACAAGTGGTAACTTATGAATCTGATGTGGCATGCATCACGCAAACCCATCAACTGAAATTCATTTAATCATTAGCTTTCAAGCTTTCTCGCACCAGTCCGCGAACCTGCCACATAAACGTGAACGTTTGAACGCAGGTAAGGAAAGAGTCATCAATCAAGCCATGCTTGTTATTATCCAATGCGTACATGGGTATGCAGATGTTAAACTCTACCGTGCATGTATGTCCGTGAGAGATTGGCGATTATCCCAATGCAGATGCGGTCATGCTGTGCCCTCCGCGGTCCCTCTCCTCCTTATATCTAGCCTGCTTGCCAGCCACAGGCGTATTATCTCCACCCGCAGGAACGTCGTACCCAGGGTATACCTCCTCGTTCACAGGCGTGTTCTTGCCCGGCGCAATCGCCGGACCGGTTCCACTGGCTGCGGCTGCAGCACGCTCTCTGGCACGTCGCCGCCGCCTCAGGATCTTCTTCCGGTTCCTTACCGCACGCTGGTACCCCAACTCATCTCCATAGAATAGGCCATATTCACAGAAGGGGCATATCCACTCGTCGGCCGGATCGCTCAGTGTCGACACGGGTGTGACCACCCGCTCGGAGCCCTTGCGCCGCCGTGGAGGTATCTCTGCGGAAAGAAATCGGAGAGGAAGGGGGCTGACGAGATTCTGGTTATTGACACTGGCCTTCGCTGTGTTTGCCTGACCCTGGCTAGGGAGGCGAGAAGGAACATAGTTGCGTAGATGATGTGGGTTCGAAGCATTAGCCAGCGCAGAGCGCTTTTTCTTCTTGCCGCCTCGATCCTTCCCGCTCGAGGGCGATTGATCCAAACTACCAGCGTTCGGATCTGCACCGCCCCTTCCGCGGCCCTGCTTGGACGTATCATTGCGTTTAGCAAAGGGGCCGTTATTAAGAGCTGCGGCTGCTTGCTTTGCAGCCTCGGCAGCCTTAGCAGCTTGCCGAGCGAGCTCCTGCTCAAACCGAGCGTGAAGGACAGCTACCTCCTCTTTCGTCGCAATGAGACGGTCGGACGCTATACATTAGGTCAAATCTGTCAGACTGGCTCTTTAGATAAAATAGGTCCTGCCACTCACCTGCACTGTGGCATACAAATGAAAAATCTGACAAAGGTAGAGCGGCCTCGCGGTTATCTGGCAGCGAAGGGATCGAAGCATGGAAGGCACGATATGCTCGAGCGAGGCGAGGGCCTCTCCGGCGAGACAGCCGCATCCTCACAAGCTTGGGGTCACCAAGGAGTCCAGCAGTGGTGAATGGATGACTACCCGAAAGCGCTTGATCGAGGGCGAGCGTGTCCCCGTGCGACAGCGCTCCAAGTACGGCAGCCAACTGACGTTTGCGGCTCTTCAGCATCTCTTTGTGCTGCAGCCCCGCTAACGTCGCCTTGGACATCTTCCCCTTCTTCTGCGCCAATGTCCCGGGGGATGATTGCGGTGGCTGGCCACCGACGACGTCGTAGTCGCGATCCGAGCGAGCGCCTGTGGGGATGGCCCGGTCGGTGGGTTCCTCGTCGTCTCCAGCGTTGCCCGACGTCTCATCATGCCCGTGGAGTGAGCCCGACATGTTTGCCGGCACCTTCCTCTTCTTCGTGTTCCCAGGCTGCTGCAGGTGATCGATGTAATCCCCATCGCCGGAATCGTCATCTTCGTGGCCTCGCGGGTCTCCCAGACCATACATGCCGCCCAGGTTGAGCGGTGTAGAGGTGTGCGAGTTCGTATCGCCTTTGAAGAGGTCCTGCACGCCACCGAGCACCGGCATGTAGTACGACTGCAGGGCCATTTGCGCCGTGAGGGCGTCCGCATGAGCAATCAGCTCTTCCGTAGTGGTGCAGGAGTCGAGCATGGTTGGAGCGGAGGGAACGATGTTCTCTGCATCATCATGCGGGAGCGTTTCCGATGTCCGCCTGCGCTTCGGGAGAGGCTTTACTCTTCTCAAAGGCGGAAATTCGGGGACGTCGAAGATGGGCGAAAGCGCTCGATACATGACTTGCTGTAGACTACAGGGGCAAGATTAGTGTCTTCAATTCAAGCTGAGGGAGAATCGGAACAAAAGGCTGACTTGATGGTTGAAGTTATGAGTAGAAATGAGAAGGAAAAAGAGAGGCGGTGGCTCTGTGGCCACGCAAGAAAGGACACGCTAATTCGGCCGGTGCCATAGGCACCTCCACTGCCGGGCGATCAAGATTCACGATATTTCATCCGAAACCACAGTCCACTTGGTCACACAACTGCCCCACAAATTACAGCAAATAGACAACGAAACCATGTAGAAGATGCTAGACTAGACTACGTTACAAGATGTGCGATGCTCTAACAGATTGTCTCGTGATGCTAGGATATAGAGAATGTCCGACTGCGCGTCGCAATAAATCAGGGTATCGCGAAACGAAGACCGACACTACCAGTCTGCTCATGCTTGTGAGGATGGCCCTCAACGTCTATAAGAAAAGGGATGCTGCCACGCAAGTGGAGGCGTATGTGAACGCCCGACTATTGAAACAAAGGCGAGATTAGGTGGGGCCCTACGATAAACGATGAGCAGATAATGCAACGAGACGAGAGCAGCGCATAGTCCAGGGGTCGGGAAAGGGAGAAAGACGAGGCCTTTGGGATTTTGTGAAGTTTTCAAGGACATAGGACGATATGACGACGATGTCGAGGGATGACATTCGTGTTCAACATGGAGGACATAGAGCATAGAGGGGGAATGCATGTTGAATCAGCCAGATGGAGGATTTACCACCAGCTTCCACCTCCACCTCCGCCTCCACCTCCGCCACCGTAACCAGAACCGCCATAGCCGCCGTACTGAGTCGGTCCACCGTAGCCGGCTGCGCCACCACGACCACCGTACCCGCCGCCGCTGTAGCCTCCACCGGCTCCACCGGCTCCACTAGCCCTGAAGTCCCGAGCAGTTGAGGAACGACCTCCACCACGGCCACCGCGACCACGGCCACCACGCATGCCGCCGCCAAAGGCGCCCTCGTGCGCAACGGTCTCAAGCCAAGGAGGAACCTCCTGGTTGGCCTCGCGGAGGAGTTCTAATAGGTCTCGAACGATGTTGCGGTTGCCACGATTGAAGAAGGCGGTCGAGACACCAGTGTTACCCGCACGTCCGGTACGACCGATACGGTGGACGTAGTCGTCAATATCGGAAGGAAGGTCATAGTTGACGACGTGAGTAACGTTGGGAATATCCAGGCCACGAGCGGCGACTGCAGTGGCGACCAAAATGGGTGTGCGACCGCTACGGAAAGTTTGCAGAGCCGTCTCACGTTCGCGCTGGGTACGGTCGCCGTGGATGGACGTCGCCGGGAGGTGATTGGCAAGGAGAAAGTCGGACAGCATGTCTGCCATTCGTTTTGTCTCGACGAAGACGAGCGTCAAACCGCCTTCGCCACCGACATGCGCCGAGAGCACATCAAGCAGAACGGAACGTTTGTCATTATCTTCCACGTATTCGATCTTCTGCGTGATATTCTCTGACGTGGAACCGACACGACCCACAGATAGGAAAACGTAGTCCTTCATGAAGTCTCTCGCGAGCATCTGGATGTCGCGAGGGAAGGTGGCACTGAACATGAGGGTCTGGCGGTCCTGTACACCTGGCATGTCCTCGCCCTGGACGATACGGCGAATCTGGGGCTCGAAACCCATGTCAAGCATGCGGTCGGCTTCATCCAGAACGAGGTAGCGAATGTTGGCGAGACTGATGCGCCCGCGCTCGATTAAGTCGACCAGACGACCTGGAGTCGCACTGAGGAGATCACAACCGCGCTCGATTAGGCGAAGTTGTTGATTGATGTCTGCTCCACCGTAAACAACGGCAGGGCGGACCCATGAACGATAACAGAACTTGCGAGCCTCCTCGTGAATTTGGCTCACCAGTTCGCGAGTAGGAGCAAGAATTAAGGCGGTAGGGAAAGCCTTGCGAGTACGACCATAGCCACCGCCCTGCGAGTCGGCTGGAGGGGCGCGAGGACCATTAGTGAATGAAGCCGATAGAATTGGGAAAAGGAAACCGCCTGTTTTCCCAGAACCAGTCTATGAAACGCAGAATGTTAACAAAAGGAACTCACACGGGTTACTTGCCAACTTACCTGAGCACAGGCCATGAGGTCTCTGCCGAGAGCAACGATAGGGATCGAGTACTTTTGCACCGGGGTCGGTGTAGCGTAACGAGCGAAACCGATGTTCTCCAAGAGAACAAGATCTAGCGGGGGGTTCGTGAAGGCCGTCACAGGCTCTGGCACGCCAGCACCTGTCGCCTCGACAGGAATCTCATCGTACTTTTCAAAGTTGATGCCAGTGTGCAGCTTGGAGGGATCGTCGTCGTCTCCGAACAGTTCCTTCTCCATGCGGACATTTCGACCACCGGGAATATGGACACCGTCCCGCCAAACACCATACCCAAAAGTCTCCCGTTGTCCGTCTCCTCTCGGGGTATGTCCAGTCCAATTGCTGGTAGGTTGGGCGCCCCATCTGTCCCCGCCTGCAGCCCCTCCCCTGCCGCCGACTGCACCACTGGCAGTTCTATCATACTGTCCGCCTCTACCTCCACCATAACCGCGGTTTGGAGGAGTGGATAAAGGAGTGGATGAGCGGGAGTCGTTCCAGCCGTCCCTAAAGAGAATGTCTTTCAGCAAGAACATCCAAAGTAAGTCGACAACTTGACATACCCGTTAGTAGGAAGGGTGGGACTAGATGCAGCCCGCTGCGAACTCCTCAAATGAGGAGGAACATAGGCTGATTTCGTGCCGTTTATACCAAGAGAAGCTGAGGATTTGGTCAGCTGCTTTGCTGCACGTCACAAAAAATAGAAGGCACCCACCAAACTGATTCTCTAGGCCAGTACCATTGATGATTCCATTTGTCATATTAATGGGAAAGCGAAAAATGGGAGACTTTGATGTGGAAATGCGTTATCGTCTATAAAGCCTTGAGCTAGAAACGAGATGATGGTGGTTCACCTGAAAGGCGATTTGAAGAAATTTGCGGGTCCGCATTACGAAACACAGCATGAAAAAATGACAAAGCATCTCCTTTTATGGATATTTCTTATATAATCCCACCCTTACCGCGGCATTCAGCAGTGCATTATGATGTAGTTCCTTGCAAACATCTCCTGCACGCGCTACCTGCATAACTATCCTCCTTCCCGTCTTCCTATCCACAGATGGCATATAGAATGGGATTACAGCCTACTATGCTCGACCTCTTACAGGTGCGGTCTTACATCCGCGCCGTTATTGTTTTGCTGAATACCGTCAAATTGTACCACAATTATCTATGAAAGACCGAATTCTGCCCACCGCTAGATTCATCTCTCATTGCAGCCATCGCTGCTGATTATCTCCCTGATAGTGACAATTTTTCAGGAGAGTTTTCTCAGGATGATCTGCAGGCCGCTAGGGCAGTGCTCGCTGATCTCGCCGCCGAGGCAGAAAGACAACTGTCAGATGAAGATGCTCTCTCCGAACGAATCTCGCGTGTGCGCATATGCCCAACGTCCATCACTGACGAAACCAGCAGCTCGCACGACTATTTCTCCGGACGCAACTCGAATTCTAATACCGCCACCAGTTCTACCTCGGATGTGTCTGATCAGCATTCGTTCAGTTCTCCTATCGGTTTCCTACAAGCTGCTTTCCCCCATATACCTATCGCCAAACTCAAGTCTACTCTAGCTGACAGTGGAGATGCGGAAGACGTGGACATGGAGTCGATCGTGGAAGGTCTACTCACGAATGAGTATGTGCGCGACCTACAGGAGCGCGGCCTGGAAGACGACGAGTTGCCTGTGGAATTTGATGGGCAGTGGCTCACTGTTGAGTCAAAGAAAAAGAAAATCGACCGCGTGCCACCCTGGACTCCGAAGAAGGGAAATAAACGTGGTACTACCTTTACTATCATCGACATACGACAGAAGCAGCATACCCGTGCCACTCCTTCCGAAGTGCGAATAGCTGGTGCTGATCCATGGACACAAGTCTCGTCCGTCGCATCCTATCTCTCTACATTGCTCCCAGAGTATTCTGCGTCTTATTTCCAGTCTATCTTTCATGCTCCAGAGCACCCGACCCCTGCCAAAGCACTCCGCGCCGCTCTGCTCTCCATGTCCTCCGCTCCATCGAACCCCAGATCCCTGGTAGAGCTCTCGTCTGAGAATACCTCCCATCTCTTTAGCATGCTGGGGCTTCTAAGTGCCTCGCCGATCTATGCCACACTGAATGCAGAGGAACGCAGTCAGCTCGCATTCGATGTAGAGCTTGCACTTCGTGCCACGCACGGACAACCTGACCCCGCAATCGATCTCGTCTGGCTTCTCCGTGATCTGGAGTCCGACTCCGTTTCCGGTGAAATGACATGGGGAGTATACCATGCACCTGTACCACCACCCAGTTCCTCCTCTTCGTCCTCCCTTATACACCCACCGAGAGGCACTCCGAAGTTGCCCACAGGTCCTCCCCCGGTCCAGGCACCACCGTCTCCCCCGTCTTCTTCTCGCTTTTCACATTATACTCCGCCTGCTAATACTTGGAAGACCGTCCCCCAGCGTACGCCGACCTCGCACGAACCTCATCCACTTGTGAGCTTTATTCCTGCATATGCTCCCTCTCCTGGCAAGCGCAAAGTACGCGGCGGTGGCAACGGCCTCGGGAAGGGTGGAAAGGGTGATGTCGGTGAATTGCGGGGCTCAATGGCGAGGCATAGAGGCCGTGCAATGGACCTTATGGAGAGAAGGAGGGAGGCGCTGAGGCAAGCAGGAATGGCTTGGCAGAGGGGAAACGCGAGGACGCACGGTGGAGAGGTCGCATTGTTTTTTGCGGAGAGAGTGAGTAGCAAGTCTAGGTGGACATCGGATCAAAGTTGTTTATTGAAACTTCCGATCGGCGTGACAATCAGGCTCGTAAGCTGCAGCAGGAGGCTCGGGAAGAGCAGATGGACGCTGTGCGTGAGATGGTGCAGGCCAAACGGTGGGTCTCATAACTTACGAACACATCGCACGCACTCACTCTTGGAGCAGAATGACGTCGGCCAACCGAGACACTGTCGATCTGCACGGTACTACCACCACGGAAGCCGTCCGAGTCGTAAAAGATATTCTCAGCCAAGAAGGCGCATCTGCTGGTAGGTCTTGATCGTTCAGTGTTGTCGTCATCTGCGTGCTGAACTGCCTTGTCTTGCGCACAGCTAAACCGCTCAGGATCATCACCGGCCGCGGCAAGCACTCTGCGAACGGGGTCGGGGTGCTCGGTCCCGCTGTCAAGAGCGCCCTCGTGGAAGACGGGTGGATGGTGGGCGCGCACGACGGTGGATTGGTCGTTCGCGGTCGAGCAGCCTGGAGGACATAGCCATCCATTATTTCACGGTGAGCATGTTCCTAGCTCATGCTCATGGATGCGTCTGAGTTGTCGAGTGTCGGAGACTGGTATCTATTGGGTTATTCTTTACTTAATAATTCTAGGAGTTTTTGGTCTTGTCTCCCTAAGACTTGGTTTTGTCTCCATACGTCTTGTCTCCGTACGTATTGGTTTTGTCAGGTTCTTGCGAGTCTGTCTCTTGTACGTCCGCTGTCATATGTATTGTCGACGATGTAGCCAAAGACCTTACTGTATCCGTTAGTTTTGCGTAACACCCACAGTTACATACGTGAAGCTTCAAGTTCGCTTCAAAGCTCCAAGGTTGTATAAATTCTTGACGTCATCGATACCCATTTATCCACTTGTTCAATTGCTCAGGCTCATACGGGACCGTTTCCGATGTTGCTTGCAAAGGGGAAGCCCATGACAAAAAGCATGAGACATAAACAATGCCGCATCAGCATATGTATGGTGCCACCGACAGACTTGTACGCTGCTTCTCGAGCAGTGCCGCAGAGGATCCCATGATCTCTTTATGATTCATCCGTAAATGTTTCTTCAAAACATCGCCGATCTATGCTGGCAGTATTTCGCATATATCCAATCAACTAGGGGGGAAATTCCTGCCTTGCAGTGCCTCTAGCTCATGCCTGTCAATACAGTCGCGGAGAATGTCCTTGGTACGATCGGTGCGTTATCCAGTTGTACGCACTGGCCTGAGCACCGCGTCTCTCTGTGCAAGATTGGCTGCTAAATGTTGCGTTTTAACGTGAGTTGTAACTTTGACACTTACACCGACTTTTCCTAGGCGCCATTTGCTGGACTGTCCAGTTAGTTCCGCAAATATGGAAGAGCTGGCGGACCAAGTCGACTGAGGGCCTCTCCGACTGGTTCATGTAGGTCTTCCTACCGGGAGATCATGTCACTGACCGTTCACGAATTTCGACTCCCCAGATTGATGTGGAGCATCGGGGCGGTGTTCCTCGGGGTCTAGGCGGTGGTGCAAGACATCAACGTGCCCCTCATTCTCCAGCCGCAGCTATTCAGTGCTCTGTCCCTGTTTTCGTGGGCGCAGGTGTGCCCCCCGTAGCAGGCTATGTGTCGTCTCGTGCTCACGTTCCGAATTTCCGCAGTGTATGTATTACGGTCGAAAATGGTCCTTCAAGACATGTACCGTTTCGTTCATCTCCCTGGCGGCCACATTCGGCGGCTTTGAAGCAGGCATGGTATATGCCGTTAGAGTCAGTCAGCTCTCGCGTCTCTTATCGCACCGATCCTGAGGTATCCCCCAAAGCCGTCGTACCGCAGGGGCGACCAAGGCCCAGTGGAAGCCTTCGGCATCCTCAGCTCTGCCATCATCTCGCTCGCGCTCCTGTACACCCTTTTATCTTACCTGACACTCCCCGCGATCTCACCGATCCCGCAGGCCCCAATACTACGAAATCTACAAGCACCGCGAGGTCGTCGGGATCTCCGTCACGTTCATGACGGTGGACATGCTCGGCGGCGTCTTCAGCGACCTCTCGCTCGCGTTCAAGCAGAAATTCGACGTCATCGCCGCCGTGACGTACTCGCTCGTTGTGGTCCGTCTTCCCCCCCGCCTCTCGCCTAGAGGCGGATGCTGACCCCCTCGCGAATTCTTCAGGTGCTGGACGGCATCGTAATCGTCCTAGCCCTCATACTGAATCCGCTGGCCGCGAAGCGTCGCAAACGCGCCGCCCTTGCGCTTACAGAGACGGACGTGCACGCGGAGGGATCCCAAGCCGAGGTGGGCCGGATTGTAGGCGCATCCCCCAATTCGCGCGATTCGCTAGGGGACAGAGATCTGGACGTTATTTTGGAGGATCGCAATACACAGCTCGTGCTGCCCAAGGGCGACGACGGACAAGAGGAGAAACCCCACGGTTAGCATGCTACGCCTCTTAGAAGACAGAAGCGCGTATACACGCTGGGCCGATCCCATTACTAGATCTATATAGAGCTAAGGTATATACCCCATAGCTTAGTATCCAATGTGCAGAGAACGATACCGGTACGAATCAGATATAATGCGGGCTCATTGCGTGCGGTAGAGTCTATACGCGTAGCAGTATGAGAGCAGGGAGAAACGATCACACTCTGCTCCCGCTATGTCTTCTGCTGGGGTTCCTGCTCTGGCTCGCGCTGATGCTGCTGCCATCGTGCGAATCGCCGCTCGTGCTCGCACTCTCCTCGCGCCCGTTGACCGAGCCCGGCCCGGCGAGCTCATCCTCGTCGAACAGGACTTCATCCACGTCATCCGCAGTGTCCGCGCCTGCGCTCTTCACAGCGCTATGGCTTACGCTGAGGCTCGACTTGCCTGGCGCAGGCCGCGTGCGGCGGCCCACAGGCGGGGCACTGATAAAGTCGCCGTAACTGGAGATGGAGGCGCCTGGTGCGCTGGACTGGCTCAGACTGGGGAGCGGGCTGTGCTGGGGAATACGGACGGGGAGGCGGTAGAAGTCCTCGATCTCCTCGTCCTCCTCATCCGGGAGCGAGCCGATAGCGGCGAGCGTTCCGGCGATGACGGGGCGCGAGTGGGATAGGGAGCGGTATGTGCCTTTTCGGAGAAGTATCGCATACGAATAAAGCAGGGCGGCAAAGTAGAACTTGAACATAGGAGATCGGCCGGTCAGGATGCAAAGGAGTAAAGTCGAGTGGTATTCGACGCACCTTGGCGAGCCAACCTAGGACGATGACGGCGGTGGCACGGCCCTTCTCTTCGTCCCAGATGGCCATGGCGGCGTCCACGCGCTCGAGCTCGGTCATGTTGCGGCTTCCGCCGACCGGAGCACCCGAGTTCATCATCTCGCGCTGGGCGTCCGAGTTGGCCTGGCGGCGGCCATCGTGCGGGGTGTAGACCCACCAGAGGACGGCGAAGAAGACGAGCCAGGCGGTGGAGACGACGTGGTCGGCGAAAAAGAGGTGCGCGAAGTAGAGGCTGTGCTTCGGGTCCTCCTGATGGCAGATGAGGGGTGAAGTGGACTGAGAACGGAGCAGAACGCACCTTTGTGATGGCTTTGAGGCCCCAGACGAGGGCGGTGAGGCCGATGACGGAGTAGATGTAGAGACTGAGCTGGGCTGCGGAGCCGCCTGCGCCTGTGAGGACGGCGACGAGACCGTACACGCCTGCGACCTTGTTGAGGACCTGGGAAGACGTCAGCACTGATCTGAGTCATTTGTGGTGTGGAAGACGAGCACGGACGGCGAAGAGGAGGGCGATGGTGACGCCTGTCTTGAGATCAAGGACACCGAGGAAGGAGGTGAGCGGGCGCAGGCGCCATTCTGGACGGAGGGTGAGTTTCATGCGGTGAGCGAGGGGAAGCGTGCCGGTGTGCGCATGAACTGGGACGACGAGGAGAAGGAGGTGCGAACGAACGGACTGGTTGGAAGAGGAGAGGAAGCGGATCGACGACCGAGAACGTCTGCCGGCATGTGTCCTTCTCACACTCATTTCCTCTCCTTCTCTTCGCCGTCCACCCCGTCCTCCTCGCTGCCTTCAATTTCCCGTAACCAACGTCTGCACATCGTACTCGGACCTCCAAGCAATATAACAAGCAGCGTCTCGCACTAACCGTCCCGCGCGTCGCCCCAATGGCCGGATACTTCTCAAACCACTCCCAGTCCCGCTTCCTAGCCATCTCCAACTCGACCGCAGCCACCTCGACCACCTCGACCACCACCACCACCACCGCAGCAGCAGCAGCAGCAGCCGCCAACCCGCCACCAGCGGCGACCCCGCCCGCGACGACGCGCCCGCGTGCGCCATCCTCCAAGCACTTCTCGACCTTCGTCGCCCCCGCCGCAGACGACAAGGCGCAGGGCAAGGACCGCGCAGCCGGGTCCGGCGCAGCGAACGGCGCGCCCGCCGTGCACCCCCTCCATCACACGTATGTTCGTGCACCCGTCTCCCCCCGCCGACCCGCGCTCACCTTCCCCCACCACACACAGCTGGGTCTTCTGGTTCCGCCAGCAGCGCGCCCCGGGCAACAAAATCACAAACTACGAGGCCGGCATCAAGAAGATCGCCGCCTTCAGCTCCGTGCGTGCCCTCCCCCCCCTCCTCGCTCCCGTCTCGCGTCTCGCTGACCCGTGCGCGCAGGTGGAGTCCTTCTGGTCGCTCTGGACGCACCTCCACCCGCCCTCGTCGCTGCTGCCGACGACGGACTACCTGCTCTTCCACGCGGGCGTGCGCCGGCCCGTCTGGGAGGACCCGCTGAACCTCCCTGGCGGCAAGTGGATCGTGCGCCTCCGCAAGGGCACCGCGGACCGCCTCTGGGAGGACCTCGTCCTCGCCGTGCTCGGCGACCAGTTCGTCGGCTGCGGCGACGGCGCGGAGGGGGGCCCGAACGGCGCGGGGAAGGAGCGGGCGGCGGCGGCGGCACCGGAGGGCGACTGGCCCGAGATATGCGGGTGCACGATCAGCGTGCGGCAGAACGAGGACATCATCTCCGTGTGGAACCGCAGCGACGCGGACGCGAAGGTGAAGGAGCGGATACGGTGCGTGCGCCCCCCCGTTCGCCCTCGTCCTCGTCACCGTGGCTCAATTTTTTTTTCCCACTTTGTCGCCTTGGACCCGTCGGACAGGGAGACGATCCGCCGCGTGCTGAACTTCCCGCCGACGACGGTGATGGAGTACAAATCGAACAACGGTGCGCTTATTCCCCCTCTTCCTCCCCCCCCTTCGATTCGCGCGGCTGACGCCCCCCCGCCCCAATTTGTGTTGTCGTCGTGCGCAGATTCGATGCAGGACAAGTCGAGCTTCCGCGTGCCCGCCGCGGACCGCACGCCACTCTCATGACTCGGTGCAAAAGGCCGCCCCATGTGTAGCTCTACGCTCTACGCCGATACTTGGTACTTATTGCGTATGTACTCGCCGCGCGCGCTCTCCCGACATTATGCGATGCGCTGCGCCATCGCTTCTATTGCCCGTATCCTCACCGAGGGGCGCGAAACCAAACCAAAAAAAAAAACGGGTATGCAAAAAAGCCGACAGAACGTCCGCATGAAATACGTGAGCAGCAGCCAAGTAAATACAAGTCCAGAAAAAACCACCGCTCGCCGAACCGGCAAAAGTGGGGGGGTATTATATGTACGTCTGTAGGCGTGTACGTGTCTGGGGGAAGCACCGTAGCGTGCGAGGATATAGTCTATCCGACTAGACGGTCTACCCGCGCAGTCCAGTCCTAGAGTAAGCTATCGTGAGAAGAGATAGAGATCTAAGCATCCGTCCTCGCTCCCGAGATGAAAACCAGGCAGGGACGCGGAGGCTACGCGACGATGGCGGCGCGCGGCGCAGACGCCTCGAGCATGGCGTGCGGCGGCGGGTGACCCGTGACCATAGACCCGCGGCGGGCCGCGGGCCACGCGGGGTGCTGCGGCGGGGGCGAGTCGAGCGAGGGCGGCGGGGAGGGGTACGAGCCGACGGGCGGGGTGCCGCTCGGCTGCGCGATCTTGACGTGGAGGTTCGGATGCGGGTGCGTCTGCGAGTACGACGGCGGCGGCGTGGCCGGGACCGGCGCGGGAAGAGCCGAGGGGGGGAACGGGTGCGCAGCGGCAGCGGCGGTCGGGTGGATGTGCGCGTGCGCGCCCGGGCGGGTGTACGCGGAGGCGAAGGCGAGCGCGGGCTCTGCGGGCGGGGGGGCGTCGACGACGACGGTGGGGGGCAGCCGCATGTCCGGGTCGAGGATGGGGTCGCGCAGCGTGGTCGGGAGCGCCATGTCGCGCGCAGCGTTGACCCTGCGCATGCGCGTCTCGCCCTGCGCGACGTCGCCCTTGGCGCGGTTGTAGAGGCAGAGCCCGGCGAAGGTGAGCGCGATGCCGAGGCCCTGGACGGGGTGCACGGGCTGCGCGAACCAGACGAGGGCGGTGAGGATGACAGCGACGCGCTTGACGAGCGAGGCGATGCTGTACGTGACCGGGGACGTCTGGGCGAGGAGGACGAAGGCGATGATGTTCTGCGCAAAGTGCACCGTGCCGTTCGCGAGCACGTGCTGCGCCAGGGTGTGGAAGTGCGCGCTGTGCGCACCGCCGTCGTGCGGGGGGTGTGAGACATGGGCCGGATCGGCGGCAGCCGCGAGCAGCAAGGGCAGATCGTAGTACGCCCAGATGGGGACCATGAGCAGGAAGGCCATGCTGGACGAGTAGAAGAGGAGGTTCAGCTTGTCGAGCTTGTGTGCGGTGCTGCCTCCATTGGAGGGCATGATTTTCTTGAAGAAAATATTGGAGGTCACAAAGACCAAAGACGAACCGAAGGCGCATAGCAGCCCCATGGCATTGCCTGCTGTCATGTCAAAGCTGCAAGCGAGCATGACGCCGAGGGTCAGCGGCAGGAGCGAGAGGTAGGTCTTTGGGGAGTAGCGGACTCGGAAGAGGAGTGCGTAGGCTGCGACGGTGAACAGCGGTGATAGAGCCTAGCAGAACTATCAGTAACGCGAAACTACAAGACGATAGGTAACCGAGGATGAAAGTGGTCAGAAATGGGGATCGCGATGGACTGACCTTGATAGTATGCACGGTGCTGACGGGTATGCGGGAGATGGCCATGCTGCTGAAAATGTGACCGCCGACCTGGAAGAAGCCCATGGGGATGGTGCTCTGGAAGATGGCGCGAGAAGGGGGCCTGAAGGTGGAGAAGTGTACGAGAGGGCTCATGAAGAGGAGGCAGTAGGCTGCGACGAAGCCGAACTGGATGAAGGTGAGGGTGATGGGGTAGCGGAACTGTGTGAGGATGATTTTGCCGGTGTTGGAGGACAGGGCGGAGGTGGTGTACCAGAGTGCGCAGAGGAGGACGAAGCGGACGGCGGAGGGAGAGGGAAGGGGAGGAAGGACAGGGAGCTCGAAGGAGGGCAGTCTGTGGCGGGCCCATCGGGAGACGCACCTGATGAGGGACGGGTCCGAAGACTCCCAGGGATGTTTCTCGCTGAGGGGAAGTGTGTGCACGGACGGGGCGAAGCTGGCCAGCCAGGATCTGCTCTGTGCGCGGGAGAGCTTTTCGTCGCGGGGGTGGTACTGCGACCACGAGGGTTGGACTGCAGCCCAAGGCTCGCTGCTGGGCACAGAGAGCATAGGAGAGGAGGATGTCTATGGGCGAGCTAGTCGCATGCAGAACGGTTACCACGGCCGCTCAAGTACTACCTCCACCAGGCGCCTCCTCCTGTTTGCCCGTGTTTGGCCCTCCCGCTCAACTCGGCGTCCCAATCCGGTCTCTCGCCTGCGGATACTACTGCCCTGTTCGTGTCCGCTTCAAGTCATCCTCAGTCTGTCCATTGGAACACTCGTTCACCAGACCTGTTTCTTTTGTTTTCGTCCTTTCCCTCACACTTTTCCTTATCGCTCGCTTGTGGCTGGACCGCCCGCGACATCCCTATCTCGCAGGACGTCATCACCCTGCGGTCACCACACCGGCGTCCCTATGCGCTCTTTGTGCACATCTCCCTTCGTGCGCAGGCTGCAAGGGCGGCGAACATTCGACCCGGCGTCGTGCGCGTCCGACAAGCGTTGTGCTCTCGGATCCCGAGTACGTTTATTTTCTTAACCCACGTTCGCTCATCTTCACCTCATCGATGCGGCGGCAACACGCCGCTACCGAGGCCCACGAGCGCTACGCACGTCCAATGTATCGATCGCATCGGCCGCTGGGTCCACATATAATGATATCATTTTCCCCCTTGCGGTGGAGCTCTACCGCCACGTCACAGACGATCATCACTGATCGCACTAGGTCATGATTTCTGTCGTCACTCACTTCCTTATCTTTGTCTCTCCCAACTACAGCAACATCTCGAACACTGTGAACGCCAGGGGGTGTGAGAGTCAACCGTTTGTCGTCGGGTGAAAAAAGGCCATTGAATCACCCGGGATGTTCACCATGCAGAAATCTCCCTTCAAATGGTACCGGCGAGCGGTGATTTCCGCCATGCAGAAATCCCCCCATTAAATGGCTGGGCTCCGGTGAATCGCCTCATATCAAGGGCGAACATCACCCGGCGGATACCTGAGGTGTTGTTGATTCTGCTGAAGGTCACCCGCCGAATGGGGGGACGGAGCGATCATACTGGTGACTTTCACCCAAGCTGGCATCTACAGTGCTTGTCGTTCAGTCCACAATTTACCCGTGTTGGCCTCCCTTCAATCGGCGCCGGCGTTAAAGACGGGTGCCAGCCAGCACGAAGGTCATGTTCGCCCATCTCGTCTTGCTAGAATTCTCCCTTGCGTGCGGGGGCGTACCGATACCGCTCCTCAAGCCCCTCCAGCACTACACGTCCCGTATCACAAAACGAATGACATGCAAAATCTCCCGTATGGTACGAGACCGTAGCAAAAATCCTTGTAAAAAACACAACCGTTACATACCCAAAAAAATCACAAAGACAAAACCGAACCTGAGCGGGGAGACGTGACGGACAAGTACAACAGAGACACTAAAATACGCTATGCAGCCCAATGTTACGCGTGGATCGAGTATATGCGAGAGGTGGTGTTATGTATGCTAAAGTCGGCCCTAAATGAATGAAATACGGCGTGTGCCATGTATCGTGTGAGGAAAAAAGACGAGTAAGCCTCGCGCAGCGTTTTGGTGAGAGTCACGGTCGAACGAGCAGGAACCGGGTGTTCAATCGCGCCCGCTAGCGCTGACGCTCCCCGCGCTCGACGCGACCGCGAACTCGTGGCGCGCGGGGTCCCACGCCTGCGCCCAGTCGTTCCGGAGCGCGCGCAAGCCCGCACGGGGCACGCCATCGACGCTGTCCGCACGGCGGATCCCGCCCGTCGCGAGCAGCGCGGGGTACGCCACGCTCATCGTGCGCGCAGACTGGCTACGGAGAAAAGGAGGGGAGGGGGGCAGCGGGCACGTCAGTTCGTGCACACTCGCAGCGCGCGGCGCGGCTCACCTGGGGCGGAGCGTCGGCGCGAGCGCGAGCTGCGCGAAGCTGCTGGGGAAGAGCGGGTGCCCCGGCCCGCGCTCGCGCATCGCGTCGTACGGCGCGTCGTCGCGCGGCCCGAGCGCGAGCGGGGACGCGCTGGGGCTGCTCGAGAGCGCCACGGACGCGCCCGGGGCGCGCGTCGGGGACGTGCTGATGCGCAGGCCGTGCACCTCCGGGCTCGTGGGCGTGCGCGCGTCCTCGGACTCGTCTTCCTCGCGCACCTCGTGCAGCGAGAACCCGAGGTCGTGCGAGGACGTCGGCGGGGGCGCCGAGGAGGCGAGCACGGGCTCGATCGTCACTTCGTCCTCGGGGGGCGAAGGGGGCTGCATCTCGATGGAGGGTAGGAGGTCGTCGGGTTCGACGTCGCTTGCGACGGGGCGGCGCGAGGGGAATGGGGTGATGAAGGACTGTTCGGGAGACCCGAGAACTAGCGCGGACTCGGAGTCGAACTGGCGCTGGCGGGCCTCTTCAATGAAGACCTCTGCGTGCGTTGCATGTTCGGGCTCCACATCAAGCTCGGGTGGAACGCCGAGAGCGCCCTTGATGCGCTCCCAGATGAGCTCGCTGTGCGAGAGGACGCACGCGCGGGCCTTGGCGACCCACTCCGCGTCGCTGGCCTCGTCACGGTCGACGATGGTAAGCCAACGCTCGAGGTCCCTGTAGGACCAATGCTTGGGGTCGTCCGGATAAACAGAGGTGGGCTCGTTCATGGAAGGAAACGTCTGGGCGAGCAGCGCAAAGAGCTTCGCGGAGGGCGGGCTCGCAATCAGCTGCGCGACCTCGGCGGGGCGATCGACGAACGGGAGGAAGACATCGTCGGGGAGGGGGGTGAATGAGACGGGAGCAGGAGCGGAGGCTGCGGGAGTGGGAGGTGCGGTGCCAGCCGAGGTGGAGGGACGGGGATGGCATGACTGACGGGCGAGCTCGACGAGTTGGTCGGGCGAGAGTTTCTGCTGGTTCGAGAACGCGCTCACGCCCGAGCCCGAATATCTGCGGGTGAGGGTGGGCGCCATCCGGGGTGAGCCAGGACTTGCGGGGCGCGGGGGTTGAGAACCAGGGCTGGGACCTGCGCCCGGGGAGGGGGGCTGGGTGAAGGACGCGAAGGCGAAGCTCAAGCGGGACGGCTCGCCCTTGGAGGAGGTCGAGCTGAGGGATGCATTGCTGCCGTGGCGGCGATGCCTGCGAGACGGTGTGCTATCGTCCTCGTGCGGAGGGGGAACTCGGACGATGGTGAGTCTGCTGGACATGGCACGAGCAGGGTTATTGAGAGACGCGTAGGCGCCCCACGGGTCAGAGGCTGAGACGGAGCCGCGACGGGCAGAAACTCTGCGGGCGCGGGTTGGGCTGTTGCTGGGCGAGGAAGAAGAGCTCATGGCGGACGACGACGCGGTCTGCGTTGGAGCGGGGCCCCACGGGGCGATGTCTTTATTATGCAGCGTGCGGGGCATGCGAGAGGGGTCACTCACCACGTAAACTCTCTGCGTGCGACGGCGAAGGGGACAAGGGGAAAGATGGTGGTGAAGAACAAGAGAGGACTTGCATCGCAGCAATATAAAGTACATCCGAGTGTGGATGCGACTCTACCCGCGAATGTACGTCAATCTGCTCCCTTCCTGCTATGGCCCAGCCGTCGACGCCTAGACCTCCTGACGGCCCCTATTCCAGTCCACCTGCTCCTCCAATGCGACGTTCGTCTCTCGACAGAGTACATCAAATGTCTGCCCTCTATGTGAACATCGATGCATCGATTCACCCCCGCACTCCCAACGTTGCCCGCCGAAACCCATTCCCAGAATACTTCAAGACACCGCACCCATTCTTAGCTCCTTCTGTCGCATCTCGTCTTTATGCCACGCACACACCCCCGAGCCTGTCCACAGCTTCTGCAATGCACTCGTAGTTCACGAGACCACAGAATCCCCGTACATTTTTCTGATGCGGCATCACGGCCTGCGATGTGTTCTGCTGCTGGTGGGTATTCTTGTGTCAGCGTCGCAAATTGTGTCCGCGTGCGACTGGCTGGACCGCAGGTCTGGCACGCAATTTCCAAGACGCACTCCAGATCTCGTCTCTGGAACTCAGCGCTGAAGACGGAAGATCAGATCTCTTTTCTCGTGCAGGATGCACACCTCGATACCTCGCACTACCATGCTTGATTGTTCCTAGTCATAGCGTTGTCGTGCTCTAACCCGGAATGTCTCCACTGGGAAAGAAGCCAGCACGGTTCAGGGCGTGCAGATAACAGTTCTTCGCGAACGCAAGTTACAGTATACAATTGCGATAAGTGTTAGCCTCGTTCTCCGCAATTCAACCTGGAACACAAGGCGTTAGCTCCGGTATTTCGCCACCGCACCACAATGGACCTACATTTAATTTTATGACAAAACGCTCCACGGCCCGACTGCAACCACTACGATCAGCAAAATTTGAAGACCAGCGAGAGGCTTGGAGCGGCTTTACCACCCTGTTGCTGTTGTGCCGCAGCGCGCCGCATTTGCCAATGGAGCGGACGTTCGATGTTCGAAATTTGATAAGGCGAAGCCTTCATGGTGGAGAGTCTGCTCACGGCACAGGATCCACGCACAATCTGGATAGAGTCACGGAAGGCCCGCCCATATAAATCGTCCGAGCCACCTAGAAAGCAGTCCAATTGACGAGTGTGCTAAATTAGAATTTACCTTTCAGCGGATACCCTCTGAATATTTTGGAGGCGAAGCCTGGAAGTCTTCGTACGCCCCGCTAGAGCAGAAACAAACAACTGACACCACTCGAGATACCGACTTGTTCGAGCTATATTTTATGCTTGCATAGAAAACATACGTATGATATGTCGCGTGTTCCGCTGGAATACGAAGACGGTTACGCGTGGGAGAGGCGTCGACAGAGTATGTCTGTCGGACGTTCTGCAACCTGTGGTACGACTCGTCCCGAGAGGACCGGCGGACAGCCCCCGTGGACAACTAGACTCAAAGATGATTTGCTTAGCTGGTGCCTACATGGAACCCCAGAGCAGAATTCCGGAGTAAGAGGGGAAAGACCCAGAGATAAGGAGTATGTGTGCACCGTGGAGTGTGAAAGGACCCTGGATAATCCCCACAAAGGTCGTCGCCAAATCCGGACAGATTTTTGCGAAAATCGACCTCACGCCGTCGTCATGTCCGGACAAATGGACCCCCTAAGGACCATGTAGCCGTCGTATCCGGACATGGAACTGTTCTGGGGCAAAAATCGCCGGAAAATCGCCGGAAAAAGCCGAAAAAGGCTAAAAATAGCCACAAATTGCCTAAAATGGACATCCCCAGAGCGAGGATGTCGCTATTTCCGGACAAAAAACTCCCTAAACCGGCCAAAAATGGGCCGGACAGATTTTTGTAAATTGGGGGGGTTTTGGCGACGACCTTTGGGGGGATCCAGGGTCCTAGTGTGAACCGGTGTAAAGCGCCCAATTAGCGCCCAATGCTGTCGATCACGTGCAGGCGATACGGTCCGGGCGCCAACTGGAAGTGACCCAACCGAGTCCATTTCCTCGTTTATCTACACCGCACGGCCGTCTACCAGCTTCAAGCCCCTCCCAGTAAGTCTGACTGGGAACTATCCCGCGAACTCTAGACAACGATAGAAAATTGCAGCTGGCAACGTCCCCCGTATCAATTATTCGAGACCTCGACCCTCGCAGACCAACGCCGAGATCTCGTCCAATATCATCCGACGGGCATGCCTCCCCAACCAGGCTTATTCGCACTCCCCTACTCTTCAACGCACAAAGCGCGCTCGGGGACAAATGCAGAAGTAATAGAGACTACCGGCACCGCTCATCGCCATCAGGCTGTCGCCGGACCCTCTCGCACGCACGGTGAGCACTCTTCTCAGGCCCGGATCTTATGACATCATGCTCATCCGCATCTCCAGGATCGCAAACGGAAGACCAGAAAAGAGAGAGGAAGAAGAAGGAGATCGTAGGCAAGCTCGGGAAGGAGATGAGCGACAGACGCGACGAGTGAGTCTCAGCCACGCGCCTTGGTGTTATACGATATCTGAGATGGGCCCGCGCAGCGCCGGCCGCCATTACGCGGAGATTATCTCGGAGCTGCACAGCACCTCCCTCCAGCTCTCGACGCGCCCCGAGACGCTGCCCGCGTACAACCTGCGGCTGTACCCGCTCACCCTTGAGCGCTCCGCGCTGCTCGCGTCGCTTGTGCTGCAGGAGCGGCACGCGCTGGACGGCGTGCAGACTGCGTACGAGGAGGAGCGCGAGCGCGTCGAAGACGAATGGAAGCGTGGTCGCGAACGCATCCGCGAGCGGCTCCTCGAGGGCATCGAGGAGCGCCGGCGGCGTGCGCGGGAGGAGAAGGATGGCGAAGGCGCCGTCGTCGGTGAGTTCCGCTTCTCCACCTTCAGTGGCTAAACCATCACTAATTCATTCTTTGAATTCCCGTAGATGTAGGGATGGACGCGCAGTCCCGCCCGCATAACACGCGCAAACTTCGCAATAAACTCGGGGGAACGTCTCCGCCGCCGACGCCGCTCTCTGCGGCACCGGGGCTAGGACTGACGAACGGGACCTCTGGGTCCAACGGCAATGGGTCTCTGACGAACGGGACGTTCCTTAACCCTCTCTCGCTCTCCGTGGACGAGCTACCTTCTCCATTTCCTCTTCCGCTTACAGCGGCTCACCTACACCTCAATTCTGCATATAATAATGGTGCAGGTGGTGGAACGAGTAGGCGGCGCGCGAAGGGTACGGGGAAGGACGCGCAAATACTTGGAGGGCTCGGAAAGAGTCTGGCGATCCTGAACACCGTAAAGGAGTCAGAGGTCGAGCAGGACCTTGGGGAGATCAGGAGGGGGAACAAGAGGAGGAGGGTCGCGGCGACGACTCTAGCGGGTAAGGGGGGATAGTTGGCGTTCCACGATGAGGAGGGTATTGCATGCGGTGTCGTGTTTTGGATTTCTGCTGTCTGTTCTGTTCTGACAATGCACACGTTATTCTCTGGGGGCTGTAGAAGTTGTCGGTCGTTGATCACTCTTGAGGCACGGTCGTCGCGCGTTCGGCTTGGGGGTGTATCTTCTTTCACGGCTTGCTATCGATTACTGTCCGCTCCGCTGCATGAGGCTGCAGCGCTCAGCAATCAGCACTCAGCACTCAGGAGCATGCTGCAGTACCGTTCGCTCAATGTGTTACTCATGGGTTTCAGCTGGTGTGCCAGACACTTCGGATCATTGCAAATGTCCAATTGGGTTTCTGAGGCTGGCGGTGAAGTTAGGATGTGAGGTCTATCCGTTGCCAATGCAGTTTCCTCTAGTTAGCTAACGCTCGGTCGTGCTAGGCTGTTGCAAGTGCCACTTCTCTTGCCAGCTATCCAGGATCGCAGACAGCCGCGAAGTCAACACTCAGAGTCGATCATCGTCAAGTCCATCGATAAGATAAGATTGTTTAAACGTGTCGGCATCTGCCGGCTGACCTTTCCTTTCTTTTGAAACGGAGTACTATCGTGGACCCGGATATGCCAAATGTCCCAGAAGTGCCAAATTTTTTCCTGCGGCTCTATTCTCTTACCTGATCACTTCAATATTGCAGAGGTAGAAGCCTGTGTGTCTACTCTTGATGCTCTAAATTTTTGGTAAGTATGTGTGGCCCGCTCGGATCCCAAAAAATTCGCAATCACAGGACTGTACTTGGCTGGTGCCACACAGCGGCATCTCTCTACGATGGTCAACATTGCTCTAAAAAATACAGAAAAACCACCTGTTGTATTCTACGTGCCATATCAACATCATATGGGGTGCCGGAGACTATCGCGCCAGGTGTTGCGCGGCGGGACCAGAAGTGCCAAACTTTTGGCATATCCGGGTCAACGATAGTATCTGCTTCTCTGCTGTACGGTGCACCGCATCGCGATTCGCAGGTTTCGATCCGACGCGGCGGTGCTCCGCACTATGCTCGGCGGTCACGCCTGTGTCACCCATGGTAACACACCCCAAAAGGCAGGAGGTCCGCCAAATTTCATCACGGCGTGAGCCGGAGAGTGACTTCAGATATGTACGAAAACAAGGGACTCAGCCAATCCATTCACCGTTAAGCTCGTTCAAGCTTGAAAAGGCTGTAGATACACTACAAAGGATGCCTACCATGTAGCTAAATGGACAGAGAAGAGTGGATATACCGAGTAGGGGTATGCCGACTGTTCATGAACGGCCAGGAAGTATGCCGCTTGAGGACGGCGTATCTGTTACGATCTTAAAAGTATAATTGATCGCTTAATTATGGCATCACGTTCTACGATACTGCGCGCTAACGCGAGCTTACGCAGAACGCCCCTCTCGCAGCCATTAATTAATATTCGCTGAGTGGGAGGGCTCTATTTTTGTGGCATAATCCAGTGGATCTCTCTTTTCGCCTCGTTCTCACCGTGTCAATCGATGACATTGGAAGTATGATGCCGCGGTAGCATATGACAAGCTTGGTAGCAGACACCCCTCTCCAGTTCTCCCCTTCATCATCGGAGCCAACTACATTATGAGCTTGTGCGAATACTGCGTCACCGGTATGTTCCCCTTGCCTGATTTCACTGAACCCTGCTGATAGGAGCGCAGGTGTCATTCACGAAGGTGTCGCTGAGGGTGAGGCTCTATATATGCGTCTCAATTTGTTGTGTGTAGTCTCGCTGATGGACCCGCACATTAGGTAAATTCGAGAAGGTCGGGGGCATCGAGTGCTACGTCGCCACTCCAACCAAGGATTACGCCAAGGATACAGTCATCCTCCACCTGACCGATCTCTTCGGTATCCAGCTCATCAACCACCAGGTGCATCTTCTCCTCAGAAATTCGATGACGGCGTCTAACTTATGTTCGACCCCCACAGCTCCTGGCGGATAGCTATGCCCGTAACGGTTTGAAGGTGGTCGTTCCGGACATCCTGTTCGGCGATGCAGTGCCCTTGAGCGCGCTCTCCGGTGATTCGGATTTCGACTTCGATGCGTGGCTGGGAAATCATGGCCCGAATGTCATGAAGCCTATCGTGGAGAAGGTTATCACCGCGCTGAAGGCTGAGGGGGTCACCAAGTTCGGCGTAATCGGATACTGCTATGGTGCGCGAGGCGCAGTGGATTTGGCCTTCCTTGGTGTCCCGTCCGCCGTCGTGCTTAACCACCCGTTTTTGCTGCAGATCCCTGCAGATCTGGAGGTCAGAACAATTTGTATTACCTTTTCGCTCTCCTTGCTGCTAATTGCTAGTCGAATGGTCAATAGAAATACAAGGAAGTTTCGAAGGCCTCGTTGCTGATCAATAGCTGCGAGACGGACCCGATGTTCCCCCAGGATGCGCAGGCCAAGGCGGATGAACTCTTCGCATCTGGATTTGCACCCGGATACAAGCGCCTCTTCTGGGAGGGATGTGCCCATGGCTTCTCCGTCCGTGGAGACCTGGTGCGTAATTGTTGTAGAGTACATAAAATAATCGCTGGATGACATTTGTCGGTTGATAGAGTGACCCCAAGGTTAAGGCTGGCAAGGAGGGTGCATTCAAGGAGGCCGTCAAGTTCTTCAAGAAGCACTTATGAATGCGGTTGTATTATAAAGTATGAATCGTATTTCATGTTGCGATGTATACTCTATATATTATAGTAACAGCTGGAAGACAGACGGTCGAATGTTCAACTTGAATGCTTTGCCGCAGTTTTGTCGACTCGCCGAAAGCGGGCCTGGCCGGGACCCCATGATATCGTGCTCTTCGGCGGATTATCAGGGGTCCTGGTCAAGCGTCATCTTGGGTGCCTGGTGCGCTGCGAGTATTGTGACACGCGCCTCTCGTCTATGTCTCGGCCGCAAGTCGAAACCACAATAATATGGCCGTTGTATCTTACTACACTGGCGCTGATATAATTTCAATTCTTGTCGGCCATCCTCTCCTGTTTACTTCCATGAACCACTGCCATGTCTGATGAGATGCCCTCCTGGCGAGCCCTCGCGAGCGCGGCGTCGCGTTCCATCAAAAGTTATGTCTCCCAGCGCGACTTCAAGCGCGCTTTCCCTGTGACTCGAGACGTACGCGCGGACGGAGACAGGTTTTCCAGAGTACAATCATGGGGCCAATGGGCGGGGCAGAAATTGCGTCGGGGCTCACAGAACGACGGTTCTGCGATCGAGAGGGTATCTCTGTTCCCCGGCTGGGCGACCAGAGAATACCACCATGTTCAGGACAACACCGCCAAGAGTGAGATGAACGCGATATAGCACATTCAGTGACTGACGCTATATCGTAGATGGTACCCCTTTTGACGTCGAGGTATTCGTATCGGGTTTCGCTTCTCGTTCAAGCGGGCTAGGGTTCGGCAGCCGATCAGGTAGAGCATTCCTGAGAATAGCGAAAGGTGCGGTGCAATGCGCGCTCATACTGAGTAGACATTCATGTCCATATACACAGGATATGCTGCATTGCCGAAGCTTGCACCAGTTGGCGTGCCAGTGATTAGAAATGCCACCGATTCACGTGCAGTCGAGGATTCGAACCTATACTTTCCAGACGAAATGGATGAGGGCGCAATAGCTGAACAGCTGGATAATGAAGTCCGTGACTTGGACCCTCTCGAGGAAGACGGAGCAAGTTCCACGGCCGCAGGCCTCGCTGAACCCATGTCGTTCTCATATACCGGTGGCTCTCGTAACCATCCACTCAATTCTCCCGCATCTCCGAATAGTATCCCAAGACCAAAGACGCCCGCACGATTTCTCACTGCTGACCTACAAAGATGGCATGCAAATCTGGAAGCGCGCTTATATCCCTTTTGGTCGTCCGCACTGTCCGCTCGAACTATCCGCGTGTCTCTCTACACCATGGACCCCACAGTATTTGAGTCAGACAACCAAGCAGCCTGCTCTAATGCTGCTGAAGATGGCATAGAGCGTCGTCCAATAGCTGTTCGGGATGTATTAACAGCACCCGATGGCTTCTTCCAGATCAAATTCAACATACCGTGGGATACAATGTGCACTCACCCAGGAGCATTAGAAATCGCTTTTGGTGATGCAGCGTTGGAATACAATCTCTTCATTCTTGCGGAACTGTTCCCACCAATATCGTCTACCCCATCCGCCCATACAACTGTCCAACCTCCTCGATATTTCCCTTATCCATCGGCTACGACATCCTTGTCTGTACCCTTAACTTATTCGTCTGTTCGTGTGCTATCCGATATCGATGATACTGTAAAATTGTCCAATATGCTCTGTGGAGCGAGAACTGTATTCCGGAATGTGTTCGTCAAGGATCTTCGGGACAGCGTAGTACCAGGTATGGGAGACTGGTATATGCGACTGTGGAACCGCGGCGTTCGATTTCATTATGTCGTAAGCCTTGTATCTCCCCTCTCTCTACTGAAGGAAATCCTGACTTGTTGTGTTGCAGTCTAATGGGCCTTTCGAACTGCTGCCTGTCCTTAACGACTTCTTCCAGTTGTCACATCTACCTCAGGGTTCCATTAAGCTCAGGTCATACGCCGGTCGATCTCTCTTCAGTGGCCTGCTCTCCGCACCGTCCGTGCGGAAACGAGCAGGTGTCATTGATATACTGGATAGCTTCGCGACCTCGCGCTTCATGCTCGTCGGTGACTCGGGCGAGCAGGATTTGGAGCTCTATGCAAACATTGCCAAAGAGCGACCTGACCAGATACTGGCCATCTTCATACGTGATGCCAACCCATCCCAAGACTCGGAAGTAGCAGAGGGTGGACTGAAGCCCCTGGACGACCCCACTGGCGTTGGAATATGGCGGAGAGACTCCGACTCGGATAGCCGCTCATTCTCGTCCCCCGCAAGGCGCCCACTATCTAAGTACCGCGTGCGGAGCCCTGTGCGGTCCTTGTCGGAGATGCCTGTGAGGTTCTCAGTGCACAAGCCGATGAGGACGTACTCCGCGGACGTGCTAGCGCCGCTGAACAAGACAGCGAGCGGATACTTCTCTCCTTCGTTGCAGTGTGCTTCCCCCGTGTCGGAGGAGCCGCGGCCGCTGGAAAGTCCCTCGGTCACGCCACCTATCAGCCGCAGGGGATCGCCAAATTACGAATCACAGTCTTCCAGGGGTCAGATACTTATGTCGGATTCTGAGAAGAGAAGATATGATTTGCAGATACGGGTGTATAGGGCTAGGCTAGAGGTGCCGAGACATATTCCTCTGCGTGTCTTTCGACAACCTGAGGAATGCGTCGAGGCTGCTGCGATGCTTGACAGGCTACAGCTATGAGGACAATGGTGTTTTATTGCATAGATTACTGTATTACATCGGTGGGTCCTGCGTAACGGACGCTGTAAGTACTTATTAATAATCATCCCGATTTTCATTCCGTACTTATGCATAGACCCCAATGATCTGTTTTTGTAGGACTCACATGCTCCGCAGATAACGGTGAACGGCCCAAGACATGTGCCGCTGTCGGTGTTTCCGAGGTCTATCTATGTCAATGATAAGCACACACTATGTACAAAGTAAGCAAAGTCGAACCTCAGGAGTAATGTATGCCGAGCTCTAGAGAATGGGGTACAAAGTGTACTATGCAACGCACCGGAATAGCGTGACAATAATCATCGTACTGCATGAGGGGTCAGCGCATAATTTCCCTCCTACAGATGTAGACACGTACCTTCGGATAGGATGGGTTTACTACTGCCTTGCAGCGGAATAGATATCCTCGTCGACGAACCATGTGATGGTGGTCCCCTGGTTACCCCGCCCATTCTGGTCTTGATAGAACAAGATGTTAGTTCAGACATCCCACATCACAGCGCAGGCTTATGACTTACCGACGAGAGATCAGATTCCCGAAAATCGCCGTCTGCCTCGCTGTTGTTAATATTCGGGCGTGTGGCTTTCGTATGCTGGAATTGCAAGTCCGTGAGGTCCTGGATGGAATCTGAAGGGCGGCTCGAGACGGAATGCCTGCTGTTCAACCTGTTCCAGATGGTCACTTTTCCCGCCGGACTTCACACAACAACGGAGGGCCTCACGTAGCCAGTATCGCATTTGCGTAAGCTGTGACATACAACGGTAGCAGTTAGGATTATTGGTGATCGTTGATATGCTAGACGACAAACCTTTTGACAAGACGGCATTGAAAGCTTCCAGGATGAGAGTCTCGGGAGCGGCGAGATTCTGGGTACGAGATCAGACTCCCTAGACTGTCGGATCAAATCCTTTAGAATCTTACCACTATTAGGCAAGCTATACTGACAAGTCTGAGAATATCGAAGTTAACGGAGTGTGACAACGACATATCCGATAATTCACTAACGCAGGGAGCAGACCACTCGTGACGGTGTACAGGATCAACTGATCGATCATCCTGTCAGTCCTAGAGACGCACATACTGCCAAGTAAGGGAACGATCGCAGGATTCAGTACGACCCATTTTGTAGGACTCACTGTCTAGCTCCGGTGCGGGTCATGTACAGCTGCAGACAGAGCGTAGCAGTGATGAAGACATCAACCGCTATTCAGACTACGAGCGCAGCAGTCACCGTCCACTGCATCTGTTTGTTACATGGGATGTTCAAGAAAGCTAGGTGGGGGAACTGACGTGCAAATCCGAAAATTTCAGCTCTACCTGTGCGCCTGATGTATCACGAAGTCTGTGGAGGGGTCAAGCACCTATCTGCCACGGGTAGCAGGTTATTCACCCATAGTATGAAGCCACTGGAGGCACAACTCAGTCGGTGGGAGGTTACGAGAGGTTTAAGGGCAACGTACATAGTGCTAGCACTACGAGTGACCGTCAGATACATTATTCTAACAGAGCTACGAAGATGAAAACACACCATAACTCAAAATCGAGAGGAGCACCTGTTTGAAAACTACTTAAGAGATAATAATAGCAGACAACATTATAAACTTACAAGTGCAAGTGCAAGAGGAATAAGTTTCTTGTTCACTATTGTTGGAGATCTCAGTGCGAACGAATAACCACAGACCATGATAACTGGTCTTACAGCCCCAAATCCTATGGCACAAGAACCTACAAAGGTATCAAGATCAGTGTTAAAGCTGCCAAATATCCGCGTACAAATGCACGATGAAGGCAATCAATCCCTGGAGCCAGAATATTGTGTGAGCAGCTGAGCCAAAAGCACCAGAATCTAGATGCTTCTTAGATTGACGTCTGTTTACGTCGTCGTAGTTTTTGCACTGCTAACTGGAGTCTAGAGAGCATCAGACTTACCAATCCACAGTCTCCAGCACCAACGGATTCATGAAGTTAGTAATCATGTAGGTGTAAGCTCCATGCGAAATCATTGCCAGGGAGAGCGTATCAAGGATCCTGACTCAATAACATGAGATTATGGCCACTGCGACGGTGCTTCCCACAGAAGCATACCATAAGGAGAAGACCTATTGAGCTTCTAGTCAAGGAGTGGAAAGGGCATTTAATGCGAAGATCTTACGAGTATCTTGAGAAACAGACCGTCCCTTGGATAATTCATGTACTGCGAGCAGAATAAGTCCGAACGCGGTTGTTATCGAGAAAAGCTATTACATAGAAGATCGTCTGCAAGGTTGTGAATCCATGGAACCTTGACAACGGTAAGCGTAGGTTCAGCGACGTTGGATGAATAACTTACATAGCGGCACACACTACGCCGATAAATATCGGTCCCAGGATGGGATTGAGATTGATACTAAGCAGGGGGACTGTGGCAGCCATGGTGCTCGTGGGACTGAGAAAGTCCGGACCTGTAAAGAAAGGATATATATGTGGCAAAGAGCGCTCTGATAACCGCCAAAGTTTCATGAGCTCGTTTTCCTGGCACGTCTACGGCAAACAGCGAAGAAGTCTTCAAACGCCAAGTCAAGGCAAAGCTACCTGATTCCCCTTTGCAGAGGATCAGAAGCAACTGGTTCGCACTATAAGAGCCGTAGTGCAAAGTTAGCATGTGCTCCACGCCATACTGGAGGAATACGAACATTGTCACCGGCCGGTTTATACCCGCGAAGACATCCATGATCCCTAGACCTTTACAGGATGACCGACACCGCATTTTCACGTTGATTATTCAACGCCTCGATGGAGAGCGTCCCAAACTAGTCATCCACAGCGAGCTGTGCCTTGTTGATATGAGTTATGTATCAGCGCTCAGAATCTGACCAAATCGTTACGCTTGATTGTCCAATAGTACTAGTGCCCTTCATATCGATGGACCGCCACTTCCACCTGGCCGCGATCGGCCATTTATCGCGTTTACGGTGCCAGGGTAAATAAAGGGGAAAAAACAAACTTTCGCGCGCAGGCTGATCTCTGTGAATCATCGACTCTTCATCGAGAGCACACCTTGACCGACTAGCAATTGCCATACATGGAAGATGATCGGAGATAGTGTTACGTAATAACCCTTCGTCGCCAGTGCGTTGATGTTGGTTCAGACAAATACCATGTCTGTAATCCACAGCCCGTCGTAGGAGACCTCAGCTGCCAATGAGCTCGTGCCGTGGACCTGTCTCTTCTTAACCCTTCTTCGTCGCTACTTTCGCAGACACTACACAGGTACATACGGCTACTGCACACGTCACGTCTATGCAGTCTTTTAAGTCCGGGAGAATCAGCGTAGTTGGAGGTTTGAAGTCCTGACCCCACATCTCCATTCTCAGAGCCCAATATCCTCGTCTGGTTTGACATCGGTAGTGCAGTGTGCGTGCGAGTGTCGCTGCGGTACGTCCAGGGTTCTCCATTCATAACAAAAACCTCGTCAGCTTCAGGTTGTTCTTCTATGTTTACTTACTATACGTCGGTTGCAAGTCGATGCAATTAGCACCTGCGTCGTGAGTATCGTTTTCTGTCTTTGACCAGGAAAAATGTGCCGTTTACGAGGCACATGTATTTGCCTTTAGCAGAACCCATCCTGTCTTATCGGTGCAGAGTGTAAAACGACCGGGTACATGCGCAATTACTCGTATACAGTGAGTGCTAAGTTAAACATCTGGACTGTGCTATCATCCAACGATCTAATTGTTCGCCATGTTTTCAGGGGCGCCACGATGATAATTGTTCACTGCGTCATCTAGGTGACCTGTGCGTGGGCATTTTCCCTGCGGTGGTCCTTGCTAGTAGTCGACGAATGAAGCTTCTTATTCTGTGCTCAGCTCAAGAGTGCCGGTCTCTCTGGTGCATCTTGGGTGCATCATCTTCGAGTGTTTCTCTAAATAAGCATTGAGAGGATTACGGCGGGCAAACTGATGACAGTGATTACTCCCTTGTTTACCCTGCAATTTATGTATAAAATCCATGTCCTCCGTAGTACAATATACAGAGTTCCGTAATGGGTTTCGCTACTACTTCCGGCGAATCCGAACTTGCTCACCGCCCATCATTGTCAACATGTCGGAAGGTCCTTCAGATCCAAACAGAGAATCCACCAACGCTAATTACAACTCTCAACATGAAATACAATGGGGTAGAGGTATTGAATTCACATGTACTCCAGAATATAGCTAAAAACTCTATTACTCGCTGCCGTAGTTCTGATCTGCGGCGGTACAGACTGGTGGGTGGTTGCAAGCTCGTGCCCGCGCGCGTAGGGCGGGCTCCCGACCACCACTCTAACTTCATATTTCACAATGCAATGTCATTAGGCCCAAACTAGGTCGCAAAGACCGCGCAGGAGGAAGCAAGAAAGTGCAGGACGACACCAGTGTCCCGTTGGTTTCTCTGCGATGTTATTTCGGAATACAGACTAATTGAGAGCTTGAATTCATTCGCAGCGGCCCTGACCTACTCGAGCCTCATATCCTGCGCTCCCTCAGCAACGTCAAGGTAGTATCTATACATACCTCCTGTGTGGGGTGTCACGTTGTCGCTCTAGATATCGACGGAGTTGCATGGTTGTTTGGACGCAACGAGCGCTCTGCTTTGGCCGTGGCGGGTGTCGATGTAATCTCAGAAAACGAACCTCTCCGCTTGACTCCCCACGAGCTCGGTGCTCCTAAGGGAACACGTTTCGTTTATGCAGGATGTGGAAAGAACCACACGTTGTTGGTTGGGAGCGATGGCCAATTGTGGACTGCAGGTGCAAATAACATGGGACAAGTATGTGATGCTACTGACGTGGTATTACTCGCATTCTCATCGTCTTCTGCCAGTGTGGTCATCCCGTTTGCCCAGAAGTTGCCTCGTTTAAGCTTGTTCACTGGCCGAAACATCTTAGTGTCAAGGAGCATGTGGTTGCGGCAGCAGCGGGAGTAACATTTTCCATTGTTCTTACCCAGGGTGGCAGAGGTGAGTGTAAATTGTGGACCATGCTGACGGTGGATTGCCTTCATGTCCACACTCTACAGTGTACTCTTTTGGCAGTGGAGAGAAAGGTCAGTTGGGGAATGGAAAGACAGGAGAGCATATCGTAACAGCAGGCAAGGTAGCCTTTGACGTTGAACACGAACCAAGTATGTTCACCCCGGCACCTACGCTGCCCTTCTGTGGTTGATGCTGATCGGCATCCAGTCCTGGTCAAAGGTCTAGAGGACTGCAAGATTGTAAAGATTGCATGCGGTCAACAACATAGTGTGGCGCTTGACTCTGAAGGGTTCGTGCTCGTCCTCAAGTATATGCTCAACACCAACGTCTCGATTTAGACTGGTACATGTTTGGGGATACAACGGCTACTGCCGCCTTGGGCTGGGGAACCAACAAGACGTGCTTATTCCAAAGATTGTACCTCAGGTAGTACACCGGGCAAACTTTCAACGGCGGGGTTCTAACGCGTTTGTCTAGTTTGCAGGGCCGAGCGAGATGTCAATGGGGGCAGATGTTATTGCTGGCCCCTCCAACACAGTTGTCATCGACAAGCAGAGAATGTATTGGATGGCCGGCAAGGTGCGTCCGAAAGTGTCCTTCTTGGTACGGGGAATCTCATGCTCTCATATTTCAGTGGAAGAACACTGGAGACGGTACGCCCGTTTCTTGTTAGTGACGAGTGTGCCGAGTTCATGGCCTTCACAGGCTCTTCCGGACAGCCTTATTCCTCGTTCCGCTATTTGCAGGATATAATGTCAGTGCTACTGAACTATCGTCATAATGTTACTGAACTATTTTCTCTCTGTATCTTAGGGGTTGTAAGATTACCTACGCCAGTTGTGGAGGCGTGACGCATTGGGCGCTTGCTCCGGATGACGATGGTAGTGTGATGACCATAGCCTTTGGACAAGGTGCAGCAAATGGTAGATCGCTCTGTTTTCCTCCCGATAAGCAGCCAACTCATTTCCACGTCGCAGGCGAACTGGGTTTGGGACCGAACGAACCGAAGAGTCAGACGAAACCTACACGGCATCAGCCTCTCATTGGAATCGATGTCTTCCAGTGTGTCATGACTGCAGATACCGTGCTCATGTTCTCATCATTGACGACATGACCCTTTAGGATTGCTGCGGGCCAAAATACAACTTTCTTCCTTGCGGGGCCGAATGAGAAGATGTCCAACTTACCGAGGCATCCTGTCGACGTCGACGCACCTGAGTTGTGCGTCCTCTGCAACAAGGATAATGGAGATGACGATGCACCGTTGGAATGTGACAAGGTCCGGTATATCCGTACTAGGCTCTTTGTCAGTGCTGACAAGAATCCCAGTGTGACCATCCCTATCATCTGAATTGTCTTGATCCTCCGTTGGATGCGATACCGGACGGCGAGTGGTTCTGCCCTGAGTGCGAGAAGGCCTTGATTGGCGCTACAGAGAAGGGCGGTGCAAAGAGAGCTGGCAAGTTCAAGGGGAAGGCCGTCGAAGAGGAAAAAGCAACCGCAAAGGCGGGACAGAAGAGAAAGGCACCTGTGAACTCGAAACCGTCAGGCACGTTTCCATGCATTCTCAGTCCCGTCATCTTACTTAGGTTCTCGTTCCGCAGCTTCGAAACGCAAGAAGTAGGCCAGGAGTGGTCAAGTTCTGTGACGAGTAACCACTGGGTTAGTTTTTCTATCCATGTAGTACTGTGACAATCCAGCGGCGAAGCATATGGATGGCACACTAGTAGTGTACAGACATGAGTAATATACAGCCTAGGGTATCTCGTACGGGATCCGATATGAGGGAAGGGGCAGCCGCTCGATGTCCGTTCATTCCTGTCCTATAAACTTGACAAGGAGGAAGAAGCCACCCACGCCAACTGCAATGATGAGAGCGAATACCGCTCCAATGAGCATGACCAATTCCCAGGTGGGCAGCTCTTGAGGGGGCCTTTGATTGTGGAGGTTGACACCGGTCTTCCCACTAATCTCTTGCACGCGCTTCTGTATCTGCATCTCCTTGTCACGTTTTTGGGCCGCCTCCATAATCCGATAACGGGCGTCCGAGGAGTCGAACGTTTGGCCACTGGGTCTCATTTGGACGAAGGAAGGATAGTAATGCTCGCACCACTGCTCAATCTAGCGAAAGGATAAGGTTATTTGACCCGAGGTCCATATTACAAGGGAGATCATACCTTGCCACAGGCGATAGACAATTGGAGGAAGCTGGGGTCTTCTGGGATAGCCTTCTGGTGAATTCTGCGTGCATAATCCCGGAATATGTATGCCACATCGCGGGGATTGGACGACCGCATGATCAACTACACAAGCTGTGGAATTAGCGCACACAGCCGGAAACGAAAAAGCGACTTACAGATGCGGCTTCAGCTCTGCGGATTTTGATATTTCTCTGGAACATGTCATAGTTCATGAAACAGAGACCAAGCGTAGCGATAGCCATGGTTTGCGGAATTGCGCAGAAGTTAAAAACAGTCTGCGTCTTCAGCAAGCGTAGGTAGTCGAGCGAGTCGACTGCATGCCCTAGTACGTCTACAACCATTCCACTGAGAGCCCACAGCGCCTGTTGCTCGTTGCCAGGCTTGTACATGTCTTCCATATCCTTGAACGCGGGCCGTCCGCAGGCAGTACCATAGATCTCTCGGCCCCAAATTTCGCGTGGCCAGAAATACCGCCGCTCCTCGACGTCCTCGCGGTAGTCACGGATAATGTTTGTCTTTTGCAGCATTAGACCCATGGAATTCGCCAGTTCAAGCTGCTCGCCCAGCCATGCAACCTCCTTGCCGGACGCAGACCACAAACGCGTCAGTCCTTCACCGACAATACCGGCGACGAAATGGCAGTAAAGGTCGTAGTCAGCAATGGTCTCCAAGTAGATCGGTTGCGTTAGAACCGCTCTATGAGCGTAGTCGGCCATGCCAATGCCCATCTTTTTTGTGGTATCAACAATGACATTCCGATATCTGAGCGGAGGTTAGTCGACAGGTACATATCGGTCATCACATGTTGCGAACCTCTCCTCGACGAGATTAAGCTCATCACTGACGACATTGAACTCAACCAGCACCTGCCTGTCCTTCTCCCCTGGGCCATTCTGTGTGAATGTCCACCCAGGTTTCATAGCGACGACGTGAAAGGTACGGAGTAATGGCTGCTTCGTTTCATCCAGTAAAGTCATGTCGTCCTCAATAGTATCGAGGGCGCGTAAAACAAGATAAAACAGACATATCTGATGAGAAATATGCAATCAGCATGCGGATCCCTTTTCATGATGCGGGACCAGATGCATCCATCCCAGGAGAACTCGTTGCGCAGCGATAAGTACACGCAACTCGTTAATGGCGACAGAAGTGTCACATACTCGTCCGGAGAAAAATGCAAGACAATGGTAGCACTCGTCATGGCGTATGCGAACTCACCACCCTGGCCAAATCCCCGTCCAGCTCCTTAATAACGCCAGCGAAGCTCCTGCTGGTATCGTCGAGGAACTCCCAACACCTCCTCATACTCTGGCGGTCCCATCCTGAGTGCTTGAGCTGATTGGGTGCAGTAATGTCACGCGTCCCTTCGTGCCATAGTTTGTACTGAAGGAGAGTGCGGAATTCGAAGGGATGGGTAACAAGCAGCGCCAGCATGGAAAGAGCACCCATATTTATACAATGACTGGTACGATACCAATGAGCTGAAAAGAGTGCCCTAGGACGTTGGGACGTGGTGACACAGATGCGAGTGTGCACTCCCACAAAGCAGACAGTGGTACGATTTATATATACGCGCCCAGAACCGGCCCGCGGCCCTGACCGAACACCGTTCTTTTCCTCCGCATTTTGAGGGTCTGCGCTCCAGCGATCGATGTAATCCAGCTGCTTTTTCGTGTGTACAGGACGTTTATCTTGACTCTTCAAAGCTTCATGACCAGACAGTACTTGCAGCGTGGCAGCGTGAGTTTGACCACCATTTCAACTCCGTCCAATTGCAGGACCTGCCATTTCCGTCTCGGCAAACGCCCCAAGAACAGACAGTGAGCACCATTGATATCGATACTGCATGTTGAGGATACTGACTGGCATGCAGGCATCTTTTTGTGTGTGCTACATCCTACCACGAACGGTCGCAAACTCTGGTAGTGTGGTCTTGGTACCTCAGATCGTAAATTTCGATGTATTCCTCCTACTATTGTAACTGAGAATGAGCATCTGCACAGGACCCTAAGATACAGTCAGCATTATCAAGATCATGGATGCTGCGACTGCACCTCCACTTCGCATCCAGGTGATTCAATCAAGAGGAGTTTCTTCGTATGCCGCACAAGCTCGTGTGCATAACTTCCTGGCACACTTTCAGGATCGCAACAGTGCAGTCAACGGTGGTGATGCAACCATTTCTGCTCAGCTGCAGAAAGTAGTGGATGCTTTGCATGAGAATCATGGTGCGAGAGAGAGGCTGTCAAAAACCATTGTCTAGGTGAGTTTCACCTAGCAGACTTTCAATAGACTTACCTTATGTCTGTTATATCTAGTAGTCCTCTAGAGACACTGCTCTGATTTCACCCAAACATAACATCTTCCAATTCATTATACAGTCATTTACTGGTCCTTGAGACACTACTGGTCCTTGAGATGTTCAGCTTTTTCTCACTTAATTCTTAATTTTTTCCTCCGGAGTTTTTGGCAGTATATTCCAGTACTATGTATACTACTACTGCAAGCTGTGAAGTGGGTGTAGTGAAGTGGATACCTTCTGATCCTACAAAATATAGGTATTTGGGCCAAAACTGAATTTTCATAGCAAGATCTACAATAAACAAGAATACCTGCCACCATATTTTTGCTGAGGAAAACATTAATATACCTTTCAGCTTCATGATCAGCTATTTTCCACACAGATTGGTTCAAGAACTTGTCCACAGTGCACTAAGAGGCTGTCTGAGACATTTCTTATCAGGTGCGCAGTGTCACAAAATCACACTTTTAGCACCATCAATCTCAGAGGATGTGCAAGAGGACAAGGAGATGCACGATTAGATAGGTCAAATCCTGCTATATCGGGCAGGAGCACACCATGATGTGACACCATCTCAAGGATGTGTTTGTGCACTGATAACAAATTTTGACACTGATCACTTTTGATATCCTGCAAATCCTCATGATCTATCACATATACCTCCAGGTAGGACATGACAACGATTGAGACAGAATATCCTCGAGAGAAACTCCGAGACTTGACAAAATTTAGGTGTCTCAAGGACCGGTAAAAGACTGTAGTGTATTTGATTGGCACATTTATTGGCATTGATGAAAATCATCAAAAACCAATCTGACCAATTTCAACCCTAAACTGACAGATCAAAATGATCTTGGAGATCATATGGCACTATTCAATTTGAGGAAGGGTCAGATTATTATGAAGAAAAGTGCATTGTAGAGATCAAACATGCTGAAATACATGTTCAACAAGATATGAGAGACACACATAAGAGAATAGATAAAATACTAGGCAAATGCTGCCTGATGTTGATGATGGCCTTGCTTGCATGAACTTTAGTAATAAGAAATGGATTGTGTTATAATATCACTGAAGGATGACAGAATACATGTGATATCAGGAAGCTTCAATGCTGTATATGAAAGTGGGACAAAACCCTCAACCACAATGTTTGGTGAAGAAATCCATTGTTTTGCAATGTAAGCAGCCTGTTTGGTAGAGAATTCATACAGTATGAGAATGTCAACAGCAACTACATAATTCTTGCACAGAACAACAGTTTTCAACAACAAGCATAAAAGCAAGAGTAAGACTTGAGTAGACTGCAAAGGCTGTGAGTCATACATTGAATATGCAGACCAAACCACAGTTATAAGTAGGTTGTAACAGAATCAATCAGCAATGCCATAGAAGAAGCAATTACTATGACAGAAAGAAAACAACAGACAGTACAGCAAACACATAGCACAACTATGCCCACATTCAGTGCTTACAAATCTGAGTGAACAGACTGAACATCAGCTGGGCTGAAGCAACAAAAAGTGTAACATTTAAGTGGGTGGAAAGACCTCACAAGCAAGGTAATAAAGAAAAGAGCTGAAATGATGGGTGATAGGAGCATATGAATTGTAGCAGATGCAAACAGAGGAGGCTCACTAAGAAGAGGAAATGCAGATGAGAAATGCATGAATAACATATACATAGAGGGAACATGAAGAGACTGAAGTCATTGAACAAGTGTGAACAGTGAGCTCCACCAGACAACAAGATCACAGATGACAGGGAAAAATATGCAGAGACAGTGCAACCACCCAATGAAGGCATGCACAGAGTGGATGAGCAAGAATATGTTGAGTGCACATACACAAATTTGTTGGATGGTGTGAGAGTGCGGGCATGACAGGGTTGACAGAGCGAGCACTGCAGGCCCTGATGTATGGACTCTTAATCAGAAAAACACAACACACATAGCCAAGTATTTCTCAGGGAAATACCCTGAAAAAATTCATAAAGTAAAGCACGAGAAAAAACTTTGAAGAAACCATAATGAATTTTTGTGGGAAATACTGTGATTGTCCAATCAGCAGCTGAGAATCACAGTTTCTCCTGAAGAAATACTTTATTCTTTTTCCACAGTTTTTCTGTGTGCTTTACTTTAACCCTTTCTGGAGAGTTTTCTGTAAAAAATACTGGGCCATGCTTCTTGTGAAAGACGGGCTTGCAACGACGAAAGGTACAGGGGCGGACACAGCAAGGGGCACCGACGAAGGAACGACACGCAGACTGCAGGGTTCTGGTGCGAGAGGAGTAAGTTAACGACGGTGCTGGAGTCCTGCTCGTTCTCGGTAGCAACGAGCAAGAAAAATGATCACTTGATGCACATTGCTCGGCGTTTGCGTATGCGTCTGCTGGGATTTCCGTTCCCTGAACGTTTCGGTGGGTGAACAAGCTAAAAAGTATTGATCGCGCGAAATTCCTTGCCATGACTCGACCGAGACCTGTGATTGGTTGCCTTATTCGTCCCTCAGCCTTTGACCGCTTGCTCTTTGCCACAGCCCCAGCCGTGGATGGTGCTACAGTAGTTGCTTTCCACATATGTCTTCGACTCCCCCTTTACCTCAGACTGATGCCTTGGACGAGATATTCCAGGGATTGAAGAACAAGAATCATGACGTTCGAGTGCAATCCGCTATAGAACTCGAGCGTTACGTGCGTCCTTTCAGCTTATGGCATAACGCTCTTTTCATATTCTCTGTAGGTAGCCACCTCGGTTCCGGAAATGTCGTCAGAAGCTGTGGCGAAGCTGTGGGAAGACACGATCAACCGGAGACTGTTCGATCTCGTCCATAGTCAGACCAATGTCGAAAAGTTGGGAGGTGTACTGGCGATCGGTGTGTGCCAGACGTCATCTTATAGTGTGGCACGTACCGACGGTTTCCAGACCACCTGCTCAAGGCAGAAGCAGAAGGGACGATAGAGTCCAAGCTGAAGCTCTATCGATTTTACAACTATGTGAAAACTCTCCTTCCCAATCCCGACATCAACGTGATGCTGGCAGCCTCGAAGACTCTTGGCAAGATTGCTGCAGTCGGAGGGCCAGAGTTTGGCGAACGTTTCATGGACTTCGAAGTACAAGCCGCCATCAAGCTCCTGCAAGCTGACAAACAAGAACCAGGCCGATACGCAGGTGTTCTCATCTTAAAGGAACTGGCACGCAACAGCCCGACATTTTTCCACTCTCACATCAGCTTGGTCTTCGACAATATTCTGGTTCCGCTGCGTGACGCTCGTGTGATCGTCAGAGAGAGTGCAGCTGAACTATTGGCCGCCTGTCTGGAGATCATAACGCAGCGAGATCGACAGATCCGGAGCCCGGTCTTGTTGAGAATCTTGCAAGATGCACAATTGGGTTTAAAGATGGCGGCACCGGAGGTCATACATGGGTCCTTGCTAACGTACCGAGAGCTGTTTCTGCATGGGGGCATGGTCAGCATTATATGTACTATCCGCAATACCTTTCTCTCACAATTTATTCAGTTCATGAAAGAGAACTTCCTTGACGCCGCTGAGCAAATACTGTCTTTTAAGACTCATCGCGACGCGCTCGTGCGCAAGATGGTTATTACCTTGATTCCAACGCTCGCTGTCTACGACACGCAGACATTCACAGAACACCATCTACACAGAGCTATGGCCCATCTACTGACACAATTAGATAAACCAAATGAAAGATCGTTTGGTACGCCTGTGGTGTCCACGTTGCAAGCAGCCCAAGTACTAACAGCGAATTCAAGCGTTTATCGCTATTGGCCATGTCGCGATGGCTGTGGGTAGTGAAATGAAGTCCTTTCTGGACTCGATCATGACCCACATCAAGCAGGGATTGCAGATGCGAGGGTGATTTCTTACCTCTCCTTTTAGTTGACTCTCGCTCACCTCATTCACCTAGTAAAAAGAACGCGCCCTCAGAAGAACCAATCTTTCAATGCGTCGGCATGCTCGCGTCGGCGGTCGGTCCAAATCTGACCAAGCTTTTGCACGACCAACTAGATTTAATGTTTGCTTGTGGACTCACTGAACCCTTGCGGCAAGCTCTGATGAATATTGCATGTCACATTCCTCCGTTGCTCAAAACTATTCAAGGTAGAACCTTTAAGGCCTCTTTACCTGAACGTCCGTTCACGTGAATGCGTTAGATCGTTTGTTGGACCTCCTATCACAAATTTTGTCCGGGCAGCCTTACAAACCACTGGGAGCGCCTTCTTCTCTGCTTCGCGGCGAGCCTGCAGCACCAAACAGAGATTACACACTCTCAGAGGCGAGTTGCTTACTCTGGCATCTGTTAAGCCACAAGCCTAATTTACCATGACAGGCTACGAGTGCCGACAATAAGAATGCTGAGCTCGTCACATTGGCGCTGACGACGCTGGGCGAATTTGACTTCAGTGGTAAGCGGGTATCTGCAGCATGTAACCTTTCCTGACGTTGTATAGGACATATACTGAACGAGTTCGTTCGTGATTGTGCCTTGCCGTACCTTGACTCCGATTTCCCCGAAGTGAGGCGCGCCGCCGCAGAGACCTGTTGTCGCCTTTTCATTCGGGACCCTATCTGTTATCAAGCTAGTAACCACTCGATTGAGATCATTAGTGACGTGATCGACAAGCTTCTCACTGTCGGAATCGCGGATCCAGGTATTTTCCTTCAGCATTCGTTGCACTCAGTCTAAATGGTTTTCCTCAGATTCTTCGATCAGGCGGACTGTATTGTCGTCGCTACACGAACGATTTGACAAGCATCTTGCTCAGGCTGAGAACGTACGGTCCCTTTTCATCGCCATAAATGACGAGGACTTCGATAATCGCGTGATTGCCGTTGGTCTGATCGGCCGCCTAGCTCTACACAATCCGGCATACGTCATGCCGTCACTTAGGAAGACCCTTATACAACTCCTGACCGAGCTTGAGTATTCCACTGTCACGTATGTTAAACCTTGAACTTCGTCAGCTTTTCGCTGACATGTCCTTTCAGACGCAGCAGAGAAGATTGCACACGCTTATTGACCCTTCTCGTCAGCGCGACTCAGCGACTTATCAAACCATATGCAATTCCAATGCTGCGCGTGCTACTTCCAAAGGCCAACGACAATAATTCAACGGTAGCTGCCAATGTCCTCGCGTGTCTTGGCGAATTGTCTCGCGTTGGAGGAGAAGATGTGATGCCTCACGTTCCAGATCTAATGCAAGTAATCATCGCAAGACTGGCAGACCCGTCGCAGCCTAAACGAGATGCAGCACTTCACACATTGGGTCAGATGTGCTCCAGTACAGGATATGTCGTTATGCCGCTCGTCGACTACCCTCAGCTACTCCAGATCTTGACCAGGATACTGCGAACAGAGTCCAAACCATCCGTGAAACGGGAGGTCATCAAGGTTCTAGGCATTCTCGGTGCTCTGGATCCATACAGGCGTAAGGTCAGTTTATACTCCTTCTATTTTCGAGTGATAGGCTCATCACTTGCCCTTGTAGACCAAGCCGGAAGAGGAGACTACCAGTGAATTGACTTCAAGTCTGGCGAACTCCGCGCCCAGAAACTATAACAGCACCTCAGCAACATCGGATGACTACTATCAGACTGTGGCTATAAATGCGCTGCTTGACATTCTGAAGGACCAGTCCATCAGCGGTCAACACCACAAAGTTATCGAAGCAATCATGTCTATCTTCAAAACTCAGGGTTTGAAATGTGTGACATTCCTTCCGCAGGTTAGTTACTTCACTGCCTGTCTTCATGACGATCTAACTTCTTTTAGATTATACCAGCGTTTACTGCTGTCGCACGCACGTCTACCGCTCGTTTACAAGTATTCCACCTGGAACAGCTTGCTATCTTGGTAAGCATTATCAAGCAGCATGTACGCAATTTCATGCCCGAAGTTTTTGGCTTGATCAACGAGTTGTGGGAGAACGTCTCACTGCAACTGACACTGGTATCACTGGTTGAAGCCCTTGGGAAGGCGCTCGATGCCGAATTCAAACCATTCTTACCGACCATCCTGCCTCTCATGCTCAAGGTATTCGAAGGCGAGCTCAATGACAAGACTACGAACACGCAGATCAAGATCTTCGATGCGTTTCTCACATTCGGTGCCAACATCGAAGAATATCTTCAGCTTGTCATCCCAATTATTGTCAAGACTTATGAGAGGCCTGACGCACCTACCGCACTTCGTAAGAGCGCGGTACAAACAATAGATGGGCTTTCTAGGAGAGTCAATTTCTCTGATCACGCATCTCGAATCATACATCCACTGGTCCGTGTACTGGGACATTCCAATAACGAGTTAAGGATGACTGTTATGGATACCTTGTGTTCTTTGGTTATTCAACTCGGTCCTGACTATGCCATCTTCATTCCTACTGTGAACAAGGTAATGTATATTTTGCTTCAATGTCGGTCGTGTTCTCATTTTCTGCCAGTGTCTGAATCGCAACAGATTAACCCATCCCAAGTACGAGAGTCTAATCACGAAACTTCTCAATGGAGAGCGGTTGCCACAGGAAGCCGGTGCCTCCGAGTTATTGTTTGTTATCCATGTTGAATCTCATCTCACCGATTGTAACATACCTTTCACAGGCTGGGTGATGGATCGAAGGCTCCCGAGTTCTCTGCTCCCGCCGAGGCGACTAAGATGACTGTAAACCAACAGCATCTCAAGCAAGCGTGGGACGTATCACAGATCTCTACCAAGGATGACTGGATGGAGTGGATCCACAGATTGTCCGTGGAGTTCATGAAAGAATCACCGTCTCATGCTCTGCGAGCTTGCATGAGTCTCGTTGATGTTCATCCACCGCTTGCCAAAGAACTCTTCAATGCTGCGTTCATTTCTTGCTGGGGAGAGCTCTACGACCAGTATCAGGTCCTCACCGTAGCTTTATCGACCTCGCTCCTGCGCGCTGACCTTCTTATTTTCGCAGGAGGATCTCGTGCGCTCAATTGAATTCGCAATCACTTCAAGTCTAGCACCTTCCGATCTGGTGCATCGCCTCCTGAATTTGGCTGAATTTATGGAGCACGAAGACAAGGCCTTACCGATTGAGAATCGGACACTTGGAGAGTACGCGATGAAATATCATGCATACGCCAAAGCCTTGCACTATAAGGAGCTGGACTTCTTCTCCGAGACATCACCCACTATTATCGAAGCTCTTATTGGGATCAATTCCAAGCTCCAGCAACATGATGCTGCCTGGGGAACGCTGCTGATAGCACGTGAACAGTACGACGTCAGCAAGCACGAGGAATGGTACGAAAGGCTCGGCAGGTGGCAGGAAGCGCTCAAGACGTACGAAGAGAAGGCTCAGGAAGACCCCGACTCACTCAATATCGCTATCGGCAGAATGAAGTGTTTGCACGCTCTGGGAGAATGGGACGAGCTGGCACAGCGAGTGGAGGAGAACTGGGCCAAAGCCAGTCATGAGGATCGCAGGGAGATTGCTCCTATGGCAGCTGCTGCGGCGTGGTCTCTGAATGATTGGGACTCCATGGAGGACTACCTCGCGACCATGAAGCCCGATTCAGCAGACCGTCCCTTCTACAGAGCCATTTTGTCTGTTCATCAGAACCAGTTCCCCAAGGCTATGACACAGATAGCCAAAGCTCGTGACATGTTGGATCCAGAGTTCACCTCCCTGGTTGGTGAGAGCTATGGGCGATCGTACAAGTGAGTCTGATTTCAAAGATACTATCCGGATGGTAATGAACGATATATGTAGTACGATGGTCCGCGCGCAGATGCTGTCTGAGCTCGAAGAGATCATTACTTACAAACAGTATGCCGATCAGCCAGAGCGTCAGCAGGCGATGAGGAGAACTTGGATGAAGAGGTTTGACTGTCACTTCTTCTCGCTCCTATCGACTGACCATTTGCACAGGCTGAAAGGCTGTCAACCTGATGTGGAGGTTTGGCAACGAATTCTTCAAGTACGAGCATTGGTTCTGAGCCCCGATGACGACCCAGTCATGTGGATCAAATTTGCAAATCTCTGTCGCAAGTCCGAGCGAATGTTCCTAGCAGAAAAGACAATAAACTCTCTTCTGTCGCCGGAGAGGGTGAGTAGGCGCATGCCTCGAGATAACTGTGCTTACTGACTGGTAGACAGTTGCAGCAGCCGTATCGCGAGAACCAGCATGTGAAGGCGCCTCATATTGTCGTGTATGCGCATCTGAAGTTCATATGGGCTACCGGTGCGAGGGAAGAGAGCCTGAGTTACCTTCGTTCGTTCTCTGCCAACCTATCTCGGGCGTTGCAATCGGAACCTGGCAGCCACGCCCAGGTGGACGTCCCGAAACGGAAGATTGACGAAAAGATGGATGAACTCTCGCGTCTACTCGCACGGTGCTACTTCAAGCAGGGTGAATGGGAAGTCGCTCTAAAAGACAACTGGAGCACCGTGCGTTGCACTATACATTCGAGCGCAATTGCGTTTGCTCACTCTTGTAACAGAGGAATATCAAAGACATCTTGCATTCCTATTACCTCGCAACATACTATGATCCAACGTGGTATAAAGCATGGCATACGTGGGCGCTAGCCAACTTCGAAGTCGTTGGATATCTCGAAACTCAGAGCGAGAACAGGACCTCAGATTTGCCGAACCCCGATTTGGCTATGCATATTGTGCAAGCTGTGGAAGGTAAGCCTCATCTCAGGAACATTGTCAGCGAAACTCATTAGTTGGTTAGGCCTCTTCCGTTCAATCTCTCTGAAGAACGAAAATGCTTTGCAAGATACCTTACGACTCCTCACCTTGTGGTTCAAATATGGCGCACAAGAGGAAGTCAGTCATGCTATGAGCAGCGGTTTCACTGATGTTGAGGTGGATACCTGGCTCGAGGTGATCCCTCAGGTATGTGTCACCTTTAAAGTGGACCATCTAGATATCAACGAGATTGCAGATCATCGCTCGGATTCAAACGCCCAACGCCAACATTCGTCGCAACATCAACAATTTACTCAGCGACGTTGGCAGACACCATCCTCAAGCTCTCGTCTACCCCCTCACTGTCGCTTCGAAATCTTCTAGCGCTTCTCGAAAGAGCGCTGCTCTTGCGATCATGGATCGGATGAGAGAACATAGTCCAATTATTGTGGCTCAGGTCTGTTTCGTTGTACGGCTCCCGGTGTCATACTGATCTCCGGTTGGCAGGCGCTACTCGTGAGCCACGAACTCATCAGGGTGGCCATCATCTGGCACGAACTCTGGCACGAAGGGCTTGAAGAAGCTTCGCGACTCTACTTCACTGACAAGAATCCTGAAGGCATGATCGCGTTCTTGGAGCCATTACATGACATGCTGGAGGCTGTAGGTTTCGTGATTTGACGTTACGTTTCTCAGTTAATGTGTTTCGCAGGGTCCTAAAACAGCTCGGGAAACGTCATTCGCGCAGGTCTTTGGAAGAGATCTGCACGAAGCGCGGGAAGCTTGCAAGCGGTACCGAGTATACGGTGAGAACAGGGATCTGGAGAAGGCTTGGGAAATTTACTATGGAGTAGGTCAAATTTGAGTACCAGACCTGTTCTCGGCTAACGTCCCCGACCAGGTTTTCAAGAAGATTGAGAAACAACTACCACAGTTGACAACGTTAGATTTGCAATATGTTTCCCCCGAGCTTCTCAAGGCACGCAACCTAGAACTCGCGGTGCCAGGTGTGTCTTCTTCGTTCCTCCATAGCGTATGCTATGTTCGACATCCATTCATCACGACTGCAGGAATCTATCAAAGTGGAAAGCCGGTTATCAAGATCGCTAGCTTCGCCACGAAATTGACGGTCATCACGTCCAAGCAGCGACCACGTCGGCTATCGCTGAAAGGTAGTGACGGCAAGGACTACCACTACCTCTTGAAAGGTTTGTCGGTTTTCTAACTCGTTGCAGATCATCGCTCAGAGCATCCCTGCAGGTCACGAGGACTTGCGGCAGGATGAGCGTGTCATGCAGTTGTTCAGCCTGGTCAACAATTTGCTCTCGGTAGACACGGATTGCTTCAAGAGACATCTGAACATTCAGCGATACCCGGTCATTCCATTGGCTCCAAATGCCGGTCTACTTGGTTGGGTGCAGGACAGTGATACTATGCACGTACTTGTCCGAGACTATCGCGACTCAAGGAAGATCTTGTTGAACATTGAGTATCGTTTGATGCTACAGGTGATTCCAGCCCGTTACTATTCATGAATTATAGCTGATCGCATGTCTTGCAGATGGCACCGGACTACGAGAACCTGATTCTCCTGCAGAAAATAGAGGTCTTCGAGTATGCTTTGGAGAACACGACCGGCCAAGATCTATACCGAGTTCTCTGGTTGAAGAGCGTCAACTCAGAACATTGGTTGGAACGTCGCGCGACGTACACAAGATCTCTGGCTGTCAACAGTATGGTGGGTCACATCCTGGGTTTGGGTGATCGCCACCCTTCCAACTTGATGCTGGAACGGAACACGGGCAAGGTAGTGCACATCGACTTCGGGGACTGTTTCGAGGTGGCTATGCACCGCGACAAGTTCCCTGAGAAGATTCCTTTCCGATTAACGAGGATGCTCACGCATGCGATGGAGGTGTGTCCGATGGTCCGTCAACTGTGGTGTATGTTGAAGGGTCCTTCCAATAGGTCAGCGGCATCGAGGGCAGCTTCAGACATACTTGCGAAATCAGCATGAAGGTCCTTCGAGATAACAAGGAGTCCCTCATGGCCGTGCTTGAGGCCTTCGTGTATGATCCTCTCATCAATTGGCGGTTGATGCAAACCGATGTCGACGCCCGACGGCCTGAAGGTATGCTCTGTGAACTCGCGCGTGAACTCAAATTGAATTTGCTGCTAGGTGCTAGTACAGATGCCGGGCGCGAACAGCTCGCTCGCGTGTCTGCTTACCCTCAAGGTCCGATACGGAAATTGAAGGCAGATGAAAATGATATTTTCAAAGGTACATTGATTTAACTGTCCGCCTGATGACACGTCGACTGATAATGGAGAGCAGAAGCCCAGGAGGTGCGCAACGAGCGGGCGTTGTTCGTGTATAGTCGTGTGCAACACAAGCTCACTGGTGAGTCGGGTGCTTTTTATGTGCGATTTCCCGTTAATCCGCTACGTCAGGTCGCGATTTCAACCCCGATGTGGTTCTCTCTGTGCCTGCACAGGTAGACAAACTCATCATCCAAGCGACATCTCTCGAAAATCTGTGTCAATGCTTCTCTGGATGGTAAGTCACATCGCGTCCTTTGCAGTAGCCGACGTTGACTCCTGCGTAGGTGTGCATTCTGGTGATGTCGGAGGGATAGACGTTTAGCTGTATTCATATCTCTCACCGTATTTATCACTGCTAACGAACTGTACGTCTTGCTTTGATACTTGCAATATTCCTGGAATCTCCCACAAGTATTGTCACTCATACTGCGGGCCGCAGTATCTTTGTGGTATGACGACATCGGATAAGGTAATAGTCGGTGGCGTCACATCGCAGTACTATAGGCCCGAACTCTATAATCTACGGACTCATCCCTTCTTGAACCCAGATACATCGTTTCTTCTGTTTCTTTCAGTATGCCTGTCACCGATCTTCCCGTTGAACTCTTTCTCGATAACATCCTTCCACTACTGGCGCTTTCCGACCTCTTTCGGCTGTCATGTACCAGTCGACTTTTCTATTTACTTGCATCCGATGAGACTCTCTGGCACAGGAAGCTCCAGGATGACTTCAACTTCACTGGATCAGAGACGGCGCGAAACACGGGCTGGAAGTTTCTTTACAAACGTCTCGCAAACCCCAAAGTCTATGTATGGGGGTATGTAATCTGTACATCTTCACGTTGTGCAGCGATTATAACGATCCCATCACACCAGGGAGAAGAGTCATGGTAGACTGGGAATGATCAAGTTTCCTCAAACTCATGTCCTAGAGGGCGTCCCGTATCCGGTCCACTTGAAGATCCCTGGTGCTCGTATCATCAGCTTGGTTGCTGGTGGCATGTAAGCAACATATGTGTAATGCGCTCTTAATCTCTGTCTGACCGACAACCAGGTCGTTCCATGCCCTGGATTCTCGCGGCAATATCTACGTCTGGGGTAAGAAACATTGAACACAACACGTTCTTACATCCGTCTATTGAAACATTGCTCAGGCACACTTGATGGGACTAATTTTGCCTTGCGAAGTGAGGGCTATTCTTCGCCCGGCAAGAGGGCTGAGCAGCCAATGCGCCTCCAGCTTCCAGTCCCATTCCGTAACATTAGGTCAGTATTCCTTGCGGAGCTTGACAGCGGATGATCCTGAAGCTTCCGCAGTTGCGGAAGATTACATTGTACGGCTATAGATGCTTCCTCTCAGGTCTGGATCTTCACCTCTTGGGGTAGGCCTTTCCGCATCGCCTCTCCTCTTCTGGACAAGTCCTCTCCGGAAACCACTCCACTCCAAATTGAAAGCGGGTGGTCATTTTCCTCCGTCCTCACGCAGTCTGGCGATGTCCTCGTGTACTGGCCATTCGATGGCCGCACACAACAGGTGATTGCTACTACGAACGAAGAGCTTGACCAAAGCCCATCGCCTGCGACAAGAGCCAGAGTTTCCGCCACAGAACCTGACGTGATACCTTGTCACTGGTGGGTCATGCAAGATGTAGAGCCGACGAGATTGCCCGCCATACCCACGGGGAGTCTTCCTCAGCTTCTTGGGACGGGTCTGTCGCAAGACCTGCTCGGCAAGGAAACGAAGTTGATCAAGATCGCCGCTTTAGACAACACTGTCATTGGACTCACGAATAAGGGACACGTACTTAAATATAGCATGCTGCACGGTGAAGATTCGCCTCAACATGATGCATGGGAATATGTGAGGGTACATTTGCTCTAAAGTCTTGTACAGGAGTTCTGATTAGGCAATTGACAGCTACCTCACTTCTGTGAACTGGGAAAAATCAGAGCGCATCCGGTATTTTCTCCTCGGGAACCTAAAGACGCGCAGAGTCGCCTCGAGCCGCTCGAGATCATGCTCATAACTCACGTTCGTACTGTCTCGCATCTGCGCTCGTCTCTCATTTCTCGATCGTAGATCTCAGCCCAGTTCCAAACGTTTGTTGCGTACTCGACCGGCAGCCAATCGGTGGTTCTCTTGGGCAAGATTAACGATGCTCCGACTCCACATGCAGCGACACCCTTCATTCCCACCATCCTGCCCGCCCTACAATACCGATCTGTGATCTCTGTCGTCCTCGGGGACTACCACTATGGTGCCTTGACTTCCACCGGCAAGCTCCTGACTTGGGGAGCCTTCTCTAAGGGCGCTCTCGGTTTGGGTGACCCGACCAAGATTGAGCCTGGCCAACCCGGCGGTTTCGAGAACGAACAGCGCCTTCGGGCGGCGCTCAACTCACAGTGGGCGCATACACCACCTATTGTGCAGGTTCCGACGGAGGTGAGGTTCGACTATGGTGAGAGGGCGCGTGAGAAATATTGTTTCGCCGCCGCGGCCTCTGGGTGGCACATGGGCGCGCTTGTCATCGACCTAGAGGTACAGTCATATTGCATCTTGCGAGGATCCTGACGTGACGTTAATTGACAGCCTGAAGACGAGAGTCAGGATGACAGCGACGCGGAGACGAGTACACAGCGGATGCCCGGTGCTTTCCCGCAGGAGGAACCTGGGCCCAACGACCATCATGGCCCAGGAGAATTTCCCGTCTTGCCCGTTCGAGGTGCAGGTTTTGGTGGGATCCGTATTGGATTTGCAGGACGGGGAATGCACCGAGGAAACCGTCCTGGCTTCGGAGGGGGCTAATCTTCGTGTAATGTAATACATTTGTGATTCCGGTCGCGTATCTTGTTCTTCGCTAGCTTATGTGCCTCCAATATTTAACGTCAGTTGGCCTGACAAAAAGATCATACTCCGTCTTATAGGGTCTGGCCGGGAGTCGAACCCGGGGCCTCCTCCATGGTTTCTGCAAATGCCCTAAGAAGGAATCATACCACTAGACCACCAGACCTATATAGAAAATTTTTATAACAGCAACTTCACTCTATAAATTAATTAAATTAATTTGCCATGCACATTACTCCTATACTATCCCTTTCTGTATGGTAGCAACCATCATGCATCACACTGCAGTCATTGCACTGCCAAAATAACCAATGTCACACTCTGTAAAAGTGGGAAGCCAAAGTGTAGCCAGCCAAATTCAAAATTTTGGCAAATTTGACTATTCATGACTATTTGTATGGTTTTCTTGTAATGCATGACCTCACATAGTTTAGACCATGTGTCTACAGTTATATTCCAACCTCTCAGTGCCAAAAAAAGTGACATATGAGCACTGTAATGTCATGGCATCAGGAAAAACACTTTTGCTCTAGGTTTTTTTTTGTTCCAGTTTATTTTTCTTGAGGGCGAAGCCTTATGGTAGACAATATTTACTGTAGCTAGCTGATGTGTACTAACAGAATATCAAATGAAACATTGTGCCTGCATGAGCACAGGGCTTTGCAAATGGGAAAGTGGGGAGAGGTGTGAGATAAAGAAGTAAAATGTGAGTATACTAGGTTGGCTCGACCTGACATTTCCGGCCGATCGCGAGGAGTTCGCTCAATATTCCCTTGTCCTGACGACCATTTACAGACATTTAGAGCACGTAGTACGCATCAAGAATCTCCACATTTCTAACATAATGATGTACTCAAACTCATTCTTGATAGAAAACTTCAGAAGGATGGAGAACGTGTCGTCCTGTACGTGGATAGGTCTAATTTGACTGACAGACTGATGCAGACTTTCTGCCGCGGCTTCAGAAACTCCAGCTGGGTCGTTTACTGATTGTCAAGTTCGAAAACCCCGAAGTCGTTCAATCCTTGAATCGGTTCAAGGGTTGCCTATTGAAATGCCGCAGTCGCAATGTGATCCTTAGCTTTCTAAAACATATTTTTGTGGTAGTCTAGTACAGCGTGGAGGGGATGTGGAGTATCATCTCTATCATGTGGTATTAGTATATGTACGTCCTTCGCGTGTAGGATTACAAAACAAACCCGAATTGTGGTACAAAGCACGAGTCCATTAGATCTTACTTTCGTCTAATCCCTGATGTGCGCGCGCAGCCTACGCGGCATTCTGGCATAGCTGCACTACCCTGTCCTCGCACATGCGGTACGGCTCCACCAAGCTTGCATACACGGCGGCGTTCTCCTTTCTGGGCTCCGCAACGCACGTCATGCGCTCGCCCTCGGGGTCGCTCGCGCGCATCTCCTCGAACGTGCCGGTGCCGCCCGTGCGCACACGCCACCACGCATAACGCGCGAGCTCCGCGCCCCCCTCTGCCGCGCCCTCCTTGCCCGCGACGAATACGCGCATGCCGAAGACGTCCGCCGCGAGCTGCCGGATGACCTGGTTCGCGGAGGACCCGCCGCTAAGCACGAGCCTTTGCAGTGGAGCAGCGTCCGGCGGGAGGATCGCAGCGATGCGCGAAAGGATAGAGAGGAACTGCGACTCCAGGATCGCGCGCGGGTGTGCCGTGGTGGGCATGTCTGCTTCGGGGACGGACTTGATGTCCGCTACAGAGGAACCAGAAGTGCAGAAGAAAAAGTTGCCCTGGACGCTGGGCGGGATGATCTCGGGGAGCGGGAAATAGAAGCCCATGTAATCGTCGCACCCAACGGGCGTCTTCTCTACAAGCTCGTTGAAGCGCGTCCAATGCCCGTCGGTGTAATTGTCCCTCACCTGCTCACGCGCGAGCGCACCATTCTTATAGCAGAGCATGGCGATGTGCGCGTCGGTGGTCGTGGGATGGGTTAGTAGATGGGAGGTCGTGAAACATTTCGGAGCCGTATCTGCAGGAGGGATCGACAGAAGGAGGGTCGTTGATGTTCCGAGAGACAGGATAGCATCGCCCGGAGTAGAGAGCGCTACTACAGTTGCTGGGTTGTCACCTGTGAATGGCACCACTTCACATTCTAGAGTAATAGAGTAAAACATCCGGGGTGTCAGCAGATGCGTCAAGTGTAGCGAACAAAACATTTACCTGGATTAAATCCCCACCGCTTCACCCACCACGGACTGATTTTCCCCAGCAGGGTGCCGCCAGGAACAGGCTCGGGACCAATTTTGGCTCTCAATTCGGGCCCTCCACATGCTTCTAGTAGCCTATCATCCCACTTGCACGTCAGAACGTTCATAAGGTTCATCCCGCTTGCATCTGACAATTCTGCCGGTGCGAAAGCACCGAGGAAGAGAGACGGCATGAACGACGAGATGAGGGAGACGCGGGACGTGGCCAGATACGCTTCGGGGTTTATGCGACGGATCTGCCGAAGTCATATGGGTGAGCTTCGGGAATTTAGCGGCCCGCATACGGAAGAGCTCACCCTAGCAATCTGGTTACCAGTAAACCGTTCGTAAGCACGACTCCCAGTGAGGTCTGCCAGTGCTTGGGCACCGCCGACTGCAGCTTCGAGCTCACGGCACTCACGCGTTGTTGAGGAATCTTGCCAAATGGGTGCCCTGGGGAGAGAGAACGCCTTGGGCGACAGTTGTTTCAGCGGTTGCACGGGATCAAGAGAAGCAAGAAGTTTCTCCGCATCCAAGGACCAATATACGGAACCGTGTTGCTATGAACGTAGAACGGGATTCAACGCAGACACCACTAACTCGTCCGAGGTGCATACTCACTTGCCCATCTCCTGAGATAGCGAGAATGCGATTGAACTCGACGCCGGCACTCTTCATCCGCTCCATCAAGAGGTCGAAGGCTTCCAACCACATAAGGACAGGAGAAGTAACTTCGCCCGGTGCTGGTCCTCGGATGGCACCATTGGTAGTACCGAAATGCGGGAGGTCAACGTCGAAGTGAACAGCAGACTCATGGACAACCCTGCTGTCTTCCGAGATTAGGACGGCCTTGAGTCCTTGAGTGGAGAGATCCAGCCCGAGGAAAAGCGGGGAGCTATTGTGCGTTACAGACGCCATGGAAGGGGAAGTAAACACGGAGAAAGTGCTCGGTGTTGGTATGACGGTATAAAAGGGCAGGAAGGGGACCCTGCGACTGGCCTGTGTAATATTCTCGATCCTGAGGACGGGCGAGGGACTCTTCTGGGCAGCGGAGAAAGTGCATGCAACCCGGATCCTCCTCCCGGCCCCACGGTCCGGCGAGCTCGATAACTCGATCGCCCACTCCCCGACGCGACGTGACGCGACGCAGGGATGTTGCACGTGCCCAACGCGGCCAGTGCACATTCAGCGCTACAGACAACTTGAAGGTATACGCAGAACCTTGGACCAATGTTTCTTCCCTCAGCCGTATTAGAAAATACCGCAATTGGTACTGACGTGAGATGGCGGAGATCCAGAGTCTGACCAATGCCAGAGGGTCCAGGCACCGTGACCGTGTATTCCCTATCCTTGACGGGCGAGCAACCGCATTTCAAGCCGACTGATCGTAGACAGCAATAAGAGCCTGAAAAATACGCTAAGTGCTGGCAGCTTGCTAGCGTGAGCGCGTTTGAGGATGATGTGTTTCAGAGCTACCCGCGCGTCTTTATACTCGTTCCACTCTGTTCCTTGATAGAATGTAAGAGCTCGGATCGGACTCGGAGGGGTCATCAGTATTGGATCAAAAGGTCGCACAAGGGCTGTCTGACGCTCTCACAGGTAGAAACTCCCCGAAACGAGAATCCTTGACGGCGTCCTGTTTGAGATGAATCACTGCCTTCACAACAAGTGAGCGAGCCGCATCGGCCGCAGCCTGATGACTCTGCCAACGACCACGATGATACATCTCGAGCTGGACTGATGGGTGGTTGCATCAAGGCGGGTCGGCCTGGGCATCAGTCACACCACCTCAGAATGGGGAAGGCAACCTGCCTGATATAAAACTTTGTCACAGGATGTGACCAGTTTACCAGATCCCGATCAGTCACCGCTTTCGGCAGGCGCTGCAGAACGTTTCAGCTGAAGTTAGGATAACAGCCTCATCATCCGCTTCGAGGATATAAGGATACCATGCCCCACCTCCATTTCTTCAGTGAACGTTCCCTGGTTAACTTCACCGGTTCTTATTCCTTTTTCCTTTCCCTCTTCTTTTTAACGCCATGAACGCCCTACTCTTCGTTTTAATTGCATCGCTGTGCGGTCTTTCTAATGCCCTTGCTCTTCCCGTCGTTTCTCGATCCGCGCAGGAATCGCGGTCCCCTTGGCAGAGACCATCCATCCTCGCTGAGCGATCTATGAAAGTGTACGGCTTCCTGGCTGATGCCGGAAATGACAATGTGGTGAATTTCCAAGACACGGTGGTGAGTGGCATACAACCTTTGCGCCATGATTCACGGTGCCGACGATCTTGAAATCCACCACAGTATGCGACGAACATGACCCTGGGTGGTCAGAGTACGTATTCTATCCATGGTGACACACGTCTTTGCGCTGACTGTGATTCACAGCTTTCCTCGTCCAACTGGACACCGGTTCCGCGGATTTGTGGGTTCAACTGCCGACTGGACAGATACAGTACAGTAATGTTACGAATATCAATGCTACTGAGACGTACGGCAAGGGCGCGGTCGCCGGCCCTATTGCCCTCGCTAGTGCTTCCATCGGCCCCCACACTGTACCTAACCAAGCCTTTATCAACTCGACCAACGTGAGTATTGACATTTTCTTCACTATGTGCGACTCATGCTGAGCCTCTGCAATAGGCTACAGACTTCGACACCATCTTTAACTACGATGTTCGGGGTATCATTGGTCTCGGCTTTGATCAGGATTCGACCGTGGACATCGACATCTTGGAAAGTTTCGGCACGAACACGACAGCGGGGTCACCGTTTCTGTACCAGATCTTCCTGCAGAACACCAGCGCTCCCCCAGTGTTCACCGTCCTTCTCGGACGTGCAGCGGACCAGAAGACGACGACCGAGGGAATCTTCACGATTGCGGAATACGACCCCCAATACGCCAGCGTTGTTGACCAGCCGCAGCTCCCGCGCTACCCGAACTCACAGGACATCAATACGCCGAACAGGTGGTCCGTCATCATGGACGGCATGTCCGTGAACGGCAACCCATACGCTTTCAACACCTCTGGCGTGCCTGGCGTTCCTGAGGGTTCCGTCGTTGCGGTCCTAGATACCGGCTTCTCGTTCCCGCCGCTCCCCAAGACAGCCGTGGACTTCATCTACAGCAGCATCCAGGGAGCTACCTTTGACAACACCAGCGGTCTGTGGATTGTCCCTTGCGAGAACGCGACCACCGTGGAGTTCACCTTCGGGTAAGTTTTGGTTTGGCCCAGTAAGCCGAGCACGTCTGACTTCACCCGCAGAAACAAAACTGTGCCAATCCACCCGTTGGATTTGACGACTATCACGCAGCTCAACAACCAGACGGTTTGTGTGAACACCTTCCGGTGAGTCGGTCCCTCCGGGTCCATTTCGCAGCATTGTGACTTCCATCCACACAGGCCGACCACCTTCCCCATAAACCCGCAGTTTGATGTCATCATGGGCGATGCCTTCCTGAAGAACGCCTACGTGTCGTGAGTAGAATCATCGCAGCCTTTTGATGTTGCAGTGTCTAACACATGATCGCCCAGCTTCAACTTCGGTGATTTCGTCAATAATCACTCAGCCATTCCTTTCGTCCAGATACTTCCGACAACGGATTTGGGTTCTGCGTTTGCTGAGTTCAACCAAGCTCGCAAAGTTGAATTCTCTGCTGCGCAAGCATCGGCGTCTGCGTTGGCCTCCCCGTCAGCGTCTGTCCCTGTGTCAGATTCCGCATCCGCATCCGAGTCGACATCCATGCCCGCGGCCGTCTCAGCGACTCCTTCCGTCCCTGCCTGCTCGGCACCTGTTTCTGCCTCAGCGACGTCGGTTCCCACCGACTCATCTTCGCCGTCCAGCATGCCTGCGCCCTCGTCGGCGTCTTACCCCGGCTGGTCGAGCTACGGTCCTTCCTCGTCTATTCCCACAGACTCCGACACGTCTTCTCCCTCCGCCACCCCCACTTCATGTTCCGGAGATTCCAGCGTTGATCTCTCTTGTTCTGCCTCCCCTTCTTCTACTTCAGCGCCCGGCTCTGACCCTAGCAGCCCCTCTGGCCCCTCTGATCCCAGCACACCGACCACCCCAACGGCTCCTAGCACTCCCACGGATCCTAGCTCCCCGTCCAGCTCTCCGTCAGACCCGAGCGCTGGTCCCAGCTCTTCCGCAGGTCCATCAGATCCTAGCTCCACGTCGGATCCTAGCTCTCCGTCAGACCCGAGCACTCGTCCCAGCTCTTCTGCAGGCCCGTCTGACCCAAGCTCTGTTCCTACCTCTTCCTCAGGCCCGTCTGACCCGAGCTCTGGTTCCACCACACCCTCAGACCTCAGCAGTGGTTCTGACAACAGCGACACGCCTATGGGCCTGACTCCCGACATGGGTTTCAACCCTGGCTCCATGCCCGGCGACAAGCGCACCTGGGCGCGGCGCGAGATGCAGTACCTGGCGCGCAGGCAACGTGCGACGCAGCCCGTCCCGGCGCGCAAGCCTATTACCGCGATCCCCGTCATCAGCTTCGTGCCCGTGCTGGAGATGTACGGTGCCATCGTTGTATCCCTCATCTGCGGAGCGGTCGTTGTGTCGCTCGTGATGTTCGCTGTGGGCATCGTGCTCGTGGTGCGGTCGTGGTCTCGTTCGCAGTCGCTGAGCATGGCTCAGTACTCGGTTGCTAGAGCGAAGGGACAAACTGAGGCAGATCCGGAGGCGGATTGTCTCTCATCACCACACTACTATTATGACGACTGTTGAACGACCGTTTTATATCTTTCACGCAACACGGGTGTTCTGGTAATAATTTATCCTTACTTACGACATTCTTTACAACTTACTTGACTATTTAATGAACGTCACTCATAAAAACATTCGCACGATGTGTGACAAACTGGCTTGGTCGAAGAGCTTGAGGGACGCCCAGTGTGGAATGGGTGGATACGTCGAGTAAGGCGGCAAGAGTTTCCCTGGTACTGCAATCCCCGTTGGCACGTTGCACAACTTGGGTATCTTTTTGCTCGCGCTTGATCGGGTAAGTCACCAGGATACTCTGGTGGCCAAGTACTGGGCTGTATAATTACTAAGCCACTCAAACAATGGCAATGAATCACCTGCGAACATACACACAAGCTACCCTGGCAGAGTCATCATGACGTTGTCAGCTTTCCAGCGCGTGGCGAGAGCTCCGATTCAGTGACATTCAATATTCACTCCTGTGCTGCCTTGAAGAAGAGTTTATGAACATCCATTGTGCCTGCACTGCACCTGTCGATGAAGGTACTCGAGCATACACGCGGAGCTAGTTCAAGTTAGCGCGACCTAGCGTGACAGCAAAGATCATATCGTTAGGCCCATGGTCAAAAAAGCGTGCGCAGGCGGCCTTTGGGCGGTCTGCGAAAAAGAGGCTCCCGATAGGTGGGACCTTAACCGCCTACACCTGGGCGCGAGCGGCCCAGGCGGCGTGACTTGGTGGCACCACGGTGCACGGTAGTCTCGGTTCCAGACGTTCACCCACGGAAGCAACCGAGAACCAATATGTCGGAGATAGAAAAAACCATTGCAACTTCCGTGGTAGAACGTCTGGTGAACTTCGGTAGAGCGGGTGCAGATAACTTCAATCCTCACATGCCGCCCCCAGAAACACCCGTTCAATGCCTCAGGAGGTCTATAGTAGACACATAGCTACTTATATTTGATGTAAATTAATTTTCCCGTGTGCTTACAGGGTTCTCTATGCCCATCATTTCGTGCTGTGTGTGCCGAGTTTCACATTGCTACTCTCGCGCAGGAGTGATATAATTTGAGATTTTGGGTCCCAGTGGTACACGAGCGTACTACATAAGATACAAATAAAGGATTGTATGGATAGAGGAGCAAGAAGAGGGAAACGGAGGGGGGGGCACAGCTAGCAGGTGCCGGTGTCTGCAGCTGAGGGTTATCATCTACACCTGCTGTACCGAAGTTCACTAGACGTTCTGCTGGGCAGGCTGCAATGTCCGATATATTGGCTTTCGGCAGCCTCCGAGGCGGAGCCGAGGAACGGCCTAGCACGATCGTCTGGCTTGCGAGACTACTATAGGTGCACGGTGGCGCCACCACCCACCTGGGTTTCCTGAGCATTTGATTTCGCAGTCCGCGCTGTGAACGGATTTTTTTGGAAAGGCCTATCGATATGATCTTTGCTGGAACCGTATAGTGTCGGGGGCAGAACTAAATTAGTGAGTTCTGCCGGCAGAACCGGTGACTCACAAACGCAGTCCCGCCACCAGGTTCAGACGATGGCGAGTGAATATATGTGGGTAGACCCGCGCTTGTCACTACGCTGCCACACACTGACCATGTTATTTGCTCTTCGTACATGTTGACAGCGGTGCACTTCATTCTGTCTGTGTTACGCTGCGTATTGATGGCTCGAGCCATGAGGCGATCACTAGGTCACTCGCTGCATCATTTTCCCCTCTGCGGCATGCCCTGCCCTTTGATGGGCCCCGCTGACATTGTCTTCCTCCTGTCCAGGTTAATCTATGTGACTCATCTTTGCATCTTTGCATAGAACACGACCGAGAGCCGAACCCCTGCCGTGACAATCGTGATATAGCAGTTTTTATGCGCTATATAAACACTAGCGTTATTCTTCCTCTGCACTGTGCTTGCAAACACGCCGGAAACTTCTCACAGAGAAGTCCTGGAGTCGCGTTCGATCACGATGATACCTCTCTTTCTCCTTGGTGCTGTCTTCCTGACGACAACGTCCCTCGTTCAGGCTCTGCCTGCTCACCCTAGCATTGAAGCACGTCAATCCGTTATCGTGCTCTCTCCGGTACAGATAGACTACTTCACGCCGTATACCTGGTACGCCAGCGCGGGATACTGTAACCCGTCACAGACACTAGTGTGGGACTGCGGGTTGAACTGCGAGGCAAACCCCGACTTCAAACCTGTCGCGTCGGGCGGCGATGGGAGCGACGTTCAGTACTGTGGGTGACCGTCATTGATGTTGTGAGCGCGAACTCATGCAGTATTACTTGTTAGGGTATGTGGGGTATGATCGGACATTCAACTCGGTGGTGGTGTCTCATCAAGGAACGAACGCATCTTCAATGTGGGTATATATCACATTTCTGTCTATGTCAAGTGTTGCTGAGGAGTGTGCTGCAAGTCTGTCCATCCTCACGGACATAGATATCATCCTCGAGCCTCTCGACCAGTCGCTCTTTCCCGGAATGAGCTCCGATGTACTTGTGCACAGCGGGTTCGCCAACCAGCAAGCGAAGTGAGTGGCACCTTGTATAAATCTGCATCGTGCGTTGTGTATCCTGCGTTGTCTGTTGCGCACTGTGATCATGCACTGTGTATCCTGTATTGTTTGTTGCGCACGGCGATGATCGCTCCACCGAACAGCCCCTGACATGGTCGTAGATCCGCATCTGCCATCTTGTCTGCGGTGCAGCGCACCATGTCCGAGTACGGCGTGAACCACATCACGACCGTCGGGCATTCGCTCGGTAAGTAGCTGTGCTTTCTGAGTCATTCTGTCGGCTACTGAGAATGAGGTGCAGGGGCGGCGTTGTCACTACTCGATTTCCTCTACCTGCCGCTGCACCTTCCGGACACGACGTACACCTACATCGGATACGGTCTACCACGGGTACGTCAGCTCCTTCTCCGCTTTCGTTCCCATCTCTTCCACCCAATCACTCAACCGTTGACCGATCGCAAACTCGCCGCTGCGACCTCGCAATACAGGTGGGCAACCAAGCTTTCGCGGACTACGTCGACGACCAGATCAGCTCAGTGACGCACATCAACAACAAGGAAGACCCAATCCCGATCCTCCCGAGCACGTCCCTCGGGTACATGCAGCCGCACGGCGAGATCCACATCGAAGACTCGGGCGACTGGGTGGCGTGTTCCGGTTCGTCGTCTTCCGATTTTCTTCCTCCTGTGATGTCGTTCGAGATGCTCAACGTTTGCGGTGTTGTGGGCAGGCGACGAAAACCCAAGCTCCCAGTGCATCGACGGCGACGTACCGACGCTCCTCCAGAGTAACTTTTCCGACCATGTCGGGCCCTACAACGGGATCCTCATGGGCTGTTGAACCTGAATGAAAATCCCACTTTCCGTACATCTCGCATTGTGCGCGTGGAGGGGCGCCAAGACTGCGGAAGTTCTCAGGAAGAAGGTTCGTTACAAAACACAGATCGTCCATCTATAACCGAACGCTCGGCGTCCGTAGCCATGTACACGCATGCGGTGTTACAACAACTACAAACACAGTACAAACAACACGGTGAGGAAAGGAGAAGCGTACTGTAGGGACACAATAGATAAAAAACAGAGGATGAGACAGAAAACAGGTAGGAGGCAGGGGAAGGGTAGACAAGAGAACATTTTACGTTGAGATGTCTCAATATAAATACAGTGATACAGCGGGTGGGCCGGAACGCCAGATACAGTTAGTCGGTGTGGCACGACGCATACACACATACTGTACATCGTATCGGGCTTGACGCGGCCGGCCGGTTTGAGCGAAGTGCCCGGTGGCTCTAGGGCGTACATGCTCATCCCGTCGCACTCGTGCTCGTCACAAGGGAATCATCATAGCGCGGGAAGAGAGCCGCTAGGAAAAAGGAACCACAACACAGACAGAGATGGTAAGTGAGAGAGAAAGACAGAACAAGACGGAGACAAATCAGAGCGAGAAAAAACATAGTGCGAGACATTGCCCAAGTGTACGTGACACACATACGGATCGAGATCGAGATCGGGAATCGGGATCGGGCAACATGCGTACATGCGACATCGAGCGGCGGGCAAGACACGCACAGAAGTGAGTGTCGAGCGTCGGTGAGGACTGACTCGGAACACGCGGTTGGAGGGCGGCGGCTACTCCTTTGCACCGCTGCCACGCACGCGTCCCGTCCAGCGTTGCGCATCCCGCGCGCGCATGCGCTCTTTCCGCACGTTGTGCATCATGTCCTGCCCGAGCGGCGACAGCTCCGACGATGACGCGGGCGAAGGCGGCTCGCCTCCCGCATAGTTCGGGTACCGCGCCTCAAACACCGTGCGTGCGCGCGCGGGCGTCACGGGCTCGCCCTCAGTGGACTTGTTTCGATTGAGGGGTTGCTGGAGCGGGTGCATGTACGGGTGTGGGTGCGATTGATTGGAGGGAGGATCAAAGTGCCGTAGTGGAAGTGTACGGTGATGTTTCGGACGCGACGCATCCGCGCTGTTCTCCTTATCCTCCTCGTCATCGTCGTAGGCGGCAGCACCGTCGAACCAGTCCAGCTTGCGGACATGGCTCGGACGGCCGGGCCTCACACGGTGCGCAACGGCGTCCGCAGCATCGTTCACTGCAGACACGGAGCTGCCTGCCGTAGATGGGCGGGAGGGAGTGCGGGATGCGGACAGCCCGCCGCCGCGTTCCCTCGAGCTGGAGCGAGACGCGCGGGGGAGTGCGAGGGTTGCAGAAGGTTGTGCGTACATGTGGGTGACAGCGGCGTCTGCTTGGTCCGCCGGCACGTCCTGCGCGGCTCCGCGTAGACGAGGACCGCGGGGTATCCGGGAAGGGGGTATCTTGTCAACCAACGGACAATGCTTCGGCGCGTGGTCCAGGAACGGATTTTCGGGGTCATCCTGCACCGTCGCAATTCGGACGGACGACGCCGAACGCGCGAATGCGATGGCGGGCGTCATCACCGTGACGCTCTGTATCTGTGCGGTGGAGCGCCGAGAGCGCGTGCGGGAGCCCAGAGATGAAACGGGGGAGCTCGGGGAGACAGGGCTGGCGGTACCCGGCGTGGGCGGCAGGATCTTGCTCGTCGTCGAGGACGCGGTGTCCGAGTCGAGGCTCGGGAGAGCGGAGACCGTGCGATCGCGGACGAACTTGCAGCGCTCGGTGAGGAAGCCGAAGACGGTGGACGCGCTTTGAGGCGTCTTGGGGTCCACCGCCCTTCCTCCTCCGGGCGTGGGTCCAGCTGTGTCGGGCGCTGGCGTGGGCGAGGGCGCGGGACTGCCAGCGCTGAGCTCAACCTCCATAGAAGAGATAGCGGGGAAGTCAAGGGAGAGGTCTGCGGATAGGTCCGCGAGGGCGTGTTCAGAATGACGGTCATGATCGGAGAAACGAGTGTGTGGGGGCTGCAGCGCGAGCGAGGACGTCTCAGAGCCGCCGTCGAGGCGTTCCCTGCGAGATATGTGGGGTGAGTTTCTTTTAATGCGTCTGCAGTAATATGCTACGGCGCGGGGCCCAAGTACCTGAGGAAGCGTTCCGCCCAGGAGATGTCTCCTTCTATGGCGTCTGCGGCGTTGGCATTCGCGTTGGCACGGTAGGCAGGTTGAGGCAGGGGCTCGCCAAGCAGCTCATGAAGGGTGGAGCCCGTGCGCCGGCGTGGCTCGTGGCCGAGGTGAATATGGTGAATGGGCGCGGGTGTGTCGGGGGTGTTGGAGAAGACGTAGGAGTCGAGGCAGCCGTTGTCGTCGTACATGTTGAGCAGGCTGGCTACGGAGGGATCGTGGCGCAGAGCGAGAAGGCGGCTCTGGTCCTTCGGCGTGAAGAGCGAATCTCTTAGTCTGTGTCGTCGTGCAGACGTATCGTCGTCGGGGGTCGTTGGGTCATTACGGGTCGGGAGGGGCGGGTTGGCGTGGGGGAATTCTGTGCGAGAATGCAGCTGGCGTTCGTGCACCTTGACAACGAAGGTGCCGCGGCGATGGACGGTGGTAGACGTCGCGGCGGAAGGTGCGGGAGATAGTGAACGTGCAGGAGTCAAAGTGTTAGTGGGCTCAGCTGTTGGGGAGGCATTAGTGACTGATGAATAATGTGGTGAGAGTGCATCTACAGCAGCCGTTTGCACAAAATTTCCGTGGATAGTCAAGTAGAGATGGAACAAGTGGGATCTACCCCTAGCGACAGTCACCCGCAGGGAGGGGCACGATACCTGTCCTCTGCCGTAGCAGCAGTGGACAGCGATTTGCGAAGGCTATGGAGCCTATATCACGTATTTTCACCTGCGGCGGTCGCAATGACGCGCAAGCCGACGTGCATTTCCATTCGCCCTCAAGGACGACGAAGGGCGGATTCAATAGTCACAAAGCGATAATGTGACTCAGTGAAGGCTAAACTCATTCATAGAATATGAAGATGAACGACATACGCCATCTATGCATGCCAACCCGAATTCCAGAGCGAGATGCAGAGTATCTAAGAAGTTTGAGATACTCAAGTTCCAACGCTCTCAGCTTTGCTGGTACTCAGATCTCGGCGCGCTCTACCTCGGCTAGGAGTACGCGAGTCGTTCCGTCATTTTCTGAACCTCGCCACCGCGACCTCTGAAAACAGCTTGCTAGCATTACGACTCGTACCTACGACTGTACCCCGCCAGGATACAGCGACATAGGGCATGCGTAGAAGGACTTCGTACGCTCAAGTTCCTCCGAACTAAAGTAGCACCTCAAAATGGGAAGCGTACAAAATCACAGTGCAAGGTGTAGGGCTGCTGCAAACGCGCTCTATGGATGAAGATAAGAGACTTACGCAGAGGGGGAACGTCGACGTCTTGGGTGTCAGCAAAGCGGGCTGAAGTGGTGCGGAGGAGGCGGTTGGCGTCTGGGTCTTGCCTGCGGGGCTTGTCCTGGACGATACGCCCTTGTGCGTCAGCCTTTACCGCGGGAGGAGGCTTTGTCGAGGCGCGCTTCTGCTTCTTCTTGGACTTGAGGCTGCCGAGGGATAGAAAACGTTTAAAAAAGCCCATGAGATCGTAGCGGACGTGAGGGGCGTGAGAGAGAGGGAAAGGCTGAAGGGAGAGAGAGCGAACGTCGGAAGGGGTCGTCGCAGTTTCGTAAACTCGTCAGAGGCTGTGCGCGCGCCCAAGCTAGTCAAAGGAATGAACATATGCCAAATACAGAACAACAACACGTCCATCTCACCATTCCGTGATCACGTGGCCGCGTCACTCTTTGAGCCTTCCTTTTCGGGAACCATGGCTGGGCCATGACATAATAACGTATTAAATATTAAGGATTAAATATTAAGGATACGGGCGGGCCCCCGCCCACCGCACCGACGCCCGCCCGCGATGCCGACCGAAGTGGCGATCCGCGGGAGCACCGTGCGCGACTTCCAGATGCTGGAGCGCAACCTGCTCTCCCACGTGCGCCTCGCCATCCTCATCTCGCTGCTCTCCTCCTCCCTCCTCCTCAACGCCCGCCTTCCCAATCCCAACAGGCCGCCCCCCGTCTCTGCTCCCCCTTCCAACGTCGCCGTCGCCGTCGCCGTCATCCAGGTCGTCGCCGCCCTCACCATCATCGCCGCCGGCATCTGGGAGTACCAGCGCTCGTACGACGACCTCCGCCAGATGCGCGGCTTCCTCCTCTCCACCACGTCTGCCGTTCTCCTAGGCTGAATTAATGCTTGTGCGCTGATTGTGTCCCGTTGTGCGTAGCATCCATTTCTTCGCCATGGTCATCATCGCCCTCATCGTCTTCGTCACCTGCATCGTCTACCTCGTCGACAGTTCCATATGACCCCCGCTCCCGAGTTGGCTGACCCGTCCTTTGACCCGTCCTTTGGCTGACCCAGCGGCGCCCTTCAATGTCCCGCTATAAGTAAAACCTCTCAGCACCATCGATCTGGGAGCGGTTCCGCCATGTCGCTCATCACATTCACGCAGAACACGCTCGTGAACGTCCGTGCTCATCCTTGCCTGCCACCCTCGTGTTCCCGCTCCCCGCCCGTCTCTCCTTACCAATGGGACCCACCCTTCGCACAGCAGCTCGCTAAATTCCCTGCTCCGTTCGACGTCCACGACACCCTCCGCGAACTAGAGCTCCTCGCCTCCTCCCTCCCCGCCCCGTCCCTCCCGGGCGCGCTCCCGCGGATCGTGGTGACTACCACCTCCTCGACCTCGCTTCCTGCACACGGCCCGGATGATGACGCGCCCGCGAGCACACCTTCGGACGAGGACGCAGATGACATGCGCTGGGTGGAGGAGTACGGCGCCTGGGGCGCGTCTGACAAGGGGAAGTGGCGCGCGACACTAATCGACGGCGGCGGACAGGCTTCAGACGACCCCGTGCGTCGATTTCCTCGCGCTCCTTTCTCCATTCCATCCTGACCGCTTTATAGCCGCTAACAACCACCCCTCCTGCGCCAGATCCGGCGGAGCGTTACTACATCTACGATCCCCTAGTATGTCCCACCTCCTCTGCCATCCCACGCCCTGTCGCTCATTCCGTTCCTCACGCAGACTGCCCCCGAGTTCCTTGCAGGCACCTCCACCTCCCTCATTGCGCGCTTAGCCCACGGCGCGCACAGCGCCCCGCCCCCTCTGCCTCGCCCGGCTCCCAGGCCAAGAAACATCACAGACGCAAGCGCAAGTCCGAAGCGCCCCACAGCGGTCCTCATTCCCCCCGAGTCCGCACACGACCTCTGGCTTATGCACGCGTCGCTGTCCAATTCCACTGCGGGGTCGGAGCCGAAGAGCGCGCGCTCCCTCCATGCGCTCTCGCACCTGTGCGCTTCCGAGTCCACAGAATCTCGCAGCGGCGCTTTCAAAGCTCGATTTGCTAGCCTCGACCAGCTGGCGTTCCCCAACCTGACGAACGAGGCGGGGAAGAGAGTTGGCGCTGGGCGGCGCACGGGGCTGCGGCACGCGGTGTTGTGGTCGCTGATACAGCCTGTTGTTGGGGATCCAGAAGCTGCCGCAGTTGGTGCTGGCGTAGAGGGACCGAGGGCGCGCCGGAAGGCTGGTGCGTCGGTGCGCCGGTGGTTCAGGCGGTTCGTTCGCTAGGGATGGTGTCTGTCAACACGTCCTGCCTGAGTGGCACGGCCAGAACTGTGAGCGACTTGCGAGAACCATGGAGCACGATGCACTGCTTATAATTTTTTGTTACGCTGTAAGAAACCACTCTAATGCGGAATGCAATGTGGACTTCGGCGCTAACGGCAGCCTACGGGATCTGCCGTCGGTCGTTCTCTCCCCTCTGAACAAGCACGGACAGTCGAAAGCGGCGGCGCCACACTTGAGTGTTCTGGCAGTCATTGTTAGACTGTGCGTCGCTGTCGCCGACGGTGTGCTGTCCGCGCCCAGCGGCGCCTGTGGACACGTGCTCCCGGGGGCCTACTAACTCTCTAACGTGCCTTTTAATTGCAAATACTAAGGCTGGTAATAACCTGTACTAACGATTCTAACTATCTTGCTCATGTTGCAGGGCTTGCGGGAGAAGCCCTCATCCGTGACGTGACTAGGGCGCCAATCGAATCCGACCCGGATCGACCATAGTCACCGAAATCCTGCATCTAACCCGTTCAGTTTGGTCTTCCGCTGATCAGCGCTAACAGGTAGCGATCACGAGCTGCGGGTAGCTTGACAATTTTGTTGCGGGTGGCTGGACGTGTGCAGCGTCCATGCTTGACGGGCGTCCTATCTCGCACTACTCGATGAACGTGTACGGACAGCCCTGGAAACCCGACTCTGCCAGCAGATAAAGGTGCCAGTGGACCACACTGTTGAATGCCCCATCTCTAGGTGTCCAATCTCCGACAAAGCTAGGTTAAAAGCTGAACGCCCCATCGTGAGTGGGCAACGTGTCGTTCGTTTGCCAAAGCTGAATGCTGAACTGATCTCGTGAGGATAGCCTGCGATTCCAGGCACCTTCCGTTGTTTACCAGGACCCATCCAATGTCGGACGCGCCAGTCTCAGCGTTCCCTGGACAAGAGAATGTTACCCGAGCGTCCTGCCGCGTATCCAACCTCAACGTCGCATGGAACATCATCCTCTTCTTCGGCGCCAATATCATCGCTCATGCTCTAACCATCACCATTCGTTCTGGCCAGAAGGCTTGGAAGACTTTTCTGGTGTCATGCGGAGTGATTTTTTCTCCTTTCATAGTTCGGATGAATTACAGCGAAGCGATGATGGACGTCCTTGACGCATGGCGCAACAGATGGAGAGAGGCTCGTACAGACATTTCTTGGAAGGAGCGTTTGCACGTCGCGATATTTGGCAACAAGGACAGCAGATGGCCATTGCAAACGGCGATAGATTCTGGTGCTGTTGCAATCGAGGTCCCCAAGGACCGGAGAGCACAGGCAGAAGCGGCCCATTGGCAGGTAGTGGATATGGAAGAAGGGATCGCCCTGTTCGTGGACGGGTTGGCAGTGAGTGAAGAAACAGAATATAGGTTGATTCCGGTGGGAGCCAAATCGGAGAGTGAAATCCAGGTCGCTCCATCGTCATCCGTGCTGAAGACCGTAGTGACCATTGCCCAATTACTCTACACATCCATCGAGCTCTATCAGAGCTACGACAGGGACGTTAGAATGAACGGATTGTCTTCTCCCTTCATTGTCATCATTCCGTACGTGGTTGGCAGTTTCATGAATCTGATTATCAATATCTTCCTGGTGTCCTATCCATACGTGGTTGTGATGCGACCTAAGAGTAAGGAGGGTATCACTAGTGAGTGCTTTCTCCCTCCCAGAATTCACGGTATGTGTGCTATTGAACCAGATCGCTAATTCGTGATTTTTAGCTACCAAGTCCGAGATGCCAGAGCCAGTTCCATCGGCGCCTCAGCCGGAGAAACCCTCGAGTGATCACGAAGAAGTGGCTGTGCCATCGTTCCCATCCTACGACTCAGACAAGGATAATGATGATACATCGTCATTGTCTGAGGCCTTCGTATCGCGTCCGTCAGATCATCGGTCCGTTCGTTCTGCTTCGGAAGAGATGGAACCAGAGAAACCTACAGCCAGCCGACCGGGCACGTTGTCGCATACAGAGTCGGAGCCACTTCTCCACAATATGGCGAGCAGTCGAGCCGAAGAGGGGCTTCCTCTCCCGGTCACTGCGTTGAAAACCGAAAAAGCCGTTGATGTAGCAGCTGCTGACTCTGATCTGCAGGAATTTCTGGCGTGGGTCTACGAGACATATGACCTGCAGTACGTGCCCAAGGTCGAGACAGATCGTTGGAACGGAATATTTCTCAACCTGGGCTTTTCTTCCACAATCGTTTTGACAGTGGCGCTCGTCCTCACCCGTTGCCGTTTCAGCAAAGTTGTACCTGCAGTCAGCTTCGTGTGCTGGATTTTTATTGATTGGATTGCCTTCATCGGGGTCGCTATTTGGGCACTGGCGGATACCTTGATTGAAACTATGTATGGTACCGACTTCAAGTCAACGTGGCGAAGCTTGTTGGAAAATGCGATGATGGTCGCGTGTGTCGTATCCTATGGAGGACTGACTATCTGGGGGATAGTGACCACTGTCATGCTCTTGATTCCCTATTTTTCCCAATGCTCATGACATGCAGCCATAGGTGAGAAATATATCCTTCGAGAACATCCCCTGTTAACCAGAAGATTTCCAGAATATCAGCTATACCTTAAACGCTCATGATATGGTTCTGTAGTGCAATGAGTGCCAAGTAGGACCTGTATTAAATAATTCCACTCATGTCCACTAATACCAGTTCCTTCTCCGATGATAGATCTAGCATGGAACAAGGCATCAACTTCCTGAGTACATTCAGACATCCAAGTTTGCTGTGGTGCATGCACTACTGCTAACTTATCAAAGTGGGAGGTTGGACAATTATAAGTTTAGCCGCCATCGTGGCTGTGAGACGCGCTCGTCTCAGGTATGACCCGAGTATTTGACTCATCCACTCTTTTTGTGATGAAGAAAAAAACCTAGGTGAAGAACATTCCAGTGCCTCCACAAGATCCGTGGTGTCGGTCATGCAAGTGCCGATACCCTGAATGCAATCGTGCTCAGACGGTAGTATTGCAGTGCATCACCGCAACTCCCTGCTGCAACGGCAGATCGTCTGCGACGGAGGTCGCGGAGGGCGGCGGGGAGCTCGCGCACGCGGGCACCGTCACTTTGCGCTAGGACCAGGAGGGCGAGTGCATGACGTGCATCGCGGGACCCAAGGAGAACGCCCGGCTCACGCTCTTCTCAATATCAAAAAGCGATCTCTATGGCGCTACCAATCCTCCTACTTTATGGTCCTCGGTGTGCTTCCCTTTGCTGAACATTACTCTAAACACCTTCGTTTACTTATCAACACCAAGCCAGGAGTGCCGCTGTCCAGTTCTACCACTTGGGCCTCGTTGTCTCGAGTACAGTTTCCATCGCAGATCGGCACCGATCAGCTTACCCCCGAATGACTTGGATGAGCAGCCCGACATGCTGCGTTTGTTTCCAACATTAGGTAAATTTTGGAGTCTTCACAGGAAGGCTCTACCTCGAGTGCCGACGTATATATTGGAGAACAGATTGCGCAGTGGGGGTCTTAAAAGCTGCGTGCTGCGTGCACAAGGGGACTGTTCCGTAATTTCCAAGTACATACCATCGTCGTTTTACTCTTTCTTGCAATTGCGCGCAGCCAGTATCTTGTAACTTCGTCGGTCTGAGATTACGCTTCCTAAGTGCTCTTTAGCTGAGCTATGGAATAACGTGTGCACGGCTTGCAGTGAGCCAGTTCGCCGTGCAATGCGGATTCCTAGTAGTTCGGGTTGGGGAGAGGTGAATTCCGGCCGCGGGCCCCGGCGTGAGGGGCCGAACGGAGGAGGCTGAAGCTCGTAACGCGCAGCGAATTTCCACCTGACAATGCCTGCGAGGACCCGACAAATCAGCGGGCGGCAGGTGGCAGGCGGAAAACGCAAGGGGAGCTTGAGCGGAGAGGAGCGCGGAATTCAACTCGAGCGTGAAGAGGCGGAAAGACGTTGAGAACACGGCTTACCACCCGAGGAGCGCAGCCCACGACAGTCGTGGCTCAACGTGAGCCCGCCGACTTCCCCAACCCAGGGCTAGCGGTCTGAAGTCTTCGAGTACGGAGTGCATGTAAAATTAGAAGGATAAGTAGTAAGTTACAGGGATCAATTACAGGGAATGCTTTTTCTTAAAGGAGTCCATGGCTTCAGTAGCCAGCTGCATACGAGATGACGAGAATGACTGGGAGATGAACAATGGGAGAATAGACTCGATCTTGCGCCAGTACTCCAGGAACGCGCGTGACTTCCAGCTCCCCTGGGTAGCGACAACATCCGGGTGAGTGCCGCGCAGGAGCAGCTCGGTGGCGCCGCCGATGCGGAAGCAGTGGCCGGTAAGGTGCTCGAAGCCCGCCGTGGACCAGACTTGGTTGCATCGGTTGAGGAACCAATCGCGCGTCATAGGGGCCCAGCCGGTGGAGTCGGTGGTCTCGAAGGAGAATAGCGGGGCGTGCGCGGGCACTTTGGCGTTTGCCTGCTGGTGGTGTCGCAGCGCAATAACGGCAGAACTGGGGTCACCGAGTTCAGTTGCGATAATGTCCGCGCCAAGTTGCTTTGTCGTTTTTGTCCACGGTACGTGAAAGACGGCGTACTCGATGCCACCAGGCAACGTGCGATATGTGATCGGTGCGGAGCGCGCGATGTGCTTGGATGGGTCAAAGGTACCAGCGGAGGGTATGACCAGCTCACCGAGTCTGTGCAAAGAGTGAGCACGAAACAAGGCAGAAAATAGAAAAAAAAAGGATGCCAGCCGCACCGTCGACAGCACCAGAACGCAACGCAGGCCACGGCGTATACGGCGGCATCGAAAGAGTTTGATAGGTCAAGGTGTGACCGCAATGCATACAGGTGCTCGATGGTGACTGGGGCACGCTTCTCCTTCGCGGCGGGTGCAGTCTTCGAGATAGCAGAGCAGGTGACTCTTAACATCTTGCCACCGGACCATGGTGCACCATGCAGAGCATGCCAGAAGGCAAGGCCGGCCATCCAGGTGTCCACCGTTGAGCGCGCAATGCGGCCGCTCCACTGTGCCACAAAGGCCGCAACAAGCGCTTCAGGGGCAGGCATGCGTAAATCCTCGGAGATGCCGAGGCAGTCACAAAATTGAGTGAATCGCAGCAGGCCAGCACCGTAATTTTTTCGAGTGCTGGCGTCAAGGGAGGAGAGCATTACATCGAATAATTGTATAGTAGCGGCATAAGAAAGTTTCGTAGCGAGAGCAGATCGAAAGCGGACAGCGTGAGGTGTGGACCAGAGAGCAAGACGATCACGCGCAAGGACATGTGGGCGAAAGAGAGAAGGAGTGATTTGATTTCCGGAACGGGGCTGTCGAGGTTTTCGCCGAGTCAGCATTCGCGACGAAGGGCCAGTGTCAGCCGCAGCCTCGGCAGAACTGGACCCCCCACACTGAGACGGCGCGCTCGCACGTGCGGGCGCAGAGATGATACGAGGCATGTCAGACAACAACAAGGAAGGGTGCAAGCTCATCTGGGAGCTTAAACGGTGGGAGGCGATGAGGCATCGAGGGGATCGGGTCGCCGCGAGAGACCGGATCTGCCAAGTTGTCCTTGGTGTTGACGTACTGTACAGTGAATAGGATATTCAGGGCCATGGCGATGACCTCGGTGCGGCGAATGGAACTGTTGACCTGGAAGTTGCGGCTGCGACCGCGAGCAAATGCGCCTTCCACGCCCTTGTTGTCCCCGCGGATCAGGATGTGCGCATTTTGTTGCCCGAGGCACTCAATTGTGCGGACGGCAAGTTCGACGGCGACCATTTCCGCCCAACCGATGTCGCGACCATTGCACTTCCAGACTCCGGGTTCACCACACCAACGCCAAGAACTCCACTCGCCGGCAATGATGATGCCAACCCCCCAGCTGGAGGAGGCATCAACCCATATGCCAAGGTCTTGAAGTGGGCCACGAGATGAGAGGGAACGACACACATCTGGTATGCTCAGTATAGAAAGCCACCACTTCATATCCGAAAGGACAGAGTGTGGAGCATAGCGAGGTGCGTATGGATTGTGAAAGGAGGCGATGAAGTTGCAGAGGCTCGTGAGGAAGGCGCGACCATGAGGATATACGAACGTGATATGTGAGAGTGTGCCGTTGATCGACATCGCATCTCGCTGTGACACGCGTCCCTTCTCGATTGCCGCGATAAATGTGGTTAGTTTTGCCAAGTACTTATCTCGCTTCTCTGGTGGCAGCGATACCTTCCGCGCTGCGAGGTCCCAAAGAAAACCGCTATATGTGGCCCGTGTTGCATAATCGGACCACTTGGTCTGATGCCAGGGGACACCGAGAGGGTCGGTGATGCGAAAGATGTCGGGGAGCGAGTACGCATACTCATGTGCACCCGAAGCGGGGTCTGTACGAATTGGAAAGCGAAAGTTGATCAGGTCGTCAACCCACTTTCGTGACGGCCCAATCCCGTGTGCTTCCAAAATGTCGACGATGGCATCCATCGGTTCTCCCTGCACACCTGTGCCAGATGAGACACCAAAGGGGAGAACATGGTCGATGTAGAAGTCACCGGGGTCGCACTGAATGACGAGGAAAGGTTTGTGTGCTGGATGAATAGGCAGGTTGCGAAACGCGGAGTCGATGTCGAGACATGCAGCCTGCGCACCAGCGGGTGCATTGACGATCTATGGAATGAAGACAGTCAGCGCTGTGCATTAGCGACTGTCTACGTGAACTCTCGCACTGCACACAACAGCCTCCGGAGACCGGACGGGACTGGAAGAGATGGAACACCTGAGCAGGGGTGTATCCATCGAGAGAGATAAGATCTCCCGCGCACCGGGCAATGATCTTGCAGTACGGCCTCCCGAGCACCGGGCAACAGCCTGAACACAGCCTCCTGCGTGCCGGGCAAGAGCTGAATGATGGCAGGTGTCCCTGGTCACCAGGCATCCACCTCCGAAGGCCCATCTCCCCATGGGGAGTGGCAGGCGCAGTGCGCAATGTGGAGGAATTGAAAGGTACTTACGATTTCGGCTACTTCAGCGGCTGTGCCCCACTTCGTGGGGAAATCGTCAGAGTTAATATAACTGTTCACTGAAATCCCGAACTCGTCCTGATAAGAGCAGTTCTGTACGAGTCGAAACTTTTTGGAGCCTGCCTTTGGCACAACAGCAAGAGGAGAGGACATAAAGAAGGATCCTAAAATACGCTCGACATTGGGTCGAGAGTACGGACCGGTCATGCGACCAAGAGATACTTGTTCTGCGATGTACTGTCGGATGAAATCGATGTGTTCGGAGCCAGAGGCATGATTGGCCGGTGAGACCGTGCGCGAAAGTGTGTCAAAGTTGCCGATAGGAAAGCCATACCGTAATTTTCTGGGTAACATAGGATAGCGATCAAGAGGGCCGAGCGCAAGAAGTGTCGACTCGAAGGTGTCGGCGTTGTAAGGCGTGATAACACGATCACGCTCCGAGGCACCGCTTAGATGAAGCGGCATGACCGTCGGAACCACAGAACGAGCACCGGTGTCCGCTAACACCGGGGCAGTACTGGCTGCGGCAGGGCAGGCGCGCATGGACATTCCAGCAGACACAGAGCTCGGCGCGTGAGGACATGGCAACGAGCTTCTTGTCTGACCAGACAGAGAATGTGGGCTTGCCGCTCGGGAATGTGGTGCGTCCGCAACTGCTGGCGCGGTGACCGCTTTCACTGCATATGAGGCAAAGCACCCCAGCGGGATTGGGTGCTTTGCCCTCGCGAAAGGGCTTGGCGGGCGTGTCGGTCACACCTTCACTGCGTCCGCGCCGTGAGTTAGAGGCAGATGCGCCCGAGGGCGTGTACGGCGTAAACGGCGTGTGTGGGGTGCTTGTATGTGATACGACAGGTGAGCGCCGCTCAAGATGCTGCAGACGGACCTTAAGAAAGTGGGCCTGATAGCTCGGGGATGCAACCGTGAACTTTTTCTTCGATAGCCAGTATCCACGGCGAACATCGATGTCGAACTCGAGGATCACCGCGAACATGGTGTTGAGCTCGTCCAACTCACAGAGCCACAGGAAGTGCTCTAGCAGGCGCTTGGTGATCGCTGGCTCGCAGACCTGCGGCAGAATCTCCATGTAGTTGCGCCATGCATCCCGCCATTCTTCTGGCTGCAGGGAGTCCTCAGCGCGCCACGCCGTGATGTCTATCAGCTCCCTCTTTGATCCCTGGCCATCGTGCATCTTACGGTATCTGATCTTTTCCGGATGCTTGTGCATCTCCCGGATGGATGATGTCGTGCACATTGAGAGAGGAAGGTGGAATCCGTTGGCAAGCAGTGCGATAAGTTGAGGGTGCGCATCGACGAGACGAGACTCGAATAAGTCTGCCTGTTTCTCCGATGCCTCACTGATTAGTGTGCCCTTCGCTTCGCTCTCAGAAGACTTATCTTCTCGTGCTCCTATGCCTCTACCGGCGCCGGCTTTCCACATCTCCAATGCGATCCCGCGCCCTTTTGGCGTCATTTTCATTACCTCGGCTAGAAGGGCTCTGCTATCTTGCTCTGGCGTCTTAGGTCGCGAGGGCCCGCTCGTAGCTGGCGCAGATGGCTCCCCCGGAGCGTCATCCCCCTCTTCAGGCTGGAGTTCGGCGTCATCGGACCCATCTAGCATATGTAGCGACTCGTCGTCGCTAACGTCTACTTCTCCGCCCTTCCTCCGAACATTCCTCAACGAGTTTCGGGCTTGTCTCTCTCTATTCTCCGCAAATAAGGCCAGCCTTCCTGGGTCAGGTGTCGGCCCCGTGCCGCCTGGTGCTGATCCATCGTGATCCTGAGTCAGCAGCCCAGTATCCTTACCCCCGACGCCAGAAGGAGGTCCTATGGGTGGCATATTAAAAGATCGGCCGAGATCGTGCGTGTGAATAACACCAGAATTAAAACCTTCGGCGCGGAGGCTGTAGGCGGAGGAGAAGACGATGGCGCCAAAGGCGCCTATTCCTCCGCCATCAGCCTCTCGCTTAGTAAGCACTTGTTTGACTTAGTTGCTCGCGAGCTCGCTACTAAGTCAAACTACACCCTACAGGTGCATTGTATTGAATTAGTGACTAGTACGCATAATGTACTTACTACGTTCGGTGCCAGTGTGGATGAACGGTGTCATACAGCAGTATTGCTACTTCATACAACCGTATCTCTGAGGGCTGTAAACGTTACTTTAACCGCAGAAAGTCGCGAATCTGCTAGACCACCGGGGGCTCAGATACACCCCATTGACCACTAAGTAGTAGTAGCAGCAGCGCGCGTGAACGTCACCCGTGTACTGAGGTACTGCATGCATATGCGCTGCTTGCTGCCTGGACTTGGTTGCATTGTCGAATGCAGGCTCTGAATCATCGACGGAAACCAAGTGCTGAGAGTCCGCAGACCACAATCACATTATGACAGATCGAATCTCTACGCTATTCTCAAGATATGCGAATACAACAAAGGATGCAGAGCAAAGCCGCACGACGCACCAGTGAAAAGTAGTACGTCAACCAGCCAGACAACTAATGCGACAGCCAGAACGACAAGTGCGAGATGACACAGGACAACGCTCCCCAAGCGGAACGGATACCGCGGACGGAAACAAGAAGTGCTATGAGCAGCCAACGTTGACCGTCCCTACCTCCGCGACTGCTGGCGCGCCGCCGTCCTTGTTTAACGCCTGAGGAAGCCCATCAAGTGTCATCGCGTCCAGCCGGTCCGCGAGTATGCCCTCTGCCCGTGGCTTGCTTCCCACCCGAACCAGCTCCCTAGCGTCCGCTTTGCTTGTACGCTCATGCACAGACCGGTTCCCGCCCTTGGGGTTGAACAGCTCTGCGCTGCCCCGCGGCGGCGGGCGCTCGAACCCTGACTCCTGCTCCTCTACCTGCGCAAGGCCGTTCGCTCCCAAACCAGGTGGGCTCTGGTTCGCGGTCATATTCGCGTTGACGTTCGTGTTCATGTTCGGATAGTGCACAAGCGCAGTGCCCTGCGGATTCATTGTGCCCTGAGGCCCCGGGGAGAGGATAGAGCGCATTGACGATGTGTTCGTCCACGCGCCGCCGATGACAGGTGTCCGCCGTTCTGGGGCGGAAGACAGTGGGGGGAAGTCGTTCGAATGCAGAACGGGCTGCGCCTGGTGCGGGGGGCCGAGGTGCGCCTGCCCACCGATCCGCGGGGACATCGTGCGTGAGTTTGGAGTGATGTGATCGTGGTGCCGGGGCTGGTGCAGAATGGGTTGTGGCTTCAGGCCGACTGCCCAGTCTGGCCGGGCGGGCAAGGGGTGCTTGGAGGATGTTGAAGTGAACGTCTGCCGCGACGATGAGGAATTGGTAGAGGACGACTATGAAACGACGAGAAATAAAATGATAGACGCGAGTGAGGAACAGGCGTCAATCATACACACAAAACATCGGTCAACATGACTCATCGAAACGGAACCGAGCATATACAAGACTCATGGAATGTTACTCACCGCAGTGGACGACGCCTCGTCTCCTGGGGTTCTTGTCCCTGTGCTTCCGCTGCTACTCGAGATTCTCCTGGAGCTTAGCCGTGGACCAACAACTTCAGTCCCTCCTATCCCTCCACCGAGGCCAGTCAGATTGTACGTATACCCGCCGCTACCTGCGCCAGGACCATAGCTCCACGGAGTACGCCTGGGTACACCCCTCTTGCTGCCGTGGCCGCTGCTCCTGGAAGACGCACGACTATGGTTGCCGGCGTTCTCCATTCCATTCCCAGTTGAATGTCCCATTGGTAAAGGGCTCGCATACTCGGGCATATACAGCGGTTGACCCTGTATGTGTGGTGAGGGTGTCATGGAAGAGGAAGCCATACCCTGTTGGAAGGATGATGAGGACGGGTAGCCATGCATCGGGTATGGGTTATAATGAGGGGCATATGTGGGAAAATTTTGTGGATGAGAGGGAGATGGGTGTGGCGAAACTGACGAGACGGGGGCAGCTGAAGGCATATTTGTTGTGCTCTGCTGCATATGTGGGGGATGCTGTGGTGGCTGTCCAGGGGAAGAGTGAGCCCACATGTACGGATTCACATAGGACCCATGGGGAGGCATCTGTTGCGGTGGAGGATACAGGCCGTCGGTGACTGCTGTAGCAGCGGAATCCGGATGAGGAGGTATTGCAGCAGGATGCGGATACCCATACGGCATGTAATAGGAATACGGCGCCAGATAAGGTGCGCCTGCCGGCTGTCCAGGACCATTCGAGTATGGGTAAATGTAGTGAGCGATATACCCTGGAGGAGGCTGTGGAACGTATTGAGAGAGATCAACTGGAGGCTCGTATAAGCTTGCGTAAGTAAACGAGGGCGAGGTGGCTCGCGAATTTCGCGAGCTGCCAGATCCATTGTTGTATGATGTTCGTGACCGCGAAGATGAACCCCCTGAACGCCGTCCATCCCACTGTTCTCGCGTGACTGGTCCTGACCACTCGCTCTCAGTAGGAACAGAGCTGGCGGAATCGTCCAGATCGCTGATGCTACCACCGCAACCACCACTAGTGGACGCGGAGCCAGAGTTAAGACTGAAAGTCGAAGAGTTGGCGCTCATGTCCTTTTCCTTTTCTTCGAAACCCATAAAAATCCGGGAACGCGCTTCATTATACGCAGCTTCACGTTCCTCCAAAGTCATAAACTTTTTGCTGCCCGCCGTTGCGTTGCTGCGACCACCGACGCTTCCTGTCTCGGACGGTTCAACATCGGAGAGGTCGGCATCTTCTCCTCCAATGGAACCCGTTTGTGATGTATGTCTGCCTCTCGCACCACCATGTACACCCCTTCGCATGATCTTGAATGCAGGCTGCGCGGACTCCTCTGGTGGAACAAGTTCGCTAATTCTCCGGGCAGGTCTGAAGAAGTTTGAGAAGGAGGAGACAGGCGTAGAGATATGCGCTTACATCTTGCTTTCTGCTCGGTAGTATACGAAAATGTTCTTCGACGAACCATCGGTCTCGGGGGACAGCTTATAGTAAGTTGAACATCTGTAGACTAGCATGCGCTGGTAGGACGTCGTTGGATTGAGGTCAATCCGTAATCTTGAAGTAGCGTCATCAGAATCAACAACAATATCATGGAGAGATCATGTGAAGAAGAGGACGGTCATCCCCACTGCCTCGTCGTACGGTAGGGTAACGTGTCGTGTGATGTGGGGCACTATATAAGTAACACATACACACCTGCGTTCAGTGATGAGACCTTCCATCATCTCCCCCAGCTTTAAGACATATATCCTGTCCTTGCTCCGCAGAGCCTCAATGATCTGCGGGTCAGGATCAGGGCTGTTACTGTTGGATGTGACGTCCCCGGTATTAGCCATGCTGGTAAGCGCATCGGGCGGTGCACTGCGAGGCGACAATACCAGAACGGAGTCCAGCGAAGGTGATACCGTGATCGAATCTGCAGAGAGAGGTCGTCTAGAGTATATCTCTGGAGCACTCGAGCTCGCACTGGTACTCGCAGCACTTGTGGCGGTGCCACGGCTTATAGCTGCAGTAGCCATCTGAGAGAGCTGCGGATAGGTAGGAGAAAGAGGCGGCGACGGGTACGTCGGTTGCGAAGAGGAAAGCAGCTGCGTGGGTGAATCTAAAATGATCAAACAGACAAGGAGGCAAGGTCTCAGCCGCGGCGACAAATTGAAGACTTTGGCTCGCCAAAACGCCTCGTGGGAAGTAAGAGTGGCTAATACGCACCAACAGACATGAATCGAGCGTTAGACGAGCGGATTAGAGAACGAAAACGAGACTTTGGGAGGGGAATGAGAGGATGGGTACATCAGGTCTGAGGGTAAGTAGGAAGGCAAGCGTCGACAACAAAGTGCCAGGGCGCCTATACACCCGTAACGTCGTCACGTTCACAATCCTCCTTTGCCAATCTGCCTCTGCCTCGGCATCAGTCTCTCGGATCATCATCATTGTTCACCGCCACTCCAGTGCTCAGGCCCCGAGGAGATTACACAGTCCAGAAATCATATACTGTCCCAGCAAGCGGCTCTTTATATATTTAATGTACAGACTGAGTTACTGTCATAACTTGATAGATGTTAAAACTCAGGCTGCAAGCCCAGGCCCGCCCAGTCAGCGTCACGCATAACAACATCCAGGACGAAATACCCACCAGAATACGAAGATAAAAATTCCATAGATGGCCAGCCCAAGGGCCGCTCTTGTCATGAGCTTGTTCGCACCTGGATCGTTCTGTGTGAGCTGAACGAAATAAAGATCGCGTCAGTCCTGACGGCCATGCGAGCGCCGCAACGAGATAAACCGGAACTTGCTCACCTTCCAGTAGAAGAAACCGGGCAGGATGAAGGAAATTGTCGTTGATCCGGTAGAACCCACGAATGACAGCACTACCAGGTAAAACAGGAGCATGTTAACACGCTGCAATAAGGTAAGGCGCACTAGGACAGACACGTACCCATCTGCAGATCGTCCACAAAATAAGCAATGGAAAACCCACTCGCAACGATGGCAACGGTCAGCAGAGTGTGTTTCAGTGGACTCATCTCGGAGTCTCCATACTCGTCCTCCACTTCATCGTCCTCGAGTTCCGTCAGCTGTTTCTGCGCGTGCCCCCAGTGGAACACCTTATCCAGGCAGTTGCGGCATGGATGTACCTGCAGTGGATATGAGAACATCACTAAAATGGCGATGGCTAGCTGCCCGATGGCGATAAATAGGGAGGTCGATGGGTACATGGCAATTATGTTGGCGCCAACCTAGTAATCATGATGTAAGAATGCAGCCAGTTTGGTGTAAAACAACGAATATACCTTCGAGCCGAATGTCAGATAGCCGAAGATAGCTATTATCTCATATATTAAGCTCGCTGAACCAATAGAAGTACCGATGACAATATTCATGCGATCTTGAGTGTTGGCGGATATCTCATTGTATATGGGGAATAACTGGGGAAAAGTGACCCGTCAATTCGATATTCATCACACAATCAAAAAAGGTAACCTACATTTTGCGCACATGTGTACGCAAAGACTTGTACCGGGAACGTTGAAACGAAGTTCGGTGTGAAGTGCACGAGGTGGATTTCTCCCGGAGGAGGGGTACCTTCAAGCGGGAAGAAATAACACACCACCACCACCACCACCAGATATGCTGTGCCAGACTGTTAGCGTAACGCACTGCGACGCAGTAAAACAACGAGGACCCACCCACGGAAAACAGAGCGATATAGCTCGTATGCCGAAGGCTGTCTAGTTTCCGAAGGAACGACAGTGGGGCAAGTATGGCCATGATGATGAACAGCCAGTTGCGCCCGTACTGTGACCATAAAGGAGGGTTGGTTGAAGCGAGATCATGATAGAAAGCAGCTAAGACGTTGGGAAGGAGAGACTTGATGATGATGAGATAGCTAGACAAAGGTCAGCACCTCTACCGGCCTGCAGAAAACACATGCACGACAACTAACCTAATCGAGACACCAAAGCACTTGACGGCTATAGCAGCGTCGAAGAAAATGGCCGCACGAGGAAACGTAATCTCCGAGACGGTAAAAAAAGACGCCCTGCGATGTGGTGCCTTGACCGCGCATAGGGATAGTAGGTATAGACCGAACGCCGCGACTCCTCCAGAGAAGAGGCAGGTAATCATGCCTGGTATAATACCGGAGGATGCCATTGCCTACGAGGCAAACCATACGAGCGGTCAAATTCCAGGTAACTGTATCATTCATTCCACTACTAACCAATGGAAAGGTGAGCATTCCTTTTAGAAAGTATTCCCATGTCAGCACAAATGGCGCTGTCAGGTGCGATTCACTCACCGCTGCCGATAATGGTATTCGCAAGATTACCAATAGAGCTTGCCAACGACGCCTGTCCGTCATGCAGAGGCTTCGGACTCGCTTCTGTACCAAGGAGGGCATCCCCTTCTCTAGCGCCATCTCTACGTTCTATGTCTACACCATTGCTGTGGGCACGCACTGCGCCGTACGTCTGCACCATTTCGTACACCTCAGAGTCGCCGTGATTGTAGGAGTCAATTGGACGAGAAGAGTACCGAGTAAAGGGTGGGAGGGGTATATATCTGGTTGGTGCGCGGAAACCACGCTTCGCCGTTTGTCAGCAGCGGATGGCTAGGGAAGGTTGTTTGTGCCTGTTACTTTCTAAAGCCTTTGGCCAACAAGCGTAAACAACCGACTTGTCCTTTTCTGTCACAGCAATGGCCACACCGCGCCTGCGACACAGACCACAGACTGAAGAAGAGGATGCCGCTTCATTGAAACTCGGCCCCGGTATTATTTCTGTGAAAATTTCTGTTTCGTAAAACTCATTCTTTTTTATCAGAGTTCAACAATGCCGGCTGCCTGTTGATCTCAGAGGTGAAGTATCTCCTTGAAAACCGCGACAAGGATGCACCAGATACTGCGTCTGTAGGACCCCAACCACATAAATTATTTTGACTGACGCGCATTATAGCGTATACAATAAGACTCTTGAATATGTGAAAACCTTTGCCAAATTTAACACGACCGATTCCGCGAGTGCAGTCCGGGAGTGAGTTTCCTTTCTTCCTTGTCCCATGTTGTGTTCACCCTCGTAATAGGATTCTACGGAGGGAACCTGCGTTGACGCAGTTTGAGACTGCACAAATTGCCAATCTGTGTCCGGCGAATGCTGAGGAGGCGAAGAGCGTGATACCAAGGTGAGGTTATCGTCTGTTGCCATGATGCGTCGAGATTCATATCGAAGTTATTTCTTCAGTCTTGTGAAGCTTGATGATGACAGATTACAACAACTTCTGGACGAGATTCAGACGACCAGGAAGTTCCAGTCATAGTGATGTTGCGTTGGCTACTTCGAGGCAGCTGTCAATGGTGTGCACCACCATACCTGCCAGGGCTTCAACCTGTACAAAGGTATGGCACCTACATGATCCGCAGATAGTTATGTGGGTTGCTTTTACTTTTCGAAGCCGACTTGGTTTGCTACCCTGCTACGGTCGAATGCTGCACGGGTCTCTGCTTCTTGGCTGATAGGGATACCTTCGTGGTGTATCAAAGAGCGATATCGCTATTACATTTGAGGTGCAGCGTATCACTGACGTCACACATTGTTGCATTTACAGTGTACACAAGCACGAAAATAATGTATTATCTCCCTCTAACACTTCTACCAATCTATCTCTTCTAGCCGCGCCAGCATGTCCATTAATCTTGCATTAGTAGCTGCCCAGCTCTTCATATGGAATCCGAGATTCTAGCCACTCTGAGCTCGCGCATGCGCCTCTTCGCAGCGTGTGAATGCTTGTTCATACCTCCATGGAAGGCCCAATTAGCGCTTTCCGTGTCCGTGCCCGTCAAGTCCTGAATGCTCTGTGCAGCTGTCTCTTTGTCGCACCCCCCCTTTTTGATTGCGCTTACAGAGTAGCGGCGCAGGAATGCAGCCCCGCCCGGCTGTCGAGACAAATAAGTGAGCAACCCATTAGGCGCAGAAAAGTATGAACGCACATGCTCTCCAAGGTATCCCGTCACATCCACGACGTAGCCGTCAATAACGACCATGCATGCACCTGTTCCCCTCCTCGCCAAGACGTACTGGTTCACATCGTCCCACGTCCACGCTTCGCCGGACCACTTGTCTTCGTCTTCATTGCCTCCAGCTGCATCCTGTGTTGGCAGAGATAACTGGCGCACGGTGGTATGCGTTTCCTGGCGTATCATGTGAGCCTTGGCAGCCTGAATGTCTTCCTCGCGGGCGATTCGGAGGCCATAGATGAATCCGAGTCGATGGATGAGCAGGATAACCCACTTCGACGGATCCCAGTCAAACGGAGCAGGTCCGGAGCGATAGTCGTGCGGGAAGGCATGCTGCAAATCGTTGACCAAGTGTGAACGTTCGTACAGGGTAGACAACAAGTAATCTCACATGCTAAGGCGTGGCAGGTCACCACAGAGAACACAAGTAGTAAGCAAGAAGTAGGAAACTGTCGGAGACGTACAAAGTTATGATTGCCTTCGCCACAGGTGAGTAGAGCAAGGATCTAGATGATACCATTACAGTTGATCACAGCCACATAATATGCGCAGTACCAGGTTAGTCTTGGAAGTGTTGTCATCAGAGTAGGGTTGAAGACCCTCCCAATGAGCGAGACTGGTATCTCCATGTCAGTTTTACACCGAAACTATCAAGAATAGCATGAAAGCCTCACGAGTTGATGAGGAAGGTGCAATGCCAGACTGGTCAAATAGAAACTCATCGATGTTACTCTGCACGCACACGGTTACAGACAACCTACTGAACAATCTCGCCACCAAGCCTCCCCAGACAAACGCGCCGTATGGATCACCCCAGAGTGTCCCAAGGACTGGAGGCAATATCAGACCGAGGGACACCGCAAGTGGTACTAGCATGTCCAAGATGAGAGTCACGTTTCGGGTCAAGTCACACGAAGTATTACCATAATACCGATGCTGAAAGTTCACAACTGTTCAGACACCATGAGCGAGAGAAAAACACTGCGATATGTTAAAGGGGCGCACTCGGATCTCTCTCAAGGTCTGACTTCTCTATCCTGTCTAGTCGCGTATAGTGAGATTGGAAGAAGATCCACCCCATATGAGACCAGAGCAAACCGCGTGTCGCGGCGTAGCTGCATCGCCAGACAAAATTATATGAGCTGAGACATTGACGTACGACAAGGGGACATACGGGTCATGTACAGGATCATCCGTAAAACGCTGTCGAGCTAGTTCGGTCTCTGCGCACAAGTGATTTTGAAGGAAGAAGCTTACATGATGCAATCGATGTCTCAAACACCTTCGAAATAAATTCAAGTAATAAGGAAGACATGTGAGACACAAGCAGCTTGATCTAAATACTCACCACCACTGTTCAAATCACGCAGGTAATAAGAATGATGACTGTAATGATACAGTGCGAACACTCGCCTTGATGGATCCCTGGAAGGCACTGGCACCAAGAAGCGCGGCCAGTAATTTTACACCAGCGCTTGCTTGAAACGCACGGTGAGAATACAGTCGATGATATCCAACAGTTATGCTGAATATGTTTGTCAGTAGCGATTCCGAGACAAGCACCATATTTTCTCTCCTCACCCGAGTGAAGCCAACTGCCAGAGAACGACAGCCATAACAATACTGGCCCGGGAAACAGCATAAATGGGATACCAGATCACGCCTACCACAGTGGCTACATGTATCAATATAAAGAAGAAGCCGTTGCCCCACCAGATTCTGGTGGGAGCGGAACTGGATTGAGCGTATGAAGCGGACGACATGGAGGCCTTACAGCCTGGGTGACGACGTCGCCATCGCCGGGGGAAAAGTTCACAGCTTGGTCGGAGCTCTATTTCTACTGTCAGGAAGGTAGATATGTAACCCGACTTCCCAAATTTGCAAAGGGAGGAACATCGACTCGAATGCCAAAATGGGCACGTACGCCAAGGAAGTACTGTGCCATGATGCTGTCAGTACAGTTTGACATTTCATATTTCAACGTTCAACGTTTAGCGTGCTTCTGACGAGGGTTCGCCCACAATTGGCCCAATATCGGTCAATATTTCTACGAATCAAGGCGTGTATATCGTCAGCACCACACGAGAGCGGATAGATATGTCACGCACTCTATGTCCCAAGTACCGGAGACATCGTTAGCTAAACTGGTCATGCATGTCATATCGTTAGCAGAGCTAGCCGTATCATCAGCATAATCAGTATCACGAACAATGGTAAGTTGTCCGGCAGGAAAATCTCCCATCATATTGCAGACAAACACATACGATTATCCCCCCCTGTGAGGGAGCTGGAAGCGAATACTCAATCTAAAGGGACTGCGGCCAAGTCGCGCACATTGAACCTTTCTGAATAGCGGGATGGCGGGCGCCGCCCTACACGATGTAGTCGAATACCAGCAGAGCATCGGAGAGAGGGGGAAATATTGGGTGAATATAGATATATCATACTTATAGCATGCTGCAGCGACGCAATGACGAAGAGGGCCGCTTTCTCGCCTCCAGCATGCGTCCGCTGCTAGTCAGGGAGACAACGCAAGCTTAGCCTTCCATATCCGCAAGCTTCCTATGGTCTAACACCACCTTCGCGTCCTCCTCCTCTTCTCGCTCCTCAATAGCTGCTTCCCCACTCGAATCCACAGTAGCCACAGTAGAGTCGAATCGTCTCTTTTCCTTGAAAGGATTGCTCCTCTGTTCGCCCTTCTTGAGCACCGCCGCGGCAGGGATAATCCCCTTCGGATTGAGGTAGAGGAAGTCGTCCCCGGCGTATCCATCTATATGACGGATCCACGCATCAAACCTTGCAACCAGAGGAAGTTCAGACTCAAAGTTGGGTGAAGAAGGAAGGTCGATGGCACTCACATTCCTTCCTGCTCCTCTATGCTCCGCATGCGGGAATAAATATGCTCCTGCTTGAACCGATCGAGGGCCTCGCGGTGGATCTCAAAATCGATGGGCGGCCGGTAAGCAGGGTCGGACTGCTGCACGCCCTCATTCGCTGCTGCGATCCGCTTGTTGTACGACCCAAAGATTGGGTACTCTAGGAGCAGACCGAGCGCAGGCGTTTTCGGGATGCGGACCTTTCTAGGTCCGTACAGCTGCGAGCGCGCAGTCAGTGTTGGAGCTCACTGCGCGTCACTAGTCATGCTTACCTCGTCGATGAGCTGCGGTGATGTGCCTGTGTGGCATGACAGGATCAAGACAGACATCATTAAGCGCTGGATGTCTACGGTGAGCGAGATGATGATTCGAGTAGCGGGATACCCACGATCTGCGTATTTGTTCTGTCAGCGTGTGCATCTTCGCCTGCATTGGGGGGTTTACCTGATGTAACATGAAGCTTTGCCCGTGGAACAGCACGCTGATCCACTGCGTATTATTGTACACTTGAGGATCTGCGACCTTTCGCTGAAGTGAGAGATGTTGGCTAGAATACACCGAACGATATACCTCGATACTTTTCATTAGTCTGTGACAGCTTCGATCATTAAAGTCCCGCCCGATAGTGAGGTTGTGAAAGTTGTGTGTTCCCTCGAACTTCTTTGCCATGACTCGAAGCTCATCTACCTTCTCCGAGGGAACCCTGTACGCGCGCTTTCTGCTCAGATCGTCCTCGACAGTCGATTCTGAACCAGCTTCTGCCCAGAAAGGATGCAAAGGTTCATCGTAACCGTGTTCCCTGAGTGTTCTCTCGAGGCCACAGCCAGGTTTTGGAGGAACCAGCATGTAGCTGGGAAAGAAATAGGTGTATTTGCGGCTATCACACAACCTGCAATGCGTACAAGTCAGAACGTCCCGATAGAATTGAAGAGACTGTGTACGGACGCCCTCGCATCAAATGAGCGTTGTACGCGCGACTGTAAAACCAATGGAAGCTGAGTGAGGATTTTAGGTACCGATACAATACATGACGCACGACACTCCATAGTCGGATTTCTGGTGGTAGCTCCTCATTTACGCGAGCCACGAAATCAGGTACCCCTGGAATCTCGGTGATGAGCTTGAGCGACACCAGATTACCTGCGGCGTGCACGCCAGCATCGGTGCGAGCAGCTCGGTGAAGAGCGACCTGATCGAGGTGTCGGTAAGCTGTACCTCTTCGTTGTGAGATGTCAGAACACACTCACTTTCGCGTGGTCATCCGCGTTGTCTTTCGACACTGCACCTATTCTGACGAGGGCATCGAACAATGTACCCTCAATCGTCTTCACATGCGCTTCGTACTGCCTGCCAGATAATCTGCCATGCGCATATAGTGAGGGAGAGAATGTGTGGACGTACATCTGCATGCCTTGATATCCGGAACCGCAGAATCCGATGAGCATTGCAGACTTTGCCTTGGGCAACCGGGCAGCCTTAGGCTCCCCGTTGTCGCGGTGCTCAGCAGCAGTTTCATTGCGCGTCCCTCGCCTCGAGTCCCTCTTCTCCTTCGCCTTGCCCTTCCTCTGCCTCCCACCCTTGTCGTCATCCCGGTGCGGGGCGACCTCTGCCTCTCCCGCGCTTTTCTTTCTATGTTCCAGGTCTACGGGCTCAGCAACGGCCTCACCGCTCCCAGTGGTAGGCTCGGGGTCGATTTTGACGCGCTTGGAAGTACTGGCAGAAGGAGAGTTATCGTCCTCCCGTGGTCTTTTAAGACTCGGGCTAGTTCCGCTGGATAATTCCGGAGAATGTACTTCCATGGTAGTGATGTGCCGGCCAAATTTCAAGTAGAATATTGTCGCAACTCTAGGCTGGGTTGTAGACAAGTTAGACCGCTGCACAAGGCATTTCACGGGCCTCAGAGGCAGAATCCGGCAGAGAGCAGCAGGCAAGATGAGCATATGACTGCCTTTTGAGGATCAGATTCGAGTTTTCTCTACCGTGACCGCGAGCTCGTCTGAGCGCGTAAAATCATGTGTAAAAACAACTCCTTGGCTGAGAGCACATCGGCTCAGAATTACTGATATTCACCAGACGGCCCCGTAGATTGCAACACAGGCTACGTAAGTACATGTTGTGATTTCGAATAATCATCCACGATTCAAATGAATAACGGAACCTGCGCACCCTACCCGCGCATCAGCCTGTCACAATTGCGGATTCGAGGATACGGCGCATATACAGATGTCAGAGTGTACACTGGCACTGTGTCACGGACGCTTGCCAATAAGCGGGCATCGCCGCAGTCATGACCGCCCCAAAGGGGACGAAGATCTCAATTGCCCACTGTCCTGCTTTATGCACGCATGAGTGGTATGTGCGAAAGTGACCGAGGAAAGTGGTCAGCAAGTTACCCGGGCTACGGACTTACGCGGGGTAGATCAGGTAACAGGTAGGAACTTCAACACTTCAACAGAGAGCACCTTGCAGTTAAGTTACAGAGAGCAGTAGTTTACAACCACGTCCACTGAGGCGAATCCTGTATCGTCCTGCCGAGCAGAAAGTGATTGTCTGCGGTCCGAGTTGAATTTGATGATGCTATCGTCGCGAGCACCCTGAAGAGAATTCGACGTGTGGGAGGTCTCACGACTATCCCACGTTGTCCATGATGGGAGCGGTCCGTAGGATGACTGGAGAGGAGAAGAGAGTAAAAGACTGGAGGGTGTGATCTACAAATCGGTCGCCTATATATAGCAGTGGATACCGTCCTCGCCGTGTCCCAGACTCTGCGCTTCTCTCTCCCAGCCCGCTGCATGTCTCTTACTAACCAAAATCTACCTCTAATATAATTCCCGTCTTCCTACTCTCGACATTCCGTCTCTCTAATCATGAAAATCAGCCAGAAAATCGACCAGGCGAACAAGGAAGGGCGCGTATGGTGGTCCTTCGAGTACTTTCCCCCACGGACGGCGCAGGTATGTGCTTTACGCTTTCACAGATGCCGTCCGCTCATCTGGCATTATGCAGGGTCTCCAAAATTTGCTTGACCGTATCGAGCGAATGCGTAGGCTGGGACCTGAGTTCATCGACATTACATGGTGAGCAAATTCACAGTGGTTTGTGCGCGTGGAATAAGGCAATTTGACGGAAAGAAGGAATGCTGGCGGTCGCACTTCTGACCTCACCTCGGAGATGGTGAAGACATGTCAGAGTCTCATTGGTATAGAGACGTGCATGCACCTTACCTGCACGAACATGCCGAAGGAGAAGGTCGACGTCGCGCTGAGGGTGAGTCGACATAATGCATTACGTAGCCAGCTCTCCATCTTCATGGAAATGCCAATGCATCCTTAGGAAGCTAAGCAGCACGGTTGCCGAAACGTTCTAGCGTTGCGCGGTGACCCACCCATGGGCAAGGACGAGTGGGAAGCCGTCGAGGGCGGATTCGTCCACGGCGTCGATCTCGTCCGCCACATACGCAACCAGTACGGTGACTACTTCGACATCGCCGTCGCCGGCTTCCCGGAGTTCCACACGCTCCCTCCAGATGAGCGCGACCTCGAGATGCAGTACCTGAAGGCGAAGATCGACGCTGGCGCGAACTTCATCTTCACGCAGATGTTCTATGACGTTGAGATCTTCCTCGACTGGGTGAAGGCCGTCAGAGCGGCAGGCATCACGGTACCCATTGTGCCAGGCATTGCGCCGGTGCAGACGTGGAACGGGTTCCTGAAAGCGACGTCGCTCGCGAAAATCTCAATCCCCAAATCATTCATGGTTGCTCTGGAGCCCTACCAGAACAATGACGAGAAGGTCCGCGCGATCGGCACCAAGTTGGTCGCAGAGATCTGTCGGCGCATCCTCCGGGAGGACATTGGTATCAAGGGTCTGCACTTCTACACCATGAACCTGGAGAAAGCTACCAGAATGCTGCTCGAGGAGCTGAGCCTCGTACCGCGTGTTGAGGTTCTCAAGCCTCTCCCCTGGCGGCAAGTACGTGAGAGTTTAATTAATTGCTTCTTAGATCTGATGAGCCTCTTTGTTCTCCTCAGTCCCTCACCCCATCTCGGCGTGCGGAGAACATCCGCCCCATATTCTGGGCCAATCGGACAAAGTCGTACCTCTCGCGGACGGAGAACTGGGACGAGTACCCGAACGGTCGGTTCGGTGACTCTCGCAGTCCTGCCTACGGTGAACTGGACGGCTACGGTATCTGGATTAAGCAGACGGTACGTGTCGCTGCCAGGCTCATTTCCGTGTGTCGCGCTGACCGTCATTGTTTGCAGAAAGAAGAAGCGCTTAAACTCTGGGACCATCCCACAACCCCCGCACAGCTCGGAGCGCTGTTCAGCCAGTTTTGTTTGGGGAAGCTCGCTGCGCTGCCATGGTCCGACCAGATGCCGTCGTCGGAGACCTCCGTCATCGCGACGCAGCTGGCGAAGTTGAACGAGTACGGCTTTCTGACCATCAACTCACAGCCGGCGGTCGATGGTGCGAGGTCTGACGACAGAGTTCACGGGTGGGGTCCTTCGAATGGATACGTCTACCAGAAGGTATGCCAATCCATCTTTCTGAAATTGCCGCTAACCCCAGCTCGCTCGCAGGCGTATCTGGAGTTCTTCGTCTCACCCGAGCTACTGGAGTTGCTCCTGCCACACATAGAGCGTGACACTAACATCACATACTACGTGATCAACAAGCGTGGAGACCTCAGGACAAACACGCACTCGGACGGCCCTAACGCCGTGACGTGGGGCGTGTTCCCGGGCAAGGAGATCATCCAGCCCACAATCGTTGAGGCCATCAGCTTCATGGCATGGAAGGTTCGCCCTTGAGCCTCTGCGCTCATTGCTGCGCTCTGACGTTACTTTCAGGACGAAGCGTACGAGCTCGGCTGCCAGTGGGCCAACTACTATGAGCCAGACTCTCCGAGCCGCAAGCTCATCACCAACGTCATGGACACGTACCTCCTCGTGAACGTCGTGCACAACGACTACAGGAAGCCCAGCGCGATCTTCGAGCCGTTCTTCAAGGCCGGCGAGGAGTTCGCCACGCGGCATCCGCCGCAGCCCGTCCTCAACGGACACGCCCACTAGATGATCGCTCGTGCTGCTGCTGACGCTGACGTTGCTCCATCTCACATAGTTTTGTTCGACACCCTCACACCCGCTACACCCAGAGGATGTTTTGCTCTATTTCTTTCCAGCATCCCCCACGGGTTCAACCCCCGCTCCTTCTACTCACTTGCATTGCTTTCGCGCACTTTTTGTATATCTCGCACTGCACGCACATTGTTTCTGCATCAACTGCATTTCGCGCCTGGACGGCATTCATCCGTCGGGCCTCTGCATCCAACTGCATGTATTTTTATTCTATTGACGAGGAACTGTAGACATGAATGCGCGGCGTTCTCCTCGAGCTCCAGCCGTAGCGTAGAGGCCAGCGATATCTAGTTTACTGCTTATTTACACATTTTCAGCAGTACACTGACGAACTAGGAAATCTAACGAGTGCAATTCGTTATATACTTAGTCTCCAAAATCTTTGCTATTCGGCACTTTGCAAAAAGCATCGGAGGTATAGGATGACATGTATCGTGCAGGCAGCGCAGCGAAGACAACGGTATGGTATGGTGGCGCACAGATAGGAACTAGATCCACAGCAAATCAGGTGTTACGAGTCAGTAAGGATATATCGAGCACTACGTTTGGGTATCATAAGCATACGACAAGTCCGAGAAGAAGAAGTCGCTATTCGACGGCGGTGGGCCCGCTAGAAGACCGCTTGGAATCTCTACTCTCTCGCCCGACAGATCTGGAAGGGGGCCCGATGTCAAGATAGAGTTCTGAAGCCCTTCGCAGAGAAAAGAAACGAAGACGCACCTAGAAGTTTAATCTTGAGGCCGATCTCCGTCAACGCCTGGACGAACACTTCTGTTTCTGTCGAGGCAACGTGGCCGCCGACTCGCCTGAGCATGTTCAAACCGTCCGTCCAGTCCGCCCATCTGGACTGGTCGGGGGCTATTTGGTCCGCTAGCGACGAACCACCAGCAGTAAGCAACGAAAATGAAAGAGGGGACGCCGCCAGCGGCGATAAGGAACCGTTAGACAGATCAATGGTGTCGAGGATAGTGTTCGGGAATGGCACACAGGTCCCCGTCGCAACCTCGTTGATGAGCGACACATCGATCCGCTCGGGAAGGTCCTCCAGACCTTTCCGCACAGGAAACTTCACCGCGCTATCAACGTAATGAAGATACTTTGTTCCATTGTCCTATCGCCCCTTGACTCAACATCTGTTCCCTTACCAGGTGGAGGACAGCTCACCAGTCTCATGAACCGCCACGGCCGGGTAGGCCGCCGCATGGTGTCCCGCGTAATAGTGGTCGTGATTGGTGTAGCGTTCATGAACCATGCGCCCTCTAGCAAGCAATGTATACGTTGCTGACGCACAAACTCAAAGGACTCCTTGTACAATTTGGCGCGCATGTTCCTACCGATGAAATTCAGGGTCAACTTGTAGTAGAAGGCAAATTCGACTCACCGTACGGGCACCTTGCTCATGATATCATCTTCCATCTCGAGCTCTTGCATCTGGCGGTCCCTAACGGCACGGTATTCGCACTCAAGGAAATCCTGTTCTACTTCGTGCCAGAGCCTTATATTCTCCCGCCGCAATGCTACTTTTACCCTAGCCCGCAGCTGAGTACGCGGTAACGTCGGAGAAGCGAAAAGGACCTACTGGCTCCGTGTTAGTGCAACAAGACGAGGAAAGTCGCCTCTTGAAGCACCGCTCTCGTTCCACATCCGCAGGAAGAAATGTGTCGCAAGTGCATGTACTTTGTAGAGGTTCAGAAAGAATGGCTGGAACGTCGTGGACGTGGAGTCTGGTGCAACAACGTCAGCTATATGCCACAGCTTCGCCTGATATACATACATCCAGGGGCATATATCGCCCAATGCTCCGACAGCAGATCGGCAACCTCATTTGACGCCTTCGCAATGGGACATCGCCGCTCCTTTGAGCGACTAATCTGTTCCTGGACTACCTGGTGAGTGATGTCAGCTTCAGGCGGAAGGCAGAATATAACCGAACATACCTTAGCCCAGTAATCAGGATCCGTGGAGACGAAGTTCCGCTGATGGTGGCGCGGTATTACAACAGAGTTCAGTCCATGCAGACATCACCGCACTCACCAGAGAATCCAATCCGAGCACCCCAACTTCGCGGAACTCCTGTGTAATGTCTTCGGTATCAAAGCCAAGCTTTCTCCACTTCAACGTGCCCTGTGCGTCGGTTTCTTCCGGTAATTTGCTGTTCGACCAGATGTAGTTCAGCGCAGCGCTATGTGAGGGCTCGAATTCGGGCTCCACAGCAGTCATCTTCCTGCGAAATGCCACCCGAATCATGTTTGCTTGGAAATCCAAGATGCAAGAGGTCAGGTCTTCAATCGTATGAGATGACATCAGGCGCTGGGATGCCTCTCAGGACAGGGTTTGATCAACCGTGTAAAGGAAACGTACAATGACTGCCTTCCGTACGTTCAGCCTCTCAATCTCTGCGATGAACTCCTCCCATTGATTTTCAGTGGCATGGGCCATGAGCGAATTAATCAGCATCATGCTGTCGTGCAAGGATAATGCTTAGCACGACGTATCAAGGCTGAACAGTTCATCACGAACCTGTACAGCGCCATGGTCGTATCGGCACTCCCGAGTCGATCTACGACGGTCGCTAACATCTGCGTCTCCTTGCGCATCTGTTCGAAGACGACTTCAAATCCGTATCTGTAGACGGATCCCGGAGGCGGTGCAGGGGGTGCCTTGCTAGAGCTTGCTGCAAGAGCCGGTGCGCTCACGGGAGACGCCTCTACAAGCTTTTTCAAGATCGCGGTGGCAGGTCGGCAGACATTGATCAGGGACTGTTTGGACGAGAGGATCTGTACTATCTTTAGTATGAAGGTATTATCAAGAGTGTCCCAGCCGTGGTCGAGCTCCATCAAATTCTGCATGGCTGTGAGAGCATACTGAGATTTCTCTACTCGGTCAGGTGTAGGAGGAAGATGGCGTTATCCTACGCACCGCGAGAGTGTTACCGTGTGCAGTGCTGATCACCTCGATGAGTTCATACAGTCCGTCGCGCTGAAGAAACTCGTTGGCAAATTGTTCTTCCTATCCTTGTGTTGGTCAAACGTTGTCCCGCGTAGGAACACTCTATGCTGCTTACCCGAATATATTTCCGTAACGACGTCAACGCGAGACCAAGTTTGTTGTCCCTCACGCTGAGTTTCTCTACTATTTCCGCTGCCTCAATAGCAGGTGCGCTAACCAGCCTGACAACGTGCCGACAGCAGTCAGGTGAAGATCAGTGCACTAGGTCTCGGACCCCCACGCACTTGAGGTTGACTTTGGCTTTAATCTTCTTCCTCAGGTTGTCGTTCGTGACAAACTCGTCAGATTCATCCCTCAGTGCGTACATGGCGGGTGGGTCTTTCAACTTGAGGCTGATACAAAGTTGCCGCACGACATCATCGACAGTCAAGGTGGGCTCAATGCGAACGCGAACGGTCATACCGTCCTTCGTGATGACATTGTTGGTAGGAACCAGGCCGGTCTTGCTCTGTGATGGGACTCCATTGCTAGACGGTGCTGGAGCTGCTGCTGTTGTGAGAGATGGTCCGCCGTTTGTCGACATTGTACTTGAGTGCCTAAAAAGACTGGTGTACATCAGTCACCGTCTCCAAAGTCGGTTGTGCAACAAGAATGAGCTCTGAGTACATTTGAAACCCAGGCAGGGATACAAGTGTTATAAGATGCCGAAGTGGTAACAGAGGAGGGTCGTGGTAAACGACAGATTTCTTCTCCAAGTATTTTTCGCAAGCATACCACAAGGTATCATACGCGTCACAAAGAGAAATACACTAATCACAGAGCTATAACCCCACACGAGAATAATGGGCACCCACCAGGGAAAACGCTGATAAGATGAGAAGATTCCGAACGGGTTGGATGACAGTAACGAGTGAACTGGACAAAAACTGGTGAGCATAACATTCAGAGAAATTCGCGGCCAGAAAAAGTCAGATATAGCGAAGTTAGCATCCAACATGCCCAAAGACATTCAGACTGACGTGCAAATAATGAAAAGAGTTCATCCTAAAAACAAATTTCACGGTATGAATACATACCACGAAATGGATGTTGATAAGTTATTCCAGACTCTAAAGGTAGAGGTGTGAGTTAAATAGTGCGAGTGCGCAGGGTATGAACCGTCAACGATACCGGGAATCAGAGGACAGCCTTGCAGGCAGTGTCGCCGACGGCGTAGAAGAGTGAAACACAAGGGCTGAGTCAGTTATAGTTCCCAGAGTGGGCGCTGTGAAAGAAAAGCCTGCTAAAGCAAAATCGACGGCGGTCAAACAAGCGGTGCACGCTTAGCGGTGGAGAGACCGGATGCAGTTAAGACGGGCGCTTCGCGTCCGAGCACTCGAGTCCTCACTGCAGCTCACTGCAGGCGCTCGTACACTTGCTTCCCGCTAATTCATTGTTACTTGTCGTCGCCAACGTCTACGCCACACATTTGTTCATGTATTCTCGTCAGTTATAAGATCGGAAGCCACCAGCTGCAGCACGCGCGACAGACGTGTCAAGAAATGTATCTGTCGGTGAAGCGGCGTGTCAGCCTCGGCGTCGAGGGGGTTATCCAGGACAGCCGCCAACTGCTCACTCACCATCTTTCAGCCAAGTACAGAACACGCTCTACGTACTTCGAAAGGGTCAGTCATGGCGATTTCAGCCTACATGGGCCGCCCAGGAGATACAGACGACATGACTGTACGATCTTTCAGCTCCTTCACCTTACTCGAGGCCGAAGATCTCCTCTACGATGAAGATGCCTTATTCTCTGTCTCGACGCCTACCCTGTCTGCCTTGGACAGCGCACTCTCCTTTAATGATGTCGTTCCTTTTCCCTCTGACCGCAAACCCCTCATATTCACGAATCTCACTACTGCTCCAATATTCGCGTCGGAACCGGCTCCCTTCGGGAGTTCATTAGAATACTCTGAGAGGGCTACTATCACCGTGCCGACAGGACCGCGCTTGAGGACCATGCTCTTGGAACCCATCTGCGTCAGCAAATGGGCGGTACGTGCGAGCTTTCACAGCACGCCTCGTGCTAACATTATGATCATATCAGGCTACTCTACGTGCCTACCCACCTCCGAACCATGTGCCATGGCAAGACAGTGATCTCAAGGAAGAGGTAGACTTCGTTCCCGCGCCCTGGATCGCCGAAGGGTCGATCTTGCCACGTGAAGCTTTGAAGGCCATGCTACGCAGCCGTCGTGGCCAGGTGTCCGTTTCACTGTCCATCACTGTGAACGACGAGCTAGTGCCTTCTTCGCCCGACTTCGGTGTCGAGTGTTCCGTTACTATGGGCATCTCAATGGCGGACTTGCAGAGCGACCCGGGCACAGACGGAGGCACGGTCGAGTCCTTCAAGTTACCAGTGCCCACAATCATGGTCTCCAATTCAACCGCGATTCTACCTCTTTCCTTGGAATCGTCGCAGAGTCTTGCGTACGACGTCCCTCTAGCTGTTCGCAGGGGAAAGAAGGTGCCCCCTCCCCTAACGCTGAGCACGGTCAACATCAGGAAACCCAAGCAAGAACTAGATGCGTATCCTGGCATACCATCGCCCTTCCTGGGCTCTCCTTCGTCTTCTAGTCCGACCTTTGAATTCTCTGTCAACCCCACTGCGTTCTCTATGGGTCTCGAGGCTATGTGCGCCGACCTAAGATCTCGCTGTCCGGACTTCAACTTGTCTCCACCCATCAACCCGGAACATTCGCAGGGCCGCTGGCGCACGGTGCTTTGCTCGCAGCCTTCCGTGACGACACCGACTACTGAAGATGACGAGTGGGCGTTCGCTAAGGACCTCTTAGATCAGTATATCTGCGATGCTCGCCTACCTAGCGGCAAAAACTCTCCCCAATCTGTGCTTCATATAAATGACACAGAACTCTCTGCCGAGGTCGACTCATTCTCCTGGGCTTCTTCGGCGACATTCGTTAACTCAGTTGGCTCGCCGGCACCGGAGGCAACGCCTGAAACCTCGAAGCAGCAGAGGCGCAAGACTGTGATCATCGAGACGCCGGATCACAGGCCACAGTTGCACCGAGCCGAAGACTCAGTGCAGGCCGACGAGTCGCTTCAGAGCGACGAACTCGATGAGCACGAGCCTGTTCCCTTCGAGAGCCCCTCCGACGCTATCTTCTCATGTTCACAGTGCCGGCACTCCACACCGCCGCAGTCCCGCCCTGCAAGCAGCACAACACTGCGCCCTGTCCGCGGGATCCTCAAGGAGAAAAAGACCGTCCGCTTCTCCGTCGTCCACAACCGCCACGAGCACTCGTCCGATCAGCACATCAACCCCGTCGCTACCGAGCCCGTCTCACCCATCTCACCAATCGCTTGGCGGTCTGTCCTGCGCCAGGGCTCTCCTCTTCGGCAGTCCTACTCTCCAGCTTCAGATACTGCAGCGGTGTCGCTGCCCGCAAAGGGGGCTCGCGCCGGGCTCCCGAAGCACCCTGTGGTGCGCGCAATTCCAAGAAGCGCATCCAGGCGCGGGACGTGCCCCAGCCCACAGACGCCGACGCCGGCACTGCTTGCGGATCAGCGGCGCGCACCGCTGCGCTCCATCAACATGCGGCAGAGTCTCCCCGCAAAGAGGAGCTCGCAGGCCGTGTCCGGAATGGCCTACCAGGGCGCGCGCCCTGGTGTCGCAAAGCAGGACATCGGAAAGCCCAAGAGGTTGTTGAAGACGGCGTCCACGCCCGTTCCTGCTGTTGCGAGGCAGGATGAGAATACCCCGCCTCGCCCGAGCCGCATGCCTGTGCCATTCCGCACCATATTGACGAGGTTCAGGCCGTAGGATACTTGGAAGGAAAGATATATAAGGCGCATGCGTACGTTCTACTAGTACAGGTGTCGTTGTTTCGTTACTCTACTACTAGGACGTATCCTTCGGGAATGTAGGATTCCAAACCACATGGGGAAAGAGTGTATTCACAGCCGATATTTCTCGGAGATATATGGACAATGTGAGACAAAAGTTGGGGTAGTAAGCTCCGCATAAAACCTTCAGAGACCGGTGGCTGAGGGGATGCCAACTGCGTAAGCACATCGTTTGCTTAGCAAGTATCGAAAAGAGACCAGTCTGCATGTAGGTACCCCTTCTACTTTGTGTTCCAGGCAATCCTGATAAAACAGATGTCACTACGCCAGCCAGGGGTGTCTGAATCACTGTGACGCGTAACTGAAGTATGCTACTCGGAAAGATGCCAATATCTTTATATCCGGCTCATCAGGGGTGTACCCTGCTAGCCACGGCGACCCGGATGAGCACTGGAGCAGTAATCTAGAGCTCCTATATATCTCTGACGAGAATTTGAAGCAGCAAGAAAGAACAAATTTGTTCACCATGGTCAAGAAATTCGAAGAGCGCGACTTCATCAAGTGCGGTTGCACACCTTCAGCACACTGGGTGGTCAGTATTTTAACTGCCACCTCGCGATCGTCCCAAATGTGCATGTCTGCCAAGAGGCGGGCGAGATTAGGATCGGGGACACACACCTCCAAGGGGGTACCCTATGGTATCGGTGTCCGGGGTCCATTTTCAGCCACTCTGGCGATTTTCGCTGTTTCTCGGCCAAATTTCCGCTCAACGAGCTTCCACCTCCACAACTTCTCCAGATTACTGTCTGAGTACGTGTATTTTGTAAGAAATAGGGTAGTCATGTGGTAGTTCGAGGCAGAACAATAAGGAAATGCAATGAGAGTTGAATACCAAGAGAGGACGTACTACAGTATCACGTGAACCTGTTCTCTGAGTGACATCCCATAGGCTAACATGTATATAAGCCAGACTGACAGTAGCATATGTGCAAATGCTTCACATGCAAATATCTCGCATGACTCTATCCCTTCGACTGTCCAGGATCACCCCCGAAAGCCAATACCATAGGTTACCCCCATGGAGGAAGGAGTCCCCAATCCTAATCTCGCCCACCTCTTGTATCTTCCGGATCTTAGTACATACCATGTCTCTGCCTCATTTTGTACGCTAGCTACGCCGTAATACATTGAGCGTGCAGTCTGGGTGTATCGTCTTCGCGCGAGACGCGTCTCGGGCACGTCGGTTGATCATGCAAATCTCACGCTGGACAAAAGTGGAAGGAAGGGTACCTTGCGCTAGACTAAAACGGGAAGGACTATGTACCCTACCCCCGGTTCCCGGGGTCCTTTCAGATTTTGAGGACGGTGTCGAAAATTATGATTTCGCCTGCCTCTTGATGTCTGCAGTCAGTTCTATTTACAACACCTCAATATGAGCTACGACCGAGCCACACCGTGGAGAATCTATCACGCACGATTTATAAGAAGGAATGTCTGTCTTCCGTAGTACTAGAGGCTGCCAGTGGAAGGGAGCCTACGCACAGTTGTGTATAAATGCAGTCGCCAACCTGAGCCGCGCAATGACTTCCTTGCGGATGTTGTGGAACAGGTATTCCTGAGAGCACAACTGAGGTGTTTGCAATCACAAGCAGGCTACGACCGTGCATTATCGCTGCTAGACGGCGAGTAGGTATTAAGGCAGCGCGAGGAAGCATGCGTATCGGGAAGTGAGAGTTGTAGAAAACTGTGACAGACGCAGACGAACCGTCCCGCGTGCGCGTTGCGTCTGCTGCAGTCTTCCCGCGAGGAGGAGCTCCACAGTATGTCGTGCACGATCTACCATCTCCGCTTGCGCATTGCGAGCAAGGACGTTGGTCATAGCGCCCGTCGCAGACAAGGTATCGGAACACGCGTCGACAGACTCACTGGAATATTATGTACTAATAATACCACGGCGCGAGCCACGCGATGGTGCAGTTCCGCATCATATTGACGAAATGCAGGTAGTAGAATATATACTAGGAAGGAAGAATGCGTAGGTGTTCCTACATACGTACTGTGTGTACTTGGTGTGTACAGATATCATCGTGTGGTGCCACGTTAGATCGTGAGGTATGAAATTCAAAGGACCATCCGCATGACTATCAAATTACTACTCAGCGACGCCAAAATATGCAATCGCACGACGAGCGCAAACTCATTCAGACCCGAGCACGAGCCTGATGGAGGACTGTCTGCTGATGTTCTGTAGGGCACGAGAACTGCGTCAGGACATGCGCAGAGATGCCACGACACGACTTACTCATCAGAGGGGAGGTGTTGCTCCACCTCTGCATCGCAACCAGGATGCGGTCAAACGAGGCAAGTAGGGATGCTTGATCAGGGCCAGGAACAGCAGGGCCAGGAACAGCGGATGGGGACGCCCGGTCCGATCCTCTACTCCTGACAATCCTTCGCGATATCACCTGAGCGACCATGGTCCACAGAACCTGTATCACAGGTCAGAAAGGCTGGGGAAGAAGAACCCAAGCTCCAGGACGCTCACAGGCATGATCGGTGTGATAAACTCTATCGCATCAGTATTCACCCCTTGCAGTGCTCTGATAGCAGCCTCGGCCGCAGTCAGAGTTATGTCACTCGAAGCGACTGATGCTTGGGCAGCGGGTGTGTGCAGCTGGATTGTGGCGCAATGGGCGAGAGTATGGACCATCAACAGATTACGAATAATGTCTGGCCGCGCCGAGTAAATGCCGTCCATCGCTGGCAACGTCGCTTTGAATCGCTCAATGCAGTTGTCGAGAAAGAGCAAGCTCGCCTGAATGCTGGTATTATCTCACCCCGACGAAAATGACGTCAACATTGGGCGGGAAGGCATGGAGAAGGCGAAGAGGATACGCACTTAACTCCCACTGAGAAGCCAGGCGCGCAGCCCTTTCAAACAGAAGCGAAGCTTTCGCCTGCGCTGCATGGATGCTCTGCTCCGAGCCCAAACGAGCGGGGATATTTTGCATGAAAGTCTGTACGGTACGCATGCTTTGAAAATTTGCAGGTAGCTATCCCGATAATCGCTATTTTGTCAGAGACGGCTCCCAATGACTTTGAAGTAACTCACAGCCGCGTAGTTCGTCATTGGCCACGGGGTGTCGATCTGTGTGCCCGTAGATCCATCGTCTGCAAACCCTGAGGGCACACCCAGAGCAACAGACCAGCATTTGTCAAGAACAAAGACTGCCCAGAAAGCGTTGATCCTTTCACCCTCCTCGACTTTGTCCGATGGAGGAAGAAGATTGGCCTGTCCGAGGGCGACCGATGCGGTTATTGTGTTCTGTGGACTCCTTATCAAGTGCAATTTCCAAGCCAAGACCATGGCAATCGCTGCATTTGAGTGGTAAGCACCCTCTAGGCCACGATTATGATCAAAGAAATAGTAGGAAAGGAGAATTTCGGCTTGGAGCACATATGACATGGTCAAAGATCGTGCATTAGAGACAGCGGAGGGAAGTTGCTGCAGTGTATACGAGAGCAGGCGTAGTCGGAACGGTTCTAGATGAGCATCGCGGCGAAAGTCGAGGCCTAAAAGGTAGATGGCGTTTAGCAACACGGAGGGGATGCGAGGATGAGCCCTCTCTCGACTAGCAGGTCCAGAGTTTATTAAATTGAGTAGTCGCTGAATATTCAGGAAAAAGCCAACTTGTGAAGCGTGCTCCAGAAAGGAGTTTAACCTTGCATCGAGCATCAGGATCATGAGCTGAGAGGTATGCTTTTGTAACTTACACAACTTCCGTCATATTTGCCGGAAGTTCAAGAGAGAAATCCACTATTAATTGATTGGGACTGAGAGGCGTCTGAGTCGGTACGGATCCAGATTCTCCCTGTTCATAGGGATTACGCAGTGTGATCACAAAACTACGGTTCTGGAGTTCCGCAATGCAACTTTCCAGGCGGACTACTTCCTGCTCCAGTAGCTGAGTCGCCGTAAGTCCAGCACCGAATGTGTATTCACATTCGTCTATCTTGTTGGCACGCATGCATTGTCCACACGCAGGTTGGCCCCCATCACAGCGCTAAGGATTGCATTGAGTAATTTCTAAAACGAACGAGCAATGGAAGTACCACTTTTCTCCGGCTGCAGGCATAGTTCATTATGAAATAATGTGTAGCAGACAGCTGAATCCACGTACCGACATCTCAAGCAGGCTCTACCTCGCTCTAGAGACCCTGAGGAAGATGGAGCAGACATTGAGGACGGGCTAGAGTAAAATACTACGCGCCACTGTGTCAGGAGAATGGGCTACTGTGCCATACAGTGAAGAGCTAATATACACAACGTCGACCAGGCTGTGTATATGCTACATGGCCTTGTCAAAGTATAGCTGGCCGACGGGGATGGTGGTGTCAATCTTCGTTCCCGAGTCCGGAGGTTTGTGAACTCCTGCGTATGACAGGGAATGTGAGACTCATAGGACGGCATTTTTTACCCTCCTGCGTGGGGCGGCAACAGTCTGGAGTCGGTCAAAGTTAAAACACGGACAAGCCAGGAGCGACAAGCCGGCGATATGTAAGCGTTGTGGTAATTATTAGGGACAAAGTCGCCGTAGAAGTCGGCTACTGGCACCAAAAAACAGTCTGAACTCGGGCTTCGAGTCGGACGCGGAAGGGAATTACGCGTCATGGTCAATGCTTTCGACGTCGAGTAGAGCTTCCGTGCCCGATGCCAGTCCGATGCCCGACACGCAAACACCCTCACGTGATCCGGTTCACGGCTACAGGCAGCTCGCCGTCCGGTGCCAAACATCTTCGAAAACATCGTACGTCCTCGCGCAGTCTTGCATTCGTGGAATCGTGTTACCTCTGTGCACTCCACCATACTAAGCAGAGTTACGCCGTTCATATTTGCTTGTCCTCTTAAAGTCCTCAAGCCTAACGCGTCTAATAGAGTTCGAGAAGCACAACCCGACTTTCTCGGAAATTTGAGTGCTCAATGGGCCAGAGTGTTTATGTTCAGTGACTGTCGTAGGGGCATCACATCCGTATGTGGCCTGACTCCTCCGTCAGGCTCAAATTTGGAAAACGGTGCGCTGAAATGCTTGATTCTTGGGCGATCTTGAGGTGCACCTGCCTTAATTTAATACTACACGAATGTCCATCCAAGTCCTTTCCAATGACAATGACTGCCTACATACAGGCAGTCTGCAACTCGAACCTATTATCGAAAACCGAGGTCAAAGTCTCAAAGCCTGGCCCACCATTTCGAACGCATCGGCTTGCGGTCTTCTTTCTTATGCGTAAGGAACGTCGGGAAGTTCACGACGTGTTATGACTCGCAGACGAATCGCATAAAGACGCATAGTACCAAGTGAGTAGAAAATATCGTATTCGCCGCTTTGTACAAGTTTAAGAACCTGGTTCAATGCGGCGCTATCTTCTCCGGGTCTTCTTCTGCCTCACGGCTCGCCGCCTCACCTCTATTTCTTAGGCTTATTTTCACCCTCAGTCAGTATCGAGCTTGCATCACGCAGTTTTGCTTGCCATTCCCAGGCTATTCACGAGGACCTGGCTGTTCCGTATGATACTTGTTCTGTCGACGCGACGAGACGCAGGCGCGTCTCTGAAATGACTCCAAACCCAATGATATGTTAGCGCAGCCTGGATTTTTGTCATCATCGGTTCCGAGCCACGGTTGACTTCCACCCGGGAGACTATGGTCGGGCAATTAAGTCCATCCTCCTGCAACACACACGCATCGCTACGTGGAGGCACCCTTACTTCTGGTCGAGTCCCACACATTTAGATCTGGTATTCTTTCTCGTTTTGTCAGTTCGCAGATCCACCTTCAGTCTTGTAAGGTCGGGATCTACTTATCACTGGAGCTCAAAGCATGCGCGCAGAGCAGTCATGCCCTGAATCCCCCTGTCTTCAACTCGGAGCGATCGGGGACACCACGTTGATGGAATTGGTTGTCGAGGTAGGCCTGTCACCCCGATACCGATGTGAGCAATTTCGGCACCAAAATGAGGGACCATGATATCGATAGGTACAGTGCCCCATGTGTCTGCCAAGTACCTCGTGCGTCATCATACTCTCAGCTGCACGAATTGGGATCACAGTTTGCGTCGTGGATAGTGTGACAAGTCGTCTGTCCCGCCATCAGATGGCGGCGCGCTCGGCGCCTCGCAACGTGGAATATCAGCAGGCAGCGGATGGGCGGTTGCTACTGTGGCGCTCTATCATACAAACTTTATGTTGGCACAATTGGGGTTTACTGCTCGCATTGTGCTTTGTGATGGACCTCCCTGCCACAAGGCGCGCTCTACCGCCGTGTCGAACAACGTGCAAAGGCTCCGAGTGATTGATCAATGCATCGGCGTCCATGCCACTCATTCACGAGCTGATCGGATGCACAGGTTCTTGGGTCTTGGGTCAAGACTTTCTTGTCCTGCTGATATTTTGCAACATGCAGGTTTACCGTCGTATCTTTGTATTGGTGCCAAGTTTGTAGATCGTGCCAGGGATGCAGAGCCGATGTAGAAAGCTACCAGTCCGTCGGTTCCGAGGACACGATAACCGCTCTATGGTAAAGTTGTGTGTGTTGATTGTGCAATGAACGTATCAACATGTTACAGCATGTCTCTGTAGGTCTTCACTGTGAAGGTTTGCGACCATTCATCATTCAGGAGAGCTGTTCTAGTAACACTCACATGTCCGCAAGTATGCTTATATTCCCATATTGTCTAGGATCATACTGATCTAGACGTCTCTTCAGAGTTCCGAGCAGTTCTTCAGTCACCATGGTGATACGGACCGTTATCAAATGCACTCAGTTGATGGAAGTGGTCCATTGCAATATACCGTTCGTCAATTTCCATATTCTCGTCATCGAACGTGCAAATGAACCACAACATGCACATAAATTATTTTAGACGTGCCGAAGCGTCAGCGTCATTGTTTAACGGAAAATTTTCAGTTCTCGTATGTTTTACACTTCGCGGGTCCCGTTATTTTATAGTTTCTTCTGCATCTTTGTATTTAGCCGCTTCAACGAACGCGCACCGGTCTTCTGCACCAACAATGCCACTTCGAGAAGTCACAATGCGCGGAGGAGGGAATGGCCCGAAGTGACTGGCACATGCATCCCCCCACCTCCCCCAATTGTTACTACGGCGCTGCCTCTTCCCCAGATGCTGCTTGCCAGGCGCGCCGCTATGCGTGAAAACGAGTTTGCCAGGTGCGCCGTCGTATGTTCCGACATCGGATGCTGAGCCTCCTCTAGTGTTGTTAGTGAATTCCATGCGGTATCGGCGTCTGGACGGATGGATCGCATGACGGCACGGCGTTTCGTACAGGTCATCTTGGCGTAGTCTGAGGTACAATGAGACCGACCGTATGTTTTCTGTCCCGGAGATCCAGAGATGTCGAAGGCACGGTCTGGCGTCCGGCATTTGTCTTCCCGTTGCAGAGAAAATCAAGAACTGCTTACTATCAATAGGCAGGTCTGAACGTCTAGATGTGCCGCAGATAAGTCGTCTGAGGCTTGGAAGGCGACAGAATGTCATACCCTGGTCTCGACGGCGTCAACTTGGACATCTCCGCATTGACTTATGAGGATACTTCGGGAGCCTCGTTGAAACACATGCATCTAACAGGGAGGGATAGAATCTTGGAAAGCTGTGTCAACTATACGTCTGCGCTCATGTCCATCTGCATGCTACACCTTACATCCGAATAATTCCACGCGGCCACAGGTATTTCAAGAGTTTCGTCTGTTATACTCTTGTCCCACTCTGGGAGTAATTGGAAAAAGTTATCCGTCCCAAGAGATCTTTGTGCGCCAACCCTATTGTCACGAGAATTACGATCACACGAGCTGTGGCAGCTGCCGCAAACGTTCGCTACACGCGTTCTTCTGCAAAACCTTTGACCAATTCTGATCTCCCTGGCACAATCGAGCACGTTCGCCGCCGGTTCCCCAAGCTCAATTTTTTCTCGTCTTCGCAGATTTCAAGCCAAGTTTTCGGCGACCTCAGAGATCGCACAAGCTACCGGATCCCGACGAAAATGAATTTCTCGAAAATGAAAACTCGATCGTATTCCAGTCGGGCCAGGTGATCCGCCACATTTCCGAGCCTGGTCCGCTTGCGGATAGCTGGCTTTCCCCTTCTCTTCTCTGCAGACTAACCAAACTTGCCCAACGAGCCCCGACTAACGGCCCATCGGCAGCCCGACGATCCAGCAACGTCGATCTCTCGCGGGCTGGGGGTTCTCGGGTTTGCTTCAGGGAGGCACTTCGTTACTCTCTTTGGACGGTAGAATAAGCGCCCGCAGAATTCAGCCTCCACTTCCTTGAATGATTATCTGAAAACGTGTGGGGTGAGTGCGATCTTTTCAGTCATGCATGAGTAATGGGATCGCCGAACACTCGTCTCTAACATACATTTTGAGCTCCTTCAAGGGGTGGCGCTTCGCCTGTTGGATGGCGCAATCAAAACATTTCCTGCGCGCATCTTCCCTCCACTTTGTCTCTTATCTGCGTCCTGGGCTCGGTGTACTTTTCGCTCTGGGTCGACGGTCGTTGCTATGCGGCTATCTGTACGTTGCCATCCGACTGTACGCCTGACTCGCCTGCCGCAATCTAATCAATCTCTGCTCGACCCAATTTGCTTTCCTGGTCCCGACCTACCTCATACCGCCAAGCGCAAAATAAGCGGTACGCACTGCATCGTACGTATGAAAACGGAGGAAAGGGGGGGGGGGGGGGGGGGGGGGGGAAGGTACGGCAGCTAGGGCGCAGTTCCTATTCACTATCTGTATCGACTCGGTGATTGCAGCCGCAGCTTCTAGCAGCGGGACACCCGCCATAGACTCCCAAATTGCGCTGTTAGGATCGTCCCGCCGCCCAGTGTCCAGGATCCCATGGATGACGGCGTCGCCCGCGCAGTCACGCGCGGCATCCAAATACACGTCGTCCAGCCTCGTAATGACACGCATGTCCGAAGCGAACTCCACAGCGCGCCTGCAGCTGTTTCTGCCCCGCGCGTGGCGCATCGCGTGCCTGCGTCGAACGCCGGGGTGCTGCCTGCGCGAAGGGAGGGGGGCTGTCAGCAGGCGGTGCCGGCGCCGGGGTCGCTCTGGGTGCGGTCTGTCTCCGATGCGAGAGCGAAGAACGGGGCTGACAAGCCGAGCGCATGTGTATCTATAACATAAAGATAAGTGTCTTCGTCCCCCTTCACACGATACGGTTTGTGGGCATGTGTGGGTCCGCACGCCTTCTGGAGAACGGGTTTCTGCGGGGAGCCTCGTGAATCGCCGGTGCGAGGCCCGACGGAAGCCAGCAGCGTTCGCGGGTAAAAATATGTCGATGCGCTTCTCCATCGCGAACGCCTGATGTTGTATGTACACGTACAGATGAATGCGAAATTCGGCGGTGGCCTGGAGACATCGGGAGCTGGAACGAGCGAGTCCAGTCCAAGGTGAAAATCCAAGGCGCGAGTCTTCCGTGATACGAGACATGTGCGAACGGCAGGGGGATCTGCAACTTCTCCCGGGACAAAGCACAAAGTACACGCGGAGGACTTCTGCGGAGGACCACATGACATGACGTGGGATATAAATTCAGCGTCGTGCCACATCGCGAAGGAGAAGGCTTCTTCCCATGCATCGTGCTCGACGCTCTTCTGCAGGCCGATGCCGGTGCAACCATTTTGGTACGGAAATCGAACGCAGCACCGAACCATAAATATATCCGTGCGATGCACGGATATCTGCAGTTGGGTGCTGTGCGCAACCATACTGCGGTTTATCTTGCACAATTGCAACGGAAGCCTGCGCTGGGGACGGAGAGAGTATACGACATGGCTTGTCTCACTCACCAGGACAAAGAACTCGCCCCGCCATCGATTGTCCGTTCCGCACGTCCGGGCACGCTGTGGAAAGACGAGAAGAGTAGTACTCAGCATGATTGTTTTATCACTCGCCCGTGTATCAGAAGTAGAAGAAAACAAAGTATCATATGCACCTCCTCGTTCCCTTCACCCTTCCACTCTTCTTCCAGCACTGTCTTCTCTGGCGCACGGATCCTCCCAGACGGTCGTGTGCCCGGGCCTAGGACTGCATTGACGATATCGACGCATCGGATGATGGGGTCTGGCATCATGATGCAACGCAGGCGCTGCCTGACAGGCCTCTGCCTACGCAACATAGTACGGGATGATGGATCCACGCCTATCACATCGAATCGAGCTCGCACCTCGACGAGCCCCGGGGCAGCACCGCATACGCATCTGGCGCGAACGTCAAGGAGGGACGATCGCAATCTGCTGATCGTGGAGGCGTAGTACTTACAATCCCTTCATACATCATCGTTCCTCGTAGACAGCTGCAAGCAGGATCGAATCTGATGAGCGTACGTGTTGTGCTGCCGATCCAGCAACTCGTGCGGTAGTCCCGAAACCTGCTTGCTGGCTGTCATGTACGCTGGCCGCGTCAGGTACTGCAAACGGTACGTCTCGTCGAGTCGCGTCGCGTCCACACGTCAATCTGATGTCAAGACTCGCACTGATCCTGAGAGAGGGAGAGAACGTTCGATTCGAAGCGTGCGTCAGTCACACCGTCGAATCAGCAGGGACAGGATCGGAGCCATTCAGAATCGTCAGATGGGGCTCTCCGGAGTCCGGACGGGAGTGAGATTCGGACTGGATTGAGTGACGGCACGCTCACGCTCGGTCGCCATCGCGACTTTACGCTGACAGAACTGCTTATCTGATAACCACCACCTCTGATCCCAGTACTGCGCAGCTTCCGTCGTGGATGGACCTCTCACCGTCGTTACCCATGACGACCTTCAAACTTCCCGACAGTGCTCGACGCCACAAAAAAACCTGTGTCTCGCGGGTGAAACTGGCCGGTCTGAAGGTGCGTGCGTGGACGCGCTGGTCGCGACATGTCGACGTCGCGGAGAGCGTCTCATCATTGTCATATCATATGTGTCCGACAGGTTTGCCGCGAGGCCTGACGACCGTCTGGGCGACGCGCTCGTCGACGCCGACGGTCATGGGAGAAGCACGGCGTGGGCGGAAGCGCGTCAGTCAGTCAGCGGAGTCGGACCTGCAACTTGTCCAAGGGGCCCCTTCGAGCCTATTAAATTTCGAATCGCCGCATCGTCACTTCATCCAACTCAATCCCATCAGAGGATCCCAGGTGTGTGTGCCTGCCAATTGACACGCTTTTCTTCCGCTCAACCTTCCACCTCTCGCCGCCTTCCAGATCCCAACCTTCCATATTCCGACCTTCCAGATTGCAATTTCCAGAACTCACAGGAAGCGCGCAGAGTACATGCTCCTTCGCTGCCACGCCCGTGCCAGCACGCAGGCGCTCAAGGCTTCGCAAAACTATAGGCCCCAGCAAAAAATCAGGCCATAGGTCGGACATCAAACAAGCAGGTTTCGAAAACCCATGCCGGCCTCGCCTCCAAGGACTGCGCCTCTCCGAACACTCCGAGAGTGAGAGCTCGCCAATCAGTAGTCGTTATTTTATTTTCCGGTCCAACGCGGTTTTTCATCAGGGGCCTACAGTTTTGCAAACGACTGTCATATCATAAGCCAAGCGCACGAGCCTCCTCACGCACGATTCGAACTCCTCCTGATCTCCCGCTGCCCGCCCGCGGGCTCACATGGCCCTCGTCGTCGCCGCAGCCAGCCCGGCTTCGACTTCTGCGGATCGCAGCTGATGGTGCCCAGCGCTTGCTGCTCCTGCCGTAACGCGAGGATAGCGATCATCGTCTCGTCCGCAGGCGCCTCATCGCACGCCGTGCAGTGCACATATACGCGCGCGCCAGGCTGTATGCTGGGCCCTCACGTCCTGCGTCGAGCCTGCGCACTCGGCGCGCACCGCGCCAGTTGAAGGCTGGGCGTGTGTGCCAAGGGCGCGTGCTGGCCTGCACCTGTGCACAGAGCAGCCCCGGCAGCACACCGCAGGCGTTTGCTTATCGTCGCAGAATATAACTGGACGTGGGCCAACTGTCTCTGTGGGTCGCCTCTGAATGATACGGCGTGTCTGCCCCCGGTGTGGTGCTCCGCCCAAGTGCCGTGCGTGTTTGTGTTTCACCTCTCTCTGGGACAATTTTCCTCATTTCGAGTGTCGCAGCTGGTGGCATTTCGTATTGCCAAGGGGGATGTCGGCGTCGACTGCGACACAAGCAGGTACAGAACTCACAAGCCGCCGCGGTATGTTTTCCGTCCGTGACAATTGCAAATATTATCCATTATCTGCCTCATCGCACATCACCGGCACCGCCGGAAACGCATCGGTGCCCGGCCCTCTCCGTCCGCCTTCCGTGACGGGCGATCGGGCGGGCAGCGGTCTGCGTGCGGGAGAGCGTTCTGGCGGCACCGCGGGACCGAGGATCGAACGATTGCATCTCGTTTATCGCCACGTGGTGGGCCGTGTTGACGCACGTCCTCGCGCCGGTGTCACGCCGGGCGGGCGACCGGCCAAAGTTCGTTCCTTACGCTGCTGCCATCCAACGTGCAGAGGTGGAGCACATTGTGATAAAATATGGAGCGCCGGCAACGGATGGGAAGAAGGGAAGAGGGGGGAGGGAAGCCGTTCAGAGGAAGCGTGCATGGTCGCTGAGTGGTCGTGGGTGTGGAAATTGGGGGGATGCTGCGGTATCTGTGGCGGGTGGAGATTGGGCGGCAGCAAGAGGGGGATCTGCGATGGACGTCGGTGCTGAGAACGCGAAGCGAGTGGGCGGGTGACGACACGACACACGGCGCGAGAGATGATCATGACGCGACGCGCCAGGCTTACGGCAGAGGGCGCGTCGCGGTACTTACTGGTTGGTACCTACGACCAGCGAGCAAGCGGGAGAGAGTTCAGAGCGACACGGGGTCGGGTTCGGGGATAGTGAGGACGATACGGCGGGAGATGAAGAGACCGAAAGGTCATGGGTCTTTGTGGACGTAATTAGTAGTCATGGACACTGAGTCAGGAGTTGGTCGTCGGGCGTCGAGAGGAACTCTGGAGAGGATAAATGGGAGACAAAGGATGGAATATTATTCCAGTAAGGTTGAATTGCAGAGAGGTGGCACGCCGGGAAGGGGAAGGAACAGGTGGCAGGAACGCGGAGACAACTCGGGAAAGTGTCGATGGCGGGGCGGCGGGAAGAGGAAGGATATGATGGCGAGGTGAAACGATTGGAAAAAGCGTGGAGAAGAGGGAGAAGGCGGTGGGATATTCGCGGAGAGTCCGAGGGGAGCGGGTGATGATGGGCTGGTGGGAGCGGGATGGGCGAGCGGATAAGGAAATATTGCAATTATGAAGGAGCCAGAGGAGGGGGAACGGGGTGGGGAGGGGAGCGAATGGGAGCGTGGGAAGGGCGGTGTTCTTGGAAGCGTTCTGGAAGAGATCGCAGATCTGGCGGAGGGTGAATTTGAGATCCGGCATCTGAGTGAGCGAAGGACCCTGAGTTGGGGATGAGCGTGCGGCGAGAGAAGTCGCTTCTATAAGTCGCTGCCCTCGCCCAAGCATCCTCGCAGCGTCCTTCATGCTGCAGTCGCGCCTCGCCAACGCCCCGCCCCTCCCGCGCCAGCCCTTCGACTTCGGCCGCTCCCGCCCGAACATCCTAGACGACATCTCCCTCCTAGTCTCCTCGGTCGTCGCCCAGGACAAGCACCACGTCCGGGGCCAGTCTCCCGCCCCCGGCCAGTCTCCCGAGCCCCCGTCCCCGCCCTCTTCAGACTCCCCCGACTACCACTATGTTCCCAGCCCCAGCCCCGACACCATGTACTCCGACCGCTACCCCGACGCGTCCGCTGCCCAGCTCCCGAACCTGTCCTACTCTCTCCAGCACCCCCAGTCCCATTCGCGCCGCTCCCCCGCGGCTGCCCTCGCCGAGAATGTCGACCCGTCCTCCGCAGATATGTCGGAGCCAGAGCCCGCTCCGTACTCCGCCTCTCCGCTCTCGTCCCCCGAGATGCAGCACCACCGCCCAAACAATTTTTCCTTCCCCGCCCCCATGAGCGCGCCCCACTCTCAGCAACTATTCAGCTTTTCCACGTCCGCCTCCGTGTCAGCCGCTGGCCCGCCGTCCTCGCTCGAATATTCGACCCTCGACCGCCGCATGTCAGAGCCCGTCCTGGGTGGGGCCCGCCAGAGCTTTCCCGCCGTCTCTACCAACAGCGGCGGCCCAAGCCCGTTCACCTACGACCCCTCCTCCTCGGCGGGAACTACCATCCTCCCGTCCCCGGTTTCCCCGCGCCCCTCCTCTGCTTCGTTTTCCTCGTACTCCTCCTACGGTCACCCCCGCCAGTCCAGCGGCGACTTCTCTGCGTCTGCACCCAGTGGATGGTCCCTCAAGCACAGCGCGAGCACCGGCGACCTTGGCCAAGACGCCACCGCGCCACCCGTTTCTCCTGTGTACGCCGGCAGCGTGAGTGGCTCAGATGTTTCCGGGACCGGGGTGCCCTCGCCGCCCCGCGGTTCTCCAAGGAAGATTCCCCAAGGTGCGCCGGTCAGATCGGGCTCCGCTGCAAGCGGCCGCACGGGGAATAGTAAGACATATTCCTTTGTTGCGCTTCCAGGGAACGCAGTCAAGAAGCGGCCGCGCAGGCGGTACGACGAGATCGAGAGGTTGTACCAATGCAGGTGCGTTCCATGTCTGGTGTCTCGCGGACCATGTACTCAATCTCGCGTGCGTTCAGCTGGCCGAATTGCACAAAGGCGTACGGCACGCTCAATCACCTCAACGCGCACGTAACCATGCAGAAGCACGGCCCAAAGCGCAGTCCGGGCGGTACGTCTTTTAACTCGCACGATTGAACCTTATTTTTGATGGCTTTTCCACCGTGCAGAATTCAAGGAGCTCCGCAAACAGTGGCGCCAGCAGAAGAAGGAGGCTGACGATCAGGAACGCGAGCGTGAAGCACACGCACACGCCCTCAGGGCCATGCGCGATCCGTTCACGCACACGCACCTGCACGCGCAAGAGCTCGACCACCACACATTGACCTCGCGCCACGCGCGCCGGCGGCTCAGCCTCGACCCGTACCCGGACCCGCACAACTTGCAGTACCTCAGCGGCTTCCAGAGCCCGACCAGCCCGTACGCGTTCCCAGGCGTCGCGGTGCAGAGCGCGGGCTATCCGCCACTCCGGAGCCCCGTCGACGAAGTACAGTTCGTCCACCCCTCTGCGCACCACCCGCACGCGCACCACATTCAGAGCGACGACGAACTCCAGGGGATCGCACAGTACTACTCGTCCCAGCAGCAACGCACCCACCACGCGCACGGGGACATGTCCTGGCCAGGCCCACTGGCGCACCACCAGCAGAGCGAGCTGCGGCACGCGCAGGGGATGCCCATGGTGAGCTTGACAGGCGCGACGCGCCCGCTCCACCCGTATTATTCGCCGGCGCACCAGCACCAGCAGCAACAGCAACAGCAACAGATGAGCCTCAGCGCGCTCGCCGCCACGCCCAGCGCGTCCTTCTCCAGCCTCGGTTCTGCGCACGGACACAACGGCTCGAACGGGCACAACGGCGGTGGGGGCGCGAGTGGCGGGAACGGGTACGCGCTAGGCTCGAACCGCCTCCCGCCCGACAGCACCCTCCTCACACCGTTGCCGGGATACGACCCCGAGTCGGAGCTGATGATGGACCAGCGGTATGCCGCTGGTTCGAATGCGGGTGCTGTGCAGGGACAGAGTGCGGAGGGCATGTACCGACGGGAGTACGACTAGGGCACTTCGTGAGTCTCGCTGAGTCCTCCTTGCTCTTGTTCCCCCGCGTGCCCTGAGCACGTCCCGCTTCGCATTCCGCATCTCATATTCATCGATACCTTCTGGGCTTGATCTCGGTGGCTGTCTGCCTACCCTAGTTTCATGCTTCTCAATCCCGATGTATTGGATCTCGTTTCCGCGGACGTCTCGCAACTTCGCATTCTACCGCCGGATGCATCCTGCCTCGTATCTTATTATCATCGTATTCCCTTTCGTCTCCCGTCTTTTTATCCCTTGCAACGGGGCACCGCTCCGCCACATCCCGCACTGCCCCCTTATCTGCCGCCGCCGCCGTTATTTGCCCGCATCGTGCCGCCTCCTCACCTTAGCGCCACTCTGACTGTCATCCAACTCATTCAAACTTCAACCTTCGTGCACATACTTATCTTATCCGTTACAAGCCTACACCTTCAGTTACTGTACATACTCCGTTGGATAGCCCCCGCCTGGACCCCGTACTGTACGCTGTACAGTATCCTTATCTCCTCCCGCCTTTGCTGTACATGTACACTAATACCGGTATAGTACTGGGCCCCGCCCTTCCTTCCCGTTTTCGTTCTGTCGTTTGTCGCCGCTTGCCTGCGGATAACCCGCGGGTGCGGCGCGCGGCGTGTTTAGTTCCCTCAGAGTGCTATCTCGTATGGTATACGTAGGATCGTGTATAGTCGTCTAGTCGTGGCTTCGCCCGGACGGAGCGCGTGCTGTAGATAGTACTTGTATTCGTATATTCGTATGCGTACGCGTGTGTCAACAATTACGAAGTAGAGTTGTGCTCTTCTGCGTCGTGGCGTGAGCCGGTTCCCCGATGCGAATTCGAAACGCAGACGTCATTCGTATATGTTTCGACGGGATTGCGTCCGCCGGATCTGATCTGTGCGGACGCGATACGCGTCGCGTCATGCCCCTGTCTTTCTAATAGGAGCTGGACGCAAAGAAGAAGAAAGTGTCTAAGCTACTTTTCGCGCCGAATAGCTTTGCGAAGTATCTCCGCGTGTGCTCTGTGCGTGCGTTCTCTGACATATTTTTAGAGATTATCATTGAGGCGTATATCACGGATAAGTAGTTGCTATGCACTTGGACGTACGCGCTGGCACCACTCTATCACAACGAGGACACAGCAATACGCGCTGCGCGGACGTGCAGAAGGGATGCGCGTACACCGGGCCCGAGCAGAGAGCCTCCTGGTCATTCCGCGCGGCAGCGTTTGGTTGGCAGCTGGCCAAACAGACACTCAGTAAGACAGAGAGTTCGCGCGTCTCACGCGGGAGAACCGTTCTCCCACGGGCCGCGGGACCGTGCCACCACGCCGGGTGGGCATGGCCCAGACGAGGACTGTGAAAGGAAGCGCGAACGGTGGCGCGGCGTCGCGAGGCAGCACTGAGCAGAACGTCCAGCAGAGTTTGCTCGCCCACTGAATTTGCCTTCTCGCCTTCTCTGCTCTTCTCTTCTCCTGACCTGAGATTCGCTCGGTGGCAGTTGTGAGGGCCCGCTCGCCGGGGCCGCCCGCGCCATTTCGGGGCCGTGGTGTGGTGCAGTGGACTACAATAGGGTGGGAGCTGCCGGGCTTCGACGACGACGCGTGTGCGAGGGGGAGAGCTGGCAGCGTGTTGCGCATGCGCTGTGCGCTTCTCCTGCGGTGTGCTCCATGCCACGCGCGGGAAGGGTGTTCTGAGAAAGCCTGGAGGATGCATGCGGAGCAAGGCGAAGGCGAAGGCAAAGGCGATGGAGAAGGAGAAGGAGAAAGAGAAGGGCGGGTGGGATAGGGAGATGTGTTTTGCCATGCTAGGCACTCGGCGCAGCGCGTCGTCGCCCGAGACACACGGGTGGTCGCTGGCAGTGGTGGGAGCAGCGAGAGCAGTGTCACGGACGGGGCGCGGTGGCTGCGGGCGTGGGGGCGCTCCTCGGATGCCTCGTCCATGTTGCTGTCGCTTCAGGGTGCGTTGTGGGACGCGTTGTGTATTTTAGGGCGCCACACGGACGCTGTTGGCTCGATGGTGACACTTTGTGTCCGAGCACACCTGGCATCTTCCATGTGGACCGCGTGTGCTTCGCTCCGGCAGGCGCACCGACATCTCGGCCGGAAGCTGCTGCGTAAAGTGGGTGGGGAGGAGAACGGTGGCACCTTGGAGGAACGTGCGACGCGAAGTTGAAATATTGAATGCAACCCGGGTGCAAATTTGTCGCGTTGCACTTGGAACATTACGCTAGCCACGGAACAATATGTCAAAAAATGCATTGCAGGTGGGTTCACGCACCATCCATCAGTTCTGTCTGTCTGGTGAGAGTGGTGTCAGTCAGAGAGTGTCTGCTTGCTAGTACGACCTTCTGTAGATCACTACGACGACTATGACGCAAGTGGGGAAAACGTGGATTTACCTTTGGGTGCAGCTAGCAGGACGCTAGGGAGACTACTTTTCGCACTACTGCGCCGGGAAGGCCCATCCAGAGAAGCTCGTTCGCAGTATCACGGCACGCGAGCGTAGAGAGATTAGGAGCATCTGCTCCGATATCGGGGTGAACGTGGGGAGATGTCGGGTTGTGTCGTGATGGACGAGATGATCAGTGAGTCGGCAGCTCGAGACGACGTGATCAGCGCATCTGTGTTCTGCGTATCCTGCATGCGCGTGGCCAATCGTGAAAGGGCAGGAAAGGGCCCACAGTATTAAGTATGCATCATGTTTCATCGAAGCGCAGAAGGTCTGTCAAAAATTCCTTATCAATGCCACGTCCAGGTCATGCGGATGAGCGTTCCGGAGGTGGCAGAGCTTTCTTCGCCATTTGTCTGACATGCGGGTTTTCTGTGGACGGTTGAATGGCAGACGTGTACCTGTTATATATCCGCCATGTCGGATCTTGTCTGGAAAAACCCCAACGTGAGTACACAGTCTACCTTGAAAGTGAGAAGACCAAGGTGAGTTGGCAATCTCATGCAGGTGATTTGATGACACGGGAATGCAAGGCTGACATTCGCAAGGTTGGAAGTTGGTTGGAAGAGAGTTGCTGAGGCCTGAGGAGGGAAGGACCATCGAAGCGTCAACTTAACTGTGAGAATTCTTTCCTATTGTCTTCATGTATTACGAAGTCTTCGTCTTCTGTTCGAGCTTGGAAGTCGCTGTCAGCTTCAAGTACACATCCCGTATCCTGCGCCGAATCTCCAAATGCCTCCGACCGCGTCCGCGTGAACACTGCCGCCGTGTTTGTATACATCTGTGGGTGCTGTAACTTCCTTCCACCGTGCTATCACCGCCTGAGCATTCCCTGCTGACAGCTGATATTGCAACGGTTCAGTACCCGACCGATGTCCCGCCTCATAGGTTCGGTTTCTCTATTTCAGTTTTGGTGGCGGGCGCAGCTGATACACACTCCTCACTTCGGGGACTTCTTTGCCTCAGCGACTGCCCATTACCATTACCTCTGATATGCGGATATACCCTCCAGAGTAGTCTTATCGTCCTGGTGTCAATGAGTGGCGAAGTTTGCTAACTGATAATTATCCGCAGGCTCCTTGGACTTCACTTCGGGAAGATCGAGCACTCGGGAGATCGGAGAAATCTCACAGGGACTCCCGCTGCGGATGGCCCGTTATACAGTATGCTCGGATGCGAAGGGGCCGTTTTCTAGAAATTCTACGACTTTGTAAAGTGCGTCTTCCATGCCTACACTTGCTTGTAACGCTGGGTATACTAAGCATTAGTCACTCCTTCCATCAACGGGCCTCATCGACGCCGCCTCGTGCTTGCCACCTTGTCATTTTCCGAGGGACTGCTGCGCAGTGCAGCGCGGATCTGTACCGTTCTTCTGGCTTGTGGCCTCGGGAGATTTCGGTGTTTGCGCCATTACTATTCTTGCTTGACGAACCAAGAATGCAGCGATTTGGGTTTGTTTCCTTCGCGGCATGGACTCCGCGTGGTTTCCACGACTTCGATCATAAAGTGACCAGAGTGTTTTTTCCAGGCAGTCGAGGCAGCACTGGATGGTCTGAGATTTAAGTGTCTTCCTAGCCACCAGCGAGCTACAGCGGACTCACCGTCTGATTGGAAGCACTATCTTTCAAATCCTCCGTGCTGATGACAGTCGTCACCAAGTATTCAACCTGACATTGCACGTGCGACGGCGCTCTTCGTTCTTTGGTGATACCCTAACACTTATAGGGTAGAAGCGCGCGTACCTCCAGGAATCTATGACAGGCTCGACTTGCATCTGCGTCATTTGGTTCGCTAATAGTTCAATTTTTCCTTCCAAGTCTATTTCTTGAGTTTAGCATGCAGAAGAGACGCATGCTATCAAGCTGGTGATACAGGTTCGCAAATATCGGAAAGGGCGGCTTCACATATCCGACTTCGTTCCTACCAAGTCCGCGATTTCTCCATCTATGCAGACATTGTTTGTCTCGAGTTCCAATGCCTCTCGTCTTTGCACTGGACTGATCAGAGTATGTCGCAATAGTGAATAAGTAAAAGGCATGCATTTGTTTATCATGTAAGTTCAATTATTTGGCCCGGATCTTTTATGTTCTGATGTCTCCAGACCGCGTTGTTGCATATCTGTTCTTCGAGTTGGATCTGGTTTCGGCATATATTCCCGCTAATCGCACCAGATCTAGTTGTGATGTTTGAAAGCAAGCATCGCTAAGACATTCCTGCCTACGACTCTAATTATCACCGTGTCGCGCACATTTCTCTATTATCGTCCCAAATGACAAGAAGCTGAACTACGCACATCAATAACTGACGTCTCTGCAACGCAGGTTGTATCACTTCCCATCGCTTTCCGTCGGAAACGCATGTAAGTAATCGAGTGGCGGCAGCATATATGGCCATGCGCGATTCGCATTCCGTACAGCTGAGAATGCACATTTACCATTTATCAAGAAATTCCAACCATGTGTACACGTCTTGAATGTCCGGCAATCCTTTTAGGACTCGCCATCGTCGAATTGACTGTAAACTCTGCGCCGACACTGATGTAGGCGCGAATCACTACGGCGAGAAGACGCCGATGTACACAGGGAGTCAGGTCTATGATCCAGCGTACTGCTGTGACGTTGATGGGAGTCCCATTGCAGTATTCATAGAACAATCCTCACTACCAAACAATCCAACCAGCGTCACGACATGGCGGTTTAATGGTGAAAACCACGGGGAGAGTAGAGTTGTTCTTAGGTTGCGTACATTACTGACCAATATAGTACAACACTACCAGTGTGTAAAACGCCTCATGAAACAGCTTTGACTGAATACACTATGCGTAGGAGAACTGTACCCGATCGAGTTTGTAAATATTCTCAGTCCAAGTGCTAGACAATATGATTTTCTACTGCCATGGCTCATACTGTACCGTTTCGACCACTCTAGAAATCGAGAAATCCCAGAAAATCGGAAAATTCAAAATTATTGGCGGTCAGCGAAAAATAAAATCGAATGTGACGCGTGACCACCGGAGTGGTCGAAGTGATACAGTAAGAGCTCACCTGTATTTACGTACTATTCAACTTGACCAGCCTGCTAGTGGCTGAGGTAGGCGGCACTACGCGGATATTTGCCACAGGCGGTACTAAAAACGGGGTATACTACAACTCTGTGACAAGCAGACAGGTAAGATATTCAGCGCTGTAAATGGCACGATGTGCTGTTAACTTATATTGATCTCACGGCCACGTGGATACGTAGTCTGAATCGCCCGATGTGGAAACGCATGGTTCTTTGGAGACGTTCAGGAGTGTTGAGCATCTTGCATCTCTCCCACTCTCTACTCCATGCATCTGCGACATGCTGACTAGGTCTGCGGATAGGAAAACTCGCTCGTCCGCAAAGGGGGCAAAGGCCGGTGGCAATAATAAGGCAGTATCACGCAGTGTGTCTTCTCGCTCAAAACCCCCAGGTCAGTCCCAGCAGCAATCAAGGCATGTATGCATCCGATTCTATTCAACCTACATAGAAACAAGACAAACGAGGAAGGCACTAGACGATGACGCTCGTCCCTCGAAGAAACCCAGAATTACGAAAGAGACGGTGATCGCGGAAATTGCTAATTCTGGCCGATCCACGAGACTGACCGAACCGGATCCACCTGCGAAGAAGTCTACGGGTAGATCCAGTAATTCTTCTATTAAGGAGCGCAGTACCGGGAAGGGATATACCACAAAGGCTCCGGATACCTCGTCTGTGCGCAAAGCCGCTCTTCCAGTCGGAGGCTCGTCCGGGGGACGGAACGATACGAGACTGAGGAAATTAGAGGAGGAGTTCGAGCAGAAGCAGCGGTCCCTGAAACGCGAGCGCGACGAGTTTGAGGCCGAGGTTGCGGACCTTCAGAAGTCTCAAGATAGCGTGGACGAAAGAGAGAAGGCCGTCACGAAGAAGGAGGAGGCACTTGCACGTACCGAGGCGAAACTGAACGAACGCGATGCGGCTGTCGTGAAGAGAGAGCAGGAAGTCGCGGGCCTTGTAACCAGCGTGACAAGCAGTCGAGCGGAGCAGGCTCTGGCGCAGCTCGAAGAGAGCTTCACTTGTGCTTTGTGAGCTTTTCATATGTTTGTCGTGTTACAAAATGTGACGTGCATTTTCAGATGCTTCGACGTCATGTACGCTCACTTTTCATTCGTAGGCAAGCTCGCGCGCGGTATATTGACATGTTCAAATTTCAGGGCATGCCCATATACCCTCACGATGTCACAATGCGGACACTCTTACTGCGCTGTATGTATCCTCAAGTGGTTCTTCTCACACCTTCACTACGAGTGCGGCAGTTGGCATGAGATCCTGGAATGTCCCCTTTGTCGCACTTCGCTACCTATGCCGAGGGATGGTCTGCGTTCCATTTTTTCATGCCCGTTTTCGCCTAACAGGATGGCGGACAAGCTCCTCACCGATTTCGTGGATGTGCTGCATAAATCTGGGCCTGCTGTGGGTACCAGTGCGAGCGCAAAGAAGAAGCAGAAAGCTGCCGAAACAGGAGATCCTACTGCAGCGTGGCACGAAGGCGGCAGTGCAAGAGCCGAATGGGAAGAACGAGAGCGGTGCGTACACCGCCCATCCCCTACTACTTGATCAGTTTGCTCAAATTTGACGCATATGTTGAATGGACCGCCTTGCGACGCCGTGTTATCTCCATGCTTTGCTAACAGGAAAGGAAGAGATGAAATGAGACTGCTAACCGCCAACTGGGCCAAGCTTCAGCGTTTGGACTTCAAAGCCATTAGAGATCGTATCGGAAGTTGAATTCGCTACCGCTATTTTCTTGCATTAGCCTTGCGGCATTGTATGCTCTCTTATCGACCTCTCCTCGTCCCTTAAGCACTATAACGGGTTCGAATATCCATGCCATTTCTTCCAAGATTGTCCTTCGCATTATTGAAGTGATCCTCAAAGCGCCTTGGAGCAGTGCACGCATCTAATATCTTACCCTCTACGGTTTGATCAAGTGCTACAACCGCGTTGCATGCATATGATAGCACGTATTCGCCACACAACGAGACAGCAGTTGCAGAGGTAAATCACAATAGACAGTAGCAATTGCGACATACATTTGCGTCTCATGTGTGTAGAACAATTAACAAAGCACCGAAGTTCAAAGGTAAAAGCACCGTTCCTTGAGACCGCGCATCCCGAGGATATCCTGCGACAGATGCAATCAAAGAACGGGTCTTGCTCAGATATATCAGAACTCACCCAATCCGCACCCGTGATCCACAGGTCCGCTACTCCATCCATCTTCCCTAATACTGCCGCGCCCTTCCACGCCAGAACACGAGGGTCGACGTCCTTCGGTGGAGGAATGATCTGCACCTTCTCCATGTTAGGCACCAGGGGTGTCGCAATTGCCTGCAATCTGACAGACCGCACGTCTCGCACCCTGTAGCGATTGATACGGATAGGGATGGTGGGCGCACCTGCTTTCAAGGGCATGAGCCATGCCAGGGACGAGGGCGGTGCCCCCAATCACCAGGACAGCCTGAAGGTACCTGCGTATCTTCTCGTCTCCTCCGGCGGCGCGAGCGCTGTTGAAGATTGCAACGTCCAGCGGCAGCTTGCTTGCCTCAAAGCATACGTCAATCGAGCTTTCTCCCGGTAACGTCTGCGGCGGGCGCACGGGTTGGGGTGGTTCAACGGGGGTAGGAGCCGGCGAGGGAACGGAGGCTTTACTGTCGATTTCGTCGTCGAGGATTTCCATCGGAACATCCGCTGTGCCTTCTCCGATCGTCGCGGTTGTTGTTATTGTCGGCTGTTGCACTTCTTCTTTCACTTCTCTAGGAGGAGAGGAATTCTCGACTGCGGCGGCCGCATCTGGCGTATTTGGTGAGTTCGGATATCTCTAAGAGGCCTCCGATACGTACCTCCCTGGACTGGATGTGGTGACATCACTGCGGACGGCAGTTCCCCGGGGGCGGGAGTCTGAGGGCCAGAATGTGGCATAGACGGTATCTCAGGAGGCGGCAGGTAGGGTGTCTGTAGAGTGAGGTGCTGCGTTGAGATGACCATCGCGTAGGGCTATGACAGCCGCAAGATGAGCGCATATTCGTGAACAGCCAATACACGCCCTTACATAGCGGTGTGCAACATGGTGGGGCGCAACATGGTGGTGTGCAACATGGTCGTTAACTTGCTCTGAGAGGTTGTCTGTGATGTCTTTGTGTGATGTCGGCCTCATTCCAGTGCGTTTCTGTTCAAATTCGATGACACGCGGTTCGAAGAGACACTGTGAACGAGTTGGGGACTTATGAGAACAGTTGTCAATAAATGTAACATAGGAAGCTTCGTACCATCGGTGCAAGTATTATCTCGTCGTAAGCACGAAGTCCATACTTTTCAGTCGGCTTGCCAGGCCGACGCACCACAAAGTCATACAGATTCAGAGCTACGTCACCCTGTCCAGGTCAACCATGACCGGCTTAGATGGAGGCACAGCAGGAAGACCTACCTCCGCTAAGGTGCATAACCGAGCCTTCAGATCCTCGATAACACTCCAGTCATACCAACGAGCAAGATCTATCTCTCTGTACGGGAAGCTGATCCTCTCCAGCAGCACATACAAGAACTCGGAGATATCATCTCCGCCCATATTGAGAGACATCCTGGAAGGGGTGTGTACATTACCAGGCATTTACTATGCATCACATACCTTGTACCAGCTAAGACAAGACCATCGTCGACGCATGCTATGCTTGTTGTAACGGCGCCCATATCCACGACGCAGGCATTAGAAATGCCAGCGCCGTATGTGGCCGCCAGCGATTCCTGCAAACCAGTTAGACACGAATGGCAGTGTATATGAGAACATAAATTACTTGCTGTGCACATAGCTGCTTGAAGCCCATGGAGACGAGTAACATCCTAACGAGTGCCTGCACGTAGAACCGGTCGTAATAATCTGGGATCACAAGTACGACAGAGTAATCCTGCCAGCGTTTATTGAAGATGGAGATTACGGCGCATGAGATCCAGAACAACGCACGTGGTATGCATGCGGTTCAATGTTCAATCTTTTGAACGCAGCGCGCAGAATCGTCTCAATGTCGTCGAGGGCGCCTTCAATAGATGGGTAGTCTCTAGTATTGAAATTGCCGCCATAGATCGGCCATTTTATCACATAACCTGCGGATGCTGGATCTGCAAGTTGAAGAGCCTTGCCATTGACCCTAAGACATCAGCAAGGAGGTGAGAAGTCATCTGCAATACCTTGTCGCCGACCAAAACATCTTCGATAGGCTCTTTGATCCAATCGATGAGAAAAGGATCATTTGATTCCGGTATAATCTCCGGAACGAATTGTTCGTTGAAAGTAGAGGCAATGCCTGCGGCATTTGGCGTCACGCGCAGCTTATAAAAGCGCATTCGGTCGCGAAGAGAGACAGTGATTGCTGCGACTTTCAGATCGAACTAAGCGTGGTGGTCAACACCGCACAAAGCAGCACGCCTGATCGCAGTACTCACAGGATCATCTGATGTCAACGACACGGAGTATTCATCGCCATTGGGCGGGGTTGCTGCTGCGTGCGCACGTGCAGCAGCTCGAGGTCGCGATATACCTTCAACGTACTTTGGTGCAAGGACGGGCCGTGTGTGCTTGCGCGCAATAACGTTCGGAATTGTGACCGGATTCACGTCGGATGCACGCCCAACGCGAACATAGCGCGATCCCAGGTGAATGACCAGTACTCTGGAACCACGCCTGACCTACGCAGAGAACAATGACTGAGGCTGAAGAACCAAAATGTGGCATAGCGGCGTACCTCGGTTGGAGTCGCAGAGCCCGTATCATCTGCTCTTTTCTTAGAATTTCTGTACCAAAGCGCCTGGGACTCGGTCTTTAGATAGCCGGAGTTAGGGTGCTTTGCATTTGACCTGAAGGACGGACGGCGTTCTGTTAGTGCAATGGCTCGTACTCTCTTGAAAGTGTAACTGTACGCCGCTAGGCCCAAGGGCACATGAAATGAAGTGAATCGCATAGCAGATTCATCCTTCTTTGCGTTTGGTATCCCGCGAGGCATCCTGATAATTATCGTTTGGTCTGAGGTTGAGGACGAGGCGGCGAGCGCATGTGCCAGTATACATAGTTGCGGCAGTAGCGAGGACCCCCCGTAACTCGCTCAGAGCTCCGATCCCGCCGGAGGCCATTTTCGGGGGTTGGGAGACGGTCATTTTCGGGGGTTTCGCACTCAAGGTCCGGGACCCCCGGCCGGTTTCGGGGGAAAATGGGATCGAACATCTGCGGTGAGAAGTGGGTTCAAAACGAATTTTCGCCGGAAAATCCTCCCAAGTTGAGGGTCTCCACGAAAAATTCTCCCAGGAACCATTTTTCGGGGGTTTCGCACTGAAAACCTCGGGCCAAAGGGGACAATTTCGGGGATATCTGCACATAAGTTGTACCGGTTTTTGCACCATTTTCGGGGTCCGAGATCGGATGGCCTGCGGCGGGCCCAGTTTCGGGGATTCAGGCATCGGGGCTCTTGGGGGGGGGGGGTCCTCAGTAACGGATACCAGCACGATCACATAACCTGCGTGTAGAAAGTCTTACACAGTTCGAAATAAATTATTGTACCACCACGCATATGTTTTCATTCATACAGCGGAGAACTCTGAGGTTGCAGAAGTCTTGTTTCCCAGGCGAGGAAGCGCTGAGAAGCTGAATGGGGTCCCAATGTCATAAGCATCACAACATTAGCCTGACACTCTAACTATAGCCTATAGGTGTAGTGCACATGGCAATTTAATTTAATTAATTCGAGAGGAAGAAGAGAATACACAACAAGCGAAGGCCTGTCTTCCTCATTTCGAGGGACATCCTGCACAAGATTTAACCAGGCTCTCTGCTTCAAGAGAAAGCTCTCTAATAGTGACCTTCCCGTTCAGCAGATTAGAGGAGGAATATCTCGACCAAGCTCGGGAGCAAGTCGTGTGATGGGAGTAAGCATGTTCAGGCGATATTTTGCAGTCCAATATCGCAGACTTATATCGAGCAATATCATCTTGTAAGGCATCCCGTGCGGCATCGACCCTGGTCGTGTCACGTCTAGACTTCGTTAGGATGTCCACTCCAGGGTATGTGCACTCTGCTTCGTTTCCTCCTGAGAAACGCTCATCGGCAGGGAGATCTAGAAATCTCTCGGAGTTTTGCGCAGTGCGGATCGTGAACAGGCATGCAACTGAGTACTAAGTAGTGACCGTGACGCGGAAGGATTTCTGCGGTCATGTGAATCGTAACGCGTGGCGCGTTTTCGCAACACCATGTCTCTCGAGGTCGACCATACAGCAAAAATCGACGCAGCACGCTCGCTACAAGCACAACTACAGAACACGCGCCTCTACATTGTCGGCTATCGCGAGCAATTTGATACCCACCATGCTGCCGCTGCCGAGTCCGGCTCCAGTTCACTGTACGAAACGCGGACGGGGCTCACAGACCCGGCTGTCGTAGCTGTTGACGTCGCCTCGCAGATTGTGCGCTATATAAATTTGGGTCTGGTTTCATGTGTGCTCACTATGTGGTTTAAGGCATTCCTGAGAAAACTGAAGATCCAGTATCTGGAACAGAAGGCTAAGGACCAGTACATCAAGACCATCGTCAGCCCTGACGCGCCAAACATCGACGCCAACGACAACGAGAAGCTCAGGGTAGTGAACGAGGCGAAAAAGGAAGCCTTGAAGGCCGCAAAGGCGCATCTCGCAGAGAAGGACGGGGACATCCGCAAGTTCGCCCCGCTGGTCGAGCAAGGTGCGTACTTCACTTCCTTCATCCAGCACCTACCGACAGACAACTTCTTCTTTGCATCAGACTACAACAAAGCGAAACTGCTGACGGACGAGGCCTTCTCGCTCGCGAGCCAGATCCTCGACGCGCGGCTGACGCTCACGCGCCTGCGCTCTGCGCACCCACTTCCGCGGCTCACGATCCCGGCCGCGAATGCGCAGCTAGATGTGCAAGTGATAGAGATGCAGAAGCTTGACGACGCGCTGCAGGGCGTCAACGAGAACATCGAGCGCGTAAAGGAGGCCGTGAAGGACGGCGCGCGAGAGTTTGAGCGGTTGCGCGTTGAGCGCGCGGACATGGAGAAGCTCGTGCAGGCGGAGAAGGACGAGGGTGAGGACGAGACCGTAATCGGGCTATATGACTGGTGCGGCGGCTCACTTGTACAATTGTTACGGTACATTGACTGGATATCTGGCAGGTATACTGCGTCACTCGCGCTCCATCGCTCCCTCCTCTCACTGGAGACGTTCCACTTCGCATCTGAGAATGAGCTACACCTCAAGTACGCGATTCCCCGCCAGGGAGAGGCACGGCGGCGGGAAGTGCAGATCACCCTGCTGTTCGTGCCCAATACGCGGCAACTCGCTGACGCGCAAATCGAGGGACTCAGCGGGGACCTGGGGGACATCGTTGGTGCACACATCCAAGCAAATGACGTACCCGGCCTCATCGCGGCAGTCCTCGCGCGGGCACGGGCAGAACGCTAACGTCTGGATTCTACTTTCTCGGTGACGGCTTCGACTCGTCATGGATCGCATCGCGCAAGAAGAATGGTGCGTGTACACTACACAGAATGTGCCTCTGGGATTGTGTTTGTACTGGAGCATTTCGAGCATTATCATTATGAGTATACCTGCGATCATCTGTGATACCAGCGATGATGGGGGTAAATGGCTAGAATGATGTTTGAACTATGGGTGTGCGAGTGCGGTCCAAGTATACGATACCAAACATTGCCCTCGCGGGGGCACTTCTTCCTCGTGTGATACGATAATTTACAATGGTTAGCAGCTCGGTGATGAAGCCAACAGGGCATTCACAGAGCTGGGACAGTCTCCAGGGTCTTGCTCCACTCAACCACCTTCGGATGTGCATTGACCTGCAAAGTCCAGCAATGAACAGTGAGCCTCGTCCACAGACAATTACGCGTACCTTTGCTGGGTCAAAATGCAGCACCTGTAGGCCATCGAGCGATGTAGCCCGGGATAGCGCGACATATGCCTGGCCTGCGGGTGCACCGCCAGTTAGCACGCAATGCACTAACATGGAGACCACAGACGCACCTTTCTCGAACACCTTCGCCAAATCGACCTTGACGCGCTCTAACGTCTGGCCCTGCGACTTATGGATCGACATCGCCCACGCCAGGATGAGGGGCAGCTATAAAACCCCATCATCCACTTCAGCGATCCATCCGTACTCACGCTCAAAGCGGGGAAAAATATCCCAACGCACCTGCGTACGGCTGGCCTGCACCTCCCCACTCGGCAGCTCCACTTTGAACGACTCGGACTGGACGACGACGCGGCGGCGGGAGCCGCCAGGCCCAAGGAAGTCGACAACAGGCCAAGGGGTAACCTCCGCCGCCTTCTTCGCGGGCTTGGCCGCGCCGTTCTTCGAGAGCGGCTTCCCGCCCGGCAGCTCGTCGTCGAGTGAACCGTTGGGGTCCGACGGGTCGAGGAACTTGACTACCTGGCCCATCGACCCGTTCACGAGCGTCTCATCTATGTTCTTGATGAGCATCACCTACGCAGGAGCATGCGTGTTAGCGTGTGTTCCAAGGGAGATGCACGACGAAACGTACCTGCGCACCGATCTTGAGTATGAGCCGCTGCGGCGCCATGAAGTTGCTGAGCATCTTCTGGCGCTGCGCCTCGTCCTGGAGCAGCCCCCCGTCGGACGCGAGAAACGTGTGCCCCTCCGTGCGGATGCTCTTCATGCGCATCACGTTCGACTGGTCCACCTCTTCGCGGCGGGGGAAGCTAATAAAACGATACGCGCGGGGCAGTTGGCCGAATGCGACAGCACGGAAGCACGGAACACGTACAGCTCGGTCGCGCCCAGCCCGTCTTCGTAGATGATTTCCCGTTCCAGCCTCTTGAACTTTTTAATGGACTCGTCCGAGAGGCACCCCAAGCGCATCTCGTTCAGCATGCTGACAAACTCTGTACGTGTCTTCACGCATCAGCATACATTTTGTTATGGGCGCAGACGGTGAGCGCACCAGGGTCTTTCTGGCGGAACACACGCGTGAGATTGAACGTCTTCTTGATCGTCTGGCCCCACAATTCCGCCTCGAACGCGAACTTGACCCCCGTGCTCTTCGTCACGGGCGGCAGCTGGAAGAAGTCTCCCGTGACAATGACCTGGCGACGTGTTCGTAAACAGCAAAAGCACGTCGAGGCAGGCGAACGCACCTGGATACCGCCGAAGGGCTCTACGCGCTTGCGGATGATGCTCCCGATGCGTGCGAGCTTGTCGAACAGTTCGCCCTCCACCATCGACACTACATGGAATAGGGCCAGCGACCGTCAACGCCGTGCAAGAATGCGAACGAGAACGGAAAGGAACTGACCCTCGTCGATGATGAGCACCTGCGTACGCAGCCAGCGGCCGGTCGCCTTCTTGTTTTTCCTGATCTTCGTCGCGAGTTGCTCCGCACTCTCGCGCCCCAGGCCGATGCCCGCAAATGAGTGGATCGTGATGCCGCCGATATTGCACGCGGCGATACCTGCATATATTGGGATCCGGTGAGGCAAGGGGCAGCACTAGAAGAGATGCTGATCCGCTGCAAATGAAGACATACCAGTTGAGGCGGTAACAGCGACTGCATCAATGGCCCTCGGATGCTTCTTCTTCATCGTCTTGATGATCTCGCGCAAAAGCACAGATTTTCCAGTTCCTGTGGAGCTAGTCAGAACGGGAGCACTTCTGAGCGGAATACGGTTGAAAGGGAGCTCGCGTAGGCAAGTATCAAGGTACTCGTTTCCTTTCGTTCTCCTCACGCTAGAGCAGTGATTTGCGGCATCATCAGACCCTTTTTGAACCATCTAACATGTTGTTTGGAGGTTACATTAGGCGCATATACGCAGTGGAAGAACAGCATGGCTCATGGATGCTCAAATCGCTGGCAGATTGTCTTCTCAGAACTGAACACCCAATCCAGCACTCACCAGCGCTGCCAGTGTAGAACACACTCTGTCCGTCCTGCACAAGTTTCAAGATATGCTGCTGCTCCTGACTCAAAAACACGGGTGCAGGTTTAGCGACGGCACCCGAGGAAGCCGCAGAGACGACGAGTGGCGCGTTGGCCACGCGCGACGACCCGAACGTGCGCGACGTAGTAGACTCGGTATTTTCGCTCCAGTTAGGAGGTAGCTGACGGCGTTTCGCCGGTGGGTCCTGGGACGGGGCCGACCGCTTCAGGCTCCCAGGTGGCCCGCCTCTGAACGCTTGCGAGCTCGACGCGGACGAAGTGCCCGAAAGCGTCTTCTCGGACGCGACGGCGTGGCCGCTGAGCGCGTCCTGGATGTCTTTCAGGCGCTGTGCCATGCCAGGGAGCTGTTGCTGGGGAGGAGAGGGCGTCCAGGGGATTGCGGACGCGTCGGAAGCGCTGAGGGAGGAGTTCTGGCTGGCAGAGGGGAGAGGGGCAGAGGAGAAGTCGCGTTTGATGGATTTGAGGCCAGAAATGGGCTGCTTGGACGGTGCGGGCATGGTCAGCTAGACGAGGGCAAGAGAGAGCACAAGAAACTTATTCGACGCTGGTAACCGAAGAATTCGAAGACTATCAACTTTGTTGCTTGCACGCGCGTGACACGTGGCAAAGTCACCTGACCGTGACAGTCGGGGTCATTTTTTCTGAACCTCTTGGCCGTCTAAAATGTACACAGAGTGAACCAACTTGATGCCATTTGAATTTCTGCAACAGCTTTGGAATGAGTCCACCATCAGGCTTGTCGACATCGTTACGCGTTTCGTTGATCTCTCAAAGCATATAATTACATCTCTAGCTGACATTGCGGTGAACATAGATTTTGTGATTGCAAGCGAACAATCGCGACTGCAAACCATCACAACTCGGCGACAGGTATGTCTCTCCGTCTTTCCGTCTTTCGGTGGCAATGTCGCACTGTCGTTCGAGCAGACTGACAAATTATCTGTTCTGACCCTCAATAACAGGATCCGAATTCCAAGTGGCTTGATGCTTGCTGTAAAATCAGGCTGATGGCCAAAGTTGGTGCGAATAAATGCCTTTGAGTCACCCTTCATGCCTTTCACTTCACTGCCGGGTCTTTTCCACAGGCTCACAGGGCACGAAAGGTGAATCTCGTTAGACACCAATCTCATCAGACACCAATTCTTCGTCAAGTAACTCAATGGCTAAGCCTTTGACGAGACTGTGTTCGTGGCACTCATTTGACCCGCAGAAGAGCAGCATGCGTGAGCTCTGCAATTTACACTATTCCTGTGTGTGGTATCCAGCGAAAGAAAGCTAGTAAAATTCTCTCCGCACTCTCCCATTCGCGCAATAGCGGGGTCGTTTACATTACGGCGGGCGGTGGCGAACTTATCTCGTGTCCGGTACCATCGTACCACTCAACTTTTGGTTGCCATTCGCGCGCCAGGATACGTGCCTGACCTCCCGGAATGAAAGTAACGGAAGATTGTTCGTCAAGGCACGCCAGGGATCTGGTCGTCAGAACATGTCACCTCGATCGCCTGTTGACATGCTAACTTGACACGGTGATACGCACCGGCATCTTGCATGATCATCCAGCTGTTGGTGTTTCTTTCTGTGTATAAACTGGCAAGAAACACACATCGCAACGGTTGAACGTTGAACGCCCACAGCCGGCGCTCTGAGTCATCACAGCTTCGAAGCACTTTCAGTTAAAATCATGAAATGGTCGGAAGGCAACACCGGTTTGTGTCAAAGACTCTTTCCACACTATCGTGGGCGTGAGTGCTCCGGTAACCTTACCTGAGGAAGGTTTTTGAGGACGGGTTGGAGATTGTGGCGGCGAGCGGGAATGAGCGGATCGATAAGAGCCGAGAATTGTCGTTTTTCGTATTTTTCAGAGCCGCGGACTGGACGCTGTCCTGCACGACGTCTGCGCGACAACGAGCGGCGACGAGCAGGGCTTTCACTGCAAAGTTCTGCGCTGCCGACGGCGAGCGAGAGCTAGTCTATTCGCGGGAAGACGGAAATTAAAGCCTCGGAGTGGCACTGCGGAGACTGCTGCCACGCTTGGGCCAGCACCCTTGTTCCTCATCGCTACGCCAACGCCGCCAACGTTGGCCAGCCGCCTCGAACGTCGTCCTCAGCGTTGCCAACGTCTGATTCACTGTTGCACACATCCTCATTGCCGATGTCGACGACCTCACAAAGCGCAGTCAACGAGAGGCCGTACCTTCCTCCCCGCTCGACCAAGCGCCAGTCGAAAATCACCGTCGAATACCACCATCCCTCTCGCGAGTCCATCCAGGAGTACGAAGGGCTCATCGCCGACGCCAACGTCCACGCCGCCGCCGCCGCCAACTACCACGATCCGCTTCTCGCCTCGAGACCAGCCCCAACTCCGCCGTCGCCCTCGAACAAACAGAGCAACGGCAATTCCTCTCCCAGAGCTCGCCACTCGCAGTACAAGCCATCTCCCCGCAAACAAAGCCTCCACGTCTCTCCTTCAACCAAGACCCTCGACCGCGATCCTTTCGCTGCCAATCGCATCAACGAGGGCGTCATCATGACCAGTACATCTCCCCCGCCCCGCCCATCGAGGGCCAACACCGCCAACCTCAACGACCTCTTCCCCACCCAGAACAATTACCCGACGAATCGTCTCTCCGATCCGCTCGTGCTCCCTCCCGAGGCTAGGTACTATGTCGACCAGCAGGAGAACCAGTCGCTGCTCGAGCCCTCCGAGACGTCCGCCGTCGTCGGGTACACGCAGGTGTCGACCTATAACCCACCGAGCACGCCGACCACGGGTTCCGCCACGGGCACCCGCTCGCGCAGCGCGACCGTGGTGGCCAAGTCGAAGAAGGGCATGTTCAACTTCATGTCCGACTTCCTCAACAGCTCGAAGCGCCCGGAGATCAGCACGCCCTACGACCCGGTCCACCTCACCCACGTCGGCTTCAACTCGTCCACGGGCGAGTTCACCGGTCTCCCCAAGGAGTGGCAGCAACTTCTCCAGGAGAGCGGCATCTCCAAGTCCGAGCAGGAGAAGAACCCCCAGGCGGTCATGGAGATCGTCAAGTTCTACCAGGAGGGCCGCGGCGACACCTCCGTCTGGGACAAGATGGGCGCGGTTGCCGCGCCCCAGCCAATCCAGCCGAGCTCGCAGCCCAAGGCCTACGTCGACGACGGCTTCCAGAACCCCGTGAGTCCCACCACCCCATGCGCATCTCATTTCACCGTTTATTAACCCTCACTAGCGCGTGGCACCTCCCCCGCCGAAAAGGGCTGCAACGACGCAAGGCACGCCAAGTCCGCACCGCGCGGCGCCCCACCCGCCTGCCCCGCTCACCCCCGCGCTCGACCGCTCGACCTCGCAACGGCTGCCCACCTCCAAGCCATACAAATCCACCGACCAGCTCTCGCGCGCCAACACCACGCGCGATCGGCGGTCGCACGGGCCCAGTGGGGGCACGCCGCCCCACCCGCAAACGCCTCCCCCGCCCCCGCCGTCCGGGCACCCAGGTAAGTCTGGCTCGGCTACAGCCGATCTCTCGCGGAGTGCGACTACTCGCGATACCCGCTCTGCCGCGGCCCAGCAGCCAAGCGCCGCCACCGCGAGCCTGCAGAAGGCCGCGGGCGTGGGCGGCACAGCGACGCCGCGGAGGCGGGAGAAGAAAGAGAAGGACAAGGACAAGGAGGCGGACATCGTCAAGCGCCTGCAGCAGATCTGCACCGACGCGGACCCGACGCGACTCTACCGCAACTTGGTGAAGATCGGCGCGGGGTGAGTGGATCTGTCTTATCTATCTGTCCTGTCTGTCTATCTGTCCATGTGTGGATCCGGCTGTGGCGTCGCGGTTTGCTGCCGGTGCTGATGTCGCCTTTGCGGTTGCTAGCGCGTCTGGAGGCGTGTATACTGCCTACCAAGTGGGAACGAACGTCTCCGTTGCGATTAAGCAGATGGACCTGGAGAAGCAACCCAAGAAGGACCTCATCATCAATGAGATCCTCGTCATGCGGGCCTCGCGCCACCCGAACATTGTCAACTACATTGACTCGTTCTTGCACAAGAACGAGCTGTGGGTCGTCATGGAATACATGGAGGGTGGCTCGCTCACGGACGTCGTCACTGCGAACCTTATGTCCGAGGGACAGATCGCAGCGGTCTCGCGGGAGACGGCACAGGGCCTTGAACACCTCCATCGACATGGTGTCATCCATCGTGACATTAAGAGCGACAACGTTCTCCTTAGCATGAACGGTGACATCAAACTAAGTGTGTTTCCAGTAAATTCTGCTCCATCGCGGCGTTCTAACATAGTGCTCGACAGCTGACTTTGGTTTCTGCGCACAAATTTCTGATGGCAACTCCAAGCGGACAACGATGGTCGGTACGCCATATTGGATGGCACCAGAAGTCGTCACGCGGAAGGAGTACGGTCCCAAGGTCGATATTTGGAGTCTGGGGATTATGGCAATTGGTGCGACAATACGTTGGACAATGATGCATCTCCATTGACCGTCAAATTTGATGCAGAAATGATCGAGGGGGAACCTCCATACTTGAACCAAAATCCGCTCAAGGCGCTGTATCTTATTGCCACCAACGGGACGCCAACTATTGCGAATCCAGAATCGTTGTCTACTGTCTTCCGGGACTACCTAGCACGAACCCTGGAAGTGGACTCCGAGAAGCGGCCGACCGCGTCAGAATTGCTACAGGTGCTGTGCTACATTCTTCCTCACCCTATCAGATGATCTGATCTCTGTACGTGCCCAGCACCCCTTCTTCAAGCTTTCCGAGCCACTGCGGACACTGGCGCCCCTGATCAGGGCCGCGCGGGAGATAGCAAAGTCGAAGTGAAGTGTCCGGACCCTTTTTTTCTTTCTCGTGTCGAGTTCGCCCAACGTCATCACCATGTCACAGCCTGCATCGATCTATCTATCTCTGCCCATCCTTTCGTTGGATCTTTCACCTCGTTACCTCCGTTATCGTACCCACTTCGCGTCTTGTTCACTGTCCCGCGGACATTCCGGGTCTGTTCTGTCGCGGCGGGCGCGTGTCCGTCGGGGCGTGTACATACATCATACACCCTGTCTTGGTTCATACCCGTGACAAGTAATACCTCTTTCTGCAGCTTCCTCGTACGATGAATGCTATGACCACTCTTAGAGGAAGTTTCCGTCGGCGGGGTGCTTGTGCGATGTGACCGCCGCTCGACGGTGTAAGTTGCGCGTCAACCACATAGTGATCCGACAACAGAAGTTCTGAAAAAGCATGTCTATACAATGGATGATGATGCAGGGATATATGATACAAATTTAAGAGCTTAATGCTACAGGCTATACAACGACGAGTCCGTTCCGATCCTACTACATGTGTGCGTGAGAAGAAGAGTGTGGATTGTTCTATAAAAATGGTCCCCATCCTACAACGGCTCGATCAGTCGAGGAAAAGACGCAGAGCAGCTGTACTCACCGCTATACATCGTGGCCAGATTAGTCGTATCGGTAGCTTCTGCGGTGAGCTCGTTGACGGCGCATTCAACGCTCAGAGTCTTGTCCAGCTTGCGGTTGACAGACTGCAGCGCACGGTCCGCGGCTTCATCGGCGGTGCCACTGGCCAGGTCGATTCCAATAGCGTAGCGGAATGCTTCGTCAGTCAACTGAACAGCTTCCTTCGCGGAGCCCTGTACCCGCTGGATTTTGAGCTCGCTCGCAGTCCTGCAGAATAGGTATTGCATATCGAGCGAATCAGTATCGCACGATCTAGTGCATCGGACGTACGTACCACGAGTGCAGAGGGTCATATCTAAACACTTCCAGTACCGTCAGGATTACATCAGAACGATCCCGCAAGACACGCAGTGTTTCTTCGGCACATCGCTGGAAGACGCCCTGGGTCCCAGTTATTCCAAGACCGTCCACCATATCGGGAGTCAAGCGGAAAGGCACTCGTTCGGGGATACCGAGTAATTTTCCCTATATATCGCTGAGCATCGTTCGGCGGAGGGCGATGTGTGGGCGCTCACCTGATCGAACGCTATGCCGAGGTCAATATGAATGACCTCTCCCGTGACATTATCCATCAGAATGTTAGAGGTATGCCTGTCGCCAAGCCCCAAAATGTGGCCCACTACCGAGGTAGTTGCAACGCTTCGCGAGTAACTCAGTCGCATGGAAAACCAAGCCATTGGTGTTTTGTGTCTTTCGGTGAAGTAGTATCTCATGACAGGCTTAAATCGCTCGCGAATTTGTAAAAACAATTCAAGCAGGGGGCCGGCCTCGCCGTTGCATTGCGTGCGCTTCTTATTCATCGCAGATTGTGCATCCTTTTGGCTCATGTCCGTCGGACGATATCTGAGTGCAATCCCTGTATTAGCCACCATATCATCCGTTTAACCCAAAAATTCGTACTGTTTGTGAGCAGGCATCAGCCATGATCCAAGGGGAGTCGTATTATCCACGAATTCGAGAACTCCAGCTTGCGCAGCTAGCGGAATGACCTTGTACCCTCTGACGCTCAGCTTTCGCTTGACAGTCTCGCGATCGTGACGAAGGACAACGTTCACTAGATCGAAGACCTGTTCCATCACAGCGTCCTGCCTCAAATCATCGTTACCTTCTCCCTTGAACTGCGGCGGAAATGTTCATAAGCATTGTAAGCAAGAGAAGTCGGTAATTACTTACCAATTGCTTATATTTTTGCCCATCCGTGCCAATGCAAGTTGTGATCTTGGGTAAATTCACACCCCCTGCAGTTGTGAAAGTTTGGTCGAAGTAATTGATCCAGATACAGTCCTGATATTGGGCAGTAGGGTCGACGGGAGTATGAACAGTTATCACCGGTACATGCAGATTGTGAATCTTCCGGATGAGGAGATCGTTAGGTATTTGGGAGATGCTCTTTGGTTTCTTCGCAAATTGTTCCTTGATGGGGTATTTGGCCCACTGCAATGATGCACGACAAATCTCCTCCACGCCACGTACACGGTCTGCGATAGAAGTATCACTTCGCAGGCGATTGAAAATGTCGGCAGCCGCGGTGGCACGCTCAACTTGAGTAGATACTGATTCGTGTCGCCCAGACTGTCTCCTGGAAGATCCTGATGAATCTGTAGTCCGCTCTCCGAGTAAGCAGAACACCTGGAACAAACTATGGAAAGGATGTTCCCGGCACATCCGGGTCAATAGCATCTGTAGAGCTTCCTGGTTCTGTGAAGGTCGCGCAGATTCCGGCATTGCCAATCGAGCAGATAGCTGATGAGCAAGGACGACAAATTTGCGAGAAGGAATGCGATCCAACGCAACTCCGAAACCGAGCTTGGAATCGGTGTTATCGAAGTTTGCCAACCATAGGGAACATAATCGGATGACAGAATCATCATCGAACGAGTCGGATGACTCCAAGCAACGGGAGTACATGTCGACTGCAACACCAAGGAAGGAATCTCGTGAACGAATGTGATCTGAGAACTGCGTCTGATCCTGCTGTAGGACTTTCTGTGCTCGTCTTTGCTCCTGTTTAAGTTCCTCATACTCCTTCGTGTTAGTCTGGGTTCTGCGTAACTGGTCTTTGCGGCTTTGAATCTCTGCGGTCTTGCGGTCAACGTACACTCTCCATCTCAGAGCATCCGGGGATGTCACGATAGAGTGATACTGTCGTTCAGCGAACACGGCATATTGATGGTATATCGCAGCATAGTTAGCATCGTGATTCTTGAGCACGCCACTATCGCACTGGGAGAGCAAAGCTGTGGCAGGGTCGAAATAACGAGCGATTATGTCCGTCGGTATGCCCAGATTTGCTTCAGCCGACCATGTTCCCTAATTCAGGTGAGTTTCTTTCAATTCATATACGATTTGATGACTTACCAGGCGGGCGAGGAGCGTAGCGGTCCTTATTCGCTCAGGGACAGCATCGGGAAGTTGGACCTCTGACAGAAGATTGGCTAGAGCTTGAACTGCTATCTTGGGTTCGTTAATAAGCCAAAGGACACTGGCGTACTCTTGATTGGCTTCTAGCGTGGGCTTTTTTAGCAACTCCAGAGCCTGAGTTACAGAATTCAAAGCGATTTGCGTTTGATGGGCTTCACGGGCAGCTTCAGACAGGCGTATGAGACATGCGGCTTCAAAGTCGATTAAGCTTCGGCAAAACGGAGAGAGAAGATCTCCAATCTGCTCGCGTTGCTCTTTCTGTCTGACGGAACGGATCAGAGAGATTCGGGTGGCCATAATCTCCTCTATGACAGAAAACCTGACAAACGTTAGTAAAACGCTCAATAGACAGATGAGGGACATACTCGAAGTCCGAGTCAATAACGGTGAATGCGGCCCATTCAGCAACATCAATGCTTTTGCACTGAAGCGCGGCCTGAAATGCACTGCTTCTCCACTGTTTCACTTGGTGAAGGCACATAATGTTCTGCGTGATCTGGCGGATATCCATGAAGTTCTCTGCGCCCAGACCATGCAGTTGCATCATCTCGTCGACCAGAGCATTGCGTACCACACTGTCTGTCACTGTGTGATTGCGTTCACGGTGGATCGCCCTGAGCGCCATATAAAGCGGTGCGCCTGAGTTGCGCTCCGATGAGTGCTCCGGTAGATCCCAGGTTTCGGTACGCCATCCTAGATGATATGTCATGGCATTCGAATTGGAACGGTCATTCATACTAGTCAAGGAACGCCCCAGTGTGTTCATCGCAAGGCTATTGAATCCAAACGAATGCAATGTCTTGATAATACCTTCCGTGTGGCTTGTGTCTGATGTCCCTGCCTCCAGGGCTGCACCATGGAAACGAAATGCCTTGTCCCACTGTTTCTCATGATGAAGTCGTCTGATTAGAAAGCGGTGTAAGTCTTGAGTTGGAATCCCGTAAAATCCATCCGGCTCGTCTATGTGACTGTAAATATCGAATAGGACGTCCTCAACGGCAGTTGTGTCATTGGGAGGTCCCTCCCGATGTTCAGCTTCTAACTCGAGAAAAAGTAATGCGGTTGTATAGGCGCCGTACTTTATGGCACTCCGGCTTAGGAGAGTATAATCTGTGTCGAGCCACGTGTCGTAGGCCAACGCATCACTGTCTCCTGGTGGAGTGAAGAACCGTAAATGCAAGACGATGTCGACCACTGCACGCAGACAGGGGACACTTGTGTGATCGTATGCCAAGATAGCGGTGAAGTATCGGGAGAGGATCTCGCGATACGAACTACTTGCTCGGAGCATTGCTTGTGATCGCTCGAATTGTAGCGCTGTATGGACCAAAAGCGGCAGGATCTGTTCAGCAAAAGTGGGGTCCGATTGCAGGATAGATGTCAATGGTGCATAAAATAGGTCAACAGGAGCAAGAGCTTCACACAGGGTAGTTGTGATATATGTGATCCATTCTGAGAAATTCCTTGATATTTCCAAGGCGCGCTCGGAGACCAACCGATCACCCAAGTCGCACTGAGATTTTGCCACAACGGGCGTGCAATGCACTCGTAGAAATCGCAATTCTACAGAATGTTCGCTGGGCCAGGAGGAATCCGCCAGAGCTTCGGGTGTGCAAACCGACATTAACGAGCGAAGAGTACGATAGGATGTGTAGACTTGCGTTGCTGAGGCGACACCAAGCATATTCAACAAGGAGTCGACAATAGCACGCCGCGCGACATCCCGAGGGTCAGGATTGTCCTTCCGTCGGACGCCATAGCGGTGTCTTGTTCGTACTGTCTGCGATACAGATTGTTCGCTGACGAAACTGTCGATATGACCATGATGACATAGCAGCAAAGTTGCAAAGGCATCAATATCGTCGTCCAGGAGCTGCGCAGCAGAAGGAATACATTCCTTCAAACGCCAGAAATCTGACTTTGGGAAGTTTCCAGGAAGGCACCTTCCCTCTGCGGCCAGATCACGGAGCCTTCTAACCAAGCGGAACTTACTGGGGGATATGCGGTAATCATTGAGAACAGAAGAGAGTTCCGAAGACTTGACATCTTCGCACAGTGATCTAAGATTGCGCGGTAGTTCCTGCGGCCAGGCAGAGAGGGCCTTCACAATCTGGGGTTTGATTGCTTTGCTTCTGCACAGTCTGGAAGCTTCGTTCTCCATCCATTGCATGAGTTCATGACCCATGCGAGCTACGGTGGTGTCTTGTCGATCATGGGAATAATCGTAAGCTAGGCGGCTTATTCGTATGAAGATGTCCGGTAAACGGGGGTCCTTTTCGTTGCTTTCGAGAGCCAGGCCGAAGCACCAGGCTAATATAGACTGAGCCGCGTGAGCCAGGTCGGATTGTATGAGGATAGTGGTGGCACCGTTGATGACGGTGCGAAGCAGGGCGTAATCCTCGAAGTGGCTGCTGTGAGAAGCCACCCAGAGACAAATCGCGTTGAGGAGCCTCATCTGCTCATTCACGATAGGTGAACGTTCCAAGTCCGCAAAAAGTTGATGAAGCACATGGTACGTGATGGCTGGAGCGGAAGCCTCGGGTACTCGTGAGCTAAACCACGTCAATGCCTGCAGCACTGTTTCCACGCCATACCATGGTAGGTTGGGTTCGTGTGGCTCAAAATCGCCCTCTTCTCGGTATTGGACCATCTTCTGGAACGTCTGAGCGGCATCGACGGTATGTCCGAACGTGCGTAAAGCGTCAGAAATACGGTCTACCTTGGAATATTCCGGATCGCCCAAGGTCCGAAGGATAGCAGCCACAATAGCGTCAGCATTCTCAGCAAGAGATTGCATGAACTGCGCCTCATCATTTATATGCTTAGTTCGGACCTTGAGAATGGCTTCGAGCTCATCAGGTTGTGCATTGATCCTGGACGGATCCTCTGCTATCCAAATGACAATCTGATAGCCGACAATTTCCGCGAAACATTCGCGAACGCCTTCCGCGGTGGATTTTTGGATGGCCTTGCAGTGATTCGAAAAAAGGTTGTATCCATGTTGGATTGACGATCGCGTCCCGGGGCCTAGAAGATTCGTAGGGGTGAATGCGTGAAAGGTAGCTTCAGCGCACTCTCTTCTGTCTTGATATCCTAGAAGATGTGGCGGGAAGACGAGAAAATCTTTTTCACTTTCTCGAATTGAGTAAGCGATTTGAGAAGCGTAGGACTCAAACAGGGTGGAAAATCGGGGTAGTCCCATGCGCTCTCCGACGCCGACCAAGACAGCTTCGATATGTCTTGTGTACGCCGAAGTGTACAAACAAGCTTCGAGCAGATGCCAGTAAGGACCACGTCTTATGGCAGAACTGACGATCATAATATTCCCCAGGCATAGCAAACGTGTCAGCATATGCTCATAGCTGACAATACGCATGAGCGAAATCGTGGCAGATGGTAAACGAAACGTACTCTTCAAGTGTCCGGCAGAGATAGCCTTTGATGCTCGTGTAGAGATCTTCAGGTTTTTGCCCATTAATCTGAGCGATAGCAAAGAGATGCGCGTTTATTACGGCAGCTCGAAATCGGACACGAATGTCTTCGTCAGCTCCCAGGGTGGGCAGTACTGCAAGCGGATAATTCTGGGGACCCCAATCCTCATCTTCATCCATAAGAGGTCCCGCGAATACTGTTTGTGTGGGATCTTGTCTCAAGTAGTCGATTAGACAACATGCAAGGTGATCGCGCACTCTCCAAGATGGAATCTTCCCAGTCAAGAGAGCGCGAGAGAAGAATTCATACAACGATCTAATACAATCACCCGTTTTGCCCGCGGCCACAGATGGTTGTATCCAGATACTGGCGGTTGCGTCCAGAAGCCGGATCACCAGTGACTGAAATCTTTCATTTCGCGCGTATCTGTAATCCATGAGCAACTCGCCACTTTTTGTCAAGAGCCGATGAAAATGAGATGGACTAAGATTGAGGGTCCCTTGTTGAATATTTCGGACATATGACGAGGCGAGAAAGGTGAAGTCGTCGTTTTCGCAACCCAAAATGAGGTCGGTCAACTCTTTGTCACGGGTGGGCTCGCCAGAAGCAGATTGCAGAATTGGAACGACAGCGAGTGTCGTTATGCAGACATCGACCGAATGCTCATTGACCGAGATACCGCCAACCGCTGCACCGTGACCAGCGCCCTCGGGCGTTCTAACTGGGCCGAATCCATCCTTTTTATCGATGTCCATGGCATTCAAGTGCAAATCATCACCGGAGGCCAAACCGATGGACAGGCGAAGGACGTCCCGCAGAACTGACAGCACACTGACGAAGACATCTTGCACCTAAAAATGTACAATCCTGAGGTCAGCATCAAGTAAGATCGCACGTTGTAAACGTTCATAGGAACCTACATCGGTACTTTGAAAGATTACACGCTGCAGAATACGACGCGAAGCCGAGTGTTGTTGATCTTGCGACTGCTGCGCCGGCGTCAACGATTTGAGGACACTTCTCCGGATTCCAGTCCCAAAACTTGGGGGTAACAATGTCTCCCAATTGGCGAAGTCACTATCGTCGTCTTGTGCCAGTATCAGGGGCTGCAATCCAGATATGGCCAAAGCTCTTTCGCTCGCTGACCATTGGCCATGTGTCATGAGCGGGGCTACAATGCTTACAAGCTTGCACGCTGCCTGTATTACGCGCCTGTTCGAACGCGTGCCGTTCAAGACCAGCGAAGCCTCGAAGCAAAGAGCCAACACCGAGAGGTCAAGGGACGAGCGGACCTTCTCTGCAGTCATGTTTCCAGACGGGTTCTTGCTGGCTTCCCACCGCGAAACGAGCTCTTCGAGAGACCTAAGGAGGAATGCCGAAAGGCGGCGTTCCCGGCCCCGGGGCGGGTTAAGATCGCGCATATCCAAGGCTTCAGTCGGCAGTCCGTCACCAAGTCCTCCTTCTCCAGTTCCAGCATCGGCCTGGGAAAACAGCACACCAGAGCTATGCTCGCTAGGCCGGCGAAATGGAGGCAGCCGCGCGTGCAGGAGGAAGTCTCGAATGACTACTGTTCGCCTGTCATCAACCATTGCCTCTACCATCGAACACTCCGGGAGCATCATGCGATATACTAAGTTACTCTTCCTCGACAGTGCGCATATGCTTTCCATCAGCATGAGTACGTCGCCTGTGGTGTGCAGTGACATCTTCAACCTGTGTCCTTTCTCCACTCTCCAGACGTTCGTCAGCCACGTCAGCGCTTTTTCCTCCAACTGCATTCTGTACAGCCGGACATCCTGACTCACGACCCGAAGGCACAGGACTAGGAAAGCGCAAACGGAATCATAAGGAAAAAGGGGTCCCTGGACGTCGAGATCTGCAGCAAGGGCTTCGACTTCGGAGAGAATGCGCTGTGATGTCAATAGTCGCTTGCCGTGGACTAAAAGGACATGAGCTGCATGACTTGCGGCGCGACAGACGGCTGGAACACTCAAACGCCGCATGGCGTGTGCCCAGATTGAATCCCAAGAAAAGCTGTCGGTCGTTTGACTCGGAGCGACGGTTGCAGACGCAAGAGGAGGATCCGAGGTACAGCCTGCGTGAGCTATGGCCGCAAGGCATAGGAATGTCCATGATTGGACCAGACCATCCTCAACCGAAACAAATTGGAGGAGAGTGGAGGATACCTCTTGCTTTAACTCGGCATGCAAGATCGACCAGTGTCTGTCGACAAAGAACAACAAGACCTGAATGTAGTAGATGCGAGTGCTCGCCGTCGCCTGTGTTCTGACTGAGGACAACAGTGAAGTGATTGGATCCTCGAGCCTGGAACGCTTACTGCTGCTTGACTGGGTCAGCGGCATTGATTCCGTCATAAGGAACAACTGTATGAAATTTTAGTGAAAGGCAGGTTCAAACTATCCTTCCAACTCGCCTCCTTCGTACATTCCGCTTGAAGTTCAAGGATAGCCCATGTAAAGGCTTGAGTTGCGTCAAAGTGCCACCCATGACGGAAGGTATGGGCAGTGATTGCTCCAATTGCACCCTGATCTTGATCCAATGGAACGACTTCAAGCCGCAGAGAATCAAGGGAAAGACCATGAACTTTCCACCGAATTTCTCCCTCTCCATTTAGCAGACGCCAGAGTTTTGTCACGCTAGAAAATTGATCGCCACCCATGCTCCCCATGTCTGCTTGATCATCTGTGAGGAAGGGAAACAGGACTTTCAAAACCACAATCAGATCCTCTTTGAGTGTTTGGTCCTTCGAATTCCACATGGCCACCAGTCCAGGCCACGCTTTCCTCGCGAATCTGCTCACCAAGTCACGATGATTCAGAGCCACGTGCGAGAGGATGGCGGAAAGACACAATACAAAGTTGTGGTGCAGGGAAGTGTCAGTGGGATACTTGTCGATGAACCGTTCCAGACGATTCAGGACGGCGGCTGCAATGCCGGGGTACTTCTGGGACAATAGAGGTGCAAACGGCGACTGGAGTAAGGGAACAAGAACGGTCATGAATTCGATCTGTTCTGCAGATGGGGCCAGCGACTGTAGTGGTTTTTGAGGAGCTGGAGATTCATCATGAGAGCATGCTCTTGCAGACTTCTGGCTGGGGCTACGGCGACGTTTTCTCGAGAGATCAGCTGTAGATGTCGAGGGAGTCCCTTCTTCAGCATCCTGCATTGAGTGTTCATCCCCGCCTGCAGGAGAAGCGGTGGTCTCCTTTTCGCCAAGCTGCTGGCCGTCAACTTCGCTCAACTCCTCGTTGAGACGATCTCTGAGAACGACGTTGAAGGCCAGTTGGGTGATATCCACCCATTCAGCGTGTTCTAAATGTTCTAAGTGCTGTCTGCATTTGAATACGCACCCAATCGCCTTGATATAAGTCAACGCTACAGGAGCTAGTAGCTCCCCTCGATAGAGCATTCTCTGCCGAAGATGTCTCAATAATGGCCTTAAGGCCCTGTTGTTCATCGTCTCCACGCCGTGTTGTATCAGTTCACGCAAGGCGGTGGTCACATCCTTCAGTCTACCCAGGGCGGCAGCACCATGCCCTGTAGTCTCAGCCGACAAACCGCCTTTCTTCGCGCATGCCTGGAACTCTTTCTCCACGGCCTCGAAACAAGCCTGAAAAAGAACAGTCCAACCCCGACCATCCGACGTCTTATTGACATCTGAGACGAGGCTGCCGTTCTCGTACCCATCGCGAAGGGTAGAGATGCCTTCCTGTCGAACTTTCACTTTATCACTTCTGATTAGTTGTACGGTCTCCCGGACGCTCCGATAGCTCATAGCAACAGGCCACCAGCAAGACGGTAAGAGAGAAGACAAAAACAAAGGACTCCGCTCCTGGCGCTCGCACTGCTCATCCGGATTTGGCACACACGCGTTGTTTTGTCGTGTTTGTTCCCGCGCACTGCGTCCGCTTCGCGAATTTCTTTTCCTCTCCTTTTCTTTCTTCGTCGCTCATCATGCATCAGCTAGCTGGTCGATGTGCTTCCGTCTGTCTTTCGGACAACAAATTTGTTCTCATCTCCACTTGTTTCATTCCGGCATGTCTCATCTTTGATGTTTTCTATACCCGTTTGGATTATAAGGTTGGCGTCATTCTGCCCGAGCAGTGCTCTTACGCATCCACCCTGCATCGGTTCTGGTGAAGCGCCAAGATTCACCGACATTCATCTGTCTAATCAGCAGGTGCTTGGGCGACTTTTGAGAAGTGGAGACTTCTTATGGAGTTTACCATGGTTTGTGATCGCCATACATTACCCCTTCATCGTATATTTTGTTCTACTTGTATCACTGTACCAAACCCTTTGCTAGCTCCTTTGGTATTTGTCGTGGTTGAATACAGATCTTTTACGAACACACACGCGCTTATACGCAACCTATATGAGTGCCTCCCATAATTTCATTCTGTGCAAAAATCATCGACTTGTACCGCATCGTATCGATAACAGCATGAACTCAGTCAGCTCCTGGGTGAACGTTAACTGAACAACCAGGTTCAATTGCAATCCTCCAAAGCGGAAGGTCGATGTGAGCGCTAATTATTGCTGAACGGAAGCGAAAACCCTTTGTCTCATCTCAGCACTGCGATTCGCTCGTTACCCCAGAGCACCTACCTCTTTTCCACCTCCCTCTTGCGACTACTTGCCACGGTGCTTTCTTGAGATGGGTCTACTCGCGTACGTCAAGTCTTCATTTTGCAGTGGCTACCTCATCTCCTCACTTTGCGCAGTGACGCGAGAGCGCGGAAAGCCATATTCTCACACATACTCGTGCGATATGGGATCTCAAGCTTAGGCTGAATACTCTAGTGCCAATTTGCAGACTTCCTCCAGAGATACTGGCCGAGATATTCCTTGAGATTCTCGCACAGGCCGAGCAGGAGGAGAAGCTGTATTATCACGGCGGGAAAACGTATTCATGGATAAAAGTCTCTCATGTTTGCCATCACTGGCGCTCAGTTGCCTTGGAGTGCCCCAGATTTTGGAGCCGCATCGTGCCGACCACCTGTCCAGAGTGGGTGGAGGAACTTTTGTCCCGTTCGAAGAAGGCAAGGCTCTCCGTGACGGTCGACCTGTCCACGGGGCATGTTAGCGGCAAGATCGATGCGTTCAAGTTGCTCATCGAGAACTTGTCGCGAATCCAACAGCTCCGCTTGATTGCCTCGCAGAGCTCACTCCAAAACATCGTGGAATTCGTGACGGGACCTGCTCCTGCTTTGCAGACCTTCATTCTCACACAGACGGGGTCACATATGCCCGATCTACCAAAGACTTGTTACCCTGCCTTCCCACACCACGACGAGACGCGACGTCTGCAGCACCTCGAAATACGAGGACCCATTTCCTCAACTGCTTTAATCCTGCCGATGTTTCCTTGTTCGCTGAAACATCTTCATCTCAATGGAGGCAACGCCTACCTGCCCTCGTGCATGTCAGATGTGCTCAAAATTCTTGAAACAACTCCCTTGTTGGAGACTCTGAAGCTGGAGAGGGTTGTTTCCGGAGCGTTAGAGACCGATCAAGTCGTCGATTTACCCCACCTTCGCTCTATACGACTAGTTGGATATTATATGGAGAGTGCTTGTCTTCTCAATTATCTTTCCCTTTCCCAGGATCCAAACATCGTTCTTAAAGGCCTCGATCTTAATATCTATACCAGCCACGTAGGGGTAGTCGCATCGGCTATCGCGGCGAAGATATCTAATTCGGACCGGTTACGCACCCTGTCGATAGGCAGGCAGTGTCCCGGCTATGGCTGGCGTATCCAAATTTGCGATACTCTCCAGTCGATGGCCTCATTTGACATTTCTCTGGAGAATGGGGTGGGCCCACTCGATGTTGCTTTCGATGTGCCCTCGGCCGCGGCGCCGGACGTAATCGGAACATTTTGCAGACATCTCCCACTTGCGCAAGTGCAGAACCTCAGTCTATTGTCTACCGATCTTGAGATGCCATTACAGGTTCGATGGGTTAAGACCTTTGGGAAGCTAGAGAACGTATCTCTGCTGCAGATCGGAGGAAATCTGGCGCAACATCTCCCGCTCGCACTTGGCATTCGCGAGGAAGACGGGAATGTCATCGTTTTCCCTAAGTTGCGGGAATTGCAGCTGAACGACGTCCGCATTAGGGATTACAATAGCCCTGGTAGCAGTCTTTTCTTGGACTCATTCCTGGATTCCCTGATGCAGCGCTGCGATCACGGTGTAGAGATCCGCCATTTGAAGCTCGCGAATTGCATAAACATGGACATGACTGAAGTCGTTCTCATATCTGAAATTGTGCCCTCGGTGACCTGGGATGGCATCGAGGATTTTGTGGAAGACGATGAAGAGGAAGAGGAAGAGGAAGATGACGAGGGCGAGGACGAGTCGGATGGCTCGGTGGGTTTTTTTGGCAACAACTATGATATACTCTTCTAATAAGATGACGAAGAGTGGTTTTGAATATCGACTTCACTCTCGCGCCGTTCTACGGAATGATCGTCTGTAGCTGTGCTAAACCTGTGTTGAAGTTGTGCACCTGCTTTCTGTGTGTTGGGTTGCTCGTTCACAATACCATTCCGATGACGATCTTCTCCGCCGCAGATCGCCGAAACATGGTTGTTGACACCGGAAGCTGACTCTACTAGCAAATTAAAGTAAGTTGGGTTGCTCGTTCACAATACCATTCCGATGACGATCTTCTCCGCCGCAGATCGCCGAAACATGGTTGTTGACACCGGAAGCTGACTCTACTAGCAAATTAAAGCAAGTTGGGCAGCTGAACTTCCCATCTCTAAAACTAGGCTAGAGTGCCCCACCATGAGTGGACTCTGTGGGTACAGTCGTTCGTTTGCCTAAAGCTGAACGCGGAACTAATTCGCCGAGTTATAGCACCGCAATTACAAGCACTCTCCTCTGGTGTTTATCACTGGCAGGACCTAAACAATGTCGCCCTCGCAAGTCTTCGCGTTTCCTGGACGAGAGGATATCGCCTCATGCTGCTGGCATGTATCGAGGCTCAGCAATGCACGAAATATCTTCTTTCGCACTAATGTTCAAACAAACGGATTGTCTCATTCCTTCATCGTCATGGTTCCATGCGTGGTCCGCAGTTTCATGAATTTGGTTGTCAATATCTTTCCACCGGGCCCGCCAGTTGTGTCCTATCCGTACTTTCATTCGTGATGTTTTGTTGCATTAGGGCACTAATTTGTGCTTTGCCAGCTACCTAGTCCCATACGCCACAGCCAGTGCCATCAGCGCCACCTTTGGAACACCGTATAATGATCAAGAGGAAGTCGTTCATGCACCATCGCTCCCCACTCATGATTCAGACAATGATATTATCGTCCTATGAGACCTTCGTATCACGTCCGTCAGATCATCAGTCGGCTCGTTCTACCGCGCCGGAACCGGAGCCAGAGAAACCCACGGCAAGCCAGTCTAGTTGGTCGTCATATATGGACAGCCACTTCTCGGCCATATGGCAGACAGTCGAGTTGAAGCAGTGCGTCCTCTCCCGGTCACTACAACAATGCCTGAGAACACCATTAATGCGGCAACTACAGATACCAATTTACTTTCTCAATATGGGCTTCTTCTCGACAATCATCCTGAGAGCAGTATAAGTTGTCCTCACTTGTCACCATTTTAGCAAAGTTGTACCTGCAATCAGCCTCATGTGTTGGATATTTGTTGATTGGGTTACTTCGGTCGTGGGCGGCTGTTCGGCAGCTGTGGACTCTTTAATTGAGAAGGCGTATGGTACCGACTTCCAGTCAATATGATGAAGCTTTTAGTGCCAGGAAAACATGGTGATAGTCTAGACTATGTGCTGCATCTTTTGGAGGCCTGACTGTTTGGGGGATGGTGACTACAATTATATCCTTGATTCCGTATTCGCGATGCTGATAACACGAGACTCTAAGCGAGGGATGCAGACTTACAGAATGTCAGCCGTACCCTCAACCTTATAGCATGGTTCTGCCCTGCGATGCCGGTACTTATTGCATAGGTTCTGTATCTAAAGCCACCTCCCACCCAATACCACCAGTTCTTTACCCGATGGGCCGATGATCATATTGAACAGCTCGTCAACTTCATAAGTACATTCGGAAGTCCATGATTAGCATAGCCACTACCGTGACTGTGAGACGCGCTCGTCACAGTTGTGACCCACGCGTTCGCCGGCGCCTTGGTACCCTTGAATATTGATCTCGTCCAACACACTCCTTCCTACATCAGAGCTTTACTGTTACGCTAGAAATAAGAACTCAAGCGAGGGAAATAGCAGTCTCCAGAGAACATCGGTGGTCATGCAAGCCACTCTGGATGCAACCGCACTCAAACGTAAGTATCAGATTGGGCGTAACCTGGTTGTTTCCTGCTCATGTAGAGGCGTATTAGATCTCACCAGAGCTCTGATATGTCTGTCGAAGTATGGTGATGACCTGACTATCTATGCGACTCCGCAGACCTTGGCGCTCTCGGCCACAAATTCATCCATGTCCGCTTACTGTCGATTCAAATACGACAAGCAGTTCTTCAGCAAGTATAACGTGGGAAACACTGCAGCCGCAGGGTCGTCTAGAACTGAAGTAGAAGAGGTCCCTACAGCTACCGGTCAGTTACTCACCAAGGTTCGTACTCGTTGCTTCTTTGTACGTGGACCTTCCATCGACAACGAGCATACCGTAGTCGTTGCTGTCGATCTTGAAACATAGGACTGTTGAGAAGACTGTAGAGAAATGCGAGCTAGCTATCCTTGATGGTGTTCAGGACGGACGGAATGACGAAAATGAGGACACACTGGAGAGCAGACTGATTGTGCGTTTACACTGTAAACATGGTAAATTCCCTCCGAGATACTCATCCCTCCTGTGTACTCCTTCCTATTCAAGGACGGTATTTAAGCTGACGTTCGGACTCAGGTGTCATAAAGACCCATCGCCTGTTGCTTTTGGCCCAGACTTGTCTTATGGCCCCCGGGATGCTGGATACACCGTGTCAATCCCGGCTTACGATCGGCCCGAGGGCTCTAAAGGACATGATAGAACACTTTCCATCTGCGAAAGGAAGCAAGAGCGACCCACAGCTCATCTGGAACTTTGCGGACTCGGAGGTATCGGTCAGAAGCCTTGAAACATCGATAGATACGAAGGGTAAGTGAGCAGTCTATCATTGATGTAGATACCCCTTACGTCTCATAATGATCTTCAGGGAGGGCACAGCTTGCGACAGAGCTGATCATCAGCGCAGACGAATTTAACGTGTACGACATTTATACATTGCCCACTACAATTGCCTTCCATCTTCGTGAATTCAATGTGAGTCGTTTGACTGGGAAATGTTCAGGTGCAAAACTTCTCCAAATTTGTCCTCGCAGGCTACCATCGCCTTCGCCGAATCATCAGCTCACCCTCTTGACATTCGCTTCACTGATCCTGCGGCTCCCCTATATATCGACGTCGAAGGCGACCTTTCTGAGACACTGTTCGTGATTTCAACAAGTCAAATACATGGCGTTCCAAGTTCGATTGCTGGCCAGGCTCGTCAGAGAAACATTACTTCCGTCGGCCCCCAAACGAGAGGCAAGAAGCGCCAGCTGGAGGATGACAGCAATGCTAGCAGAGCAAATTCTGGAATGAGCGCTGGACAGGAGCGTGTTTCGTGGCCGATGAAGGTGGTGCAAGCAACAGACAGAGCCTCCCTCGCGAGGGAACTGAGCGACAACAATGCGAGAGGCACCTCAAGATCATTGGCAGGGTCCATGCCCCCTCCGTCCCTACCACTTGCGACGCCTTCACAGAATGCGCCACCTACTCCACGGCCGCGCGAGCCACTTTTTTTCCCTAGCTCCCAGCTCTCTCAGGCCGCTCAAGATGCAATTAGAGAATCTGGTCTGGGTATCGAGAATATGACCGCAGAGGAGTTCGAGGCGATGCTCGAAGGGGACGGGGAAGAGGTAGGCTTAGACCCGGACGAAGAACTCGGAAATCTCTTCCACGACGTGCCATCCGATGCAGGTCAAGACAGCCTCGACATATATGATGTGGAAATGGAGCCGACACAGAGCGACGAAGGAACCAAGGTGCGTTTTTCACGAACATGAAATGTAGGTGGTTGCTTACACTAGAGCGCCGAAGGCATTCAAACCGCTGTTTGAGGATTGAAGGGCTAGTGAGAATCGCATTTCACAGATCGTATTGGAGCAGATACATATTCGCTGACTATTCGTATAACGTTGTAATGCTACAGTGTCGTATAACGTAGGAGTAAGAAAGTCGTAAGATACAATGAAGGTCGTCATAAATCATCCAACGTAGCGTCAACGGTCAAAAATCGTGAGTGGATATCTGTAATGCTCGGGCGAACATTACAGGGTATGATGTCATCAACGTCGTGGTCTATACTAACGAGTTCGCATGTTGTTCAGAATAATCAATGCCTGAGAATGACTCTGTACTTACAACGTGAAACGTCATGACGACCGAGAGGTACCCCTATGCAACGACATTTGGGGCATTTGAGGGAAGACTGCCGTTACGGAACACGTCTCGCAGGTCAGAGGAACTTTTCATTCTGCGAACGGTGCGTGGGGGCGAATAGGTGGAGGCATCGCATAAAGTTACGTTTTTCTCTACCTCTTGAGGCCCCTCTACTGCGGCGGAACGAGGGAAGGAGACGTCGTTGGGTTGGGCAGGGCTCGCGGAAGGTATAAAGTCGGCGGTTTGCTCCGCTAGGGCACTAGAGGTGCCCGTGCGAGAGGTCATAGAAAATCGTGAAAAGAAGTGAGAACGATTTGAAACTGCAGCGCGCGCAACGGTGAGGGTAAGGAGGATCTGCGCCGGCGGTGGGGCGGAGGACGTCATGCTGCATGATCGAGAACTGCGTCCGGACTCATCCGAGAACTCACCGGAAGCAGATCATCATTCTGAGCATCGCGGGAGACCACAGCACGTGCACAGAGTGCAGAGAGCATATGCTCACTGGCAGTGAAACTCAAGTACTCAAGCTCAAGTGCAAGAGTATTTCGCTGACGTATCATTTCATACTATCTATTTGTGGATGGAGTCGTCACAGGAGAGTGTCCAACTCGACGAGGCGTGGGGCAACCGACTTACTTTCAGCTTTAGCTCAACAAGCAGCCAGCATAACTTTTGACATTTGCCGTTAATCTTCTTGCGTAAGACATGCATGAAGGCCTCACATGAAGGCAGACGATCATGACGGAGAGAGACAGTGGTGATGAAACCATCTAATTCAAGACTTACGCGTAACGTCAAGCTGTGGGTGCAGGGGAGGTCATTTGACTGAACTCCTCTGCGCAGGCCAAAAGACGTATAAGTCCACGGAATCAATGGGATGCAAAGATCCACGTCGATAGCAATATTTAGGAGACTTGCAGTAGCCCGATGTGGCTTGAAGTTTCGGCGCTGTGGTTCAGCCGCGCGTCGGTTCGCAACAAAAATTCTCACACTTTCGGGATCTGAATCGGAAGATTGCCACTTGAACTTGAGAACCCATATATGGGCTGTCGTCCGCAGCAAAAAGCGCCAACAGAAAACTCCGCAGTAAATATTTCAGTCGATTCTGCTCACCATGATGCTCTCTGAGCATCTCTAGCTTGGAGCTGTCGAGGTCGTGATTCCCCGGAAAACCAGTCTGTCGGTGGAATTATCTGAATCATCGGTGTTACGGGCTCCAGGTCGCTCCCAGGCTCGGCCTCCCTCACCCCATTGAATTTCAGTAGTTCCAGGCGTAGATGTGGCCACTGTAATTCGACCCACTGGCGGCAAGTTGAATACCAAATGCCTTTTGTCTCTATGCAGTTCATTGATGTCGTGATTTTTAGGTTGCGATTGTCACCAGTGCCTTCAGACGATGCTTGCACAGGCGTAGATTTGGCGTGTGCTGGGTTATTGGCGCATCTTTGACAGATTCTTCTAGAGATGATGATACATATCGGCTTGCTACGGAGGCGCACACGTTTGACCCCGAACTTTGGACCCGTGGATATTGGATTTGCCTCCCAAGTATTCCCGACTTCCTCTCACCAGTCATCTGATGGTAATTCTCAATTGAATTGCATGGCCCGTCTGCCCTAGGTCAGCAGCATGTCGCATAATCTCTTCTTTTATTTTCTCGCTCGCACAAAGCCACCCCACGATTTTTTCATCTCCAGCCGTCAGCTTTGCGCATGTGTTCTATTATCACGACTCCTGTTGTTCCAGTTTCCGCGATAGAAGCAGTGATCAGAGGAGCGTGGCTGGTTGTAATAGAAGGACTTCGGTACGTCCACGTTTTCGGGGTGCGCCGTTTACTTTCATGTGGCGCAGAACGGTGACCCTTACTATCGCGGAAAGCATCTGTCCTCTTCCTATTGCAGGTGTGCTATAACGGGGAGACCGTCCCCAACATGGACCATTTTTGTATCTCAATGTGTCTGCATTCACTGCTATTACTGAAAGAAGTTATCGCGTACCATCGATAACAACGACCTATAGCCGTGGCCCGACAGTCATTTACGGCCCTGCATCCGGTCCTGTCTCGCGTTGGACCCACTTTACCACTCTCTTTGTCGTGATTCGACCTATGATATTTGAATGCACCATAACAGATAAACTCGCTCACCGAAGCTGGTCTTCTGAATAAGGTACAAACGTAATACCAGCAGGAGCTGGCATTTGCTAAGCGCCAATTTACCCGGCCCGCCGGGCGAAGGTTCTCGTAAGGCGCGGTGGTACAGGGCGCAATTGACAGAACGGCCATCGACGATATCGTGGTACTGTACGTTACGCCCTGCCAGTGACAATCAATCCCGCGACTCTTATCTTCCCCCGCGAAGTTTATGGTGCGCTATCTGGGTCTTTGATCCATTCGCTCAACTGACAGCTGGATCTCAGAAGTTCTCTCTTCTGGATAATGTGTTCCGGGACTCACAGGTGTGGCTTGCCAACGATGCTGCGCGACTCATCCTCACCAAGTCCGCGTGCTCGGCTCATGACTACGGATGTTACCTCTGCCCCGGAGAACAGGATGGCACTGGGTCAGTGAATTGCACAGGATGTGACGACGTGCACGTAGACCGGGCTTCTCTAATAGTTCGTCCAGACGTCATTCCCCGATAATGATGCCTGTTGACAGGGTTGCAGATTCTAAGTCGTGGCTTGTTCCTCGTGCTGAGGTCCGTCGGAGTGAAGAGAAGGACAACGTCAGCTCTTATCAGATGCCACCCGTTGCGATGCGTCTTCGTGTGACTCGGGATTACACGACTTATCGCATCGTATGTTTCAATTCTAATACTCTTTCCACCATGTTACTAGACACTAAACTTTCAGTGTCCGATAAACGACGTCTGTTTCTCCTTTCCGTGCGAACGGAGAGCTGACGAGAAGATACTCGTCTTGCCAGGACAGCTACTTCGGAACGTCTCTCGCATCCTATGCTATTTGTAACTGGACCTCATGGACGCAGCATGCAAAGTGCGTTGGAAGTACCGCGCCACCGCTTCCCCATTCTGACATCAACTGCCAGGTCGCCGACATTGCAATGCAAAGTTCGGCGTCTTGCGGACGCGACGATCCATGGTTCTCGAGATCAATCCACTCTCCCGTAACCTGGCTAGCCGTAAGATGACGGAGACCGGAGTCTATCTTGAAAGTATAAGAGGTCTACAGGGCCATTCATGTCTGCTAAGTACCCCTCCTACACCTTTATGAGTGCTGCTGCCATGCAATCCAGGTTCCGTTTGAATCCTCAGCCACCTTATAGCCAGAAAATGTCGGAGACTCGCAGTGAGATACGTCGCATCATAAGGGAGGCCCTCCGTATGTCCGTCTTGCTTTCCTCTATGCAGAGGCTGAGCCCCTCCGTAGAAAACATCACGGGGGATCGCATGGCAAGTATGCGCTGGCCCTCTTACTGGAAGGACATTGTCCAGCGATACCACGTCATGATCGTGGGTTGGCCCGAAGAAGTTCCATTCAAGAACTTGAGCCAGGTCTCCAACCTCGCAAAGCTCGAGATTCTCCTGCGCAAATGGCAGAACAACGAGACGCGTTTTCGCCGCATTACTGACGCAGAATTGACGGTGCTGAGCACGGAGCGGGAAGCGAGGATTGAGGCGGGGACGGAGATCGACGAAGGAGGCGATGAAGAGGCTGAGGAGGAAGAGGTCCCACAGGAGGGTTCTTCGAGCAATGTGGGTTCTTAGAAGTCTCTTGGGCGGGTCAAGTGTTCGCGAGCGCAGAGGGTGGTTTCGATGGGAGCGTTGCTAATCGTTGAACATTGCTTTTCGCCTGTGCTGCTTTGTATCACGATGCTATTGTTCTGTACAGAAATGCTCTGGATGTATGCCGTTCGACTAACGAACAAGTAGTGTCGCACTTGGAGCGAGGATGTCTGCCGACTCATGTGACGCCGGCCATTGGCTACGTGAGTTCAAGCAGGTTGCGTCTAATTCAAAACTCAATCAGTCTCACTGGAAGCTCCAGTTAGCCGGCTTAAGAAGGTGTGTATGAATACGTTGTAACCGTTTTCCTAGGAGGTCCGCAGGAGAAAGACTTACGTTTGCCACGGGTTGTCATAATCATCCCGCGAGGTCTCGAAGAATGGGGCTCAGGATCTGTTCTTGGTCTCGAATCAACCAGACTGTCTGAGTAGTTAGCCGAGAGTGAACATTAAGTACGAACTCTTAACCCACCGTATCGCCATCCCCGCTTTGATCATCTCATATAACTATTATCGATTCTGCATAGCACCGGTAATGCGACCCGACTGACAATGGCCGGTTCATCCTCAGCGGGAAGGCGATATAGCATCGCAAATGCGCAACGTTCACTTCATCGATTGGCGATAGACGATTGTGCTGAAGACGAAACAATCGAGCGACAAACCACAAAGTTGACAACGCTGGCTCGACCTCACGCAGTAGTTGAATCAGTTTCGACTGACAGAGGTCAACATTGTTTTGAAGACCTTTCAATGGTGCAAGAAATCGGACTGATCGATCTGCACTCGCCGAACACTGACCGGCCAAACTTCAGCAAACATTGCATCTGACACAATAAGGGGGGCAGGGCAAATGAAACTCGCGAGGAGAGAAGAATTGTTCTACCCCATTAATGGTTCCAACCGCCTGACAACGTCGATCACGGAACGTACCCTGTACAATCTATGTTTGCTTCACCAAGGAAGCTGTCAAGGATTCTTCGTCGAGAAAGCCAGGATTCTAATTGACCCCCGATAACGACGACCCTGACTGACTGACCGAGTCCGGCCGGCATCAGGACGTCCGTGACAATAAGAGAATTTGGGATTTTTGGCCTCAAACTTCCCGATGAAATCAGACCTTAGGCCAATTTTCGGCCTCATGTCAGATATGGGCGCTTCTGAGGGCGGCAGCGGAACGTCGCCCCCGGACCCTCACATTGGCAGCCGGCAGCGGATCAGGCGCTTCACCGAAGCTGCGGTGAGGCTCCGGACATAGTATCACCTTCGGAGAAGCCTCAAACGTCCGGGTGAGAATAGGCCTAAGGCCTCAAAAATCCCTAAATTCGTCCGGACGAGTCATCAGGCCTCTCCACTTATTGTCATGGGTCCTGTGGATCCCATCAATTGAGCCCAGCCAAAAGTTCTGGACGTAAGTACCGTTCGCGGATCAATCTGCGCACGTGCGGGGAGAAGCCGTCCTGTGGAGGAACTCCTTGGACTTATACCGACAGAGATAGTACTCCCAAGAAGATTGCCATGCAGAACCGTCCTTTTGGGCATTTACAACGGCGCCCTTGGGCGTTCTGCTGTCTCGTTCCGGTGAAGAGACGGCCGTGACTAGTTATGGCTTCATCAGCACTCTTCATAACCGGAGGTACGCTTACCAATCGCACAAGTCGTGCATGAATCAAGCCCTGAATACATTCGCACCGCACCCAACGCCGGCACGGCGGCCAGAAGATTGACGAGAATTAATGCCATGAGATGTGGCGTTGCGACATGCTCTCCAGTGAAGTGCTCGCAGCAGGAAGGCACAAAACTCACTAAATCTTGGCGACAAAGATCCGAGGCATGGCGCAAACAACAGGTTAACACCCAATGTACTGCAAGAGGTACGAAACCACGATGAAATTGAGAGTTATGTCTACAGAGCAACAGCTTTTCTCCTCGTTGGAGGCCTGGCTCTCTTTCTCTTCTTGCCTTGCGCAAATGCGTTTGCGCTTTTTAGATCTCGTCCCAGTAAGTCCTCTTTCTTGACTTGATAGATACGGACCTACGTCGAAGATAACGAGTGAGAAACGAGACAGGATAACTCCGGATTCAGACTTACAATCCAATTTTCTGAAGTAAATGCCTCGTCTGTATTACGCCGGTCGATCAGCATCGATAACGAACGCATCACATGAACATACCCAAGTAGTCCAATGTCGGTCCTGTCTTGGGAATCTGCTGGCCACGAACGCGGTCAACAGCCTGGTTTCCTCCGAATAGCTCAGGGAATCTGGAACATTGAATTTGTCAGATCACCCGGTAGAGGCAACCTCAGCAACCGACCGCTCACCGATAGTACGACATTTTGTACATCAAACTGTTCTTCATCGCCGGCGAGGCACCCTCATCGACCTTGTATTCACCCTTTGCAGTGAAGTAGTTCGGCTCCTGGATCTCATCGGGCCAAACACCCTGAGCAATCCGGACCATCCACAAGAACTTATTGATGTCGTCGCCCGAATAGCCCAACAGCCCTCCGAAAATTATGAGAACGTATTCAACATCGTGCTTGCGCAGGATCGGGTACGCCACTTCCTCGCTGCTGGACATCGCCTTCCCAACAGTAGCGATATGCGCTGGGTGAAGATAGGAAGGTGAATCATCAGTGTCACCAGTATACAAAATCAAGACTGACTGTTGTTCCATGTGTTGTTGTCTACCAGGGTAGGCCGGTCAGCCATGCCTGCAATCTGGTAACCATAGTCCCACCAGCTCATCACCACAGCGTCCTCCGGAGTATTTTGTCTCAGCCAGTAGTAGGCTTCGCGGAAATCATCAATGATATGCTGACTGCCGTCCGGATTCTGTGAGGCAAGTACGACGGATGGTGACGAGTAAGCGTTGGCAGTTACCCAGGTGCAGTGCAACACGAAGAAGAACAGCATGCCGAGGGCATTGAAGACGACGACAAGACGGGTGTCGAGGCCAAAGATGCCGCGCGCCTTTGCATCTTTCTTCGACGGATTCACCGCCGCAGAGACGGTGGACATGATGTCGGAGATGGGATCAGCCGGGGGCACAGGGGAAGACTTTTTAGCTTTCTTCGCGCCGGTAGAAGAACCCGACTTCGGGGAGACGGCAGTAGAAGCGGCATTGGTAGCAGTTTGCGCCTGTGTAGGCTCCGCGCGGCCCTCATTTTCCTCCAGCACTTCAGGTTCGGTAGGGTCAATGTATGTGTCCAATAACGAGGAAATCGCGATCGCAGAGGCGACGCAAACGACGGGTGTGAGTGTAAGCATCAGACGGACCATAACACCTGCAAAGTAGCTGGCGACAACAGCATAGATGATCACGAAGACATGCTCGTCACGGAGCTCACGGAAACACAGTACCACACCTGCAGGGAAGACGAATATGAGGAATTGCAAGTCCATGAAGAATGCTGGCCATGCTGTTGGTTGATGCTCAGAGACGGAAGCAATGATAGGAATATACCTTGCGGGACATTAGCGGTGAGGCCACAAGGTGAGCAACAACAATGTGCCGCACTTTTTTGCGTAAGTAGTATCCCAAAGAGAGTAGAATCTTCCGGTCCAAGGGGCAATCCAGCCTTTGTAAGTGAGGCCGCCAATTGCCGCGACACCTAACACACCCATAGCAATCACGGACGCAAACAGGAGACTCTGGAACTGCTTCGAAGAGACGTGTGACCGCACAAGTTCGGCAAAAGCGACGATCTGCAGGAACCCGAATACTCCTGTTAACAAGCGAACAGTCAGAACCATCACAAATTTCTACGATAATCTCAGACCTAAGGCGGCCATATGCTCGCTAGTGCGCACTGGCTGGAAACCAACGAACGGCACCTGCATACTTGCGAGCGTGCCAATTGCGTACCAAGAAGAGTAGGCAACGTAAAGACGGTTGCTAAAGCGTCCCATGCAGATTAGGGCGAAAGAATGGAGAGGTATCATGTTTGTGATGAAGGCATAGCCACCTAGAATGTGCTAATGAGCAATAGTTGGCCTGCAGCGGGATAATTTATGCTTCACCCCATGCAGCAACCATATAGAAGTAGAAAAGGGCAGCCAAGGTTCCAAAGAATGCGCTGCCTGTCTTGAGTGCCTTGATCCAGAAAAAGAATGTGATCATCAAGAGAAAGATAGCAATAGCCTCATTGTCGTACGAGCCCGCTACTGAACGGGAGATATATCCAGGGACAATACCGATAAACGCAGCAGCAAGGAGGCCAGCACTTTCGTCCTTCAACTCTTTCGTGAACCTAACGATAGGACCATGTTATATGTTCACTCAGGAACTTGACGGTAAAATAATCTCGTACATGTAGGTAGACCAAGCTGTGAAAGCACTGAAGCCGGGGGCAAGCAACACACAGATGTTGCGAATGTCAACCGGTAGATTGAGTGCATGCAGTATATTGTAGATGACTCCACTTGTCGCCATCAGACCGGGATATATTGTACCTCCGACTACACGGCCTAACGGATACCACGCGGTAGGATCGAACCAGTTCCAGAATTCCTAACAACTTGTGAGCACCTTTGGCATTTGAGTACAACGGGTGCACAAACATAAAATCCTTTAGCCGCAAGTACTTTTGTTGCGCGACTGAGTAGTGATCCGTGCGGTTAGAATTGTCCCAGAATGCACTAAAACGTACTCACTAGTTGAACCATGGATCACTAAGTCAAACAAACTTCAGGGAGAGCAAACAGGACAGTGGAAATATAACGCACAATTCATGGATTATACTTTCAAAGTTGATGACAGCAAAGAGACGAGAGGCAATAGCAGCTCCGGAAATGAGTGCGAGGGCTATGATCCGCAGCAGTGAGGAAGTATTCGTGACAGTTGCCGGAGACAAGTCAGATGGTAGAGAATATGCCACAGCCATGGCTGCTCTGGGAGGACGCAGACAACGTCGACAAAAACCGTTAAATCAGTATGGAAATTGGATGGGTGGTGTTGCAGGAGGATCGTGCACACACTGACAGGACACGTCGCACATTTGGACTAGCGCCCACCTGTGATTGCTTAGTCATCACAATAACGTGACCTGGATATACTCCGGATTCATTCCGCATTACAACTGCCCGTCCTTGTTCAGCATGTCATCATCGAGAGACCGAGTTGTGGAGGACACGTATGAGTCCCAGAATGATGACCGGTTAGATCAGCTGCACTCCAAACTGCGGACCTTACGCGGTGTACGTCAACGCGCTGCCCTGTTTCTACATGTCTAACGCAGTCTTCTGGTAGGTTACAACTGATATATATGATGATGTAGAGCTCCAGAATTCAACGCTGGACCAAACGGTAAGTCTGTCGTATTGTGGATTACCGCACGGGTGATCTTGACCCTTCCCAGCGAAATGCCTTCGCTTCCTTTGGAGATTCTTTGGTTCAGTCGTCACGGCGTGCCGGACAAGCATTTGGAATTGGCCCAGGAGGAGCAAAACAGTGGCGGATCATTTTGTATTGTGCTAGCGCTTTTATTGGCCTCTGGATACTCTGGAAGATTCTCTTCTGGTGGTGGGCTACAACGCCTTCTCCATGAGGAGAACCTTTTTCGCTTTACCTCCAACATTACGGATATTTATTAATTGTCTGGTACTTTACGGAGACCTTAAGGAGTTTATCAATCTATACGTATGGCCTTATACCAGTGTTACGGCCCGTGTGAGTGTCCAGCGCTCAACGCCACCTTGGGAGATCCAAGATCAGCCCGCGCGATACCCTCGTTCTTCCTTCACCCTCTTGCACATTCGACATGTCTTCTGACAGAGATGTTCTCCTTTCGATGGGGTTCAACCCATCTCGTGTTGAATGTTTGCACCATATTCTCTCCCACAACGCGTCCTTAACTAACTCGGTATACGGCATGCAGGGGCCTGGAAAGCCACGGGAGGCCGTGGCCTGCAGCCCGCAATGGACCACATTCTTGAAAATGAGGGAAAGCCCGTACCAGATCTCACATCAGTGTCTACATCCGCTGCTCCAAGTGGCGCAGAGCCTATGGATGACGAGGACGAGGATGAGGAAGCGTTAAGAGCAGTGTACGGGAAGGCCGGTATTGCAGGTGCAGCTGCGGCGAGCGCAGATGCAGAAGCCAAGGTAAATGTCTCGCAAGTTTTCTCCATGCGCTGTCGCTGTAATCGTTCTGTGCGCGTGGATAGAGCATCAAATGCGCTGTCTGCGGGAAGGTATTCAAGAACACGGCTTTGGCAAACTACCATGCAGAGAAGAGTGGGCATGACCAATTTGAGGAATCTACCGAAGAGGTACGCATATGTCTGTCTCCCGATGACTCCACATCTCAACGAATCATTTGCCTGGAACATCATGTATGGACTGCACACGCAGGTTAAGCCTCTAACGGAGGAAGAGAAGAAGCAGAAGCTTGCAGAGCTCCGAGAGAAGATGGCAGAAAAGCGTGCTGTTAAGGCCAAAGAAGAAGCGCAAGAGAATCTGGCCAATGAAGCTATTCGGAGGAAGTCTGGCAAGGTGGGTTGAGGTCAGCTTTGGGTCAGGGATCATTTGACATCTGTCGAATCCAGGACATCAACGAGTTGCGAGAAGAAATAAAACACAAGGAGCTAATCAAAGAAGCTGAGAGTAAGAGGAGGGGTAAGATAAGACTGGACTGAAATAACGATCAACGCATGACCCCCCTTTTACTCCAACAGAGAAACTCGAAGACGCGAAGGCTCGCGCGGCTATCAAAGCGCAAATTGAAGCCGACAAGAAGGCTCGTGCAGAGAAGTCCGCGCGGGAGAAGGCGCTTCGTGAAGGAAAGCCTGTAACTGGACCTTCAGAACACTCTGCAGCTCCCGCCGCTTCCTCTTCCACTGCGCCCAAAACATCGGGAAGGGACTACCCGGAGACTCGATTGCAGATCCGATTAGCCAGTGGGGGGCAGCCGTACACTACCACTTTATCTAGTGATGCCAGTGCGTTGGTATATCCACGTGTGAGTAGACGACGCTGACGAGGTGTGTTAGCACTGCGCGAAGTAGCCGAGTTTCTTGCTGGTCAAACACTCTCAGTAGATGTCGACACTGTCACTCTTGCTCAACATTTCCCAAGGTAGATTCTACTCATTCAGGTTGGCACGAGATTTGACTGTCAGATGACACAGGAAAACGTTCGCGCGGTCAGATTTCTCGCGAACATTGAGGGACCTTGGTTTGACACCTTCCGCTGTAAGTATTGTGATCTGGGTTTCACGCGTCTGCGGATTTGATTTCTGATCTGTGAAATATTTCGCATAGGTCCTGATTGCTTCATGAACCTCATGCGTCGAGTTGTAGCAGCATGTTGATGCCGTTGGAACCAGAAGTGTACTTGTGGATGTATATGTAATGTCTTCATTCAGAGTGTATTCAAGATTTTTGTCGCTAGCAGCCCGAGGCTTTGTAGCTCTTTGTGTGTACGTTGAAGTTCGCTCTACCAGGCTGGTGAAGCTGAAGTCTCCTTTCTCTTGGTGTCGCTTCCATTAGACTACGAGATGGCGGCTACGGACGAGCCTTTCCGACAATTCGGCCATGTCTCGCCTTTCCCACATTTCTTTCATTGTCCAACGAGTGATAACTGAAAGGGACCGATTTAAGAGAGTACTGTATTTGTACTGTATACTGAATCACAGGAGTCGCTGTGAAGGGTCCGGGTAATTATAATGTCCTTACGATCGCTCGCAGTATGCGGATTGAGGAGTGAGGAAGATGTTCACCAGTAACTACCACGAAGAGGCAGTGTCTGCAGCTGGTCAAACAACTTAAATGGGCCCCTACGAGTTCCAACATTTCCCAAGACGCCAAATGCAGTCTACACGATTACTTTCTGCCCTCGTCCGCTAACCTGCCATCTACAATCGGATGAATGACAACTAGATCCTCGTCTCCTGTCTTTTCGTCGTCTTGGGTCACCTCCTGAACCCTGCTGTCGAGGCTAGTGGCAGCCCTCATTACCTCCCCATTGATACAGTCCACACCGCTCATATGTTCCCTCGCAGAAATGTTGATATGATCTCGGTAATGTGCGCGCGACCACCGTAACGCCGTTGCGACTAAGCGTACCTTGTTCCTCAGCTTGTCGATCCTTGTCGGGGGCTTAGCGCGTCGGGCGTAGTGCTCTCGTCGCACTTTCTCTCGCGAAATGAGATCTGCAGTGTCTGGGTGTAGATGCGGTACCTCTGTATGATTTGCAAGGCGCGCCATGCGGTTTACATAGCGGGCACCTGGTGTAACGTTGTTAGCTATCATGCTCCGGGGCGAAATGGTACTCATCACTTACCTAGAAGATACTTCCGTACGATCGAGCTCATGAGTTGTCCGCTTTCGTCGTCTACGAGGTACCGCCTTCCCTTCAACATCAAAAATCCGTCGTGGCCTTGCGCCATATACTCGCGCGACACGATGCGGTATTGGCGGCCGCCGCGCTCCCGTGGGATCGGATCGCCATCTATGAGAGATACTGCCGAAGAAGTGGCACCACTGGGGAGAGACTGCAGGCTAGTCATGGAAGAAGACGCGGATGGAACGGGAGTGGGGGTCATGCTGCCCGACGTCTCTTGGACAAGCCAAACTCCGAGCACACGTTGCCCTGGAGGGCGTCGGGAGTCCCAAGACACTCGGAATCCAGAGATGACGGGGAAACGTCTGCCAATGAAAGTCAAACTCAGTGGTGCGATCGCATGTAGGTTGGCAAAGTGGAACGAAACCCTACCCCTCCTGTGCTGGCCACGTTGCCAGAGACGACTCTAGTGCCTCCCATATAGTCTGACCGTCCAATTCAAGTACGACGACTGGATCCTCAAACGGTAGGATCTCCATGATATCACCCAGAGTAATACAGCCTGTATCGCATCAGATTGAAGAATATCGAACAGGATAAACCGGGATTGCACAAGCGGTATACAATGCTTATCAGATGATACTCACCGGGACCGTATACTGAGTCACCCCGTAGCGTTCCTGCACAGATGAAAACTCCATCGGTCCCCCCACCGCATGACAGTGCTTCATCGTATGCATGCCGGAGGACGTCCGCAAACCAGTTTGTCGATGAAATCTATGATACAATACGCCCAGCGTAAGTGAAGTGCATGGATTCCTGTGAGTGTCTCGGGGAACGTTTCTGACCTCCCGAGTGCGAATGAGCTCAGAGCGCAAATCCAGCTCAACGTCAGTTTTGCATACAGGCGCCTTGAGGGCAGAGGATACGGAGGAGAGGAGGGTTTTGAGCAGCTCCGTCAGTACTTTACTTTTCTTCGATCCAGGCTGTGTGGCATGATGCCTTCCTGCAACTCCAATTAGAGAAATTGCAATGCCAGGGTATAGATACACACCTCTAATTTCCTTGATGACTTTCCGACGAACACTGCCCGGACAAGTGTCTGCCAGCTCAAGAGTGAACTCGCTTAGATCGCGGAAATCAGTTCCGCTCTTAACGATGAGCACGTCTCCCAAATCTCCTTCAGCACCTAACACCGGCGTATTGGTGTCATACCCTTCCCATGAGGTCACACCGCGGGAGACATAGTACACGTGGTCATGCCCGCCGAGAATGATATCGACGCCGTGCTTAGATTCAATGGGCTGATCCAGTTGTGCGGAAGGGGACAAGGCGTTCAGTGCCTTCGCCAGAGTGATGTCCTGTAAGGCATGGATCATGAAGCAATGCTATAAGGAAGATGCTGTAAACATACGTTCGGCACTCTGTACGAAGACATTAGATCTAGATAATCTGTTGTAAAGGCGGCAAGCTACCTTGCATGGGTTAGTGCGACTATGATATCGCATCTGTGCGCTCCGTTTGGGTCACGCAAAATTTTGGAGAGTTTCATTCCTGCTTCAGCTGCGTCTCTGTATTCAAAGTTTTCTGGCCAAGTGGGCACCGTACTGATCCACTCTCTTTACCAATTCGGCTCGAATTAAAACCAATATCGTGTATTGGGAACCAGCAGGACGCACTTCTCGACGAGACCAATAACGCCTATACGCACCCCGGCGCGTTCGAGAACGTAATACTCTAGGAGGTGATCGGGAATGCGAGACGTCGTGTTGTCGATGATGTTGCTCAATACCCAGGGCTGTGATATACATCAGGGTGGGTATAACAGTTCATACAAAACAGAATCTCGCACAAATTTCGTGTCTTCAATCAGCTTCGATAAGTGTGGATAGCCTAACAGTGAGGAAGGTCGATCAGCAATGCAGTAGACAATGATAAAGCCACACACCAAAGTCAAAGTCATGATTGCCTGACGAAGTGTAGTAACAAACATCAGACCTCAAAAATTGTTAACACTGACTACTACGGACCTGCCATAGAGACATCAGGGGCAAGGATATTCATAACGGGTACCTGTCGCGTCGAGATCAGCCTCGACGTCCTGCGTGTACTCATCACTATAGGTGAGTCCATATAGAAAATTCGAGCAGTACCATATGGCTTCCACGAGTAACAGAGCTCTCTACAGATGGAGAGAAAACATCTCCGGAGAAGAGCACGAGCCCATCGCGTTTTCCGTCCGGTCTCTGCGGCCATTGATCGCGCACATCGTCGAGCATAGCTGCGAACTGAGTAACATCGATGGTCTCAGGTGATTTTGGCACAAATTTGAACGGCTGAACACGATAGATATCGTTGAAATGGAGGATAGGCAGGCTGGCCATTGGATCAGTCGGAACCTTCAACTTAGAGGTGAATGCTTTAACGCGCTCAGGCTGAGCGTGATACATATCAAGCATTGCACCACGATCACATGATGAGAGCTCATGATGGTGTTCGGCATTCTCAGGGCCGTCTTCTTAGCGTCTCCACGTCCTCATCACGTCCCTTGTAACGTGTCGTACGGCTTGCCTGGTCTACATACTTGCTCCCGATATGTTTCTGGCCAGGACGGCTCGAGGTGTGGTGTACTCGCGGGACCCTTGCACAAGACTGTCAATGGCTCGAAAGCCGACTCGGGCCGCTCTGTCGGACCGGACGTCGCGCCAGGAGCGCCGTCTCTTGTCTTCAGAGTCCAGGTCAAACTCAGAGACTAGTCGCTCCAGAGGTTTGCAGGGATTGATTCTAGGGGCTGGAATCACACTCGCGGTTGGGTTTTACGTCCAGAAAAATGGCTTACTACGACTGGACAGCAACACCATTGACCCCGGCGTGAGCGTAAAGCCTACGAAGACAGTCAAACACCAAACTCTCCCTCAGCATCCGAACGCGTCTCAGTATGCCTCCAAGGAGGAGGTACAGATGGCTATTTCGGAGCTGCGCGAAGCTCTTCCACAGGACGAAGCCGTTACAACGGACCAAGATACGCTAAAGCTCTACGGCCATTCCGAAAACTCATATCACCCAACGTCACCCCATTCCGTGGTAGTTCATGTTCAAAGCACCGACGAGGTTGTGAAGGTTGTGAATATCGCCAGGAAGTATCGAGTGCCTATTGTTCCTTATAGCGGAGCTACCAGTTTGGAGGGACACTTCTCCGGGGTACTGTCGTTCCTGCATCTGCATTCCGAAGATGACAACTCATGAAGGCATTGCACGCCAGTATCCTACAGGTGACATCTGCTTAGACATGTCGGCAATGGACAAGATTCTGGAAATACACGGTAAATATTATCACCGTATCATGTTGCTACTAATATGTATCTGCTCTCGTCTAGAGTCCGATGGCGATCTCGTTTGCCAGGCTGGCGCGAGATGGGACGATATCAACCACATCCTGGCTGAAAAAGAAATCCCACTCTTCTTCCCAGTATGTTCTGAAACACGTTCGCGTTAACACGTCTGATTCCACGAGTTTCAGTTGGACCCAGGTCCCGGAGCCGTAAGCACTACTACTAAGAACAAGTATTATGGGACCCCAGTTGATGCCACATTGCACGACAGACAATAGGTGGGATGATTGGCACTGGTTGTTCAGGCAGTGAGCCGGTATAGTAGTGGTGGTTGCTAGTGATTCATAACAGTACGCAGCAAATGCCGTTCGCTACGGAACCGCGAAAAGTGAATGGTTTCTGAACATCGTGCGTGACTGTTTATGTTTTCACACATGTTCTCTTACTGACCTCAAGTTGAATAATAGACTGCTGTCTTGCCCAACGGAAAAGTGATCAAGACACGCCGGAGAGCGCGCAAGTCATCCGCAGGCTTTGACCTGACCAAGATCTTTATTGGTGCAGAGGGTACCCTGGGCATCGTTACAGAGGGTATGTGGATCCGTTCCTCTGTGGCAACCAAGCTCAGACGGTAGTAACTTTGAATAAAAGCGACACTCCGCCTGGCACCTGTCGTACCCTCGAAGGTCGCCATGGCGCAGTTCCCGAATGTCGAAAATGCTGTCAGCGCCGTGCAAGAGATACTGAACACTCCGCACGGGCCGCACATTCGTATGTCTCACAGTGTGTTTGACGAGGCCCTCACTCTTATTTCACCCGGCGCTACATACAGAATGCGTAGAGTTGCTTGATGACAACAGTATGATTATCTAATTATCAAACATAGGCGAATTATCTTTATTGTTTCCCAGTGATGGCTGCAATCAACTCGGCCGGTCTGGTGTCAAAGTCGTACCCCGTCAGCGACACGCTCTTTTTCAAGCTACAGGGCGACGAGGCGGCGATATCGGCGACCGCGCGTGCCGTCCAGGGGATAGTCGCGCGCCACAGCGGATCGCGCTTTGTGTTCGCCGAAACGGACGAGGAGGGTGCTGAGCTGTGGGAAAACCGCAAGTACGCGCTGACCAGCACTCTTGCGAGTGTGGAGGGTTCGCGGTGCTGGACCACGGACGTTTGGTGCGTGGCGATGCGGGGCGATGCGGGGTACTGGGCATCAGCTGAAATGATGTGGTGCAGTGTGCCAGTGTCTCGACTTCCTGAGCTTGTGTATGAGACCAAGAAAGATCTCGCGCAGTCCAAGCTGCAGTCCACTATCGTGGGACATGTCGGAGATGGTGGGTCATCTCGTCTTCTGATGTCATCTCCTCTGCATTTAATGGGGAACCACAGGCAATTTTCACGCATTGATTCTGTTCAAGAACGATGACGAGCTCAAGGTGGTCGGCGACGCCGTGCATCGACTGATACGCCGTGCGATAGCTCTGGATGGAACTTGTAAGTCGCAGAAAACTATCTCACTTATTATACGACCTCGTCTGAACATCCGCAGGCACCGGCGAGCACGGTGTCGGAGTCGGGAAGAAGGAATACCTCATAGACGAGTTGGGCGAGGGCACCGTCGAGCTCATGCGCACGATCAAGAATGCCGTCGACCCTTTGAATATTCTGAACCCGAACAAGGTGAGTCGACACGCGTTTCTGAAGCGGTGCATGTCAGCCTATATTCTCGACCTTTCCCAGTTGTATCCTGACCTACCCACGAATGGTGGAAAGAAGTAAAGGGGTATTTAGACTGGCGATTTTTACGCACACGATTTAGTGGGAATGAATCTTTGACTTGTCCATAGTCCTCACTCATATGCTTGTTCATAATCTGGAATGACATTAACCAACTTCCATTTTCCGTTATTTATGCAATCATTCACGCGTACCAGTTGCGGCCCAGGAGTACTTGACTAGTGACTCTCAGTAAAAACCGGAAGTCAGTTAAAGTCTGGTGTTGTCGGGTTGAAGTCAATGGGATTCAAAATTTTGGCACCATGGTCAGGTAAAGTCCATAGAAGTCTGTTTACAGTCACCAAACTCATCATGCCAAGAAATTATGTGATCAAATGCCATCAAATTCTAGTCTGTAAAAGTCAGACACTGCAGTTAATTCTCTCAGAATACATGGCATTCTGGAGCTTATATGTTGCTTTTTTGCACTGAGGGGTTGGAACATAACTGTACAGACATGGTCTAAACTATATGAGGTCATGCACTATAAGAAAACCATTAGAGTAGTCACAAGTAGTCATTAATAGTCAAATTTGCCAAAATTTTGAAGCTGGCTGACTACATTTTGACTTCCGGTTTTTACTGAGAGTGACTAGTGACGAGTCGGTGCATATGGCTAGTGATGATGAAGAAAACCTGTATATTTATACTCTAAGCAGGCGACGAAGTGCGCCAATTAACAAGGAGCGATCTCCCAACGTGCATATGGTAAATACGCGCTGGTAAGGAGTTATCGAAAAAGATGGGGACTTTGCTGCAATGAAAGCAGCGGTATCCCGCGATAACTAGCATGTTGGCTAGTATCACCTATAAATCGTGAGTACTAGGTACACTATAGGCTAAGATTTCGATCTGATTCGTGCATCATCCGTGCATCATCCACACGGTTGAACCTTCGATCGAACTTTCCATATTCAGTATCTGTTTGCCCATATCGGGCAGTGGAAGTAATCGAAGCACTACGTCACGTCGTTGGAGATAAGTATACAGCTTGAGTGAACGATAGAATTACAATATTGTAAAAGAGCACCTCTCGGAGACTCTTCTCCCAGGCACGTCGTTGTCTTCGCCCCAACGTCCATGTCCGCAGCCGACGGAAAATAGGATTTTTGACAACAAGAGATATATTGTCACTGGGAGCAACTGCCGCAATTATGGGCAAAACTTTTCCGCAAAAACGGGAACAGGTGAAGGCTAACTTAAGGTATGGGGCAAGTCACTTTCACAACTCTCTACGTCAGCTGTGCTTGGCGACCAGCACAGGAGCATGCGCAATGCTGTTAGTCGACATTACAACGGACCATAACGATAAACGGCAACGCACCCGAGCTTTTTGTACAAACCATGCAGACCACCTGAACAGCATCATGGCGCTCAATATGCACATCCCGACATCGAACCTAGCCAGGCCCCTCCTGCGAACAGGCACCATGGACAGCGAGCTAATGTCTCACTCGGCCTTCCGGGGCGCGTCCGTAGTGATGCCTGCGGTGGTGCATCACCGATGCCAACCGATGTCCAGGAGTAATCGAGAAACAGACCTGGTGACTGGGTCATCAACGGACTTGCAGTACACCTAGTTGCAGTGGGCTGTGACCGGTTCACAGCTATGTAAGTAGCGGAGGGAGATGGTGGGAAGAAGGTGATCTAGTCGAGGAGATGGTGTTTCCTCCCCTGCGGTCGTGTTGGACGACGAGGAACCGTTCCGCACGTTCGTGCCTTGTGTGAGACGTCCGGCGAGAGCGCTGGCGGGAAGCTATCGATACGGATCTATTTTGCGTTGATAATTACATTTAGCGCCGGCAAGTGCGTCAATTAAGTGAGCGCCTAATGGATAAGTCCATCATTGATTCGGGCTCTTGCCGCATCAGCCGTCGTGTTCCTTCCCTTCCTCCCCACCCTCATGTCGCTCTAGTCCTCTCCCTCTCCTCGCTGTCCTCCCCCTCCTCAGCGATGGACTTTACCCCCACCTCACCATCCCCGACGGTCCGCTCGCGTCCACATGGCCCCCGAGGGCCGAAGCTCATGCCCAAGACCGTCCGATACGACATGAACAGTCGCTTGGAGGAACCCACTCCCGCGTATTCCAGCCCACGCTCTTCGTCGTCCAGCCTGAGACCTGCCACTTCATACCAGCTGGATATGATGTCTACACCACCTTCGCCCCGGCCAGGAACGTCCATGGAGGTATCTCGTGCATCTACGCCCTCAACTCCCGCATTCAAAGTCATTCCCAAGAGACCAACGCTACCCACACCGCCGCCTCTGAAATTTGATTCTGTTCCGGTCGCGTGGCGTGGCATGACTCTGGAAGCTGCTCAGTGGAGTATGACCTCTGAGCAGCTGCAGGAACTCGTTTCCGGTGCCATCCGCAAGTCTGCAGAAGAGTCCTTTATACGACTTGTACGTCGGGAAACCTTTGAAGGAGAGCTAGACGCAGAGTTGGACCGTCTGGAGTCGGTGAGTCGCCCGCCACACGAGCGGTTCCGTATCAGCGCCTAACCTTCGTCATCTTGATGCCCAGCTCAGGGCAACAACTCAATCACAGTACCGGTTTAACATGCACCGGCGGACAATGCTTTTGCAGTCGCTGAACGCGCTGTCGTATTCTGCCGTGTCTGATGCGGGAGACGGGGAGGCGTTGTTCAACCTCACGACACAGCTCGCCGACGTTACTGTCTCCTGCGACAGACTGATGGAGACTCTCTTGACGATATCCGACCAGCGGGGGCAAATTCAGCGTTTGCAAGACGTCCACGTTGGCTCGGCGCTCTCAATGGCGCTCCGAAAACTAAACGCCTCGTACGGTAAGCGGAAGGCAGAGTTACAGGAAGCACGAGACACGATCGAGGAGCTCAAGGCACAGCTCGAAGAAGCGTGGGATGTCGCAGAGGACATGGCGCAGGAGATGGATTATCTGGACAACTTCCAGCTCAGCGACGACGAAGACTATACTTCGACGAGTGCCGTGGATGCAATGAGCGTGCACATGGCTGAGGTGGTGGGAGTCACTGGCAGGGCTGTCGCCACGACAGCAACTCTGACGAATCTACCGGGTGAGCTCGCACGGCAGGGCGACCGCGCAAGCCGGGTCTCGGCAGCGAAGACGAGAAGCATGCTTGCCTCCAAGGCGAGCCTGAGAATTCCAACCAGAAAGCCTTCGAATGGTACTGACCTCGCATCGAGGCAGTCTCTTCGACGGAGATTCAGCAAGAGCTCACGAGGTTGTTCAGTAGAGGGGGGCGCTATCCCGAATGTACCGACAATTCAGATCGCTCTGGCAACGCCGCTTCCAGAGAGCTCGTTCTTAGACCTGGCAGACACCAGACCTACAACACCTGCGACGCCTGCCAACTCCACATTGTCTGATGTTCCTCCAGTACCTTCGATGCCTGTAATACCCGATCTGCCTCGTCAGAACATGGACTCGACCTTGCGGAGGGATAGTAATGGTGTGTCTCTTGTTCTGGATATCGTGATTCCTCCGATAGCTCATAGGTTATTAGGCTCTCTCAAAGCAATCCATGATTCACCTATCACTGCGCCAACACCATCGCCGGGATTCCGCACGTTCATCCCACCCGACCGTAGTGGCGAACTTAGCCCTCGTGCGCCGGGGACGCGCAGCAGAGCCCAATCTGTACAGATCGCATCATCTGCATCCACAGTTACTGTCTTGCGGAGATCGCGATCGGAGTACAGGATACCCGATGGCTGGTCGTTGCCGGACAACATCAAGCCGAAAACATATTCGGTGCCGCTACGAGCTACTGAAGTTAATGAGACAGTGCATATGCAGACTGTGTCGGCATTCACTGTGAATGTGGACAAGAGATGACGATATGTCGGTTGTTTGTTATCTCTGCCTCTGGGTGAGTATCTCCATTCTGAATTGTGTTCGTCTGATTTGATACAACTGCCAGATATCTATACCATCGTCTCGTGCTCTTCTCTAACCTACTACTCAACGCTTTATTGTCGTGCTCTGCCAAAACGTGCCTGTCCTACATTGCTGTATTTTGTATGCACGGGACACTCGATAATGCCTAATATCCTCCGTTACCACGCTGGCGCGTTTTCGATATGTCTGTACCTGCTGTATCATTGGCTTCGTTCGTTTTCCATCATCTTCATCCCATGTGCTTCCCATACATCTTTTCGCTTTTACCACAGGCCGTACACGCTATGGACTCGCTCGCTTCCTACCTATAATGTCGTTCTAGATTTTTCCTTTGTGAATTGCACAGGTGCAGCTCTCTTCGTTCGCCAGGTTGTGTGCGATATTGTAGACGTGTAAATGTTAATAACCGCTGTGTGCGTCGGCGCTCCAGGTCCTACGAATCGATGACATCCATGAGAGTCTGCCAGGTACACACGATGTTAGCCGCTTTGCCGACGGTATAGTGGGATTTAGGATGTCAAAGTATGTGTAAGCCGGTTCAGAGAAGATAAATGATGCTGAGGGATGCGTGAACTTGAATACCTTCCTTTCCAGGACTTGGAGGCCCTCAAGATGAAAGATAAGATTAGATTCAATCATAGCTCGATCATTTCAAGTGTGCCAGTGCAGGATCCTGCACCTTTCCCTCTTGGAGGCGAGAGCTAATGCTACTCACGTCTCTTCCTGCCGATGTGCTCCTGCATATTTGTGGAGAACTTTTTGTGAGTGACATTTTGTCGCTTCGGCAGGTGCGTAATTTTGATTTATACCACACCCGCCTGAATCTGACAATATCTGATGGGTTGAAGACATGCAAACTTTTAGAGTCCATCGGGCATGAACGCAGCGTGTGGAACGACGCGTTACGTATTCATGTCTTATGTCCGGGTTTTCCAGTGCCAGGACTCCATGGCAGACCCCTCGCCTCTCTGTCCGCAAGTGAGCTGGAAGGGCTCACGCTGCGGGCCCTTCGCTTCCGATGCAACTGGACCTCTCCAGCACCTGTCTGCTCGCGAAGAGTGGACATTTTCCCTCCCACTCTCTCGCTCTCCCGCGCGAGGAATTTACTGGTTCAATTTCTTCCGGGGAGAGAGAACCGCTGGCTGTTGACTATCACGCTATATGATCAGCAATCTGCACCAAGACGCTATATCCTTCAGTGCTGGGATGTGTCGGTAAAGGAGCCGATGTGCGTTGCTGTGATGACGTATTGGAATCTTGTGGGCATCAGTGTTAACTCAGATCCTACAAACCCTGCTGTCATCGCGCTAAGTTGGCGAGGGCCATCCAAAGTGTAAGTGCACCGTTCGCTTGAAGTACATACTTTTTGCGGATTACTTTGTCCTTGCTTCGCACATGTCGCACTCTGATTGATGAATTGATTTTCACCCCCCCTTGTAGGATCAACACTTCTCTATACAGAATCAATTTCACCTTGGATGATCCAGAATCCTCGTTCATCTGGATCAGGCAGTTTCCTAGCAATCGTTACTCTATAGCACTAGATGACTCCAGGCTGATCGTCAGTGATGAGGATAACAATGTCAGGATCATCAATGCCGATACGGGTCAGGTTCAATGTGAACTATTGGTCCCCCTGCTCTTTGATGACCCAACGCTCAGAAATGAGGTAAGAAATTATTAGTGCGTGCTCGGATTAACATTTTAACTAAAATTCGTGGGTAGGAACATCGGTGTCTGGCAGCCTTGATCTTCGAGCAATATGTGCTCACCTTTTGCAAGCTATGGATACATTTATATCGTATCCCATCCAAAGACCCCTCACTGGTGGAACTATCTGCCTCAGACATGAAGCCTCCAATACCACGTCTTGATCCCATTGCTAAGTATAAATGGCAATGGCGGATCGACAGCCTCGTGATATCCCCTCATCGCAGTCACCTCAACCAGAGATCGGCAGGAAGCGATTTTGCGCCGACCTTCCCTTCCATCAACATCCTGATACGCTTTGACACCTGGTTCCCGTGGCCCGTGAACATCCTCCACCACTTCTTCCTTCCTTCCAATCCCGCATTTGTTCCGGCAGAGACGTACGCAAGTACAGATGTTTCGCAGTTACCGTACCTATTTTCGTCTTCTCCCACAGACGGCCCCTCCATGGCGAACTCTATTCCCTCGCCGGTGCGACTCTTCACGCCTTCTGATATGGTGCTCGGCCAGTACGGCACCGCGCTATGGATAGATGCGCAAACAGATCCCAACGCACCCGCGCAGGCGGGCGATCACGGCCAGCGGATCGTCGGGAAAATGCTGTCTTGTCCTCGCTCGAAGCCCGAACATGCCAGCGAGGGCGCGGATGTGGACAGAGTCAGCCCCGGGTTCGTTGAATCTCGCTATGCCCTCGACGCCAGTCAGCTCGCGGCTGCGGCAGCAGATGCACAATCGCCGATGATGGTGTTCAATCTTCGCGAACAAGACGAAGGGTGGAATCGAGTGGCGCTGGATGAAGAAGAGGGGCGGATAGCTGTCGGTTCGGTCGATGGGAAGGTGACACTGTTTGAATATATTCCAGAGTAGTGGCCTCGCGCAGTATTACTCCCTCATTGGTACTGATACCTGAATGCCGCACAAACATGTACGGAGACCACGAATATCGCTGTCTAGCTAAGACTGCTCACGAGCCCTACTCTGCAAAGGGGACTCGCCAGCACCTCTCAGAGAAAAATGACTTGAAGTCTTGGACAAAATAAATATTGAGACCCATAGGTCTACCACTCCGGGAAAGCGTGTCATCCTTGTGCAGGGGCCATGCTAATCTTCTCTGTATCGTTCCAATTTTTTCGTATGTCACCCCGAAGGGGACATTATGTAGTACAGGGAATTATGGTTCGGAGCAGAGGAGTTTGCATTTTGTGCAATTGGCGGGTATTAAACTCGGCAAACCGCGCCGCGGCTACTCGGCGCGCAATTTCCGGCACAGCAGAGACTCGGGAGTCGGAGTCGGAGCGCTGCTCTTGGAGTCTTAGTGGCAGGAAACTTCGGAGAGCTCGCTCATACTTCTTGTCTATAGTGTGTTCTGCTGCCGAGAACAGAATGCGGCGACCAGTTGCTCTCGTTCGTCTCGCATTCTTTCTGCTCGTACTTGTCGGTCCAGCCGTCGCTCATGAACACCATGGCGAATTGAGCGAGGAGCAAGCACATGCACCAGTCGATGCCATCCTCTGGATACATATCTTCCTGCAGGCAGCGATCTGGGGTGTGCTATTCCCAGTGGGCATGGTGTTGGGGATGACGCGGAGTCGTTGGCATGTCCCGCTGCAGGTGCGACATAAGCGCGCGTTCGTGATACAGCCTCACCTTCTCGTAGAGCGCAGGATTTGCTCTCACTGCTGCTGGTTACGTGCTCGGCCATTCGCATGGTGGTCGTGCATTCCTAGCAGGCGCTCATGGAATCATGGCAAACATCCTCTTCGTTCCCATTGTTCTCCAACTATTCCTTGGGATCTATTTGAAGCTCCACATCCATGAGGAGACCATCCGGCCGTGGGCTGTGCGCTTGCATGGCATCGTAGGCAAGTCGTATCCTGTTCTCGGATGGACGCAGATGCTGTTCGGCGCCATCGCGTTCAGGGGATACTGTCGTGGTGACAATTTGGGGCAGTGTCTCGCTCACTATCTCATGGTACGATCGGTTCTTTCGTTCGTGTACAGTAGTACCTCACGTCTACTCTAGGGAACTGGCTTTATCGCGTATGGTACCATCATGTCGATTCTTCTCCTCGTCGGCGAGGCTTGGGTAAGGCGTAGTGGTCGTAGTCCAGAGTGGTGGGATTCCTGGGTTATTACGCTTTGGGTAGGTGCTATTCTACTCCGTTTAACGGTTTCATTCGAACGGACACGTTTCACAGGGTATCGGTGAGATTGCGAGATGCGTCGCAATAGCACTTACAATCTAACTGATCAATGATAGTCAACACGTTCACTGAGCACCATGGTCCTGTATTTGCGGCGTGGTCTGTCAAAGACATGCAACACACGTTCGTAGAATCCTTGACTATTGATTTTTGATCCTGCTGATAGCCTTTTCCAGTATTCTTGGTGTTCTCTGTATGTAGCTCTGCTGGTTGTACTGAAGGTCATCTAGCGTTGACTTGTTCCCGCTTTACCAGGGTGGGCTGGAGGCGCACTTGGAATCTTCTTGTCTCGTAACAACCAGGTCAATTTTCTCCCCCTTCTCGGTGTGACAACGTCACTAAGATTGTGTCTCCAGCGCTCTGTGGTCCCTTCCGGCATGTAAGCCCATCAGCACTGCGCCTCATTGCGTGACCTGGACTGAATAATACGAATGTAGCATCTTCCTCACGGGCTGGGCAATGTCCGAGCATGCCCAAGCACTCATGCTTTCCACACAGGTTCTTGTCTCTTTGAATCTCCTTCATGATTAGAAGTATTGACTCTTGACAGGTCCATGCCGTTTTCGGCTACACTCTGATGCTCGCCGCTGTGACTCGCCTCATCGAAGTGTGCTTCATTGTTCCGAAGTTCTACCCTATACCGTCTGTAGAAGTATCCGATGGAGACAGTCATAGCGAGCACACACTCGCCGATAACGGTAGAGAAGACGGGAATGTGGGCTCCGGTAAAGTGGCGACTGTGAAGGCATTTCGCCATCTACCTCCGTTTGTGAGTAGTGAGTTTCAGGACCGTATATCTGCTGTTTGCTGACCTTCTTCCTTCCAGTTGCTTGTATCAGCTGGGTACGTTCTGCTAGAATGAATGTCCTGCGCTAGCTCAAAGCCCCACCTGCTCTGCAATTTCTGCAGATTAATATTTATGTCCGCGACAGATGAAGAGCTTGACTTCGTGCACGACGAAGGGATGGATCATGTAACCTACATCTTGATTATGTTCAGGTACGCTGATCCCATTCTTTCGCGTTTGATTAATCCATAACGCGATCGCAGCGTGTCGTTCATTCTGTATACCTTGATTATTTCCCTTATTAACCTCTTCGCCTCGAGCGGTCGCAACGGCTTCTCTGCCATTGTTGTCGACAACGGCATCGAGCTGGCCCCGACACCCACGACAAAGTGGTACTCTCGTGTCCCAGCTGCAGAACTTGACGGGCCTCCCCATATAATCGGAGACGATGAAGACGAATAGGCTTATACCCGGATTCCTGGATGTATAGCCACGGCGATGTATTCGCACAGTAGCAGAAAGAGACATTAATCCTACGTTTCCTTGTGTGGAAGTGCAAAGTAGACCATTGACGTGCTAAGAGCGCGGCGATGGTGTCTGAAGTCCAGCGAGAGTTTCAATCGCTAATGAAGGCAAGTTCATCCGCGATTTTTGGTCTGAGATCATCAAGGTAAATTGATCAGTCGACGATACCTTCGTTAGACATTTGTGTGTGCGTGTCAACCCGTCCTATATAAAGCCGTCGTTTCAGCCTATAAAGTTGATCCTCGAGGCGGAGGGAATACGTACACCAAATACAGGATCTTGTATAGACAAATGGCAGAGTGTCCGAATTCCTCGAGAAATTCATGTATAATCTCATCCACGCTGAGCTAATTAGCGAGACGTCTATACCAGAAGGATTAATAGCTCAAGCGATTCTCCTGAAGTAGAACGTCATGTTGGAAACCTACACTGCAAACCCGACTGCACATCCCAGCTGTCATGCCCATCGGACTATGAACGTCCTCCACACTTTAATACATGGAAGGAGTTAAAGCACATGGTGAACGTGCTCCGGCCGGAGATGATATATGTACATCACGATTCCGAGCAGGAGTTAACGTCGCTCGGCCATAGTTCAGAGTCCATTTGAAGCATGGTTTTCCCCAGCACTCCGTAGACTCGTGTCCAGTACTTCTCTATGTTGCATCGTCGCCATTCATACATCCAGTATCACGTGGAATTTACGCGTCGCTTCTGGTTCAAGTCTGACATTACTTCTATCAATTGACCATCACACCTACTCAGTCATGGATTGTTGTTGTGTTCTACCTATTTGTTCGTCCATTGCCGGTGAGCTATCGATGTAGCATCACAAGATCACTATATCCTGCTGATTGTCTCAAAGATATATTTTCAGGGCTCCGGCGATCGTTCACGCAACTACATAGCCGACAATATTGGCGCATGTTATCTTCAACAGCTGAGCTTCCTCAGTACAGGTCCACATAGTGTCAATGAGTCACGACGGCCGTTGTGTGGACTTCGCACTGTATCCTCGGAGTTTGACGAGTTCATGTGAGTACCCTCCATGCGACGCTAATCATATGTTCTGTGTTCTAGTGTGCTTCTTGCTCTCTCTGCGTGTCATATGTTGATAAGAAAGGGATACGCGGTGACATACGTGTTCTATGCCAATGTCTTTTTCCAAGCCCAGACCGAGATGGTGGCCGGAAGACCTCCTGTCTCCCCGCCTCTTCATGATTTGTAGCACTGAAGGTGGGCGCGAAGATTCTGAGTGCCTTTGCCTCCGGAGAAATGTTGAGTCATTAAGCGAGGCTACACATCATCCAGTGGGACCAACTCTGTGGTAACACCGTCTGACCGCTACGGCTAGGCCATCTGAAGGAATCAACACCGTCTCCTGGTCAATATCACACAGGCATTCGCAGACCACATGGTGCATTCAAGAATCACCGAAGCAGCCTTCATGACTGTATAAAAGCTCACGGGGATCCTCCCACAGAGACATCGCAGTCCTCCCGGATTTGGTTCTGTGAACTTGTCTGAATCGCCATGGTATCTTTCCCCTTCCTTGGCATTGCTGCCTTAACAGCCCTGCCTGTCACCAAGGCAGTCCCCACTGGTCTCGATAATTTGGCCAGGCGTCAGGCGATCACCGCGCTCTCAGAGAGTCAGATCAACTACTTCACGCCGTACACTTTGTATGCTAGTGCAGCCTATTGCCCTTCTGCCGAGTTGGCAGTATGGGCTTGCGGAGTGAACTGTCAAGCTATTCCTCAATTTGAGCCCGTGGCTGCGGGAGGGGACGGTAACCTCGTCCAGTACTGTGAGTTTCTGCCCATCTTGGCTATTTCATTGATTTAAATCTGGTAAATCGTCAGGGTATGTGGGCTTCGACCCGACACTCGATAGTGTGATCGTGGCACACCAAGGGACCGACCCTGCGGCACTGTTTGTACAAGACGCTATTTTTATCTTCGATTTTGCCACTAACTGTACTCCCAGTCTCGCCGATCTCACAGACGTTAACCTCATCCAGGAGGCGCTGGACCCAACCCTCTTTCCTGGACTGAGCACCGACATCCTAGTGCACAGCGGATTCGCCAATGAACAGTCTCTGTGAGTGGATTTTACTATACTACGTATCTCCCGGCAGTTACCGACAATATCACCCAGAACTGCCGCAGACGTTCTGTCTGCCGTGCAGGAGACAATGGCTAAGTATGGCGTCAATCAAGTCACGATCGTGGGGCATTCGCTAGGCAAGTTTTCCTCTTTCCTGACTGCGTTCAATTTATCTGATCAAAGTGACACGCAGGAGCGGCAATCTCCCTTCTCGACGCCGTATACCTTCCTCTTCATATTCCGGACGCGGCGTTCACTTATATCGGATACGGCCTTCCACGAGTGGGTTGACACAAACTGAATGCACAGGCTGATTCGACGAACTGCGGTCTCAACTTATGCTTTACAGGTCGGAAATCAGGCTTTTGCGAATTATGTTGACGCAGGACTTACCAACGTGACACACGTCAACGACAAGAAAGACGTCATCGCCATCGTGCCGCCCACGTCTCTGGGTTTCATCCATCCGTCTGGCGAAGTACATATCGAGGATTGGGGCGATTGGGATGCATGCCCAGGTCGGTTTATATTCTTGTCGTGTTTTGGACTCGGCCCTGATATATTCTTCCGCTGAATAGGGCAGGAGAATCCCAGCCCTCTCTGTATTGTCGGGGATGTTCCGACTGTTCTGCAAGGTAATATCGTCGACCATCTCGGGCCTTATAATGGGATTTGGATCGGTTGTGGGGTGCAGACAATTATCCCTTGACTGGTTTGAAATGAGCACTGAGAAGCCCTTGGATATGAAATTGCCAGGGTGGACTTCTTTTAAATAAATAAAACTCTGGTTGCAGTAAATGCCTGCTCGCTCGCCAGATTCGTGCCATTTCTTGTTCGTGCACGATCCGGTTATACTTGATCCACTACTCCAAACAATAACGCACTTGTATACGGCAAGCATGAAATGTTTCATTCCGCAGAGCATTGCACGGTCTCCCACGCTGGATGTTCAGAAGTACGGTCAGATGTGGCGGCAAGGATGTCACAGTGGAATTACCTCCGTGCTTCTCAGGCCCCTCATCCAGATCTAGGCTGCATACTTAAAAGTTGTGCTGTTCAGAGTTGCCACCCAGTGGCCCTGTAGCAGCTGCCAATAGTGAGGACTCGGGCCCTATGAGCCCGTCACCTCACGTGACCGTGATTGAATGATGAATGTCATTGACTGAGTCAATCTCGCTGGTCGATGCGTTCTCTCCACACCACTTTGCTTATGGATCACCCAGCACAAGGCTATTTGAAGACCCTTCTACCATCGATTGTCGTGATTTCGATCACACGCGGTTTAACGTCTCAATATTCATTCTGCGGAGTGGTCACTGGCCCATTCCGGTATTGCGTATGGGAGGACTGAAGTCCGGAATGTTGGGTCTGTGGTATTGAGTGCCAGAATGTGGAAGAGAGTGATATGTCTACATATAATTCTATGTGTACATGTGTGTGATTGCATCTTCTTGTTTTGCAGTTCTGCTGACGTGCCCGCCAAGTTTGTTGACAAGGACATGACCTTGCGATTCTTGGGTGGAAGTGAATATGAACCGCAAGAGCGAAGGAGAGAGTGAATACCTGGAAGGATAATGAAACATAGGGACGATAACGAAGAGGACAAGGACGAGTCCGAGGAGCAAAACGATCAGGAAAAGGACGGGACGGGGAACAAGACGGCGAAGCTGATCTGCGTCCTGAAGACGTGGGGTGATGTGGGGGACAACTATGAGCTCCATGAAATATCTGCATCGCATTTACGCGAGTACTCAGATTCAGAGTTCTTTTCCTGTGGCGCTGACAATTCCTCGAATCACTTCAGCAGCCCACAATATGTTTAACTCGTGTTCGTCTTCCGCATGGCCATAGCATCTGACCTCTATGCGCTTCGATTCCCCCCGACTCTTAGGCGCAACTTGTCGCCGTGTGTCACCTTTGTCGGCTTCTACCAGGAACACTGGATGATGTGACACCCTTTCTCCAGACCAAGACTGGAATGGTGACAACGAAACCACGCAATTCTCGCAGCTTAATATGAGGCTCACTAGTGGCCGCTGTGTGCCTTTGGGCCCGGAAAAGTTGTGAGACCATTCAACAGATCTACATGCCTTCTATCGGCTTGGATGAACGTTGGCGGGGACCACCATTTCACAGTTTTGACTATGTCATTCGAAGCAATCCTAGAGCGATATCACCTCCTGAAACCTAAAGTGCAACTCGGAGACCACACGGTACGGTCCGAAGTCGTGGAAGCAGTCTCTACGACAGTATAAGAATTCATGTGGGTCCTATTTTCGAAGACATTGCAGCCCTTGCGGACTCATTTCGATCGCCATGGTAGCATTCTCAGCTCTTGATGTCGCTCTCCTGACGGCTCTACCTGTCATTAGTGCCACCCCTACTGGTCTCGATAATTTGGCCAGGCGTCAAGCGATCACCACGCTCTTAGAGAGTCAGATCAACTACTTCACGCCGTACACTTTGTATGCTAGTGCAGCCTATTGCCCTTCTGTCGAGTTGGCGGTATGGGCCTGCGGAGTTAACTGCCAAGCTGTTCCTCAGTTTGAGCCCGTGGCTGCGGGAGGGGATGGTAACCTCGTCCAGTACTGTGAGTTTCTGCCGTTATATTCTTTTCATCGATTTGAGTCTGTTAAATCGTCAGGGTATGTGGGCTTTGACCCGACACTCGATAGTGTGATCATGGCACACCAAGGGACTGACCCTGTGGCTCTGTTTGTACAAGGCGCTATTTTTATCTTGAACTTTGTCGCTAATCACCCTCCCAGTCTCGCCGATCTCACAGATGGTAATCTCATCCAGGAAGAACTGGATTCCACCCTCTTTCCTGGACTGAGCACCGACATCCTAGTGCACAGCGGATTCGCCAATGAACAGTCTCTGTGAGCGGATTTTACTATACTACGTATCTCCCGGCAGTTACCGACAATATCACCCAGAACTGCCGCAGACGTTCTGTCTGCCGTGCAGGAGACAATGGCTAAGTATGGCGTCAATCAAGTCACGATCGTGGGGCATTCGCTAGGCAAGTTTTCCTCTTTCCTGACTGCGTTCAATTTATCTGATCAAAGTGACACGCAGGAGCGGCAATCTCCCTTCTCGACGCCGTATACCTTCCTCTTCATATTCCGGACGCGACGTTCACTTACATCGGATACGGCCTGCCGCGGGTATGTCCACATATATTGACTGCACAAGCAGTATAGTGAAATAAAGTCTGAACTGATGCCCTCACAGGTTGGAAACCAAGCGTTCGCAAATTATGTTGATACAGGGCCAACCAATGTGACGCATGTCAATAACGAGGAAGACCCGATCGCCATCGTCCCGAGCATGTCCCTTGGCTATGTTCATCCTTCTGGCGAGATACATATCGAGGATTGGGGCGATTGGGATGCATGCCCAGGTCGGTTCACGTTCCTGTCGTGTTTTAGACTTGGCCCTGATTTATTCTTCCGCTGAATAGGCCAGGATAATCCCAGCCCCCTCTGTATTGTTGGGGACGTTCCGACCGTTCTGCTAGGCAACATCCTCGACCATATCGGGCCCTATAATAGGATTTACATGGGTTGTGGGGTGCAGTCGATTATTCCTTGATTTAGTTTGAGCTCTTGAGAGATGTAAATTGTTGCGGATTCTTTCCAGTGCATAGTGACCGATGTTACAGTGAATTCAGTTACTTGTAGTTCGCGCACGAAATTTATCTTGATATACAACAATATTGTATCCCACCATCTACACACTTTGAACCTCGAGCTCCTCTACAAACTTGTCGCCTCCACGTCGTTCGGAACATCCTGGAAGAGACTGGAACCTGTAAGAAGATAATTCCCACGGTCATGGCATGACGAAGCGCGCGGGCCTTCCAGCGTCCAGGGACGCGCGTCGCTTGACCAAACACCTTTTATACAGGGTCCGCCATCGCTTTCTCTTGTAATTTTCTACTCCTTACACCTTTACGGACGTCATGGCTGACCCCAGTGGTGCACCCCCCGGTCCTGGCCCAAACGACATCTCTACGGCCATCCTGAGGCCCAAGAAATCGTATGTATTGCGCAGTGTGTTTGCGAGCATCGCTGACAATCTTAGCAGGCCCAACCGCCTTCTTGTTGATGAGGCAACCTCGGACGACAACTCTGGTCAGTGACACGAATGTTTTTGGTCGGTTTGCTGGCGATATGAACTGATTACGCGTCCACAGTTGCAACACTCAACCCGGCCACAATGGAGACTCTCCAGCTCTTCCGAGGCGATACCATTATCGTGCGGTATGCATTCCGTTTCATTTTTCGTCTACTTTAGTGTTAATGGTAGTTTCAGGGGCAAGAAGCGGCACGACACCGTCCTGATTTGCTTGAGCTCCGATGATGTCGAGGAGGGCAAAATCCAGATCAACAAGGTGGCTCGAAACAATTTGCGAGTTAAGCTTGGCGACATGGTCAATGTGCACCCGTGCTTGGACATCAAGTATGGCAAACGTGTGCACATCCTGCCCTTTGACGACTCCGTCGAGGGTCTCAGTGGAAACATTTTCGATGTCTACCTGAAGCCATACTTCCTGGAAGGTCAGTATCCCCGACGCTTTAGTCTCATGCCCCTTTTATTAACAGCATGTTTTTCAGCATATCGCCCCGTTCGGAAAGGCGACACATTCCTCGTTCGTGGTGGAATGCGAACAGTGGAGTTTAAGGTCATCGAGACTGACCCTGCGGAGTTCTGTATTGTTGCGCAAGATACTGTCATCCACACTGGTCAGTCATTTCCTGCGGCTTTACTTGCGTGGCGCTGACATCACTACTGGTATTGTCGCAGAGGGTGATCCCGTCAAACGTGAGGATGAGGAGTCCAACCTGAACGAGGTCGGCTACGATGACATTGGCGGTTGCCGCAAGCAAATGGCGCAAATCCGTGAGCTCGTGGAGCTGCCTCTCCGGCATCCTCAGCTGTTCAAGTCTATTGGTATCAAGCCCCCACGCGGTATCCTCATGTACGGACCACCTGGTACGGGTAAGACGCTCATGGCTCGCGCGGTAGCAAACGAAACTGGCGCGTTCTTCTTCTTGATTAACGGCCCGGAGATTATGAGCAAGATGGCCGGTGAGAGCGAGAGTAACTTACGGAAGGCGTTCGAAGAGGCGGAGAAGAACTCGCCCGCTATTATCTTCATTGATGAGCTCGATTCCATTGCGCCCAAGCGGGAGAAGGTATTTTTAATAGTTACCATCTTGAATCACCGCTGACAGGTCTGGTGTAGACCAATGGAGAAGTCGAGCGCCGAGTTGTGTCGCAGTTACTCACTCTTATGGATGGTCTCAAGGCGCGGTCCAATGTTGTCGTTATGGCTGCAACTAACCGACCCAACTCCATTGACCCGGCTCTTCGACGGTTCGGACGGTTCGATCGTGAAGTTGACATTGGTATCCCCGACCCAACTGGCCGTCTCGAAATCTTGCGCATCCATACCAAGAACATGAAGTTAGGCGATGACGTTGACCTTGAGCAGGTGAGTACTGTTGTAGGGCTTCTCAGCGAAGTTCATGCTAATAATTTCGCAGATTGCTGCCGACACTCATGGGTACGTCGGCTCCGATATCGCTTCTCTGTGCTCAGAGGCTGCGATGCAACAAATACGTGAGAAGATGGATCTCATTGACCTGGATGAGGACACCATCGACGCGGAGGTGCTTGACTCACTCGGCGTGACTATGGAGAACTTCCGCTTCGCATTGGGAACATCGAACCCGTCGGCTCTGCGCGAGACTGTTGTGGAGGTGCCAACAGTCAAGTGGGACGACGTTGGTGGTCTCGAGAAGGTCAAGCAGGAGCTGCAAGAGACCGTGCAGTACCCGGTGGAGCATCCCGACAAGTTCATCAAGTACGGTATGTCGCCGTCTAAGGGTGTCTTGTTCTATGGTCCTCCTGGTACTGGTAAGACCATGCTCGCCAAGGCCATCGCAAACGAGACGCAAGCGAACTTCATTTCCATCAAGGTACGTCGATGTTTGTACAAGATGAGATAGAATATTAAGATATTGACGTCGGTCCCAGGGTCCTGAGCTGTTGACTATGTGGTTCGGTGAATCCGAAGCCAATGTGCGAGATGTCTTTGATAAAGCCCGTGCTGCTGCTCCTTGTGTCATGTTCTTCGATGAGTTGGACTCCATCGCCAAGGCTCGCGGTGGTTCGTCCGGCGACGCAGGTGGTGCAGGAGACCGTGTACTAAACCAGATCCTCACTGAGATGGACGGTATGAACGTCAAGAAGAACGTGTTCATCATCGGTGCGACGAACAGACCGGACCAGATCGACCCCGCGCTCCTACGTCCGGGTCGTCTTGACCAGTTGATCTATATCCCTCTACCTGACGAGCCTTCACGTCTGTCGATTCTCAGGGCGGCGCTCCGCAAGAGCCCGGTCGCGCCGGACGTCGACCTGGTGTTCCTTTCGAGAAACACCCATGGGTTCTCTGGTGCGGACTTGACGGAGATCTGCCAGCGTGCTGCGAAGCTCGCGATCAGGGAGAGTATCGAGGCTGACATCAAAAAGGCGCGGGAGCAGAAGGAGAAGGAAGATGCTGCCGGCGAGGATACGAAGATGGAGGACGAGGAGGAGGAAGATCCTGTCCCTGTCATCACAAGGTAGGTTTTTACTTGACCTGTGTGACGTACTGGCTAATAATGTTACGTTCCGCAGGGATCACTTCGAGGAGGCGATGAAGTTCGCGCGTCGTTCAGTGTCGGATGCGGATATCCGACGATATGAGATGTTCGCCCAGGTGAGAAACGAGCTACCGTCTTATAAATTGTAGAATCGCTGACTATCCTGTTATTATCTAGAACCTGCAACAATCACGTTCGTTTGGGGCAACATTCAAGTTCCCCGAGAGTGGCAATGCGCCCGCGGGTGCTGCCGCCCCGGCGCCGGCGGCAAATGCAGGGTTCGGGGAGGACACGCAGGACGACGACCTGTATGCATGAGTTGAAAGGACCCTCTGTCGACAATGATCGTGTTTTCTTCTTTGTGTTTTGTGCAATGTGCATTACGAGTACTCGAAAATGACTAGACCATTTTTACGGGATTTTTGTGGGGGACAAACGCTTCCGGGAGGTGACGCCATGGAGGCGATGTGTCAATGCCACTGCCAGACGTCGCCGGCGACTCGGAAGTCGACATAGGAGTTGATCTAGTTCTCTCTCTACTGCTCTCTGCTCTCGTTATTCCCTTTCTTCACTGTCTGAACATTTCTCCCTCTTACGTTACTCGTCTTACGGCCTACATGGAAGCCCGGAGAGCCTTTTCTTCGGCAACGCGCTCCTTGTCCTCTTCTTCTCTCAGAGAACGCCTCTCCAGCCTCACCACCACCCCGCTCCGCCCCGTCACAGCCCTCAAGACAAACATTGAGTTAGTACCCTTCGCCTCCTCCGTTTTTGTCCTTTCGGCCGCGTCACCGACTGACAGCGTACGCGATGTCCAACTAGCTTTGTGCCGGCCAAGATACCCCGCAAGAGACGGTTTCAGACACTCGCAGTTGCCATCTGGTCAACGAGCATCGTCTGGTGCACCTTCGTCTTTTTGATCCTCCTGTGCGTCTGTCTTTCTTCGCGTCTTCCGTTCCTCAGCGATAGCGGCGGGGAAGCTGAACCACTTTGGACGCGTTGCATGTAGTTCGTATCCCCCACTGTGGCCGTTTCTCGTAGCGTACCTCATATGGGCATTTTACGTCGACCGGAGCCCTGAGAATGGGGGCCGAATGAGCCCAAGGTTCCGTTCGTCGTGTTTCTGGCAGTATTTCGCCGACTACTATCCTGCTTCGTGAGTGCACCACCTTTGCTGTGTATACGCGCTCCAGCTGAGAAGCCCTGCGCCGCGCGATCAAGGATGCTGAAGGTGAGTGCTGCTTCATGTGGTCATAGTGAGAAGTGCACGCTGGACGGACGCGTCCGCATATGCAGACATGCGACCTCCCGGCGGATAGACCGTATGTCTTTGGGTACCATCCGCACGGTGAGTGGCATGCCGTCTGCACCGGAAGGCCTCTTCATCTCAGACGCGATCAATGTGCAGGTATCATCGGCATGTAAGTCCCTCGTTCTCGCTCTCCACGCGCTCCGTCTCACCACGCGCGCATATACGCAGGGGTGCTATATGCACATTCGCCACCGAGAGTGCGCACGCTGCCTCCCCCACCGTCTCCTGCGTCTGACATTCCGCCTTGTCCTTTCATATGTGGCTCTTGCATGCAGGCACAGGCTTCTCAGAGAGCTTCCCCGGAATCAGCCCTCATCTCCTCACGCTGGAGACGAACTTCCGCGTTCCGTTCTACCGCGAAATCATGCTCGCCATGGGCGTGTGCTCCGTGAGCAAGCGCTCCTGCGTGAACATCCTTAAGGGCGGCGCCGGGCAGGCTATCACGATCGTCGTTGGCGGCGCGGCGGAGAGCCTCAGTGCGCGCCCTGGGACTGCAGACTTGACACTGCGGAAAAGGTGAGGGTTTTATGGTATGGGCCTCTGCGGATTGGACACTAATAATTCATTAATCGAGATTGGGATTCATCAAAGTCGCGATTCAGCAAGGGTACGTATATGTTGTGCAACAGTGGTAGCGCTCTCTAAACGCAGGCTATATGCAGGGCCGATCTCGTGCCGGCGTTTTCGTTCGGCGAGAACGATGTACGTCCTTGATCGCCTCTCGTTAACAGCCGCACTCACGCATCACGGTGCCTGCAGATCTACCAGCAGATGGCGAACGAGAAGGGCACAACCGTCTATGAGCTACAGAAGAAATTCCAGAACGTGTTCGGTTTCACGTTACCGCTGTTCCATGGGCGCGGGATGCTCAACTGTACGTCCCTGCTGCTACGATTCTCACTCGTCCATACGGAGATGATTGTGCGCTGTTAGATAATCTCGGCCTCATGCCGTACAGGCGGCGCATCGTCGTGGTTGGTGAGCAGTCGTTTCTGGTTTTGTTGCAAGGTGCAGTCTGATGTTCGGACATCGTGTCGCGCAGTGGGCCGCCCCATACACGTAGAGAAGTGCGACAAGCCAACAGTAGAGGAGATCACGCACGTACAGACACAGTACATAGAGGAACTCATGCGGTACGTGCGCATCCCTTCTCCCCTTCTGCACCTCGCTAACGCGTCAGCATAGGATCTGGCACACATACAAAGACGAGTTTGCGCGGACGCGAAAACGGGAGCTAAGCATTATCGAGTGAGGCGCTGGCTCTGGTGGTGTTCATTCTCCTGTCGTTCGTTTGACCGGTCTGGCACTGTGTTCGTTGTTGTATGGTAGGCCCAGATGTCATTTGGTGGGACGCTCTGGTGACTGTGACTATTGCAACACGGAATCGTCCGCCTCGTCGGATTGAGAAGGTATGTTCGCCGACGTTGCTGTGTTGCATCTCCGAGGATGCCGTGCTGAGGGCGCGTTCCACTGCTATTGATGACACGGAGACTCGACATTGTGACCGTATATATGCGCCTCCTATGACCTCTACCGCTCGATTCCCAGCTCCACCTGGCAAGGGTATCGTCAATTCGTAATTTTTTGTGTAAGCAATAGGCGTCGACTCACTTTCGCCACGACATTGTCAATTTCATCCGCTAGTTGGTCAGTAAAGCTGGCCAAGCTTTTCAAACAATCGTAGTCCATCGCAAAAGCTGATCTGCAGTACGAACAGAAGTCGGTATCCATCGCCAGATGGGCCACGACGCTGGAGAGCGAGGGGTCCTCCACGGTCGAGCGATGGGGCTTGGCCGTCAGCGCCGCAGCAGTGTCAAGCAAGTACTGCCGCCACCACGCAGGCGCGCGCTTGATCACCGATTGCTCACCGATGGCAAAGGTCGAGGCGGCACAGTAACGGCAGCTCAACCAAAGCCAGTCCGAGTCGGCTTGCTTCAGCCACGCCAGCGTCCGCCTTGCCTTGTTTCTATCAAGGCGGTCGTTGGGCGATACCGCCACAAGCGCCGAGGCAGCCGCGCCGCATGCGCGGTGGTACTCGAGGAGGCGAAAGTAGGCGCCCGCACTGATGTCCTCCATCTCCGCGATGTAGACGCCGTCGAGCGGGGTGTCGAGCGAGTGCAGCGCGGCGGCACGCGTCTCGTCTTCCCAGCAGTTCCGTATCGCGAGGGCGTACACGCGAAGTGGGTCCGCGCGTGCGTGTGCGATGAACTGCGCGCTGGCGCGCTTTGCGGCGTAGTCCATGTCATACTTGCGCGCCGCGACGAGCACCGCGCACGCGGCGTGCGGCGTCGCGAGTTGTGGATCGTCCATGGGGTAGCAGAGGCGCAAAAGCGCGTCGAGTGTGTCGCTATCCTCCGTGGCGGTCACGACGGGCACTCCGTCGCGGTACTCTTCGTCGTTGGATGCGTCGAAGTCTGCGGCCTTGCGCTTCCGATTCTCTGGAACGGGCGGGAGGGAGAACATGGCCTCGAAAACGGGCGAGGCCTCGGAGAGAATGCCCTTACGCACAAAGAAATCGACATGGTCGGCGGAGCGCAGGATAACGTCGGCGCTGGGGTTGTTGAATGGGGGTGGACCGTCTAAGGTAGGAGTACTTGCGTTCTCTGATTGCGAGGTATCAGGTTGAGCGGTATTTCCTGACATGTTTTCTCTCGTGAAAGGATTGTATCTCCTGCAGTAAATGCGGTACAGCAGATTGTATCAGGCTGAGATGAGTGAGAGTCGACTCTTACCAGTAAGCTCGACTCACGTGCACTGTGACATGTGACTGAGGACCGGACGCCGCTAGCGCTACCCCGCATACCAAGAGGCCGCTGGTCGCCGGGCTCTGCTTATAATGATCACGAACGCTGCCGAGTGCCTCTCTGTTGAGCTCTACACGACGTTGTCCTCTACGCCGACATCATGATATCTGCATTCCGACTTCCAAGCCCACTCGCGCTCTGCCGAAAGCGCGTCGCTGCTCTACCCAACCAGCGCAGATGCCAATCCTCCATCCGTGTCAGTACCCCCACCATATCTACGTTGTGCAGCCTAACCTGACAGACAACGATCTCTGCTCGACTCACTTCTTGTAGGCTCTGCAGGACGCGTTCCGCGATCCTTCCTCGCCCTTCCACATACCCCCGGGCACAAAGGGCCCCGCGTCGCCCGATCCCCCAGCCGAGTCCGAGCTTCTGCACACAGTCGCAGCCTCCAACCCACCAACGGACGCTGAAGTCGCAGCAGCGGAGGGAGAGACGCCCGCCGCCGAGGGGCGCAGGAGGCTCCTCGAGCTCGGCTACGACCCCAGCAGCTTCTGGGAGCAGCATGTCGTGTGGGGGGACCACGACGCGTTCCAGTGAGTGTCCCCTTCTCTCGCCTAGCACTACGCACTCACTGCTCACGTCACACGCGTGAAGACACGTCAACAACGTCCGCTACGGTGCGTCCCCCGCCGCGCGCTGTCCCGCGACCGCTGACCGCTGAGCGCGCGAAAACACGCAGTGCGCTTCTTCGAGTCCTCGCGCATCCAGTGGATGTGTTCCCTCGGCGAGGAGCTCGGCGGCCCTGATGCGGTCGCAGCGATGCTCGCGGGCCGCGGCGTGTCCCTCATCCTCAAGTCCCTCTCGCTCCACTATAAGCGCCCCGTCGTCTACCCCGACACGCTCCTCGTCGCGCACGGCGTGCACAGCGCCGCGTCCGAGCGGCCCCTCCCGAAGACGCACTTCCACCTCCGCGGCGCGATCTGGTCGTACGCGCAGCGCCGTATCGTCACCGAGTGCGATTCGGTACTCGTGTGGTACGATTATGACAAGCTCGCCAAGTGCGATCCTGGCCCCCGCACGAGGGAGGTACTCCTCGGGAGGATGCAGCTGGGGCAGTAAGTTAGCCACAGCTGTTCGGGTACGTGTATTGGGCAGACTGGTTGGTGTACATACCTCGTGTGTGTATCTTTTGGACCAGTTTGTTCTCACTGAAATGTAAATCCTAATGTAAGGTTTAGGGTACCCGCCGATATTCTGGAAATCTTCGCGTCAGTAGAGGAACGTCATCTCCAGCGCTACCCCTCACCTAGAGTCGCGTGTCATGAGTGTCGTGAATAGTAGGGAATCAAGGATATAATCGTGGTCTCCATCCCGCGAAATAGTCACTTAGCAAAACATGCGACCATCGATCAGCACTGTTCGATACGAGCTTCTTAGGTAAAGAGTCCACGGTGCGCCAAGGATCGCGGGGACCAAGACGATCTTGTCTCGTAGACCCGCGCCAGAAATTCGTCTGAATCTGCAGTTGTAGCTACTCCATCGGCGGCTTTCTCAGCCTTGGCCGCAGTGCCTGGGAGAGGAGATACCTCCGCTGTGCCGTCGAGAAGCTGTCCATCTCCATATAAGACGGGTTCCATTGGGTTTCTCTGGCTCCGGACTCTTCCGCGATAGGAAGAGCCAGCGGCGGGTCCAGCAGAGGCAGTCTGAACGACGACACATTGCCATCGCCCAAGCCGCGGGTGGAGGATGATGGTGCAATAATGAATGTCCTCTTGAGCACTTGATGTTTTCTCTGCCGAAGACGCTGATGCAACTGGCTCGCCACGTTTGGGACTCGGTGGCTGGCAAAACGCAAATTAGTGATTTAACACGGAAGCGTATCAAGGATGAGCGTTTAGAGAAATGCACTCACCAGTGACATCCTCCTTAGGACGCAAGACAACCACGTAGGGATAGGATACCGAAAAGATGTTGATAATCAATATTCATGAAACTGCCGACCGCGTGAGGAACACTGCCGATGAAGTGAGGAGACAGTCCATTTGTTCTAACGCTTTGTCATAGCTGAAAAATGTGTAGAGGAATGGGTCAATGGTCGCTGGGGTCTTCATCGCGGACGACGACGACGGAGTGACCTGTCCCCATCTGGACGAATCTGTATTCTGCAGCTTCATTCACCGATAAACTGTCCACGATGAGAGAAATTATCTCTTTCGTATCCGCTACCGCCCAAGAAGTCTCCCGCGGGTGCTCCTAAGGACATCCATCATGGGTTCGCTGTTTACCACTTGAACTATAAAGGGGGGAGAAATTCATCCCGTACGACATCCGAATCGTGTTCCGAGTCTGATGGTGAGAGCATGAGCGAAGATGTTTTTTTGAGCCAGAGAAGAATGATATTCCATGTGACGCTGAACTTGCATGTGCGGCGCAGTAGGATGCGGCAGCGACGTCCTCTCGTACTGGATGCGCGAAGACTGGCGGCTCGCTGACATTGAACTGTTTGAGAAGAAGAGGTCGCTTGTGGAGCCACCATCCAGAATTAGCCGACTTTCAGCTTTGGCAAACAAACGACTGCACCCACGGGGCGCTCTAGCCTAGGTTCGAAGATGGGAAGTTCAGCCGCCCGGCTCACTTTGATTTGCTCGTAGAGTAAGGCTTCCAGGATCCTGCTTAGTACAGACAAGATCACCGATTATGTGGCACAAGCGATTCCGGGGGAAAATAAGAGAAGAACATGGGTTGCAGCATGGAGAATCCCGTTACACGGCTGTGTGGAATTTGTTCGGTTGCACCGTATATGAGATCGCAAATTGTAGAGCTTCGTAGCAGCGGCTCGTCATCCCTAATCGTCAAGGTTAGCAGCGTGATTTAGATGAGGCCTGAAATTTAATCGATAGACTCTGTGCTCGGGGAGCACTAGAGTCACGGTAGTTGCCATTACAGAGAATTGTCATGACGGGTATCGAAGCGATCACCGAAGAGGTATTGATTCCTGCTGGCAGTCAACAATGCTTCAGCTATCTGCGGATGCAAATCTTCGCACGACGAACGACCTCCAATGACTTGCGGCGTACGAGATCTGGCTGCGCAGCTTCGAAAGGGCCGTAGCACAGCTACAGACAATCATTCCATTGACACGCACAAGAACGAAATTCATAATGAAAACCACTCATCGTCACTACCTTGGAGGAGCATATCATGGCACTGGCCAAAAAAACCCGCCGCCCAGTTCGTCGCCGTCATCATCCTCCTCCTCCTCATATTCTGCCAGTGATGCGTCTTCCACAAAATTCTCGATGCCATCCCAGGTAACCGACGGCACAATTTCTGACATGAGAGCAACTTCGGTCATGTCTGTGTTTATGCATTTCGTGAGGACCAAACGGCGGACTTCTACGCCGTGATCGCAGCGCTGTATCAGGGAGTCCAGGAAAGAGTCCATGAAAGGACTAACATCGCCATCAAAAGCTCCGATCCAGACTTCATTCAGCTGCAGCTCCTGCAGCTTAGGGAAGACTATGACATTCCCGTCCTCTTCGCGAATGCCAAGTGCGAGTGGGAGATGTTGCGCCAGCTCTCCCCCGACCTGCAGTAGAGATACGTTCTCCAGCTTCCCAAAGGCTTTGACCCATAGAGTCTGTGATGCCATCGCGAGATCGGTAGACAATAGACTGAGGTTCTGCACTTGCACAAGTGGGCAATGCTTGCAGAACGTTCCGATCACGTCCGCTGCCTCGGCCAGGCGCAGATTGAACGTAAGGTCGAGGCGGCCAACTCCATTCCCCAGCGAAACTTCAAACGACTCTAGCGACCTAAGAGTATCGCAGACTCGAATAGTCAAGCTATCGTCGGAATGCTGCGGGCCTATCGACAAAGTGCGTAACTGGTCCGAACCAGAAATCTTCGCCGCGATAGCCGATGCGACCACCGCTACATCGCCGGGACGTGAGTACGTCTCACTTTTCAGAGAGATGGTTACGTCCTGGGGAAAAGAAAGATGATTGAGGAGAAAAGCGCTGTGTTTGCACCCCGCAACCAGCCGCATGGAGCGAAGGTGGGGTAAATCGATAACCTGACCAGTCTCTAGTACCCCAGAAACAACTCTTTCCAACTTGAGAGTCTCCAATAACGGGGTTGTTTCGAGAATTTTGAGCACATCCGACATGGGCGAGGGCGGAACAACGTCCCCTCTACTGAGATGAAGATGTCTCAGCGAATGAGGAAACATCGGCAGACTCCAACCAGTCGCAATGTGTCCTCGTATTTCAAAGTGCTGCAGTCTACGCGTCTCGTCGTGGTATAAGAAGGCAGGGTAACGAGTCTCTGGTAGATGGTGTGTATGTGGGCCCGCCTGGGTGATGATGAAAGTGTGCAAAACAGGAGCAGGTCCTGTCATAAGTTCCATGATGTTCTGGAGAGAGCTTTGCGGGATGATCAAGCGGAGCTGTTGGATCCGCGAGAAGTTCTCGAAGAGCAACGTCAACGCATCGGTCTTGCCCCTGACATCCCCCGTGGACACGTCGGCCATCACGGATAACATTGCCCCCCTCGAACGAGACAAAAGCTCCTTCACACATTTTGGACTAGTCAGCACGATGTGGCTCCAAAATCTGGGACATTCCAAAGCGACTGAGCGCCAGCGACGGCAAACATGGGAGACTTTGATCCACGAATAAGCTCGCTTGCTGCTATAATAAGGGTGTAGCCGATTCTGCTCCTCCTCTGCTTCAGCGAGAATCTCAAGGAAAATGGCGGCCAGTGTCTCTAGAGGAAGTCTACAGATTGGCACCAGCATGTTGAGTCTAAACTTGAGGTCCCATATCGCACGAGTATGTGTAAGAATCTGGTCTTCTATGAATTTGTGCTCAGTCGCATCACTAGACAAGATGAAGAGATGAGGCGCGAGTGATTGACCACTGAATAAATGAAAATCTCACGCACGCGAATAGACTCATCTTAGGAGCGCTCCGGAATCGTCAAGGGCAGAGTCGCGGAGAACGCTGGCGTAACTGGCCCAAGTACAATCCACCTTTTTGACACCAGGAAAACATGATTGTTGGGGACCAAGCCACCGGGATCTTCCGTCGGAGTGCAAACTTAATTGTACGTGGTATATAGAGTATACAAACAGCTGACTACTGTACTTAAACCTTTTGCAATTCGCCACTCACCATATATTCATCCCCCGTCATCCGCATTGTCGGTGTTATCTGAACGCTCCAAGTTGTACTGCGTTGTGACACTCCCAACGCAGTACCACTTCGAATCCTTCAGATGGCGCCGGAAGGAATCGGAGCGACTGAACTCATTCATGCATCCGCCATAGTACTCTACGCCATTGTGCATGTACGGCAGCACGCCCTCCACACTGACCCCAGCGCGGATCGCATCTACCTTGGGTAGCCCGCCGCACAACCACCTGCATCCTCCTGTGTGCGTCCGGATGTGTCGCTTCAGATCTGAAGGCCGTGTTGAGTTCATCCCGCAATACGGGCACTTGGTGGCACCTTGCGGCAGCGCGAGCAAGGGGCCGGCAAACTGTGCATTGCGCTGCATCGTCCGTCGGAACTGCGGTTGTGACGGCAACAACGCGACGGGCGAGGCGTCGCGCGTGTACGGCATGAACCTGTGCGTATGTCTCGTGCGCGCGCTCTTCCGTCGGAGCGCAGGTGGCGAAGGTACGTACTCACCGTCTGAGCCGTCATGCTTGGGTTCTCCCTCCGCACCTTGCTCCGAGCCCCAGGCCGGCTGTTGCGTGATGATGTTGACTCGTTTTCCGCGTGATGTGCGAGATGAGCGAGGGGCCACGGGCGCGTGTAGGGGTGGCGGCGAGCGGGCCACAGGAAGCGGTGGGGAAGGATCAACAGCCACTGAGGGCTGGTAGTAGTGCTGAGAGGCAATGTATATGGGATACGCCTCGGATACACCGGCGTAGGAAAGGTAGGTGGCCAGCTCTGATTCTGACGGCAGCTCCTGGCCGATGGTATGTGAGGACTTATTTTGTGAAGCGAGAGGCGCGACCAGAGAGGGTGAAGGTGAGGTACCGGCAGGTAGCGATGAAGATGGATGGATTGTCGCAGAGAGCGGGTCACAATGGTGACCAGGCGAGGCGCCGAGGAAGGTGGCGACTAGGGGGTAGGAAGAGCAGGTGGCCAGATCGTTGACGTGGAAGGGGCCACCGGAGAAGATGGGTGGCTGGTCTGTGAGTCTGTGGCCAGCGAAATGCATCATCGGCAGCGAGACTTCATTATCGAGGGTGTGGCCATGGAAGGGGAAGGCCGGCGAGGAACCGAGTGGGGTCCTGTACAGTAAGGTCAGTGCATACAGCAATGAACACAAAAAGGCCACGTACGTGAGCCTGAGCTCGGTGGACGGAGTGTAGTACATGGGGGCAGCATTAAAGTTCCGTGATGAGGAGTTTGAGGACTCGTCGGAGATGATAGAAGACGCGTCAGAAAAGGCCGCACATGGTAGCCCGTCGAACGCAGGGTCACAATCGAGGTTCAAATTGGTGTATTCCATGGTGGAGAGCGAGAGTAGGGGAGGACAAAGATGTACGGGCGGATAAAGCGATTGGAACATTGTGGGCCATGTTTTATAGCTTTTGAAGGCGGAAATGGCCAGAGAGATCGTGGCAAGCACTGCGTGCAGATCGCTTCCCCGATGTGACTTGTAGGCGCTCACATCCTCCTCGTCTGATCGCCGTGCGATGAACGCCGGCATCGACTCCAGCACGGGGTGCCCGCATCTAGTAGAGACGACGAGTGCATGGCTGGAGAGACATGCGGTGTTCAGACGGATCAGTCAACAGAAATCGAGCAGAACTTGGAAAATCGACCTACGAAGCTTATAAAGTCCAAGCAGCTGTCGGGGTTCGAACCGCAGGTCAGTCATATATATACCGTGAAGGGAAGGAGAGATGCCAAAACAGGAAAGTTGATCCAAATTTTCTCAAGGCTGTCGTGCACTATTTGTTTTGTGGCAATTCTGTCCGTGCTTTCCGCGCAAGTTCCTCCGCCGCCTGGCGAGCCGGCAAGAAGGATGACAATGACCAAGCGCAAGTCGTCTGCCCTTGGTCCTCGACGTCAGCACTGTGAGGTCTCCGACAGCCTCGGGCCGTAGCTAAAGTCGGATAACAAGATGCGATAGCCGAGGTGTAGAACGCACACGAGGAAGCCTCCGAAGTGAGTAAGAATCAGTCTCGAGGAATAAGTGGGATAAAATATTCCGAGGCTTCGGGAGCTAGCCTTATGTACCCCATGGTATACCTTATGTATTTACTGTCCAGTGACCGGGAGAATGTGGTTGAGATTTCACTGAGCTGGGCCCCAGCAGCTCAACACGTGTTTCACAAGAGCTATTAGTACATCGCCGCAGGCAGACTGGCAATTTGAAGCAATCTTCATGCTTAAAACGGGTATCCATGCACGCACCACAACGATGGTGGAGGAGTCGAGAGACAGGCTTCTAAAACCAGCGGTCGCCGTTCTTCGTCGACTTCAGGCATGACTTGTGAAATTCATGGGTACTTTCGGACGGCGAGGCGGCACCTACGAAGTTTCCACTGTGGTTCATGGATGAGCGCCCAAAGTACCGACTGAAGCAAGCGTGGTAAAGTCAGTACCCGCACCTACAGCCTTGGCGTACGCTGATGACCGTCCGACCCTTCGGCTTCTGCCAGCTGGACCTGCTGGACCTGCCCGAGCACGAAGACAACCCTGGGCTCCGGATGGTGAAGATCGTTGAGCCCGTCGAATGTCTGCTCCCATGTTATGATGGCTTTTGATGAGCAAGCCGTCAGAAGGCGAGCTCTTCTGCAGGGACGGGCATCCACATGGATTGGCCAGAGGGTATCCTAGGACATCATCCGGTTAGAAGAGTCGTATTTCTAGAGGACAAGGAATACGTGCGATAACTTCTCGTCCATCATCGAAACCGAGCGTAAAAATCTTGTTATACGAGCCTGCATATCATGTCACAATAGAAGCTTCCGAGATTGAAATCCACACAACTCCGTCTACCTTTTTGAAATGAGTACATCGCTGAGCTCCGACTGCAGTACAAGCGAGTCGCTGTGTAGCATCAACGTCAAATTTGAGGAAACGCGACGCATTTTCTAGAGCAATGCTCAATTAGGAGACGATACAGAGGCACGACGGCACTCACGTTCTTTTTCGTTGTACAACCACCGCCCATTTTTGAGTCTCATAATTATAGCTATATAATCTCTTTGGAGAGAATGCCCGGTTTTGCTGATGGAAGGAGAGATGCCAGAACAGGAAACTTCCCGAGTTTCTGCGCAAAGACAACAACAGTACTTGGAAAGTATTCGCGCGCCAGACACGGATATCCTGAGGCACGAAGGTTGAAGCAGAGTGTCAGTCTGCCTTTGGGAGACTAATTCGCGCCCCATTTATTCACAGATCAATAGACGGCAACTTTCATTACTTTCAATAGCCAAGCTAGCCAAGTACGATGTCCGCGTGCGCTGTCTTACTTCCCGCATCTATGATATTAGTATACCGATTAACCCGGCCGCTACTCCTCAATCTGCCGCATCCCTTAAGTTTATACGACATGAGAATTGGTTAATTCCTCGTCCTACTGCCCGACTACCCAACTCCAATAAAGCTCACCGCCGTCGACGAGCGCCGGACTCCTGATCTACGCGGTGGGGTACGTCCCTCGCATGGCCGTGGATGAGCGAGCCCGCGCAGCGGGCGTCATGATGCATCCGCGGACGGCTGGTGTAGGCGCGATTGAAACAAGAGGGGGCTGGAGGGATACGTAGCCTCAGATGATGATAATGCGGACGCTGGGTGAGCGTAGGTGGACCAAACGGGGGGACAGTAAAGGAAGAGCTCTTGATCTTGACGCGCTCCATGGTTCCGAGGATGCTGACTTGAAGAAGGGAAGCTGTACCGAATGTTCATACTGAAAAGAAGAAAGACACGGGCCGGGGACAGCCTGCTCTGGAGCATTCGCGCTGCCCTAGTCTCCGTTGCTGACTATATATGGCTATGGATGACAGTCGATCCATATCTAGTATATAGTCTGCATTAGTCTTGGTCAACTAGCGCATTTTTGGCAGGCTCCCACCTTACGGAAGTTTCCGCATCACGTGCAACCGTGATTCTGTGTATACGCGTCGCGTTGTCCAATGCATTCTCCTCTTCCTGCAGGGAAGAACGGGTAGCTAGGCTAATGATACCGTGTTTTTAGGACCTGAGTTACTTCAAAAAATATTTCTAGTATAGTTCGTAGCAAGGAAGGCCGGAAACAGGCCATGCTGCACAGTCTTGTAGTGAAATGGACATCTGCACCTCTTCTCCTTATCAGTACCTCCAAAGAACATTCCTGAAATAATAGGCAAGGATTCTGAAGGATGTATATTGACTTCTTAGGTTGAATATCAGCCACCCGGGCTGTCGTTGTCCTTCCAGCTTTTAAATTCGCGTGCTTAGCTGCAGTTGTTGTTTCCTTTTTGGGCGTAAGAGTATAACTTTGTTGATTTCCACGCATTTTTCCAAGTTATTTCCTCGGGAAAAAAGGAGTTATGCGTCCTGTGCCATATAGCGCTGCCCCAAGTTCAGGTTCAGCGTTAGGCAACACCCCTTCCAGAGCCTCACAGAAGTCGGCACCGCTTCTCGAGGCTAATGCTATCTTACAGGCAAATGTTGAATTGAATGAAAATCGAGTGAGCAGCGATCAACGACATCTCGAGTCTTGAGAGTTATTGAGATCAGAGTACACTTGCAGTCGATGGTCGAAAGGCCTTGTAGGATCGCTCGAGCACTTCCAATACCCTCATTATTACTGAGACAATAGTGCCATCAGATACACCATGCCAATGGGCAAAAATGACACAACAAATAAGCTAGCCTACAAAGTACCTAGAGGCGTTCTCCGAGCCCAAACGAAGGTGTGGATCTCCTCAACTGACCGGCCAAAGGCCGACCTCGGAGCTATGAATGAATCGGTTTGCCGAAAATAACGATTGCCTGACCACCAGTCGGTGGACGAGTCGGAAAAGAGTGTGAATGAAAGTCGCCATGCTCGTTGCCAGTTGCCAGTGGGATCAAAGTCAAACCTTCAGCTAGAACAGCTGGAACTCATTGTGATGCCGTAGTATGGCCCATCATGGTATGCGGTGTCCCCCTCGAACACCGTCGGCACGTCACCCACGATGCACTCCGTGTTCGAATTATCCTGACCTGACCCCACCAATGGTAGGCGTGATCAATGTCATCAAAGGTCGAGCGAGAGGAGACTGCTCACCGGGACATGCAGCCCACGCGCCAGAGTTCAGGATGTGCAGTTCGCCTGCGGGGTGTACGTACCCGAGGAACTCGCCGGGAAGGATTGGCACGACATCCTGCCTGTTGTTAACGTGTGAGACCGCAATTGGATGGGCGTCGACGTAATCTGCGAACTCTTGGTTGCCGACCTAAGGGACGTCAGACGTAGAATGGGAGAAGCGAAAAGGCAAGTTGAGGTAGTGCATACCCGGGGGAGACCGTACCCAACGAACGTATAGGACGCATCTGGGATATGCAGCGGGAGGTAGATCGCATCTAAAAGCGCGACCGCTGCGCCTGTGAAAGAGCATCAGACGGCGGTATCAGATAGTGCACGTTAAGCTCACCGAGAGAATGCCCCACTATCGTGACGCGGCCGACGCTGTATGTCGACATCGCCTCCTGCACTGCAGCCAGGACAGCTGTCGCGGTCCTGCGTACACATCAGCATGGCCATTCACAGATAAGAATAGATATCGTAATATCGCGGACTTGGAGTGCTCCCTCGCGAACCCGCTATGCACCCGCACGCTGGAGCTCACGCCGGGGAAGAGCGACGCGTCGAGCTGCTCGAGAACGATATCCGCATCCGTGAGTAAAGGTAATCTGCGATTAATGCTGTCAACCTCAGTTCAGAAGCTCTGAGAGTGCCGACTCACATCGCCTGGGGGTTCGTCCCTTGATGCGACACGATGACGGTGTCCAGCGCAGGATCGTACCCCACAAACCCTGCATACCACCCATGAGCATTTGAGAAACGAAACACGCCCCAAGAGTGACTATATTGCTCACAGAATTGCACGTCACTCCCATCCCCGCCCGCCGCAATGGGCTGGAAAGCCGGATTTGCATTGCAGCTCAACCCGCATTCCCATGCGAGTGTCTTGGACGGCGCGCAGTACGCTGCGTTCGCATACCACGTGTAGGTGGTGTATGACTGTATCTGAGACGCAGCGAGCGTGGGGATCGTCTCACCCCGCCGCCCAGATGCTGGAGCAGCTACGGCCGCAAATGGCAGCAGGATCGCCAGCACTACTGCATAGAGTGGGGAGACGAGCATGGCGAGTTACACAGACCTGCCAGCGGGCGATGACTAGATAACCAAGAAAAGTGCGATCTCGAACTTCATTTCGCGAAGTGCCGTGCCATCTCCCAGGAAAACAGGACGGCCATCAGATTGGACAGGCGGGCACTGGAAACAATAAAACAGCCATATGTATGCGGTTCGTTGTGATGATTCAGGCAAAGTCAATGGCTGCCACGCGAGTGACCGTCGGCGCGGGCACGTGGCGATAGGAACGCGTCGCGTGTACTTACTGCGGAACCGACGCGTTCCTCCAGGCCTGTCGTGGTCGACAAGAGAACTGTGCGCAGGTTGACAGAGATCATGGAACTCTATGATCACACCGTTTCCTGACATTGAACAGTTCGACTGATGAAGGCTGCTGGATGAAATGAAATAGCGTTCGTCTGTGCGAATCTACGCTGACAATGATTCCATGTAATCGGCATAAATGACATGCCATCTGACGTGCCATCTGATCAGCGTCAAGGGGCAAGATCAAGAAATACATACAAGCTGTCGATACCTGTGCAACTCACAGTCGTCATGCACAACTGGACATCACATCTCCTCCTCATCGAAATTGATATCTTCCACTGGGAAGTCACCAACCTTGACCCTCTCAGGTCTCACAAATACGCCAAAACTAGGCCGGCAGGTAAAATACCGCTCGCCTTGTACCCTGTATCAAAGCGCAGTCAGCAATAATGAGAAAAACTTCGACGTGCACGATAGAGCAACGGGACTCACGAGCCATCGTTCTTCCCTATGGGCTCATCGTACTCAATCCCAATCCACAACCCTGTCTTTGCAAACTTCGTGGCCCCGACGAACCGTACCGTCCCGCGCTTGTGGAACCCTTCCTCGCTCGTCTCGACCTCGCATCGCGCGCCCACTGGGAGGTCTAGATGTGGCACCGAAACCGTCTCCTCCTGATCCTTGTCCGCGAAGCGTCCAATCTTATGGCGTTGCTTGTACGAGAGGACTGTGTCTGTCTCATAGAACAGGATCAGCTGTGAATGAGAAGACGAGATGTCAGGCGTACCCTGTCGTTGTGCATACTCGCCTTCGCTGAGCTCGAACTTCTCCACCTGCGAGACGTCGCTCAGCTGTCCGGTGAAGGATGTGGCCGGGTTCAAGTCCGTGATCTACGCAGCATCCGCACGTCAACTTTGTTATTAGTTGAACAGCCGGCAAGCGCTGCGCTGCGATGAACACACCTTCAGGACCTGCCAATCTTTAATCCCATAGAACCCCAGCGGTCTGCTGTCGTCATTCAGACCACACAGTGCCTCCGAATCATTCTCCGAGTTGTACAGCGCGATCGATTGGTTCTGGACGGGGATCCCGGTTATAACCTCGAGCTTGTTCTGCAAAACACCCCAGTGCGGGAGCGCAGACGCCCTGTTCAGCGTTCAGTCTCATTCACAATCGACCTGATGCACCTTGAGCTGCTGCACGGTAATGTGTAGGTCGAACCGCCGCTCTGAGCGCGTGTCGGGGGAGACGACGAAGACATGCACTGCGCTGGACATCGTGGTCAGTGGGCGCTGGGGAATCTGAACCTGGCTCAGGCTGAGCGTACCACTTACATTGGTTTAGAGACTCTCATTTCGTATGCTGACGACTGACCAAGAAGCGTGCGCTGGACTTCGGCGTCGACAGAATGAAAGTGTGGCTACGAAACAGTGTCACGGTAACGCGTAATGCATTAATGGTTGAAGATGGCTGTCAACTTAAGCGCCCGTGTGGTTAAAGTAGGCGACTAATGACACCATTTCCTTCATCATCTACTACGATCAGTGACAAGAAACAGTAAATGTACTCCGGCACTGAGTATACTGATCACCGATTCTGCCTCATTGAATGATCGTAATTGAGTTCTCCAATTCCTGAACATTACGCTCATCGACAACCCATTTCGACACCGTTGTACGGTCCGTCGTGGTTGGACTCGTTGCCCTGGAAAATTGTGGGCACATCGCCGACGATGCACTGCGTACTCGGGTTGTCTTGGCCTACAGGGCGAGGTCAGAACGCATTGCGCGGAGATCCACGGGCGTTGGGCATTACCTGGGCACGAAGCCCATTCACCGTAGTCCTCGATGTGTACTTCGCCGGAGGGGTGCACGAAATCGAGGAACATTCCGGGGCAGATGGGAATGGGGTCCTCCTCGTTGTTAATGTGCGTCACAGATGTGGGCTGCGCGTCGACGTAGTTGGCGAAGGCTTGGTTGCCAACCTAGGACAGGGAGCAGTTAGAAGACGTGACGTACGCTCTGTCTCGATGCAATTGCTTACCCGAGGCAAGCCATACCCGACGTAAGTAAACGTCGCACCAGAGATGTGGAGAGGGAGATAAACGGAATCTAGGAGGGAAATTGCAGCACCTGCAAGAGATGTTTTACACACGGCGTGCCGGTAAGCGTGGACAGAGGATACCGAGGGAGTGTCCCACCACCGTCACATGGGTGGCACTGTAAGTTGACAAGGCCTTCTGCACCGCAGACAGAACCGTTGTTGCAGTTCTGCGATATTCAAACGCCGTTCGTTATGATAAAATGTCCGCCCACTCACTTAGCCTGCTCGTTAGCGAATCCACTGTGGACCTCAATTGAGGAACTGAGACCGGGGAAAAGAGTAGAATCTAGATTAGTGAACACGATATCGACATCGGTGACCAGAGGCAAACTGTAGAAGGGAAGTCAGTCATACAGGACTCTCAGTGCTACGCACAGCGTTTTAACTTACATCTCGGAGGTATTCGTTCCTTGGTGAGACACAATGACGGTCTCCAACGCCGGATCATATCCCACGAACCCTGTATGGTTATAGCTCGGCACTTCCACCAACGACATTCGTGAAGTTCACTCACAATATTGGGTACTATCACCGTCGCCACCAGACGCGACAGGCTTGAAGCTAGGGTTCGCATCGCAGTTCGTTCCACAGTTCCAGGCTAGCGTCGATGCCGCATTGCAGTAGCCCGTGCTGGAGTACCACGTGTAAGGAGTGTAGGTATCGATCTGAGTCGTCGAGAGTGCGGTGATCGACTGTCTCGCCTTCAGGCCTGGGGCGGGCACAGCGTGGACGGCATATATCACAGCGAGGAGGGCAGCGCTGACCTTCAAGTTAAGAGGCATAGCGGCAAGGTTGCGGGAGCAAAGCACAGGTCGTGTAGTTGGGAGACCTGCATGGCATGCAGATACGTACCGGTTTATATCAGAATACAGGAAGGAACATCAGTTAATGCATCAGCGAGGGTGCAGCGGTTGAGTCTTGCGGACAGCGGAGCCGGCGACGCCATGTGCAGAGGACACAGCCCTCGACGGGCCTACGACGAACGTTGATGAAGAGGATATGGAAGACTATTGGAAGTACCCTTCTGCACGTGTATTGGGTTGTACTGGAAGTACATGTAACGGCATGTAACACTCGCGGATGACAACTCGGTGAGAATACAGATCGGCATGCTAAGACGCATTCAGACCTTCTTCCAGTGGCACCTGCATCGCAACCATGCTGGACACGTGGGAGTGCATTCAGTCGAGATTGCGCAGCACATGAGAGGAGATTGCTCACCTGTATCCCGACTTTGATAAGTGGACCAACGTCATAATTCGGGATGCATATCCAGACCATGGGGGAGAGCCATTCCGACGAATGTGGGACATTTGATAGTCTGGTATTGTCATGCACCGTGGCAGCATAAGTAAGGGACCGGTTGAGGATGCTTCAGAGATAGGTGCGATCAGGTCATATGGAACGTGGCATAGAACCACTACCACTGCGAGTGCAAGGATGCCTATCATGATTACCCATCCAACGAACTTTCGTGTTTGTGATGGTAGTAAGGCGTTGGTAAAGGCGGGTGGTTCAGTAGCTTCTGTGGAGCTGGAAGGTGCAGGGTCCAGTCCGAATATATGTTATCCGGGTAGGATGTTCTTCATGCAAAAGGAACATAAACGTGGCTATCAGTACCATGAACGTTCAAACGTTCAAGTTTATTCAACGAGGGGAACTTGAGGACGGTCGGATGACCCTTCACGGTTTGTCCCGCTTGGTGAACAGCCACGTGCTCGTGAGGCTCATCAGGTCGATCTGATCGGTTACCGAACGCTTTCAATCCGCAAGTCGACGGCCCACTGTTTACTATGTATTGAATTCGTTCGAACATCGTTCTTTCATCGACAGTTGCTTCTCCGTGCTCGCACGTCCTGAAGATTATGCACATTGCGCGTCAGCGGGGAGCGGTAAGGGTTATGGCTGACGGTTCCGACCGCGACCTTGGCGACCTAAATCGAAGAAACTGCTGTACTGTTACACTTCTCTTACGTCGATTGCCAGTCCAATGGGAGAAACAGCGGCGTCTATATGTAGACGAATTTCGAAAGAATCTTGACTGTAGGCTGCAGCCACACATGCGTCTCTCACAGCCTGGAGCTCTCGACGTCCTTGGACGCCGCGTCTGTATCTATTCTCGCTCTGGAGAGCAATCACTTGACTCTGCTCGGGCCTGCCGAGCGTTGACGACGTGCTATTGCGAAGCGGGAGGCAAGTACGGACCGCTTCGAAGGCATCTTTCTTGAGCTTCGGATGTCATGGGTTCGTCTACACTGATCTTGCCCTGCACTACGTACCCAAAACGCTATGTGTATTTTGAAACATGGACTCAGAGCAACTTGTCCCGCTCCCGTTGTGACCGTGTAGGGGCCACAGCGGACTTCTCTCTCTCGTAAGGGCTGTGGCTGACACGGTCCGCTTCGAGATATATATGAGTCGCTCTGCTCTTTGAGCCTTGCGTTCCCCCGGACAGGATGCGCTCCTTCTTCGGCCTCGCTGTGCTGCTTGCCTCGCTCCACTATGTTTGCGCTGGCCTGCCGAACAAAATCTACGGCGTTAACATTGGCGGGTGGTATGTCGTTTGTTCATAAGTCCGTTCGCAGATGATTCTGACAATTACGGTACGTCAGGTTGGTCCTAGAGCCGTGGATGCTCCCTGCTGGTATGGCTCTTACGCGTGCGCATGTTGACGTTGCTCTAATGTTCTGCTTGTTTGACTTTAGAATGGCTGGAAATGGGTGGAGAGATCTGCTCCGATTGTTCACAGTGTATCGGCTCAGAGTAGTAAGTCGGACGAAGTATTTTCCATACGGCACGCCTGACTGGATACAGTGCGTACGTCAAGGCCTACCCTGACAGCGCCGACGAAGCATTTGCGCAGCATTGGTACGCGAATTCTTGTGTTCTTCAGATGGAACCCCGAAGTCGACGATTAAACACAGGTCTACTTGGTTTACGCAAAGCGAAGTGGCTACCCTAGCTTCCTACGGCATCAATACTGTTCGCATTCCAGTGCGTGAAATTAGTTCTGTCATGGATCCAGCCTAAAGTCGGCACGGAATATGCTGTGTACCCCAGCTTGGGTATTGGATCGTTGAACAGCTCGTTGATCGGGAAACTGAGTTTTACGCCCGTGGTGGAATTATGTACCTGGTGAGTGATATGACATGTATTCACCGAATAGATGCCGAACTTAAAGGCACGGTGTAGCAACAAGGCTTGAAATGGTTGCAAGACGCCGGCATCCAAGTGATCCTCGACCATCATGCGCTTCCAGGCGTACAAACTAGCGACCAGTCATTCGCCGGAAAGTAAGTTTCACCTGAGAGACATGCTTGGACTATTGCTTACGTCCCTACTAGCTGCACATACAACGTCCAGTTCTATGTAAGTTTCTCTGCGATACCGGCATCGTAGAGAACGATCGGCTTGAGGTGACTCTGCTTCTAGACTGAATACAACTACCACCGTGCGCTTGTGTGGACCGCAGTGATGACAACGCTATCACACCTGGACCCCAACTTTGGTTCTGTTTTAGCCATCGAAGCCGTCAATGAACCTATCATGGACGCATCCGAAACTCCGGGCTACGGCACATGTAGGTCCACCCACATCACCCCTGTCACGCTCATCCGGAACTCAATCTTGATCTATGAATCTAAAAATCTGAAATTGTATCTGCATAGTCCAGCAATACTTTGTGGACACCGTCCGCGCGGTGGAGCTCATCCTCGGGATCCCCGTGCCCGGCCTGGCGCTCGATACGCCTGTCGGCACTACAAACATGAGCGCGGCGCTCGTGCAGGTTGGGAACTCGAGCAGCATGGTGTTCAACGAAGAGGTGAAGTCGGCGCTCGTGGAAGCCGCGCCAATCCTCGCCGAGCTCGCTGTGCAGCTCTCCGTCCCGGCGATATTCGACTTCGCCTCGGCGTCAAATCAGCGGGAAGCGCTATGGACGACGTAGGGCTGCCTGTTCCAACTTGAGACTGGTACTGATGCGGGCTCGGTTCCCAGGTTCATGGATGTGAATTGGCAGCGTGACGACCCTCCGAATCCTGCGTATGCTGCGAAGGGGCCTCAGGGATACGACAACCATTTGTACTACAAGTGAGGATCAGTGTTAAGCCTCTTCACCGTGTGAGTAACGATTGACGTGTTCTCTACTAGCTTTGGGGTGAGAAACTTCGTCCACGGATGGTCAGCTGTGATGATACTGACGATCTCCCAGGGTGTGGCTGATCCCAATCCGACTGCATACATGGAAAGCATCTGCAGTACGCCGTTACTGTCTGCGTGCACCCCGTTGATTAAGTGGCATTTTTTCAGACCTCCAGCGCGTCCAGGCTGACGCGGCGCTCGGCGACAGCCCGCTCTGGTTCGGCGAGTGGGGCCTCCCGACGCAGTTCAACGCGACAGACCAGTTCTTGTACCAGTGGGCGGACGCACAAAAGCTGGCGTATAGCGTGGGCAAGGGCTGGATAGTGAGTCCTTCCGCGTCTGTGTCCTCCCATACTAAGCCGTGCTGGGTGTAGTTCTGGAACTTCCAGGTGGAGATCTCTGAGCTAGCCGGAAACCTCTCCAGGCAGTGGTATGTCCTCTTTCCTACTGTTTTGGTGGTGATCAGGATTCACGGTGATGCAGGTCTTATATCGAAGGCGTGAAGCTTGGATACTTTACGCAAGACCCTGCGGAGTACCATAATGCCAGTGTCTGCGCCCCATATATAAGTGCTTCATCTACGTGACCAGTGGGGGCAATATTTTCGTATCTTTTTTGTACCTATTGTGATATTCGGGATACTCGAAGGGAGTTGCGCAATATGGAATACCCGCTGCTATCTTCATGAGCTGCCACTGTCTGGCGACGCTTGTGGTGTGAAAAGTACTGCAACGTCGAACGTACAAAATGTGCATGGAAGTAGACTCGGAGCAGGTACAGGAACTCGCCGATGTCTCGGACGGTTTCAGACGACAGACATAGGCCAACTGAGAGCGAAAAAGAACATAAATATTGAGACCCGTAGGTCTACCACTCCGGGAAAGCGTGTCATCCTTGTGCAGGGGCCATGCTAATCTTCTCTGCATCGTTCCAATTTTTTCGTATGTCACCCCGAAGGGGACATACAGTAATGCTGGGGCTGGGTGGCTTTGGCATTGTTTCTGCATTTTGTTTCGGTCGCGGGTATGTTCCCAGCACGTGACCGACGCGTTTAGCATTGGCGCGTCTGCGACTCAACGTCGATCGATCGACTGTCGCTGCTTGGCTGCTGCCCGTCCGATCTGGAATGACGTGCCGGCGACACCGGCGACACTGCGAGTGCTGTCGGTGGCGTCGGCGGCTGACCGGCGCAGGAGGGTATAAGTATCTGACCGACGGTTCGTTTCCCCCCAGTGCCCCTTGCTTTCGTTCGCTATCGTTAGAGACTTAGACCCAGGTGGTCCTTCACATTCACCTTAATCTATTCACTCTTTGCGACAGGATCGCCTGATACTTTCTTTCTCTACCCACTTTCTTTCCAACTCTACTTCACTTCGCTATCCTAGTTCCACCATGGTCGTCCTCACGCCCCGTTTCACTCTCCTCGCTGGCCTTGCGTCCATCGCTGCACTCTCTGTTTGTCCTGCACCTGCTGCTGGCGCTGCCATCGAGATCCGTTCTCACCACGATTCGGACTCGTCAGCCCCCTCGGCTACCTCGACAGCCTCGACCTCCTCGACCACTTCTCATCACTCCACTCATACCAGCCATTCACACTCCTCCGATACGACGACTGCTTCTGCTAATGCGTCGAGGTCATCCAAAGTGGCGCTCTACCCCAAGCCGACTCTCCCTCTTCCGGCGCTCTTTGCTGCGAAGAAGGTCAGCCAGTCGTCATCAGCTGGTGATGGTAAGGAGGTATCCAAGGGCGAGAAGAAGACCGTTCAATCTTCGTCGCACCATGGCTCCAAGATGGGTGAGGATAACAAGGGGGGGAAACACCATAAAGACAAGGCAAATCTCAATGCCCTCTTGTTGCGGCGGACGCTCATTGATGATGCTTTACAGAGAGCCCCTTGGGACCCCCTCGATCCTCTCCTCCAGGTCGGCGGTATCTGGATCGGAGATCGTCCCAATGCCGCCCCTCAACAGCAGACGCAGAAGGAAGAGGTTCACGTTGAAGCGGGTCCCCACTCCTACGAGTATGAGATGCTCGAGAAGAGGCACCGTCATGGCCATGACAAAGTTGTCGTCAATGGTAATCACGACCGTGTGCATGTGCGCCGTTCTCCCTCGCCCGAACCGCACCACCACCATGATGGCCACGACAGGGTGGTGGTCAATGGTGACAACGACAACGTGCACGTCCGTCGTTCGCCAGAGCCGCACCATCGTTGGGACCATGACCATACCAAGGTAGTTGTCAACGGTGACAACGACCACGTCCACGTTCCAAGGGAGCCGCACGACCACGACCGCCATGGTCACGACAAGGTGGTCGTGAACGGTGATCACGATCATGTCAACGTGCACCGGAGGGATCGTGACTCGTCGATCTACGTGTCCAGCGAGCATGGCGACTCGTATATTATCGCTCATGCTCGTAGTGACGACGATGTCAATGTCAGTGCCAACGTCCGCGTGTACGGTAGGTATCAGGATCATGACGGCGACCTCGACGCTACTGTCCATGTTCGCGTCAAGCGCGATGATGGATCGATGCAGGGCGTTCAAGGCTCAATCGACATCATGGTGCGTATCGATCGTGACATCGGTCGATCTTGCGAACCCTAGCTAACCCAGCATCTGCAGAGTCTGGTGGCGAATTCTACCATGGCCCAGAAGATTGCATCGCTTGTTCTCTCCCAGCCGGCAGACAATAGTACGAGCGGTTCCAATTCCACTACGAACTCGACGAGTTTTGTCCTCAACGCGTCAGGCTCAGCTCAGACTCAGATTTTCTTGACCGCCGCCCCCAGCAATATGTCCAACTCTACGAACGCCACTGTACCGGACGGCTCGTCGTTCCACAGGGTCACGCTGCAGATACCGATGTTCGATGCGGAAGAGGCAGCGATAAGGCCCTATTGCGCGACGTTCGACCCAAATCCACCTGTGCCGTCTCCTCTCACAGTGGAGATCTGCATGGAAGGCAGCTCCGACGACCCGCACAAGAGCCAGATCTTCGCGTTTGACCCTTTCACCAATAGCCTCCGCCCGCTGTTCACGGAGTACGACGCGTCTAATGGCCTGAACACGACCGCATCGGCATCTATTGCTCCTGCTGCTAATACCTCGAGCTCAGCTTCCAACGCGACCTTGACCACTAGTACGGCGCAGAGCACGGCAACGCCAGCGAGCGATATGACAACGGGCGTGGCAGATCTGTCCTCGGGGACGGCGCTGGATGAGGAGTATGGCGACGCCACGCGCCCTCCTAGCCGCGCAGCGTTCGTGAACACGTTCGATGCGACTCCCGGAGCGGGATTTGCGCGTAATGTGACACTCGTGTTCACCCCGGCTGCACCGGAAATCGCTCCAGCTCAGACGCAGGACTTTGCAGCCGATCAGGACGATGACGCGGATGAGGATGCTGGTGCTGACGAGGATGCTGGTGCTGACGTGGGTGCTGGCGCGGATTCTGACTCGGACTCAGACTCGGACATGACTTCGACTGCTTCGGGCTCTTCTTCTATGGCTGCGATGGTGACTGCGACGGATTCGGCCTCTTCAGCGATGATGACAACGGCGACGGCTACTTTCACTAATGCAGACTCGGATGCGATTGCTACGACGTTCTCGGGATCTGATGGTTCATGGACAGCTATGTCTGCGACATCTTCTGACTCGGCTTCTGCACCGACGGACTCAGCGACGACGTCGGCGGGCCAGGACGACATGATGGCTGCTACGACCTCTGGATCTGCGTTTGCGTCTATGACCTCGATCCCGACGTCAAGCTCGGCCTCAAGTTCGATTGCGACCGCAACTGCGTCGTCGACTGCTGGTGCTCTGGACGTCGAAGTGTTCAATCCCGACGCGTCATCAGCCCCGTCTGGGCCGAGCACTGTGCCTACAACTTCTGCATCCGCACCCACCGCCACGTCGACGTCACCCTCGGACCCGGTCGCGCGTGACGTAATCACTACCACCATCACCACGACCAGCTGGGTGTCTTCCAGCACTGCGAGCGCGACCCCGGGTTCGGTGCCGTATGAGTGGATGTTCCGTGAGGGCGTCATCGTTGGTGAGCACTGATCTGCTATGTGGAGTTTCATAAGGGTGGAGTTCCTATTTTTTTCTGGTTGGCTTTCGCTGTGCTATCGAACGCAACATACATTACTACCCTACGGTCGTGCGCCTCTACATTACGCACATATTATGCCTTATGATTGTACGAATTATGATTATGATTATGATTATGCGTACTATATGCGCGGGGGAAAATTTGGATGGTCGTGTTTCGTTACCTGGTTCTCGCATGAAGATCAGAGCTCTGCTTGGCGAACGTTCCCTCGGCCCTCCCCCACCGTCGTCGTGGTGTGCACGGATACTCTCTTTAAGTATGAAGATTGCGTCAAAACGTCAGTCTGCCTGCGGCGATGAGTACTTCCTGGCGTAGAAACGCGCGTTGAGCTGCCGTGGGCCAGCTCAATCGAACTTCAACCACATTCTCCTCGTCACTTGACAGTAAATACACCGCTGCGCCGACCTCGGTATGAGTTTTGTCCGAATCTCGAGAGTCGAGACTCGAGGTGAGCTAGCCTCTTGCTACTAGACAGGTGATCGGCTCGAACCTCTACGATCCCGCTCGCTCGTCACGGTGGTCAGCGAACCCGAGCCTGAATCCTTTCGTCCGACCAGATTGTTTTCGACGTTTGCCCACATATGTTTGCCTATTTAGCAAGTGCATCTGTATCGACTCACTTCGAAAATTGTATGACAGAGTGGGCATAGCAAGAAGTGTGAATATTGCCAGAAAACGATCGAGCGTGGCAGCGTCACCACCTAATACGTGATCGGGTCGCAAACGCGGACAGCATATAGTACATTGCGCCTACATCGCGGACTCAGAGAGACGTCACGTCTTGTACATGTGCGTATCTCAAGCGACTCCCAGACATCTCCATGTTCCAGTTGAATCGATCATTGACATCGAATCCTGTTTCCCTGAGAGGATATTCCACCGTTTTGACCAGACGCCTCAGGCCTGACACGTTCTGCTGCGTAGCGAGGTCATAGGAGCCACGGTACCTCAGTTTTCTGAGCCGCGCGAAGAACCGCGCCTTGAGGATTGGCTTGACGGAGGCAAGCAGTTCGCCCCCCACTGTTGGAACCATGAGTACAAGTCTGACACATCAGAAGAATACGTAGAAGCCCTACATGCCAGTCCAAATGATTCAGCAGCGCCTTCCCATGCCGCTTGCCCCAGACCCTCATCCAGCGGTTTTCCCGAATAGATGTTGGATGCAACGGTTTTCACCATATTCTTCTCCATGCCCATGAGAGTGTTCGTAGTGAGCCTAAATCCGAAGCGAACGACGAGCTCTCTGCCCACTTTTGACGTCAACAGAGCACCTCGGGAGCCCAAGACCTCTGCCAAAGTCACCGCGGGAACGATAAAATCGAGAGCACCCGAGATTCCTCCCGTGACGGCACCAGCCGCAGCGCCGATGCCCATATTGACAAAGTAGTCTTTGTCGCTGTAGGAGCCCTTGCGATGGTCGAAATCGTACATGAGTCCAGAGACACCGGCTCCTAGGGCAGCCCCAGCAAGAATCCCAACACCGATCGCCACGAAGATGTTAACACCTGGTACAAACATCAATCCCACTCCGAGAGCGATAAGGAATCCGTCTAAGATCCTACGAAAGCAACAAACATGAGAATCTGATCTCAGAGTCAGTCATGATGACGCACCAATGCCATTTTGGTACGTTGCCGTTGAGATCAATGAAATTGATTGGATCATTGCGCGAAAAAGAGTACATGTTGAAAGTAGAAGGTGAAATTTCATTCAACGACACTGGGTAATCATCGAGAGTCAAGAAGCGTCCAGCCTGTGTTGTCAAAAGTAAGTGGCCTAACAACAACTCCTTCAAATTGGTGACTCACATCCGGATCATAGAATCGGGCACCGAAGTAGTAGAAGCCTGCAAATTGTTCTTTGCCAGAGTATTTGTATCTGGCAACGTCAGGACCATCGATAGAAACCTTGCCAAATCCATCGTAGTGGTATAACGTCACTATATTGCCCTTCTCATCGGAGGCTGCAACCGTGCTGCCTAGATGGTCCGTGTGGTAGTAGTAGACGACTGGGCCATGAGATCTTTCCTTGACATTTCCCTTCGTCGTTGAGAGCGAGGCCCGGCGGTAGCCATGGACAAGGTAGGATGTGTGAGTTTCCCTTCCAGACGCCGACACGGTAACTTCGTATGACTGGCTGGGATACATCGTGACATCTCCATTCGGAAGCACCGCCTTGATCAAGTGACCACTGAAGTCATACACGAACGACGTCTCGTCCAGCTGTACAAGCCGCCCGTTAGCATCATACTTCATTGTATTCTTCTCTATCCCTGCACCATTCGACTTTGAAATCAAGTTGCCATCAGGGGAATAAGTGAAAGAGCATTCTGTGTGGCCATCACCGCCGGTTATTTTGGACAGTTGCCAACCATCGTTGACGAACTTTCTACCGCCCTTGGAGGTAATGTTACCACTCTGGTCGTAGGAGAACTCTTCGGGCTGTGTAACAAGTGAAGACGAATCAGAGAGGAGTTGTACGAGCTGGCCTGAGTGGACAATCCGGAGGGACTTCAGCACAACCAAAAGCTTTTAGAAGTGACGAGCATTCGCACCTGCATTATTGTACTGGAATGAATTACTGGAGGTTAAAAACTGGCTTGTACTACGTCCGCGGCCGACACTGTGATTGGCGATTCTACTGAAGGCATCGACCTTCCAGTCCTGGCGATGTAACACATTGCTGCCCTTCGACAGTATACGGCTGGCGAGCATACCACTTTCCATGATGGAAGATGTGGACCTTAACCCGTTTCCGAATTCACAGACGAGAGGACGAGAAAAGACGTCTTTGAACTCGTCGAGGGCGATCCAAGCCCGGGTAGTGTTGTCGGTATCCGTGAGCACAACCCGGTTTACTGATTCGCCGTCCCCATAGAAGGTTCGAGCGATGGTAGTACCATCAGGGTTCGTGGTGCGTAGAAGCTGGCCGAAGGGTGACCATTCATGAGATGTAACGAATTTGTGGCCGTCGAGTGAGAGGCTGTGCGTGATTAGCTTCCCGCGGATGTTGTAGTCAAACTGGTAGTCGATACCCTTCGAAGACGTCACAGAAACCAAACGTTGTTTGGTATTTTGCCCTCCTTTGTCATAGGTGTAAGTCAAGGTCTCGTCCGCTGTCGTCCTCGAGATTGGTCTCTGGATGAAGTCCGATTTGGTCGTGGTCGACAATCCAGTAAGCTTGTTATAGACAGTAGTTAGGCAAAGGTCAACATCGTATTTGGCGACGAAATGACTGATGTCTTTATTCCCAGAGTTTGTGAGACGTCGTTCGGTGGCACGCGAAAGACCATCCCAGGTTAGAGACAGTTGAACATCTGAAGGATCTTTCATGCGAACGGGCCTTCCCAAGCCATCGAAGACCGTCTGGATGCTTTGCTGCAGCTCGTTCGTCGATCTAACCACGAACGGCTTGACGAATTTGGAGGCGGAAGGCTCTGGGTTGGGCAGGAACTGGACTTCGCGGGTGCTGATCTGATCCGTGGCTTGGTTTCCATCGGATCGAGTTTCCGTGATCTTGGATATTCCTGACTGGAACTCATACCTGGACGTGATTGTGATGGGCGACACACCCGAAGAAGCGGGTGGTAGCGTCTGCTTGATCACGCGAGAAAGCATGTCGTAGGTGTACCTCGTGAATGTAGGCACTGAGCCGGCGAAGTAATCTCGAGAGCGGGCGACAACTCGCCCAGCCCCGTCGAACTCGACATCCGTGTAGATGAACGCAGAGGGATCATCGGGTCGAGGCCTCTCGCTCCTCCACTTACGATTGAGGCCGTCTATATGGTCCACAGTGTCCATCCAGCTGTCCTCGCCCGCTCTGAGTTCTGTACGAATCTGAGACAACTGGTAGAAGTCCGTGCCGTCGACGTAGAATGACTGCTTCTCGACAACACTCATCCCAGAGTGGCTGTCTCCCTGGGAAATCTCTTGCATGCGACCAAGTACATCATAAGTTGTAGACGTAGTGAACCCGTTCGAGTCTGTGACCGAGACCGGCTTGTCGTGTACCAGGTCAAAGGCTGAAGTCTCCTTCAACGGAGGACCGTCGGCACTAGTGTAGGTCAATGTAGCGACTGCGTGAGATTTGGTTTCATCATATGTGAACGAAGATTTAGCTGGCCCTGGCCCCTTGACGATCGTCTCATTCCCAGTCTCGTCGAATTCAAAGATCCGAGCCAACCAAGTGTCACCGCTCACCCAGCTGCTCACTTCCTTGGTAGTCTGCGTGTGCGGAACGAAAGCGTACTTGGTTTGCTTCAGAACAACGCCGTTCTGCTTGACAACCTCCAGCGTCTTACTCCCGAGGACCCAAAACTGCTCATTGTTCTCGAACGTAGACTGGATAGTGAACGCAGGCATCTGCAGCTGGGGAGACTTGATGGTGAGATTCGTGGCGTTATTGAAGGCGTCATATGCATATGAGACATCGACTTCGTAAGCAAGCGCGCCGGCTTCATAGGTGCTTTCGAGGACGCTGCGCAGTCGAACGGAGCAGTTATTTCTTGCGTTCGCCCGTGTAGTCTCAAAATTGTACCTGTTGTCTTGTAGCAGCCGACCACCAGACCTAATTTCCACTTGGGACACGTGGCCAGTAAATGGGTATTCCTGCCGATAATGTGTCTTCTCGGATGTTCCGAGCACTCGACTAGACTTGGTAATCTCTTCGAATCCAAGCCAGCCTCTTCCGTCAAAGTTTAGTCTTGCGTTAGCGTACTTGTAGTTGGTTTGATCAACCACATCAGGCTTGGCTGCACAAGGAGTGTTGTCAAGTTGTTTAACAACCCAAGAGGGAAAATACATGAGCTGTGAGCGGCCGTGCGCCGTTTCCTGCTGTGTCGGGGACGAAGTGAGCGTGGTGCTCAAGGACACATTACGCGCCATGGCGTTCAGAGCAGGCAACGGAGACTCGGGCGTGCTGTCTGTTCTGTAGATTGAGCCATCGCTGAGAGGAGCGTATGACACCGAGATGCGGGACCCAAGGCCGTTTTCGTAGCCAGATAGAAAATCTAAGGGTTGGGAAGACGAACACATCATCGGAGATATGGTAAGCTTGCCGCGGATGTCTATGGTGTTCAGCAAGCAATCCGCACGTCCGATTCCGCGAACATCGGACCACATCACTGAGGTGGATGACTTTCCAGGCTGTGCAACATCTTCCGTATTCACGAAGGTGTTATTGAAGAAGCGTAGAACATTGACATTAGTCTGCCTGTCTCCGGATAGCTTCGTGAAGGTATTCACGAGATCGACTGTGCCAGTCGAAGTGGTCCTCGCCAGGGTAAGATGTCCATTATACGCGATGTTGGTAACCAACGGCGAGGACGGCAGTAATAAGGAAGGACCAGTGCTGCGTAACAGTTGGGTTGAAAGGTAACCGTTGTTGTCCGAGACTGCCAGGAGACTTGTCTTTCCGTCTTCGTCTGCAGGGTAAGGCAAGAATGTTATTGTCGATTTCCACAAAACGGCCTCGCCAGCTTTTGTCAAGCCATCGTCTTGCCGGTAGCAAAGCCTTCCATCCTGTGACTGTAGCAAGTCAATCTGGCCAACGGTGCGCCCACTCTTGATTTTTGAGTAGATAACGAAGACATCCTCAGCGCTGAAATTGGAAATAGAGTTAGATCACGGAAGTCCTAGCTCAGAAACATCGTACCCATCGCCGTTAAGATCCCCGACAACGACATGAAGGTTCTTCAGACTAACATACGCAGGTCCGTCGCGAGGGGGCAGAGCTGTAAACTGCTTTCTGTCCGAAACGAACTGGACAAATCGCACATTTTGGCGCCCGCCGCTCATGCGGTTGTATATGTATACCAAACCAACTTGGCCATTACCCTAATGACGAATCAATATCTTCAGAATATCGCAGAAAGCATGAAATTATACCTCGAAGTCACCGGAGTGAAAGTGTCCGCCCATAGCCTCCGGTGAGAAGGTGACAGGCTGTTGAGGCTCGTAGCCTTGTGGAGTAGAAAGAATGACGGTAAGAGTGTGAGACGACATCGTCGACATGATATGAAGCTGCGCAATAGAACTAAATATGAAGAGAATACCTTGGGAACAAGATTGCGCACCAAATCAGTTTTCCCATTTCCGTTGATATCCAGCGGTATAATTTGCTTGGGAAAGGGCAAACTATCGAGTACGGAGTCGGGCGAAGAAGGAATACGACCATCATCGTCCGCGATATGCACAGCAAGATGGAGTTTCTGGTAACCAGATCGGATGCGCTTAGAAGCGATAACGAGGCTGCTCCTCCCGCTAGCATTGACGTCCAGAGGAAGTACCTGAGCATTCGGATCCTCGGTTTCGATGGTAACAGCCCTAGATGGATCGAGTGGATCGAAAATGGCTCGGTTTCCATTGACCCAGTCGAATTTGAGCGGCCTGACGGACGCTCCCGACGGATCGGAAAGAGCGACATTGATCAAGCGGCTCGTACCTGTGACAGGAGCCTCGTCGTACTGAAGATGATGCTTGTGCACAAAGTTGTTCTGCACATGTGACGAGATGGAGGTCAACCGCTTGTCAATGGAAACCTCGTAGCCACCAATATATTTGACCAGCTTGTCTGGGCGCGTCTCATACTCGAAGGTGATCCGGCGCTGGTGGGCCATTCTCGAAGAAAGATTTCCTCCGTAGTTCAACTCCGTCAAGTAAAATGCGCCTTGTCGAATATCATTGTTGTAAGAATAAGTGACGTAGTTTGAGAACCCGTCTGAACTTTCGGATATTGCCCACACGCGCGTCCCCGTACCGCCCTTCGCCTTTATGTTGGAGTCCTGACAACGTGCGATGTGAACTTTGGAAGAGAAAAATATCGACATCGTAGAACGTACCCGAGTATTACCAAATATACGGGTCGTACCATCAGGGAGATGCTCGGTCCAATATTCAGGATTGGCTGGGTCAGATCCCTTGGCAGTAACTTTCGACCATTGCTCGATTTCAAAGCGATACTCATTGCCGCCTATAGAAACCAGACGCTGACCGTCAAGGGCAAACCGGTCGTTCTTGTCATAATTGATCACGCCTAAAAACAGAACAGATAGAGTGTGAATCTACAACCACAGGATAGAGACACGCACATACCACGAAAGCCATCCTGTGCCACGGTCGCAGGAACGCGCTCGATCACAGATGCGCCCTTAATAACCCATCCTTTTCCGATCGCAGAGATGTTGGTTGCGGCAGAATGGTAGGACAGAGATATCTTCGGGGACACTTTCGCCGACGGGAGTTGCAAGGGAACATCAAGAAAGAGTGATCCATTAGGATCCACGGTGTGTTTGATGGGAAGCGTTCCTACAATACTGTTCGCCATGATAGGATTCGGGTCAGGCTGAGCTGAGGAAAACTAGTTCGCGCAGTCCTAAACGTGAGCGATGGATTTATGCCTCCAAGGGATACTTCCATGCAATGATACGCGCCGTCGTTCGAATTCACCGTGAGGCGATCCTTCCTGCCGCGTGCCCTCTTTTTGATTGTCATGGAAGGCGAAGCGATCTACTTCTACCAATCCCGCGTGATGCTCCAACGCTGGCCGCTTACGTCCCTGAACAACTGCGATCGATGTTCACGTTCCCCTTGATGACTAACGATTAGCTTGCGTAAATTAGATATCTAACCAAAATTTGCGGAGACCTGCTTACCGATTCGAAGTCCTAAATATGCGAAGTAAGATGCAGCCTGCTGGTCAATTGAGATGATAAGGGGGGCGTAAGCGTTTCCCGTCTTCCCAGCATGCTATGTACACTGAGTAAGTGCGAAAGTTGCGATTACTTCGCGTGTGGTGGTTGACAACCTCCACACGAACCAATCAATGGGGTAGATTGAACCTGCCAAATTTGAAGGCTTGCTTTCATCTGAAGTCAACAGGCGGCCTGAATCCAGCTTCAGAGGAATTGAGTTACTCATGACAGTACGCAGTGGCACGCGGCAGCCTTCTCCGAGATAAATTGAGTAGCGTGAACTCGTGAGGTCTCTTGAGGTTCGGCATGTGCACGGGATGCGTCCGAGATTAGGTTTGTAGAGACATATCGTTCGAAACCGTCCTTGACATCAAGGACAGTGCGAAGCCGGACGAGGAAAGTACCTGAATGCTGTGTCAAATATCAGCGCACAAGATACGCCTGACAAGGCCATATGCGAGAAGGAATGGAAAGTGCAGGTATTGCCTAGTTCGATCCTCCCTCAGATTAGTATCTTCTTCTGATAACTAACCTGTGGTTGCCTGAGAGAGGGGATAGAAAGCCGCCATCGAGAATCTAAGTACAGACCAAGTATGGCAGACTTCCGAGTCCGAGTGACTCCAGGCTCTGTCGTAGTGCGAACGGCGGGCACGAGTGACCTGTGACGGACTGCGACATTATTAATAAAATCTGGTGACGGAGGGTGACGGGCGTCCCGTTCAAATGGCGATCGCGCTGATGCAGCCTCTGGTCCATGCCAAGTACTGTCGATCCGATGTCCAGGTTCCTCGGCGCCCTCAGAGGTGCACGCGTGCACGCGTTCACTCATCATATGTCATGGCTCGGGATATTCAGATCACCTGAATCTCTTGGGGATTGTCCAGGAACATTCAGCTTGCATTCTTGCATTCAGCGAAGATAAAGTCCCTTTGGTCCCCCCGCCAGCACACCGGTGTAGCTAGTTCACTGACTGCGTTAGTATTCGGAGCTACCTTCCGCCCCCACGCCCACCTTTAGAAATATATTGCAGCTGGCTGAGCGTGGTTGTCACATCGACTTAGGCGTGCCGGGCATCGCAACGCAAGCCATTTGGGTGCGTCGACAATGCAGCATTCTCGACCTTTGACTTATTGAGGAAAGTGTGTTCGCTTCCTATCATATAACGGTCCTTCTGTGATGAACCAAACAGCCTCCTACGGTGTTGTACGCCCAGGCTTTGCTACAATTCGAGACCGTGACGAAAGACCTACAAGCTGGTCTGCCGAACTGCATTCTGTTCCCCGAAGTACCTGTTCATCTGCAGCCCCCATTCGATACTCCTGCTTATCGACATCTTGAGCCCGCATACTGTATATAGGCACGCAAGTACGCGTAGTTGACCCTTCTGTATGAGCGATTGGCCAGTGCCACTGCGACTGCCACGAACTACGACGTGCTTGTGGTGTCTTGCCTCGCAAGGCGGCTGGCTGCGGACTGGAGGGTGAGCTTGTTCTCCTTAATGATAACCACGAGGATGTTCGCGACTGGGTGCCCGTTGGCTTGCTCCATGCCGCGGGAATGTACACCTACCGTTCGTGAACCATCGATCATGCGGTCACTGCCACTTCGGAAGAACGGTAGAGCGTACAATTGTCCTGCTGATGAGCTCATCCCCCGTGCGCATGTGGCCAAAAAAGGGGAGATGAACCAGCTTGAATCTGAATCTGTATTCATTCGTATTTTATATTCCACCACGCTGAGCACCGTGCCGCGCTGGTGAAGCCCAACGTAGAGCCTGCTGTTCTCGAGGAAGCGATGCACCGCCTGGTGTAGGAAGGGCTCACGAAGAGGTTCCACTACGCTGTAGGTCGATACACCCAGCAGATCATTGTTGATTCAGAGTACAGACAACTTGGGGGGAAACTCACTCTCTCGTGATATGGGACAGTACCGGGCCATTGCAAGGCTCTTCTGCACGGCCGGCGAGGAAAGATCTCCCTGTACTGCACATCCTCAAGGCTCTGGTCGTCCGTCTTTTCGTCGTAGATGAAGGAAGTCGCAGATGACACGCGATTTGCGGTTGGATATGGATATGCCGCAACGTGCTCGAATCGGCCGCGACGCGGACGGAAGGTACTCTTCCCGGTGCGAACGTGTCCAGCCAGATATTAGCTGCCTGTTGTCACTTGTGGCAACAGCTGCATTTTGCGAGTGGAACGACGTCGACACAGACAACATTGCCAAGCGCAGTCATGTCCATCAAACATTATATGCATACATACACGGCATGATGATACACCTTGCAGGTGTTGGACAACCAGACTCCTTTTTCGCTACTTTAATCCCAAGACATTATGTGCATCCCACGTAACTGTTTTCAGAACGTCGACAGCAGACAGAATTTCCAAGTTGGTAGGTAGGGATCAATGAAAATGGCTCTACTGTCAAAAATTCTTTCTGAATTTGAATGTTGTTCGAAACCACCCATGTTCAGCTAGCACAGCAGCACTTGGCCTGTCATTTGGATCCATCGCCAATGCCGAGGCCATGAATGACTTGAACAACTCTATCTCTTCTGGGTACCATCGTTTCTTGTAAATACTGTCCAATTTCTGCAGCAACGTCGCCGCACCCGGGTAGTCGAGACTCGACATGAAGGTTCCTGCAAGATGATTGATTAACCTGCAGACAGAATAAGTAGGTTTGAACTACCGTCTGGTCCGAAGTAACGCCTCGAGTATTTTCCGTGAACGATCAGATCAGAAGGCATCGGTCCAAGACGGATCATCATGGCGGCGAGTTGTTGGGAGGGCCGAGCTTCATGGTCATTGAAAGCTACAGGGAGGAAAGGATCCCCTGTGATCATAACCGAGGAGTCCGCGAGTCAGTAACCAAGACGTATGGTAAGTATCATTGCTCGTCACGTTCCTCGGGTTCGTGCACTACTCCGGGGAAGTGCACATCGAGACGACTCAGGTGAGTGGGTGAGCAGCCCAGGTATAGCTTTGCTTTGCGTCCTGGGTACTTTGCTAAAGGTACGTTCTATGAGGGTGAGAAGGCCAGGACAACGCGATCACCACGAGTTCTGGCTGTTGAGGACAGCAAGGGAGATCGATATTTAGAAGGATGTTTTGAGACCATGACAATATTGTACAACGTCGATTCAGTGCATTCATAATCCCATACGCATGCGGCAAGTAAGAGACAAGAGTTCTATCGGAACATCTCGATATGAATGATAACGGGCACACACTATTTGCTTCGCGCGGATCGACCGCTACCGTTCCAGCTTGCGGAACTTACCCTGCATCCATACCCGATACATCTTGAGCTGCCGTTTCCTATTCACGATCAGTCGACGGTCGACGCCAAGCTGCTCGATAGCGAACAGGGGATGCCGCGCCAATCGATCATTTGCAGCTGGCGCCGGGATGAGAGATGGGTGTATGAAGGCCGTTGGCGATAGGAAACGAGCCTGCTGCTCCTCAGCCGATATAGACCCGCCTTCTACTGCTGATTCGAGTAGGGGAGGCGTAGATGGGAATGAAACCGGTGGCAAAGGCGCGCCCGAGTGAGCCGGCGGCGTGTCGAGGTCGTCATTGTCGTCATTGTCTTCAATTATCTTGACACCTTTGGTAGCCTTTGCAGACTGCGGCGCGAGCGAGCCGGTGAAGAGCAGCGCAAGCTCGTCTGTGCGATGCATGTCAGGCACAAGCAAGACGCGGTACAACAAGCGCATGTGATTCACCGATCTCGAAGAAGTATACGCGCGTTTTGTCACCGCGAACGTAGAAGTTGTCATCAAGGAGGCGCCCACCCTTGAACCGCAGCTGCGCAAGGTCATGCCGCCCATAGTCGCGGAAAAGAATCAGGCCACCAGGCTTAAGCATCTTGTCGTCCAACAGGTTAGCAACTCGCGAAGGGCAGATTGTGCAGTTATATTGTGCAGACCTCATAGATGTTCGAGATGGCACAGGACCATTCATTTGGATGCAGCGCACTGAGGACAAAGACGAGTATGATGATGTCGATGCTCTCGGGCTCAACGCCTCGGGGCAAGGCGGGAGATGATAGGTCCCAAACCGCCGCACTGATCTGACCGACAGGGGGGTCCACATATAGCGGATTCGTCTGAGTGCGATCTTAGCGGGCATTTCGAGAAAAATTTGAACAGACCTACTTGTACCAATTTTACAGCGTGTGAAGAGTAGTCGAAGGCTAGTAGGACGAGCTGGGGGTTGCTGTTGGCGGACAGCAGGGGAAACACTGCGTTGCCTGCGCCTAAATACACATTCACTTATGAATGTCATCTTTGCACTGACGGGAATCGCACCACAGCCGATTTCGGCAACCGTCATGGACCCTGCCTGAGATACATCAGTATGTATAAATCGAGCAAAAACTCGATGGAACCTCAGCGTCAGCTGCCTCAACGAGCTCAGGAAATTCAAGATGCAGCCTGACAACGAGAGTATCAGTACGTACTCAGCATGCCGGAAGTGTGAGATCCACCATTTTCTGTTCCGGAAGAAATTGCCGGAGTTCATCTTGTAGAAATTATCCCTGAATATCTACAGGGTCATGCCACTGCGCAGAACAGATTTGGTGGGCGCATACCAGTGCCGAGACGGTCTGTCATTGTACTTCGACTTCTCAGTATCAGGCACAGGAGATATCTTTTGTCGCGCTAGCGCTGCGGCGATGACCTCTTGATGCCCTTCTGGAGGAGGGACGTGGTCCCATGCGTTTTGGCTCCATACATCTGCTTCTTCTGTGAGGAATCTACCTAAGTGGATCAGTGAAACTACTATTTGGCTCCGCAGGGAGCACCCACCTAGATCCGAAGGGTGGGTTCTCCGCCTTCACGTCGTGGACAGATGACGTGGTTTTGGGAATCCTAGAGCTCCCACTGCCAGCGTGTTCAGACTGCATATGGCGGTTAGCAGAGAGAAACGGGTTTCCAGGAATATCGCCTGGATACCCTTCAACTATATTTCTCCCGCTTGTAGGTTATCTGTGCATTCTGAGGTAGGAATATAGTTGAAGGGTATCGGGCGATATTCCTGGAAAACCATTTGGACAGCCTCGGCGCCGCTCGTGCAACGAGCTGATGCCGTTGCACGCTCTCCAACACGTTCTAACCGTCTGACACAGTCTGCTCTCGGGATTGGCCAAAGTCTACGACCCAAGCTACTTATCTTCTCAGCCGTTGAATCGAAGATTAATCGAAGCAGGACGCCTGCATGTCGTCCGTCGCTGCGGTTTCCCATCTCTCATCCCCCGGCGACGAGGACCTCGCCAATCTCTATCACCAAGTTCTCGCCGGCTTCGCAGAGGAGTCTCCAACCTCAGAACAACCCATGCACGAACCCGACGTCGATTCGCTCTATAATCAGTACGGCGACGATGGCGGTGATACACCTCTATCGGCCCGCTCGCGCTCTAATCACACTTACTCTCCCGCAACTCCATCTTCCCGTAAGTTCGTCTATCCCGCCTCTCCCACTCCCGCTCGCTTACTTTCTCTCCTGCAGAGCCTCATGGAATCCCATCATCTGCCCGTCCATCCCCCAACCCAACCAGCCCAGTCTCCGCGAGCGGCAGAAGTCTGAGGCCTCTACCGCGCATCCCTGGCCAGCCTCTCGCAAACCCACCTCCTCCACCTCCTCCACCGATAATGTACCCCAAAGGCATGCCCGAGCCGCGTCCTTATCATGAAGAAGCACCCCCACCGCCGCCGAAGCGTACCAGTGCTGATTCGTGCGTACCTGCGCTGCTACGGACCTCACGCCAGCATTCATTACTTTCTCCTAGCGGGCGACGCCTGCCTCAGACCCCGTCCGAGACCAGTCCTGCTGGCTTCGCGGGCGGTTATAACGGCGCACCGACCCTGCCTCGACTACCCGCTTTCAATGGCCTCTCGGACGATCAGAGAGCATACACAGGCTCTTCGCGCCCCGCCTCGTCTAGCAGCCTGCCTCAACGCCCTATGGCGATGCCTGTCCCGGACACCAGAGAGAGCTATGGATGGCGTCCGCCGAGCGACGCGGGGATGGCACGCCAACTGTCCACTCGTCCCCTAGGAGCGATGCCGCCCAAGATCCCTGGCCAAAATAGCAGCTACGAGGACAGCAAGTCGGCGAGCTCGCCTTCAGACTTGAGCGACTTGTACGCGAGTCCTGACGAGTTCTCGCCCGCCTCGCTGGCTGCAGATCACGGTCTCAAGCCATACGGTTCCAGCATGTACGGAACTTCGAACAGTCAGTTCTCGCTCACACCGTGGTTTCGCTTCCTACTGATTGACCGGTACAAGTTTCACGGTCCATTCAGGATCTGGGACGCTCGACGTCCGTCGGTTCCGCCGCGTCTTCCGCCCAGAACGGTGCCACGGCGGCCTACCAGAACGGGAACGCCGGCGTCGATCGCCAGTCGTCTGTGATCTCCGCGTCGTCACTCAGTGACACGATGAACATGTACTCTGGCTCGTCGTTTGTCACGACGGTCGACCGCGGGAATTCAGCGACCTCGCACGCGTCCAAGGGCTCCAACTCGTGGACTCCGCCCGCGAGCCAATACCCGCCGCGCACGCTGCCTGTGGTACAGCCGCAGCAGGGTTACTTGCAGACACGGCCGTTCGAGCAGGTCTCGCGGTCGAATTCGTCGCAGGGTGCGGGCGCGGGCGCGTCCTCGAGCCGGTCCTGGCGCGACAACGACGTCGTGCGCACGCTGGAAGACAGCAAGCGCCCGCTCGAGCTTCACGAGGACTACATGGCGGATGAGGACGATTATTACTACGACGACGAGGACCCATCGGAGGAGGGCGACGAACGGTTTTTCAACCCCGCGCTCCTGAGCCATATTGCCGTGCGCCTGCGGGACAAGGTCCCTCGCGGTACGCACGTCAAGGGCAGTATTCCGTACCCGCGAGCGTTCACGGGCAAAGATATCGTCGTGAGTGTTTCTGGTCAGCATGCGACATGCCATGGTCCTCACGTTCTACTTCCAGTCGACGATACAGTCACAAATCCAGCGCGAGCTGCTTATCACGCACGGCATCTCCACTAACGACAGACGTGCTGCCCTGCAGGTGGCGCGCAGCTTGCAGAACCAGCTCTTCTTCTACGAGGTCGAGTGGGGCGGGCGGGTGCTGCAGGACGGTGTCGAGGATGTGTATATGTTCCTGGACGATCAGGAGGGCGCGTCGGACGCCCGTCTCGAGCGCGAGGAGCTCCCTACCGCGGTTGTCACGTTGTTGACGAAGTGCTACGTGCCTAGTTGTGATGACGAGAATCCGTGCTATTCATATGCTTGTCCGAGAAGAGTACGTTACCGCTGATATGACAATAAAACCTGCTGACGGCGCTGACTCGCGATGTACAGAAGGATGCCTTACTTCTCATCGGTACTCCCGAGAAGGACGATGAAGAAGAAAAGGTGGTGATCCACACTAACTTGGCGGCTTCTGGGAGCTGATCGGCATTCGGTGTCTAGGATGAGTGGTCCAGTACCGTCTCACCGGAGATCTTGCGCACACTGCCCGAAAGCGAGATTAATCGTCAAACGTACGAGCGCCCGTGCCTAACTCCCGATCCTGTTTTCTTAAATCGTTTGTATGAAGGATCATCCACAAGATCATCGACAAAGAGAAGCAGTACCTTCGCGACCTGGATACTGTCGAATCCGTGAGTCATTGTCCACCTAGAATTAGGTAAATGTGCCTATTGACTGTGCACTGTGCAGCTGTTCATCAGGCCGTTGCGCATGGCTAACCCACCTGTGATCCGGCCAAGCGAAGTGGACGAGTTTATCGAGGACGTCTTCGGCAACGTGCTAGATCTCCGCGAATGCAACCGCCGACTCCTTGAGGTAATGAATGTACGACAGCGTGAGCAGGCGCCGGTCATCCTGGGCATCGGCGACATTTTCCTCGAGGCGGCGACCGAGTTCCGCCTCGCGTACCCGATCTATGTCGGACACCTCCCCGTCGCGGAGAAGAGGGTGAAGGACGAGATGGAACACAATGCGGAGTTCAGGAGATTCCTGGAGGTGACTTGTCTTTCCTCCTTTTGAAGCCGAGTACTGAATTTGTGCGTCATTTAGCAATGCGCCCGCCATCCCGACGCTCATCGTCTCGACCTCAAGCACTTCCTGAATCGACCGTCAGAGCATCTACAGAAATATCCTGTGATGCTAGAAGCCATCTGCAACGAGACGGCGGAAGGCAACCCGGACGCTGATTTTTTAAAGGAGGCAATAGAAGCTATCAAGAAGCTGCAGACGGTCGCGCAGCTGTGGACATTCCAGTCGGCGATGTGCAGAGGTCCCAGCGGGAAACTGGAGTGGTACAACCTTGTCTCGGACGAGGTCAGAGCCAGCCTCCCCAAGAAAGAAACTAAGCGTCAATCGTGAGTTCATTGACTGCGACGAAGTGCAAGTCGGCATGCTCATGCATGTGCAGGATCATATTCGAATTGATCAAGGGTGAGATGGATTATGTAAAGGATCTTGAGAACATTGAAGTGGTACGTTCTCTCAGATACGCATAGCAATGACAGTCTCCTGACAATGCCCCACAGATGTATGTTGCACCGCTGCGCGAGATGGATCCCCCCATTATCTCGCGAGACCGGCTGTCTCAGTTCATTCAGGACGTGTTCCACAATTTCGCTGAGCTTCATGTTCACCACCGCAAGATGCTCAACACCTTCCACGAAATTCAGCGCGAGGAGCATCCCGTGATCCGCAGCGTCACCGCTGCTGTCTATGACGCCGTGCTGAATTTCCGGGAGGCGTATATGGATTACATCCCCAACTACCCCATCGCTGCATATCGCATTGACGAGGAGATGGCGAACAATCCCGCGTTCAAGCAGTTCGTTGAGGTATGCTTTGCACCTCGATCTCAGCATTCCTGTTTTTGATGACATTATACGCAAGCAATGTACGCGGCACCCCGATGCCCACAGGTTGGATATGAAGAACTTCATCAATAGGCCGATCCCGAGATTGCTACGGTACGAACTGTTGCTGAAGAGTATTATGGACGTGTCGCCTGAAGAGCACGAGGATCGCGAGACTATACCCCAAGTCTTAGAAGTCATCAAAGCCCTTGGCAAGGAAAGCGAACCAGGAGTCGTCTCAGCGAAGCAGAAGGTCGAAGTATGGCGGTACAATTCAAACCTTGTCTTCAAGAGCGGCGAGACCATCGTAAGGGTTTGATGTTTCGTACTCCGCGGGATCTCACGCGATGTTTATAGGACATGGATCTGTTGAACGAAAACCGTTCTCTCATCCACGTAGGAAAATTCCTCCGCCAACCCGACACGGGATTCGAATGGAATGGCTGGACGGAACTTTTCGTTCTGCTGTTTGACAACTACTGTATGCCATATGTCTCCAGTCTGGCAGTGTATCTGATGTACATCCAGTGGTCATGACGAAGCCCAAGGAGAAGGATGGTGTGACGAAATACCACGTGTACAGACGTGTATGTAGTGATTACTTCCTACGTCTGTCATCGACTAATTTTACTGCAGCCGATCCCTCTGGACCTTCTCACATTGGCCAACTTCACTGACCCACCAACCCAACGCGGAGGTGGTATTCTGCGTCTTGGTCGCTCCGTCCCAGAACGTCATGAGGGAATGGGTACCCCCGGTGCGACGGCGAGTCCGGAGACCGACGCGCGTGCAGTTTATCCATGCACTATTCACCACAATGGAAGATTGGGTGGATTGTATACCCTTTTCGCTGAATCCATGCAAGCTCGTAATGAGTGGAAGCAGGTGCTAGATGAGGCGATGGGTTTACGGAAGGTCGTGCAAGAGTCGAACAAGGTCTTTGAGATCGAGACGTTGAGTGCAGACACCTTCATTGTTCCTTCCATTACACCGGGTGCGGGTGCGCCATCTTGGAATCACGAAAACGCGTACACGGGAAAGGTCACATGCTCCGTGCCATTCAGTCAGTCGCACATATTGGTGATGTCGCTTGCTCAACATTGAATTCTCTTCGTATAGCTACGGCAGACGGGCGGGGCCTTGTTGCAATTGGGTGTGCAGAGGGAGTGTGGATTGGGTTTCGTCACGACTCTCGATGTGAGTTGTTTCAGTTGGACACAATGATTCTTCTCTCTCATTGCTTCTGCATAGCTATGCGCCGTGTCCTCCACCTAAAGATGGTTACGCAGTGCGCCATGCTCGAAGACTTCGGTATCTTCTTGGTACTCGCCGACAAGGTCTGTGTTGTTGTTACTTCCGATCTCCTTGAGCGACGCGCTAATTTGGTATCCCAGTCCCTCTTTGCCTATCACATTGAAGCGCTGGTGCCATCTTCCCCCCATAGCGCCCATACATCACAGACGCCACAAAAACTGAGCGGAAATAAGGACGTACATTTCTTCAGTGTTGGTAGCCTCAATGGCCGAACGCTTGTGATCTACATGAAGAAAAAAGGAGTGCGTGCAAATTATTCGGTCGTCTGCTTGAGTCTCATCAACTTACGACCATTTAAGCTCGATAGCGTCTTCCGCGTGTTGGAACCAGTTGTGGGAAAGATCAATGAGAGAGCAAAAGCTCCCCAGACGTTTGGGTCCCGCCTTGGTCTTCGTTCCCAGCGCTCCGAGTGGTTCAGAGTCTACCGGGTAGGTCACTTCGTTACGTCTCCACAGCACCATTTGAACAAATTGCTGGTAACTCGTTCCAGGATTTCTTCCTTCCTTCAGAATCTTTTGACCTCATCTTCCTCAAAGCCAAGATTGTCATCTTGTGCACTAAAGGCTTTGAGATCATGGATCTCACCGAGTACGTCATCCACTTTCTTGCTTGAACTCGTTTCACGTGTTGCCTCTGCCGTTTCAGTTTCAAGAGCGTGACTATCCCGCAGCGCGACGATCCGCGCCTCGAAAAATTGGCCAAGAGGTGCGAGTCATGTCGACCTATGGGCATGTTCCGAACCAGCCAAGACGAATTTTTGTTGTGCTATGACGGTATGGCATCTCGGCTTTCTCATTATTACTTCAGTTTCTCATCCATTTCGCAGAATTCGGTTTGTACGTTGACCGCCACGGTGATCCAAGCCGTTCGTTTGGGACGATTGAATGGGAAGGGACAGCGGAACATGTCGCTTTCCATCCACCTTACGTCCTTCTCTTCGACACCCGATTCATTGAAATTCGACACGTAGAGACCGGTCGTCTTGCACAGATCATTTCTGGCAACGACATGCGATGCATCTGGGATGGACGCGGTACTACGAATACCCCTACCTCTTCGGTCCCTGGTCCGGACGGCTGGCATGAAGGCGTATCGCAGGAGCCTCGAGTACATGGTGTCATGAACGTTGTCGACGCGCCGCAAACTAGTGCTGGGCCACGAGCGGCACGGCCTGTAGTGCAGCACGTCTTTGAACTGATCCCCACGATACCTCTTTATCTTCCTGGATCGCTATCCTCGCCATCACAAGCTACTCATTTCGCCCAGTCTAACTCCCCTCCACACTCCCCTCGCCTGAACCCGGCATTATCGCAGCGCCTGTAGCATGATCGTTTGTATTCTTTACTGCCTATCGTTGCTTTTCCTTCCTTCTCGCATTTATATCGGATATGAAGCAATCTTGATTCTCTACTTATCAGATGAATAATGAATGTCACGCTTTCTGGAGCCCGGTGCCATGATTTAGCTGTCGAGTCGACTGAGGGAGCAACTCGGACTGCAGGCATTTGTCGGGCGGTCACGGATGATCGACTTCCCCGCGTCGAAGGTTCAAGCTCAAGATATTTCGCGATCCGCGAACGATTGATTTGTTCAGCGACAAATAGGGTAAAATTGCACGCTGCTATCCGGCGAAGGCTTGTGCACAGTTGTTCACCCATGCTCATACTTGGTCAACTTTTCAAATGCAACGATTGTACAGCATCCTGGAGGTCGACGAAGATCGACTATGCTCCAGTATGATTCGCCCAACTGCTCGAGCATGCAAAGGTGGCAACGGCCAAAGATGGGTGGACGTTAACGTGACGACGAGGAGCGAGCAAGATCGACATCCTCGTGCAACCAATATTAATGTCGAGTCATCCCTGCGGCGTACGGAAAAAAGGTATTATACATTACGACAACAAACACGTTTCTTTCGACTTACTGCTGTCATACGAACAGATGATGAGCGTATATAGGGTCGTACAGTATCCACAGGCATTAACACAACGACGGTACAGATCAACTGAGATTAGAAGAGGATGGCAGCGATCTTCTGGGGAATCGTCACTGGTGGTACTTCTGGGATTTCCGTCTCCTCGAATGTAGGAATACCCTTAGAGAACAAAGTGTGAGCAACCAGCTAGTGTGGCGTGAAGGCACGGTTGCTACATACCGTCACGAAGTCCATCTCGTCAACCCTCCAGAACTTCGTGCGCTTGACCACCTTCCAGAACACGAACAGCCCGAAGAAAATTGGGATATTGATGTCTGCGAGCATGCATCAGATCAGTGACATTGCGTCTCGAAGGAACATGTGGACGACGTACATGATGTGAGGAATGACGACGCGTTGAAGTTCCAAAATACTGCAATTCCGTTGATGAGGATGAATATCGTGATCCAAAAGATGCCCCATATTGCGAGCCACGGCTGGAGACGGTTGTAGTACGATAGCTTAGTTCTATCGAAGCCCTGTCGTTTGTAGCCCTTATCTGTGAAGCCGAAGGACAAAACAGTCGATATAAGATCGACAACAGGAAAGAATAGCGCAAGCACGTACAGAAACGAAGGTAGGTGATGTTGATGGATATCCACCCAAAGAAGCCGCCCACGGTCGACAGGTTGACAAACCAACTGAGTAAAGTCGTCAGTAACAGTCCAACACTAGAAGTACGCGACACTCACTTGAACACCGTCTCAGCGCCCGATGATACGTTCATGAATGCCAACCACGAGAAGCAACTTGCAAAAAGGACTGAAGCGATTGGGAGGCCGCTCTTGGTGCAATATGCGAGGAACCGCGGAGCCTGACCCCGCAGCGCAAGACCGTACATCACACGCGAGGAACTGAATAGGAAGGAGTTGCCCGCGGAGAAGGCGGACGTGAAGATACCCGCATTGATGATGTGAGGGAGGACTTTGATGCCTGCGCGCGTCATGGCGATAACGTAGGGCGACTCCGCCGCTGTCCCACTGGAGGAGAGTAGGTTCGGATCATTGTAAGGAACGAGCATGCCCGTGATGAGGATACCAAGGATCTGGTTCCCCCAACAATCAGCACATGATCCGAGCAGAACGAGGAGCAACGCACGTAGAAAATTAGGATACGCCAGAACACCCTTCGGACGGCCTTGGCGATGTTGCGACGTGGGCTCTCCGTTTCAGATGCAGCGCTTTAATCACACCAACTCAGTAAACATGAAGTAACAGAACAGGAGCAATCACTGACATGGCGACAAGCTCCATTCCCTGGAACGAGAATGCAGCCTGAACGATGACAGTGAGAATGCCAAGGAAACGGTCCAGAGAAGGGTGGTTCGGCTCCAACCCAGCGCCAGCAACGGCGCCAGGGTGCTTCCAATACTACATATACCGTTAGTTCGACTTCATACAACGTGAAGATGTAGCTTACCCGGAAACCAAGACGCTGATGGTCCGGTCCTCCACCAAGGTCGATGACCAAACCAGTGAGGATCAGAATGGTAATCAACAAAACTGAGACGAACAGGCAAGGTAGTAAGCGCATGATGTCAACATCAATTAGAGTCATGCATGAAACATACTTTTAATGATGGAGAAACAGAACTCAGCCTCTCCAAACCACCGGACGCCGAAAATGTTTATGGCACACACACAAATCGTGACCGCAGCAGTATAGGCTGCTTGATGGTGGGTCTAGGTCATGCGCCTACATCAGCAATCATGTCATCCATCAGTTAGAGTTCAAGTGCTGACATTGGAATCCCAGAACGTGATCAGGATACACGCAGCTGTGATTTCGACGGGTGTGGATATCGCATTGGTGTAGAAGTAATTCCAACTATGAGACAAAGAACCAGAATAAGGAGGAATTGTCTATTGTTTATTTCTCACGCGACATGACGTACCCGAGAGCGAAACCAAAGGCGGGGTCCACCCACCGGGCGGCGAAGTGGGGGAAAGTACCGGAGATGGGAGCGAATGAAGTCATTTCACCAACAGAGCACAGGGTCGCATAGCCAGTAGTGCCGACCAGAGCATAGGCGATGAGGGCACCCAGCGGACCTGCGCCCTGCAGCGCATGTCCTGACCCGAGGAAAAGACCAGTACCGAGGGTACCAGCAATCTACGGTGGACATACGCAGTCGGTAAGCCGATGTTCGCGGAAGGAGCACACGAAGACGGACTACTTACAGCAATCATCTGTACATGGCGCTGTTTCAGTCGTCTTTGAACGCGGTCAAGGTCTGCAGTGTCGAATTGGTAGCGACTGTCTGCCTGGTGGGCAACGACGACGCTAACCCCGCCTTTCTCGACGGTGCTGGCGTTGTCCTTCTCCTCATAGTTCGGGGGAGCGTCAGCCATGGTGGGAGAGTGGCTAGTGGAAGGAGGGCCTTGGCGGGAGAAGCAACTGAAAAGAAGGGCGCCATATATATCCTCGGAGGGCAAGTACCGGATCCATGTGGGGACAGCCGTCATCTTTGGACGCCAACGAGCGATAAGCGATGGCTAGCGAGGACCATACAGTGCACCCCGATAAGCCTCTGCTCGGGCGTGATTGATCTCAAGCCCAGATGCAAATTTTTCCTGGCCTCGGAGAGTGCGAGGTCTGAGAGGGTTCCGGATAGGTTCGGAAAAAAAAACGTCCGCCGCGCAAAGGCCAGCCCGGCAGTCGGGTCCCAGACAGGCCCGCCGACTCGTCGAACCATCGATGGAAAACATACGCAGGAGCTGTCGATACCGACTATGCAATGCGAGATGTGGCGACCAGGGCACATCAAGAGATAACGACACTGCTCCCACCTGATCGTTCCTCCTCACGTAAGCGCCCATAACCCCGATTTGGTCACTCACCTCAACTCTACGCATCCATCACACGACCGTATCACACTTCGTCCAAAGCTCTTGGCCCGTCGCATATTTACTTGCCTCCACACGCCCTTATCCCGGGGCACAGCGACCAATTCACTCGAGTGTTCTCCGCGGCCGGCCACTCCTCTAAAGGCCCGCGGAAGTAAAACCTGCAGTAAACTTAGATCAGTTTCTCGAAAATTTCCTCGGCCCCACACTTTATGCGGAGACTGCCTTCGTCGCTGATGTCAAGGAAACTCCTCCCCAATCACGCCAGAATTCTCCAAGCACGATCACGACATGATCGCAGATAAGAACCGGAAGTCGGTAGCGCTTGCGAGTTCATTGCACAGCGACTGCACCGCGCTTCCGTAGCCCACGAATGGCAAAATCTATGTAAAGGCCTTTTTTCGTGAGCGTAAGTCTTCTCCTGCGCCACCAAGAGAAATAAGGAACTGACTGGGAAATAGTCCAGAAGCAACTGCTGATGAATCGACCGCGGTCGTCGTCGCATCGGAACCGCGCGCAGATAAGCAGCTAAGTACTCAGTTTGACGCAGCCGTGCGTGGCTTGGCGAGCGCAGCGTTCGCGGGAGACTAGAAGGGTCTTGCCTACATCCGTCGACATCGTCTCGCCTACCGCCCAAGGCACACACCCAAGGCATGCCAGCGGAGCTGGCACGGAGCCTCCAACAGGCGAGCTGATAAAGTCACAAGTTCCATCTGCGCCTGGATTCGATATATGACAACCGCTGCGTATGCACACCCGTGGCCTCGTCGTTTGCAGGCATGTCCAAGACGCTCTAGGCAGAGCGGGGGTTCGCCAGAATCCAAGGCGTCCAATATGGCAAACGCGCACCAGACGGAACCAAATAAAGCTCGTCGAGAGCGCGTCTTCGCGTGTTTGACGTCATCGGTATGTGTGACATCACTGGATATGTTTGGCCCATCAACGGACATGATTCTGTCACAGCGGTGAGTAGCACCGTTATCATCCATTTTACTTGACCACACCGCACATACCTCAGATTGAAGTGCCAACAGAGATGGCGGCCTGCACCTTCCGAGTGGGATCACACAGGCTTCTCTAGTAATCCAATCTCTCGGAAGCTGCAAGGCTGTGCTCAGAAGTTGCTGAATGAATGCCATCCAAACATTACCGCCGTGGCAAAATTTAGACAGCTTCGCAGAAGAGAAGCGGTGCATAGACGTTGATCTCCGAGACCAGGAACAGAAGCATCCAGTCATCTCGTCATGCGGCATACGCAGGTCGGTTCAATGATAGAGAAGCCTTGGGGCTAAAAACGGGGGCGCCAAGATAGCAGGTGGCCCTGCGAGGTCCTTGTCCGATGGCTATCAGAGGGAGGGGGTTGATCTGAGAACACCCCCACACAGCCATCTATATATACGTGAGCACGCTACAGTATTATCGGCCAGGAACCACTTACGGTTATTTCTACTCAGATTCCCATCCTTATCGCCGGTGGGGGCGAGGTGAAGAAGCTTGCCCCGATCATGTTCGAATCTGGTATCTTGCGCGATTGTGGACCGCGAGCTCAACCAGTAATCTGTGCTGGTTGAACTCGCGGTCCACAGTTCGCCAAGTCCGCGCGTGTGGTCAGAAAGTGGTTTGTACTGCATGTTTACGTGCCCAGACGCGTGATAGAAGCCGTGGTTTGCACGCCGGCTGCGAGCAGGCAGCGCGTCGAAATATTCCAGCGTCGCGCATCGGGCAAGCTAGTACTTGGGAGCACGAGCAGCACGTGCCAGATATACGTGAGGATGTGTAGGAACACTGGGTAGATGATAGGAATTTAGAGGACCAGAGATAGACGGTTCAAAACATACGGTGACTCAATGGCTCGTACGGTTATCATAAATTCAGCAGACGGAGGCGACGGTGAGTATGACGGATGCAGAATTATTCAATGTAGGCGTCTCCGCGCATGGAGTACCTCTGAGGAAATTCCTGGAGGTTGAGGGCGGCATTGCTGGCGCATTTTAATGGGCAGAGGTGGTTTCGTACGCTGTGGTGGTGATGGGTCGAAGCAAGACTCTGGTTCGAACGTGACGAGACCTTAGTCCGATGGCGCAACGTTACGTTCGAACTTGATTACCTTCTTCAGCGCCGAATCGTACATTTATGGAAATGAGGCATCGGCATTATGTAATATAATCACGAGATCTTGCCCTCGCCTATACCGTGACTTCGACTTTCATGTCTTAGTAGGTGGAGTTTTGCGGTTGACATTGACGAAGACAACGACGACGCATGACGAGCCGACTGAAGAGGAAGCTCAATGATCTCGGGGTCGATCCCACCAGCGCGAAGGCGAATGAGTCTTTCTGTCTGGTGCGCCGATATCTGAGGTTTCGTTAACTGTTGCAAGGCTGAACATGTCTCTTGCATCTAGATTGGGACCCCTCTACCTCCTTTAGAGAAGTCCAAAGACACTGGAGAGTTCGTTCCGCTATGGAAGCAAGAGGTGCGTACACTGCTAAATTAGAGACTGGCGTTGTTACACGGGTGAGGTGCTGATAGTGCCATCTGTAGGTCAGAGATGAGAAGGGACGGAGACGGCTTCATGGAGCGTTCACCGGGGGTTTCTCAGCTGGGTACTTCAACACGGTAGGAACCAAGGAAGGTTCGTATCTCCAGTTATCTTGCGTGTAGGGTTGCTCACTTGGTCCGCCAGGATGGGCGCCCTCTACGTTCGTGTCTTCGCGCTCCGATAGGGCGAAGCAGCGGTTGGCCAAGCCGGAGGACTTTATGGATGAAGAGGACCTTGCTGAGTTGCAGGAGAGCCGGAAACTCGTCGACGAGCACGACGAGATGGACTTCGGCGGGACAGAGGCCGAGTTACGGCGACGTACTGGCGCAAACGTGGACGAGGAGCCTGAGTGCGTATCGCACCATTATTTCGGCTCATTATTTTTGCTGAACCTCCTGTCTCCTGTGTAGCTCGATATCGACCGCTCTCGAAGCCTCGCTCGCCCCTGCGCCTAAGGACTCCGTCGGCGCGCGTATACTCAAGAAGATGGGCTGGCGCTTGGGTCAGGGCATCGGTCCGCGACTCACGTACGCGCAGCGCAAGGCACAAGACGCGGGCGTCCTGGACTCGTGGAAGGAGACCACAGGCGAGGAGGAGAACGACGAAGAGGCGAAGAAGCATATGTACCCCCGCCGCGACACTCCTGTCCTTCTTGCGCCTAGAAAGGACAATTTCCATGGGTTGGGTTATGTACCCGGCATGCGGCTGCAAGAGGCCTTAGGCCAGGAGGAGGCTCGTGAAAAGGGCCCGACGTTGGCAGGTGCGTATTTTTGTACACGTTCTCTTCATGTCCTGACGTCCATTTCACATTACTGTTGTAGCCGGTTTTGGGTTGGGTGCACTCAACGATGCAGACGAAGATGATTTGGATGTATATGAGGGCGGTAGAGGCAGACATGGTCGGACCAGGATGGCTTATGATGCTGCGCACGTCGATGACGACTCTCATATCATCATGGGTTCGTCCAGTGCGCGAAGTAGGGGTCAGCAATCTGTATGTAATTCCGTCTACATTCTCGATGGGCTGCCTGTTCACATTACAATTGTCAAGAAAGTGACCACGGTTGCCAGTGTGCAAACATTCAGCGATGGCCGGACGGTGTTGAAGGGTTTCGTATTGTCTGACAGACCTGTGGCTGAAGATCGGTGGTACGTGCAGTCTTTCCCCATAATTCCACAGGCTACCGTTTACTCATCCTGAGATAGGTTTGCTCTCCCGGAAGTACCCAAAGGTTGGACTCCGAATCCCCGCCGAGTATGGGACAAAAATGATCATGATGAGAATGTTGACACTGCTCGTACGGCGGTCAAACATCCACCGAAGACTCATGGTGATTGGAAGAGTAGCTTCATATCTGCAGACCAGGTCAGTATCCTCTTACTGTCTCTGAGCAGATCGTGCTGAAATTATTGTAGAGAGGATCCATGCTTGGAGAGACACCTCTACCATCCCAGCCACGCTCGGTCTTCGAATACATGTCGCAGAAAGACAGGGAACGTTTGCAGAACATTCGCAATGTCATATCCGCGCCGTCCGCACCCTCCGCTGCTACCCCTTCTGCCGCTCCTCCCCCATCTGAGCATATCCGGGGCCAGCTCGACATACCTCACTTGCACCCCTCCATCGCCAAAGCTGCGCTCCAGGGCTTTCAACCGTTTACTGCTGACCCAGTCAAGCAGTCGCGCTACACGACCTTCCTCAACTTCCAAGCCAACCGCGAGCCTGCAGATACCGGCCCCGTGCAGCTGGGCATCGGCCCGACCCAGGGACAGAGCATCGACGACTTCAACAAGGAGCTCGTGGACTACGCCAAGGCCGCGACCGTGTTCAAGCCGCTATCTGCCGCTATGGCGGGTCGCTTCCGCAGCGCGGTCATCGTGGAGAGCGGGCCCACTATCATCGAGGGACTGCACAAGCCGGACTTCTCCACCGTTAAGGAGGAGGAGGGTGCGAAAGAGGAGGACGAGAAGAAAGAGGAGGATCCACGGATGGCCGCGGTGCGCGTGGGGATGTACGGGCCGCTCACGAGGGACGTCCAGCCGTGGCAGCCCGCACGCCTGCTGTGCAAGAGGTTCGGCGTGAAGGAGCCTGAGGTGGAAATGGATAGCGCGACTGCAGGTCCAAGCACCGCCGACTTTGCCCCGACTGCCTCTGCCAAGCAGGCCGACATGACTTCGGCAGAATCGTCTGGTGCGGGAGCGGGTGCGGGTGCTGTGAGTGCTGGCATGATTACGGATGGTTCTAGCGGGGAGAAGAGGGAGGGCGGTCCGCGCAACTTGGCAAACGTTGGCTTGGGCGAGGACGACGATCAGGGGCGGGATACGCTCACCTATCAGCGGCCTGCTATGGATATCTTCAAAGCGATCTTCGCGAGCGATGACGAGGAGAGTGAAGCAGAGGCAGAAGACGAGGGCCCAGATGCCGCGGAGGAGCACGACGCTGGGTCTGTCGCTCCTACAGAGATGCAAGTGAAGTCCGAGCCGGTTCCCGTTCACCTACTCCTGAAAGATGGCCCTGCACCATCCTATGACACCCAACAAAACGGAACAGCATCTGGTTCTGCCTCTCAGGAAAAAGTGGACATCGCATCGTTTAAACCTACGTTTATCCCTCGCTCGGATCGCGAGTCTCGTGCGGACAAGGGTAAGGGAAAACACAAGCAAGATAAGGAGAAGAAAAAGAAAACTGCGAGCAAGGCCCTCATGTCTTTCGATGTTGATGATGGTATGGAGTCCAAGCTTGGCGCACCAGAGACGCGACGTCACAAAGACAAGGACAAGGACAAGGATAGGGAGCGGAAGAAAAAGAAGCGGAAGGAGCACAAGGAAAAAGATGACGATGAGAGCATGTGGGTTGAGAAGCCACCTCCGGAAGCAGTGAAGAGCCTTGTCGTTGAAATCCCTCCTATATCACTGCCAGGCAAAGGTGCAGCGGTTACAGATGGAAGAGAAACGGGCCCTCCAAGAGGACGGAAGAGAGCAATAGATTTCATGTAGCACCTCATTTGGATAATTTATGCATCCGCGTAGCACCATTCTCTTCACTCATTGTCCACAACCACACCCAAATTCTCATCCTCGTCCCCTTGCTGCGACCCCCAATCTGCATCATCTTCCCCGCTCTGATCTCCCTCCTCTTCCGGTCGTTTGCGCTTGCCAGTTGCATTCGAGCTATTCTCGATGTCGCCATCTGCTAGGGCAAGACAGGTCAGGCGTGTACCTTTCGTGTCGTACTCAGCGACGGGGTTGAGCTGGATCTTCTCTTCCGATGATGCTGGAAGTGCAGCCAGGTCGTATATGTGAATTTTGCCGTCCGAAGATATCGTACTGACGATAGTCGTCGATGATCGGGTTGAACTAACGGATGGGGGTAATGCCACGGACAGGGTATCCACTGCCTTGACTCTGTTGGGAGCAGTGTGAGTCAGACAGAGACTGGAGATGTCCCCAAGCAGACCTACCGGTTGGTATGTCCGACCATTTCTGCCACTACGACAGGAACCTGCTCCCGCTCGGCGGGGATGTCGTAAATTGACAGCTTCTTGTCTTCGGCAGCCACTAGGAGTACCTCGCCTTCGCTAACTACGCGCTTGCAGAACCTGACATCGTGAAGTCTAGAGGGATGAACGATTGTGTGCAGGAGGTCCATGTCCTAAGCAGTAAGAAGATTCGCGGATAGTACGAAAAAGAATGAAGATCATACACACGGTTGTGTACATGTCTATTGTAGACTGAGTAAGAACAACGAAGAGGGACCCGTCAGTCGACCATCTTACGACCTCTCCCTCTTCAATGATACAAGCATGAGATAATGTCACAAAGAGTGTACGGCTGATACACGGACCTTTCCCAAGTTTTGTGCTGGCGGAACCCTTCCCTCGCATCAAATCCCACATGCGCAGAGTCCTATCTTTGCCCACACTCAAGGCGACCTTTCCTGAGGGATGTACTGCGACGCTATTGACGCGTCCTTTGTGTCCTTTTAATGAGCGCAAGACACTCCAATCGCGCGAATGGAAGAGAGATAATGTGCCGTCTTCCGACGCGGACAACAGATGCGAGCGAGACGGAAATTCAAGATGTGTAATGGATCCTGAAGTAGGCAGTCAATGTAACCGAGTCCAGGTAAAATCGATGGAACATGCCTTCATGTTGCATCAAACCGCCAATCTCCTTCCGCCTCCGGAGATCCCACACCTTCACAATCTCGTCTACACTTCCTGTAGCAAGCCATTTTCCTCCCTGTGGTGAGGCAGCGACAGCCCTGATGCATGAGATATGTGCAGGGAAGATGAAGATCGGTTTCAAGTGGAATGTAGGCTCAGTCTCTTCTGCCGAGATTGTACCTTCCAGGCCGTAGAGAAGCTTTTCGTAAGATCCGGCAATAACTTTAAATGTCGACGGAAGAGTATAAGACGAAGCTGAACCAGAGCTTTTTGAGGCAGTTTTCTGAATTCTGGAGTGGGGTACAGGTGTAGAGGCGCGCTCCTTGCCTTTTCCCTTGGCAGGGACAGGAATCAACCGAGGTTGGACCGCCGCCTTCGGTTTTGCGTTCGATCCTTGAGTTGCAAGCCCCTTGCCAGCAGCAACGCCCGAATTTGTGTCGACCTTTACCCTTTTGGCGTGTCTGTGTATTTCAGATGTGTCGGCCTTCGCCGCAGTAGTTTTCTTGAGCATATTTGGTCGACGGTATAGTGCAATTAAATTTTCCCAAGAAGGTAAAGCGTCTGGTAGAAACTATTTGCACTTGTTAGATTCCAAAGTTGTTGGTAAACAAGGCCAAAGAAACGCCTGTGACTTTGCCGCGTCCACATTGCGTCCACAACATCATTATACAGGTCTGTGCTCATTGTGCTCATGAATGTCGGTGCGCGATGTCGTAGCACGCGCCCAGGTTCTCTTTCGTTCTTGAGGCGCTCCGTGCGACATTCATCGTGGCAGTCGGCTGTGGAAAGCAAGAACGTCAGCGTCAACGCTCTGGTCTATGCTGCTCCAGCAGTGTCGCCGTCTCATGACACTACTTTACCTCTGCATGGCTTCTCCTTAGCTGTGAAGGACATCATATGCACGAAGTCAATGCCGACGACGTGCTCTTCGGTGATGCTGCGAGGGTTCAAGCCACCTTTCGACGCTACTGTCGTGGAGCTTCTGCAAGATAACGGGGCGGTCATTGTCGGCAAAGCCAACTGCGATGAGTTTGCAATGGGGTGCGCTTTACTGTCCTATTACTACTGGAGATACAAGGCAGTGAATCTCGCGCAGCTCGTTGAATATACACTCCGTGCACGGTCCAGTTATCAATCCGTATCAACCAACGCATAACTCTGCTCCATGGGCAGACCGAGAACGGAGATCTGCCGGCGGAAGCTCTGGAGGAAGTGCCGCCGCTGTAGCTGCTGGCATGTGTGACGCGTGAGAAATCCTGCAGGTCGTTCTCCAACGGTTACTGACGCTGTAGTGAAGGAAAGTGCTCTAGCTACTGATACAGGCGGTTCGATCCGGCTCCCTGCTTCTTACTGTGGTGTCGCAGGACACAAGCCATCCTACGGACTAATCAGCAGGTGCATTGACATGCGCAGTCCAATCGAATTCACCGCTCACTTCTCCAGATGGGGAGTTGTTTCCTTTGCCGACAGCTTAGATTGCGTCGGCGTTGTAGCACAGAAAGTGCGAAGTATTGAGAAGATACACAGTGAGTGAATACACGGCATATCGCTCATCCACGCACTCACGCCGATGTACTCTGTGCGTCAGACGTGCTTTCCAAGTATGATCCTAAGGATCCCACTTCCGCTAAACCAGAGGTTAGGGAGCGTGCTTTACAAATATGCCAGGAATATCGGGAACAATTTGATAGTGGCAGTTCATTGTCAGGTTTGCGCATTGGGATTGCCAAGGTAAGACCGACATAGCAGAGTGATTGTCCAACTTTCGTTATGTTGAGTATCCAACAGGAGTACTTCCCTGCGGAGCTGCAACCCAGTGTGGTCAATCCTATCAGACGCCTGTTAGATGCTTTGAAGTCTCGGGGCGCTTCCCTTGTTCCAGTTTCCTTACCTTCGACGCCATATGCGTTGAGTGCGTATTACGTCATCTCCAGTGCAGAGGCAAGTAGCAACATGGCCAGGTACGACGGGATTGAGTATGGTAGATACGATCTTTGATTTGTGTCCGCGCTATCTAATGTCGCCTTCCTAGGCTCTTTCACAGAACTGCCTCCTGGTGCGGACGCAACCAAGGCCGCCAACGTGTACGCGCACACACGTTCTCGTGGGTTTGGTAAGGAAGTCCGAAAGCGCATGTTGCTTGGGACGTACGCCTTGTCAGCAGAGTAAGGTTCCATGCAAAATAACCCTTGGAGCCGCAACTGATACCGTTCTACAGTGCGTTTGACAATTACTTTCTCCAAGCTCAGCAAGTTCGCAACCTCATTAAATCTGACTATGACCGAGTCTTCCGCGTGCCAAACCTCCTCGCTACTCCTGTCAACACCAATTCAGCGTCGCTTGACAATGACGGAGTGCACGTAATGATCCATCCTTCTGCAATCCGGACGGCACCTCCTTTACCTGCTGAGACGGATGTGCAGTCTCCATTAAGCCCCGGAGACGGGTTGGATACATACGTCCAAGACGTCTTGACAGTCCCAGCATCTTTAGCTGGGCTGCCGGCTCTCAACATCTCGGCGGGCGTCGGAGAAGACGGCTGGCCTGTAGGGGTTAGCGTCGTCGGCCAATGGGGCTGTGACCAGATGGTGCTGGATGTCGGAAAAATATGCGAGGAATCTATCCCCGACTAGGTTCATCATTCACATCGGAGACGTCGTCATGTCTGCACTCTGCACTGGCACTATTACTATATATATCCAACAAGTACAATAATTGATACATCCGTAGAGACAAAACAGCAATCATTATTGGAAAGTAAAGGTGTTGGCAGGGCTCTCTTGCATGTAACCAGTGCCTCCATCAAAGATACCCGTAGCCGCCATGAGCGACCTCCATTCTTCGCTCAAATCCCCGTCTCCAGCAATGCGCGGTGAGTGCAACATGTTCATCGAGGGAGGACCACTGATGGTGGAAGTCCCCGCAAATGACATGTCAGAGAAGTAAGGGTCGGACAGCATGTTGTTCACGAAGTCCATCGTGTCGCACGGTACGGCGGGGTCTGAGAAGGAAGAGCTAATGCCTGCGACTCCCGGCACTGGGGTAGTGGTCGTTACTGACGTCACAGTCGACGACGACGGGTCTGCCACATGCTGCGGTTGGTCCACAACTGTATAAGATCCGGAGGACGGGAGCTGAGAGAGGTACTCCATTAACGACGGATGGAGGTCGGTGAAGTCGTCTGATAGAGACCGCGGTGAGGAGACGATGTCGCTCGGAGTGGATGCAGGAGCTGGAACCGCTGGAATCGCTGCACCGGGCGCAACCTGCGATTTCGGTCGCTTCTTGATCTTCTTAGTAGGCAACACTCGGGTTTGGCCTCCAAAAATGGCGAGCTCATCCTCAAGTTGGTCTTCGGGCGAAATATGTAGCTGAATACCCTTTGTAGGACTTGCGTTCCTGTTGCGGAACTCCGAGTACGCAAGTGCAGCCTTTTCTTTCAACCTGAGTAACAATGGCTATGCAAGGCTCCTGTTAGGCTGTAAATAGTACATCAGCAGGAAGGTGTGCATACCAAAGCCTGCCGTGCACGAACGGACTTGTTTGCACAGTTCTTGAAAACATCAACCGCAACGTCGATTTCCATTAACGCACTAGGTGCCATTATCGCGTTCGGGAGCCGGATCACCGTAGTGCCTAGTATCATCTTCAGAGAACGCTCAACGCTGGTCCACGCTGTCAGGCACTACACGTTGGCTCACGATGGACGAAAATGCGTGACTCCACATGACCCAGGAGCGACTGCATAAGTCACTGCATCGCTCGTGATGGTGGACGAATGATCTGAGCAAGATGGATGCGCAGCGGTTCGCCGCGAGGAATGAAGGCGCGAATGGGCTGGATAGAGGGTTCTTTGGATAATCCAGGAGTGCCTGGGCGAAGAAGGTTCTGTGAATGTGGATCATCACTACGGGGAGAACGTTAATACACTGGGAACTATCAAATATAACACAACATGTTTGCTCAACCAATGGACCGATGATGGGAAAGGACGTAGCTCTTCATGCAAAGTGCCGGGTTCGAGTAGTCATCCTCGTCCGGCCGGAGATATAATCTGATAGGCGGTGGTGTCATCTGTCGAACTCGGCGGTCAATATCCAGGACCTTCGCATAAGCGGGAGACTTCGTGGAAGACGTGACGTCCACCACCTCCGCGTAGATGTCGCGACAGAAGGCAAACTTGTGCTGCCAATCTAAAGGACAGATTACAAGCGTTATTAACACGGAACACGACAGGGCAGATACCATACATCCTAGATACACCTCGCCATCCTCGGCCACGAATTGCTCGTCGTCAGCCGGAAGCTCACAATCAATGTGAGCTAGTACCTGCGTAGGGGGGCGTCCCAGAGAAAGACACTGCGCCAACCGAAGTTACGTCAGAAAATACGATGCAATTAGTTACGTACGTGAACGATCTCTAAGAAGAAAATCTCCCAAAAAAGATTTCTGCGTCGTTGAGCGTGTTTGTCGTCTAATTTCCATTGCTTGCTGTCGCGATCTACAGACTTGTCAGTCAAAGTGTGATAGATGGTAAAACATACTGACGTAGTCCGATCTGCGGTAAGGTGATAAAGAAAGATTAGTACGAGGTCAATCAGGCACAGGCCGTCACGAGGTAACAACGTACACTTTGGGAAAGTCTACTCGCCAATGAGATCAAGGACCAGGCACTCTCGATAGTGTAGCGAGAGGAACACACGCCATGATATGCCGACATAAGTGCGACAGCTTGAACAGCTTCAATGGCTGGGGAATCGAACACCGAACGAGCAGATAGGGCTGCGCGTCCCAGAAGATGATATTTCTCAGCCTCCGCGCTGCACGGAGGTAGGGTCAAATCTAGGAGGGCGCCAACTGCCAATATCATAAATAGCGTGGCCAGAAGGTGCGGGCATCGTTCCTCATGAGAGGGATGGTATGTCCGCTTTGACTTTGCGGGGTTCTTGAGATAGTTATAGACCGGTGTGAGGATGTCTTCGACCATCTCGTCCCGTTTAATGGGTCTAAACCACCACCCCAGATGTTCGAGATAAGCCTCGCACAGCGCCCATGCACGAGGCTGAGGGGGCAGGAAAGACTCGAGTTTGTCCAGGAATGCATCAATGCCATTCTCCACAACGGAGAAAGGGAAGGATGCAGACAAGTTGGCAACCTCGAGCGACACCGATGGTGAGTCGTTAGCATCGGTCTCAATAGGACTTCCAGTCTAGATACCGATCAGCACGGAAACTCAAGACGACTATGACTCCAAACTTCACCAAGAGCATCTGGTGCAAGTGTAAATTAGTCACCGATCGCATAGAAGGTACTTGGGTCACTTGGTGCACGAACCTCGGAACCCCCCGAACGACCAAAGTACTTAGTCTCGCCATGATCGCCAATAGTGAGCGTCCCAAGCGCATCGATCGAATGCGAGAGCTGGTCTCGAGAGTTTTCTTCGTCCACGGTGCGGCGAACCTCAGGTCCAAACTTAACGGTGAGCAGCTCATCTCGAAGTAGAGGGTGCCTCTCATTCGAGACGCCTGCCTGGAATATGGCAAGTGCATCTTCCAGCTGCCGTATTCGTTCGCTCATTTCCGCGATCTTGCGGTGCAGTTGCTCGGTGTCCGCGAGTACGAACCTGCATAAATGAAGGGGAGCGGGACATGACACAATTCCCTTCGGACTCACCTGGTACCTTGTCCTGCAGACAGACTGCCTTCAATGGTGGTCAATGTAAGCCGTGATATAACAGGTAGGGGATCGTCATCTTACCGTTTGGACAAATGGTGGTGCAACCTCTGCGGACACATGAACCACATGGGAGTTTCTTGTCGCACTTGAGCTTCAGACTAGTATCGACTGTTGTCGTTCAACCAATCGCTACTAGATTTCAGGGACGTACCGCCTACACTCTGCACAGGAAATCTCGCCGCGCGCACGCTTGAGCTCGAGCTCGTCGTCTCCTGATGCCTTACGCGTTCGGCGCGTCTCAGCGGGCATGACTGGATCCCTGGGACGCAGAATAATCGATCTTTGGTCCTCTCAGGATCTGGGTTGCAGTGGCTCCGCCTCGCAGAAACGGAATATTACACAATCAGATGATAGAAAATCGGGAGTGAGGGGCCAAGTAGCAAGTCGTTACAACGTCGTTAAATCGTCGAGAGATACGGAATACAGAAAGTTTCTGACCGGCTTGAGACGCGCTGAAAATTCGGTTGTTTGCCCTGTGTGACGTACACTCGGCACGGTATCCGCGCGTACCTCCGGCAAGTGATCTTCCGCACACCGGAGTGTCTGAGCCACTTGGCGCCAACTATAATACCTGCCACTTACAACGGTGAACAATATCATGTATGCAATGTCCAAATAAGCACAGGTGCCTATAACTATGTATTGTAACAAGTACGATATAACACGGAGCACTCCCGCACTGCCGTACGTATGCAAGAAAGCATCCGGAAGCTGAAGCAATCAACGTCTGATCAAGGCGGCAGCACATCTCACGACCTGTAGTTTACGCCGTCAAGGAAGCCAGACTCGTGCATGAAGGACGTCCATCTCTCGTCTAGCCGTGAATTCCTCGACGTAAGTCCCAAGTCGACCAGCTCTGTCGGAGCTAAGTAGCCTTGCTGCTGGACACCCGCATACACTGGCTCGGGGGGATACATCTGGCCGCGATCGCGGTAAGGTTGAGCACTACCCTGCGGTGTGTGATACTGCGAGGCTGCCTCAGTATCATCGTGCGTCTGAGTCTGTTGAGGAAGACTGTGAGACTGTTGGGACCATGCATACGTTGTCGATGGCTGGGAGTGGTCAATTTCAATCGGTCTATAGGATCCTTGTGAAGTGCGGCAGTCTGAAAAAGATGTAGAGGAGAGGGTTTCATCTAACCTCCATCCGGAGTGAGTCGGGGCGACCGGAACTTGTAGCGAGGAAGACGCTGGTGGTGCCGAGGGTGCCATCGGGGGCGCTTGCTGGTCAAAGGATGGCGCCTCCGCGAATGGCTGACGCAATTGGTCAAGATGCTGCGAAGGCGAATGAGACAGCCGCTTGGAAGCCACCAATTTTGTCCGGCCCGCGAAAATTTCCAGTTCATCTTCGAAATCTTCGGTGTTCACATTCCATAGGGAGCCATTGTATGCGCCCTCGGCGGAGGGATTATTCTGCGCCCCAGATAGAGAGCTGTGAGCCTTCTCGCTAAGCCTCATGATAATGGGCTACAACAGGCAACGATTGGCATGAAGAATTAACGAAACACTGCAACTCACTTGAGCTTTGGCAGCGCGAGGTGAATGATTTGCCGCCTGTTTGAACAAAACGGAAGCCAGATCTAATTGCACCATCGCAGCAGAAGCTAAGGGTGACCGTGGCCCTCGGACCACCACTGTCCCGAAGACGACCTGAAAAATACCGGAACGTTAGCGACAAGGACGATAATGACAAGTAAGACTGCGTACGGCAGCTGAAAAGGCGTACGTCCAGATTGGCCAAATTCGTGCGCACACACCCGGATAAATGGCGAACTGATCGCGGATCACTTTAATGATTGTGCACGATGATCTATACGCAGTCAGGAACGAAGATGCGTATGCACTTCGGAGAGGATTTGCGGGACAATCGATGATGGCCTGAGCGAAGAAGCTGCGATGGATGTACAACAGGACTCCAGCAAGGCATGTTTTGTCAGACGTCGCATGTTGTGATGAAACGACGATTACTCACGAACTTCTCGGGAGTGTGCCAAAATGAACCGCTGCATGGAAGTTGGTACAGGTAGCGATGTATTATTTGTTTGGGATTCTCGTTCTTCGAGCATTTCTGCTTCACCGGGAGCTTGAGGAAAATCGCGCACTAGATGATCGAGTTCCATGATGGTATCATAGGAGGGACCTTCCGCTGTTAAGGTCTTGGACGCTACCTCTGCTACGCACTCTGCTGTAAAGAGACAGTGCCACGAGGCGTCTAGGAAGAAAGCATGTTCAAATTAGAGGACGAAACTATGAAACATCGATATATACTGACGGTCTAGTACGGCTTCGCTGTCTTCACGCATACTTTTCTCATAGTAAGGATACTTGCAATCTAAGTATGGACGCGAGAATGATGGAGGGCGACCTGTGGTAAGACTCTGAATAATCATCAGAGGCGGCACATAGCACATGAGAAAGGTAGCAACCTGCCACACATCCGCCGTGAACAGGGTCCAGAACAAGATACGACGTCTATGGACGACCTTCTGACTCAAGCCCCACCTTGCGCTGTCTCGATCTAGCGGTATAGTGAATGAGGGAGTTCTCATAGAGCAGGTACAAAAATCTGAAAGCAGCAGACTTACGCAAGCCAATCTATAAGTACATCAGTCCAGGGCATCCACGACAAGAGACATCTGACGTACGCTGTGGGACAACTGAGCGCAAAGCACGAACAGACCCCAAGACATTTCCATACTAGCCTCGCTGTCACCAGGACCATTATCTGCCATGGCATTGTAGACACTAAACAGATGAAGTGCCTGAATAGTTACAAGAGCGGGCTTCGCCATCACGGGCTCAAGACATAATGCAGCATTGGCAAGCTGCTGATAGTGTGCCCCTTCTGCATGCGACTGCTCTTGCTGAGGATCTACCAGCGCTCCGACAGCGAAGATGAAGAACAGCAGGCTAAGTGCATGAGGACCAGAATAGCCCACTGTTGACGATGGATCTGCTGTGGGTCGACGATAGAAATAAGGGAGCATCTCTCCGACGACCTGTTCTCGCGTGATTCCATTGAACATCCAGGCGACGCGCTCCATGTACATCTCCACGAGCTGGGATGCACGCTCATATGGTGGCAGGTGGCTCTCAACAAGTTCAAACACTGCATGAGAGTTACCCGTGGGTGTGAACGGGAAGGCAGAGGAGAAGCGCAGGAGCTCCCCCAGAGCAGGAGGACTTTCCGAATCTCGTATTGATTCAGGGGATGCACCGTCAGCGTCGGAGGATGTGCATGCTGCGTCGCTGTCCACCTAAATCCGGTCATTCGAATATCAGAAGGAAGAATAGATGACACTCACGGTAAGGAGATACTAGAACATGATATCAAGGCAATGTCACGCAGGAACAGGTCATGTACGTACCTCAGCTCCTCCTGTTGGGCCGAAGAATCTTGAGACACCATGGTCGGAAACTGACAATGTTCCGAACGCGTCAATAGCGTCCCGGATGTTAGTAGGTACATTCCGAGATATGGGTAGGTCCTCTTCCTGCTCTGCAGAAGCGGTTGCTTTGTCGCCAGTTAGCAAAGGATGGGGCTCGTTAGAATACTTTGCATGGGCTATTGCGAGGGCATCCTCTAATTGTCGTATTCGCTCGTTCATTTTCGCAATCCGTTGGTGGAGATGTTCTGTAGCAGCTAGAACAAAGCTGCACATCATGAGTGCATGAAGTCACCAATCAGTGGGCGCTTTGCGTACCGAGTTCCCTGTCCGGTGGCAAGGCTCCCTGGGTCAATCATGAAACTCGGGAAGGTCTGTAATAACTAGATAAACTCCGTACCATTGGGGCATAGTGTTGCACACCCTCTCCTCTGTCAAGCAACGTGAACTGCAGCATTTACCGGAGACAAGTTGGGTATGGCATACCTGACATGATTGACATGGGATGGTTTTATCGCAACGGATCTAATAAACCAATCAATTGCTATCAACTCAGTATTTCGATACATCAACATGTCCTCTCCACGCACTTTCAATCTACGACAGCATTCCATTGATGAGTAGCATCTCGGAGCGAGCGGACAATAGGAGCGTACCTACGGCACTCCGCGCATGAAATCTCGCCCCTACTGCGTTTCAGTTCAATCTCGCGACTGCTCTCGAACCTGATCTCCTCGCTGTCCTTCCGACCGGCACGACGAAGACGAGTTGAACCGCTTGGCTTCGTGAGATCGGCTGGCATGGTAGGTTGCAGGATTGCCTGGATTGGAAATGGATTGAACGAGACGATCAGCGCCAGCTTTACCAAGTTGGTAACCTACCTACCTGTATCTGAGATTCCAGAGTGGACTCCGAGACGAGCGACGGGCCAGCGGGCGGGTCACAGCCTTATAAGTCGCGAAACCTTCGAGGACCCAAGAATTCTTCGCAGGAGTTCCTTCGGAGTGTATCCGAAGCGGGTGTACTAGGAAGGGGCGGTTTCTTGGTAATTCAATGCCACCGCGGTCTGCAGGCTCCCACGAATACGGTCGCGGTCCACTCAGGCGCGTTGAACATCACCGATGACCTATATATCCTAGCGAAACGCGTGTACTAATAAACCAGCTACGATGCCACGTGTCAATTTACTATGCTCTACAGAAACTTAAAGTGCAGCGACAACTTCAGCGTACGTTGGCACTTGAGACCCTCCCGGATTTGTATCCCTGAGTGAATGTAAGGTTTGCCTGCCTTACAATGTCACCATTTGTCGCCAGTACAAATTTATTGATAAAGTTTACATGTGTGATCAGGACTGAATAGGGACTCAATTGACCAATTGAATTTGTTACGGCAAATAGAAACTGTGTTTCATCTACAAACGGTTACTTTGTAGTGAGCACGAAATTCATCATTTGTTGGGGTAGTAAATTTGAGTTGGTTTTCAGGTGTGGACGTTCTCGGCAACAAGCGCCCGGGCCCGCTGTGTGGGATCTAACTCTATCGGTAACAGCCCTCGATCGGTCCAGCGATACGGTACTCCAAGCAGGTTGAAGCACGTGCTACAGGCAGTGCAAGCTGTGGTACTAACTGAAGGATTGCATCACTTGTTGAGTGCATGGACGAGGACAGGAAATTTTAGGGTGAGTCCAAGCCCATCACACTACAGGCCCACCGGTGGGGCGAATTGATGGTTCTAGCAGCCATGTTCCAGTGCGGTGCAAGAAAGTGTACTACCGACACGCACATAACACGCGTTTAATGATCTCACGCGGAACAGAGCGCGGCAAATTTGATGTACTTAGAATTCTATGATAGTAAACATCAATCGTTGTAAGTGCGCAGTGGATCAGATGAAAAGCATTTGAATGCGCGGTGAAGGCTCTAAAGAGGGACGATGAGCGATGCCGACCGGCGACAAATCTGAGCTGGATGGGGCAGAACCAATACCATTGCGATAGCGCACCGTAGAAGAGCCAGTCATCTAGCAATTTGTTCTATGGTTGCACGTGACAACTACCCCGTTGTCAAAAAAATCAATTCGAATAGAAACCAGAGTCGCTTGGGCATTCCGCAGGATTTGAGGGTATCTGAAGCCTGACGATGTCTGTGATAAGGGATTCAGGGTGAAGTTTGCAGGAAATAAATAGCAACAGTCCATACTGAAGTATGCATGCGATTGGGCCTCGGCGGCAGTTAATCTTTCTTGATGATCGTACCGGAGCAACCTGTCCAGAAGGTCCAGAGAGTCATGTGAAACTAACGCGCGATTATCTGCCGTTACAAAGCGAGTCCACGGCTGCTTGGAATAACTTTACTGCAATCAGTGCCTTAGGCTTCGGAGCATGATGAGAGCACAAACCTGGACAGGAGATCGTCGTTCTCCGCCTGCATATAGAGTGCGTATGTGTTGAGGTACTGCTCGAAGTTGGCGCTTCCGAGCACCTTCAGGATCTTCAGCAATTGATCCTCGTTATCCCTTCCACGGAAGAAATGTTCTCTTCGGAAGATCTGAGCCGTAAGGCGTTGTAAGAGAAATGTTGCCAGAACATTGAACAATTTACGTACCATGGCAGCAAGTATACAACCTACGCTCCACATGTCCAGACTGTAGTCATACAGCCTGTTATTCACTAGTAATTCGGGAGCCTTGTAGTATCTTGAACCAACTCTAGGGTGATACTCTGTGCCAGGATGATAGAACTCGGCCAGACCCCAGTCTATGAGTCTGAGCTGGAGAATACGCGTTAGGACTGCCCGACAATCACCGCGGTAACGATTCTCACTTTCTGGCATTCACGGTCATACATGATATTCCCGGGCTTCACGTCGCGGTGCATTATGCCGCGAGAGTGGACAAAGTCCAAAGCCTACCGAGGTGGAAAGTGTGAGAGGATACCAAGAACGATGAAGCAGCTCTTACTTTCAATAGTTGGAACAAATAGTGCTTAATCTCCATCTCCGTCAACACGCTATACAACTCCTTCCATTCTACGTTCTCTACATACTCCATAACTAAGCTCTTCGATCGCGATGGGGGATCGTGTACGACATCGAGCAGACCGACAATGTTCGGGCCACCGCTGAGATTTCTCAGTATCTTGATCTCGCGCTTTATCTTCTTCTTCGCTACAGGCTTCAGGACCTTGACCACACACTTGTCCTCGTTCGAAGAATCAAGACCTTCGAAAACCTGTGAGGCAAGATCGCGATGAGGGACAATCTACAGCGGGGTACATGCCCATATCCATACATCGGAATATTTGCCACCTCCAATGCGTCGGACTAATTCGTAACGGTCAGGCACATTCCAATCAATCGTAATTCTTTCTGCATGCTACCTGTCAGAAGACACCTCACAAAGACGAATTTGAACCGTTGCTCACCATAATCGAACCACGCCGGTCCAAGGAGAGCATTCACATCAGCATACACCCGAGCCATTTGGGCCACAGTAACAGATCCTTCGACCAGAGGGATGGAATGCCGGAACAATGGCACTCACGACCAGCACATTATATGTGCTCACAAGGCTGTCGTCTATTGCGACCTCGACATGTTTGACTTTTGATCACTGGCGTTGGCATGTTCTTTGTTCTCTCAACGACACGTGGGTGGGAGTCTGGTGAGAAACCAGCCCTCTGCCGCTGCCGGGCCGCTGAAATCTCTTCAGGACCCCGGAATATGGGAGAGGAACTCTGATCCTAAGGTTTGCCAGTTTGTCCGGACATTTTTCTGGTTCCCACGCTTTCTGAGCGTGCGTTTCGGCGAGAATGGAGTCGATGGCCTGTTTTCAACCGACCAAAATTGTCGGATTGGAGTAATCGGGGTTCCTCATTCCGGGGTCCTATCTCTTCGCACCCGGCGCCAGGAGTATTGAACTTATACGTGGTTCTGCGCATGAAGCTTGTATACTGCCGCAAAACTGAATCTGCCACTCCGAGCCTCGTGGAGACGAGTTTGGCATGCCTTGACCACGAGTCTTTCACAACGCTCGACCAGTACAGGCAACCTCACTGTGGCCTCGCTCGCGCTTCGTCACGGTGATCATGGCACCATATTTTGAGACGGCTAAGGTGAAGAGTGTCTTATATGCGTATGCTATGGTAGTGTTGAAAGGATTATAGTCTTTTGCAGATGTTCCAATTACTGATGAGGGAGTTGATACCGCTTCGTTTCTCGTGTCGTCGACTGACTTCGTCAACATGTTCGGTAAGTTGAGACAGAGCCGCCGTCGAAGCCGCTATAGGTTGCTGTTCACTAACATTCGGCGTCCTCGGCAGGTCTTCTCGGTTCTGGGGTATTTGCTTTCGTACAAGCTGATCTTAAGAGCAATATCGGCGCATGTTGACTTCCTTGTTTCACCTTTGATTTACTCACTTTTGTTTCAGGGTGTGCGAAGTCGGTATGAGGCCACTTCCGATAGGTCCACGACTTTGGAGAAACTAGTACTTTATGAAGCGGAACGTCACGAATGCCATGGTACTGCTTGCCTAGTTCGGCTCATCCGGTGAGTGACTTCCCAGTCCTACGTATCTTACAACCCGCTTAGTCGATGTCGCTCTCGTCTATACGCCCGACTTGCGCATAATTGCGAACATACGATGATAGTGGGCTCCTCTTCGCTTGTCAGGCTCTGCAAAACATGCAGAACGACGATTCCTCGGAGCTACACATCTGTTTCAAACGATCATATGACACGAATCTAAGACATCACCACTCATTTATCGTTCGGTCTGCTGTTTCTGTACGTATCCGTTGCCCTTCAACCGCCGATAAACTATATCTGATCTCAATCGTATGTTGTTCCGTATCTTTATCGACCCAATCGCCTTCTATTCGACAGGTTGCGATCAGAGCAGTCCCCCATAGACGCGACTTCTACATCCGCCTGACTCAAGGTGGCTCGCATGAGAAGTTCGATGCTGAGCTAACGAAGTGGCTTGCTGGTTTGGAGACGATTGTAATGCGGATGAAGGCATTCTTGGAGAACGGAGGTTACGGGAGGGTATGATTGACCATCGATATGAAACTCCAGGTTTCAGAGGACTATGGCCCTCGTTAATTTTCGACATATTTTCAGCTGGATTGTAGACCCTATCGTATAAGTAGAAGGGCTGCAAGACTTGTTATGAGTGTTGCCCGTGCACCGCAGAGCCGTCAATACGTGGGTGCAATTCATGTTCGACGTTTCTGATCTGTTGTATGCTAGATCCCCAAAGCATGAAAGCATAGCAGGTCGCGGCTGTTCGAGTCCAAGGAAGAATCCCATTTTTGCAGTGAACTTTCCGTAAGCGGAGCCGTTGACGGGAGCTTCCTGTATGAATGCGCCTCGATCTCTGACTTCGTCTGAGACGCGCCTTCTCCATGTCCACGGGGCAGCGTTTACTTCCATCTTTTGGATATTCGCTGCCATATCGATGTCGCGGCAAGCCCTGCACTGTGGGTGAGGTTACTAGTATAGAGCCCTAAAAATGCGATATTCCCCGAAAGCGCCCCAGCTGGAGCCTTGGGTTTGAGACGCAAACTTTGAGCATTTCCAGCGTTGTCATGGATCAATTGAGTTGAAATCAAGAGTCATTCTGCGCGCAGTCACACGTCCGTCAGAACAAGACATACATATGTTCAAGCGCATGGTTCAGAGAAGAGTACTCAAACAGGAACATTTGTGCCACAGAATCTCCTGTGTGATACGAGAGCTGGAGACGGGAAGCGGTGCACATACATGATGGCAGGCTATGGCAGGACGACCGGGGGCATCACAATTTCTAAACAGGCAAGCTACCCCATATCATGATCAGCCGACCACGACATATGCGGGCGTCTATCTTTCCTGAGATCATCCATGCAGTCAAGGAGGTATTGCGCCCACGATACACAAAAATGCCTTTCAGCAAGTACGAACAGCGAACAGCAAGCCTCATCAGTGGCTGCACGATTAGCGGCGATGGGGAGGCGCAACGTAATTTTCGGGAGAAACTGATGGAATAAATGACTGCCAAGAACACGCACGGTCAGAAGTTAGTATCAGGAGGTATTCTATATCCGGACGACGGAGCACTCAATTCGGGGTTTCTCGTTGTGAAGCCTGGGAAATGTTTTGGGTGTGTTTTCCGAATTTCCAAGAACTCCATAATCAAATAGATCCCAATGTTTTCGCTTCTTTATTGAACCTATTTTATATGTGAACCCCCTCCTCACTTCCACGTCAATCCCCCCTTTCCCGTCGTCGTCTAATCCTGCCCCCAACCTGCCCCGCCACACACATTTCCCATCGCGTGCTCGAGTCGTGAGCGAGCAGCGAATGAAATGGAGATAGAGTGAGCGGCGGGTTCTATTGTGACCATTATCTTTATCTGACGATGCGATTCTTAGAAACCAGCAACCAGCGCAGACCCTCTCTGCTCTCATGTCGTCGGCCGCGATGTATGTGTTGCAACTATCGCCTTCTTTGTATCTTACTTTGTCAATAGATTGCCCCAGAAGCGCAAGGCGCCACCCGCGGAGGGAGAGCTATCTCCAGGAACGTTTGGTATGACCGACAATCAGAGCGTCTCGGTTGGTACTGTCGATTCTCAGCTTCCCAAGGGCGAATACGAGACTGGACGCGTCATATGTGAGGCGTGCGGTGAAGGCATTTCGTTCAGGGATGAGATAACAGGTGGTTTCACGGTTAAGCATTGGGATGAACATCGTCTCCAGTGGTACGTCTTTTTGGATGATTTCATCTTACGACCTCACTCAGTGGGTTTCATGGTCATAATAGTCCAAATATTTCTCAGCAAGTTCAGGACGCGACTGCGCCCAGTCCGGAAACCCAGGTCGACGCGTCTCAACCGCCAGCCAAAAGACGACGTGCCAAGCGATCGGAGGAGGAGCGTATTGATTATCTTCGCTCTGACCCTTATGTCGCACAATTTGAGGCATATCGCGTTCTGTGCGCGTCCTGTGATAAGTGGATTCGCTTGCGGCCCAATTCCACCTATTGCTCGATTCCATGGGACGCTCACCGCAAGAGCTGTTTGGCGAAGAAATTGTACGTATTTTACGCGAGTTTTACCGACGGACATAGCAGTGAACCCTTTCGTCTGTGCCAGCGCTAAGAATGCTTCCCCAACGGACGATCGGAGCAACGTATTTGTGACCGATCCTCTCGTGCGCAAGTTCGATGCAGAGCGCGTCCTGTGCAGAAATTGCGAGACATGGATTCGGCTGGGCGCGCATGATAACTTACTGGCTGTCAAGAAGTGGATGGAGCACCGCGCGGTTTGCCAGCAAGAGATTACGAGTACTTCAGCTGCACCGCCCTCCGCCGCGAAGTAAGTGCTCCCATGACCGTTTTCATCTCTGCTTGACGCGATTCTGCCACAGCATTCCGACGATCGACAGTGTTCCCCCTCCTCCGAAGCATCTTCTGGCTCTCGCTTCTTCATCGTCATTGCCGCCACCCGTTCCGGCAGGCCCTCCCTCTCCTACCGTGAATCCGATCGCAGTACAACCTATGTCCAATGGTGTCGCTACAGTTCCCCAGCCTTCTCCTTCTGCTTTCAAGGACCTTAACCCATTGAATTTCGGCCCGGCACATGAGAGCAGGCGTCGAAACGCAGAGCAGCGCGCTGCGGCACTACGTTCTGATCCCTTGGTAGGCGATGTCGAGCCCAACCGCGTCTTTTGTACACTCTGCCAGAAGTGGGTCCAACTGAGACAGGATAGTTCTTATTGTGCCTATCCCTGGTTGCAGCATCGTGGAAAGTGTCTCAACAGGCAGTGAGTCCGCCTCAGCTGCTCGCGCTACTGATCTTTCACTGATGTGTACTATCTTGGTAGTCAGAAGAGGGCTCAGAAAGACGTGGAATTGGCTGCGTTCAGGGCTCAGCGTACACTGAGTGTGACTGCAACCCCGTCGGTGGGTGCGGACGACAGCGATGGGCCCGAGTCTGAAGAAGGCGTTGAATCAGGCACAGAGGAGGAGAAAGGCAGAAGGCGTGCAGAGAGGCGCGAGGCCAGGAAGAAGGCGAAGGCCGAGGCTCTCACTCAACTGCGCCAGGAAGATGAGGAGAAGCAGGGGGGGGTTGGCGTGTCGATGTTCGATATCTCCGGGTATGACGACGACGCGGATGGAGATTACGATATGGACCCGGACGTACTGCGGCCTCGATACACGGACCTCGATTCGCCCTCTGGACGGTAGGAGGCTTTCTTCGAACAATGTGAGTTGAGCGCTAACGTAAGCCTAGGTTTGACTTCATCTTCGGGTCCGTCAAACACTTGTTCAAGTCGACGTTCGATCAGAATGACGAGTTAACCATCGCGGCTTTAGTCACCTACTTGAACGCTGCCATGCCTCCGGACAAGCATGAAGACTACGATACCGCGGAAGTAATCAAAGGTGCGATGGCCCTGCACGAGCGAGGAGACTTCATCTTCCAGGGCGACGTCCTCCGCGTACCAAATTAAAGCGCAAATTTCCACACTCGTTAACTCTTCATGTTTTGTGTAGTGACGTTGGTTCGGTCATCTTCGGTGCCGATGTACTTCTGTTGTTTTATCCATTTCTCGGTGTATGAGGGACTTTTTGACAATTCATTTTTATGGGGTTCGGTGCGTCCAGTCCCGTTCGTGATTTGGACATTTTTGCGAAATATTGTAACATCCCCGCGACATGCTGTTGTTCCTCGCTCCAGATATTCTGCTTTGCACTTGTTGTTCACAAGTCCATAACAATCATTGTTGGGTTTTCTTGCATTTTGTACATACATATGACATTCATATACCATTGTAACTGTCTTTTTCTTTGCAAGATTGTAGTCAGGAACGCGTGAAGTTGGCACCCGCACGCATCCCAAGGCTCCAGTGTCAACATGTCACGAGGCATTCTCTTGGTACGTTGGCCACGATTGCGTGAGGCATCAAATTTATCGATGGAGCTAATGACTAGCTAGCAGTACTAGTATTAGACTCTTGACCGGTCTCTATAGCGTACCAATATTTGCAATGCTACTTACATGTACGAGGCGGTAGGGAGTGAGGAGCGGGAGGAGAGGCGGTGCTATAGATAGCATTATCGAAATTCAAGAAGGCACGGCAGACTGTCAATTTCGCTATGTACAACCCAGCCCGGGGACCTTGCGGGAAGGTGGAAGAATAAATGCGAGGATAGTCTAAGGATCAGTACCCAGGCGAGATCTGATGGAGGCTGCTCATCGCGAACGATGTGCCTTGTCCGAGTCGTCGGCAGTGTGAGTGATGAGAATAGTTACTATAGTGACTAAGGGGACCTCACTTCCGCACTTGGTCCGCCCAAGGAGGCGACGACCGTCGACTTCGTTCATGGGAAGAAGAACAGTGCCCACGCTGTCCGCACAATTCACCAAAGTTGCCAATCCCCAGCAACCAGACGCCGGATCCACGACATTGTCTTATGGCGTATGGATACAACAGTGAAAAGCGGGAACAAAAAGGTGCATCGATAAAGCAACGGATTGCATGCGGAGTAGACACGGAACAAGTCGGTTTTGGGGACAAGAACAATGTCAGACCGAATTCGACTCGGGGACCGATGCCAGACAAAGTTCTTCATGACGTTTTCAAGATCACGGAGAAGATGACAAGAGGCATCCTGGACAGGTGTACATGTGCGCGAACAAGGGACCCTGGATTCGAGAATGCCACGACGGACTGCACTTGCAGAACCTAGCAGGTGGTAACTTGACCCAGTAAACAAATCTTCTGTTTTGTCATTGCTGTATACCTTCGTGGGACTTCCGTGGCCAGATGTAGGAGCCCCTCGACACCAATCAACAGTGGCATCGCATTGTTCACCGCGAATGTGTTCCACCAAAATCAGAATAATAGTTTGGTAGAGATGCAGCGAGACCATTCGCAACTCGCGGGAAGTGACTGGCATTCACGTTTAGATGCTTCGGCGATTATGCAAAGGATGTCGGTACTGGCACGGCGTAGACGGTATGAGCAGGCTAGTCTGATTATCCAGCAGTCTTGAAGCCCAGATGACGGTACGGCGTGCAGGACATTCGACGATAGGTCATTCATCTATACTGGAAGGTATGCATCGCCCATGGCCCGGAGTGGCTTTCTGAGTCCAACCGGTATACGATAGATTGAGACAGAAGGGCACGTCGGAGATTCGTGGCGTATGGATTGAACGGGGATCTGAACGTACCCATTTGATATAAACGCGAAAGGAGTGCTGCATACCAGGTAGAGCCTCGAGTATCAAGGAACAACAGCCACAGCGCGTGAGAATGCCGACCTCCCGCATAGAGTGCTACGGTTCAATCCTGTTATACTGACTACAGAATATTGCACGGTGTTAGCAAGCCAAGGATTAGTATCAAGAGGTGTTTCTGTCATTTTTACCCGCCCACGCTTACGGGAACCTGGCTTACTGATCTCGCTGACACGACGTGCAAAATATGGACGACAAGTCTATGCGATGGAGGAGTTTTGCGCGAGTCGGCAGCGATAAGAGTGATCGCAATATCGGAAAGACGGCGGATCCTGATTATTTCGAATGAGTTCCAAGGGCTGACACGCGTGCAGAGTCTCACTTCACTTAGCGGCATAATATCGCATGGTTTTGTACCTGGAACCACACAACTGATGTGCCTGCATGAGTGGACATACGTCCTATCACAGTCTCCTTCTAGGAGGTCATGCATCACGATTCAAACGCAGAGATTCCTCGAACCCAAGTTCAAATTGGATCCAATCGCCGCGGATAAGAGATATCCGGGTGTTATTCTTCAATGGCAGAAAAAGCATACAATGAAAACCCCGAAGTAAGCGTAGCCTTACAAGCCGCGTAGGAAAGACGTGGATGTACAGCAAACTTACTCTAGTAGTATGGCACAGCGCTGCTGGCAGCCACGGTGAGGCAGCACCGTGTGTGAAGCTTTGAAGTACTACTGTACTGGCGGTGTACACATGACGGTCGCTCACCTTCCTGTAAACGTCGTCCCACCTTCTCGTTTGGCGTCGCTGCCGAGCCACCCAGACTCCACTTAGTCACCCGCTCCATCAATACTGGAAAGTGACCTACCTATACGGGAAGGTGACCCATCTGACGGGGATGACTACACCTACAGTGCTTGGACTCGATGTGAGCCGCCTTCCTAATTGACATGAGCTGACTGCTTTACATAAAAAGCAATATTTATGAGCAAAATACTCCACCCAGAGAGTTTGGAGCGGGCGATTACAGCGAAAGCAGAAGGCGGCACACATCGACGGCGTCCAATCACCGTATTTGAAACTCCGCGAATGCGTAAGAACGGGCGCTTGATCTTCTAAAACTTCAAATTGTTCCTTCTGTCCAAGTCGCTCTATATAGTTCGATTGTGTGACTGCTCTTGCGCCGAGGATTGCAAGTAGTTGTAATGCGGCATCTGCACAATGCACTTCCAGACTCCTGGCAAGCTTGCTCGGCACGGTAACTGGCTTATTCTATTGTAGGCATTTTCGTTGGTCTTCCAGAGCATCAGGTTCACCATTCATGTTGGTCCTATCTCTCATGCAGTGCCGCTTTGTATTACTGCATATATTAACGTCAATTACTAGATTTTTTGAAGAGTCAGGGTCGCGTTTTACATACGAGTTCCGTCTGGACCGACCGTTACTGAAGAACAACGACTCTCATGGATGATATTGTTCAATGGAACAAATTCAATTTGTTACGCAAAGTATGACTTCAGAAGCGCCCTCTCCATTGTCGGAGAGTAGACGAAAAGGACCCTGCCTTGGGCGTCTGACATTCCACGCCCTCAATCAAGCTGGGGCTTCTGGAGATACCTAACAAGGTACCCAGCCACCTATTCGGTATGGGCACCGAAGTATGACGCAAATGCAACAACTAACGACAGGTGCGATATCCTATAAACAATTATCGTGTTGCGTCTCCGCTTATATGCAGCTTATACGGGTAGCTATTGGAGTGCTGAGACAACAAGAGATGAATTGCTTAATTCAAACCTCATCTCCGCACCTGTGGTATCGCAGATGATCGCCGGTCAATATACGTGGTGCTCGATGGCGCTCCCAGCCAGCCGTGTGGTACGTTACCCCTGAACGTTTAGTATTTCTTAGCATGGAACATCTCATGCTGATAATGCGCGAATATAGTTCTTGATTAAAAGAATTGTTCTCGTGTTGAGATGTTACCTCCGCCGAGTGCATAACGAGCATTTCCTGTGGGCGTATACGCAGGCATATAAATTTCCCGGATTCGGTCTGCAGGTCGCCAATTCCCCTTCTCGACAAACCAAGCTTCCTCAATGGCGAATCGAGTGTCTGTCTCTGCCTTCGTGCTCATGTTTGTGGCAATTGCTTTCGCTGCGATTGGACCTACGACGGACTTGACCATCATCAATGCCGATATCGCCCCCGATGGGTATCTTCGCCCTGCCGTTCTTGCTGGAGGTACCTTCCCGGGTCCTGTGATCGCCGGTAATAAGGTGAAAATTTTCATGTCAATCTGCAGAACAAATGTTGCTCATCATTTTTGTAGGGGGATAATTTTCAGATCAATGTGAACAACTTGTTGACGAATGAAACCATGCTGAAGACCACCTCCATTGTATATTTCGTCTATTCTCGGGTTGAAGTCCTTATTGAGTTTGCATGCTGTGTAGCATTGGCATGGAATTTATCAGACCGGAACTAACTGGGCGGACGGAGTGGCATTTGTGAGCCAGTGTCCCATCGCTTCTGGCGACTCGTTTTTGTATGACTTCACTATACCTGACCAGGCTGGTGAGCTCGTCCGCCTCAGCTGTCTTCCAATGGACGCTGACACGTTCACTTTTAGGCACTTTCTGGTATCACAGTCATCTTGCAACTCAGTACTGCGATGGGCTGCGAGGTGCTTTCGTTGTGTACGACCCCGACGATCCCTTTGCTGACATGTACGATGTCGACAACGGTGAGACCCTTCCAACTGTCACGGTGGTTCAATGAGTCTCATAATTTTATTTAGATAGTACCATTATAACCCTTGCCGATTGGTATCATGTCGCAGCGGCCTTGGAGCCACTTGTACCGTGCGTATTATTGACCATGGAACACATATTAACGCGTGATTGATTGTGATCTTCTACCTAGAACACCTGATGCCACCCTGATCAACGGATTAGGTCCCTCCTACAATGGTTCGGACACTCCCTTAGCTGTCATCACTGTCCAGCAAGGTTTGCGGTATGTATATTTCAGACACTGGCTCGCCCATACATTGAAGGTGATATCTGCGTAGGTACCGTATTCGTCTTGTCTCCATCTCCTGCGACCCGAATTTTATTTTCTCCATCGATGGTCACAATATGACCATCATTGAGACGGATGGCGTGAACACGGACCCACTCGTTGTTGATTCTTTGCAGATTTATGCGGCGCAACGATACTCCTTCATTGTAATAACTTCCACGCCACTTCTGGGTAATCGAACGGTGTCTTATGGCACCCTTGTCTTAGCTCGTAGCTAATCAGCCCATTAACAATTACTGGGTTCGCGCTCTACCAAACAGGGGGCCCGCTGGTTATGCTATACTCCGCTACGACGGTGCACCAACTGTAGGACCTCAAACAAACCAATCTGTCAGCATCTCTCCGCTGGCAGAGACCAACCTCCACCCGCTCATCGGTGCACAAGCTGTCAGTATCTACGACCACGTTCATGCATGTGAAAAGCTACTTACTTATACATTTGTAGCCAGGTGAACCCACGGATACCGGCATAGACCTCGCTCTCAATCTAATTACGACTAACGTAAGTCCACGTTTTTGGTACTTCATACGAGCCCCAGTGATCGTCTCATGCCGCACAGAACGGCACCAAATTTTTTATGAACAGCGTGACCTTCGTTCCGCCCCCGGTGCCCGTCCTCCTGCAGATCCTGAGCGGTGTTTATAGTGCTCAGGATCTCCTTCCGGCTGGCAGCGTGTACACATTGCCCTCGAATTCAACGATCCAATTGTCCATTCCCGGGGGTGTCGTGGGAGGTGGGCATCCGCTGCACTTGCACGGGGTGAGCCAATAAATGTATTCATATCAGTGTCTGCAAAAGTGACGAACATACTGCAGCACACATTTTCTGTCGTCCGCAGCGCCTCTAGTGACGTTTATAATTACGATAACCCGGTGCAGCGGGACACGGTCAACATCGGCGTTGCTGGCGACAATGTCACCGTCCGATTCAATGTACGTTGTGCACCTCTGATTCTCGAGTTGCGTTAAGCATTCCTTGCAGACCAACAACTCGGGCCCATGGCTGCTCCACTGCCACATCGATAGGCACCTGGCGAACGGTTTTGCTGTCGTCATGGCCGAGGCGCCCACGCTGACAACGGAGACCCCGCCTCGTCAGTGTTCACTCAGATAACACTCGAAGGTGCACTGACGTTAATTCCTCTGGTGTAGCTGCATGGTCAGATCTTTGCCCTATCTACGACGCGCTATCTCTCACCGATCACTGAGTTGGTTGGTGAATCGTCCAAATCGTTACTAAACACGGTAGCCGCTGCTGTTCGCGGCTATCACTCGTCAGTCCGGTTTATTGATGTGTTGCTGTAATAAGTTTGGCTCTATGCGGGCGAGGTACTGCCCTGAAGAGGTATACCTCATTGTTTCCCGGCGTCGAGGGTCCATGCTGGTCCCTCATCTTCTCTGTTGTCTCCGCCACTTGGTGTTCTGCGCGGTCTTGCGCGCGTGGGATCTAGGTATACATACGTAATTGCCCCCTCCCCAGATATCTTACGCACGCCCCTTAAGAGTTTTTTCACAGCATGATGCCCTCGTTTTCGGAGTATAATGACCAGATTGATTGTACCGGAATCGCTACATGACCGCTGTACCGAACGTAAATAAGACCGCATTAAATATCAACCAAAAGCTGGATGGTGATGCTACAGTATGCACGATACGACGCTAGATTCTACAGCAGGATTGAATACACTGAGACAATCACAACACACCTCGATGATAGTGCAACCTCCTTGTAATGCAATCGAGCGAGTCCAAAGAGCCACGATATAATTACCCGAAAGTTCGGCCTATTCCATTGCACACGCTGCACGGCATCTCGTCGAAGATCAAGAACGTCGTCGTACCCGACCCACCACACCGCCAACACAACCGGCCACCGATACGCGGGTCTCCGGGCTGCACGACGGCCGCACCGCGGGGCGGGTTGGAGACAAGGCGCACATTCGAACCCGAAGGTGACATGCGCTGGAGTGGATCGAGGTACGGTGACATCGGAACACCTCCACCAGCGACAGGCAGGACGCGCGAGGACGACGCTCCCAATGATTGCGTTGCACGGTGCCCCGAGCGCGTGTCTACAGAGAGCTGCGGGGGCGTGAACTTTGGGAGTGGGCGCTGGAGGGTCGTCCGCGCGCCGCCCGTGCTAGACGTCATGTCGCGGCCCCAGGACGTGTAGACCAACGGACCTGCGAAACGCCGCGAATACCGATCCCAGCACTTCGAACAGGGCAGTAAGGGGTCATTGTTCTTGTAGCCCGTGTTACGGCCTGGCATCACAGATGCGGATGAGAGAAGAGGAAAGCAGGTACATGGTGTGAGCTACGCAGGGACAGAAGACATATCGCACAGATACGCACATTTGCTACATTCGTAACCTGCAGGATACACGAGGACGTTCCCCTTCCTCAAGAGTGGGTGACCCGGGGTGGGGAACCCTGTAGGCCGCCCGTCGTCTTGTGGGGGGTTCCCCGACGGAGGGGCATACCTACCCGACGACGAGCTCGGTCGCGGCGGAATCTCAGGTTCTGCAGCGAGCGCCCTCGTGTCCGCTGGCCCAGCCGCATAGAAATCGCGTGCAAAATCCGAGAGATTCTCGTCATTGGGGGCCGAGCTGGGGCGGCCGTCTCTCCCTGATCTCGAGGAGTGGCGTGGGGGGAGCGGTGGGTTCTGCCTGAGATAGGGCATACCGGTGGGTTGTGCCCGAATGAGACCAGGATAACTCGCCCAGCCCGACCCTGTCAGCTGTGGGGCGTTCGGTATTGGAGAGCGGTAGTATGGATGCTGAGGAGGTCGTGGGGGCTCTTGGAAGGGTCGCCGTGGGCCCAGCTCAATCGTCGTTTCGCCCTCTGCCACATCTGGTGCTGGGGTGTACGCTGGCGGTAGGTCCTCAGAGATCAGATCCTCTGCGGGTGGTGACACCCGCCTCTCTGAGTCTGACGAGCTCCTGGGAGGTAAATGTTCTGGGCCATGCGGCAGGTCTTCTGGCGGAGAACTCGGTGACGGTGTGCGTACCACGATGTGTGGCCTCGGGCTGGCCTCGTCGTGGATAACGCCGTTGGGCAACGTCGACGTCGAGGGAACACCTGTTGTGTTTGGCGAGGCCTTTGGCGTTCGGAATGGATTGTGAGAAGACGACATGGACGTCGACGTCGATGTTCTGTCGGTGAAAATGAAAAGGTCACTGCAGTCCGGGAAACGGGTGTTATATATGTAAACAAGGCTGAGAGAGCTCGAGTCCGCATATAGCCGGCGCAGTGTTACGCAGCGTGGGCAGACTCTCTTTCAACCTTCGTTCCTCAGAAGAACCGTGTCGGACTCCTTGATACTCCATGCGCCTTCTCCGCCTTTTCTCTGTTGCCATCTGCGCTTGCCTTGCTTTTGTTCCATGCTACCAGACTTTGATCGCAGCAGACGAGATTGCAACGCATCACAAACAGTACTCTTAGGGCACACCTGGCGCGGCGCGAGCAGATTCGAATTCCATAAATTACATGATGATGTTCTGGCATCAATAGCGTCCATAGGGAACGACAGTCATTCTTGGGTATTCCAGTACACACACAGAATTCAATGTACAATACTATAAGTCGCTGGACTCTTTCCCGCCGCAGTACTGTCCGTGTAAGCAGAAAGATCCATCGTCATGGCACGTCTTCTTTACTGCTCAGACTGCGGAAGAATTCGGCATATGCATGCTCGATGTCGAACAGCAACTAAGCGGCAACAACATCTCAGCCCATGCGTGGAACTGCCACTAGAAGGTACGCACCTGTCTCGACTGCTCTTCCGTGATTTCCTCCGATGCCTTCATACCATTTAGCGTGATAAGCCTGAATACGTGTAAGCATCAGGACTATGAGAGTGGACGTATAGCGTCAGATATCATACCAGCTGACCATCTTGCTCCTTCCTTCCCAATCCTTACTCCCTTTAAACCGCGCGTACCCAGTGACTAGCTCCTGCAGAATAGGATGCAACTGATCTTTCGCACGCATGCGCAGCTTCAGCGCGTCCATGAACGTGATGAAGCTCTGTCAATGTCAAATATCAATGTTGATATACGCGGAAAATGGTTAGCAGTGAGGCGTACCTGCGTCGTTTCAGCGACCCATTTGCCTGTCTCAGGCCCAGCCTCGCTCGAATGCTCAACAGTCGCCGGAACACCGACTTTAAGTCTGTGCAACGCTGCAGGGTGATCCATCTACATACGACAGTCACAGAGGAGTCAGTTCGAAGGAGCGGTCTGTGAGATGTAGAGCAAAGCACCTACCCGATACTTGGTCATAAACTCCTCAATGGAAGGTACCGTATCGCCTACGAGCTTCAGCATAGTCTTGTACTGAGATAGCAGCCGCGTACACGCAGGAGAGTACCTCTTCAACCAGATTGCTCAGCCTACAGAACGGCACACGACGATTACGCTAGGTTGGGTACGCACTCGGCCGCGGTCACGGAATCGCGCACATACGCACGCTCAAGGTAGTCTAGCGAGATGACTATGCCAAACAGCGTCGCTAGCAGACCATATTTCTCGCGCTCGGCGTTGGTGGTGTACAGCCGCACTTCTTCGTCTAGAGAGAAGAGGGTGGTCATTCCGGACATGATGGCGAAAGGGAGGGTGTACATCTAATCTTATCGAGTCTTGTGAGAAACACACACCACGTGGAACTAGGTTGCACGGTCAGGTGCCCGACGCGACTCTGCTTCCGTTGCACCCGTTTGTTATGGTTTGTGCCGCTTCCCGGCATCTCAGAGGACATTTTTCAAATCCAGGTGAAATTGTTTCATCACAGAGAACGACGCGCTCGACATGGAGGCGTGTGGTAGAGTGTCACTACGGCAAAAACATCCTAGGTATCCGATCGTGAAGGGGGAAAGGGGAAGGCATTGTTAATAAGAAAAGATAAAGGTAAGTCTATCTATCTATTGCACGGATGTAGCCCCTTCGAAGTTTACAGATGAAACAACTGCAGCGTGTACCAACTGATTCACATGCATGCCCTAATCCTGGGACGAAAATAACGAGAGAATTGTCACTAGGTAAGCATCTCAGAATCCTCTAGCCGCGCAAAAGCCTCGCACAGAATGCCGTGTGTCTCGTGCGAGGTCGTCTGTGGTGTAGCTTTGATTCGGATGGCAAGCGAAGCCATGTGCAGTGCTGGGCGAATTCCCGCGAGAAATAGCGCCGTGCTATTTCTTGCGCAGAATACGTTCAGAACGCACAGGCTGGCAGGGGGCCTGTAATGCCGGAGTGTGGCACACTCGCGTCTAGCTGGACGGACCACGGTGAAGCTGATATACCTCGTAGAGCAATGAAATGCGCACATCAACATGTCCTGCTGTCAGGACGCTCCACGCCACAGGCCTTCAATCTACAGACCGGATGTCGTATCAGACCATGTCGACACTGCATCTACTCGACGCGTGAGCAGGTTTGAGTGGGGTGTGCGCAAGAATCGCGGGAGTAATGGTAAGAGAACAAGGGGAGGGGGCGCCAGGAAAGGGGGGGCTTGCGTACACTTCAAAGGATGACGGGTGAGACACTCGTTTTCCACATTGCGGCCTTGCTTTTATACTTGCAGATCTGTCCGTGGAGCCTGATTCCTGAGCTCTATTGCCCGGCGCCCGGCTACTGCGCCATTCTCGCACTTGGCCGATCGGATGCCCCGCTCAGTAGTCCCACAAAATAATTCGTCTGACGCCTAATGCCTGGAGTTTGGGTTCTCGTACCTCACCACACTACACATTCACGCGGTGGGCTTCGCCAAAACAACGCACACCCTGTGGGTCTTCTTCCGCCGAACGTTGATAAATGGGATGATAACCGCTTTCAACAGCTAGGAAACCGGGCATGGCATCGATAATGCTGAAATACACCCTGGAGGCGAGGCGTGTGGCTCCACGTGGTCAAAAATACAATGATTACTGTCTCTGCGTGTCCACGCGGAGTTCGAAGTCTCATCAGGCGAAATAAGTGAGGGACACAGATGCTTCATCTATCCAAACTCATGTCATTCATAGAAGCGGCAATATATTGGGTGCGTAATTATTGAGTACAAGATCGACCTCTTGGCGCCACGAAGCATAGCCCTGCGGCTAGGAAGTGCCTGTGCATGTCCTCGAACCTCGCGCTGCTACCTTGTCCCTTGCTAATTGATCATTGACGGCTGCGGTGTCCCTGGATCCCACAGAAACACGCCTGCAGGTTCGTGCGCGGCGGGCCCTCCGTGAATTTGTATACAGCGACGACTCGCGCCCATGCAGACTTCACCTCACGGCTCCAAGTACGCTTGCTTCGCTGTCAGCCTCTCGCCTCAGCCGCCACCAGTTGGAGACGGTCGTCGGGGCCCCAAAAGCCTTCCCCTCTTCTCCCTGCAATCGACACCCATCTCCGCCGACACCCCGGCGCGCCCCAAGGGGATTAAAAAAAACCTCTGCGGGCTACCCAGACCCACGCGGTGCACCATGCTATGAGGTCGTATCGCACATTCTGTATCCGACAACCGATTGTACACACACAACTTATTACCTCCCGAATCTTTTCTTCCATGCCTCCGACGCGACTCAATAGGGCCCGCCGCACCGGGCGCAGTACTAATCAGCGCGTACACTTTGTCACGTCTCAAGCGCGGGTGCGTCCGCGATTCGGGCTTATCGCGGTACCCTGTGATCATTTCCGCCGCGGCACCACGGCAGGACGCCGATTTTCACGGAGGGCTTCGCGGAGGGTGGCACGGTTTGGACGGACGCTCTCACCACCCGGGGCTAACGCGTTCTCGTCGGCGGCGGAGAGCGGAGGAGGAGGGCGACCATGCGCCTGCGTCGGTCGTGTCCCGCGTGGTCGCTGGTCAGCGTGCATTGACCGGGCTCCGATTTGGAGGACCGAGGCTTCGTGCTCCAAGGCTGGGGCCATCTCAAGCTCGCGTACAACTGACGGTGCACCAGTCAATTTCGTCGAGTGCACAGAATTCTTGTCGGTTTCATTACGTCTGTTGTGACGACGATGCGATTACAGTTCAAGATTACGGCCTTACAGGTGAATACAAGCATGTGCTCCCCGACGCTTCTGGGGAACACAAAGTTCGGGAAGCGCAAGAAGATTACGTGCGTGTGGTCTATATCTCTGCAACGCTATGTAAAACTGGATGCTCGTTATCACATCTTCGATCCAAAACCTTCGCCTGGTTCTGCCGTGTCCGCAAGGCGTCAGCGGATGGGAGTACCGAGGCAACACGCTGCCTCATGGTATTAGATTTTTTCTGAAGCGTCAAAAACATGCTATCCCGCGCAAAGCGCGGGCGGAGATCCCGCGGTAGCAACAATGACATTGTAGGTGGACTCAAATGCCCATGTCGTCCGCACCCCGTCGCTTCGCCGCCTACACAGAACATTGATCTCCACGCGCAGGACGCGCTGCACGGTGCCATCCTGTGCGAAGATAGCGCCGTCCCCGTCGGACCGGGCGGTTAGTGTGCGGACATGAACTCACCGATGGGCTCGGGATCTGCTGCGCCTCATCCACCGGTAGCGAGGTGTACCACCCATCAGGCGCTGCTATTTCGCAGGCCACGCAAAGGCCGCATGTACACGAACGTTTTGACGGCGGCTTCGGCTGCAGTCCTGTTGACATTTTCCTGCGAGTCGAGCTCGGATGTCTAGCCTCTATGGGTCACAAATCTAGTGAGTGCAGGGTGGTTTGCTGGCAGCAGGGCGCATTGTGGATGGCGTCGAGGCCTTGCACGTTGGCGATCGTGAGGTCAGGATCGGATCCGACGTCCAATGCCATATACTAGGAAAACGCGAGGCGCCAAAATCCGGCGCGCGCGAACGAGCGTGGTGTGTCCATATCCGCTTCTGATAAATTCTGGGTCGGTCGGTGAATTGGCGACGAAACCCCTGGCCAGACCGCGGTGAAATATGAACCACCAGGGCTTCGAATGTTTTGCCTGCGAACGGAAGACGGCAGAGGCGCCATGAGAAGGCTGGCAGTCCAGCCTTCTGTCCCCGCATCGTCGCGACATGACTGTGCTTGCACACGTCAAGCGGGTGTACGTGGGCTCTTGACGTACGCAGCTATGGGTGAACCAAGTCAATGCAGGGGTCTGCTCTGCCGTGACGTGCTGAAGGTGCATGGGTATGCGGGGAGTGCATGGACAGTGCTACGTGTCAGAGTACTATTTAGTGGTCATGGGGGACTGGAGATGGTGCGTTACTGCCGATTACCGGTGCTCCTTGTCTCATGCCCGGTCCCTGACTTCATGTCGATAGGTCGTACGGGTGACCTGTTGGCGTCCGCCAATACGTCCGCCAATATTATGTGAACCCTGGCGCGTGGGTCCTGTTTGACGTATGCAAGATGCAAGAATCACCGGGGGCGCATGGATGCTATGACGTGGCCGACTCTGCGTAATACCCTTTATCACGCTCGACGACAGAAGGGGGTGGAAATGGTACGTACTCGAATTCCAAACGTCTCTTGACGTACACAACGTTGGGGGGATCAATGCTGCTGTGCGGAGACGTGTTGAAGGTGCATAGGTATTCCTTGAGTGCGTGGATGGTGCTACGTGGCCAGCGCTATCCAGTGGCCGCGGGGGACTGGAGATGGTGCGTTCCTGCTGAGTGCCGTTGCTCCTTGTCTCATGCCTGGCTCCCCGACTCGACGTCGATAGGTCGTACGGGTGACTGTCAGCATCCGCCAATATTATGCGAACCTCGGCGCGGGTCTGTTGCCGCAGTTCGACATATGCAGAACGCGAAAATATATCGGGAGCGCACGGATGACGCTGCGCATAGCACCCTTTATCACGCTCGACGACGCAAAGGCGGAAATGGTACGTACCCGAATTCCGAATGCCTCTTGACGTACGCAACCTTAGGGGGACAACGCAGCTGTGCCGGGGCGTGTTGAAGGTGCACGGGTATGCCGGGAGTTTACGGGTGGTCAGCACTGTCCAGTGTTGGTGGGCGGACTGACTGGTGCATTCCTGCCGAGTGCGGGTGCTCCTCGTCTCATGCCCGGCGCCTCGACTGCACGTCGGTGTGACGTCGGCCAATATTACGCGAACACTGGCGCACGGGTCTGTGGCCGTACGACGACGTATGCAGGGTGCAAGAATATGCCGGCGCTGCGACGTGGCCGACTCTGCGTAGCGCCCTCTATCACGCTCGACGGAAGAAGGGGGTTTGGAAATGGTGCGTACTCGAGTTCCAAACGTCTCTCGACGTAGCCAACGTTGGGGGAACAAAGCTACTGCGCCGAGGCGTGTTGAAGGTGCATGAGTATACTGGGAGTGCGTGGACGGTACCACGAATGTCGGGCGCGGGCCATTCCTCGCCACGCGGTCCACAGCATGCTCTCACGCCAACTGGAGTTCTGATGGAGGAGGTGTGTACGAAGGGTGGGGGACAACGCGGGTGAGTACTTGGCTTCCATCGATAGATGGCGATCGCGCTCGGCAAGAGTTCGCACGCAATCGTAAGAGGTGTTGTGCTGCATTTTAGAACGGAGGCGCATGCACGAGGCTCGAGCGGTAGCGTTCACGTGCACATGTGCGGTGCTGTGCGGTGTGTCCTGCGCGATCGCCGATGGATGGTTTTCATCTGTCTTGTCCAGGAGAAATGTTTTGTTTTTACAGGACAGCGTTCAGATCGTACGCCTCGCGAGCCTGTGTATGAGACTGTTGGTCAGCGTCCCAAAATCCGCGATGACTCTCGAAGCATACAGCACATCGGATCCCGGCACATACCATCAGCTTGTCCGATCTAGAATCGCCAAGATTTGGCCGCTTTCGACCCGATTTGACCGCAGAAACGGATTTTGGCCGGTTGACGGTGGACGTCGAGACATGAGCACGAAGGAGTCCAGCGATGAGAGACCCCCCGGCGGTCCTCTCGTGGCTAGCGGCGTCGCTCCCCTCCTTTCGTCCGCATTAATGCCGATCGCGCCCCAGTATCGATCGCCACTTTTGCGTGCACGGTCATCGCGGTTCGTTTGGACATTTTGGCTGTGGTGTTCGGGCTTTTCCGAGGGCCGCTTTCACCCGCAATAATCGGATCGGACGATTGGAGGATATGTCGGGTCCTGGGAGCATCCGAAAACGCAAGGGGTAGTTTTCACCCCTTGCGTTTTGGCTTGTTTCTGGTGGACAAAAGGCAGACTTACGGTTGGCAAGCGCTGGAGCGCCAGTCGAGAATGTACATGAAATGGAAAATCTCGCAAGTCTCCCGGAGACTTGGGGAATTGGGAGACAGGGGAGAGTGGAGAGACAGCCACAGAAGATACACAGGTCTTTACGAAACCTGCCAACCCCCCCGTCGTCAGCGGCACCATTCCGAGCCCTTCAACAACGCGTCAAGCATTGCGTGAATATGTAGTCCGTCATATTCAACACCGTCAAGTGAGTGTGCTGGCGCCCCCCAACGCACCACACACTCCGACAGCATCTATTCAGCACAGTCAATGGCGAGGGACGCTCCGATATATGTGATTTCTGCACCAGTCTCAACGTCAAGCATGCAGCATTGTTCGCGATCGCGTTCACCCTGATGCGCTCGCGATGGCATCGCTCTTCTGGGTCGGCGCGCGGATACAGCGCTTGTGTTTGCAACTTTCTTGCAGGTGATCGCTAGAGCGCTAAAGACCCACCGGTGAGCGCTGAGGGATGAGTCTATTCAGAAAACCCCCGCGGGAAAATAAACCCCCTTCCCCCCGGAACTGCTGAAGAGAAAAATGAGAAGACGGAAATACCATGAAAGAAATGTCAATGGGCGCCAACGACGGCGTCAACCACTGACACGGGCTACCGCGCGTCATTGCTCACCGTGTCGTACAGGGTGGACCGCGTCGGCGTCGTCATTGGAGAAGATGAGCAATGGCCGGTCATCGAATTTACGTGTGTACCATCTCTCTGACTCTGTACGACATGATGCCCACTTATACAAAGTTTTTTCAGCTCACCTTTACAACGATGGGACACCACTACTCGACGTGGTAGGCAATGAGCGTCACCCGATGAACGACATGGGGTACACCGGCCCACGCTAGCACCCGGCCAATGCGTGCGCCCCCACCGAGCTCGACGGCGGACCCAGGAGACCGCTGTCGAACATTGACAGGTGAGCGTCTTCGACTTTTTTCAGAGCCATCACGAAATTACCAAAAGCAGGGGGAGTTTCTGCGTCAACTGGATTTCTGAATAGGCTAAATCCACCGCTGAGATTCATTCGAACAATGTTCAGGACACCGAGTGTGGGCTGGAGAACGACAGGATGATTTTGTAGAGCGTAGATTGGGCTCGCTTCTGACGGGAGGAAGATTCGCGCGGATCCCGAGTTACTGACCAAGTGAGGAAATAAAGCCGTGGATCGCGATGCGGCAGCGACAGCAACGGACAGGGAAGTTCGGAACGGAATGCGCGCGCGACGGGACGCTGCTCGGCGGTGGAGGCTTGAAGGGAGGTGGCGTCGGGCCAGCGTCGAATGAGTTGTGGGTGACGGGGTGCATCTGAGATCTGAGATGTTATCAGACGGGGGATGCCGATTCTTCGTCGTGGCGGAGGAAGGCGGTCAGCCGAGACGGACGGTGTCTGTAAGGGACAGAGCGCGTGAGGGCTGGGTACGGGAGACTGATTGAGGTGAGATAGTCCGTGTCCCTCGCACCTCCAGACACGGCCATTTCCGCATTCAATTATCTCTCGTGATGCCCTCGCACGAACGGATCGGCCTCTCCCATCCTTCTGCCTTCTCCAACTGACGCTTGAATTCAATCTGACAGATCATATCCTCTTACCCACCCCCCGCGACGTAGTCTACTCCATACTCCGCCACTTCTCCCACCATAAAACCGCTCTCCAGGCCGCTCACATGCCTCCATAGCCCCCCTCACAATGCGCGGACCAGGAGAGTCCAAATTCACCGTGGCCATCTGGTGCGTCGCCATCGTCTACCCTGTTTATGCCGATACTCACGCGCACGCGTCGCCCAGCGGGGGCGGAGTCGGCGGGCTCACCTGCGCCGTCGCTCTCGCTCGGTACCCCGACATCCACGTCGACGTCTACGAGTCTGCCAGCGAGTTCGCCGAGGTCGGTGCTGGCATCGGCATGTGGCCCCGCACCTGGAAGATCATGCAGGCCCTCGGCCTCCATCGCGACCTCGCAAAGATCACCGACATCTCCCCCGAAGAACAGCTGAGTGAGTGTCATTGTTCCTGTCGGAATCTTCTCCCTCCGTCGAATATGCCTGCTGGAACCAGGTGCCCAGCCGCCGTGGCGGGCGTGCCGTCCGACTCCTCTTCGTCGCCATTGATGAAACATGCCGTATGCAGCGGTGAATTTACAATCCGTGCAGTCTTAAACCCCCCCTTCCCTCCCTTTACACTCAAATGACTCTTAGTCTACCGCGTGGGGGCTACTGCTGTCCTGTTCTTGATGGCGTTCTACACCGCATGGGTAGTTGTGCCACTGTGCTGGCTCGTTCTTCTCGACATTTCGCCGTTGGTCATTTCTCCTTAGTGTTTCTGGTTTCGGCCGTGGGGGATCGGACACGATTTATTACCAATAAGTTGGCCAGTGACGTATTATTGCCTGTCAGTTGTCGCCGCTAGCTCTTGATGTATCTCGGGGGTGGTCTGGTCTGACCTATGCAGAGGGTTCTAGCAGGATCCAATCAGCTACTAACCTGCCTTTGTCTGTTTTGCACTACTGCAGAGGCGGCATTCACCTTCCGCAAGGGCGACCAACCAGAGGGCCTCAGTTTCTACACATTCCGCACCCCAGGTGGCCTCATCCCCTTTCATCGCCCCGACTTTCAGGCCGTCCTCCTCCGCCACCTCTCCCCCAGCACGCGCACCTACACCTGCAAGCGCCTGGTATCGTACGACCAGCCATCGCGCCCCGGCGCCCCGCTTATTCTCTACTTCGCCGACGGCACCACGGCCACGGCGGACGTCCTCGTCGGCGCGGACGGCGTCAAGTCGGCCGTGCGGCGGACGGCCATGCGGGAGCTCGCGCAGGGCAAGAGCAACGCAGAGGCGGCGCAGCTGCTTAGCGCAGCCGAGCCGCGGTGGAGCGGGACCTGCGCGTACCGCACCACGATCCCCACGGAGCTCATCAAGGCGCGTCTGCCGGGGCACCGCGTGCTCCGCGAGTCGTTGATCGTGCGTCTCTCCCGCCTCTCTCGGTTCCTGCGCATATCCTCACGCCCGCCTAGTATTTTGGGCAGGACACGGTGCGGAGCGTCCCGGCGTGCTTGGTATCCCCGTCTCACGTCTCCCCCGCAGCAATTCACGATATACCCCGTCGCGCGCGGGACGCTGATCAACCTCGCCGCGTTCCGCGCGCGGTACGAGCTCGAGGACACGACGGTGGACGGCGCGTGGGTCGAGGACGTGCCCCGCGCCGAGTTCCTCGACGACTTCCCGCAGCTCGAGCCCGAGATGCGGGCGCTCCTGCAGGTGCGCTGGCTGCGCCCTTTTTTTCGTGGGACGCCGGGACTGACGGTGCTGCAGCTCGTGGAACGGCCGAGCCGGTGGGCGGTGCACACTACCGCGCCGCTGCCGTCGTTCGTCTCGGGGCGCGTGGCGCTCCTCGGAGATGCGGTGAGCGCGCACGCCACATCCGCTCAGCCCGCGCATCCCTTCCGCTGACACGCAGACGCAGGCGCACGCGATGATGCCGTACCAAGGCTCGGGCGCCGGGCAAGCCATCGAGGTGCGTCCCCCCACCTCACACTCTCCCCGCGTTCGACTGACGTCGCGCGCAGGACGCGTACGTCCTCGCGGCGCTGCTGGGCCACGCGGGCACGCGCGCGCAGACGCTGCCGCGCGCGCTGGCGGCGTACGACGCGGTGCGGCGGCCGTGCGCGCAGCGCGTCGCGCGGGGTTCGCGCGAGAACGGGCTGCTGTTCACGCTGAACGTCCCCGGGCTCGCGGGCGGGCTGGCGGAGGCGGCGAAGCGGGTGCGACGGAATTGGGAGTGGGCGTGGGAGACGACGGTGGATGGGGATGTGGAGAGGGCGGTGGGGATGCTCGAGGGGGGGTGAGCGGCGGCGGCGGTGTGGTGTGTCGACTTGGGGGTGGGAGTGAGGCGCCTGGTGGTGTGCGCGTTGGCCTTTGGATTGTGCACTGGGGGGCGGGCTGGTTTTTATTATAGGTATCGTTCTGTACCGTGCCGATTTTTGGCTATAGCTAATGTTTATGATACACGCTTTGGAACCTCGTTATTTTCAGCTTATTATTATCGCGCGCGCGCGCGGATTCGTCGTGGTCGGTCGCCGGACGCGTCCTGCGGTAAATTTGTTGCCTCGGATTTTAGCTCGCCGGGAACGAGTTTCCCGATCTTGAAGACGTCGAGACGCCGCATGGTTCCACACACGACTCAGCGCAGCTAGGGGACGTCGACGAGAAGACGTCTTATCATTGGTCGAAATCACCAGGACAGATACAGAGGGATAGAGAGCAGCTTCTGTGCACGTCTGCTGCGGGGCATGCGCACCGAGGAGGGTTTGGATCTCTCGACGTCATGCGTCTTATGGGCGTATCCTACTTACCACCTGGTGCAGAATGAATCGATGACGGATGGCCAGGATACGAGGCCCTGCGCCTCCTCTTCAGACTGTAGACTCGTCGAGTCGTAACTCGAGAATTCTCTCCGCCTGGTGGCACGGCAATTGAAGAAGGACCGTGACCGTTGCCCGACTCGGAGATCTGGAGGTGCAGAAGGACGGGACGGTCATGCGTCCGGGCAGATCTTCGAGTAAGTACTTGATTCTGCGCAAGCCACGCGGCAGGCACAGTGAGCACAGGCTGCGGGCCCGTTGTTACATAGATGACCGGGACTGTATCGAGAAGCGCCGTTGGATCCTGTCCTGTCAAGGGGGGCCGAGGAGACGTCGTGCAGGTGAGCGCTTCGGCGCACTCTGTGTGACGAGACGTCTGCGTCGAACGCAACCCAATTGACCTGGCGCGCCACAGCGGAAATAGGCTGGACGCCGCTGCTCGCTGTCGCGGCATCCTGCCCCCCTCCGAGCGGTCGGAGATCGGGAGGATCCCGACAAAGTCAGAAAGCGAATTCGAGCGCGTTGGGTAGTCGAAATCCTGTATGCAGACCCACCTGGAGTCCGTGGCACATAACACACCCAGACCAGTCAGACGCGGATACCCCGGTGAGGCACGAAGGCACAAGCAGAGCAGCTGCACTGCCTTTGGGAGAGCACCAGTACTTGGAACCAGAGTCACGCCCGATGGCACCATCCCCGCCGTAGCCACAGGACATGCCCCATGCGGACGCACAACGTTAACGTTCTCAATTGAAGGCTAACGCCCAGGAAGAGATCAGACGCCCGTCGATCGACTCGCCCAGCCCGGGATACAAAGTAGACCCCCTAACCTAACTTCCAAAACGCGGGTGGCTCGCACGCGAACCTCGGCACGCACATTTCCATCCTGGGCTTCATACTCTCCATACCCACTGCATTTGCCAAACACCTCGCCAAGTTTGGTATAATCCGCCCGAAGTCGGTCAATTTTGGCGGGGTACAGGTCCCGAGCACTCTTGGCACTGAAAGCGCCTCGATGCAATTGATATGTCGGGGATTTGTCCGTAGTGTAGATCTGAGCATAAATGATGCTGTCTGCCCGGCCCATAGTTGGACATTCCATGCGAAACCCAGCGAGATCGGTGAGCTGCGCGACTTGATCCACCTGAAGGGCCCGGCTGCGTGCCATTTGATCAATCCTGGCCACGGATGAGTTTGGAAAGAGCTCCTCCAGGACATTCCAATGACCATCCTCCAGCCACTGTAACACATGGCCAGGACAATGGACTTCCAGGGCCACATCGACATACCACTCACCTAACTCCATATTCTCGGCGTCATAATCTCTGAGAAGATCATTCAAAGACTCCTCCCGGTCAAATCGGAATGTTCCATTGTGCATGGTGGCATCCTTTGTTCCACGACATTCATGGACGAAAAAGGCGCCCTTGAGATCCCGATCCTGATCGCATCTTCGGATAACCTCCCTTCCAAACTCCTGAATGTAGTGTCCAGGCACATCCACAGAGTGGTGATGCAGCTGTCCTTGCCTATCCTGAGCCTGCGAAAAAGCTTGCTCGTAGCTGACAGGCCAATGAGAGACATTGGCTGGCAGGATTTCATTGATCGTGGGACGAATGACCTTATTGTATAAGTTTTTAAGGGCTGGCTGGGGTACGCGTCCTAGACCACCAGATACGTAGAGCCGTGGGAAAAACAATCTGGTCTGAGTGTGATTGGCCAGCTTCCCAAATAATATGTTAGGGATCTTGTGTAGCTGAACGGAACATTGACCCTATGATCTGGATTAGCATAGTGCAGACTGCGACCAAAACCACTCACCTCCGTGGTCTGTATCTTCACAGCCATGTGAACACTGGTGGTGAGTGTTTCTCTGAATGAGGGGATTGGAAACGCCGCCAGCTGTGATATGTAGGGTAATGATCGGGAAATACCCAACAGGGAATCATAGTCTCGACGAATGGTGTATTTATCCGATGGGGGGGCAGCAAAGCCCTGGCGAGCATTGACGAACACGTGCCATTCTGAGTGGTTGACATATTCTCGACCAGCCAACATGAATGTTACAAAGTTCTGGACTCTGTATTCATTGTCTTCATCTTCCAAGATTGCTTTGGCACGGTTGACAAATTGATCTAAAGTTCTCTGCGAGGTTGGGAGCAGCTCGTCGGGATAAGGAGGCATTTTGGCGATGTGGGATGGGAGCATTCCTCGACCTGTTTATATGCAGGTGGCTTCCGGCTAGTGAATGAAAAACTAGTTTCATGGTGATGGTGATGCCGATCATCAAAACTTTTAGCATGGCGGATGTTGGCTTTTCCGGCTACTGTGCACTACCGGAGGAGACTGGCCATTGCCGACGGCCGCGGGGGGGCTGTGCTCCGTGCGATTGAGTGGCTGAGTCATGCGGCACAGAACGTTCACCTGGTGGATGCAGGTGGCCGTCCACGACAGCCACTGGTGGTGTAGCCTTTGGCGGCGCCCCCTCGCTGCGCTGGAACAGCTAGCTGAGCACCCGCGCAGCCATCAGTGACGGCCATAGCTCTGGGCCCATCGCATTGATCAGTGACCAGTTGGTTGGCAGGACACGCGTGGCCGTCCGCGACGGCCAAAGCTGGTGTGGGCAGTAGCTCAAATGCAATGTAACTATTTTTCTACGGAAAGAGTTGGGAATCTCTTACTTCTGAAGCAGCATATAGTATCAGGTCGTTGCAATGCTTTAAGGATGGGTAGGGTGCTGATTGAATGCCGTAGAAACTTGAGCAATAATTCTGGTTATGGTTCGTGCAATTGTATCTCAATTTCAGCCGGGCACTGCATATAATAGTCATCATATTCGTAAAATTCATAACACTGTTGTCAAAAAATACATGCGGTGCGACGAGAGGAGACAACAAGGCAGGACGACAAAAACCGAAGATGTGCACGACCCTTCTCACTTCCCGCCTTTATGCAGCTTGCCCCTTTTCTTATCCTTAGGCAATTGGTCGAAGGTTGTGGGCTGCTCGTTTTTGCGAGCCTGCTTCACGACTTCGGCTGAGGTTCTCCGCGTACTCCCTCGAGTGACGCGTCGGGGAGGCTCAGGCGCCGGCACCGGCGGCTCGTTGAATTCTTTGATGGAGTCTTCATCCGCCAGTGAACCTATAAGGAATGAGATAATGAATGAAGTGAGCGATGAGACTTACTGAGTTCGGAAGGTGGCTGAATGGAGTCCCGCTGCGAGAGGTCCGGGGTCTCAGACAGGTTGACGTTGTGGCCGAGCTCGAGGGAATTCAACGAAGGGGAAGTGGGAGGCGGAGGAGATGGTGCGGTGAGAGTATTGTCGATGTTCATAGGAGCCTCCGTGGTGGACGCTTCCTCCGGCTGAGCCGATCTCTTTGCCACCGGCTTGGGTACCTCCTCTTCCATGCTCTTGCGGTCCTTACGCTTCGTGCCCGCATGGACCATCTCCTCAGTCGCGGTTGGCTGAGCAGCCTTGCGCCTGTTCTGGTACGTCACCTTGGGAGTCTTCGAGGGGACAGGGGCTGCTCCAGAAGTGCCAGGGGTTGGTTCATCGTCCTCTTCCTCTGAAGAGCTGGGAATGACCGCTGAGCTCTTCGCTGCTTGTGCCTTCTTCCATGGCTTGCACTTCCCTTAGGGCAGATCCTCCAGCACCTCCATGTCAGAGTTGTGGACGTTCGCCTGCTTTTGCTGAGGCTTGGGCTTAGTCTTCAGCACCTTGGTCTTCAGCGGCGCCCTGGGCTTCGGCTGCACCCTGGGCTTCGGCTGCACCTTGGGCTTCGGCTTGGGTGCCTTGGGCTTCGGCTTGGGTGCCTTGGGCTTCGGCTTGGGTGCCTTGGGCTTCGGCTTGGGTGCCTTGGGCTTCGGCTTGGGTGCCTTGGGCTTCGGCTTGGGTGCCTTGGGCTTCGGCTTGGGTGCCTTGGGCTTCGGCTTGGGTGCCTTGGGCTTCGGCTTGGGTGCCTTGGGCTTCGGCTTGGGTGCCTTGGGCTTCGGCTTGGGTGCCTTCGATGAGCCATCCTCGTCGGGTTCCGACGGATCCTCGGTGTCCTCATCGGAGTCATTGTCTCCGGACCCAGAGTCATCATCTCCGGACCCGGCGTCATCGTCGCTGCCCACAGCAAAGACCTTTTCTGCGGGAGGGTTAGCCACAATTCATATTGAAATCAAGTCACTTACTGATCACCGTACTCACCCTGATGAAGCCTTGGTGCATCACCGCCTTGTTGAATGCGATGTTGTTCAGGAAGACGTCTGGCATCTTCACCGCAATAATCCTGTAGACGAGGACCGGCTTTGCCTGCGGGGGCCGATGAACCCTACCGATAAGCTGCTCGTCCTCCTGTGCCGACCACAGAGTATCCTGATGCGCGTCCATTAGTTAAATAAGCAATGTGAATGACGCAACGATGTACCACGACAATCAGATGGTTGGCGCACACGATGTTCATGCCTGCCAGCCCAACACCCGACATGATCATGACGCGCGGTCTGTCTCGATCCGCTGCCTTGAACTCCTTCAGGCTGACTTGCCTCTGCATGAGAGTGATGTCACCATCGTACATGACATACTTGATGCCATAGAGGTCCAACACCTGCCGATCTGTGAGTAAGACATGAAAATGGGGGATTAGGTACTCACCGCCCCAATCAACAGCAAGTGGCTGGGGAAGTTGATGTATACGACAATCTTGTCGGGGCTCCCGGCGACCGGATGAAACTCCACGTAGTCGGGGTGGTTCTCAAGCCCAGGGCCAGTGACCGCCAGCGGTGCAGCGCCGTCGGTCTCGAGATGGTGCTGCAGGACCTCAACCAACATCTCCAGCTTTTTGGAGGGCTTGTTGCGCCAGTCCTCCAAGGTCTTGGGGAGTTCGTACTCGAACTCGTGGTTGCACCCCGGATGGGTGAGCGCACGGCGGATGTTGAGGTAGAACAACTGAAAGAAAATTTTATTAGCATCGTGACACGATGGTCTTGCACAGCCGTCGTCGACGGCCGCACGTGTATGGAACACCAAAAATTTGGTCAATCCATGCAAAAGGGTGTGGCATCGTGACACGATGGTCTTGCACAGCCGTCGTCGACGGCCGCGCGTGTATGGAACACCAAAAATTTGGTCAATCCATGCAAAAGGGTGTGGCATCCTGCACAGCCATCGTGGACGGCCACTGTGTGCACCGAGTCCAAAAGTGTAACCTCGCACAAGGAGCGCTCCCTCCCTGCGCGGCCGTCGCAGACGGCCACAGCGCACATGGAAATCCACAGCTGCCAAGCCTGGAGCAGTGGCGCCTTCCCACAAGCTGGAGGAGGCGTGCACAGGGCGGCCATCCGAGACGGCCGCGCACAATACCCGATGCGAAGAGAAGGAAAATGCTCACCTTCCCCAACGTGTACTTCGCCTGCTTCACCACCACCCCATCCTCGATCATCTGCTTCGCGATATCGTCGAGGTTGTCCAGCTCGTACTGGTGCAGATCAACGACAAGAGGGAGATGGATATACGGGGGCAGCCCGGAAATGGGTTGCCCCTCATTGTCGACCGACGCCTGCGTCCGGCAGATGACGGCGCCCTGGAAGCCATGGCGGATCACCTCGATCCACTGGACAACCTTCTCCCATTTTTCGCTGTTGTTGATCATCGCGGCCGCCTTCCCCTTGCCATGGACGATGTTGAGGATGTGGGTATCTTCCCCCGACACCTTCAGCACTTTGCGATCCCATCGTGCCGCTGCCCGAATCTCTTGCTCCATCAGCAACGTGTTGTCATCGTTCTCGATTGCGAAGGCCACAAGCTTCAAGAGACGGCCCATGTTCCACAGGTCCTGTAATCTTGTCAGCAGCTGAGAGCGGGTACTGCCTATCCGAGCACTCACCGTCGGGTGCATCATAATCGGAGTCGCCATCAGCACGATCCTCATCGCACAAATCTCCATCAGGAACCGTGCCGCGATGTAGGTCCAGTTGAGCGTCTGGATTTCGTGCCCTTCGTCGAGGATGAAAACTCCCCATTTCATCGCGAGCAAGGTCAAGGCACCGTGGGTGGCGAAGCTGAAGTGCTGCACCAGCACATCCCACTGCGGTGTATTGATCGTCAGAGTCACCTTGGCATCGTCCTGCAGCACCTGTGTCCATGTCGAATGAAAGCCCAACTGACCAGAAAATTGTACTCACCATAACCGACGCCAGCAGAATTCTGTGGCTGGGATCGTGCAGCGACTTCGTGTACACTTCCTGCCACCAGTTCTCCCGCGACTTGAGCTTGTTTAGGTACAGCACAACGTCGAAGTCATGCTTCAGCAGATACCACTTGATCTCGGCCTCCCATTGGGGGATGAGATTGGTGAGCACAGCTATGAGGGACAGTCGTGCATCGAAGTTCCCATCGAGCTGCTCGTTTGAGCACATCTGGCACTTTCCTGTGTTCCAGTCAGCATGTGGCCATCCACGACGGCTGCAGTGCTCACCTGCAAGGGTCCTGCAGCACCATCTCGAGACCGACGGTGCTGCACCACTGGCGGTCACTGGCCCTGGGCTTGAGAACCACCCCGACCATGTGGAGTTTCATCCGGTCGCCGGGAGCCCCGACAAGATTGTCGTATACATCAACTTCCCCAGCCACTTGCTGTTGATTGGGGCGGTGAGTACCTAATCCCCCATTTTCATGTCTTACTCACAGATCGGCAGGTGTTGGACCTCTATGGCATCAAGTATGTCATGTACGATGGTGACATCACTCTCATGCAGAGGCAAGTCAGCCTGAAGGAGTTCAAGGCAGCGGATCGAGACAGACCGCGCGTCATGATCATGTCGGGTGTTGGGCTGGCAGGCATGAACATCGTGTGCGCCAACCATCTGATTGTCGTGGTACATCGTTGCGTCATTCACATTGCTTATTTAACTAATGGACGCGCATCAGGATACTCTGTGGTCGGCACAGGAGGACGAGCAGCTTATCGGTAGGGTTCATCGGCCCCCGCAGGCAAAGCCGGTCCTCGTCTACAGGATTATTGCGGTGAAGATGCCAGACGTCTTCCTGAACAACATCGCATTCAACAAGGCGGTGATGCACCAAGGCTTCATCAGGGTGAGTACGGTGATCAGTAAGTGACTTGATTTCAATATGAATTGTGGCTAACCCTCCCGCAGAAAAGGTCTTTGCTGTGGGCAGCGACGATGACGCCGGGTCCGGAGATGATGACTCTGGGTCCGGAGACAATGACTCCGATGAGGACACCGAGGATCCGTCGGAACCCGACGAGGATGGCTCATCGAAGGCACCCAAGCCGAAGCCCAAGGCACCCAAGCCGAAGCCCAAGGCACCCAAGCCGAAGCCCAAGGCACCCAAGCCGAAGCCCAAGGCAGCCCAAGCCGAAGCCCAAGGCACCCAAGCCGAAGCCCAAGGCACCCAAGCCGAAGCCCAAGGCACCCAAGCCGAAGCCCAAGGCACCCAAGCCGAAGCCCAAGGCACCCAAGCCGAAGCCCAAGGCACCCAAGCCGAAGCCCAAGGCACCCAAGCCGAAGCCCAAGGCACCCAAGCCGAAGCCCAAGGCACCCAAGCCGAAGCCCAAGGCACCCAAGCCGAAGCCCAAGGTGCAGCCGAAGCCCAGGGTGCAGCCGAAGCCCAGGGCGCCGCTGAAGACCAAGGTGCTGAAGACTAAGCCCAAGCCTCAGCAAAAGCAGGCGAACGTCCACAACTCTGACATGGAGGTGCTGGAGGATCTGCCCTAAGGGAAGTGCAAGCCATGGAAGAAGGCACAAGCAGCGAAGAGCTCAGCGGTCATTCCCAGCTCTTCAGAGGAAGAGGACGATGAACCAACCCCTGGCACTTCTGGAGCAGCCCCTGTCCCCTCGAAGACTCCCAAGGTGACGTACCAGAACAGGCGCAAGGCTGCTCAGCCAACCGCGACTGAGGAGATGGTCCATGCGGGCACGAAGCGTAAGGACCGCAAGAGCATGGAAGAGGAGGTACCCAAGCCGGTGGCAAAGAGATCGGCTCAGCCGGAGGAAGCGTCCACCACGGAGGCTCCTATGAACATCGACAATACTCTCACCGCACCATCTCCTCCGCCTCCCACTTCCCCTTCGTTGAATTCCCTCGAGCTCGGCCACAACGTCAACCTGTCTGAGACCCCGGACCTCTCGCAGCGGGACTCCATTCAGCCACCTTCCGAACTCAGTAAGTCTCATCGCTCACTTCATTCATTATCTCATTCCTTATAGGTTCACTGGCGGATGAAGACTCCATCAAAGAATTCAACGAGCCGCCGGTGCCGGCGCCTGAGCCTCCCCGACGCGTCACTCGAGGGAGTACGCGGAGAACCTCAGCCGAAGTCGTGAAGCAGGCTCGCAAAAACGAGCAGCCCACAACCTTCGACCAATTGCCTAAGGATAAGAAAAGGGGCAAGCTGCATAAAGGCGGGAAGTGAGAAGGGTCGTGCACATCTTCGGTTTTTGTCGTCCTGCCTTGTTGTCTCCTCTCGTCGCACCGCATGTATTTTTTGACAACAGTGTTATGAATTTTACGAATATGATGACTATTATATGCAGTGCCCGGCTGAAATTGAGATACAATTGCACGAACCATAACCAGAATTATTGCTCAAGTTTCTACGGCATTCAATCAGCACCCTACCCATCCTTAAAGCATTGCAACGACCTGATACTATATGCTGCTTCAGAAGTAAGAGATTCCCAACTCTTTCCGTAGAAAAATAGTTACATTGCATTTGAGCTACTGCCCACACCAGCTTTGGCCGTCGCGGACGGCCACGCGTGTCCTGCCAACCAACTGGTCACTGATCAATGCGATGGGCCCAGAGCTATGGCCGTCACTGATGGCTGCGCGGGTGCTCAGCTAGCTGTTCCAGCGCAGCGAGGGGGCGCCGCCAAAGGCTACACCACCAGTGGCTGTCGTGGACGGCCACCTGCATCCACCAGGTGAACGTTCTGTGCCGCATGACTCAGCCACTCAATCGCACGGAGCACAGCCCCCCCGCGGCCGTCGGCAATGGCCAGTCTCCTCCGGTAGTGCACAGTAGCCGGAAAAGCCAACATCCGCCATGCTAAAAGTTTTGATGATCGGCATCACCATCACCATGAAACTAGTTTTTCATTCACTAGCCGGAAGCCACCTGCATATAAACAGGTCGAGGAATGCTCCCATCCCACATCGCCAAAATGCCTCCTTATCCCGACGAGCTGCTCCCAACCTCGCAGAGAACTTTAGATCAATTTGTCAACCGTGCCAAAGCAATCTTGGAAGATGAAGACAATGAATACAGAGTCCAGAACTTTGTAACATTCATGTTGGCTGGTCGAGAATATGTCAACCACTCAGAATGGCACGTGTTCGTCAATGCTCGCCAGGGCTTTGCTGCCCCCCCATCGGATAAATACACCATTCGTCGAGACTATGATTCCCTGTTGGGTATTTCCCGATCATTACCCTACATATCACAGCTGGCGGCGTTTCCAATCCCCTCATTCAGAGAAACACTCACCACCAGTGTTCACATGGCTGTGAAGATACAGACCACGGAGGTGAGTGGTTTTGGTCGCAGTCTGCACTATGCTAATCCAGATCATAGGGTCAATGTTCCGTTCAGCTACACAAGATCCCTAACATATTATTTGGGAAGCTGGCCAATCACACTCAGACCAGATTGTTTTTCCCACGGCTCTACGTATCTGGTGGTCTAGGACGCGTACCCCAGCCAGCCCTTAAAAACTTATACAATAAGGTCATTCGTCCCACGATCAATGAAATCCTGCCAGCCAATGTCTCTCATTGGCCTGTCAGCTACGAGCAAGCTTTTTCGCAGGCTCAGGATAGGCAAGGACAGCTGCATCACCACTCTGTGGATGTGCCTGGACACTACATTCAGGAGTTTGGAAGGGAGGTTATCCGAAGATGCGATCAGGATCGGGATCTCAAGGGCGCCTTTTTCGTCCATGAATGTCGTGGAACAAAGGATGCCACCATGCACAATGGAACATTCCGATTTGACCGGGAGGAGTCTTTGAATGATCTTCTCAGAGATTATGACGCCGAGAATATGGAGTTAGGTGAGTGGTATGTCGATGTGGCCCTGGAAGTCCATTGTCCTGGCCATGTGTTACAGTGGCTGGAGGATGGTCATTGGAATGTCCTGGAGGAGCTCTTTCCAAACTCATCCGTGGCCAGGATTGATCAAATGGCACGCAGCCGGGCCCTTCAGGTGGATCAAGTCGCGCAGCTCACCGATCTCACTGGGTTTCGCATGGAATGTCCAACTATGGGCCGGGCAGACAGCATCATTTATGCTCAGATCTACACTACGGACAAATCCCCGACATATCAATTGCATCGAGGCGCTTTCAGTGCCAAGAGTGCTCGGGACTTGTACCCCGCCAAAATTGACCGACTTCGGGCGGATTATACCAAACTTGGCGAGGTGTTTGGCAAATGCAGTGGGTATGGAGAGTATGAAGCCCAGGATGGAAATGTGCGTGCCGAGGTTCGCGTGCGAGCCACCCGCATTTTGGAAGTCCTGCACACCTTCGAAGATGACTTTATTCAGTCCAATGTCATTGCCTACGATGACAGCACATGGTGGTAAGCAGGTCCTCTTGCAGTATCAGCAGCACTCTGAATTTGCATAGGCAATTTAAATTCTACCGGCTGGCAGCATTGAATTATGTTCTAGGCAGACTTAATGAATCTCTGCCAGCCCAGAGAATATGGATCCCGTCTCTTATGCTTGGTGCAGCAGTCATTTGGATGGCCAATGCCCTAGTATCAAGGCCGGGGGAGTGGAAGATTGACAAGGAACTCAGCGATCAGTGCTCCCAATGGTACGACCCTGAACAGGATTCGCATGATGATGACGATGATGAGCTAGGAGAGAATCTTGAACCAGTGAGGGGAGCACGTGGGGTCTACTTTCTCTCCGACATTCAAGACGATCGGAGCACTTGGAGACTGCCCGGCACCAGACTCATGGAACAAGCACAACTCCTCGTACTGTATGGGGCATTGGACATGGCCGAGTTGAGCTGCATCATGGGCGCCGGAGTTGCCGTTCACAGGATGGAACTCGCAAACAAGAGGTGCATGAACAACCGCACCCAGCACACTTTATCAGTGCAGTACATTCAGCCAGACCTGAATCCCGCACAGCTCCCGGAGTTTAGGCTCAGGACCTGAGGATTTGTCCTACATCCAGAGATGCGGATGCGAGGCCTCGATGTCTTAGATGGACCTCCGTCAGATGAAGAGTCTGATATTGACAGGGTGGCACAGCGCATATGGTGACAGTTTCCAAATGATTTGATTCAAGTGTCTCCCAATTACAAGAAACGCTCGGACGGCCCTTACACCACTCTCACATGAACCGAACAGGACAATGCCACTGCCGAGGTCTTCCTGTCCTTTGAGATCCCTTTTCATGAGTTCTATGTCCGCTACATGTCACAGGAACATTGGGACACAATTCTGTTTGACCGATTCTTCCCCCCGAAAGGCTACGTGCCCACTAACAGGGTGCAAAACCAGTCTGGGTGCAAATACTATGCCGAGTATGTCTCTTTCATGAATCGTCTCAATAACAAAGCTGCGCGGGCGGCTCGGCAGGAACTTCGTGTGCTGTTCAATCAGCTTGTGTGGGTACCTAATATGCTATGCGACCGTATTTGGACCACGAAGCCCATGCGAGGACGCAAATATTGGCACTTTCCTCCGGGTTCCGGGTTTGCTCCTCAGATTGCTCTCAACACGCACATGTACCACACGAACATTATTTCCATCAGGGCAGCCAATCCTGACTGTTACAAAGCTCCTCTCTGAGGAACACGCGGACGACTTCCGCCTCTACCTTTACCGATCACGTGACAATGACATCACAGAGCCTAGACTGACCATGTGACAATGACGTCACTGACCACATGACCATGATGTCATCATGGTCATCACCCTTATCTATCCGGCACGGATCTACCTGATCATCTGATGATATGTGCCTTGTGCTCAAGGCATGTTTACCTCATGTGCGAGATCCAGACCTAGGACGCACTTCCTATCACACATGCGACAAAGGCATGTTTGCCTCACCTTTGCCTTACCCTTACGATACAGATACCGAACCTCATGGGCATGGCCCTAGACCCTGATACATGCGCTAGACGCACGACGACCTCGCTGCTGCCTTGTCTTTGCAGCACGACCTATTCCCCATATGGACAGATTGTCTCTCACGCAGAGTCATGACTGACTCAGCATTCTCACGACCGTGGGACAGGTATATGAACCCTGTGCCCTTGTATTGATACCGATGGACCAATCGTAGTTCTAGTATTACAGGTAGACAGACGCCGCCTGTACTTGTATATAAGACCGACAGGACAAGCTGGAGTCCCCATCTTGTCCTGGTTACACATCAACCAGTTTTACCATCTACATCTGTGCGACGAATCGACCTTGGTCCGCAGACAGCGGCCAAGCGTTCATAAGACTGCTCCACTGGGCCGACCTCTGGTCATCGCTATAACTGGAGGTCGGACCCCTCTCGATTGACTTGAGACCTTGCAAAGGCCTAGTCATTAGATGACGAACCGGATGTACGGTGGCGCGACTGGCCCCCGTGACACTGACACTGATATAGAAGTTGATTCGAACAGCCCCGCTTGCCGTGACAGCTCATCGGAGGTTAGCGGCGCTGTGAGTGCCCCTGATGCAGCTATTGGACAACACGGGTCACACATCAACCAGCCTTTGGGCGCAATTTTCCACCAATCCCTGCCCCCTGCCCAATCGCCCCCTCCCATGCCATCGCCGCCAGCTGGACCTGACAGGATGGAGGAGGAAGTGTCCTCCCCTTATCAGCTGGATTCGCCGCCAGCTAACAGGATGGAGGAGGAAGAGTCCTCTCCCGTAAGGCAAAATCAGAGACCACGCACTCCTGATTCACCTTCCCCTTATCGTCATGCTCACTCTCGTAATGGAATCGTTCCCGGTTCTCGCAATTGATAATGGAGGGCTATTGCGCGAACAGTTGCCCAAAGCTAGGTAACATTAACTACATCCCATTATGTACTTAGTCATCTGCTACTCCCCACTCCGATCAAATAGACACCCAACTTATGCAATTAAATAGACAACCCTTTGTGTTTATAAGTGAATACTTCTCCATGACACTGGCCAGTCAGAGCCCTGAGCGGCCGTCGCAGACGGCCACCTGTGGAGTGCCATCTGCAATCAGCAGGTGACGAAGAACAGACATACCAGCTGGATCACGGATGGTATTCCTGCATCAGAGCTGCATCTGCGCGGGGGAACAGCAACAGCCAGGGGTGACGGCCACTACTGTTCCTGTGTTTCGAGCATGCTACCGCGAGTGAGTTTATAATAGGCCAGCATGCAGCACACTAAACGGCCGTCGTGGACGGCCACCGGTGGAGTGCCACCTGCAATCAGCAGTTGATGAAGAACAGACAGCTCTGACACAGGATATGGCAGTCCAGGATTGCAACCCGTGGTCCAGTAGCTTATGCTTGTGCTAAGGAACAGTAACGGCCGTCGACAACGGCCACTACTGTTCCTGCATTTCGAGCATACCACCGGGAGTGAGTTTATAATAGGCCAGCATGCAGCACACTAAACGGCTGTCGCGGACGGCCACCGGTGGAGTGCCACCTGCAATCAGTGGTCGCATGAGCACAGCCATATGCAGAAATGGATATGGCCGTCCTGGACGGCCGCCAGCAGTCTGACCACCTTTGTTCTGTCCATCACAATCATGCAACCATCTGTGTTGGGCCATTAGTGATAAACTAAAGTGGCCGCCCGAGATGGCTGGCATAGTGGTTGCACTGTGACTGTCCAGAAACTAATCTGACTAGAATAAGATGGAATTCTAACCTCAAAAAACATGATTTATTACAGATTCTCCAGTGGTGCTATATACTTGAGCTATTAACCAGGCTCTAAACCTGAGTAAAGTTCTTGGAGCAAATTTGTACTTTCAGTTACATTCATCAATGATTATTTTTAGCTCAATTTAAAAAAATAATTGAATTGTTTTTTTAGCCTATAGTGCTCACATTTACGATTGGCCATAGTAGTTACTCAAGTGATTGTTATTCAAGCACACAACAGCTCAAAGCAGGCTCACAGACTTAAGATCAGTCTAGTTCATTAAGGAAGTCATGATTTCCATGATGCTATCTTCTAAGAGGTCAATAAAGACCTTAGTTAGAACCATACTTGAAACTTGTGCTCAGCGCTCGCTCTGTCCGGTGGCGTCGCCAAGACATACATATGCTCGCTCTCCCGAGGAAAGCGCATTTAGCAGCGTCCAGGCCAAATACACCCCCTCGCTAGTAGCTGCATCGGCGGCGGAGGAGGCAATGAGCATTTCGGCAACATCTTCGCCCAGAACGACAGCGCTGACCAAGTACTTGAGCGTCGGACGAGTAGGTCCTGCAGGTGCACACGATGGCGGAGGAGAATGTGTTGTTATTCACCGGCAGTCGATCCCTGCAGCTGGGAGTATTAGAACCGATACTTGGCAGAAAAATTCGCCGACAACAACTCCAAGATCCTATTGTCTATATTCGGTAGACACGTTCCCTAAAAGGACCATCCGGCAACATCCAGGCAGGTGCCAGCAGGACCTCCACTGGACTACAGCCGAAAGCTTGCACGGACAATTGCGAGGTAAAAAACCAAGATACTATCGCAAGGACATGAAATCAAGGCCAAAGACGGCTCCTAACGGTAGTACAACCCCTCTGGCATCCTCATAGCCTTTCTGGGGGAAAAAGCCTTGTAAGAAAAAGTTTGGTCTGGATAAAATTGCAAAGTCGGAGAAGGATCGGAGTTATTTTCCTAAGGTGTTATTTGGGCAAAATGAGGATGTAGGTGCGCTACCTATCGAATATTTGGTACCGCGCGGGTCGAGCCGAGAAGTATTGGAGCAAATATTGGGTGATTTCCACGATTTTGATTGCATTTTGTGCCGGGGAGTCGGGGACAGACCTTTGCGGAGTTGCCCTGTGCCAGCATCCGTTTTACGACGCGTCAACTTAAGGTTGCCGACTTTTCCATGCTCTGCGGGTCCGCGGCCGGGGTGTGTAACTGAATCAACGTAGATTGCGCACAGACTTCCAGACACTCGCGTACATGGAGTCTATAGAAGTTAGTCCTATCCCGCATCCTTCCCTTCTCCTCGCACCAATAACGTTATCTTGACGCAATTGCAGGAATTTAATGACACTCCAAATGAACACCGCAACGACGCATACGAACACCTCCTCGAGTGTCAGGATATACATGTTGTGGATGGATGCCACAGTCGACTCCGCGCAGTGGAAACTCGATGCATTGCAAACGCTTCACGCACGCTTGGTCGCGCACTGCGCACTGGTCTCCTCGCTGGCCGCACCGATCAGACTCATCTCGGAGGACCTCCTTCTGCGCATTCTCACATACGCATGGCCTTGCACGATGAAGGACAGGCCACAGTTCACCCTGTCTGTCGCGTCTGTGTGTCGGTCTTGGAGAGAGGTAGTGATTGAGGCGTCCGAGCTTTGGTCGACGATACCCATTAGTATCATTCATCCGTGTCTCCCCAACCTCCGGCTTTTCATTGAGCGTTCGCGCTTGCATGGGTTAGAAATCAACCTCCACTCCCTTCGATACAAAGACTATTCTGAAAGTGGCAATTTATCTTCACGGGAGGAACAGGAGCACAAAAATGTGGTTGTGGTACTGAAACTTCTTGTCCCTCATCTCAATCACTGGAAGTCCCTCTCGATATGTCTTCCGATCAATTACATAACTCAAGTGCTTGCCTCTATGGAAGGACCCGCCGATCTTCTCGATGAATTATACGTCTTCCCTAAGGGTTCAATGTATGGCTTCCTGAAATCCTCTGTGTTCCCTGCTCATTTCAAAGCTCGGAGATTAACCATCCTGGATTTACATGGTATACAATTCCCCGAAACAGTGGTTTTCCAGGATGCTCTTCCTGCATTGCGAACGCTCAAGCTGTCATATGCAAAGATGCCAGGTCGAAGGAGTATGCTGCAGATGTTGGAGCCTTCGTGTCACCTCGAGCATCTCGAGCTTGTAACACCACAATTCGTCGCTCGGTTGGGCGTTGATTACTTTCCGAGAGTTGCCTTGGTGAAACTGAAGTCTCTTTCATTCGGTTAAATCCCACCCGACGAAGTTCATGCACTGTTGTACTGTTATCCCATTCCCTACGGGTCTCCCACTTCCTGCAGTTTTGAGGCCCCCCTTGTCGTGCAACATTCCCAATTCTTTCCATCACTGCGTACAGTTCACATCGACATTCCGCATCGTTATTCGAGCAGACCTTTCGTCGTCACCTCGCGGTGTATCCAAGGTTTTCGATGTGTGCATATCGATTCGTTCATGCGCCGTGACAGCGACGAGTTCGCCGAATGTGTGGGTGACACGACGGGTCGGCTCTCGTTTCCTGGGCTATCACCTATGGTCATCCACAGCAAGCATAAAGTTTCTGTGCAGCTGCTCCGCCGGGTGGTACAAGGGCGCTCTCCAGCAGGTCCAAATAATACGCAGGATGGTGATAGTTCACCCTCAACCGTTGAAGAGGTGAAGGTCTATGCCCCGCACAGCCTTCCTGCAGAAGACCAGGAGTGGTTCGAGAGGAACTTAGAAAGCTTCTCGTGGTCATTGTCGGAGGACGGGGAACATGACTTGCTCACACTTTGCTTCGTGTCTGTGTGAAGAGTCTCATTTCTATTAGTATGCTCTCAGTGGTACTGGTAAGCATTATATATCGTGGACATTTCATAACCTAACTGCTGTTCTGTATACTCACCCTCTAGGTTTACTTGCTGTCTGTCGTGTTGTCAATTTTTTTGCCGAATTTCATCCTGCTATGAATGCACATGCTCCTTCATGATATGTGAGGCAACTCGACAATGTCTGACAGAGGTGACTCTTCAAGCTAAATATGCACAGGGAACCCCATCTAACCTCCCCAGTGGATCGTCCTCATCAACTGTGTCCCTTGCAAGTTCGAGGACTTGGTTTTACCTCATGCGTTGATATTACAACCTCTGTCCACCATGCAATGCTCAGGATGACGCGTGCATGAATGCCCCTTTCGTCTCACACCTCCAGGCGTGACAGCACCCGCAGATGCGGGCAAAGTTGCAAATCACGCTGGATTCTTCCCGCTTCGATATCTCTGCGGGAACCCTCTAGGCAGCTGGCTTTAAGTTCCTTCTGTCAAATCGCGTGCCCTCGCAGAACCTAGTCATCTGGAACCCTGATCACTCGACATCACACATTATAAACTACTTCCCGCGTGCAGAACTACGGATGGTGCATTGCATGGAGGCAAGGCCCTGCACCTCCAGTTTACAGCGCGGTGACATTGCCGGTTATCGCATCCTTCTCCTGTCTGGTGTACTTCCAGCGTACATCTGATGGACAACGTATGCATACAAATCTTCTTCTGCCATCGCGTGCTCCTGCAGGACCTAGTCGTCCGGACACTTGAATGCCAGGTCAGTCCCGGACTCGCAGTTTTTTGGGTATCAATCGCATGGGCAGAGTTGCCGCTCGCTCGAGACGAGGATTATGATGGAAATGGGCCACGATTGGCAAGTCCCCAGCTGCAGATACACGAATGCTGAAAGGGTATACTGTAGTGCTGTTGCCTGAATGCACATTATCTCGATCCTCCATTGCCAGTGCAGCTGGGCGTGGATTCGGCCTGGATGTGCTTTCCTCGGGAGAGCGAGCACATGTATGCCTTGGCCGGGTGGCAGTATGATTACTGACATGGACAGCAAGCAAGGCAGCCCTATGGCAACCTTCAATGGCCCATCGCTGTATCCGGGGCAGCTGCGCGACACATCCGAGTTACGTCGAGGTCACGTCCGCAGACACAATCTATCGACATTATCATGCATTGCCCTCTCAGAACAACGTTGTTCACATGGGGCACGTCCTGTTGTTACGTTAGTACTTACGGTGAGGATGTAGCTGTCCGAGGTGACCGGTGACCTCTCGTCCAGGTGCGCACCCTCAGACTTCGACAACTGTACAACCTGCTTGTCTTTGTTCGCTCTGAGGGGGGGCAGTGGGCTGACGGCGAGCAGCGGCGACCGCACAACTCCGTAACTTGTTCACAAAATCCATATCCCTGCCACGAGCAGCATTTAGGTGCTCCGCGGGGGTTGTGCAAAGCATTGGATCTTCCCAGTAAATGTATGACTCTTCTGTACCTTCTCTGGCAACGATTCCTACAGGCCAGGTGGAGGCAATTAAGCATCGCTATGATGCACAAGTCTGTCAGAGTCTGAAGTGGATACTCTCCATTCGTTAGGCCATCGTCCGTCCATCGCTAGGTCCTCTTCTCCGCAAGTGCCTGTAAATGCACTGCTGCCGGGTATGGATGCCATCACTGTTGGGGAATTGTGGAAGTAGACAGTCAGACTCTTAAGATCGTATCTCAGTCTGTGTTTGGTAGCCACGTTGCTTAATAGGATCCCGAGCACGTGCCAGCACACATTTTCACCACGCGTCTGGCTTCAAAAGTGCTGAGTATCGAAAATCCAGGCTCTCACCAAGGTGTGTAACTGTATGCGTGCATAGAAGTACATATGAGTACAAACTGACCTTTCTTTGCGGGCTCATTAAAGGCAGGAAGGCGGCCTTAGACGTTGGTGTGCTAGGATCATGGATCGAGTGTCAATAGAAGTCAGTCCTCTACCCCGTTCTACTTGCATTGACAATGTCATGACCCGTCCGCAGGAACTCAATGATACTCCATACGAACTGCGTAGCGACGTATACGAACGCTTGCTAGAGTGTCGGGATGTCCATGTGCTGAACGTCGCAGTCAACCGGGTGCAGCGCAAACTTGACATGTTACAAAGGCTTCACTCGCGCTTGCTCGCGCACAAGGCTCTGGTCTCCTCTCTGGCCGCACCGACAAGACTCATCTCGGAGGATCTCCTTCTACGTATTCTCACGTGCGCATGGTCTTGCACGGTGAAGGGGGACCGGCTACAGTTCACCCTGTCTGTCGCGTCTGTCTGTCGGTCTTGGAGAGAGGTAGTGATTGAGGCGTCCGAGCTCTGGTCAACTATACCCATTAACGTCATTCATCAGTGTCTCTCTAACCTCCGCCTTTTCATTGAGCGTTCGCGCTCGCGTGGGTTAGAAATCAACATCGACTCCCTTCGATACAAAGACTATTCTGAAAGTGGCAATCTATCTTCACGGGAGGAAAAGGAGCATGAAAACATGGCCGCGGTACTGAAACTTCTTGTCCCTCATCTCAATCACTGGAAGTCCCTCTCGATATGTCTTCCGATCAATTACATAACTCAAGTGCTTGCCTCTATGGAAGGACCCGCCGATCTTCTTGGAAAATTCTCCGTCTTCCCCAAGGGGTCAATGTATGGCTTCCTGCGATCCTCTATGTTCCCTGCTCATTTCAAAGCACGGAGATTAACCATCCTGGATTTACATGGTATACAGTTCCCCGAAACAGTGGTTTTCCAGGATGCTGTTCCTGCATTGCGAACGCTCAAGCTGTCATATCCAAAAATGCCAAGTCGAAGGAGTATGCTGCAGATGTTGGAGCCTTTGTGTCACCTCGAGCATCTCGAGCTTGTAACGCCAGAATTCGTCACTCGGTTGGACGTCGATCACTCTCCGAGAGTTGCCTTGGCGAAATTGAGGTCTCTTTCGTTCAGCCATATCCCTCCCGATGAAGTTCGTGCACTGTTGTCTCTTTTTTCCGCCCCGCACTTGAAGTGTTTGACGTACCATTCTCCCAATTCCTACGGGTCCAAGGCTCCCCTTGTCGTGCAACATTCCCGATTCTTTCCATCACTGCATACAGTTCACATCGACATTCCGCGTCGTTATTGGAGCAGACCTTTAGCCGTCATTTCGCGATGGATCCAAGGGTTTCGATGTGTGCATATCGATACGTTCCTGGGCAGGGACAGCGACGAGTTCATCGAATGCGTGGGTGACACGACAGGTCGACTCTTGTTTCCTGGGCTATCATCTGTGATCATCCGCAGCAGGTGTCATGTTTCTGCGCAGCTGCTCCGCCAGATGGTACAAGGGCGTACTCGAGCAGCTCCAAGTAACGTGCAGGATAGTGATAACCCACGCTCAACCCTTGAGGAGGTGAAGGTCCATGCGCCGGATAGCCTTCCTCCAGAAGATCAGGAGTGGTTTGAGAGGAACTTAGAAAGCTTCTCATGGTCATTATTGGAGGACGATGAACATGGTTCGCTCACACTTAGCTTCGCGTCTGTGTGACGCCTCCCATTTCTACCAGTACGCTCTCCAGCATTAGTGGTACTGGTAAGCATTATATATCGTGGACACTAAATAACCTAGCTGCTGTTCTGTGTACTCGCTTTCTCAGGTATGTCTGCTGTCCTTCGTGTTATCGAATTTTTGTCCAATTCTATCCTGCTGTGAATGCACGTAGTCCTTCACGATCTGAGGTGACTCTATGACGTCTGACAGCAGTAAATTCACTCTAACATGCACAGAGAAGTTCCCTGCTGGAATATCGCGCACTCGAAGGCCTAGTCATCTAGCGCGCATCGCTGGGTCGACTCCAGAATAGACCTCTGCAGCCGGGTCGCAATCACATGGACGAAGCCGTTCTTCAGAGATGAGAATACTGGCGGAAATCAGCAAGTCCCCAATGCCACGAATTCGGGCGCGAGAGAAGTCATGCAGTCCTCTTGGTATACACATCGCATATAGCCACCATCCAACGATGCAGCTGAATATGGATTCGGTGACTGTCGTGTGTAGTCCCGTCGACGCTCGTACTCGTGTTACCGCCGTACCACACAGCACAACTTCGCGAGCTCAGGGACATCCGGACGAACTCGATTTGTCCCGGTGCGCTTTCTTTGGGAGAGTCGACTCCTGTACAGCTTGGCGACGCGAACACATGCGGTGATGAACAGCAAACTAAACAACGACACTCGAAGTCGACGCTGTATGCTCCGCGTCGAGTTGCGTCTCGACGTGGCGCCTGGTGGATGCAAAGCACCATCAGTCGACACACGCGTCCTCAGCATGTTCCGTTGAGAACAACTGATGTCTGGAAAGAGCATGCGCGTGTGCTCTTGTATGACGAGAATTTGTGACCTCGTCGAGGGTGCAGAGGTAAGCGATTTCCTCTCACGTGCTGCGCAATCTCTACTGAACGCACTCCCACTTGTCCAGCATGGTTGCGGCACAGGAGCTGGAGCCACTGGAAGAACGTCCCTGTGAGCTTTAACATGGCGATCTGTATTCTCACCAACTTGTTGTGCTCCGTTAGTGCTACTTACCATTACATCATTACTTGTACTTCCACTACAACCAAATCCACGTACGGAAGGGCTTTTATGGTCTTCCATGCCCTCGTCATCAACGTTCGTCGTAGGCCCGTCGGGGAGCTGTGTCCTAAGTACATGTCATCGCCGGCTCTGCCGTCCTCAAGCACTGCACCCCCTTTCCGTTTTTCAGGTGTCTACGTCTTGCAGTATAGGGACGTATGCATCACAGCCTAGTTTTTATAGCTTCTATAATATTTGGAAGATAAAAAAATTCCTAAACAGATGATCGGGCAACTTCTGAGTGACATCGACGCACTTTCATTGGCCCTTAGCGAGCGACACTCTCAGTTTTGATCTTTGTGAGGCGCTTTATAGTGTGTTGTATGAGCATCTTATAGTTTTGCTCACCCTGGTTGTTCTTTCCGGTTTAATGTGGAAGGTGACCGCGGCGTAGCCTCAGACGTTGGGTTACCAGATTCACGGATCAAGTGCCCTATCCTCCCTCTATTTACATGAACAGCTGTGACGCACTGGCGCTGTACAGTAGTATATTTTCCTCGCTTTTACGTTTGGAAGGGACATTACCTAAATAGATCATCGGGCAACTTCCGGACCACGTCGTCGAAGTTCAACCTGTGCTTCCTCGCCGCCCTCGGCACTCTAAAATCTACTCTTTGTGAGGTGTGTCTTATAATGAGCATCTCAGAATTGGTTCGTACTGACTTCTCTTGCTGCTTTCATTCAGACAGGAAGACAGGCTCAGACGTTAGGTTACCGGATTCGTAGATCAAGTGTCAATGGAAGTCAGTCCTACGCTTCACTTTTCCCCAATCAATTATTCACATTAACGACATTATGGTACAGGTACTAGAGGAAATCAACGAAGGTCCGTATGAACTGCGCAAAACGGAGTTCTATCGTTTGCTCGAGCACTAGGACCTGGACGCGCTGGACGTTGGGATCGATCGCGCGCAGCGCCAGCTTAACGCATTGCATACTCTTCATGATCGCCTACTTGCGCGCCGTGCTCTGTTGTCCTCGCTGGCTGCCCCCATCAGACGAATCTCGGAGGACCTCCTCCGACAAATCTTCACGTGTGCATGGTCCGATACGGAGACGTTGGGTCGGCCGCAGTTCACCCTGTGTGTCGCATCTGTGTGTCGGGCTTGGAGAGAGGTTGTGATCGATGCGTCCGTGCTCTGGTCGACTATTCCCCTTGACATTGCTCATCCATCTCCATTTGCCTTGCCCCTGTTCATCCAACGTTCGCGCTCACGAGGGCTAGAAATTGACATCCACTGTTCAAAGCACCCGTATGCCTCTGACAACTCTGAAGATGACTATGACTATATCCCTTCCACTGACTCTGAGGATGAATCCGATGTTGAATCCTCTGATGTAGAGTTGGATAACCGGTCGGACGCGGAGCCGGATGATCGGTCTGAGGCAGCGTCGGACTACAAATCTGATGCAGAGCCAGACTACAATTCTGATGAAGAGTCGGAGGCAGCATTTGGCAAAGACCTCATTTGGAGAGACAGAAGGCACTTAACCAAGATCTTGGAGCACTTCGTTCCTCATCTGCATCGCTGGAGGTCTTTGTCAGTTGTACTTCCATTTCCTGATGACCTGGAAGATGTAGCTGCATCGCTGCGAGGACTTGCCAATATTTTGGAGAAATTGCACATCTGTTACTTGCCATGGGGTAGGGGTGGGAAACCGGTTTTCTCTTTTCCTGCTCAATTTCAAGCTCCAACGCTGCACACCTTCGAGTCCTCTCATCTACCATTGCCCACCAGTCTGGTTATCCCAAGGCTTTTCCCTGCACTGCAATCACTTAGACTGATTGATGCCAGACCACTACTAGATGTGTCGGGTCTGTTTCGGGGATTGCAGCCTTTACAACACCTTGTGAGCCTCAGCCTTGAAGGAGGACATATTAGAAATGCCCTGCAGGTTGATGATTCTTTGAGGGTCCATCTGGCGAAACTGGAGGTCCTTGCAGTTGCAGATCAATCACCGGCGGATATCTCTATTCTTTTCTCCATCTTTACGGCCCCACGGATGACCTGCTTCCGCTTCAAATCTCCATCTCCTTCACACTTCCGGGGTCCGCTCATTCCACAATGCCCACAACACTTTCCATCACTCCATACCATTGAATTCGTTCTGGAGGGCAGGTTCAGCATCCATTATCCAGTTATCTCAGAATGGATCTGCGATGTTCATGTCCAGTGTGTACGCATCACCTTGCCTTACCACACTTGCAACATAGATGCGTTCCTCGACTGCATGGTAGTAAGAAGTCAGTGCTTTGTTGGATTGTCATCTGTCGTCATTGACAGCTCATGGGACTCTTGGGATCGCCCCGAATCTGTCAAATTACTTCGTCGCATGGTACAAAATCGCATCCAAGGTGGGACTCCTCACCTCGAAGGCGCCGGTATCGGGAAGTCGCCTGTAAGGCTCCAAGAGATTCGGGTCCACACCAATATCGAGCTTCCCCAGGATGATCGTGAATGGTTCGAGGCGAACTTAGATCGTTTCGAGTGGTCACAAATACGATTGACCACGGGTAGCTCGGTTATCTTGTCCTTCGCGCGTGCTGGCTGTGATTTTCTGTGAACATCCAATAGGTCATAAGCCAATAACTATATCATGACAGGTAAGCATTTTGATTCGCAAGCGTTACGAACTAACCTCCCTTTTGTTTTCCTGATACTAGGTCTGTGTTATAACTGCGCCCAGGAACTATTCAGTTAGCCTTGTATTTCATTGTGTCCTGAGAGCGTATGCCATAGGAATATAATGCTATCAGCCGTCAGCGCTACAAATCCAGTTCTCAAACGACATGTGAGCTCAAGGGAGTCGCGTCGCGCAGCGACAAATTCCTTCCACTCAAGTAGGCTCCGAGCACCACATGCTCTAACTTCGGAAGGTTGAAACCTATGTCAAGAGCAAGCGTAGGAAGAGCAGTATTTCAGAACACTACATTTCCTTCACGGTGACATAGAATGTGTATTTTTCCCATAATACTAGAAGGTTACACTGATGCTACATCCCCATTAGTCGACGAACGACATCAATATACTGGAACATGAGACCACCTAGACAGTTATCTTTCAGGCGTGACCACGGATAGGTCTCGGCTCATATCTGCACGAATGATCAGTATCCATTCAAGGATACAACAACGCAGACGTACGGCTCCTCAAGGTACGCGATTTCCTCCGGGGTGAGGTCCACGCCCTGCACTATCGCCTCCTCCAAGCGCGAGACAGAGCTGCAGCCTACAATTGGGCTGGTAACTTTCGTCTGGATCCACGCCAACCCGATTTGCGCCATTGCGACGCCTTTCTTCTTGGCAAGTTCCTCTACGCGGGAGATGATGACCTTGTCGGACGCCTTGATCTTATTCTCGAAAACTGTTCCCTTGGCAGCCTCTGACCGGGTGGTTTCAGAACCGAGCGGACGTGCGAGTGCACCCGCAGCCAGAGGAGCCCAGGGGATCAGCCCAATGCCGTTGAAGTTGCAGTATGCGATCATTTCACGTTCCTAGTACACGTCAGATGCTATGTCGGATGACCGTAATGCAAGTGCGAACCCACCTCCTCGCGGTACAGCAATGAGTACTCATCCTGCATGCTGACGAATTTGGTCCAGCCCCGCTTATCCGCGACCTCATTCATCATCGCGAACTGCCAGCACCTCATAGAGCTCGCGCCGATATACCTGACCTTTCCGCTCTCGACGAGGTCGTGCAGCGCCTTCATAGTCTCCTCCACGGGAACGGTGTCGTCAAAACGGTGAATCTGGAGGAGATCGATGTAGGTGGTGTTCAGGCGCTTGAGAGATGCTTCGACCTGCTTGAAGATCGCGCCGCGCGAGAGGCCGGACTGGTTCACATATTGCGGTAGCGACCTCAACTGAGGATTGATGGAAGTGCGCACGCCGACATCTTTGGCGACGAGGCCATGGCACTTGGTCGCAATGATGAGTTCTTCGCGGGGGATGTTGTACTGTAGGGTCTTCTTCAGGAAACTCTGCCCGAATTGGTTCATGCAGAACAGACCTGTGCGATAAACTTGGCAACGATACGCTCGGATTCACCGTTGGAGTATACATTGGCTGTATCGATGGTTGTGACACCGCGATCCCAAGCAGCCTTCAAGAGAGGGATTGCCCTGTCCTCGTTGATTACCCAGGGCTGCAAGTCACAAATGAGACACATCGGGCGCAACAAACGAGGACACTCACCGCCCATTCGGAAGACCCAAAGCTCATAGCCCCGAGCTACAGGATGTCAGGAGCATCCCGAGCGAGGAAATAAGACACTTACAATGGGCACAGAAACGCGGAGACCCGACTTACCAAGCTGGCGATATTCCACCATTTTGAGGGTAGAGGACATCTGTCGAACGTACTGCTATTGTGGGGGGAAGGTGAGGCTTTGCCGGAGAGCCGTGCATAGCGATAGCTCTGGCAGCGGTTATAAATGCTACACCCAAGATCTTCGAAGGCTCGATAACACACGATAAATGAACGCGACGACGTCGAATTCCGGCAGCACTCCGAAGTAAATCCCAGTGCGAGGGTCAGGAGGGACGTCCACCGTCTGCCCGAGCCTCGGATTGGCGGGTTCCGCGGCCCGACGCGTTCGTGATGCCTCCGGCATCTCGGCGTGCGCGCCCATTCCTACCAGCTTGCCTCTTTCGACAACATGTACCAGCGCTCATTTCTCTCCTTGTCTAGCATCCTTCTCAGTTGAGACGAACTTATCCAAGTTGAATAACAACGCACCTTCTGGATTTTACGCTCCCAGTTTCCTGCATATCTCTGCTCTGTTGCGCAGACACGAAAATTTTTATTCACTCACTCACTTCGTTATAGGATCTTTGATACGGCGGAGAATACTCCTACCTCACGGCACGGACGATATGCATTAAATGCATTGCTGCTCCCCGGAATGTCCCATGGTGAAGACACTGAGAGTCCAAAATCGAAGATTCGTGCACCTATCTTGATGGTCTCTGATATTGCGATGAATTCTAAAGACATCGTCATGGGCCTCCTGGCGCCTGTCTCTGATCAAGCAAATACTTACAGACCATACCCGCTCTGTCAGTTTTTTGTACCAGCAACGCTGGTGCGAAAATGACCTTTTCTTTTTCGCTCCGGCACCGCAGGTGTGAAATAGCACCTCCACTGCGATATCCCTGGCAAAAGAGGCGGAAGGAACGCACAGACTCCTTGCGCAGCATATTCACACAGGCGTAGCATGTGCGAAGCGGCGAACACCCGCTTCACAGCCAACCTTTCGCACAGCGTGAGCGGGCACCAGTTCATGCAGTACTTTCGTAGATTCGAACGCCTGTTCGTCCATGGAAATAAGGCCCAGGGCGACCAATCCCTTCCGTGCGCGTGTCTCCCCGTGCGCCACCTATCCCGCTGCCCAACAACTACTCCATGCTCCACAGCTCATCCCTCACAGTCAAAGTCTCCCAATCCGGAAGCCGGAACAGCCCGGGCAGCTGCTCCCACACCATCTTCCTACCCTTCCTGATCGCGTTCTCCACCGTCACGCAACAAGTTGCGCACAGCGTCAGCGAGCGGCCCACCTCGCTCGCATTTGCACCACACCACTGGTGGTACGCCTCCGCCCCCGCCGCCTTCTTCAGTGCTGTCCTGGCAGCGTTAGTCAAATTCGGCGTGCACTGATTCCCGCTCTGGCACCCAGGGCGGGCGAACGCCGCATCGAGGAACGCCAAGACATGCTTGAGCTCCTCCTGGAAGAGCTTTTCACGGCCGTGCACGAAGTCTGCCGCGACGTCCCAGTGCACGCTGGAGTCTACCGCAAGTGTGCGCAACGTGTGGAGCGCGTCTTCGAGAGGGCGTCGGGATAGCGCCAAGTAGATGGCCGGGAGGATCACGCGAATGTCCGTCTCGAACGCGAGTGCGATGTACGCGCCATGCTCGCCTTCGAACGGCGGCACGAGTCTTTGCGCGTCGCGGTCATCCCACCGGAGCAGTGTCGACGGGTACGCTGTGGCGAGGAGGTTGACTGCGCGCTGGCCCAAGTGGCGCGCGTCGTATTTGTTGCTGAGGCGGAGGACCGCTGCGACTACAGGGAATTTGACTTTCATAGCTGCGCGGAAGTAGCTGTTGAAGAAGTTATCAGAAGTCAGTCGCATGCATCAAAAGGAGAACGTCCTTCAAGATGCTCACTCGAAGTAATAAATGGATTTGAGAAAGTGTCTCAGGTCTACCGCGGAGTCCTGCATCTTGACGACCGGGCATCCTTCATACATCTCCGTGCTCATACTCGTGTCCGAGCCTGGCGCAGGCTGTGGTATTGCGAGCATGATCTTGAAGAATTCGCAGTTCGCCGCTAGGATGGAACTGTGCACGCGAAAGGCGGTCTTCTCGGCGACGAGAATAATACTTCCATCGGCGTACCAGACGTCCGCGTCAGCACTAGGAGAGAAATCGCTGCAAGTCGTGAGTGCCTTCGAGGACTTGACAGTGAGTGCGTCAGACTTCTCGGTACTCATCGGAAGATGCGTGCTGCAATGGCGGTGGTTGGAGGAGGGGCATATATACGAGGCAGCCTAAAATTGCGCTCAAAACGCAGGTATCCGTAGGCTGCAGGGAACGCATGTTTCGTGCACGGAGCCTGTCAATTAAAGAATTTGATCTGTCAGAAAGAAGCCTCCGGCTCTAAGATGCGGAAGTCTCGACACCTTTATACCGCGCACAGATGGAAACCCGAGGCCATGAGACGTCATGTGCACGAGAGGGAGCAAAGTGAGGTGAGCCACTCACCATTTCTGTCAATACACTGGACAGTTTCGATGCTGTCGACAGTTTCGTGACTTTCGTCTTTTGACGCGTTTGGACAGCGTCTCGATATTTCTGGGTTTCATGTTCAAGGCATTCTCACCGGGATTCAATCGCGTCGGCGTATGGGTCTGGTCATGCCATGACTCAGTGATCCATTCGTTGGCAGGTATATGCATACTTACGTCTACACTTGATTCCTCCAAATATTACCGAGCTTTGATACAATACAATCTATTTTACAGCCAAGGAAGTAGTATCGAAAGTCTAAGTGCGCTCACGCGTTCTTGTTGAACTCCTGCTGCATCTGGCCCTTATCCTGGCGAGCGTTCCCTGGGGCAAAAGTATCAGTCGCCGTTACTGTCGTGCAATGCATCACTGTAAAGCTTACCTGTCGTCTCCTGGGTGCGATCACCGGTGAGGGCGCCGACGACGGCGTCCTTCTTTCCGCCGAGAACGTCCATAGTACCTTCAGCGTAGCCCTTGGCCTGGGATGCCTTGTACTCGGCCTCACCGCCGGCGTGTTCCTCCTTCCCGGACTGTTGCCACGACGTGGCGCCGGTGAGGTTGCCGATGGCCTCGACGGCTGTGCCCTTCATCGAGTGATACTGGCCAGAAGCCTTGCTGCAGGGAGGGACAAGTCAGCACTCGGGAACACAGATGAATATAGAAGATATATGCCTGGGCTCGTTGCTGGAAGACATGGTGATGATGAAGAGGATGGTGGTGGTGCGGGATCAAGTTGGGGGATGGGATTCTGAGGAGCGAACGACCGTTCGCCGTCCTTATATACGTCCGTCCGGCGGTTTGGAACTCCGCGTACGGCGAGCGAACAGTGACGAGCGTCGGGGCTTCTGTGAAGGGCGTCGGGGACGCGTCGCGCCGTTCTGAGTCTTTGTGGAAGTGACGCGCCTGAGTGGATGACGTCACGCGTCAGAGATCCTGATCTCACCAATCTGAGCGCCTGTTGTAGACTAGTGGAGAACAGAGAACAGATGAATTCGAACCGACTAGTGCCAGTGGGCCTGAGTGACGTCGTGTGACGTCGCCCGACTTGCACCAAAAGCGCAGGTGGTGCGAGTGGGTGTGGTGTATGGGCGGCTGGACTATGGCATCGCGGCACCGACGCTCTATATAAACAAGTACTCGCCATCTGCTGGTCAGATTCCAATCCACTACAATTTTCTGCAAACTCACTACCACCGCCTTCCAACGACTTTGAACATATTACCATGTCTGACAACAGCAGCAATGGCGAGCCCAAGTATGTCCATTCGGGCATCTCGAATTTCAGTGTTTCGTTGCCTAGTCCACTTACTTTATCTCTTCTCAGCAAGACCACCGGCCAGTACCACTCGCTGAAGGGTACCGTCGTAGAGACTATCGGCGACCTCACTGGCGCAATCACCTGGCAACAGTCGGGCAAGGAGGAGCATGCCCAGGGGGAGATGGAGTACGACGCTGCCCAGGCCAAGGGTTACGTAGAGGGTACTGTCGACCGCGTTGGTGGAAAGGTCGATGCTGTCGTTGGCGCCGTCACAGGTGACCGCCAGCAGGAAGTGTCTGGTGAGTTGGGTGCACGTCGGATCCGACGGGATTGTGCTGAAATAACCATCCAGGTAACGTCCGTCACGACAAGGGACAGATTCAGCAGAAGGTTAACGAGCCCTCATCGTGAAGTCATTTCGCGTTGTATAGGGTTGTATTTGAACGATGTGCTTGCGTACTCTACATTTCGGCAGATCTCAAAGAATGTTGAGAATTTAGCAGCAGGAGTCGGGACGATTTCCAGATTCCCAGTCTCAGAACACACCTGCGTGCCATATTCATCGACCGCCACTGCAGATGCCCAAAGATAACCGAGTGGATCAGAGCCAACATGTAGATAGCAGCTATCCTGGTCATATACCGCGACAGCTGAGGCCTGAGGCCTGAGGACTTAACGAATATTCCTCAGCACCGGCTCGGAGCCAGTAAGTCATGCAGCAGCGCGAATCATGTCAAGAGTCCGACAGCAGTCCGAGTACCCCTGGCCTTGTAGAAAGAAGCCGTCACGAAGGTATACGTACGAGCACGAGAATTAGTCGTAACTTCAATGGTGAAGAGCAGGTGTGGAAGACATGTAGACGAGAGACGCCGGGAAGGGAGAGAAGCGCCCGACCTCGGGCGCTTCACCGTCTTTGCGCGACTCGATCCTCTCTCTTATTCCTCGTCATGACGGTGCCCTCATGAGCTTTATTGCAAAGATTTCTGCAACAAATTTGCACCAAGATGTGCCATAGACGACGTGGGAACAATTCGGAAAATTCACTTCTCCGCCACGCGCCTCCCGTCTTCTCCAAAGATCCTCCGCAGTCCTCAAACGGAAGCGCGCTTGTGCTCTGACACTCGTCTCACAGTGCTTTGACTACATGGCAGGTAAACGAAGGACTGTCCTCGTCACTGGGTTAGCGAGCTTCCAGATGTGCCATCCACCCCCACAAGCTCATGTGTGCTGCTAACCAGGTGCAGCCGGGGCAGCATCGGCGACGCGCTCGCTCGGGAGTTCCATACAAAAGGTACTTACTATGCCGGGTACCGAAAAGCACATTCATAGACAGACGAAGCAGGCTTAACGGTTTTCGCGGCCTCGCGCACCCTCGAGAGCATGGAGGGACTGTGCGCGCTCGGAATCCGCACGCTCATGCTCGACGTGACGGATATCGACGGGATCCGACGCGCGAAGACCGAGATCGCGGAGGCAACTGGCGGAACACTCGATATCCTAGTAAACAACGCGTGCGTCTCCTGTACGATCTACCGTGTTGTGACTGCTAATGGCTGTATCTTGTAGTGGGCAAAGTATACTTTCATGCTCTGCGTAATCACTTGCTAAAGACTGACCTGCGATGGTTGCAGCATATGTCCGCACTGCCGCCGACTACGATATGGCGCGCGTGCGAGCTCTGTTCGAGGCCAACCTCTTCGGCGCAATGGCTATGGTGCAGGAGTTCCTGCCGCTGCTCATCGCTTCGGGGGACGCCGTGATCATGAACAACGGCAGCATCGCAGGCTTCTTGGCCTCGCCGTTCAGGTCCGCATACAACGCGTCAAAAGCCGCGCTACACGCGTACTCCGATACCTTGCGCATCGAATTGGCCCCCTTTAAGTGCGTTGCTCTTGTGGAACTCGAGATCAGCGTCGAACTGATCACCTAATACGCCAGCATCCGCGTCGTGACCGTGCGTATGATCTCCTGAGGCTTCGTAGCGTCACTGATCCCACCCATACTTTCCCAGCTCGTGACAGGCGGCGTGAAGAGTAATATCTCACAACCGGCGTCGCTCCCCCCGGATTCGCTGTATGCACCTATGGCCGCGCTCTTCCAGGAAAGCTGCAGCCGTGTCGAGAGCGACGAAGGTGCATACCTTTCCTATTTCACCCTCTGCTTCGCGCTCACGATACCCACAGCACGTATGGCGACGGACGACTACGCGCGGGCCGTCGTTGCAGAGGCGCTGTGCGCGCGCCCGCGCCCGCGGCTCTGGGCGGGCTCGATGGCCTGGTGGATCTGGCTGGGGGACGCGCTGTTACCGCGGTGGGCATGGGTGGGTGCATTCTGATCTGTCGCTCCAAGTTAACTGATTTTGGGCGTGTAGGATCTGCTTTTGACAAAGATATTTGGGCTGGATGTGTTTGCGAAGATGGTGGCTTCAGAGAAGAAGGATGTGTGACAAGTTGTGTAGGTTGTATTTATAAGATGTCCGGATACTCGTGTCGTCGGACTCATGGTCTGTTGCTGGTCAGTGTGTTCATAAACACTTCGCTTCTGAAGGCGTGAATATGGTCGCTTGTCCTAGCTTCCGACGTTGTTAGATCCCAGTTAAATAATTGCAAGACGTAGATGCAATAGATCGCGCAATAGGCAGTGATCCCGATGTTAAATACTGTAAGTCACTGGACAGTCCGACTGGTGGCCTCTCCTCCGCTGTACATCTCTCGGACGTTCCTTCTACCAGATACGGCTTGCTTGTAGCTTGCCCAGCAAATGACAGATTTTGCTTCACTGTGAAATCACTGCTCTTCCCACACTTCTCAAAGTCCGAGGCATGCCCGTGACGACGTCTAGTGAGCCCAAGCCTTACTGCGGAGAACGGGGAGGACGATCGGATGCTGACGCATCCTCACAGGGAATAAATGGTGCGGCGAAAGGTAGCGAAGCCTCTCCCACGACTCTGGAAGTCCTCGTCTTCCGCACTTTGTCCAAAACTTTCAAGTTCAAGGCTTTGTCGCCATGACCGAGACGTTGTCGCTAGCATCAACCGTCCGTCTCTCCTCCGGTGAGTACTGAGCTGTGTTCGAGCCGCAGTTACTGATGCTATTGTCATGTCGCAGGCCACCTCATGCCTCTCCTGGGTCTTGGTGTCTACCAGAATAATGACTGCAGCGCCGCATGCCTCGCTGCCCTCAAGCATGGCTATAGGTGCGTAATGCGCGCTATTTGGCGTGGGGAAATGTACTAACATCGTGTGTGAAGACATATTGACTCTGCCCGCATGTACAAGAACGAAGCACAGGTCGGGAAGGCTGTGAGGGACAGCGGGATCCCTCGTGAGGAAATTTTCGTCAGTGCGTTTTGCTCGTTTCTTGTTTCTGTCAGATTTACCAATTACGCATGTCCATGCAGCATCCAAGATCTTTCCAAGTGAACATGGCTATGACAGCACATTCAAAGCCGTCGATAGTTCCCTTGAGCGGTTCGGTTTCGGTATATTTCTCTCCCATTCGCGTACTCTCCCATTACTCAAACTCAATTATTGACTAGATTATCTTGACCTCTTCCTGATCCATGCCCCCCTTTCCGGGAAAGAGAAGCGTCTGGAAACTTGGAGAGCGCTCGTCGACTGCAAGAAGGCAGGAAAGCTGCGGACGATCGGCGTATCCAATTAGTGCGTCTTCGGTCCACCTCACCTCTTTAATTGCAGTCACGTTTTTTATGTGGTTCCATTTTCAGCGGTGTGAGACACCTCGAGGAGATTCATGAAGCTGGACTCGAGACGCCCTCGGTCAATCAGATCGAAGTTTGTCTCGCTGCTAAATTTACTTCGTCACCGTTGACCATGTTCGCACAGCTACATCCGTTCTGCCAGCAGCAGGCCATTGTGAACTACTGCGACAAGCACAATATATTTGTGCAGGCATACTGCCCACTTATCCGCGGCAAGTTCAGCAACCCCGTCTTTCAGGAGGTCGCAAAGAAGGTATCGCATCACCGCTGTCTATGCTCCTTTCCTCTAATCCGAGCGCTTCTTCGTGCGCAGTACAACAAGTCGGTCGCCCAGGTCCTCGTCAGATGGTCTCTACAGCGCGGGTACGTACACCATTTTTTCCCGTATGCTACTTGAAACTTACAGGTCCCCCGCAGCTTCAGTCCGCTCCCGAAATCCTCCAGGCCGGAGCGAGTCGTCTCGAACGCGGACGTGTACGGCTTTGCGCTCGCCGACGATGACATGGCGCGCATCAACACGCTTGACCGCGGTAAGGACGGCGCGATCAGCTGGAACCCGGTGGAAGTGGAGTAAGCTGTGGATCACGCCCTTCCTGCGCGCGCCGCTGAATCGAATTGGACAGTGGATATTTTGGGGTAGTCACGGGTGTTGTCGGAAAGTGGGTGGAGAACACGGTCGGCGCCGTCTTGGGCCCATTCCGGAGATGACTTCTTGGTGGTATATTCAAGGCAGGCCCTGTCGTTTTCCCCCGAAACTGGAGATGCTGTGCATTCCGGAGTGGAGGACAAGTCGGGGTCTACTTCGTGCTTTGAAGAATATCGTGTCTCACGTGCGGAAACATATCGGAAGGAGGAGGAATTGTTATGTCTTATTCGCGGTAGAAATCAGGTCTAATCCCTACAGAGTTGCACAAGTAGGTATTAATATTTCGTTCTCTTGCGTTGTCTTCTCTTTGCCTATTTGACGCCTGTGCGTCTGCTTCATCGGCAGAGCTAGTATACTAGCATTAATCGACCTTCTTCTATTTTTGCGTACCGAGAACTGAAACAGTAGCTTCGTTCAAGCTTTATCTGCTAATTTTAAATCTTCAGCCTGTCAAAGGAGATGAAATATTCCAGCTGCAGCGTGAAGTGCATCTTTCTTCGCTACTTCGGGCAGGCATATTACCTGTTGTGGCCAACTTGATCGAAACCATCAATTAAGCGTAGTGGTCAGATACGGATAATATATCCTCAGGAACCAAGATTGAAGCAGAGTATCTTTGTAGAACCTGCCGAGACTACGGCGGCTTTCAGCATCTGCGACTTCAGGCGTGACCGTATAGCAAGCTCTCTGTGTGCAAACGCTGTGAGTATATATAACTTTCTAAGTCGTATCTTTACTCAGTTTCATTACTGACGAGACCAGAATGCCCAGGCCAGTTGCACTCGCAGTTCCTTGTAGCAATGACTTTGTTGTGGCCGCGTGGAGCCACCATCGGTTCACGAAGTATTGACAGTCAGTCCTACGTCATATCTTGGGTCCCTACTAATTCCCCTTACAACTTTAATCGAGGTTGTGGTGCCGATGAAGTCGTTCCTACGGTGGTCCAAAGAACGTTCGTAGACATACTGAATTGCAGACTCTTCATGAACAACTGCTCGAAGGATACAACACGGAATGGAATGTGATGGCTCCCCAAAGATAAACCTCGCACCATTGAAAGTACTCCATGTTTCATTTCTATCAGCTTTTTACTTCGTTGCAAACCCTAGATCGCAACTAACCGTGATCGACAGACGGCGTTGCGCAATTGCTTGATATGCCAGGCTGTCAAAAATTCCCCCGAAATGTTGGATGCGAGAAAGGCGACTATCCTCTTTTTTGATATACAGCTCGTAGTGTCTTCGTGTAGACTTCCTGGCAACTGTGCAAGCACGCGGTCGAGACTCTTTCCACGTTGATCTATCGGACAATGTTAACCCGCCCACAATTATCGAGAGAATAAACAGCTACACCGCTCAGAAGCTTTCTTCAGGCGATCACAAATGATTGTAGAGCAACCTGGATAATTTTGAATGGTAAGCGTTTGATGAAAGCTGCGGACAGTTGGATGGAACGGTTCTGTTGCAATGGTAGTCCCGGCAAGTTCTCATTGAAACGAACCTAGGAGTAATTGGGAAGCAGACCTTATAATTGTTCGGTTTCTGCACGTCTGGCCGTATGTTAGGATCTACAGTGCGGACAGATGCACTGCTCTTTTGTTCTGCGATATGTGTTATCGAATTACTCGTTGGGAACCTTGACTACACGGACGTCAGTTGATTCACAAGGTTCACGACTTTTTCACCCACTAGAGATAACGAGGAGCTGGAAGATCCATTTACAGCACGTCGTGGTCTCCGTTCCGATTCGTTTGGAGCCAAGAGCTGCTATACAAGAACTCACATCGAAGGCCCCGTGCTCCGTTGTAACGTTGCAGATACCCCTGCAGGGACTACGTGCCGTCAGTGTTAGTGATGAACGACGTTAGTATGCACGCCAACGTCGGTCTGATGGAAACCCCAGGATCCCGTACACTGTCGGGCGGCTGGCGTCGGTGCTGGATCAACGGTTCCCAGTTTCGCCCTGGAGCTCTCGCGGTCACCAGCCAATGACAAAGGAGGTATTTCACCTCATTGAATGAAGACCCAGGCGCAGCAGAGGTTGAAGTAACACCACATGGAGGACCTGTCATTGGTATCGCTACCCGTGAGCGTGACACTCCCAGAGGAGGAGCGGCTTTCCGCAAGCAAGCGTGTCTACCCAAGCACAATCGTTCGACCGAGGGAACAGCAGCTGGATCATGATGCATGACGTTAAGAAGGTGTGCACTTCTCGAATTCTCGAGCCTTCCCTTGGTAATCACCGAACTCAGAAGGTCGCCGGAGACGAGACGCGACTGGGTGGCCCAAACACGAGGGAACAAACGCCGCGAGGAACTGCCAACAAATTATTTTATCATCTACAACATGCGAACATTATGTGCTCTGAACAAAACGCTGCCTACACGTCCGTCCGTCGTGATACGTGATCATCCATGGTGCCACGCGGGCACAAGAAAGGAAGGTCCAAGAAACGCACACGCGAGTGCCACAAGCGCCACGGAGTGGTAGCGCACTAGCCCGCTGGGCGCTCGCCCACGCTCCTGGGTCGCGCGCCGGCGCTCTGGATCTGCTCGAGCGGCGCGCCCCCGCTCGCAGGATGGGGGAGATTGCCCATCCCGGTGCCGGGACGCCTGATTCGCTCGTCCTCCTCGATGCGCTCGCTGCTGCCAGCGCTCGCGCCCTCGTCTTCGCGCCCACGCTTGTGGCCGGACTGTGGGCGCGTGTGAGATGAGGTGCCGTCACTCGATGATGGTGGGTGGGAGAAGGCCATCGGACGCTGTCCGGGGATACTACTCGACGGAGGGCGCGACTGATGAGCCTGTTGGATAGTCATAGGGTGTGGGATGGTGGCGCTTTGTTGGGAGAGGAAGTCGAACCAGTTACTGTCTGCGTTCGATGGGCCTGCGTGCGCTGATGGGCCAGAGAGGACCGCGCCGCAGAGTGAAGTTTGTCATGCATGGAAGAGAACAGATGTGGAGGAACGTGGTTAGTTGTGATCGGCGAGGTTGTGGAGCTCGGACGTACTGGCGTCACGCTGCTGCTGCTGCTGCTGCTGGTGTACCGGCCAATCGAACGACGGGAATTGGTCTTGCGACTGGGTGTTCAGCAGATCAGCCGGCATGTGGTTCGGATGGGAGTGCTGCGACGGTTGCTGTTGATGAGGCTGCCGGTGATAAATATTCTGCTGCTGCGGCTGGTACGGGGAGGATGAGTGCGGTAGGAAGGTGACGGTGCGGAGTGTATTGGGAGGGGAGTGCTGGAGGAAGTTTGGGTGCGTGTTTTGCGAACCGAGCAACCCGGGGACAGCACTAGAGCTCGGATACAACGCGGCCATGGAGGAGTGCGGAGTTGCATGCGATTGTGGCATGGTGCCGAGCGTAGGCATACTGGGTGAGGTGTACTGGTTTACATCAACCTCGAGACGATACGGATACCCAGTCACTGCATTCACGCCCATCGCAGGATGAACCGACGACATGCTTTGCAACTCTGGGGCCCCGCCCGCGTTGAAAAGCCGCGGCCGCTTCGCACTGTTTATAGGAACACCACGCATGCCTGCTGGTGTTGCCGTACTGTGACGCTCGCCCGAGACTGGAATAGAGGAAGACGACGACCCGTTTATAGGTGATGTTCGCGCATTCCTGTAATCGAGCTATCATTTCAACACAGGCTGCGTCAGAGTCAGATTCGAGACATTGGTATAATTCTACACACGTCGATGGTCATGGCCGAGTCGGTATTTGTGGCAACGAGAGGACGGATCGGCACTGTGGCAGTTGCTCCGCTGCTGCCTTCACTTTTCACCTTGTTCTGCTTGCTGGCAGGAAGCTGCTGTTTACTTTGACGCGTTCCGTCGTCGTCTTCACCGTCGTCATCATCGTCTGCTGTCTCGCCTGTCTTTGCATTATTGAAGTCGAGCGGTGTGCGTGTGTCTTTCTCCCCGTCGAACTAGCGGCAGACCCACATCGGAATGAGGGTCAAGAAAAAGGAAGGTAATTAAGAACGCACGCGAATGTGACGTTGCACCATGCTATGAACATCGGTTGAGCAGTACTGGTAAAGTTTGACATGATGGCCTGGTCGTTCCTCTGGTGATCCAAGAATAGCACATATTTAGCGCCCGGTGGTGTATATTCAACAAGGACTGACCGAAGATAATGACGGCGACGTCGACCGAGCAGAGGACGCCCAGTTCATATGCTTTTTTGAAGAGACCATTTTTGCGCTGGACCGGTCGGAGAGGGAGGAGAAAGAGAGGTTAGAACGGTCTAGACGAGCATGCCAAGAGATTTGTGTGCAAAAATAGAGCTGACCTTCAAAAAGGTTACAGAGCGATTGCGTTCGTGCTATGTTGGGATGGATTATTATAAGCGAGATGAATGGATATAGGCCGGAGGGTAGAAAGGCGGTCGATGCAGCGTATACTTGGACGGGGCTATTCTGAGAGAGAAGGATACGCACAGTGATGGGCTGAATCTCAATCTTTCTTCTGCCCATGGGTGTGGGTGCTCGCGGGTGATGGGGGAGTGGTAGCGTGAGGACCGAGGAGGATTAGGATTATGTAGTGGGAGAAGAGCGAGTCGCAAGCTGAAACTGCATGAACTGGGTGCACTTCGGCTGGCTATCCGTCGACGCGCCGGCCGTCTGGATGTGGACAACAACCGCAAACCCCGTCCCTCGGAGCTCCTTTACCTCCTCCCAATCTCAGCTCCCAATCTCCTTCATTTTCCCCTCTCGTCTACAACCATTTTTTGGTTTCGTTTCTACCCCCTGCTTTCTCACCTGCCCTTCCCCCTCTTACCGCCACCATTCCGTGCAGTCCCTGCAATCACCACATGCATCTCGAATCAAATCTTCGCGGAGCATGTCTTCCCAGCTCACACCAACCTCTTCGTGCCTCATCGATGTCTCTTCTCGCTCCTTTCACATCGATACAATTGGACAACGTTCATCCGCATCGCATGACTTATGTTTTCACACCCGCCATTCTCCTCCCCGGCCTCCGTCCGTAATACTCGGCAACCGTCATCACACATGTACTGTCTGGGAGCGTGAGTGGTGACCCGTATCATCACCAGATCTCTGTGGCCCCAGCGAAGCTCAGAAGCATTCCTGCCGCAGCACATCCCCTTCGAGAAAGCACGCGGGCTCTGAAACTTCGCCTTGAGGCGGCGCCATTAGTTATTCAATCGTGCCGCCCGTCCTATCTCGCCGTTCCCTTCCGCGCGGGTGGCGCTGTGGTCGGCGCTGAGCCCTGAGCGTCCCTCAGCCTCAACGCGTCGTTTCGTTGTGTAGCCGGTCGAACCCAGGAAAGTCACTGCTGTTCACCGCCGACGGCACGGCAAACGTACCTGATAGACTAGAGTCCGAGCGATCGAGGACACCGTCGGTCGACCGGCCCAACCTTCCTTTTCCGGTATGGTCCAGCGGATTCCTGAGCAACTGCCGAAATTGGTTTTCACCTCGTACACACGTGGCCTGCGTGGGGTTGAAACGTTGATGAGTGACGATCTCAGCTCGCTACATTTGCTCCCAGAAGTCTTTGAACTCGCCAAGTGAACCAGGAGGGATCAACCTGGAACTGATTGTTGGCGAAATCCTCGCCACCCACGCCCGGGCGTGGCAAATGGAAAGCGTGAGGTTAGTACATCTATCAGGTGGTAATACTTAGCGTAACTGAAGGGGCACGTTCCAGAGCAGTAAATATACTGATTAATTTTGCGGGTAGTGGACTGTATCCACCATTGCGTTTTCATCGACGCCCAAGTATAAACCCTCGCTTAGGGTCTGGATTCCTTCCTCAATTTCATTATTCGACCGTCGGTGGGAGACAAATCATGTTTCCTCGGGCAAAAAGGGCAGATTCTACGTGCACCAGTTTCTCCGGTATTCGCCGCGGCTCCGTGAGTGCAGTTTCGCCGCGCCGTCGCTTGGCGAGCCCTCCAGGAGTTCTATCCACGACAACAGTAGCTGCGTTCTCGAGGCCCGCTTGGCAGAGGACCACTGTGTATGACTTCTTTGATCTGCAGGCTTGTCTGAACCTGCAAGGCAAGGGGCGGCGGCCTACAATCACCTCGAGTGCCCCATTGATACAAGAGAGCACACACGAAGAGAGCCCACTCTGCCAGAGGGAATGCGGATGTGCTTGAGATTTTCTGACCGGAATGCCAGGTGCCCAATCCCGATGTCATGTGGCTCTGGTCGTGTCGGGAACGGGCTCTTACAAAACAAACGGAAACTTCTGCGCTCAACGTCGTCGAGGTTACTATCCTCTTGCTTGATGCGACTTGGACTCGTGTGTAGGAAACTAGACAGAAGTAAGTGCATTACAAACTGTACGTGCCGCTTGTACGACAAGACTCAGGTGTAACTCCGCCTACCCAGATCACCGTCAATTTGTTTTGGCCCAACCAACGGCTGTGCATCCAAGGAATTTGTTGGCCCTCGATCTGCACCTCAGCAAATCAATGCATCTGCGGCCTGAAACCAAAGTTAAAACAGGGTCCAATTTTAGCGGGCGCTTTTGGCGGTTGGCGATCACAACCCGGTGCGTCGCCCTCCAAATCTAGGAACGATGCACCTTACCTCAAATCTTTTCTTCCGCTCCCGCGAGCAACAAAAATTATTTTTGTTTCACCTGCTGTCCTGTCTCTCTGGTCTCGATCGTGTTTAGTCTGATTTCACACCTCACTCTAGCAGCATCCCCAGCAATCTTGCGATATGCAGTACCACTCACACGACCGTGCATCAGTCGTATCACGAGGCTCTGTACCACCCATTGACGATGCCCACATGACACCGAAAGGACTCCCGCCTCGCAGTGCGGTTGCGTTCTAGCCACCACGATTGGTAAGTATCAAGTTATTTCTTTTCGATGCATGGGCTCTTATCGTTCGTCTAGTCTTCGAAGGGTTTGAGAGAGCCCGGGGCTGCTTGTCTTGTTAATGGCTTTCTCATGTTGACTGCGTCCTGGACTGCGAGTCTGCTGGGAGATCATCTACGCCTTGCGTACACTCTCTATTGCACATTCTGTTGAGGCTCGGCGATCAATCTTCTCGTCATTCTTTGGAGACCACTCTGGGCCTGAAATGTTTTTTCAATTTCGTGCCTGAGAAACGTGCGGACGCTTAGCCACAACTCCGCTTCCTTCGTCTTCCAGCCTTCGAGCAGCACGGAAAAATCGAGACATGCCGGTCCCTTTTTGTGCTTCCTGTCGCTACCTTGCAAAATGTAAGCAAGCCATGCTCATGCATTTACTAGAGATTCTTGCCTTCCAGCGGATCATATTTATGGACCTGTGGTTCAACGTAGGCTCCTTGACTTTTTCCAACCCACTTTAGGCAATCCAGTACGTACGTACGTCCACTACCACTTCCTAGTCAATGATATCGAAGCACACCCGTGTACTACAGGAATCGGTGCCGTTCTCAGGCGTACGGAACAGCCGGCTTCCCAGGTGGACGGTGGGCATGCTCGAAGCACACGGACTCCGGGTAAATGAATACGCACCACACAACCTCCGCATCGCGAGCCCTCTCCACCTGCTTGCTGACTAGCAGCGCCCAGCGTGCATCTTCTCGATGCATTTCATTTGGCCTTATAGTGCTCAAGTGCAACCACTGCGCGGTTCTCGCTGTCAGACGAGGCTCCAAACCTTGATGCGGCTGGCATGGCCCCTGCCGTACCTTCGTAGGCTTTACAAGGCTTCGTCAACGCCGTTCCTCCTTCTGTTCGGCTCATCGCGTCCAACAACAGTGCAGCCATGTGTGAGCCGAAGACGCGTCGGGTCCTCTTAAACATCTTATAGCATCCCGCTTCCACCGTGGCAGCACGCTCTCACCGCGGGAAAAGCACCCTGATTCAGCCAAAACCTCCGGAGTCTGACATGTTGTCCGGCTCATGAACGATGACGCCTATCACCCTACTTCTGACTACGCTTCTGTGAGTCTGTGCCGACCCCGTTCTACTTCGCAGTGGCTTGCGATGGTGTGTGCGCGTAATAGCGGGTCCTTTCCTCCGTTCAAGCCCCGTACTCCTGCATGTACTCTTAGCGGACTTTCCTTGCATGTTCTCTGCTCCCCGCCCAAGCATCTTCATCTTCTCAGACAGTTGTCTTGAAGATCAACCGAGCATCGAAGTCAGCCTCTTGCGCCAGTATCCTTCCTGTGTAACATCATCTTGGCGACTCTCACAGAGTGACCCCTTTACGACATATATTGTCATCTACGTACCTGGTTCCCTGTGTCCGCTTCCGCCTCCGCTAACTTTTGAAGACAGGCAATTCTTCCCGACGTCGCGCCTTCCTGGGTCCTGCAATTCTTTTCTCAGGGATAGAACTGCTGACTTATCTCGCTGCTATCCACCGTGCCTTCATTTTCTGGAACAGATAGCCTCTTTCCAATTGATGTATTGGCCTTGTGGCGCTCCTCGCCGCACAGACTTGAGCACCCGACAACCTCTCGTAATACCCGGGCGCGATCTGGAAGACCTGCGCCAGCCCGTGGATGACTTACGTATCGCCTCGCTGGGAAAGTACGTGTCGATAATTTCGGTTGCGAGCGCGTTCCAACTCAGAGCAGAACATACTCCTTCAATCTTCGATCTTCGTCGGAAAACCATGTCTACTTCCAGGTCCCTAGAGTGTCAGAATTACACATGAGCCTGTGCACCGACTCTCAAGCGCAACTTGCAGCAGATGATCGGCCTCCAGTTGGAAGTATCAACCACCCCAGAGTTGGAGATTCAGATGCCTCCTCACTCAACAGTTATGGTTTGTGGTTCAATCATTCCAGCTCTGCCTCACTGTTCTTTCCGGGCACTTTCGAGCGTTGATGGTTGCCGTCTAGCCTTCCTCCGATATTCGTCCTCGGTAGCAAGACGTACACACCTTGTTCTACTCATCCGACGCATCTCGCCGTCTCCGCCGGCCGGGTGAATTTACGCATTTGCTCTGTTCTCTTCTTCATTACTGCTTACGGCACAAATCAACCTCACATCGTCCACCGTGACGCACCGGCGTACAAATCGAGATAAGCATTAGAGATGGCCCGCCAATGGGACGCGTGCTATGTATAATCGAGAGGATGACGGTACGGGCCTACCACGCCCTTCCAATGGGTGTGCAAACGTAGGGATGAGACGTGCGCCAATTTCAACAGACGGCGGCGAAGAGAGGAATACGGGGTTGAGGTTAGGCGTAATGGGGGATATGTTTCAGCACGGAGGATGGCTTGGCAACGTTAACGTTCGCGCAGATGCAATATTTGCATCTTGCTGGATCTAACTCTTACAACAGGTCAAATTCGCTGTCTGCGGGCGGGTCCTCTGTTCCAGTGTTTCGGCCCGGTAACGTGAGCGGCGCTTCGTGCACCAGTCGCACGATCTGTGGCTTGGGAATTATGACACTGCTCACTGCGGGACGCATAGGGCGATGGCTGGTTCGGTCTTTCATAGAAGGCGTGGGATTCTACAGCTGGTCTCAGAAGCTCGAACGCATGTCCCGAACGCGAAATCGAGGTGCATTAGGCCCAGAATAGTTAGCTGAGAGCATCGGAGATTCAGTGCTGCACGAAGAAGAAACTTCAAACAGGCTCTGCGAAGAAGACAATTGTTCCCGCGCACCTGCCAGAGTGTGGAATTTGCCACGGATTGAGACTCGGCCGTCGATGCTGAAGACGATGGATCACAGGGTACAGGTGTCATGCGCGGCTTCAATTGCTGCATCTTGCGTCCTGTAGTACTTCGCGTGAGAGCCAGCCAAGGAAACAGCGCCGCTGACCAAGTAGTACCAGCCAATGGAAGAGAGACGATTATGGGTGGTCTTCGGAAGTTAAGAGAGAGAGGCGAGGCGGATGACAGAGGGTGGTTTCCCGCAGCCAGGAACATGGTGGAGATGTCGGAAGACGCACGTCGACGAGGCACATCTTCAGATTGGGATACTACGCAGATGGTTGTACGCGACAACGCTAGACGATCCACGTCGTCATGCGCTTGCATCTCCGTCGGCTGTGCACTGACCTCATGCGTCGAGATCATAGTATCGAAAGAGTTGGCCCTGGGATCCGATGGTGCTATTCTTCCGCGATGATGCAGCGACAGATAGAAGGTAGCCAGGCCGGCAGAGAGAGACCGTCTGTCGTCGACCAATTCTCGGATATGCTGTTCCGCACGACGCAAAGCCGAGATCGCTGTGTCATATTCCCAAAGCAGCTGAGCATGACTACTGTGCAGGCTGTCGAAGCCCAGCATTAGTGATTGGAGATCCACTTCATCCCATAGGAACCCTGCGTGCGGAGCGCTGCAGGGGTATCAATTGAGCCGACGACCATCTCTACTTCTGCAGAACCACAAATCATTGTGTCTTCAGTAGAACACTGACAGTCCAGCTGCAAGGTTTTCATTTGACCAATTCCAATGTCTTCGCCAGTGCAGGGACCAGCTTCAAAGGTCTGCAGATGATCAACCACGGTGTTCGTGAGCTTCACTGCCGAAACAGGTTCCCAAGGGACATAATAGCCTGAGTGTTTAGCCTGAGCGGCCGCAAGCCGCCGGCTAAGACATCGAGTGAATCGCCAAAGAATCAGCAACGCAGTGAAGAGCTGCCACAGCGAACGTCGGTATTTGGACTCGACGCCAAGTTGATACCCCAGAAAGACAGCGGCGATGTCATGGCGAGATGCGACAGAGGCCTGGTAGTGGACTTCATAGTGATTCATCGTGGCACTAGCATGGACGGTCTTCAAGCGGGCTATCCGACCGCGCTCGCGAGACAGCTCAGTAAGACTAGAGCTCTTTGTAGTTAATAACTGTATCTCTTCGCGAAGCTCTTGGAGCATTCCTTTGTAGTCATTCCGTACACCACGCGAGAAACCATGGACTTCAGAAATTATATCAAGGCGAGAGCATGCCGCCTTGTATGATGCTTGATGCTAGCAAGAGTAGACCATTCAGCGAGACGAAAGTTCTTTGTAGCCAGCTCCTGTATCTCGTGGCGGGACCCTTGGAGTATCTCTTCGTATTCGTGAGACGTTGCGCGAGAGAGATCATATTCCTCTGAGATCGTATCCAGCCTCGATTGGATTACAGTATACTGTCTCGCGGCTGAGTTCTTCACGCAGACGATGCGAGTGAGTCGACAGAACAACCACAGTCTAGAGGAGGATACGCGTGATCTGTGGACGACATGTGGGAATATTTCTATCGTCATCTTGCTCTAGACTCAGGATGCCACGCCGCTGGAGAGCCAGCTCTTGCCGAGCAGTAGCCAGATCCCCTTGAGGCGCTGCAAATTTTGCCCCAACGATATCGCGTAAAGCAGGAGAAGCCGCATGAGGCTTACGCACCGTCGCCTCAAGCGCGTCGATATCCGCCTCGCTGAAGCGGTCCGGTGTTATCCCGAGCTGACGCCGCAACTTAGAGAGTTCCGCCCGGCAGATGCTCTGCATGGTTTGTGAACGGACGAGCTCGGTCTCCAGGTGGGCGGTGCGGCGTTGTTGGTCGCGTATGGCAGCGCGCAAGTCCCGGATGTATGTACGTCGAGCGGACATACCAGAGAAAGTGGTGAGGCGCGATAAGTCCTTGAAGTCGGGACAATCGATGTCCATGATAGTATCTAGACCTTGCAAAGAGACCGGCCCAAGCTGGAGAGCAAACTGCAACGTCGCAGGTGGTTGGGTTTCAACCAACACAGTAAGAGGTAATACTCACAGCTAGTGGAGAACGTGATCGTCTCATCCAAAGGTCAGGATTGCTGTCACGGCACAGCCCAAGCATGGTCAGACCCTCCAGACAATCATGGCAGATCGCAACATAAACCTCAAGGACCGACATTTTCAATGCGCCGAGAAACTTGGTGCGTAACAAATACACTGCCTAGCGATAAACACCTGAGAGCTGTTCAGAACTATAAGCAGACAGACTTTGTCGAGCCAACATGTCAGTAAACATAGCAGCGAATACTACTGGAAACGAAACTTCAGAAGGTCCACGGTAGCTCTGTCTGAGCATCGGTCGATCCAGAGATATTCTGGAGAAATGTTGTGATGATAGCGAATGGAGAGACGTTGTCGCCGTTACCTGAGTTTCAACGACAACTTCCTAATTAGGCACCGCATACTATATAGTTATTTACGAAGTACGTATTAAAAATTAGCTATGGGTACATAAGGTATGCAGCGTAAAGGATATGAGTGCACGACTAGGATATACAGCTCGCGTAGCCTGAATAATCGAAACCCGTCCGTATTCGGCGAACATGAAGAAAATGTACATTAGTCAAACGTCTGCCAATAAAAGTCCTGGAGTGATTACTAAGAATGTTGACTCAACCCGACGTAACCCTACGTGAAGCGCGGACAGCAGGGCAAAAACATGTAGGATGAGAGAAGAACTTACAGCTTCGTTGGTATGCACAGGAGGAGGAACGCCCGGCGGAGCAGTGCTACCAGCATCAGGCGGGCTCTCTCCCAAGTCATCGAGTTCCGTGATAATTTCGGGGTGGGGGTACATTTCCTTCTGGTATGGAGGAGGCGCTGGGGGGAACACGTACTCCGGAGGTAGTCTAGGATCATTATCCGGGAGCCCACTGAGAAGTCCCCCGTGGGAGTTTTTGAGCTACGTGCCAGACAGCGGAAGGGACGGCTGCGTCATCGGCACTAAACTATAATTCCCAAAACGCGTCGGTGGCAGAGATGTCAGTCGCGTCAACTCTGTATGTATGCTACGTAGCTGTAATCCACGCCGTTCTCTATGTCCATCATACCTGCAGAAGGCTCTTCAGGATGGCTTGAGTCGCTGATCGTTCAGAAGTGCGGAGTTCCCTCGGTTCGCGATTTCCAGCTACGCCATGGCATGGACCTCATCCGCGGCAAGGATCTGTTCCTCGTCATTGCGCCGGGCCAGGGGAAGACGACGGTTATGCATGCTCCGCTACTGGCTGCACAAGCCCAGATGAAGATAGGAATAGCTCTCATGATTGTGCCTACTAAATTGCTAGCATTGCAGCAGGTACTGTCGTGCTGACAAGCACACCGACAGTAGTTTCATTCTGACCTTGAGTATAGGAAACTGTGGCCAATAGCCACGGAATTCGTGCACTGGCTATCAACGAAGACACTATGAGAGAAGCATACCACAACAATCGCGATCTTCTGGCCGAGCTTGTCAGCGGAGAGGACATTCGTCTCGCCATCATGAGCCCTCAAATGCTCCGGTCAAAACGCGTTCGTAGCCTGCTGTCGCAGCAAGCTGTCAAGAGTCTTGTCTGCTGGTTCTTCGTTGACGAAGCCCACCTCGTCGACGAACAGAGTGGCGAGTGGATCGAGATCTTCAAGTCCATCAAGACTATGCGCGCTATCTTGTCAGCTTGGACAGTTTGGGCAGCGTTCACTGGCATGGCGACTCCATCTCGGACTCTGGTTCTTGCTGAAAATCTGGGCTTCCAACCTGGGCACTATGTCAATGCTCGGTACTCGGTTGACTGCTCCAACATCAAATATATCCCGCGGTTCTTCGAGCATGCTGTCTCTAGCACGGACTTCCTCGACATCAGCTTCCTGATACCCCTGGAGATGGCTTCCCCCACCGATATCACGACAACTCTGATCTTTTGCCAGACTATCGAGCTCGGCTACAAAATCATGTCTTTTCTCGATCGCCTTATCCCTGAAGCAGTACCTTATCGCAACAAGATCATTAAACTCTACAACTCATTGATGCCTGCGACGTACCGACAACACTTCGTACAGGACCGTTTGAGTGGTGCTGAACTGCATATGTAGACACTTGCGAGATGAGCAGATTCAAAGGCGCGCGCGAACGCGTCGGCGAAACTGGACTAGATCGTAGCGGGGGGTAAAGTGATGCTGTGTAACCTCCGTGCATTTCCCGTCGTGCATAGTGAACATCTTGCAGGCCATTGTGCACATGCGCGCGACCTCGTGAAATTTCCGAGTTGTCCTGAGTCCCTGACTCCGATTCCGCTAAGCTCCGTGACCTCGAGTGCATCCCGAACTCACTATCATCCTGAGTATTTACACCAGGAGATTAATCTATACATAAGGCTTATGAGAATCATCCGATGTTAGTGTGGTGACATTCTCACGATGAATAAAATGATACGGATAGCCACTGGCAGGCTGGGATATCTGCGGAAGACTGAAGGATCAGCTGAGTACCTGAGGGCCCATATGTACAGATCCGAATATGTCGCCATCATCCTGGATGTCGTCAGTAGGTGGAACCGTCGCCATGAGAACTTTTTACAGCTCGCGAAGCTTGTACACAGGTAAGACGCGCCTGTGGCTGCACGCGACTTGAGCGCTAAAGATTCGTGCGTCGAATTGCCGTCGGCATCGTTCAAAGTCCGGTTTCCCACGGGGGACTTCTCAGCGGGTCATCGGTAATGATCTCAGCCTCTATTACAAAGGAACGACTGTCTTCCTGCAGGTAACTAGAGGCTGTATCTATGAGCCTACTCCGGAGGACGCTGTTCCATTGGCCCAGCGGCCCATGCATGGTTGGCCGGAAGAGCATTCGTATAGCCTGGACGGAATATGGCAGCGACGCGGCTACGGTACGCGGGCATCAAATCGGCAGGAGGCGGTAGAATGACCGTGTCTGCGCGCTTTTGATGCTCTTGGTACATCATCCCGAGCAACGACAAGATAGTCGCGAACATGAGAAGGCCTGAGCAGCTAAAGGTCACCAGTTATTCTTCCAGGACACCAAATGCAATAGCTCACCGAACAGAACTACTGCAATAACACGCCCTGCATTATCGCCACCATCTGACTCCGCGAAAACAGGCAGAGGGAGGGAAGATAACACGATGGTTGGCATCAGTTGTACCATCAACGCGTATGCAATGCTTAGTCGTTGCATTCCGGCAATTGCTCACTGTTGATAGTCAACAGCATCCTGCAGACCCGAAAGCACCGTCAGTATCAGAAAGTGTCGAGCTACACAATTCAAGTTGGGATATGCTTATGCAAACGGAGGAAGAGCACCCGAAGCGGGACACACAAGATGCATAGCCAAATATTTCTCAAGGAAATACCCTGAGAAAATTCATAAAGTATAACCATGAGAAAAAACTTTGAAGAAACCATAATGAATCTTCGTGGGAAATACCGTGATTGTCCAATCAACAGCTGAGAATCACGGTTTTTTCGAGTTTAGAGGAAGGTTTTAACAAGTCTAATCGACGCGGCGGTCATCGGCTTGACTCGAAACCCAGGCAGCGTCTGGATGGCTCATGACACTCGCAGCGCGAGTCACGTCCAGCGGACAAGCTCCACAGACTGGCGGGGGTCTCGGGAGCGCTGCCTCTGTCGAGGCGGAAGGTGTTTCCCGGGTCGGACCCTCCCGCTTACTAGGTGGAGGTGTGCTTCAGGGGTGCTCTCCCTCCTTGACCCTTCTCACACCTCCACCTTGCTAGGTCTGTCTTTCCGTGCAGCGCACGCCTTGCCATTACTAACACCTTTGCCTTGCCAGGAACGTCGTGAAGTGCCATTTTTCGAGCTTCATACTTCTCTTTGTTCACATCTTTCGAATCATTAAGTGCCCTTATGTCATCTCCGAACGATGGCTCCCACACTCAGTCATCCGATACATCCCGACAACTCACTGGGCACCAATTTGAACAAGAAGGTGTTATCGCATGTGAAGCAGCCGTGGAGGAATTTCGGAAGTCAAAAATATCTAAAGCAGAGGCATCCATCCAGCTTCTCGAGGCCATTAGCTACCATGACACCGCCCCTGAAGAAGAGGCAGTGAAACGGTCAGCTTATGCTGTCTATCTTGCTGAGCTCGACGAGATCGAATCTGCCCAACGAGAAGCTGGAGACAGAGGTGCCATTCAGGCACCAGGCCCATTGGAGAATTCCGCTCAGATCCTCACTTCTTCAGAGGCTCTCGAGCCCTCCTCTGCAGTTGGAGACAAGCGCAAGAGAGATGCCTCTGATGACTCAGACTCAGAGCAAGGAAAGAAAGTCGATGAATCTCTCTTCCCCTTCCCCAAGTCTCTTGGACCGTCTCTCCTCTCCCCTGAGCTCCAACTTACACTCAAACTCAAGGAGAACTACACCCGAGACCTCGCCCTCTCTCGACAGCGAGTTGTCTGTCATCCCGACTGCCCTAATGTCTCAGAATCGGTATGGAATGACATCCTTAGCAACTGATATGTCGACCTTGACAAGATCTTCACTGCCTTCTACACCATCGATGGAGATCTCAAGCAATCTATCAAACTCGGGGACCTTGAGGTCACAGCCAGTGCCCCGGTCAAACCCAGCTGGCACATTTCTCGGCACTGAGACTGGACCAATGCCTGGGTTAAGTACCAGCAAGCTGTCTCCTTCATTTTCCCACATCGGCTCTGCGAGCTCCAAGGTTATGCCGACCACATTAATGAGTTATTCATCGCCATGTCTGATGCGCAGGCCTCCCGGGTTCTCAACTATGACTGAGCTGTCCGAAGTGCCGTTGGGAGAAGCAACCGACTCCTTCTCACAGACCTCTCCAGCTTTAACCATCTCTACACCATGCATATCATCGCAGGTGGAGGTGGATCCTCTTCTCAGCTGCAAGGGACCTCAGGAGGAGCCTTCTCTCGAACTGCAGAGATCTGCAGAAAGTGGAACTCTGGAAATTGCGATCATTACGGATGTAAATACAGACACATCTGCTCAGTCTGCCGTGCCTGAGATCACGCCGCCTGCATCTGCCCCCAGAAAGGTGGTTCCTCTGCCGACAAACGAAAATAGGTACCCACACTTTTCCCGCAGCTTCCTCTGAGAGCATTGTGACCAATATACCACTCCTCTCGCATCTCTCTCGGAGCATCTCAGACCGATCCCCGGACCTCCTCAAAATGAATTGAATAATCCAGTCTCCCTGTGTACCATTACCGATAATCCAGATCTCTTTCAAGTGGTCACACCCATCGCTGTTGACCACTTTGAAGCCCTGCTATCCTCCCATCCAAATTGCCTGCTTGTTGACTCTGTCCTTCGTGGCTTGAGAGAAGGCTTCTGGCCATTTGCTGAGACTGATCATTTGGAATTTCCTGACACGTGGGATGGTGGGAGCATTCCCCTGACTGAGGAGGCGTCAACATTTATTTCCCAATATGCTAAAGAAGAAGAAGGCCTCCAACGATACTCTCATCCATTCAGACCAGATCTCCTTCCGGGGATGTACTCTATGCCTGTTCATGCAGTCTCTAAGCCACACTCCTCTAAGCTCCGTTTTATCAATGACCATTCAGCGGGTCCATTTTCGCTCCATGCTATGATTGATAAGGCTAACGTTGGGATGCGACCTGTCACGGTGGCCAGTCGCGCCACCGTACATCCGGTTCGTCGTCGTCAGTGACTGGGCCTTTGCAAGGTCTCAAGTCAATCGTGAGGGGTCCAACCTCCAGTCACAGCGATGACCAGAGGTCGGCCCAGTGGAGTAGTCTTATGAACGCTTGGCCGCTGTCTGCGGACCAGGGTCGATCTGTCGCACAGATGTAGATGGTAAAACTGGTTGATGTGTAACCAGGACAAGATGGGGACTCCAGCTTGTCCTGTCGGTCTTATATACAAGTACAGGCGTCTGTCTACCTGTAATACTAGAACTACGATTGGTCCATCGGTATCAATACAAGGGCACAGGGTTCGTATACCTGTCCCACGGTCGTGAGAATGCTGAGTCAGTCATGACTCTGCGTGAGAGACAATCTGTCCATATGGAGATAAGGTCGTGCTGCAAAGACAAGGCAGCAGCGAGGTCGTCGTGCGTCTAGCGCATGTATCAGGGTCTAGGGCCATGCCCATGAGGTTCGGTATCTGTATCGTAAGGGTAAGGCAAAGGTGAGGCAAACATGCCTTTGTCGCATGTGTGATAGGAAGCGCGTCCTAGGTCTGGATCTTGTACATGAGGTAAACATGCCTTGAGCACAAGGCGCATATCATCAGATGATCTGGTAGATCCGTGCCGGATAGATAAGGGCGATGACCATGATGACATCATGGTCATGTGGTCAGTGACGTCATTGTCACATGGTCAGTCTAGGCTCTGTGACGTCATTGTCACGTGATCGGTAAAGGTAGAGGCGGAAGTCGTCCGCGCGTTCCTCAGAGAGGAGCTTTGTAACATCAGCTCCCATTCAGGTCTTCAATTCCCTGGATTGAAGTTGTCAAGAAAGTCGGTAGGGAAAATGGAATGGAGAAATTCCATGTGTCGTCGTTCATCGTGTCATGTCGTCGCATGATTCTGGGTAAATCAGAGGCGGAAAATGAAAAAATTGAACTGGGTGTTAATCAGCTTCGCAAACTTCGTTTTGCTTGTCGCTTGCATCCCTTTAGGACTGCTCGCTCCAACTGCAAGTCTTCTGTTCGTCTTCTTCTCATAAGCTATTCAGCTATGTTCATCGTTCGTCTTCTTCTCATAAGCTGTTCAGCTATGTTCATCGTCTTTCATTAGTCTTGTTTCTTTGTGCTTTCGCACGGTGAATGGTCAACTCGCGTTGCCCATTCTTCCCTACTACTACCCCGGCCTAAAAATCAGGAGGGCTCATGGTGTAGCGACGTCTTCAAAAATTTGCAAGATGGAAAGAGAGTGTGGTGGAAGGGAGGAGGGGGGGAAAAAATTTGCCCTTGTGGGAGGGTTCCTCGTCCTCAATTACTCTTGTCGTTCCTCGATTCCACTCGTCACTCCTCGATTCCACTCGTTCCTCGTCACCCGGGCACTCGGGCTCATTCCTTTGGCTCGGATATGCATCCTCGCCTACTATCCCCTATCAGCTCCCATTCAAAAAAACCAGATACCCTGGATCTGAAACCGATAAAAACAGGTAACAAATCGTAAAGGGAAAAAGAGGGTGGGCAGCAAGGGTCTTCTAGTTTCGAGTCATTGCGGACAAATATCGTCTTCTAGTTTTAAGTCATTGCGGACAAGTATCGTCTTCTAGTTTTAAGTCATTGCGGACAAATATCGTTTTCTAGTTTTAAGTCATTGCGGACAAATGTTGTCTTCTAGTTTTAAGTCATTGCGGACATGTATCGTGGTTGGCTGGTCATCGTCAATGCCAGCATGGTTAATCGTCTTCTGGTGAGCGATAGCTCCCATTCAGGTCTTCGATGTTTCTAATCATCGGGATAATCGTGGCCTTATCTTGGGTTGATACCGCACTTTGTCGGTTATCTCCCTTCACATTCCGTGAATGCCATAATCCTGCCTTTCAGCTTTCATTAAGGTCGTTCGTCCTTCTGATAACCTTTCTGCACCCCGGGTATCTCGCCCTACTAGGTGTTCTCAGCAAAGGTTCAGATCGAATATCCAATGGTAAGCGATAGCTCCCATTCACGTCTTATGTCCAGTTTCATGTCTTCATCATTAAAGTACCCCGGCCTAGGTTTGAACTACCCCGGCCTAGCGTGATACTTCATCGAATATTTCATGTCGGGTCTTGTCGTGTGTTGGTATCGACTGAAATCGACTACCTCCATCCATATTCCATGGATGCCCTATTCATCACTGTGTCGTATATCGAATTTCATCTGTTTGTCAAGTTTATTCTTCCAGATGATGAGACAACAGTCTACATCAAATCCAAGGATCGGCCGTGACCCAGTATCCTTTCTATTCATGGGGAACTACCCCACACATGTCATCAAAAGTGCCATATCGAAGGCTGTCGTTCATAGTAGTTTTGCCCATCGAGATCTGTCTGATCGTTGAGGGTTGCTAGACCTATTTAGGCATCTAGCATCGGGTGTCGTCATCGTGGTGGTCAACAAAGGACCGTCTGGGACTTCCAGACATCATCGAATGAGTCATGTCTGTCTGATCATGCTCGAGTCGTCATCGTGGTGGTCAACAAAGGACCATTAGGGGTTTCCTAATATCAGGTGTCGTTATCGGGGATTGGAGTGTCGTGTACTGTTAACTCCAAGTCGTTCTTCGGTGATGTAATCTCTTGTTAGGTTCAATCATCAGGCTAATCGTCGCCTCATCAAACCTTCGGCCTAGGTTCGGTATGGATCATTGGTTTATACGGAGAGCCAGGATCCGTCTTCTGTCAGAACCTTTTTCTATGTCATTCAAGGTTCATCCAGGTTCAGTTTCTTTATCGTCGAGAGCTGTGATCGACGGTCGTCGTTCAGATCCTTTTGTTACATCAGGATCTTCTTCGGATTGTCGGTTTCTTTAACGTCGAGAGCCTCTTCGACAGGGAATCGTTTGAAGTGTCAACTCGCGGTATCTTCAAACATTCCATGGTCATCAACTCGTAGTGGCATCGAGTTGTCAATCTTTCTGCACCCCAGGTAACTCGCCATGCAGGGTGTTCTCAGCCAAGATCTATCGTTTATTTATAGTGGAGAGCGAGTGTCCACTTGCTCAGTCCGAGCTCCCATTCAGGGATCACAATCATCAAATGGTCATCAGATCGGACTCAATAAGAGTCTATGGTTTATACGGGTTGCCATTCCCGGGATCAACAATCATCAAGTGTTCTTCAGATCGGACTCAATTAAGAGTCTACGGTTTATACGGGTTGCCGTTCCCAGGATCAATCTGCACCGTGGGTATCTCGCCGCACTCGGTGTTGTCAGCCATGATCATCAAGTGTGCGACTTAAGTCCTTCGTCAAAGGCTGCGCACCATCCTCAGTTCATCACGGTCCATAGAATCGGTACTAATTCTACGGTGGCCAAACCTTTCCGATTCGCAGTCACATGCGGCTCGTACATGTCTTTGATTATTACACATGTCGTAGCTTTCCTCGCATGAGGGGATTCGACCCCTGAGAGTCACCCAATGAAGGGTAAACTCTTGAGAGTTCGTCTCGGACAAGGTGCCAATCAATTGTCTTATGAAAATCTGGTCTCACCTAGGAATGACCAGACAAGGGTCTTCTTCGTCATTCCAATGTTGGATATCGAGAGAATGGAGTGTCAATCGCGGTATCTCCATCTCTGTCGTCACAGGTGTCCTAATGTTACGCTGTCTGCGAACATGGACAAGTCGAGGTCGGGTAGTGTCGTCCTAAGGTAACCGTCGCCTTGGTCGGTCAAGGAACATATCATGACACGGTCACTGTCTGTAAACCGGTCGAGGTCGGGGTACGGTCACTGTCTGTGAACCGGTCGAGGTCGGGGTCAGGCTCTAAAGCATAGGAGTGTCACGGGGGCCAGTCGCGCCACCGTACATCCGGTTCGTCGTCGTCAGTGACTGGGCCTTCGCAAGGTCTCAAGTCAATCGAGAGGGGTCCGACCTCCAGTCACAGCGATGACCAGAGGTCGGCCCAGTGGAGCTGTCTTATGAA